ACTTGGGAATGGTTACTTTTAATGCAAAATATGTCAAAGACGCATCCATAATTCTTGCGCCTTTGTATGAGCTCACAAGCCTGAAAAAAGAATTCAACTGGACGAGTAAACACCAGCAGGCTTTCGAAGACATGAATCAAAAGCTCAAAGAAAAACCAACACTTGGCCATTTTAAACTCGGCGCGAAGCTACTTCTCGTGACCGACAGCTCAGGGCGAAGTGTTGGCGGGACCCTCTACCAATATCAAAATGAAAAACTAGTGGTTATTGGTTACTTTTCAAAAGCTCTCACGGGTCCTGATCTGAAAAGAAGCATGCGGGTAAAGGAACTCTTTGGGTTAACTTGGGGAATCAAATATTTCGAGTTTTACCTCCTCAATACAGAGTTCGATTGTGTTGTTGACCACAAAAGCCTGCTCTTTCTTTTCAAGGAACAACAACAGTCCAACTTGGATATCAAACTCACCAATATCCACTGCTATCTCCAGCAGTTTGATTTCACAATCATCCACAAGCCGGGAAACAGCCCGATCATGGCAAGTGCGGATTACTTTTCTCGCCTTCCAAGATCAAAAAGCTCCGACTTAGAGGACGATTCGGTGAACTTTGAGCTCCTTCCAGAACGCGTCTGTATGTTCCATCTCATCAAAAATGATAAAAATGAGGTTATTTTCTCTTTCGGTTCCGAGAAAATAACAAAAACAAAAATGAGGGAGTTGCAAAAAGAGTGCAACCTCACCAAAAATAAGCTCATTAAAGTGGAGAAATACAAAAAATCAAGATTCTCGCTCAAAGACGGAATCTTATTCTCCAAAAATAAACTTGTTATCCCAGACCAACTTGCAAATGAATTCATACAGTACCTGCACTGTATAACGGGACATGCTGGTGCGCAGCAATTAAACCAAATGTGCCAAAAATTTTTCATAAGTAATATCCAAATGAAACTTAGAGCCGTAACGAGCTCTTGCCCCACTTGCATTCAATTTAAACCGATCAAAAGCTCAAACCATCAATGATCGAGCGACGCAACTTCGAGTCAGTTCCTTTTGAGAAAACTTTTCTCGACCTTGTCGACTATGGAAGAGTTGACTCATCAAACAAAAGGTATCTGCTGACTTGTTGCGACTCGCTTACCGGGTTTCTAGACGGTTTACCATTGGGAACAAAAAGTGACAAAACTGTCGCGCAAGCGATCCTCACTCTTGTTCTCAGACACGGGATCACCGAGGTTGTTGTTACTGACAACGGGCGTGAATTTGGACCGCTTTGCAAGCAAATTTTCGAGCGATTCCAAATCCGCCACGTTACAACAACTGCATACCGATCCTGTTCAAATGGGAAAGTTGAAAGAATCCATCGCGAGATTCACATTCAACTCAAACAATTGAATGCAAATGATCGCAATTGGTCACAAAAATGGGAGCAAGCTAAATACTATCTCAATAACCTACCAAAAGCAACACTAGACGGGCTCTCAAGTAATGAAGCTCTCTACGGTAGGCCTTTTCATGTTCCTTACAAAATTGGAACATCAAATGATGGTGCCAAAGAACCATTTGTCAAAGCTCTCAATGGTTATATTAAACAACTGCACCCTGCGATCCAAGCGTTCCAGGTACAGAGGTACCAAAAACTCCTCCGAAAAGATAAAAATAATTGCCCAGTTCTTGAACTTGGTACCCAAGTGCTAGTCTGGAAACCAAACCTTTTTGACGGAAAATTAGGTACAAACTGGAGCGGCCCATTTTATGTTCATAAAAGAATCTCAAAAGATTCTTACATTCTAAAATGTTCACTCACACAACGTGAGTATCGCCGACACATAAGCCTGATCCGACCTCTAAAAAATAAGATCGGCGACTCAACAAAATTCGTCTCGATCAATGACGAAAACGATCAATCATCCATTCGCGATAAAAAACTCAATTGTGTCTCAAAAGAAATCAAGGAAGACACCCAAATAAAAATTTCCCGCTCAACTGCGTCAAAAAAGAATGCAGAAACTAAAGAGGATCCGAAAAATGAAAATAACGATCCTGTTGCGCCCCTCAAAAATGATCCTGCAAATTGGTCAATAAGATTACGACCCCGAAAATAAGTTCCTAAAAGAGGAGGGGAAGGGGAGAGATGCATTGTTGGTTTGCACTCTCATGAGCCCACTGTGAAGAGAGAGCTTGTTCTTGCTCTAAGTTTACATTTTTGAAAATCTTAATTTAGCGCCATCTCAAAAGCACTAAAACTATTTTCAAAAATAGCGTGGAATGAGATATCTTGCTCTTGATATGTCCACGCACCCGTTCCATTCTAGATCCCTGATCGATCTCTAGAATTCGTTTACTAAGGGGGAGAAGTTATTACCGCCGGGACAACGATGCACTGAGTTAACCAACACCGTACCCTAGGAATGTAAAACGATTATCTTCTTGGACCTTCGATAAGAATTTCGACTGTATGCTGGAAGTCCATCACCACCCGCTATAGCAACGTTCAAGTTCAAGTGCCATGAGCCCGCATCAGCTCATGAAAAATATCCGTGGTAAGTCAGCTTAGTCAGCAGAAGGAACCTGCTTATCAAACCCTGCCACAGCCTGCACAGCACAATTTGATGGCTACTGGACGCGTTGACCTCTACAACTGTTGGAGTCTGCTCCCAATGGGCCCAAACGGGTTCAGATTTACCTTCAGAAGCACGTTACACGACTACAGTAGAAGCGAAAATTGCCCGCTTCGCATGCAGCTTAGTACTCGAACCCTGAGTGTCATCTGGTTCAGCTCGTGTGGAGAAGAACTGATGAAAGAGACTCAAATGCTCACAAAAAAAGCAATAAAAACTCAAAAATTATGTACTCGACAGCTTATCATCAAACGAGTCTTCTCGTGTGGAGAAGAATTGATGACTGCGATTCAAATGCTCACAGAAGATGCACCAAAAATTATCATCAAACGAGTCTTCTCGTGTGGAGAAGAATTGATGACTACGATTCAAATGCTCACAGAAGAAGCACCAAAAATTATCATCAAACGAGTCTTCTCGTATGGAGAAGAATTGATGACTGCGATTCAAATGCTCACAGAAGAAGCATCTAAGCATCCGATTCTGCTCGTGTGGAGTAGAACTGGTGACAAAACTCAAATGCTCACAGAAGAAGCATCAAATATACACACAAACCAAATATCAACCGTGGGAAAATAATTAGGCGCGGCACAGTTCGCCTTGGGGCGGCCAATAAGCACCGCGCATGGCTTTGAAACGAGACTCCCTGGCCCAGTCTCAAAATACACAAGCCAAACGCAAGTTCAAGAAATTGAAAATGCCTTCCCAGGGAGCAACTACCAACCTTGACTGCCACTTCTTCCGAATGAATGACAGTGGCAAGGTAATGTTCCAACGGTATGTACTACCGTCAATCTTTGGAATTCACGTGCCAACAATCTTCCTTGACCCAAAATGGTCTCGACTACTCGATTTAACAGGAAGTATCCGGTATGCAAAAGAACGAGCCCTTGATCGACTGCAAAATCGGGCATTTCCTGAAGAAGCATTCGAAAGTATTATAGACTTTTGGAAAAACGAGTGCATGAAAGGGGAGTCCCTTCTTCGCTGGCAGACAAAGACGGCAGCTGTGGTTGAATTACTAAAGTCATTTAGGCCGATCCCGCAGTTTGCGAATGTGGTCATCAACAACTACGAAGAACACTTTTTAGCACGTCGAAAAGTCTGGCGGGAATTAGCTAACTATCCAAACTTTCAAATTGAACTTAAAGAAGCTAATTCCCTATTGGAGACTTTCCTGTCAGACTTACTCGCTAAGTTCGCCCTGCCTACCCAGTCCCAGAACCAACAAGATGAAACCTTCTATAACGACTTAGATGACCAAGCGCAATCAACGATGACAACCGAGCGCAACCAGCCTGAGATGCCAGCTGCCCCACAGAATGATATGACTGAGCACCTGTCCAGACCCTTTGTGCCGATCTCGCCGACAACATCAGCCGCAACGTCTCTGTCGATGATGGAACATCCAAGAGCCCCGGATCCACAGCAACTGCCACCGACGACGTTCCCTACTAGCTCCAAAAAAGACATGGTCACTCAGACTCAGTTGACAACTGATACTTCCCGGACGGCTAAGGCACCAGCCCAACCTCCAACGTCAGTTCCAGCGCTGAGTTATGGCCCGATGAGCTCCGCCCCGGACGTCCTTGGCAATCAAACACCTGGCGATCCGCCTCTTGACGACCCCTTTCCTTCAGCTCAATCTTCCAGCAACACTGACAGCGGCAACATGGTTGAAATGCTAGATGACAACTGGCGTGATCTGCTCTTTGGTTAAAATCAGGTGCAAAAGTCATAAATTCTAGGAGGGAAGGATTTGTAGTGGATTAATATATGCAAGTATGACTTTTGCAACAAAGTTGATTTCCGCCGCGCGCAATGGCCATAAAGCCATTAGCGCGCGCATTTCAAAACCACTACCACCCTCTGAATCCGCCACCACCTTCTGTCGTAAAGCGCACTCACCCGATTCCACCGCCACCCTCGGCTCGTGAGGCCCGATGAAAACTCGCCACCCGGAACGAAATGCTATAAAAAGAAGCACCCTTTTTACTCTGTGCCAGTCTGTACCAATCTGCGCCAACATCTATACCACAAATTTCTGAAAAACGAATACTGCTCCTACTGACTGTTCTGTCAGTACAATAAACGCTCCGTAGTTGTTTTCAACTACCCCCACAACAAAACGCCTTTAGTCTCCAACATTTGATATTGCATATATAAAAGCACTACAATACAGCTGAGATAGCAATTTTTAGCATCATATTTGGACTTGAAAACAAGATATTTAAAAGATCAGTAAGAAGAAAAAAATCTATTTATAAGTTGATTGACTTGAGTTTTAAGATGCTCAAATGTAAATAAACTAGAGTAGTATTAATAGTAATATCAAGAGCAGTAAATAAATAAAAGCTTCGAGTAACCATGTTGTTTTTGAGAATCAGGCACAAGCGCGGGACCAAAATTTGGATCCGATTAGATTGGTCGTCTCGTTGTTGAGTGGCAGTAGTTCGACTTCTTCCGGCAAATCGTCCGGCAGCTGCACCAGGGAGGATTTTCCTACTTGTCGGCTTAAATCAATGTTAGAGATTGCCTTCAAAATGGACTACAGAGGTCGAAAGAGGATCTGTAAATATTTAAAGCTTTAAGGGTACGGGTATCGATTTTGAAAAGGGGTTTATATTGCCTGTAAGACATTTATTTTGTCTTTCATTGAATTCTAGGCTAAATTTGAGGCATTTTTGTAATAGATTGTAAGCTGCGATCATTCGTCGTTTTCAAGATATGAGCGCTAGAAATCTGGTCGAAAAAAAATTTTTTGGCTTCAATTTTTATCAATGAGGCCTTTTTTGAAAGCTCAGAGCATGAGAAACATCATGGTGGTCTTGGTTTTACTTGAGACAAGATATTTTGGATTCTAGAGCCAAAAACGTGAATCTAACTTTCAAAAAATGCAAAAATCGCCGAGATCAATTTTTCAAAAAATTATTTTCGATATAAAAGCTTATTCACTCCAAATAAGCTACTGACAAAATTAAGATAAAGGTCCGAACTTTCATATAAAAATATGAAATATGCATGTTTACAGGCTACATTCCTCGGAATACGGCCAGTTTTAGGGCGAATTTCGACCGAGATCAAAACTTTGAGGCGAAATTTTCTTAAAAAAACCTTAGAGGAAGAAAATTTCCTTCTGACAAAATTAAGATCTAGGATAGTTCTTTATCTCAAAATGATTAGAAACCTTTCATCATTTACAGGTTTTCAGGAATACGGCCTCAAACGTAGCCTGATCGATACCCGTAGCCTTAAGGCGAAACTTACATAAGATCTTCTAGAGAAAGAACAACAGGTTTGATTTTGTCTGGAATAAGGCGGTTCTTTACATCTCGCACCAGGATAAAGTTATCGCTCCTATAATACCATATTAAAAATTTGTCGAAAGTTTCGACGGTACTTTTCATTAATTGTCAGCCAATATGATTCTGGAAGTGGATTATCGGAAATTTCTATCTTGAAGTGTTGGTCTGAGAGTCCCTCTTCCTCTGGAAAGATTTTCAAGTTCTCGATTCCGGCCGGAAGATCGTCTGTTGAAGCTCGTTTCGAAAGGTTGAGTGATTCTTTGACGAAGAGCTCGATGTGGTCGATATCGCGAGGTTCGTAGAGAATCGGCAACTCATCGTTTTTGTTGCCGCTTTTTAGATACTCCAGATATTCCTAAAAGAAAGTTAGCTTAAGAATACGAGAAGGGTCATACTTTCAAGAAAGCCTTTGTATCGGACATTTCTTCAGCTAAATCGTAGGCACTCTCGCCAGAATAACACGTCAACGTTGGATCGGCTCCGAAAGAAAGTAGCATTCTCAAGATGCTCATGTCGCCGTTCTCTGATGCGTCATGGATCGGGCTTGAATCAGATTTTAGAAAGATGCTTTGAAGTATTCCCTACCGAGTTCCATCCTTGGCTTGATCATTTGGATCCGCCCCTTGCTCAAGAAGAAGCTTGACGCAATTCAGATGGCCTTTCGTTACTGCCTCGTGGAGGGGAGTAAAGCCGTGGTTGTCTTTGGCGTTGACATCGCAGCCCATTTCCAGGTAATAGGCGATGTTTTCCTTTAAAAGAGAAGGTCAGAAAAGCCGTCCTAGGGTCTTCTATAACTCCTTTCTTCATATGAAGAATGTCAGATTTCTTACCAAATAACCTCGACGACCGGCGACATGAAGCAGCGTTTCCCCTGATGTATGCTTACAAGACAGCTTTTTAACATCTAAAATCAACTCGTTCCGAAAAGAAAACAAAATTTGATCCTACTTGGCGGACAGGGAGTCCTCTTGATGAGCTTGTAAATCTTCATCTGAGGTGTTTCTTCACGCTGCTTTCTTCCAGGCGTCTTTGGTTTCCGGATCGTCAAGCTGTCATCGGAGTCAGCATCTAGGGTGTCGGGATTGGCGAGAAGGGAGGCTTCAGTGGTAGGTTCTTCGCCTCCAATTGTGGGGGTGTCTGGCTCTTCGACTATTTCTAGGGCGCCGAGCGAACTGTCAAGTGTGTCGGCTTCGGCCTCTTCGTTTTCGGCCTTGGGAACTTTTGGAACATTTGGATGAGTGGTCGAGGGGCCGGGGAGTTCTTCTTTGATGCGATCCTGATGAATGAAATTAAAGGGAAAGGCGGACAAGCTTTCATTTACCGTTAGGTTGAACTTTGGTCGATCAATCGACGAGTGTGGGTCGCTCTTGTCTGTAGATTTCGACCGTTTCCGCCTCAATTCGTCATCAATTGGAGAACCAGGCCTCTTAGAATCGCTGAAGATCTCCTTGGGCTGCGGAAGGGTACCAGATTTGTTCCAATTGCGAAAGATCTGCTGCTTGAGATTTTCAAGAGTTTCGGCTTTGTTCTTTTGCAGTGAACTGTAAGTCCGGTCGGTCGAACGAATTGCTTCCGTCAAAAGAGGCAGCTTGTTTTCGTGATGCAATTTTTTCGAGGAATTATCTTTTTAATGCTCTTTTTTGATTCGATAAGAACGATTCTGGTCTTAAAGATATCTTTAGACATCCAAGAACACTGGCAGACATCAGTAGGCATCTATTGACATCCGGTAACATGGACGCACATCTACAGACATCTACAAAGAAAGAGGACATCTTAGAATTATGAGAACATTTCCTGAGGAATGAGCCAAGCCATTGGAATTGGTCAAGTGAGTCTGCGCATGATTCTGAGCAGCCTGAAAATGATGGAGATTATTATGAGATGGATGATACAAAAGATTCGCTGATCCGCGACCCCAGTGCGCTGAAAAATCTGATCGAATGACTGAACTACGCGGAATCTGCTGATGTGCGTTCATGGAATGATGATCCTGAGTATTGCTGTATTGATCGACAGGCGGAATCCACACGTTCGCAGTCTGGACTTTTTGGCGATCCCCAGTGGTGGAGGAAGAGGCGGAGGATCGACGACGTCGCATTTGGTGGCCTGTTTCAGAGAGGCGATTTCGGGAGGAAGAAGATTGAGACGACGCTGAGTTTTTGCGAGATTCGCTGATGAGCATCGAGCGCAGCCAGTCTTCGACTCCATGGTGCTAGAATTTCAGTTCAAAATCGATAGTTTGATGCGTAAATTTCGAGTTTTAGATCATTGGTTTTGGTAATGATAATTTTATTACAGCAGTAAGAGAAGGATTTATAAATAAGCTTAAATCTAAGAGTGAGTTAAATTCTGGTTGTTTAAAATTACCTTTTTTCGAAGCTAGAAGTCGGTAATCTCCCCGATTCAAATTCAGATAGTTGATGAATGTCGTGCATTTTTGTAAGCTCAGCGCAATTATTTCAAGCGTTTTTTGCTCATTCCAGATTGTTGATTTTTAGATACTTTTTGCGTGCAAGGATCATTCTGATCAGCGATGAAATCAGTTACTATAGCATTTCCATTTTTGGATTATTCGATCAGATTTTGTGCGAATCATGATTTTAAGTTTGATGGATTAAAATATACCTGCATCTTGTCGGCCAACACACTCTCGTAGATTTTGGATAGGAAATCTGGGTTGTTGCTTGAGGGGGGCATGACTTTTTGGCGTTCTTGCTTTTCAAAGGATTTTGATTTCGGGCAAAAGAAGATGGAAGAAAGAACAAATTTGACAAGACATACATGACTGCAGACTTCTGTACATCAATATGAAGGTCTACGTTTATCAACAGACATCTTTAGGCATCTGTTGATGTCTTGGGATGTACAGATGTCAGTAAATTAAGATCCTTTCCTTGCACCTAATATAGTCCTCATGAGTTCTGATGATGTCTTTGGACTGGGTCAGCGTGGTGTGCGCTCCACTGGTTAGCTTGCTGGTCTTCTGAGCCAGAAGGTGTTGACTTTGGTGGTGGTTTTGAAGTAATGGCGTCGATGATGAAATGTTGGAGTTGCTTGAGGTAGGAATGTTAGATTTAATAACACTGTTTTGAGCGTAAACATGATGGTTCGTGGGTGCCGGGTTGATTGTTGGTTTGGGTTGTAAATATGGATATGTTTTGGAAATACCGAAATGAATTGGAAAAGGGATGAAAATGGATAAATGCGAATGAGGTTTTGAGTGTCGGATATTTTGTAAGGAAAGGTCTTTCTCAAGCTGATAACTTAAAAAAACCCAAAAGAATATCAATCGAGAAAATTTTTTTATGGGTATGTTTCATCAGAAAGAAAACCTTATTCTTTAACACCTCTTATCACAATCCTAAGAGCGGAATGAATTCTGAAAACACCATTTTTATCACCAAGATCTCCCTTTACCTTTCATTTTTACCCGCCACCTGACTCTCATCCTTTTCTTTCTCTTGAACTTCTGCTTTTCCGATTTCGGGAAAGTGAATCTTCGGACTAATCCTTTCGGAAGACGGAGCTGGTTCTTGAGAAAGAATGGATTGAATCTGTGGCGGCAGTTGCGCCTTGGGAGGGTTGGGAACAGAATTAGGGAGAGAGGAGTTGGGAGGAGCGGGCGCTTTTTTGCTCGATTGGGAGCTCGTTGACGCATTCCTTGGTCGTGCTTGTGCGGCGGAAGTAGAGCTCGTTTTCTGCGCTTTTCTGAATTTTCGGTCAAGAAGAGAACTGAGAAAATTTAACTTACAGTTGCCTTCTCTTTTCTTTCTCGGCTTTGATTCGGTCGAGTTCGCGCTGAACGGAAGGAGCGACAACGCGCACTGGCTCAAAATTTTCGCAGTTGATTCTTGAAGGAGCATTTGAAAGGTCGAGGGGGTAATGGGAGGCGATGCTTTTGTCGACGGCGACTGGGGCGACTTTTGCCGGCTGGGGTTGGTGAAAGTTGTGGGACGATTGCTTAAAATTAACGTTGACGAAATGGGGGCCTCTGATGCTATAGAACCCCATTAAACTTTAGAATGTGCTATCGTTGGTGAGGTTTAACTTTTTCTTTACCAGGGAATCGGGCAGTTCTTTTTTTCAACTTACAAGGTCAGATTGTTTGAAGATTGAGTTGCTAAAAGAAGGGGCTTGATTATGACGAGACGTTGATTGCGCTTGATTGAAATGATTGCTCTCGCGTCGGGATCGCTCGTAGAGATGCCTCTCCCTTTCACGAAGTTTTTGTTCGGCGGAAATCATCGAATACAGCGGATCAGAGGCGGAGGGAGGAAAGCCCCCGCCAAAACTTGGCAAACTGCTTGGAACCGAAACAGAAATCGTCGGGGTTTTTGGAGTCCCTGCTCCACTAGGCGCGTTCGTATGGCTAAACGGATTGGAGGCGTGTGGCTTCGGCGTCGCTGGAGCAGGAGTTCGAGCTTTCGCAGTTCGAGGATCGGGCTGTCCAAGCGGATGTCCTGGAAAACCAGGATGGTGAGTACCGCCAGGAAACGCAGCATGGCCTTGAGATTGCGCGAAAGCGTGGTGTGCCAGAGCTTGCTGCTGCATTTGCTGCACGTACATGGCGTCGAGCTCCATTAAATTCCGCCCAGAAAGGCCAGCGGCGCCCGGGGGTCCGGGAAAATGGCCACCCATAAGCCCATGGGCGCCGGCCTGGAGTTGGGCAAGCTGCTGGTGCTGCGCTGCGGCGAGCTGCTGTTGAAGGAGAAAGTCATGATGAGTCGGGCCAGGCTGAGGCTAAAATAGAGAACGATGAATAAAGGGATCTTTCGGAACAAAAGGGGTTACCAGTCTTTTGATAACAGAAACTCTAATTGGTTCATTGGTTGATTGGGCTTTACTTTGGGTTCAGCAAGCGGTGCATAAAACCTCTTAGGCCTTTAGCGAAGATGCTTTTCTTGGTCTCTTTCAAGATCCTGACTCAGGTTTTTACACAGGTTGCCGAGCCCAGGCTTTAGTAAAATTATTCATGTTTTTCTGTTTTCTTTGGTTATAAGTTCTCTCTTTCGAAGTGAAAGATTTGAGAATCGTTCGACTGTAGAACAAAAATAGTTTTTAGACGGATCTAATTGTATGATCATTTTATCTTTATGAGAGACTATATATATTGGGATAGATCTCACGCTTAGATAATCATGATTGCTCGCCCTCTCTAGCAATTATGAGAAAGAAACTAACTGTAGCTCGCAAATTTATCTTTAGTCAAAAAATTGGAATTTGAAGATGATGTATTCTAGGATTACGAAACATCTGCTAGAGTCATAAAAACGAATAATTTTAAGCTCTTACAATTGGATTAGAGACCATCAAAATCAATTCGAAAAATGTTTATCGAAAAGACTGACTGTTTATTTCTGTTAAAAATCGATAAGTGAGTGCTGAAAGTGCTGGAATTAACACTTTCAACGCGCTGGGTTGGGATCTTTATGAGGTCAGGGGACAGTGAAAAAATTAACAGGAAGTAAATTGTAAATTTTGTGGGAATTCCTTGAACTTGAAAAACTACAGTTTTTATTTACTAAACTAGACAGTTTTTATTTCTATGGGAATGCAAACAGAGTAATCAAACGGTAGAACAAACATTCTTTTTGGAAAAAATAGCTATCAAATAATTCTCAGCTGACTAAAAGATCATGAGACTCTTTTGTTTCAAATATTTTACTATTCTAGACTAATTTTTCTATATTTTCATTGAATAGGGTCGCCATTTTAACGGATTTCGGAGCCCAAGGCTGCCTGGTATCGTTCAAAATCCGTTGTCAGAAGCTACCCTTTAGAAATTTTTTCGATAAAAAGGGTACTCCCTATTTAAGAAAACATATTTACACTAAAATTCCTTTCATATTACCAAAATTTGAGTAAAAGACACTTACAATCGGCGGTACTCTAGAATTGCTTCTTTGATACATCCTCTCTTCGTCAAATCTTCCAAAATTTCTTTTCAATTTCTCTTTTCATTCTTTTTTCTTTTCTTCCGCTTTTCTCGGAAATTCTCCAATTTTCTTCAAGTCTCCTTCACTTTTCTCTTCTCTTGATTCTGCGCTTTCTTTAATTTGCCCTGAGGCTATCTTTTCGTTTCGAAAAATCAAAATTCGAGCCAAAAATAACTTTTCTAGATTTTCTCTTTTTTTTTCAGAAAATTTATTTTTCAATTTTTCCACAGGAAAAGTCAAAGATAGCGACTTTTTCGAGTCGACTTTTTTTCGAGCTCAAGTCGAAAAAAAATCAAACTGGCGTGGGCGGGATCGCAGTAGTAGAGCGCCAAGCGCGATTTGGCAGAAAAAGTAGAAAGCGCGTTTTTCGGTACCGCATTTATTCGCCAATCAGCATGTTTTTTAAGTACCCGGCTGCAGCATTTGACTAAGACGGAGTTTAATATTGAACTTGGCATTTTGGTGCTAATTAAAACTCTTTAGTTTATCCATTAGAATTTTGATTTACTAGGAAATGAGCCTTATTAATCAGCGATTTTAACAATTATTTGACAAGTATCCTGCAGAATGCAGAAAACAGAAATTCCAAAAAGCAATTTAATTATTAAATAAAGGGATGTTCTTTTTCGAACAAATTGAGCTAATGAAGAGAGAATTTGTATTTTTGGTTCATTTTAAATATTATTTATTGCACTATTAATTTTTGTATATTGCACTAAGGGAATACAACTTGTATAAGTTCTCATAGCAGAAAAGATAAACGGTTCGGGGAAACAGAAAAATTCTTCACTTGAGAAGCGACCATTTGATCTGTTCTTTCGCGGACTGGAAGACTTGGGCAACGGTTTGTTCTGTCAGTGGGAGATCTTCTCGTCCGACGGCGACTTTGTCGATGACCGCTAAAAAGAAGGGATGAAGAAGGGAAGGGGACAAGAAAAATTACCTTGAGGTTCCATTTCCATGACAATTCCTCCATCGCAAATTTCATCGACAGCAAGGAGGACTCCATCGAGTTGCTTGAGCATTTGGCGTTTTTCGACGTTTTTGCGGAGGAGGATGGAAATTGAGTCGTAGAGGCAGTTCAGCACACTAGAAATTTTACAAACCATAAGACAAAAAATAGCAGAATCATTCAAATATTATTTGAATGAAAAAATGTCGACTCAGTATCCGAAGCGAAAAAAAAGTATCTATCCTATGTATCCAACAATTCATTTTCTTTAGAATTATGATCAAACTGTAGGATACCTGTTGAGTAATAGTTCATTCTCGCTGCTAGATCCAATAACGTAAAACAGCAAATCAACGTTGCTCTTGTAAACGATCGTCAATCCATCGAGAAGGACGATTTCTGCATCTGACTTGGCAGTCTTTTTGAAGATTGTCTTCTCGAACTCTTTTTGCTCCTTGACCGTGGGAAAAAGCTCCTTGTCGTAGTACTGGGAGACGATGCGCTCGCCGTCGTTGTCCAAGATGAAGATCGATTTGATTGTGTACAGAGAGGGCTCGATACAGTAATCGGAGGTGTTGTTGATCGTCATTCTAAGTAAGAATTTTTAAATCCCGAAGTTGCGGGAGAATTAAAATAGAAAAAATTTATCGAATAATAGGTTAATAAAATAGAAACAACACAAATTTAGCTGGAACTATTTTCCAATATTTATTAAATATTATTTTATTATAAAATATTTTTATTAAAAAACTTAATAATTTTATTCTTTCAGCTAAGACCGAAATAAGGATAAACGAATTAATTAATGAGTACTTTTTGCTAGATCATTTTTTATACAGAGAAGCTTCTCACGAAGTGAAACTTTACCTTTTTGAACGGTTTCTCGATAGAAAATCTCTGAAACAAAGCTTTCCTCTTTGTTTGAGCCTAGTTCGAAATTTAGCGTTAGCTCAAGGGCGAGTAGCTCCGGCTGAGCGGCTCAGCCAATGCGACCACGAGCTGACCACTTTGACGTCAAAAGCGCCAACAAAACTTGTATAAATATATTTTTATATAATGAAATAATATTTTAGTTTACTACTGCATGCTAAAAAACACTCTACATTCGAGAGTCAAAAATCTTAAGAACTAATCATTACAATTGCTTCTTTTCATAACATTTCTTGAGATAGAATGCGTGTTGGAACCACTCTTGTTGCGGCAACTGCAGGCCTCGATTCAAATATCCACGAAGGTCAAAGCAATGTCTCCACGAAAACTTTTGCTGGTGATGCTCAAGATTGGTTGAAAATTTATGTCTCGATACTAGTGGTTATTTGACCTTATATAACATACAGTATGTCTAGGTAAGTAATGTTTTCAATCTTCGATAAGCTGAGAAAAACGGCAGTAGTACCATCGAAACAATCGAATCATTGGTGCCTGATAGAAACCAAAATCCTTCGTCCATGGTTGTTGCAGGCTCATGGTGTGTCATGCTCTAAATCTAAGCGACTGAAATATAATGACTCTATCTAATTTTAAGTATTGGCAAAACAGACTGTTCAACAGAGTTCAAAAACCCCGCGATTTGCCCGGGCACAGGCGGGGGCTCGGGATGGAAAAATGCGCGGGGGCTCAGGCCGGCGCGGGCACAAAATTAATGAAGCTCGGGGGCTCAGATGGGCGCGGGTCCGAAACTGAAGGTGCCCGCGGGCTCACGCGGGCGCGGGCCCTTGCCCTCCTGCTCGCGCCCGGCCGCGCCCGCGAGCACAAAGGGACCAAATTTCAATCGGTATTTTCAGCTTCAATTCGATGACTTGAATAAGTTTGCTTTCAAAAAATAAGCGAAAATCGTAAAAAAAGCTCGGAAATTCGCGAAAATCTTGATTTTAGACCAAACGTTGAGCCAATTTTTGGGGTCATTTTCAAAGAAAACTCTTTCACGGGTTTCCGAAAACAGTCTCAATTTTTACTTAAATTTTCAAAGTTTTCGGCAAAAATTTCTTTTTCTTTCACGAAAACTGGCCGCGGGAGCCGAAAATTTTTGAACTCTGAATACAGTATAGTGCTCGTTTATTTCAAACGGGTATTCAAAGTAAATGAGAACTCATCTAAGAACAGAAATCGATAGGAACTTGAAAAAGAAATGGAGAAAAATTCTGTCCATCGTCAAAGGACAACAACGTGCTCGTCAAATTCTTTCCATTCCATTCGAGTCTCTCTGTCGTCCTGTAATAATGATAAAGCTCATTGTAGTAGTATTTCCCACTCGTTACGAAAATATCATTTCCGACCATCATGGCCGCATTTTTAATCGATGGCTCATTCAGTTTTCCGATAGTTTGCCAAATTTCTTCCCTCAAAATGAAGACAGTTAAAATCGGTATTGCTTTGCCGTCATAGTTTTTTGTCCCTCCGATGGTAATTAATCCAGACTCAGTCGAAACACAAGCTTGGTTTTGTTCTTTTCTTTTGATAAAGCAGTTAGTATTTCGTAATACGTATATGAGACTTACTCAGGGTGATCGGTCATAGTTTTCCATCCGTTTGCAGTTAGGGTTTCTACCTTACCACTTATGCAATCGGGATCCAGTCTATGAGGATAATGTTTCTCGTCAGAAGGGCTAACCCAGCAACCAACGACGGTTGGTTGGTTTTTATAAAGACCCATGCAGGTACTCGTATGTTTGAAATTGGTCCCTCTTTCGCGTGAAACAGTTGAGCCGTCAAACACCTCACAGTCTGTTGATGTATAACCAATTGGTTGAAGAGTTGGGAAGCAAATTAATGCTAAAAAAGTTTGATTAATGCTTCAGTGAGCATCACTTACCCTTAGAATTTTTACCCAATGGAAATGTAACGACAGAAGATTGGTCTGAATATCTTCCAACCAATTTTATTTCCAATCTATTCATTCTACAACCATCAAGTCGGCCAATCTTCTGATGCATAACATCGATTTCATTTCTTTTACCAATTGACTCTTTGACCCCTCCGAAAAAATGAACCTTTTCCTTGACGACGCCGCTTTTCGCTTTATATAATGGATCATGATAATTGCCGAGCTCTTCTTTCGGAAATTGAAGTTTAATTTCTTTCTTGAAGAAACCACTTCCGGAAATGAAATTGCTGAATCTGCAAGTCGGACACCAATTCCCATAATAATTCCCGAGCTTGAAAATATATGGCTCAAATCGACGAAAAAAGTAGAATTTTCGTAGCCATATTGACTCATCTCCAGAGACAAATCTGAGGCGTGTGCCATCAGAAGGAAAAAGTCCTGTGTTTTTTATTGAAAGACTACCAATGGGATCATGCTCTCCCGTTATTTGATCGAAGATTCTTGAGACTTTGATTTTATAGTTGTTGAATTTTATTTCCACTGTCGTCCACCACTTTTTGCAAATGAAATCATGCTTCCTTATCACAGCAAAATCTCTAAATCTGAGTTCCAATGCTCCATTTTTCCTCATTTTTATGATGAAAAATGGGGACCCATCAGCTTCAAAAACTTCTAGCGCTTTCAGAGGTCGTTTCTTATCGCCACATTTTATGTCAAAAGAGAACTTCCAATCTTTGCTGAATTCGATCGTCGAAAAATGCGACTCCTTGGTAATCAAACCGCTGTCATGCGGCACAAGGACGTGACAGTCCATCGCATCACCGCAACTGTGCCTTGGAAACTTTTGTTGGGATACAGTGCTCTTTGCGAAAACGGGAAAAACATCATCGTGAAAAGCAAAGTTCGGATTGCTCGTCAAATATAGTCCCTTTGATCGCTTTCTTCGCTCGTAAAACAACTCCAAAATGTCAAATCTGAAGTCAATTTCAAAGGTAACATCGAAGACAAGGCTCTGGATATAGAAACGGTCGTTGATGAGAAATGCGTTTCTAAAATAGCCACACTCGTAGCGATTGGGTCGGTTGTAGAACGGATCGTTTTTGGCCAACATCGAAGAGTAGCAAATTTCTTCGGAACGGTGTTTCTCAATGTTCCCGATCCATTCAGAGCCTAAGTCGATTAATTGGCCGTGGAGAGAAAGAAGAAGGGACGCCTTGGTGTTTGTTAGCAGAATGCTTCGAGAGATAACGACCAAAAACGGCTTGTTCAAGTGAACAAGGGGAATAACATCCATGATTTCAAGATCTTTGAATTTTATTGGGAGCCCAATTGAGCCTTTCTTCCACCCTTTTTCGCGTTCGTCTTGCCAACGAATAGGATTCAGTGATAGAGTGGATGATGTACGGATTTCCATATCGCCGTATCGAAGGCTCATGAGAACGAACTTGTCATTCCAGACGATCGATGAGGCTTTCGCATTCCAATGATTATTTGCAATCAACCCTTGAGCGACCTCGAAGCGCTTTAAATTTCTTTCTGGCGCATAATAATAACATTTATCGCTAATAGAGAATGGTGAGCAGATGACTACGACGCCGTAGACGCCTTCATTAGGGATTTCGATTCTGTAGTTGCCAATTGTCGAGATAAAGTGAAACATAAAATCGCCGACCTTTTTCGATCCTGTAAGAATTCTCAATACGGCTTCACTTTCTTCGAGTTCCGCTAGAATTCCATTTGCACTCACCAAATAGTGTTTTCCATTCAAAAATGTCGACCCCACAGAGTGTCCAGAAAACTCGGCGTGATTTCCCTCCAGCACAGTGTTGTTCCCAAATCCAAAATGAAATAGGGCAATTATATGCGTCGAAATCTGCCCTATCCTATTTTTTGTTCTCGGCTGGTTGGGGAGAACATCCCAATCTGGATCTCGCTTATGAAAGAGATTTTCTGGCGAGACTTCTTTGTCTTCCGAGCTGTTCAAATCCCATATGGGAAGAAATCGCTGACTGATAGAGTCTGCTCTGTCGCATTGGTAATGTGGACAAGGGCATCCTCTTGGACAGTACTTTTCGAATGGACAAACTTGCCCGGCTGTACCAAGAGATCGTGTTATAGCGAAACAAATACTTTCACACTTCTTCTCATCATTAGTACTCATGCTCAAAGGTGACTGAAGATTGCAGAGAAACCGGCATGTTTTGGCGTCGTAGAACTTTTTCATCGCGCATCTTCGTTGATTCATTTTGTTTTCTTCTTCGGTAAATTTCTTGACTTCAGGATTGTGAACGCGCTCGAGTTGGTGCTCTGAGGGTTGATCGTAAAATTTCGATAGAGTGCAATTGTGCATTTTTAGAGTGCAAAGATTGAAGTCGTTCGCACCGAAAGCACATGTTTTGAATCCAGATTGACAGACGGTTGTTAGATAAGACGGTTTTTCTTTGGATAATTCGTAGTTAACAAAGTTTGCTGAAAAAAATTTTCACAAAAACGATTCTTAAAATCTGACCTATAATGACAACCGCGATCCAAAATGTGCTGCCGAAGAAAAGAACTCCTTTGAGCTGTTTTACCGTCCCGAAACCACTAAATTTTGTTCCTCACTACTGCAGTTTTTAGATTTCTTACTGTCTAGCTGGCTGGCATGAGCCTTGTCGAACCACTCTTTTCAGCTTTTCTCTCCAATAATTTGGGACCAAGATTACCTTATCATCATCAGTTATTCGAAGAGTACCGTTCACTTGGCAATTCAGACACTTAGCTTTCTCTCCCTTCTGCTCTCTCATGATGAATGATTGTTGTTTCAAAATGGTACGAGTTCATCGGATGTTTTATGGCGTCTAAAGTGTCAACTGAGCTTTTTAGATCCAGTCAAAAGTCATGTAGAATCAACTGTGACCTATTTTCGACGTGTCATATTTATGAGCAACAAAAATCAGCCCGGAAAATTTTTCGCGTTTAATTTATTAGAAATCATGAAAGACAATATATGATTTTTAAAAGTTGACAGGATAAGTGCTGTTTTGAAAGGATCGTGGTTAGTTTTGGCTGCGAGGAAATTCCAGAAGTTATTGAGGGAGTTTGATAACTGGTCCAGTGTACGGCTCCCGCTCGACTTTTTCAGGCTTGTAGAACTTTTCTCGCTGGTGGATTCGGTTGTAGACATATTCTAGCAAAATGGTTAGAATTTGGCGTCGAGATGATTTTACCTGAGTAGGGTTGTCGAGGGACGTATTTTCCATGTCCTTGTTCAACATGGAACTTGTCACCGTCGAACTCGTAGGCTAGAACACCTCTAGAAATGACTTTTTCTGCGATTCCATGGATCTCCAAGCCCTTAACAGTGAAAGTTAGTTAGCCCTTCTTTTGAAAATATCAAACCTCGAAGATGTTCCAGTCGACAGCCTGGTGATGAGTGTCCTTAGAGATGGTTCGAGATCGGTTTGGGTTCCAGACAACAATGTCGGCGTCGGATCCAACTTGAATGATACCCTTTTGTGGGTACATGTTGAAGACCTTAGCAGCGTTGGTAGATGTCACTGCAACATATCGGTTCTCATCCATGATTCCCGAATGAACACCTCAATTGCATAAGAAAAAGAACATCTGGAAAGACGTACCTTTAGTCCAGATAACAGCCATTCGATCTTCAACGCCATTGACACCATTTGGAATCTTTCGGAAATCATCCTTTCCAAGAGCCTTTTGGTTGGCATTAAAGGTGCAGTTATCAGTACCAGTGCACTCGAGCTCTCCGCAAGCTAGTTGCTTCATCAAAACTTAAATAAAGAATTCTTATCTGAGTACAAAAACCATAATAGTTTCAAAAGTAATTTAAATTTAATTTTTCAATTCAAGGCCGAACTGAAGATAATCTACAATCATGCATAGTACATGGTATGAAGACAACATCAGACAAACATAACATTTTTATATACTTTTGAATACTTTTGGGCGTTGAAGGATCCGGTCGCAGAGGAGGTCCCATGACGTGAGCGGCAGCATGGCGCCAGCACTTATGCCAGTAATTCGTGCCGTCAGTTCCGAGCGATGCGGCAATTGGTTCTCCAAAGACGACTTTGCCATCTCGTCGCATTTCCGAAACGACTTTTCCGGCACTCTTCGACATCACGTGAACGACGTAGAGAGGACAGTTGACTGTGTCAGCAAGAACACATGCTCGTTGAGTAGCTTCCATTTCGACATGTTCTGGTCGGCACATTTCGTGTCCTTCGGGGCCAGTGACGCCTTCGGCGACCATTCTTTTACTCTCGCGGTCGATGATGTGGCCGTTTTCAGCGTGTACCATCGCCAGGGCGCCGATTCCAGCAGCATGGCGGTAGCATTCTAGCATCTCGTCGTCTTCAAGCATGAAGACGTCCTTGTAAGCCATGAAGGTCTTGAACGAGTTGATTCCGTAGTTGTTGATAATTTCAGTCATTTCTTCCCTGGAAATTCAGTTAAGTAAAATGCAACAATATTTCATCATCAAGTGAATCAGGTTAACGACGTCAACTTACCTGACTTGCTCGGACCACCAAGTAATCGCCATATGAAAAGTGTAATCGCACATGACCTTTGGTTCCGCCCACCCTTTCCAGGTTTTGAAGTTCTCGATCAGGGATGTTCCCTTTCCTCCCAAGACAAAGTCGCAGATCATCGTAGTTCCTCCAGAAAGAGCAGCCCGAGTTCCAGTGTAGTAATCGTCGATGGCGAAAGTTCCCATGAAGGGGAGTTGCATGTGGGTATGAGTGTCGATTCCACCGGGGATGACGAGACGATCCGTTGCGTCAATTATCTAAAATTAGATAGAGAGAGATAAAATAAATTAAAAGATAATGCGGTATTCTGATTGGGAAGGGATAAATTTTGGGTCTTTTTATTGGCTAGGAAAAGCAATTCTTCAGTCAAAATTTATTCAATTTTTTCAAAAGTCGTAAATGAAAATTCTACCTGGCAGTTTTCTGGCACGGCAATATCAGTTCCGACTTCAACAATCTTCCCATCCACGCAGAGAACATCAGCCTTGAACGACCTGTCATGATTGACAATCTTTCCATTTTTCACCAAGACCGCCATATTTAGACACTTTCGGCTTCTCTTTTAAATCGTTATTCTTTTCGCGACCGAGTTTATTGAACCGGTTTACGAGCCGAGTAAAGTTGAGTTTGAGGTGTGTCTTTTTCCCTAACTCTCTGTTCTTCGCCCCAAGGCTGATCTCTTCGCCGTCGGGAGCTTTTTTTCTACGGCGCGACCCAGATAATTATGAAAAGGCTTTGTTGAGGGAATTTCCCCAATAACGATTATTACATAATTGCTCTAGAGAAAAAACAACAATTGTTCAAGAAGCAGTATTTTTATTAGTAAATGAAGTTCGGAATTGGAATTTTCAAATTTGAGTTTTGAAAATTGATGTTTTTGAAGCCACTAATGAAAATGAATTTCATCAGACATAGTAAACTTTTTGCTCAGGTTCTTTCGAAGGACTTATAAAATTAATAAAAAAGCGACGAATCATATAAAAAAGCGAAGTAACAAATTGAATTTTAGTCCTCGGCTTCTACTTCGGCTTCTTCAGCAGCTTCTTCTGGCTCGCAGGTTTCTTCAGGAGCTTCTTCTGCGTTATCTAGAATTGTTGATAGAGCTATTGATTTTGTGTTTGATTACCCATGAGTTCTGGAATTTCAAGTGTCTGTGCTCCTCCACAGGGGCCTTCAGGAGCAACTTCGGGGGCCTCCTCCACTAGAAAAACGTCCTCAAAACAACCTTTAGCTTCGTCCTTACCTGGAGGTGCAGCTCGAGTCGAAGCAGCCTTTTTGACGCGAGCGTTCTTCTTCTTCAAGCTCACAAGTTTGACGACTCCTGAATTGGTGTACTTGTCCTTCTTCTTGCCGTTTGCTTTTTCCTCATTGATGAGGACGAATTCAATGTCCTCGCCAGCTTCTTTTCGTGATCGAAGTTCGCCAAAAGAAGTTGTGCAGGATCCAATTTCCTTTGGTCCCTTCTTTGACCAGTGGTTTACGGTGATTTTCAAGTGCCTACATGTTGTAAGATACCAAAACAAATATATCCTCACCTATCAGCAAGCTCAGCAGAGAGTTGATTGGCAGTGAGCTGGAATCGTTCCCACTTTGGATCGGTAGTCTAAAGTAACTTCTTTAAAATTTCATTCTAGAGCCTTGCAGTTACCTTCTTGATGACTTCAGTTCGATGAAAAGTAACATATTCGCCCTCGTTCTCGGTCGAAATCGCCATCTCCATGTACGCGTCAGTTTTTCCTGATCGACTTGCTTTGTCGATTCCAACAGCTTCGAATTGCATTTGGAAGATTACTTTCACTCCGGAAACTGGGAGCGCTCCCATTCGAATCGTCGATGGCGACTTTTTCTTGTTGAAGCCGGTTCCGTCCTTGTTCATCATTTGAAGTTCTTTGTTGAAGAAATCGCCACCTTTACAGAGCGCGGAGAAGGGTCCCTTCCACATGCCAAGGAATGTGTGTTTCTGAAAGGGATAAACATCATAATAAGGGCGTCACTACCTTCAAATCGGTATAATTCTTGTTCCAGTCGTAGACCTCAACTCGGCAGTCGTCTTCTTCGTGGTCAAAGAAATCTACATCGATTCGAGTAGCCCATTCAGGGTTGAGGTTGTCCTTGATTCGTTCTGTTCGGCCGACCTCGAACCACTTGCCAGTCGGCTGATCTTTCATGTAAAGAATAGCTCGGGGATCCGAAAGAGATCGGAAACCATCACCATTTGGAAGGTCTTTGCAGGCAAGGACGAGTTGGAAAGGAGATGGCTCGTATCGCTCGAAGTCGTCTGGGGTAGTAGGTCGGTTCATCAGTGGAGGATCGACTAAAAAGCAAGGTTTGAATTATGTCAAGTGTCTCTTGGAGATAAGAAAATTATTTAGATCTGCTTGACCTCGCGAAAAAAATATCAATGCCGAGATAAAAATAGCATTTTATGGTGACTACCTGTTTAAACTTACTTTTCACTTTCTCCTTTTTCTTCTTCTTGCCATCATCGGAAACTCCCTCAGTGATTTCGGCGACTTCCTCATCCTCGGAAAATTCTGGCAGGGAATCAACGTCGGACATGATTTATTCTTGATTAATTTTTTTTTCTCTCTTTGGTGTAGAAAATGTAGATAAATGGAGCGGATCTAGTGAAGAGGTAGAAGAATGCAAATATGCTCAATTATAATGCCGATGCAGTGTCAATACTGATTCATGGACGGAAAATAGGCACGCTGATGATTTGCTATTTGCTTTGATGTCTTTAAATTCACGAGCTGACGCTGGAATTTCGCGTGAGTAAGTAGCGTGCTTCGCGAATAAAATATGTCATCGAATGAGGCCATAGTGCGTGAAAATCAAATACAGGTAGAAGCTCACTTCCAGAATTCAAATAAAAGAAAGGCAAACAAAGTTCTTAAGCTAAAAAACTCATTTTCGAAGAGAAAATGTGGCAAGAAAACTGCATCCCTGTCATCGATGTTCAGGAGTTGCTCGATGATCCTGAAATCAAATCTGAAGCAGCGCTAAAAAAAGCGAAGGAAATTACTGATGCGATGGAAGATTTCGGATTCGTGACGATTACGAACTTCAAAATTGAGGACCGTCTGATCGATGGGCTAACAGGATTGATGACTGATTTTATGCAAGTTCCCTTGGAGGAGAGGAAAAAGTTCTGCGTAAATAATGATGATCATGGATATTTTCCAGCGTCAAAAGACGGGAAAGAAGGCTTTGATGTTCGAATAAGAGGTGTAAATTGGCCGGACGAGTGCGGATCCTTCACTGGAATTGTAAATCTTCTAGTTCAGAAAACAATTCAAAAACTCATTTTTAGTACGATACAAAATGTCCCTCCGATGAATTCGCAAAAACCGCTGGCGATTACATCAACCGAATATCGTCTCTCGCCAAAATCATGATAAACGCCATTTCAAAATCATTGAACTTTGGCTCTCAGCTAAATGACATTATGCCTGGGCATCGAAGCTTTCTTCGAATAAATTATTATCCGCCACGTGAGGAAGCGTATACCAATGGAGAGGATGGAGCACCGTTGAATTGCGTGGAGCATTTTGATTCTGGAATCATAACGCTTCTCTATCAGGATGATGTTGGTGGCTTAGAGGTTCAGAATCCCTATAATATGGAATGGATCCCTGTCAAGGTACAACAGATCCTTCTATTTAGATAGGTATTTTATGATTTGATTCAGCCTGTGCCCGGTTCAATCGTCGTCAACACTGGTCGAGCTTTTGAAAGAATGTCAAACGGACGAGCAAAAGGTAGATTCTCATAAAAATATTCCTCTATCAAAAAATTTAAGCTACGAAACATCGAGTAAGATTCACCCCGAACATCGTCCGATTCTCCATTCCGTACTTCGTCCAGCCAAACCCAGAAGGCGAGTTCTGGCCTTTCGGAGTAAAAGAAGAAGATCGACAATACGAACCCGTCAAGTATCTTGAGTGGTACAACAAAAATATTCGCCGTTACTTTCCTGAGTATTCTGAGCGCTCGACCAAATAAATTCGAAATTTCAAAAAGAAATTTCCAGAAACCTCGATAATTTCATCTATGCTGAATATTTTCTAAATGCCATTCGATGCAATTTCCCGCTAATCAAGACAAAAGTCAATGCATATCGTCTCCAAGATAAACGCGCTCAATTTTTCTCAAACCTCACTTTTAATTTGAGATAAACGTGTACTTTCAGACATTTTTATTTCAAGACTCTTTGATATTTGTTCTGATTATTTTCCTAAATAATGTTTTTCACTCTTTAATTAGAGAGGGCGAAAACTTCGTATTTTACTTATTTCAGCAACTACCACTACAACCACGACAACCACAACAACAACCACAACCACCACAACTACCACGACTTCAACCACGACTTCATCGACGACCACAACAGTCGACCCATGCCCATGCACAGACGACGTCATTGCTGGAATCAGGCAAGTCTCTCCCCGTCTACCCCTTTTTTAAACTCCGATTCAGGTCCGCCGAAAAAGCCTTCAGCAACCGTGGCATGATGAAGCCATTCCGATTGGGAGACACTGGTTTCGTCGTCCAGGCAGCAACAAAAGCTGCAATCAAGACCACTCTTTCCTACCAGCAGTACTGGGTGATGTCACGAGCTGTTTGCGGTCAGCCAGTTCTAGACGTTCTCCGCAACGCTGCTTACGATTGGAGCGTTTTGGAAAAGAGACCAAAGGGAAATAAGGACGTTATCACGAACTACGAAGCTTTCGATGGACACTACTACAGAGAAGTCGATCCCATGGAGCACAAGAAGCATCGATCAGTTACTCTTGGCTTCCGGTAAGATCAAGGCAGATAGACTATTCAAACTACTTTTATTTCAGTGCCGATAAAACGATGCCCGACCCATTCGGAAACCTAAAGAAGGATCTCTACTTTGCGGGTCTTCAATTCCACGAACCTCTTCCAGACACCGTCACCATCGAAGACGTCTACGACTGCGTCTTCGGAGCAAAACCAGTCACAATCAAACCCGGCACCGGGATTGACATGACTTGCGACTACGCCAAGTGTGTCGGTGAACAAGTCATTGTCGGATTTTAAACAGAAGAGATGACACGATATCTCTTTATTTACTGTAAAATTTAAAAAAACAAATGGAAATCAACTTTAAATTTTTGTGAATAAAGCCAACGAACAATTTTGACTCAAAAACAGTCTTTTTCTTTTGTTATTTTCTAGCGTAAACAATTCATATCTATAATGTTAGCTAAATAAGGATGAGAGCCTTAAATCGATCATCGAATTGGTCAAATGAAGATGTTTATTGTCGAGGAAAACAAAAATAAGCGCTTATTCTTCAAAGTACCATGAATTCACTTCCTGTCTATCTTTTGAAAATTCCTTCCACTAGGAGAAATATTTACGTTTTTATTTCCTCTTCACCCCTTTTTAATGTCCCCCTTTTTCATTTTTTCTATCAAAAAGAGAGGGATTGTAATAAGCAATTGAGCTCAAAATCGTCCTTGTTTTGTGATATGAGCAAGCCAATATTTTCAATAATATTGTTCGTACCACAAAGAGGTCGCTTTTAAGCTCAAACAGTCGACATGCAAAACTGCAAAAAAAAGCTGTAAAATTATTCGCCGCCTGTTTTTTGTGATCAATTGAGATTTCTTGCTCGGCGGGTGCCAATTATTGAAGATCGTTAAAACTTTGTATCTTTGTCCTCTCTTTGAAATCTCATTTTTGTTGTGTCCATTTTAATCATGTCTAATTCAACGGAAGAGTTCGAATCTTACACTTTTTCGAAACTCTTATTTTTTAATATTTTGAGTTACGCTGGCGTAGTCGTCGTCGCTTTTATTTTTTATCTTTTCGGAAAGAGCTGGTTCAATGATAGTAGAAAGAGAAAAGGGGTTGGATGGGAGCTTTTCAAGAGATTTTTTAAAGGAGATGAAAAGGAGCAAGCTGCGAGGGAGATCAGGAAATGTTGACTTTAGGAAGAATTCTTCAGAATTATACTGGAATCATAAATGCATTTTGTGGAGAGAGCCTGTTTCAATCCGGCCTTCTTTCAAATATTTTCGCCGTATTCAATCTTTTCGGCCGGCTATTGCCGGTTCTTTCGAGCCATATCTTTTTCAATATAAATCGAAATTGTCAAATTGTCAACATCAAAAAAGCGACGAGTACCCAGCGGAAACTGACGCCGTTAAGTGCTGCAAGTTATTCTTATCCATCATTGGCGTGTCTGGTAGTCTCCTGATTTACGGCGTCTTTCAAGAACGAGTCATCAAGGTTCCCTACGGCGACCACTTCTTTAAAGACTTGGTTCCTACGAATTTGATTATCTTCTGCTCTCGCGGCTGCGCCTGTATTCTGTCTTTTACTGTTTTGATTTCAAGGGGCACTGGTGGACTCAGTGGAGTGCCTTTTTATAAGTATTCACTTTGCTCGCTGAGTAACATTCTTGGCTCTTGGTTTCAACTCGAAGCGCTCAAAGTCGTCAGTTTCTCAACCCTGGTTATTTTCAAAGGATCGAGAATACTTCCTGTCATGGCGATGGGCTACTGCATTTCGAGGACAAAATACGATATCTTCGAATGGATCATTGGAGGCTTCTTTGCTGCTGGAATCAGCATCTTTATGTGCTTCAAAGAACCGCCGGAAGAAGAAGAGACAATTAGTAACACGCTGTTTGGATTGGTTATTCTTTGCTTGTACATAATATGCGATGCTTTTACGTCGAATTGGCAAGACAAACTGTACAAAAAGTATAAGATGTCAAATTACGAAATGATGTTTGGAGTTGCTGCTTGCTCCATGATTTTTCTGAAACGGTTTTTAGTGCTTAAATGCAAGATATTAAAACTTTATCTTCGAGAAAATAATATGAAAAACCTGCGACAGTCATTTTCATTTCTAAAAGAACTGGAGCAATTGCACGTGGCGTTCGATTTTATGGAGCAAAACCCAATTGTTATCCTGCACATTTTCATCCTTGCTATCACTCAAGCGACCGCCCAGTTTTTCATCTTCTTTACGATCAAAGAGTTTGGACCACTCATTTTTATCATTATCATTTCTTCGAAGACGATTCCTCAAGGTATTCGAACAAAGTTCTAGGGCTGAAAATGTCTTTCAGTGCTTTTATCATGGATTCTTTTTGGGCATAAATTTGGACTCTACGGATGGCTTGGGCTCGGCATTGTCTTTGTAGCCATTTTTATCAAGTAAGTTGAAAATAGATATAGTTTTGCTAATTGAGCTTTTTAGGGTGCTGCGAGCTGGGACCAAATTGATGACCAAAAGAAGAGAAAGAAAGAAAAAAGCAAGATCTGCAAGAGAGGAAGAAAATAATTTTCTTGTCTCGAACATACGCTAGAATAAACAAATTTAGATACTTGTGTTTACTCAATTTAATCTGCATGTAAAATGAAGTTTTTCACCATCACAGTAATTGAGACCTATTTCCAGATGCACAAACTCTTGATGGATAGCGACCCCACATGTTTCTGGCGGATAAGAAATACACACAGCAAGCTCTTGCTTCGTTAATCGTTTTGGGGGTGTTTGCCAGTTGATGTATGGAACAGATCCATCTACATTGCGCCAAATTTGATTTTCAGGTGTAACTGATCTCATTCCGATGTGCTCTTGCCTAAAAGGCTTCAGTCTGATGTACTGATTGTATTCGTGTTCCGTGTTGAAAAATGCGAGTCTTCCACCTTGATGTTTACAATATCTGTCGGCATCCAAAAATTCCATCTTCTCTTTTCCTTTCAGGAATCGTATTTTCTTCAATACTTCATTACTTTTTCCAAATCATATTGAAAACGAACCTTAAAATTTTTTAATTCATCCTTCAGCTCATTTATTTCTGTGTTTTTTTCAGCAAGTTGTCTTTGAATATCAGTTTTGTTGCAAATTGTCGGCGAATCCTCGTTTTCGAAACAAGTTCTTACAAAATCAGGGGTAGATGTTGCATTTCCATCGTTATATAGCTTTTCGGACTCTTTGCACAGGATATATTTGTTCTCGAAAAAATATTAATTCACAAAAAATATGTTTCGACTACCAAAAGCGGGTCAGAAATAGAATGATCATCGTAAACTTCATGAAATTCGTAAGAATCGCAAGTTTCCTCGATGCATTCTCTTTCCAAATTTCCACTGTTCATGTATTCTTCATATCCTGTGTTCGCTCGACGAACGCGGAGGAATGCGTTTGCTTCATCTTTTTCAATTTTCGCCCCGAAAAGACAGTTAATCAGCAAAAATACACGAATCATACTTTGCGACTTCTACAAAAAATGCAACGGTCCAAGTCTGAGAGCAAATATTGCCAACTTTCACAAATAAATAATTTTTTGATCTTCGACCTGCATTTATTCACTGAATTGTTAGTAATAAAGAACCGGTACAGCGTAAAAAGGATCGTCGAACTGGTAAAGAGGCTCTTCGAAAAAGTAGTTTTTCTTGTTGTCCTCTATCTCGCTGAGGATGTCTGTCAACGGGGAAATACGAAATGCTGCCGCCGTCCCAGCAAAAATGAACATGAAAGAAGAAGAGTGCATATTTGAGTGATGGCTATGGTTGCAAAAAGTGGCGTTTATAAAACGATAATTCATGCATAAATTATTATTCAAAAGATCGAAAGTTTCGCTATTGGAGGATCTGTCAATTTGTTTTCTAGGTATATTTTTTCGCCGATAAACTATCGGTAAATGCCCAGGATTTCAGTTTTTATTTACATCTCTACTAATCAAAATGAACTTTCTATAAAAAAGACTCACTCTTGGTCAAAAAATGAACCAAAATTTTGGTCCATTTTTAGTCAAAAAAATTTATATTTTACGACTCGAAATTCCACTATGAATTCAAGAACTCAAACTTTCTGAAAATAAAGAAAGTTCTTTTGATTCCAAAAAGCCAAATCTTCTCGACCCGAGAAGCCATTTTCCAGATTTCGGCGCGGCTCGATTCTTTCTAGATTTTCACGTTGACCCCGGCGCGCGCTGCGGAAACAAATCATTCTCCTGTTTTGCGCAACCTGCCAATTTCTGCTGATTTTCTATCGACTGCCGGATCTACTCACGAGAGAAAATGGGCTTCTGTAAGTAAAGAGATAGAAAAAGATAAGAAGATGCAGAATTCTTTTTTGCCTCAATCAGGAATTTGACGATTTCGTTGACTCATTCTTTCCCAAATTCCGGTCATACTGTAAAGAGAGATTTATAGGGAGAACGATGTGCTGCATTCCCAAGCGAAAACGAACCAAATCCGAGGATATCGACACTGTAGGAATGGTGACTTACTCTTTATTTCAACCCTTTTTATCCCACCCCCTGAAAGAGTAAAGAGGAAAACTGATAACTTCAAAAATCTTAGCCGGAATGTTTTTAAAGCGCGAGTCTGGAAAGCTGAAATCCTCGAACTCGTTTTTGAAATCATCCTTCTAAATTTTTCACCAACTCGACAGCGCTAGAATTCTTCGAACAGCTCTCTCACCGGTCTGTTACAGAGCCTACGCTACTACCTTTCTGGTATTTTTTCTTTATTCAGACAGGTAAAGTGAGCTTTCTGTAATAGACCAAGTCAGGTGATGGAATGAGTGGAAGGAACCGACCAAGCAAAATTTTGGTCAGCTCCTCGCTCTTCCTCCACTTGAATCGAGCTCTAGAAGGTTCATTACAGAGATAGAGAGAAAACAGTAGATGAGCTTATCTTGGCAACTTTCTCAGCTTCGAATCTAGTTGAGAAAAGGGATAGATGGAACTGAGTAAGAGCCAAGATGAAGCTCTATCAAAATCGACTAGAGAGATACACTCCCTCCACTGAAGACCCCTCCCCCTCCTCTGGAGAAATGATAATTGTATGATCACCTCAAAAAAGTTCGAATAAAGGAAGATGAAAGCTTTGACAACGTCGTCCCTGAGAGTTCGATTGATAGCCAGGCCATAGAGGGACCTTTCAGCAAGAAGTCACAATTTGAAGATATTCTCAATTCTAAACAAAACGAGCTCGTTTTTGAGGTAAGATCTTTTGTGGGAATATCACTCGGAATTTCATCTTCAGGAGGTTGGAGAATCCGGCGATCGACAAATAAACACGACGATTACAATCATGCGCTCAGATTCCGACAGTTCTATTTCCGAAGCCAATCTCAACATCGCCCACATTCCGGCCATGAATTCTAGCAGCGACTTCTCAAGCTACACGTAAGTTTGCCCCCTCTTCGTTGATTTCAATTTGAGTCTTCTTTATCAGATCCGTCGAGACAGAGGAGGTCTCCGAGCATCTTGATCCAAATGATACGAAGGCGTCGATTCGCCCAATGCTTTCCAGATCGATGGATGAGTTGTCTAACAGAACGGGAGAAATTCACGAAGCCGCCGATTGCAAAAGTAAGTGCAAATGTTCCTCGAAATTTGCCTCAAAAATAGCCTTCATCAATACTTTTTCTAGCTCACGATGCGCGATATTCCCTCGACCCAGTTTCCATCGGCCACATGCGAATGAACATTGCCAAAAAGCTTCAATCGCCTTCTGAGAAAAATCAAGACTACCAGGTGGGACTAAGGCTTGTTTTTAGCACCAAAAAATAAGTCTTTTTCTACCAAGGGAGATGAGCTCAAAAACCTCCTCACAGCAAAAATCGAGGAGTTGGAAGAAGGAGAAGTTTCGGACGATTCTGAAGAAGACCCAATTTACGAACCGGGCTCAACGCAATCAGATGATTCTTTTACAAGTAAGAAAAGATTCAAAAAGAGATCAAGCTAATCCGTTTCTTGCAGTTTCTGACGAAGACGGCTACGATCCACGACGAGAAAATGAGTCCGACGGCAACGTTTCCGTCCAAGAAATGCTCGACCTTCACGGCGAAGATCTCGAAGTAAGCCCTTATTCTTCGATAACCCCCTTCTTTATCGAACTTTCAGTCACTTCGTCGCCGACTCAGCGTTTTGAACAGAGACGTCACTTCGTTCCAAGACGAATTTATCGAGTACGAGTAAGACTGCACCCTTCTCATCATCGCTAACCATCTTTTTCAGGCGCCGGCGGCGTGAAGCTGAAGAACTGGCCAAAGAAGAAAAGCAGGAAGAGCCAGAAGAGGGAGAAGCTCCAGAAGAAATTCCGGAAGAAGAGGAAGAAAAAATTCCTGAAGCATCATAAGCACCGTTCGGCTTGTGAAAAGAATAAAGACCTTCGTATGAGGCTCTGAGAGAAAAAATCACACTCTCAGCATTCCAATTTAAAACTGCACAAAAATATACTCACTCGCCAAACACAACATTAATGAGAAAAACTGGGTCAAGTTTATCTCTTCATTTTTATCAGCACTTTCATTCCTTCTTGATCGTTCTATGCATGCATAAGACAATTTGTTTTATGAAAAGTTCAGACGGCTAAAAAAAATAAAAAATAAATCATTCAGCACTTGCTGAAATTGGCATAAGCTTGAATTCACAAAAGAGACAGATCTAAAAGCAGAAATCTGCTTGCAATTGCAAGTTTAAAATGGGAAAAACATGAAATTAGCACGCATTTCAGCTCAAGCGGATAATAACTTCAAAACCGCTCAGTTTGATGAGACAGTTTTGAAGGAAAAAAGAAAGATTTTTGAGGAGAAATGCGGGTTATTTCTTCAGGAAAAGCTGAATATTCTCACTGTTTTGTAAAACGGTGAACGATTTAAAAGATGGATTAGGCCTCTTTTACCGTATTTGAAGCTATTTAAAGGGCCATCCAAGGCTGATGAAAACGAAGAGAAAAAAGGTCATTCTCCAAAAAGAAAATTGATGAATTATTAATGCGAGTTAATACAGTCTGAGCTCAGTAAGAACGAAGCACTAAGAACATTCGATCATTCTATTATCGACTTGAAAATCGTTAAGATAACCAATTTTAATCGAGATTTATTATTTAGAAACCATCTTTTCTTGTACAAAAATAAGAACCCAGGAGAACTCTTTTTGAGAGAAAAAAAAATAGATGACAAGAAGAATATGCTCCTCATTTCCGCCGCTTTTGGAATCGGGACGTTGACATTTTTTCTTTGCGTTTCGGCAGTTTTCTACTTTTCCGTGGACTCGGAGCTCTTCAAAGTGGAATCAACTTACTGCCGCCCAGTCACGGCGATGAAGCTGACGTATCATCCGATTACTGAAATCATGGAAGAGATTGATCTGATGCAGAAAAGTGCAAGTGCTTAAAAATTCTTACTGTAAAATGAGTCATAAATAAAAAGCCTTATAATAAAAGTCCTTCCTTCCTCATTTTTTGCGCACTGACTTTAAAGCATAATGTGAAAGCATATTGCATGCCTTGGATAACCATGTTAGCAACCGTAAATATCTAGAAGCACGTTGTTAATTTTAAATTGTTTTTTCCCTAAACAGAAGTTGACGAGAGTCACAAGGAGCGGTTTAGAAAGATAGTCACTGATGCCCCCGTCGAATCTTGAGGAGAATGCCGCATAGACATGAAAATACGTTGCTGAATTGTTTGATGATTTATTGCGATGTTAGGCTTGAAGTCATTTCAAAAAGATTATAGAAAATTTTAAAATCTTCAAGGTTGCGTACTTCATCAAGTTTAGAATGTCAAGTAACTGAGTGATTATAGACAAACTGGCCGCACCCAGAAATAATAAACCTTACGCGGCGTAAAACTTACGCCGTATGTTAATAGCAGCGATATATCATATCTGAGAGACACAACGAGTACTTTCTACAAGGACGATTAACATAACCGACATCGATCAGGTGTAATTTGATGTCAAATGATTAGGCTTACCGCGGCATTTTCTATTTTCCAGGTTCTTTTGAAAAATCTCACCAAACTACGAGTACATATACTTCAAGACACGCTTGGAAAAGTTGATCAATTAGATTTTTCAAAATGGATCTTCTTGTTGCTTTTTTGACCGATTTTTGTGGAGAAAATTGGCACTCATATCAGTTGAAGCCAATTTTGAGCACCTGCTACTTTGATTTTGATAATTTCGTGCACACCAAGTGAAAGTTGAGGTCAGCCTAAATCGATAGAGCCAAAAAATTTTATGCCAACTTCGTTTTTCACACTTTCCCGGGGCTCGAAAGTTGACCGAGACTGTCAGATATGAGATTTCAGAAATCTCAACTTTTGATATAGGCGCGCTATGATGACGTTCTATAGCTTAAATGAAAGCTTATGACTCACTTGATTTAGTGAGGCGGGATTTTTTTTCAACCAGCCGGTCATTCTCGCGGTTCATCGCGGTTCATTTCGATTTTTGCATTTTTTCACGTTGTAACCAAATCTGAACTAATAAAAACTCGGCCAGTAAATGGCCACTTATAGTCAACTGTAGTCGAAGTCGGCCGGAGGACCCCGGAGGACCTCCCTGATGGAAGACCATCCGCTGGAAGACCAATATTAAAATATTCGATATATGGCCGCGCTCGGCCAGTAAATGGCCACCTATGGCCAACATTGGTCTAGTTCGCCCCGTCGAATCTTGAGGAGAATGCCGCATAGACATGAAAATACGTTGCTGAATTGTTTGATGATTTATTGCGATGTTAGGCTTGAAGTCATTTCAAAAAGATTATAGAAAATTTTAAAATCTTCAAGGTTGCGTACTTCATCAAGTTTAGAATGTCAAGTAACTGAGTGATTATAGACAAACTGGCCGCACCCAGAAATAATAAACCTTACGCGGCGTAAAACTTACGCCGTATGTTAATAGCAGCGATATATCATATCTGAGAGACACAACGAGTACTTTCTACAAGGACGATTAACATAACCGACATCGATCAGGTGTAATTTGATGTCAAATGATTAGGCTTACCGCGGCATTTTCTATTTTCCAGGTTCTTTTGAAAAATCTCACCAAACTACGAGTACATATACTTCAAGACACGCTTGGAAAAGTTGATCAATTAGATTTTTCAAAATGGATCTTCTTGTTGCTTTTTTTGACCGATTTTTGTGGAGAAAATTGGCACTCATATCAGTTGAAGCCAATTTTGAGCACCTGCTACTTTGATTTTGATAATTTCGTGCACACCAAGTGAAAGTTGAGGTCAGCCTAAATCGATAGAGCCAAAAAAATTTTATGCCAACTTCGTTTTTCACACTTTCCCGGGGCTCGAAAGTTGACCGAGACTGTCAGATATGAGATTTCAGAAATCTCAACTTTTGATATAGGCGCGCTATGATGACGTTCTATAGCTTAAATGAAAGCTTATGACTCACTTGATTTAGTGAGGCGGGATTTTTTTTCAACCAGCCGGTCATTCTCGCGGTTCATCGCGGTTCATTTCGATTTTTGCATTTTTTCACGTTGTAACCAAATCTGAACTAATAAAAACTCGGCCAGTAAATGGCCACTTATAGTCAACTGTAGTCGAAGTCGGCCGGAGGACCCCGGAGGACCTCCCTGATGGAAGACCATCCGCTGGAAGACCAATATTAAAATATTCGATATATGGCCGCGCTCGGCCAGTAAATGGCCACCTATGGCCAACATTGGTCTAGTTCGGCCGGAGGACCCCCGGAGGACCTCCCTGGTGGAAGACTATCAGCTGGAAGACCAAAATTAAATAATGCTATGAAATGCCTTCCTGGGCTAAGAGTTGAAACTTTCGGCAAACTTTGGTCACTTTATGCCGGAGGACCCCGGTGGACCCCTTTTGCCGGATGACAATCAACTTAAAGACCAAAATCTAAAAAATTAACAATCAATCACAGTCAATTCAGTGATAGAGTCAGGGTTCTTTTCAATCAGAGTCAGGGCGAAGCCGACCCAAAGGAGAGGCAACGCCCGATTATTCTTTCAATCAGAAACAGGGCGAAGCCGACCCAAAGGGAGGCCACGCCCGATGATTCTTTCGATGAGAGTCAGGGCGAAGCCGACCCGAAGGAGAAGCCATGCCCGATTATTCTTTTCAATCAGAGTCAGGGCGAAGCCGACCCAAAGGAGAGGCGACGCCCGATTATTCTTTCGATGAGAGTCAGGGCGAAGCCGACCCGAAGGGAGGCCATGCCCGATTATTCTTTTCAATAAGAGTCAGGGCGAAGTCGACCCGAAGGGGAGGCCACGCCCGATGATCCTTTCGATGAGAGTCAGGGCAAAGCCGACCCGAAGGGAGGCCACGCCCGATGATCCTTTTCGATGAGAGTCAGGGCGAAGCCGACCCGAAGGGGAGGCCACGCCCGATGATTTCTTTTCAACCAGAGTCAGGGCGAAGCCGACCCAAAGGAGAGGCCGACCCCGATTTTCTTTTCAATGAGAGTCAGGGCGAAGCCGACCCGAAGATGAGGCCACGCATGATTATTCTTTTCAATCAGAGTCAGGGCGAAGCCGACCCGAAGGGGAGACCATGCCCGATGATTTCTTTTCAACCAGAGTCAGGGCGAAGCCGACCCGAAGGGGAGGCCACGCCCGATGATTATTTTCAATCAGAAACAGGGCCGACCCCTTATTGAAAATAATCATCGGGCGTGGCCTCCCCTTCGGGTCGGCTTCGCCCTGACCCTCATTGAAAAGAAAAATCGGGGTCGGCCTCTCCTTTGGGTCGGCTTCGCCCTGACTCTGATTGAAAAGAATAATCGGGCGTGGCCTCCCCTTCGGGTCGGCTTCGCCCTGACTCTTATTGAAAGAATAATCGGGCGTGGCCTCCCTTCGGGTCGGCTTCGCCCTGACTCTCATTGAAACGAATCATCATGCGTGGCCTCATCTTCGGGTCGGCTTCGCCCTGACTCTCATTGAAAAGAAAATCGGGGTCGGCCTCTCCTTTGGGTCGGCTTCGCCCTGACTCTGGTTGAAAAGAAATCATCGGGCGTGGCCTCCTTCGGGTCGGCTTCGCCCTGACTCTGATTGAAAAGAATAATCATGCGTGGCCTCATCTTCGGGTCGGCTTCGCCCTGACTCTCATTGAAAAGAAAATCGGGGTCGGCCTCTCCTTTGGGTCGGCTTCGCCCTGACTCTCATCGAAAAGGATCATCGGGCGTGGCCTCCCTTCGGGTCGGCTTCGCCCTGACTCTCATCGAAAGGATCATCGGGCGTGGCCTCCTTCGGGTCGGCTTCGCCCTGACTCTTATTGAAAAGAATAATCGGGCATGGCCTCCCCTTCGGGTCGGCTTCGCCCTGACTCTGGTTGAAAAGAAGTCATCGGGCGTGGCCTCCCCTTCGGGTCGGCTTCGCCCTGACTCTGATTGAAAAGAATAATCATGCGTGGCCTCATCTTCGGGTCGGCTTCGCCCTGACTCTCATTGAAAAGAAAAATCGGGGTCGGCCTCTCCTTTGGGTCGGCTTCGCCCTGACTCTGGTTGAAAAGAAATCATCGGGCGTGGCCTCCCCTTCGGGTCGGCTTCGCCCTGACTCTTATTGAAAAGAATAATCGGGCATGGCCTCCCCTTCGGGTCGGCTTCGCCCTGACTCTCATCGAAAAGAATAATCGGGCGTCGCCTCTCCTTTGGGTCGGCTTCGCCCTGACTCTTATTGAAAAGAAATCATCGGGCGTGGCCTCCCCTTCGGGTCGGCTTCGCCCTGACTCTGATTGAAAAGAATAATCATGCGTGGCCTCATCTTCGGGTCGGCTTCGCCCTGACTCTCATTGAAAAGAAAAATCGGGGTCGGCCTCTCCTTTGGGTCGGCTTCGCCCTGACTCTGGTTGAAAAGAAATCATCGGGCGTGGCCTCCCCTTCGGGTCGGCTTCGCCCTGACTCTCATCGAAAAGGATCATCGGGCGTGGCCTCCCCTTCGGGTCGGCTTCGCCCTGACTCTCATCGAAAAGGATCATCGGGCGTGGCCTCCCCTTCGGGTCGGCTTCGCCCTGACTCTGGTTGAAAAGAAATCATCGGGCGTGGCCTCCCCTTCGGGTCGGCTTCGCCCTGACTCTGATTGAAAAGAATAATCATGCGTGGCCTCATCTTCGGGTCGGCTTCGCCCTGACTCTCATTGAAAAGAAAAATCGGGGTCGGCCTCTCCTTTGGGTCGGCTTCGCCCTGACTCTCATCGAAAAGGATCATCGGGCGTGGCCTCCCCTTCGGGTCGGCTTCGCCCTGACTCTCATCGAAAAGGATCATCGGGCGTGGCCTCCCCTTCGGGTCGGCTTCGCCCTGACTCTTATTGAAAAGAATAATCGGGCATGGCCTCCCCTTCGGGTCGGCTTCGCCCTGACTCTGGTTGAAAAGAAATCATCGGGCGTGGCCTCCCCTTCGGGTCGGCTTCGCCCTGACTCTGATTGAAAAGAATAATCATGCGTGGCCTCATCTTCGGGTCGGCTTCGCCCTGACTCTCATTGAAAAGAAAAATCGGGGTCGGCCTCTCCTTTGGGTCGGCTTCGCCCTGACTCTGGTTGAAAAGAAATCATCGGGCGTGGCCTCCCCTTCGGGTCGGCTTCGCCCTGACTCTCATCGAAAAGGATCATCGGGCGTGGCCTCCCCTTCGGGTCGGCTTTGCCCTGACTCTCATCGAAAAGGATCATCGGGCGTGGCCTCCCCTTCGGGTCGACTTCGCCCTGACTCTTATTGAAAAGAATAATCGGGCATGGCCTCCCCTTCGGGTCGGCTTCGCCCTGACTCTCATCGAAAAGAATAATCGGGCGTCGCCTCTCCTTTGGGTCGGCTTCGCCCTGACTCTGATTGAAAAGAATAATCGGGCATGGCTTCTCCTTCGGGTCGGCTTCGCCCTGACTCTCATCGAAAAGAATCATCGGGCGTGGCCTCCCCTTTGGGTCGGCTTCGCCCTGTTTCTGATTGAAAAGAATAATCGGGCGTTGCCTCTCCTTTGGGTCGGCTTCGCCCTGACTCTGATTGAAAAGAACCCTGACTCTATCACTGAATTGACTGTGATTGATTGTTAATTTTTTAGATTTTGGTCTTTAAGTTGATTGTCATCCGGCAAAAGGGGTCCACCGGGGGTCCTCCGGCATAAAGTGACCAAAGTTTGCCGAAAGTTTCAACTCTTAGCCCAGGAAGGCATTTCATAGCATTATTTAATTTTGGTCTTCCAGCTGATAGTCTTCCACCAGGGAGGTCCTCCGGGGGTCCTCCGGCCGAACTAGACCAATGTTGGCCATAGGTGGCCATTTACTGGCCGAGCGCGGCCATATATCGAATATTTTAATATTGGTCTTCCAGCGGATGGTCTTCCATCAGGGAGGTCCTCCGGGGTCCTCCGGCCGACTTCGACTACAGTTGACTATAAGTGGCCATTTACTGGCCGAGTTTTTATTAGTTCAGATTTGGTTACAACGTGAAAAAATGCAAAAATCGAAATGAACCGCGATGAACCGCGAGAATGACCGGCTGGTTGAAAAAATACCGCCTCACTAAATCAAGTGAGTCATAAGCTTTCATTTAAGCTATAGAACGTCATCATAGCGCGCCTATATCAAAAGTTGAGATTTCTGAAATCTCATATCTGACAGTCTCGGTCAACTTTCGAGCCCCGGGAAAGTGTGAAAAACGAAGTTGGCATAAAATTTTTTTGGCTCTATCGATTTAGGCTGACCTCAACTTTCACTTGGTGTGCACGAAATTATCAAAATCAAAGTAGCAGGTGCTCAAAATTGGCTTCAACTGATATGAGTGCCAATTTTCTCCACAAAAATCGGTCAAAAAAAGCAACAAGAAGATCCATTTTGAAAAATCTAATTGATCAACTTTTCCAAGCGTGTCTTGAAGTATATGTACTCGTAGTTTGGTGAGATTTTTCAAAAGAACCTGGAAAATAGCTTTTAGCCGCGGTAAGCCTACAAATGATGTTAGGCAGTCATTCATAGCCTACTCGCTTGGTCTCGCTTATTCGGGGTTTAGATTTCTATGTTATACATCTCACATGTAACATCTGGCACTTCCGCCATGGAAAAAATTCGCGTATTACAGTGGTATGCGGTCACCTGGGTTTATAAACCCGGAGTCTCAAAATGCCAAGCCTGGTTCTACCAGTCCCAGTTAACCAGGCCTCTGTCTCGTCATCTTCATAACGGACTTCAAGTCCTTAGTGATTATTTTTGTACATCAGCTAAAAAGAGTTTAGCACAAAAATACTCGTGAGCGCAGCGATCACCCAGTCGCATCGCCACCTAGTTGCAGCGGGTCACGCAAAACTCTTTAAAAGAAGATTTTCTCGCTGAACGAAACATCAGAATATCCTGAGCAACCCGAAAATGAAGGTAATGATAAGAGAAAGCTTCAACAATGAGTATCCTTTTTTATCGATTCTTGTATAAATTCAAAAATATAAATACTAAAAAATATTTTTTAGACTTTCGCAACTCTCATCGCCAGCGCTGTTGCATCCCATAGCAGCTACTCCAGCTATTACAGCTCTTCAGGCTATTCCAGCTATTCCAGCTCCTCAAGTTCCTCCAGCTCTAGCACGAGCTTTGAAGGAGAATGCGGAGGAAGAATCACTGATACCGAAACGATCATCTACTCTCCTGGCTTCGAGAGAGGCTACTACTACAATTTCCTCGACTGCAAGTGGGACATCGATTTTGGAGACATTGCTGGCTTCAACATCGTCGCCAACACATTTGATGTCGAGTGGCACTCTGTCTGCGGCTGGGATACCGTGACAGTCGAAGCTAATGGCGATGAATTCAATTTCTGCGGATCCAACGGCTATCGACGACGACGATCCGCATCCGGTGACCACCCAAAAGAAGAAGATGAAGGCAAGGCGAATTACGATCTCGCCAACCCAAGTAGCGATGGATTCCCTGATTTCTTTGTCAGCGGTGGTCAGGCATCGATCAGCTTGACCACTGATTACTCCGTCCGAAACGCTGGCTTCGAATTTGTGTTTGAGCGAATGAGCCGACTTCAGGTCATCGAAATGCACCTAAACGTAAGTTCTTCTCTTTCATCCCGACTTTTAATCCAGCGATTTTTTAGCGAATTTTCGACTCGTTCAGCCGAGAGGAAGACTACTCCCGCCGATACACCGGCCGAATGACCAGGATTCTCAATAAAATGAAGGCTTCTGAAACCGGCGACAGTTGCTACGCTGAAAACGGATTCGCAGCCGAAGCCGCTGACATCCAAGTCTTCGACGCCGACAACATGTGCAAGCTCAACGGCCAACTCAACGCAGCCATCAACTCCTGGGCCCGAAACTGGGCCTGCGATGGACGAGGTCGAGTCCACCGACAGATCATCCGAGCTGCTCGAAAGGTCCGAAACTTCTACAACGACAGAGCTGGCTGCTAATTGTTCAAGCATTTTTTGAAGAAGATTTTTTTTCTGCCTTCGAGAAATCTATTTCGAATAAAGTTACTCATTCATTTACACTTGATAGTTATTTATTTTTTAATAAAATAAACGAGCGTCGCATAATCCTGTCGTTTATCAAATTCAACGCTAAATTTATGCGAAAACAGACCGGAAATTACTATCAACAATTTCGGTTTTCTATAAATACTCATCAAAATATGAGACACGACCTATTAAAACGACCCTTTGGAGAAAAAGTTAACCCGCTAATGAAACAATTTTTTTACGAAAACTATGAGTTTGTTCGTATTATTTTGGAGAGGTGTGTTTGTTTCTGGAGTTTCGCGAGGATTTCAAAAAAATGTGATCACCGTCGCCGTCGCTAAACAAGCTCCAAGGTCACTTGGTAAATGCCCTTTTCGCCACAATTAGAAGTAACGGTCTTCAAATAAAAATTCCCGAATATTTTTTTGAAATCTTCGAAAAGCCAAAAAATCAAGGAAGGACAATTTTAGAAAAAAAGAGAAGAAATTTAGATGAAAGACATTGAAGTCTCGCTAATTCAAGAAGAAGTTCTAGTCGATCAAGTGGTAAAATCAGGAAATTGTTCAATACAGTCAAATACAGTGACGAGGCTGAAAAGAGGGTTGGAGTATAGATTACTTTAATTTATACTTGAATTGAAATGTGAATATAAAAGAATAAATTTACCTTGAAAGGGATCAGTCAGTCGATTTTTCTCAGAATGGAAATTAATAATTTCAAATTATTCAACGATGAATTTGGCCAATTTTGAGGGGCAAGAGAAATTTACCTTCTACATAATTATGTTCATAAATAAGCAATGATCATTTTAATTGTGAAATAATCCTTATAATAACGCTGTAAATGACAGAAATGAACAAATAAAAGGACTCAGCGATGACCCCTTATGCCCGGTCGTAAATGCTACGCAAGACAAACTCGACCTTCATGCATTTTGCATCTGTAAGTACACAGAAGAGCTTTCTATTTCCCATTCAAGAGCTTAGCTAGAATAATTCCTTCCAAGTTGATCTACGAGAGAAATATTTCCAACCACATTGACCTTTGGGCTCTGGAATGTCTTTTCTCAATGAGAATTGAAAATGTTTACAGTACTTTGAACGCCCATCACATTGCGTCAATAGTAGACTATTTACGTCCAGCTCGGAGGGGACAAACAAGAGAATCCAGCTTTTTTGGATTATCAAATGTCCATTCCAAGATCTAACTGTATCTCAGAGCAAAAGAAACTGTTTTGTAGCGCAACTGGAGATAATCTTGTAGCGGATCAACTTTTCAAACTTTTTTTTGAGAAATTTTTTTTCTTGGAATTTACGAAAAAGATAAGGTCATTTACCTCCATCAAAATAACCTCCTTTGAAACCATTTTCAGCTGATGACTGGCAATCCGTCAAAGACCTGGACGGCTTCCCCGACAGTTATGGCCGCGACAACTCAACATTCGAAAACATCTACATCTTCTGTGAGCATGTCAACCAGCCCATGTTCATCAAGCTCTCAAACGGCCTCCAACTCATCATCGTCCTCGCCATCATCCTTCTCATGCTCGGACTTGGAGTCACAATGGAGCCGATGAAAATCCTCAAGTTCGCGAAAAGCCCGTCGGAGCAACAATTGCCACGCTCGTGCAGTTTTTGCTCATGCCAGTTGTTGCCTTTGGCTTGGGAAAATTGTTCAAAATGGACGAGATCAAAATGATGACGATGATCGTTTTGGGCTGTTGTCCAGGAGGAACGCTCTCGAATTTCATGGGTAAGAAATGGTCTTATACGCTTCATTTACAGTAATTTTCAGCCCTTTTGCTTCGTGGAGACATGAACCTATCGATTTTGATGACCTCTGTATCGACTGTGGTCGGCGTTGGAGCCATTCCGATCATGATCAAGGAACCGCGCTGAGCACTCATTTCCGCAGCTCTTGTTTACGAAAAACTTGACCATGAAGCACCGTCAATATTTATAAATTACCTTCTCTTGCGTAGTTTATTTGCTCAGCGCAGTAATAGGCCTTGAGTTCGTTCGTTGTCGACCCTTGCACCGATCTGACGGTGGATACTGTAGCTATTGTCAAACCACTTGTGCTGACGCTGTTTCCTTGTGCGATTGGAATGGTGATCAAGAAATATTGCAAAGGTAAAGGAACTTTGTCAAATTGCCTTATTTTTAATTCAGTGTCTTGAAATTCTGACTCAAGGACCTTCAGTGAAGGTCGATAGCCAGAAATTTCAAGCTGTCTGAAACACTGTCAAGATTGTTGAGCTTTTGAGACTGTCTTGTAGACTGACTTTTGCAATCGATTTTGAAATGTCTTCTAGAATCAAGACAGTCTACCAGACATAAATATTTATCGTCATTTTGAAATTTCGCGCTTTCAATTGTCTAAAAAGACTACCAATTATGGACATAAATTATTTGAGAGACTGTCTAGTAGACACTGAATTTCATAAGATGACCTTCTAATTATTTCTCTTAGACAAAACCTGCGAGATCATCATCAAAATTGGCAAAATTGGTATGCTCGTTGGTCTCGTCGCCCTAGTCGGCATCAACATCGCCCTCTACGGCTCCTCCCTTGTCAAACGCTTTCCCGTCGACATCCTCATTGCTATCAGCTGTGTGCCTTGGATGGGATTCGTCTTTGGATTCGTTTTTGCAAGGCTGGCTAGGGAGCCGCCAAGATCGGCGAGAACGATCATGTTAGAAACAGGATTGAAGAATGCGCAGATCTGCTTGATTATCATGATGATGGCGTTTCCGCCAGAGAAGATTGGGGTGCTCATGATGATGCCTGTTTATTTCTTGTTCTTTCAGGTAAAATTAACTAGATTAATTATATATTGACGGTATGTTTACAATTTGTAATAACTTTTTTTTGTCGAAAGCTGCTTATCTAAAAACATATAAATATGATAAAAAAACCCAATAATTATAGTATTTTTTTCTAGTGTCTAGAATCCGCCGTTCTTGCTTTCATCGTCACCCGCTATCTTGCCTCACAAGACGAAGAAACCCAAGAAAAGCTACTCGAATACGCCCCTGGCGCAGAAAAAGCCGAATTCCAGCGACAGGTCTCGACCAAGATTGCCAAAAGAACTTTCACCCCAGAAGGGCAGGTGGTGGAAGTTCGAAAGGAACGATTTGAGAATGTTCTTGTGACTCAAGGTAATTTTGATCGTAGTTTCGGGAATAAGAAACTAGGATTTTCCGAACGCTTGCTTGTAAAAATCATGCATGTAGAAACTGCATGCTCTAGAATTTCTAGAAGGCTTTTTTCTCTGCGCTTGCTTTGGCTAATTTGAGGCATTTTTCTGATATATTTTGTAGACAATCGAGGTGACTGCTCAATAAGTTTCATGTGCGGCTCTTGCGGAAAAGAAGCCGGCAACTTCCGCACCCTCTCCTGCAACACCGAAGATCTGGAACCTCAGAAAATGAATCCGATCTCGTCCCCTGGCCATCAAATGCGACTTGCTTCGACCCGATCTAATGATTTCGAGGCCGCCTAGAATCTTCAGCTTTCTTCAATCTTTCACTGTAAATACAAGACTGTAACGCACTCTCAATTTTTTGAGCACGCATGATTGAAATCATGGAAATAAAATCAGATAATAAATGTCAGTTCTCTGCGCCATAAAATGAATATGAAATTAAACAAAGAATTCATTTATACAAACTTAGGGACGTTCATAAAAACCTAAATAATTGAACTCATCAGCAGTAAATGGATGAACCTCCATTTTCTTCCAAACACCTTCTTGATAGTCAATCTTCAAAATACTTCTGATTTGAGTTACTCTGCGTTCATGTATTGCCCAGCAATCTCCAACCAAGCAATCAATTATTTTACCACTGCAGCTGTAGCAAGGTGCATCTAACCGGTGGAAAAAGAGTTTTCTTGAAAGATAGAAGACGTCCTCATAATAAGAATTTCGAGTGATAACGGGGATGACGATTGTTCTAAGATCCAACCAAATATTGTCAACTTTCCAAGAATCATTTTTTGATCTTTTAAACGTAGTATGGCCTCAAAATTCGGCCACCCTTATTTTGGGTTAGTTTTAGGGGGTCCCAAGGGGGCGAAACCCCCTAGGATAGACCTTAGGGTTAGGACCTGCGTGCTTCGGGGGAGGTTAGGGTTAGGGCGAGGGTAAGGGTTAGGAAAAATAAAATAAAAAATCACATCATAGGGTTAGGGTTAGGGTAATTGGTCGAGTTTTGAGGTCATACTCCCCTTATTAAAGAGCGGATTTTTATGATTCCGTGGCTAGTCTGCTTATCAAAACGCGTTGTAAGAAAGAATTGCCTTCTTTTTTAGCGTTATAGAACTGACTTGACTGTATCAAAGTCAGTCCATAAGAATCTTTTTTGAGTTCTATAATTAAGCACAATACGATTTCTCGTTATTAACTCCAAGTTATTTTATATTTATAAGAAACAAAAATATCAAAAAGAGATGAGATACTATTTTTGAACCTTACTGGAATCACTTGAATAATATCGGCGTCAAAATAATTGGATATCTTTCTAGTAACCTCATCAGTATTTGAAAGGGCAATGTTAGTCCAGTGTCCCTTCCGAGTTCTCCCATTATAATTCGTGTTTTCTTTGAACTCAACAATATTAACCACATTGAAGAAAGTCTTTGCGAGCAAGCCCTTAAATAAACGTTTTCGCAAGATTCACATATATTTTTCTTACAAAGCGTCTTTTAAAGGTAAACACGTGACTGTCACGTCCATTATTCGCAAAGAGAAATGGAATAGGCTTCTCAATCAATTTCAAATTTCGCGGATCGTCTGGATCTGCCACTTTGCAAGGTCTCAGAGTGCCGAATGCTTTCAAACAGAAAAAGAGCCGCTCGTGATGAATTATTTTTCTTTCACTATACTCAGTCTCGTAGAGCCCATGTCCACATGCTGAGCCTTCATTTTCATTATTGACTCGACCAAGTAAGGCGATTTCTTTAGCTTTTATTGTGTCTTCATCAATAACGGTCAGTGATAAATCTTAGAAGCTTCATAAATTTCGATTGTGATTAAGCAGGGGTCTCAAAAATTAAAGGCGAAAGCGAATCAAAATTTCGAAAGCGAAAGCGAAGCGAAGCGAAAATTTTTCGAAAAAATATAATCTTCGAAAAAGTGTACATTTCAAATTCGGTTTCATTTTTCGCGAAAATTTTTGGTAAAAAGCGAAAGCGAAGCGAAGCGAATTCGCTAAACGAATCCAGACTCCTGGATTAAGAATATCTTTTCTTTTAAGTAGCTCTTCCTGTATAGTATTTTTGCCTGAACGAAGTTCCTGTATCTCTGTATCTACTTTTAACGAGAAAATGCTTGTTCCTATTAAACACTGTACATTCGATCAAATTAGTAGAAAAGTCCATCTGAATATCCGTTATATTAACATCAAGTCTATTCAAAGCGGAATTGAAGGATAGAATATGAACATAATCATTACGCTCTCTTAGTGCTAGGGTAGGGAATCAGAGTTCGAAATTTTTGCGGCTCCCGGGCAAGGGGGCGGCGGGCGGGCGGGCACGGGCAGAATATTTAAGATTCCCGGGGGCAAAAACGGTCACGGGCACAAAAACGAGTTTTCCCGCGAGCCAAGCGGGCACGGGCACTATAACAAATTTTCCCGCGGGCAGATACGGGCACGGGCATGAATGAGAAGATTCCCGCGGGCATAAACGGGCACGGGCGATTTGCCCGCGTTCCCGCACGAAATATTCCCGAGGGCAGCCCGGGGGAACATTTTTTCTACTGCTAAATCTCAAGCCTATTTTTCAAAATAAGAAAATAAAATAAAAACGACCCTGAATCAATTCGGATTTTCGAATCGCAAGTTTTAGGAGCTAGTTAGAAACTACGACCGAATGGTCTCCGTTTCCCCAAGTTGGGCAAACGGCGATGTGAATTAATTTAAATTGATTGATCATATAACTTTTATTGTCTTCTTCACAGTCAATCCCGGCTTCACTTATTTCAATCCCGGCTTCACTTATTTCAATCCTGGCTTCAAAAACTTCGATCCTAGCTTTTCAGACGTCAATCTTGGTGGCTCAAACTTGAATCCTGGCATCTCCAGCGTCAATCCCGGCTTCTTCAATGCTGATCCGGGCGTCACTTACTTCAATCCTAGCTTCTCAAACGTCACTCCCGGCTTCTCAGTTGTCAATCATCGCTTCTCGAATGTCGATCATGGCTTCTTCAAGATAAAATTGGCGTTGAAAAAGCCGAGATGGAGATGGATGAAGCCGGGATCGACGTTGGAGAAGTCGGGATCGACGATGGAGAAATCGGGATTGACGTCGAAGAACCCGGGATGGACATTGGAGAAGCCATATTTGAAGTCGGTGAAGCGAGAATTGGCGATGGAGAAGCCATAATTGATATATTGTCGATGATATTGGAGAAAACATGATTGATGTTGGTGAAGCCAGGATTGGCGTTGAAGAAGCCAGGATTGACATTAAAAAAGTCAAATAATGTATAATGATCAATTAATATAAACTTTTTTCAGATCGCCGTTTGCCCAAATCTCCGTTTCTCCAAGTTGGCAAACGGCGATTTGGGCAAACGGCGACTTTGGCAAACGGAGACCACTCCGATTTCTGATCGAAACAATTCTGCATTTTGCAGAACTATTCTGCATGCACAATGTGCATTGTTCATCGTCCATGAGTTTATTTTTGCATATACACGTGCTTTTTTAAGATTAACGAAGTTTTCCAGCCCATTTCCGCCTTAAAGACCCCGAACACCATACTTTTTAGAATCAGCAGAAAATTTCAAAATCTTTGACGGTTTAAAATTCTAGAGAACTCCACTTCCGGTCGATTCTAGAGCCGGAAGTTGACGAAATTTAGTTAAAATGGTAGAGTGTGACCTATCAAATTGATGCTCAGAAGATTTCGAGTCATCCTAAAATCAATATTTCAGAAGAAACAGTCCCAAACCTGGTCAAAACGTCCGTTAAAATTTTGTAAAAAAAAGGCATAAAGTGATGAATTTTTTTCACTTTTTTCCGGTTTATTTTACCGCGGTTGGTCTTGATTCTTGGTCTAAAATGATAGGAAATCGTCTGAGCATCAATTTTATAGGTCACACTTCACCATAACACCTTAATTACGTCAACTTCCGGCTCTGGAACCGACCGGAAGTGGAGTTTTCTAGAATTTTGAACCGTTAAAGTTCTTAAAATTTTCTGTTGATTTGTAAAGATATAATGTTCGGGGGTCTATAAGGTGGAAATGGGCTGGAAAACTTCGTTAACCTTAAAAAAGCACGTCATAACAGTTCTGTATGCAGATTAGTTTTCAATATACTCCCTCAAGTATTTGGTGTCTATTTCCACGCTATTTAAATAGTTTAAACACTTTTTCATAAGGTGCATTGAATCTGCCCGTGCCCGTTTAAGCTCGCGGGAATCTTGCCCGTGCCCGAATTTGCCCGCGGGAATATTTTATATTGTGCCCGTGCCCGCTTGGCCCGCGAGAAAATTCGTTTTTTTGCCCGTGACCGCTTTTGCCCTCGGGAATCTTCACTTTCTTGCCCGTGCCCGTATCTTCCCCCGGGCAAACGCGGGATTTCGAACTCTGGTAGGGAAAAGGTGGGTTAAAAATTGTAGTCCATGTTTTCGAGGAAATCTTTTCTTAGAATTTTATCGACCCTCGCCTGAGTGACGTATACTTATCAGTATAAAAATCATATTTAGCCTTCACAAATACTACTGCTTTGGTTTGATTAGTCTTGGTACATATATACTCGGGACATGGGCATCCATCTGGACATTTTTCATGCAAGGGGCAGATCTGTTCGGTTGGAACTCCGATGTGAAGACAGATTTCAGAGCATTCACTCATATTCTTTAAGAAATATTTTGCGTGGTCGTGTTTCAAACAAAGCTGCTTGCACATTTCAGCACCGAATTTCACTACTTCGAGGCATTCCTTTTCATTCGCTTCACTTTCTTCTGGAGTGAATGAAATTTGCTCTTCATAGCCAGGCGGGGGAATGGTTATTCCGTCTTCCGCTGAAATTGGCATGACAAATGTTTTGAAATCTTCATGAAATGGATTTCCGCAATTTCTCAACGGTTGGACACACTCTCGCAAAGGATGATCAAGAATGCATTTCTTGTACTCCATCACACAGGCAGAACCGAAGCCAGCCGTAAATTTCTTTCCCTCAAAAACAAGATAAGATGTCAAAAGCGCAACAGCAATCCAAAACAACGACCCCAAAGAAACAACTGTTATCAATTGTGGCAACGTTCCAAAGCCACTAGAATTATTATATGATATACAGTTTATTTGATTTCATACTGATTATTAATTGGGTTCCTGACGTATTGAAATCGTCCCTTTGTTTTGTAGTGCTTGACTCGGAAGGTGTTCCATTTTTGCAGTTGTTTTCTTGCCTCCTGCTCCGAATTTGGAATTATCCTGAAAATTTTAAATATAACAACTAGCAATAAGATATTGTGAATATCTTACCAAACTTCGTTGTCCACTACAACCGCCTTTCCGCGGCTTGAGCAGACAACGCATTTCGCTTGCCAATCTCTCATTTTATGAAAGCTCTTTATGAAGAAGCATTTCTTGAGAAGGGGAGAGATTGAGCTTTGAGAACAGCGTTGACAACCTTGACAATGTCAGTTTGACATGAGAGCGATCAAAATTGACGTTAACTTTTCAGAATGCTCTCAGATAAGAATAAGAATAAATTGAAATAAATGAATTTGTCCTTTTGGTCTAGAAAAGGCAAAAAGACCCCTCGGCTCTATCAAAATCGAAAAAGCGAAATCATCATGATCTCAAAATTTGAGCTTTGACCTTTGGACTGGTAGAAGAACTAACGAACGCACGACGATAAGTTTTCGCTGGTTCTTCAAATTGCTTTTCTTTGCCAAGAAACCGCAGACCCTTGTTTGCTAAGTGCAGCTATTGCGGTAGAAAAGTTCTCAAACAGCTCATTTTTACTACCAAAAAGCTTTCATTGATCAAGAGATACTGAAATTTCACCTTGAATCCTGAATTTTCAACCTTTTTTCTTTCCCGAAAAAAGTGCTTATTTAGTGAAATATTTTGTTTTCAAGTTTTTCAATAGACTAGACAGACACAAAACGCATCATACGACGCGTATTAGCACCGACAAGTCTTGTAACTCCCCCATATCAGTTTTTCATATCCTGGCTAGACTTATATATGATATATAATATATCAAAATCAGCCTTTACGCTTTTCAGAAATTCGTGAATAAAGAAGAAAAGAAGAGAAAATGGGAGAAGAAGTGGATAAATTCACAGGTAAAGAAGTTTTAAAATCAAACGAGAATTTCAAGCATAAAATTTCAAACAACTTTAGTTGATGATTTTATAGACCCGGTGTCTTTTCGACCAAATTTGAGTTGTCTGAGTTTATTATCCTCGTTTTGCAGAAAATTTTTATTGAAGAATTTTTAAGAAAATTAATTAAACTCTACAATTTCTGCCCTCTTGATTGAAAATCGACATTTTTGGCTAATTTAACATGATTTTATAAAATATATCGGACTTGACTTCTGAAGCTTAAATCCTAACCCTGCTCTAAAAGACATTGAGAAACAACTGTAGTTATTATCTTGGCTAAAAACAAAATTCGAATTCAACCTCATTTGATCCGCTTTTGAAAAATTGATCGATCGATATTCGCGGGTCAATTTTCATGTCTCACGTCTTCCTCGGAATTTGTCTTTTTTCTCAAACCCTTTTTCTCCTTCTTTTGCTCCCCATTCTTTCAATTTTTCTAATTTTTCGAATTCGAGATAAAAGAGAGAAAAGGTGTGAGGGCGGCAATTGAAGGTGACGGCTGAGTTCACCAAGGTTTCAAAGCTCGTCAAATTATGGCCCTTTGTGTGTGGCAAACCACCAACTCAAAATAGAGGAAAATAACAAGAAGAAATATTTGAAATTTTTTCACCTTCAGTTGATAAGGAAAAGAGAGGGAACTTTATTTCTTAAAAATAAGAGATTGTTAAAAAGATGGAAGAGAAAAAAGAAGAGAGTTATTTAACTACAGGTTAAAATTTATCGAATTAATTATAATTTTTTAAATAAAAAATATGATCAATGATACGATAAGCTTCGATTTGGTCTCATAACATTCGATGATTTCTTTCATTATTTTTAATTTTTTCAGGTTTTGACTGGTGCTGGAATGTCCTCCAACAAGTCACCCTTTACCACATTCTCGTCGTTATCATGGGTAAAAATTTCAATCTAACAGCTGAATCCCCTAGTCCTTTATTCTAGTCGGGTTTACCGGATTCATCGACGGTCTTCACTCAACTTATCCAGTCTTTGCCCAGAAAAAGCAAGGTAAACATCTCGTTAGTTCAAATTTTTGGCGCTGCGCCATGAAAGATGTCCGCTTCGCACAAAAACAAGTTTTCAATATCGTAATTATGAAATTCAATTGATTCTTTAGATGTTCGCTGCCCGACAGGCTTGGATGACTACACTGGCTACAACTTTACTTTTTCCGAGCTGCTGAACATTACGCAAGTCTCAATCGAACAGGAATGCGAAGCATACGAAGTCCCTGTAACAGACTGTTCCGACTCATCCCTTCTCCTTCCCGACTGCCTCTCCGCTCTTGACAAAAGCGGGTACGACACCCTCAACTGCACTTCCGAAACAGTTATCTTCGACACTTCTCAATTCACCGAAACAGTGCCTTCCGAATTCAAACTTGCCTGTGGATCGTTTGGAAACTCAATTGCTACGAGTATGTCTTTTGTTGGCTTGTTTATTGGATCGTTTTTGGCCGGCTATTGCTCTGATAAATGGGGAAGGAAGATAACGATTATTGTGGCTGTTGCGGCTTCTGGTTCATTTGCGCTTCTTCAGGTCTGAAAATTGATATTTTTCATAAAAATTTTGATTATAAAAAAACCACAAAGATGTGAAATTTTATTCAAATAAGAATTTTTAATCAAGTGATACATGGTGAATCAATTTTTCTTAGATAAACAGTAAATGCTTTTTCGAGCTGATATTTTATTTTCGATTTCTACACTTAACAATAATTAAGGCAATCCTTCCCGGATATCTCGCATTCGTCACCATTCGAATCTTTGTCCAGTCCGCCAATCAAGCTGCTTACATCACCTACAATGTCTTCGGTATTCCGATTTCCTTTGCCCCCATTTCATTCATTTTATCTCTTAGCCGTGGAATTCGTTGGCCCAGATGCACGAGGATATGTTGGCATGATCCCGAATTTCCTCTTCGCCGCTGGCTATGTTTTTATGAGTCTTCTTTCTTACATATTCCCGCATTGGAGACATCTGACTTATGCAATTGCTTTCATTACACTGCCCTTTGCACTTACCTGGTGGCTCTGGCCGGAATCGCCAAGATGGCTCTACAGCTTGAAACGATACGATGAAGGACGAAAAGTTCTAGAGCGATTCGCCAAGGCCTCGAAAAGCGTCGATTACAACAACGTCGAGCTTCAAAAACTCAATCCTTCCTCTTCCTCTGGCGACGCCGAAGAAGACTTCTACGCAACTCTCCGTGAAAAATGCGAGGAAGTAGCTGATACTGAAAAACCCGAAGAAGAGGCTGAAACGACCAATCATACAGTACTGACCTTGTTTACTTCTGGCACGCCATTGTTGATGGTGACATTGAACTTTTGCTTCCAATTCATTACCATTGTCATGGTCTATTATGGACTGATCTTTTCCGCCGGGGATCTTCCTGGAGACATTTATATGAATAATGTTATCAATGGGCTTGTCGAAGTCGCTGCATATATTCCCACCTTCTTCCTCTTAGAGGTAATAAGATAGAAAGAAATAAGGATTGGAAATTTTCTTAGATCTGGGGTCGCCGGATTCTCCTCGGTGGACCGCTTATCCTCGCCGGCGTTTGTATGCTCGGAGGAATGGCCCTAAAGCTCTTTATCGCAGCTGAATGGACAATAGAATTCTTCAGGTAAACAGTTTCCAGTTTGCAAAAGGATATCCTTATTTCTCAGGTGGCTCATGTTTGGCGCGAAACTCGGAGTTTCCGGATCTTTTGCTGTCATTTGGATCTACGGAGCAGAGTTGTTCCCGACTGAAATTCGAGGAAATGCTTTGGGACTTGGATCGATGGTTGGCAGAATTGGCGGCATTTGTGCGCCGTTTGTGAATGAATTCTGGAAATCTGTAAGTCTTGCGAGTAGTCGATTTAATGACAACCTCATCTTAGATCCCATGGCTACCTCCAGTCATCTATGGAGGTTTCTGCGTCGCCTCGGGCGTCTTACTCTTCACTCTTCCTGAAACTAACGGTCGCCCTCTCCTCAACACCATTGCTGAAGCGAACAAGGTATTTTTTGAAAACATGAAGGACTCTGCTTGATTTATATTTTTAGTTCTACGCGAATCACAGTAGTAAAAAGGATGAAGATGAAGAGTAGAATATTTCAAATTAATAAAAACCCGACCTAAAGAACAAATAATAAATGAACTGATTTTCTGTATACTGAAATAAACTTCCATGATCATTACTCATTACTTTCTTCATGACATTCAAATTATAAATTTCAAGAATCACAAATCTACATCAGAGAGTCTGAGTGGCAGAGAACAATTGTATCCATGTTGTCCGGTCAAACACTTGTCAAATTTTGTCGCTTTCATTTCCGCGGTTGATTTCTCACAATTTATTTCTGTCATGGATTTTTCTGAAAAAGGCCGGTTGACACCTTTTGTCAGAATTCTAGTGCAAAACGCTCTGGAAGAAGATCAGAGTTTCGGAAGAATAACGCCGACGGTAGATGAATTGGTGGCGAGAACGCTGGAAGATGGTCGAAAATCGGCGCAAAGAGAGATTCAGGTTCAGTTTGATGAATATTTTTGTTGAAAGTAATTGTTTGTTGACCTTTAATTGAGTTCAAGCATTGAAAAAAATTTTGCTAGGAAGCGCTAGAAGAAATCGATCGAGCGCGATTGACTCCTTTTGTGAACGAGCTGGTAGCCGAGACAATAGAACTGATCAGGTAGGATAAGATCCATTCAAATAGCCCATTTGGAAACTACTTCCGGACAAGAACTTTCGCTCTGTTATTCAGTAATAATTGACTTTTTCCACTTTGGAGATAACGAAGAGAAACTTTATTTCAGAGAAGAGAAGAAAGAATTGAAAGGTGAAGAGGTTAAACAAGGTGAGCGATATTAATGATTGAACACTAGAATTAATAAAAAGAGGAATTGTTTGCGGAACAAGCTCTTATCTCTTTGATCGTTTTTAAAAGAAAAAAAATTAAGTGGAGAATCTGGATCAAAAGAGTCCAGAAGCAACAAGTGCCAAATCATCAGACTCTTCAAAATCACCTTCTCCGGCTTTTGAGAGAGAAAGTAAATCAAAAGAAGCTTCAAGAGTTGCATCAAGAATGGCAAAAGAGACGATCGAAGAAGAAGTTTCTAAAGAGATTGTCGAGAAAGCGATGGAAGATGGACTCGTCTCGGCTTCAGGAAATGATTGGATAACCGTATATAATAACCTACATATAATTCTTTTTTCATGATTCGAATGGCAACTTGAACTCCGGCGTTACAAAACCAAATAGAAATTATGGTTTTTCAATAATATAAAAGCCTCAAGAGCTCTTTCTCGTGCTCTCAGACCCGAAGATTCGCCAGCTTCTTCAAAATATTCAAGTCGATCAAGCACGCCTGAAAAATCATCAACAACCACTGAAGAACTCAAGAATTTGAACGACTTTTCACGAGATGCCTCTCGAGCTGCATCGAGAATCGCCAAAGATGCTCTTGAAAATTCCAAATCAATGAACATCAAAGAAGAAAATTCAGCAGAGCTGCCCTTAGAATCTTCTAGAACTGCATCTATAATGGCCAAAGGAACCACTGAAACAACCTCTGGTCAAGATAAAAGCGCTGACTCAAAGAATGTTTCTAAGGAAGCTTCACGAGTTGCTTCGAGAATGGCAAGAACCGCGATTCTGAATCAACAAGATTCAAGTTCGAGCGAGTCTGACGAAGATGCGTCAAAAAATGCGTCAAGAATGGCATCTAGAATGGCGAAAGAAACTCTTCAGAAAGACCTTGTTAGCAGCAGTTCGTCAGATTCTGATGACAACAAAGAAGACCTTATTGATGCGTCAAAAGAAGCTTCTAGGATTGCCTCTAGAATGGCAAAGGCCGCTGTTGAGAAAGAAGAAGTATATTCTACCGATTTTGTGGACGATGAAACAAAGAGTGGTTATAATGGAGAATCATCAGAAGCCTCTAGAATTGCGTCGAGAATGGCAAACGACGCTCTGAAAAATGAAATGATGACATCTGTTGTTGCCGGAGAAGCCCTAGAAGACGGTCTTTTATCAGCCAATGCTTCAAGAGCTGTTTCTAGGAAAAGCTTCAACAACTCTTTTTAGAAAATTTAAGATTCATCTTGGAACATGAAGATATATGCGGTTTTTTTTTGAGTTGTCAAGCTTGTCAAAAGAGCTTTCAATGTTGACCCTAGTCAAAATGGAGATTCGGATGTTATTTCAGGAAATTCTAGCCCAGAACTTCCGACTGGCAGAATTAATGAAGGAAGGGATTATTATTTTTTCATCTTTTTACCAAGGAGTAGACAATGTTTTTTTATTTGATTAATTATCAAGTAATGCACCCGATAAAGCCGAAGTCACAATAAATGCACCTGACTCGGAAGCGACTGTAATATCTGACAGTATCAGCGCTCCTAGGTCTCCTATCGCCGCCGAGCAAACTTTGGGATCTTCTGATCCTCGAATCACTCCATTGGTTTCTGATATTGTCACGTCTTCAATCAATAATGGTTCGTCTTTACCGCTCTGAATTATGTTTTACAAGTCATTTAGGAATGGAATCAGCAGAAGTGAGCAGGAATGTCAGCCGGCTTGGGAAGCCAATTTTGATCGATGCGCTGAAATCTGCGGAACAAAGTCGGGTTGCCTCTAGAATGGCAGAAGAGGAGACAAAACGCGTCACATTCAATTTCGAAGCGGCAAAAGATGAAAAAGAAAGCGGAAAAGAGGAAAACGCCAGTTCCAGTTTTGACCACTTTCAACAAGAAGCTGCGGATTTAGTCCAACAAGCACTTCTCAATGGCCTTCAAAGCGCGGAGAATTCTAGAGCGCAGTCAAGAATGGTCGAATCTTCTGACAACCAAAGTTACTACCCTCCAATAACCCCCGAAGTCATGAAAATTGTCCAAGAAGCGCTTGACGAAGGCATTCTCTCGAGAGCATCGAACTGTAAGATTTTCGTAGTCATCATCAGAAAAACTTTTCTTTAGATTCCGAAAAAGATCAACCGCGGATGACTCCCGTCGTTTTGAAGCTCGTCGAAGATGCGATGCGCGGCGGTCTCGAGAGCCCCCTTCCGGAAGCGCCATTTCCCGTGAGTCCGGAATTCCTTACTCGACTTTAAAACCGTTTTTTTTTCAAGGAACAAGTCGCTTCAGCAATTCAACCTTTCCTTTCTGAAGCCGGGAAGGATGCGAGTTTTCTGTTTCAAAAGCTACAGGGTGAGAATAAACTCTGGTTCTGTCTCTATTGACTTAATTTTCGTTCAGAGTTATCGGCAATTCTGGCACTTATCTTGCGGGATCATCTGATGGAACTTCCGTCTTTTACAAGCGACCTTAATTTGCTGAAAATTGACGCTATCAACAGAATGATTGACAATTGCGAGGGGGAAAGTAATATGTGTCAAGCGGCTCAAAATAAACTTACAGGAACTATGTCGAGAATTTCTTTAAAATCTAAAATTGGATTTTTTTTAATGACTTTTCACTATAAATTTCAGTATAAATTTTTGACCTTGAAAAACAGTAGTCGAAACACTTTTACAGGCGATTTCCCTCGTTGGTAAGTAGCTGGTCAGAATGAGATCAGAGGGGGAGATTTGTTACTCTTCATATTTACGCTAGAAAGAGAAAATCGTGACAATTTTTGGGTATTTACAGAATTGTGATATTTGCACAGGCTTGGCTCTGCACGACAGCCAATTCTGTCATCATATTTTTCGCTGTTTTTGCACTCAGAACTTTTTGATTTTTGAAAATTTGAAATCATGGAAGAGAATATTTTAGAGCTAGAGAATGACGAAGTGGAAGAAGGTTGATTTTATTCAAAGAAAAAAAGACGGTTAATTTTTTATTTTAGCGAAACAACTCGAAGGAGCAAAGATAATGAAAAAAGAAGGTAAGAAACTGTTTTCAAAATATGAATTTTCTTTGATCAATTTGAAATTGACAATTTTGTAATTAATTTTCATGAAAAAATTATTTAATTTTTAGAGGAAATTTTACCTTTTCTAGGGAAAAAAGAGTCCTAGAGTTGGACAGTTAATCTTTTGTATTTTTTCATTGAACGATTTTAAGAGTTCTTTTCTATAAAAAGCAAAACTGTAAAAATCAATTTTTGCTGAGCACACAGTTACTATCTGCAAATACTGACATTTATTGCTTAGGAAAGATCACTTGAGTCAAACATAAACATAGCGACCGTGTGCCCAAATCTTTTCATCTCCAAGCGCTGATAAACTAATCTCACTCAATTCTCAAATGTCCAAAATTCTGTTACTTTCACTTGGGATCTTTATTTGTTTGGATGTGGATTTTTACTTGTCAATCAAGATGCCATTATTAAATTTCTAATAATTTTCTATCAATGAAGAAATTCTAAAGAAAGCATATTTTTATTTCAAAAATCAGAGTTTTATGGTGTCTAAAAAATACTTGAAATTAAAATTTTTTGTCGAGATAATTTAAATACAGTAACTGCGAAACATAGGACGAATTTAACTTTCATGTTGTAGCAAATAATTTGACATTTAAAAAGTCAAAAGTGCCACTTCACGCTGTCTTTTGTGGAGCCAAATAGCCAGATTCCGTCGCCATGGCAAAAGTTTCAAAAATATTTTAGGAGATGTTTCTGACCAGCTGATTCAAAACCTGCAAGAAAAGGCACTTGATGAAGGGCTTCAATCTGCGGAGGCATCTGCTAGACAATCAAGGATAGAAAAAGAGGATGAAGAAGAGGAGGATGATGGAGATTCGGGCTCGGAAGTCTCTTATTCATCTCATTCTTCTTCAGGCAGAGGATTCAATTAAAAGCATTCTTTTTATTCATTCTAAGCAGATGAGGACTCTCTCTCATTTTTGAGTTTATCAAATCAAAATATGTTATACCTCTCGAGTCATTTTAAATTTGTTTCATTTTGCGAAGTCAAATATCTACTTAAATAATTTAGAATCAGAAGAGGGCGTTGTCCACAAAGAAGGTTTTTGATCGACTTGTCACTTGTTTGAACAAGGAACTGCCCTTTTTCTGTGTTGATAGCATCAAAAGATGGCCTTCTTTTTTATCTTTTTTGTTTGAACCCTTTCTTTTGACAGCGATTCATCTCTGCGCGAGTCCAAATCTCCTTCTCCAGAAGAACAACTTCTCAAAACAACCCTTTCCGAAGTCCTCCCTGACCACGTGATCCCCACCATCGTTGGAACTGCTCTAGATGATGGTCTCGAAAGTGCTCAACGATCCGCAGCAGAGTCTCGAGCTGAAAGTACTCGACCAACATTTTCGGAAGAAACAGGGTCGGTAAAAAGCTCAAGATCTGGCTCAAGAATGAGCTCTAGAAAAGGTTCAGTAAGCTCTCAGGACTCGACTGCTTCTGATGCTTCTACAGTCATTTCCGTCGATGATGGTAAGACGATTGTACAGTCTTTTCTAGAGCAAAAATTTTAAGCCTTCGTTCCGCCAAAAGACCCAGCTGGGTACAAATCTTCTTGGACCCGCTTTGGCCAGCTGAAATGCGTTTTTGAATTGAACTTGCCAAACAGATTTACAGAAGTTGACTTCGAAGACGACTTACTCGAGCAAGGTAAACGAATAAATGAGATAAAGGAGAGAATTATTTTTGAAGCGCTCTCGAATCATGACGAGTCCCTGTCTCCGGTTCTGTCCTTTCTCAAGCCGGATACAGACTATTCTGTTCTTATTCCGTTTGAACTTCTCTATAGGTCTAATACAAGGAAGGTGGTTGAAAAGATTATATTTTTGAGCTACGAAAGTTCTTTTATAGCGACGAAAATGTCAGTAAAGCGCTCTTTTTGGTCAATTTTAGGTCTGTTCTTGAAATGACCAATAAGATTTGAGATTGAAATTTTCGTTATATAAGCGACTTGATGTAGAAAAAAGGAATTTTTTAACCGCTGAAAAAGGCATATTCGCGCTCGAGGGTCAAGAGATGGCATTCACTGGATTGATCTTCCAGCTGATGGAAGATTTGTTGATGGTTTTGAAGAAAACTTCGCGAAAATTTCAACCAGAAGATGCAAATATGTCACTCTCGTTTATGGTATCCTGCGAGATAGGCTTGAAGTCAGTACTCATGGAGGCATGGTGAAATCGAAGGCTGATTCAAGGATTTATTTTCAGGAATGAGTTTTGTTTATTTTCCTTGGCATACAATCATTTTAACCGAATAATTACGCAATAATCGATGGAATGATTTCTAACACTTGAGTTTCATTTTTTACCGTATTTTGATAAAAAGATCTCTCCTTTTATAAGCTTTTTCATAAAAAATGGCGCTGTTATCCATGAGAACCTAACCAGCATTTCTCGGTGGGATATTTGCGTAGCACATTTTCTTGGACTCTCTGATTGCTTGTCGAAAAATTTCCTGGAGACCTAGATTTAACGCCGAAACGCATATACGACCCATTTTTGGGTAATACGATTTTGCTCATCAAAAAACCCATATTTTATTTGATATACGCATATAATATGACCACGCTCAAGTTATATTTTTGTAGCTTAGAGTCCGGTTATAATATATTAACCCGGATTTTTATTCTCTTTATGCCCAAATCGCGACAATATTGGGTTAAAAAATGGTCAGAAATTGGCAAAAATGGCCATGCGTTCCGGGGTTAAAGAGGTCGACTCTAGTAATAACAATAACTCAACAAAAGTTCCCATCGAAAATTTCCCGCCACCGGCTGACAATTGGCATGAGAGTGATTCCCATTTCCGCGGATCTGATCCACCGAACCAAATACGAAGGAAATCTATGCCGGATGCTTGTTGGCACAAGTTCTATTATTTGCCCGGAAATACCGAAATACAACTTTCCTCTGCGAAAAAGCTACGTTCTCAATTGCAACTGCCCGTTCTCCGATCAACTGGCAAAATATCAATCTGGAGGAGCAGGCTTTCACTCTCAAGCTATCAGAAGACAAAGTATCGCTCCGACGAGTCAGAATCAGCTGGATCCGCGGCTGGATGAGCCGGTTAGATTGTTGATTCAGGAAATGGATGGAAGCTGGTCGGTCAATCATGATGTCAAGTTGAGAGAGAGCAAAAGACAGAGAGGACTCGTTTCGCTAGAGCTTCAGAATCCAATCAGATCTCTTTTGCTCATCAGGTAAGAATCTTACCGTAAGATTCCTATTCCTTGGGCAAATGCTAACTTGAAATCTTCAGAACTGATGGTCGGCATCCCGATAGTGCAATTCTCAACATCCTCGAAGAACTCCTCTCTTTCCAGCGCCAGAATCCGATCAAAATGACAATTTGCCGCCGAAAAGAAAACCCAGAAGAACAATCAATCTTCGTCTTTCACGAAAATGAAGAAGACATTTTCATCAAAGACTTTACTGTCGGAGAAGAAGCATATGAAAATAATTTTGATGAATCGACCCCGAATTATATGGTCAGAGAGGGGCAGATAATTTGGTTCAATGTGAAGGGAAATATTCAAATCAAACGACCGAAGGAAGCGGGAGAGTGGATCTGTGTTCGATACAAGAGACATTTGATTTCACAGGCTCAGATGATGGTAAGATAATTCTAGAAAATATTCAGATTAAAAGCCATAACATGAAGTTTTATTAATTGCCATAAATATTTACGATATTTGAGACCGAACTGAAATTAACAATAAACGAATAACGCCTAAACCACTTAGAAGAGAGTCTAACAATTTAGCCAAGACCCCTTACCTCCCCTCAAAACTTTTTATCAATAATTAAAAATTTTAAGCTTTCCTACACAAATCAATATGGGAACCACACTTCATCCTCTTACCGCGGGACATTTACCGCGATGGTCTCATCGAAGAAATCCGGCCTGGAGAAACTTGCTTCTGGAACTGATTGTGTATCGACCCCGACGCTCATTGATAAAACCTTCGTCATCTCTAGAAAAATCGACGAATCAAGATGCCTGCTAGAAAAACTCGATCATGTTCTAGTGGAAATTCCAGTAACGCTGCCGAAGGTTCCGATTCCGAAGATAACTCTTCGTAGACCAAAACTCATTCGGCGCCTAAGGTGATCCCCGTCTTGAGATTTAATAACGCCTACCAAATTCTAGCGTCGTCGAAGCTGAAGAAAGAAAACCGTCAGATCCGGCGACAAATCTTGCAAAACATCTGAGCGAATATGAGACCAAAAGATTTGGCGAAACCCTTGGGGTGATTGTTATTTTCGAATAAATCTTGTTACCCTTATTTCTAGCTTCAGAGAGGTGGACTGGGAATCCTGAGCAAGCTGGAGAAGCCCGAAAGAATCCGATCAATGATCTGTTCCTGGAGACGCGCCGAACCAATTATGACAGGTACACCTTAACCCGCTCTCCCGTAAAGCCATTTTCAGACACCCGATCGCATCTGGCATCCCGACTAGAAGAAATTCACCGACCAGATTTGAAGCGCTTCGTCATCAAGCCAGTTTTACCTCCAGTCGCTCCGAGTTGAGCTGTTTTCTGCATGCATGTGTACATAAGATATTTTTTTGAGATTATGCACACGATATTTTTTGATATGTAATAAAGACATTTTATTTTTTCACTTTTGTCAGTTAGGGGTTTATTTTTGATTGTAAACGTAAGATGCATCGTAGTCGGATTCGACGTAATCTTCATATGAAGACTTTTTATTGGTCAATTTTTTTATCCTAGAATTAAGGCTTTCCTCGAGTAAAGGACCTTTCCTGGCCGACAAGTTCATCTCTTTCTTCTGCAATCGGAACTGCGTGTCTCAAATTGGTTCTGCCCTCATCAAAGTTGTACGGAACAAGTTCGGGCTTTTCTGCATCAGAATCTTCTTCGTTGAAAATGCATTGGAAGTACCCGGGAAAGTTTTGACAAATTTGATCCTCTGCGCAATCGTGGAGTCCAAGCTTGCACTCGTCAATGTCCTCGCAAAGATGAGAGCCGCCAGGTCGAGCGTAGCCCTGAAAATGAGGAGAGAGAAAGAAGGGGTCTTTACCTTGGCGCAATCGCATCTGTAGCTTCCGTAGACATTGTGGCAGACCTCGCTGCTTCGACAAATTCCGATTCCTTGGGTCAAGCATTCGTTTTCGTCGACGCAGGTTTTTCCGTCATGTCCAAGAATAAAGCCCGGCTGCGCGAAAATTTATATCATAATAATTTGGAAGAACCATAACTCAACTGTTGAAAAAATAATTTGGTTTTTTTATCATCGACTAGATTTGAATATAAAATGTTACATAACGGAACAATTTCATTGCCAGTATAATTTTGCAGAGGATTTTACCTTTGGACAAAGACAAAAAGCCACCCCATTCTTTTCTTCGCAATCCATTTCGCATTTCTAAACCAGCTCGGTACACCCTTAAATCCCTCGCGGAATTTACCTTTAGCTCACAAAGACTCTTTGTCCTGACACAGCTGCTCTGGTCGGCAGCCAAATCGTAACCCTCTTCGCAAAGACATCTTCTGTATCCTTCCAAATTCACGCATCTTCAAAAGAAATAATTTAAAAATTTCGAGTGAATCATTTAACCTGTGTTCGCAAGGGCGGTCAAAGGGGCTGACAGGTAGACGGTCGCAATCGTTCGAATCCACATTGCATCTGAGTCCTTCCCAACCTTGGTCGCACTTGCACTTTTTAACGCAACGGCCGTAATGGCAGACTTCTTCGCATATTCCGTTGATACAGCCGCCCTGACAAATCGGAACCTCCTAAAAAGAAATTTTTTAGAGGACATTAAATTTCATATTTTTTGAAGAATTTTCGGAGAAATCAATATTTCAGAGGGTAAACCTTTCCAGGAGCCGGTCTAAGCTGCATTGAAGCCTTTGATCTGCAATTTATCCATCTCGGATGATAAAAACATTGCAGTCGACTGATTCCAGGATGCTTTTTCTCTACTCTCGTCGGAACATGAGTTCTGTCTTTCAATAAATTTGCCTCTATAAACGTCAAAAGAAACAATCCTTTTTTCATTTCGAAAATTTGGATATGTTTTCAGATAAAGCTTATTATACGATCAATTTTTATCGCGCGGCGATTTATGGCCAAGGACGAAATAAAAGAATCGGATTTGCGCATAACAATTGCACCGCCAAGACCTCACCCTCTTGTTCAACACGATTTTGAAAGAATATTTCAACACAAAGTCATAATTATAAGACAATTTATTTATAACAAAGCTCAGTTATAAGAATTCATTTTCCACAGGTCTTCAGGCCACAAGTCTTTCAGGCTTAAAATATGCCGCGTATTATTTGCGGGATATTTCGATCTCGAAAAATTTCCTTTCTCGTTTTTCCGATCTATCCGTCAGGTACCGAAAAACCGGAGAGGAAATAAATGAGATGCAGAAAGACAGCCTTTTCTTTCATTTTTTAGCCACGTGATTGCTTGAGGTCAGAGTTCATCGATGATCACGAAGCTTTCACAACAGAGGTCAAAGATGATTCCGTTTCGATTTTTTTTCATTTTGACTTGATTGCTATTAGGCAAAAACGGGAAATCCATGATTTGATTTTTGAGATTTCAGAATCTAGAGACAGTTGGCTGTGTTGCTGGGGCACATTTCCTCAGCAGCTTGTGGGTCCTTCAAGCAAAGTCGAATCGAGCAGTGAAGATCGTTCTGTTGTTGTTCCAAGTCGGGAATGTCGGAGACAAACTCGAACATGGTGAAGGAGATGAGGGATTTGTAGGGCTCGTATTGATCGATCAAGTTAGTGTTGGTGTACGGGTCCACGCACTGGTTGTCGATGATCGTGTAGTTCATGTTGTCAGTATGGCCAGAGATCATAGTGCAGCTGATGACTTCCAAGTAGAGCTTTTCGTTTGGATGCTCCATCTCGACGAAGAAGTAAGCAGCATCACCGACGTTGTACTCGGCAACGGGAACATCAACAAAGGAAGTATTGCCTCCCATTCGTGCAGAGACATCAGGAGCAACGAAGTTGATCGCGAAGTCGAAGGTGTTTGATTCGAAAACGTTGATGACCTGGTTGATGTCAGCGTGCTCCGTTTCCATGGCAAGACCGACATCGTTGTAGACAGCGGTGTATCGGCAGCTGACGCCAAAGTCAATGACGGACTACGAAAGATTATTTTCTATCGATCATGAAAACACTTACAGTTGTTGTGATACCGCCATGAACACCGTTGGTCGCATCGTTGTCGTCCTGGTGGATAGCAAAAGCACCGTTCATGATCGTGTTGGAGAAGACAAGCTCGTTGGTATCTGCATCAAAGCTGACAGTAGTATTGCAACTGTCAAGTGGGATCGAGGCGAAGATGACTTCGATCTGTCCTCCTGCTCCGTCGTCGATTCCGACCCATTCGAGATTTGTCGAGTTGCCATTGCATCGCCAGTCGTTAAGGGTGAAGTCGGCGGCGTTGACAACGTTGAATGCATCGTAAGAGTCGGTTCGAGCGGCGAAAAACATTTCACTTTGACCGCATTCGACCAAGTAATCCTATAAAATCGCTTTATTTTCACAGATTCGCGATTGTTTCTTACCTGAGCAGTGAGCTCACCAGCAGCGTCGAGCTGACCGGGCCAGGCAAAGCCAGTGGCATTTCCGTTTCTGAAAAATCGCTGATCAAGGCGATCATAGAGGTCCTTGTCGTATCGACGCCGGTCCAAAATGTCGGACATTGCCGTGAAGGCGCTCGACGGTCGCGTATTGCGCAGGGGCCGATCCGGATTCCAAGCCGGATCTAGCGCCCCGGCCCATGCCAATAAGCCTAAGCGGAGTTTCATTCTGGATCCTAAAACATGTTATTCTAGCGCTTTTCTCTCTTCCAAACCTGTTGGCTGAAAAGCCGCCGAAGAGGGTTGATCCAAAAAATTAAACTCTGCTGGGTTATGCCGCCGACTATCGGAAAACGCGCAGTTTATCGGTCCTCGAATTCGAATATTCAACACCGCAAAATGTCGAAATTCTGAGCTGGTTTTCCCGATCCTTGCGGTTGCGAATTTTGCATTTAGAAATAAACAATTCAGCAACGACAAATCAACAACATTCCATTGTTACGCTTTGTTTCCTTCTGTTTCACGTGAGAAGAGAAGGAGAAAAATGATCCGATTGCAAATTCCATCGTCGATTCTCGACAAAAATCACAAATTAAGTCAATAAGGTTATTGGTCGCGCATAGACTTGATAATTCGAATTATGTCTAACTGTCTGGACTTTCCATATAAAGACTTCAGACGCCTTCCATTTCAGTCAGAACTCTCCACCAAGATCTCAGGTGAACTATTCTTTAGACCCAAAAGAGATCCACCACGGTTCAAGGTTTGTTGTTTGTTATAAGAATCAACGAAAAGATTATTGTTTAAAAGTACTAGACTGAAACAATCAAATGTCTGAGATATCTAATTTACTGTTTTGGCCATTTTTCTTTCAGTCTGATAGTAAAATGGCCCGATTGTGTTGCATAACCGCTTTATAATCTAGCTCCTCTATCAGTTACATAATTCTAGAGCTAGAAAAGAGGAATGAAATCGGTTTTTCGGCTGGGTCTTGAGCAATTGCCTCAAGAAATCGATTATCATGAATATTTTTGCTAGAATCATCATTAAAATTGAGTGGCCAAATTAGGAAATGAAGAAACTAGAAAATTTTGGAACGTACTGTTCTAGGGCTGTCACGCTTTACGTTCATGATCGGGGGGTGATCGGAGAAAAAGAATTCAAACTTAGAGAGTAAACATTTAACCTGGTCAGTGGGAATCTCATTGCCATTATTCCCGTGAATTTAAGAGATTATTGCTGGCAAAAATTTTGATTTCAAAAATTTTAAAACGAATGTCCTTGCAAAAATGTATCAAGGACAAGAGGGCCCCAGGCCAAAATTCTCGTTCTGATGCAATTTTAAAAGGGATGAGACGATTTTTCGTCATTTCCAGGCCGTATTTAAGATTTCTTGCATCACATTCAATTTCACATCACGAGTTTTTAAGAGGTCTTCTTTCATGTGAGCAAAGAGAAAAAAGAAGGCGTTTTCCGCCTCAAGAAAAATGGGGAGTTGTCGCTCGAACATTCGAAAATCGCCTTGGTGTTATTGAGTAGAAAGTCCAGTGCTCAAATAATAATTTAAAATTAGCAGAATCATTCATTTTCTTGAAAAATTATTTGCGCTAATTAGTGGGAGTCGGACTCTGTTAGTATTTTCGGGTGTAGGGCGGCTTCGTTCGCAATTTGCGAACGCCGTTCGTAATCTTGCGAACGCCGTTCGCAACGAAAAAAAAATCTTGCCATGAGTGTGCGCTTCGCGCATTTTCTTGGAGAGAACTCATTGGCTTGGCAGGAGCAGTCTTTTTCTACCGCTGGGACACATTTTGAAAAAAGTTGTGAACGATTTTCGGGCAAAAATTTTTCGATTTTGCGAACGCCGTTCGTAATTTGCGAACGCCGTTCGCAAAATGGCCTTTGCGAACGAAGCCGCCCGCCACCCGTATTTTCATGAACTCGAGCAAAAAAGAGATCGCAGTTATTCGAGACTTTATGCTGAAAATCCTTGTTGACACCCTTAAAAATCAACGAAATTGAGCATTTCTTGGACTTCATTGATTACTTCGTCCATTTCTTAGAAAAATTACTGCTCTAGAATCAGTCTGTTTCTTGTTGATCCTTTTTTGTCTCTGTTTCAGTTTAAGCTTTTCAGATTTCGGAAAATGTGTGCTCGACTTTTTACCCGTCGACTCCGCGCTGCGGCTACTGCAGTTCGTCCACCAGCCAGAAAGATTTCCAATCATAACTTCGAAGTCAACCCGATTGTTCCCGTCTTTTGGCGAGAGAAGGAAGTCATCAACTCGGAAAAATACATCATTGACACAACAAATGAAAATATGGCAGATGGACCAAAAGGAAATCCTCAGGCAAGGCTTTGAAAAGAACAAGTCAATAACAGGGTCGAATTGAGGGCAAATAATATTTGTTCATTCGGCGACGCCCTTAATCTTGGGTTCAAAATTCCAAAAGCCATGGAAACAGCTTGCCCGAAAAATGAGAAAAGTCTTTGACGAAGTCGGACTAGTTCTCCTCCGCGGAAACCGCGAAATGGGCGACAATTTGGAAGCCATGAAACTTTGGGCCGAATTCATCTTTCCCTCCCTCTCGAAGTACGAAGCCGGGGCCAATGCTAGAAAAGGCAAGAGGTCAAAAAGAATCGACAATCAAATTCTAAGTAAACAAGGATTCGCAAAAGGACTTTTGCCAAATTTGGATGGTCCGATCGTGGTTGATTTTGACCTCTGTAACAGGAATAATCCCCAATGTTTACGAAATCGGCGCGCCAAAAGAAGCTTGGCTTCACTTCCATCACGAAATGGCCTACGTAAACGAATCTGTCAACGGTATTGCTTTCTGCTGCCGGGAAGCCATAGAAGACCCTGAAGATCCTCTTCGTGGAGCTACTTTTGTTTCGGAAAATTTCGGGTATGCGCTTATTTGAGAGTATTTTGAACCCTACTAAATGTTATTCTAGCGCTACGGATGATATCCTAGCAACAGAATTCGGCCAGAAGCTCAAAAACAAAGGAATCTGCTACATCCGATGTCTCACGAATAAAGAGCGCTACTCAAATATGGATGGTGTCTACAATCACTGGCAATAGTAACCATTCTCATTTTAATTCATTCCTCATCGCTCCTCCCTAGCTCCTTCATGACCGACTGCCCAAAAGAAGCAGAAAGAAGAGCAAAAGCAAAGGGTCTGGAAGTCTCCTGGGGCGAAAATGGATACATGAAGACAAAATGCTACATTTCCGGCTTCGAATACCACCCTCAGTCGAATCGAAATCTCCTCTACTCCGCAATCGCCGACCATAGCGCCTGGTTCGATCAGTGGCCAACAGTAATGGAGAAACCGTACATGAAGACTTTTGAAGGAGCGACTGAGGAGGAACGACCACTGGCAATTACTTTTGGCGATGACAGTGAAATGACAAGAGAAGGTAAAAATTTTACCGTAAAATACTTTTAAGAGTGCGTAATGCACTCATGATTTTTAAGAAACCATAAGAGTCGTACTCTTTCGGCGTTTAGATATTTTTGATTAATCTTAATGTAACGATCTGCTTGGTTTATCGTTGTAGTCCCTTAATTCTAAATCTGTAGAGCTCCAAACCTTCGTCGACGTCTACGAAAACCACGGCATCCCACTCGCCTGGCAAAAAGGAGACATCGCCGCCATCTGCAACTACCGATTTGCCCACGGCCGCCTCCCATTCAGTCTCGCCGAGGGCGAGCAGCGTGAACTCGGAGTCATCCTCGGCCAAATGTACAAGCGCTTGGGCCAGAAAGACGATGCATGGTGATTTGTTTTATCCCTGCTTTTGCTTCCCCCGCCCTTTTTGAAAAAGATTTTTTTGGTCAATAAAGTTCACATTCATGTACGAGTTCTTTTCTTTATTAGCAGAATTCTAGAGGCCTAATTGAAAAAGGCTAGGTCAAAAGTTTAAATTGTTGAGGGATACTGTTCTTGATAGCATTTGAGATAGTTTCTATGGTACCACAGTTTGTCGTTTTGAAAGCGATATTCGGTCTGCTCTTCTTCTGATCTTTCGGGGAATCGAAACTTGCTGTATTCTTCTGATCGACCATCGCATCCTTCCGGATCGTGGAGAACAGGAGCAACGCCATCACAACTAAAATTCTCGTAAAAACAGCTTGAATGATTAAGTCTTAATCCCAAAACCATAATAATGATATTCAAGAAATACTTCTGATTTTTTTAATATACAAGATTTTGATTCACCTTAAAGATAAATGTAGTTGGCCTTCTTTGGATCAAATTTTAAACTCACCTAGCGATTCTCAGTTCTCCAAGCGCATCCAAAAAGAACTCCTTATGTCCTGTTCTGGCAAAATGCGGATCCATTCTTACTGTCCCCGTCGTAGCAACTCGACCGATAAAGTAATTTTTCACAATGTCCCTCGTTCGACAACCCGGGAGACTTGGAGGTGGTCTGATTTGAAAAGCACCTCGATAGTAGCAAAACCCATATTCATCGCGTTTTATGTCGAATCTTCCCATCTTGTCCCAAGTTTGTTTTTCGTCGTTGTTTCTTGCTACTCCGCCTCCAATTATATCGTAGCCACTTTCATCGATAATTTTCAAGAGCTCTTCAAGTTTCGTTTCCTCTGTTACCAAAAAGTCGTCATCCATGGTGATAAAATATTCAGTCATGACTTGCGAAATCGCTGATTTTTGGGTTCAGAAAATATCGATTTTAATTGTCTAAAAGATTTTCCGAACCGTTTCCTAAAGCTCTTCCAGCAAAAAAGCCGGCATTAGCAGGCATTTTGTGTTGCTTGACAAATGGATATTTGAACGTATCTAGCTTCTTGTAATGCTCTGTTGGAGTATCATCAGCGACGATTACTTGAGTCCCTGGGTAAAATTTGTTTATCGAATCGAGAAGACGTTCAAGGCAGGGGTAGCGCATGAAAGTTTTTGTCACGATTGTAACCATATCGTGGAATTTATTGGTGCTTCTGGTGGTGAGAATTGGCATTGGCATCGTTTTATACGTCACTAGAATCGCAAATTATCAGATATAAAGCTCTCAAGCTCAAACCTGGAAATCTCGCTTCAAATTCTTCCCCCGTCAGTTGTCTCTTCATCGTCACAACGACAATATCAATCAAAGGCCTCGCGTCGTACTCTTCAACAAAAAGCCTGATTTTCTTCGTCAATTTATTCGCATCAGTCACATTTCTCCATCGCCTGGCAGGATCAAATCCCCAAACGCAAAATCTGCAGTCGACATCAAACTGGATCATTTCGCTCTCTTCCAAATGAAATTTTATTGGAATGATGATCGATTCGTAAGGATGAACAGTCAGGCCAAAAACCGGCACTTCGATCGGGTTGAAAGGAGTTCGACGAATCATCGGATATGCCATTTCGGAGAAACGATTGTCTTTCAGGAAATTTGAATATTGCTCTTTTCGTATTTCATTTTCTGTCGTATATTTTTGATTTATTTCTTCTGAAAACATTCGCTGGTAGTTGTAAGATTTGCCGAAATTTTCCGGACGATTGCAGCGGCACTCTTCTCGAAGAAACAAGGGTTTTGTTCCGTACCATTTTCCGTTTGATTCATTTCTTGGGTTGTAAGCTCGTTCGAGGTAGAACTTGACTCTAGCTCGCTTCAGCGCGTATTCGGAAAAATCAATTGGGTCGAGCTTTGCCAATTTGATCGTCTTCGATTCTTCTTCAGTTTCTCTTTTATGCCTGGCGTGAACTGCTTGTTTCTGTGGACAGGGAATGTTTTTTCTAACAGCAGCATTCTCTCTTAAAAATTTTGGCTCAGCATCGAATAAGGCGCTCTTGAAAAAAATAAAGAAAACTTGATAGGTCAATGCGCCGAAAATGAAATATGTGAGATTCGTGTTTCTCATTCGACAGTACTAATGAAAACACAACCTTTGGGAATCGCGCGGTCACAGAGCACTAGAACAGAAACTTGCCCCCGGCGAAGTCATAAGCGATGCAGGGTCAGTCTTAAAGACGTGTTCGGAAGTGGCTTTTTTGCTGATATGCCAGTTTTTTTTTTCCAAATTTTGGAATCCAATAGAAAAACTGAAAATCCGATCTTTTTTGCTCTCTTCTACAATTTTTATAGAATCACGAGGTCAAGATATTTCCCACTGAAACTGTCTGACCCGAATAATTGATCTACGCAAGTGAGTCAAGTTCTTTCCCGTTCCAATAAATTTCTTACGTTAAAAACGCCTTAGGCGCGCGTTATGGAAATGGCTGCTGACAGAAATTTCGCTTCTCTCATTTCCGCACTGTCTTGGAATAAATAATTTGCCTTCTATTAATTCTCTCAAAGCTAGGGCATATAATTTGCGAATGACTTTCCCATCGAACGGGGAACTTTACGGTAGCGCAAATTTCAGAATTCTTGAAAAATACTCGCTGTTAGGAAGATTCTGTTTTCAAAGAAAGGACTTTCGCCAAGGAGACTCGGAATTTCGTGGTTTGTTACAGTAAATGTCAGTAGCTCCATCTTCGAGTGAAAGCATCGAATTAGAGAAGAAAAAAGAAAGCAATGGGAGAAGAAAGAGTTTCGCAAAAGCCGGCTGGAATAGCATCAAGAAACGACTTTCAGGTACAGACCCAGGTCTTTTGTAAATCAATCTTTTTAGTAATTGCGATTCCGAAAAGCACCCCTCAAGTAAATGATCAAGTTTTCGAAACATCAAGTGATGGTGAAATTGAGTCGGATGATCAAGAGTTGAACAAGGCCGCTAGAACCCCAAGAGTCCATAGAAAAACGGACAAAAACACGAGAAATGAGCTTTGTAAGTGCAGAAATTGATTTTTATGACCAAGAATAAGGGTCTTTTTTTCTAAATTTAACCTTCTTTTTGCCAAAAAACAAACCTCTTTTAGATTCCTCTAGCTATTTTGATGAGTCGCCAGAGCATCCCGAACAAAATCTAACAGAAAGCATCGAGACCAAGTCCACATCCAAGCTCGCTCAAAAATGGGCTGATAGTAAAAACTCTGTCGAATCGTTGATGACACACCGTAAATATCGCCTCGCTTTCTTTATCGTCATCATTTTGGATACGATCCTCGTTTATTCTGAACTCGTCCTTGGCATTTACATTTACGAGACGGATTCGTGCCATTGTGATGATGAACAAATCGAGATTGAAAATGAGAATGAAAATGAAAATACGACTTTATTTACGACTACTCCTTCTTTACCTACTACTACTGCTCCGATTGTCACAACAACAGCTCCTTCTTTTGACTGTGGAGTTTTTTCTGCATTGACAACTGCATGGAAAAGGTCAATTTCGTCTTTTGCCGAAATGAAAAGAATACGGTAATTTCCGATTGACCTTGGACAAAGCTTTCGCTCGGAATTGTAACCTTCAGTCTCTTGACTATTTTCTTTTTGGAAGTGGTCATTAAACTTGTTTGCGTCCCGACTTTGCTCAGTAAAAAGATGGAAGTGGTGGATGCGATGCTGGTATTGGTCAGTTGGTTGATGTCCTTTGTGCTCATTTTTTCAAGTCATGGGAGTTCAGAGCAGATCAAAATGGTTCTGATGCTGACTTTTAGGATGCTGAGGATTTTCAACTCTTTAGGTAACAGCTGCTATTTTTGAATCTTGAACCATATTTTTAGCCTTCATTTTGGTCACCTACTACGAAGGATTAGTAGAAACGTATAAAGAAAAAATGCACAAAAACCAAGTTCTGATCGTCAAGTCAAATGAGAAAAGACGCCATTTAGCAGAACAAGCTATGGCCTTGCTGGAACAAAAAAGACGCATTCAAGTTGAATTTGTGCTGACTTCTAGGAGGCTTTCAGATGTGAGCTCAGGTGGCTAAATTATTTTGAACACAAGGAGAAGAATTTATGATTTTTAGGGGGAAGTACAGCTGGTAGTTCAGGCGGGGGCAATGGGCACACAATTGACGGAGAGGAAGATTTGATTGCAGAAGAACTTAATCGAGCGAGAATGGACCTTCACGAAAATAAAAGTAGGCGGCCCTAGAATTCAATCTAGCAAAAATCTCGATTTCAGGAAGAAGTTTGTCGATAACCGCTCTGGCACAAGAAGATGACTATATTTCTCCTCGAGCATCCCAAGTTCTGCCGCACCTTTTGAGCCCGCATATTGGAATGGAGAATCTTCAGCCTCACTCATCTGGTATTCCTCTTGCAGGCACTCAGGTATTATTTAAATATTTTTTCTATTGGATCATTTTTCAGCCCGCTCAAATAAATCAAGGAAGAACCCCTCCAGTTATGAGGAGACAACATTCTCAGCATGGAACGCCGCCCACCAGAAGGTAAAGTATCCACTCTTCAAACCTAAAATTATATTTTTCGAAGACAACGAAGAAAAACCGGAAGTTCTTTTCACGCGCGACTTTCGAATCTCTACGACAACAGATTTTCTATCATCGAGCGACCAACTGAAGAACGCCCCTCTCATGATCCATCTCTAAGTCGAACACCGAGAAATTCCCAGAATCCGTTTTATGTTAAATAATTTTTGAAACTTCTGTATATTTGAATAGGTCTGTTTCATAACAAGCGTTATATTCATGTTTTCTTTTTGGTCCATTTTATCAAGTTACTGTTTATGCAGAAGAAACAATACTGGTTTACTGCCGGTGACAATTATCGAGCTCATTCCTGTCATAAGCCGAGCTCAATCTCCGTAAGAATCCTCCCTCGCCCATCAGATTAGTCATTTCTCTCTGAACAATATCAACAGCTTCATATTCATTCCATCAGCCAAGAAAGAGAGGATGGAAAGCGCGGACCACGAAGAATTCTTGAAATTTTATACCAATTTTGAACTTTACTTTTGCATCCCTTTCGGACTCATTCTTTCAATTTTTCTTGGAATTTATTGCTCTTCACGTGAGTTTTAGAGATTTTTTATTTTATGAATTTTAAAATCATTCACTTTGTACGACCACTTGAAAAAGAATTTTGTAGGGAAGCCGCTTTGTCCAAAAATAATTTCCCCATACTCAAAATAGTTTGACTCTTTTATGGTTTTTCAGAAATGGAAAAATTTCAAATCTAATTCTCATTCTAGTGATCCTGTTCAAATTTGATCACCAAGAAACGATGAAATTCCTCATTTTTCTTTTCTTCCGAAGCAAATCTTTGACCAAAGCTCAAGAGAATAAAATCAGTTCGACACGAAACTGTCCAAGTTTCTCCCGGCTCAGCGAAACTTGCCAACGATAACTGAATAAACGAATGGATATGGTTTGTTTTTTATTGATATGATAGTCAGGAAATGTTTCTTTTAGCATTGGCGGCAAGATTTTTTGCATGACTGGAGCATGTAAGCAGGGTTTTTGGAGCACTCGCCCGAGGCAGCCCATGAAGCGCAGTATTGATTTTGATCGGTGCACTGAATTTAGCTTTATATTTCTTATCGCTGGTGATTTTTACCGATCCGCCCGAGCAAAAACCGCAAGTCTTCTTGCAGTAGTATTCCATCGAAGTTCTACTGTAGGAGCTACAGTATCCATATGCTCTCCAAGTTGCACACTGGCCTTCGTAGCCGCTGTAATCAGAACATGTTGATGGAGGCGCTGTGGCTCTTGTCGTTGTTCTCGTTGTTGTTCCCGGAGCAGCAGTAGGTCTCGTTGTTGGACTGGGAGTCGGAGTAGAGCCACAGCCGTAGAGTGCGTTTATTTGCGCATAATCGGAAGCGGTCAATTTTGTGTTCCAGCCGATCGGTCTTCCAGTAGCCCTGTCAATCAAAACTGGCTGGCCATTTTGTGAGAACGCATAGCCATTGTATTGCATCACTGAGCGGACATCAAAAGCTTGACCGAAGGAATTCCAGCTTGAAGTTGGGATCTTGTTGAAATTGTAGCGCATTCCTGGGGAGACGTTTTGCATATTGACCTTAAATTAAGAAGACAAAAACCGAATAAGCCATACTTGGACGTATGAATCCCGATCAGGGCGCATTTGCTCGTGCCAAAAACCCAAAGAGTGCATAATCTCATGAGCAGCCGTATAGTCATAATTGCAACCATTTCCCAGGGAGATTCGCTGCGCTCCTCCTTCAATTGTAAGGAATGAGCCATTTTATGAGGTTTTTATACCTTGTCTTCCGACGGGAGAATAGCATCCGCCGCCAACAAAGAAGTCCATAAAGTCTCGCTCATTGCTTCGTTGTCGGAAACGAAGGCATGTTCCGGCTTCCAAAAGTCGCATCCCTGCGAGAGCAGCTGTTTGTCCCGCTGCTCCGAGGTAGGAAATACGGTAAGGGATGTATACATTGCCTCCTGAGGAAGAAAAGATAATAAGAAAGCCTCTTCATTGTTAGTTTTCACCTTGCTTATACTGGGTCCATCTTGCAACGCTGATATCAGCCGCTCTCATATCCTCGGTATTATCCGGGGCGGCCATCATAGTTTGCATTTTCTTGTTGACAACAATGTCTCCATAGTGGACTTCTCCTTCTGATTCGTTGTTGCAAATGCACGCATCCATCACGCAACCCATCGAGTCCTTCTTATATCCAAACAAGCATTCCTCTTCTTCACTAAAGCTTGACGAAGACGAATCTACGTAAAAACTAGCAGAGCAGTCAGAAGCTCTAAAAGAGCAATGTCTCTCCGCCAGAATCGCCTTGCAATTGTTGATCATAAAAGGGTTTCCTTCATATTCGCTCAAATCCGTCATCGTTCCGGAAATTAAACCAGGCCGAGCATATTTTGTGCTTACATCGGATTTCAAGAAGCAGCGATTGGAAAGAGAAGGGATCGCCTGTCGGCCGGTGAGGGTGTACCCAACGCAGCCGACGGTCAAGCGGCATTTCTGTTCGCATTCGCTTTGACCAGTTGCTGGAGAAATTCTGATTGACGCAATGTCGTTCCCTTAATTTTTTCTCTTGACTTGTTCTCTAACGACTTCATACTTCTCGCTTACAGATTTTAAAGCTATAATGATGAGTTTATATAGCAGAAATAATTTATACCTGGGTAATCGACATTTTTCTCTATCTTAAAATCTTGACATGTTGTTCTTCCTCTAGGTCCAGCTGGGTCGGCAGAAGAAAAAGATTGAAAAGCGAAAAAAGTACTGAAAAGCTTCATGATTTATTTGAACAAAAACGAAGGGAAGAGGAAAAAATAGAGTCGGGCAAATAGAACACCCAGTTTATACGTAAACATGGAGGGGCCGTATTGATGATTGATGCAATTAATCATATGATATGATTCATATCATATGATCCTTATTAGGACTGTTGTGAAGCAAAGCTTGGAAGAGATCGCAATATTTTTTATTTTATAGAGTCAGGGAAAGTATTTCTTCTAACATTGGCGACAAGATCTTCTGCATGAGACCAGCATGTAAGCAGGGTTTGAGTAGCAGTAGCCAGAGGCAGCCCACGATGCGCAATAGGCATTTTGATCAGCGCACTGAATATATTCGAGCTAACATCAAGTTTCTAGTCAGAGATTCTTACCGATCTCACCACAGCACGACTGGTCAAGCAAAAACTGCAAGTCTTCTTGCAATAGTATTCCATTGATGCCCTATTGTAAGAGGTGCAGTATCCATACGATCTCCAGCTTGCACATTGGCCTTCGTTGCCGCTGTAATCGGAACAAGTCGATGGGGGAGCCGTTGCTCTTGTTGTTGTTCGCGTGGTTGTAGTTTCTGTGGTAGTTGTTCTTGGAGCAGCAGTTGGCCTTGTTTTTGGACCCGGAGTTGGCGGTAAGTTACATAAATCGCAAATGCTGACATTTTTCTACGAGCGAGAACGGTACTCAGTACATTGATGATGGAGTCAGGCAAACAAAACACCCTGTTTATTGGTAAACATTTATTTGCAAAATTGATGATTGATGCAATTAATGATATCTTCATCAGAGTAATGTTCACTCCCGAGGTATTAAGTTATTGACCAAAAGCCTGGAAAACGCGCAAGATTAGTGTTAATGAATTCTGCTGTTTGATGTTTTCCTAATGCTTTGCCGCAAGCATCCAGCTTCTGGAAGCAATCTGTTTAGCCGATTTATTTATCAATAAATAATTCAGTAAGGTCGGCTTAGATCTGTTTCCAGGTTCTGCCGAGTACGTCCACATTAAAACGAAGTAAAGAAAGTACCAACAAAATTACAAGAACGTCCCTAGCCTTGGGGCGTGTCAACAACCCTTCTGCATGCCGCTAATCGCTCAATTCTTTCCCTGCTCTAGAAAAAATAAGCTAGCAACTTCTAAAAACTAAAAATGATCGCTGTCGTCCGAACCTTCACCCAGAGAGTTGCGTCGACTTCTGCCGCCAACAGTTCTCGATTCTTCTCCGCGACGGGGAGGATGATGGTCCCAAACACTGCGTCGAAACTTAACCAGACGCAATCTGTGAAGAGCAGCGGCCCTTTCAGGCCAATGGCCCCGATCTTTCAGGAAAGTGATTTGAGACTGATTTTTACTTATTTTCATCCTTGCTATCAGTTTCGTTCGGGTATTAAGGTTAGGGTTTCTAGCTCTGTGAATTCAAAAGAAGCAGTCTCAAATCATAAAAAAACAGGCTTCTATGTAAAACATCGCTAGCTTCTGAAGACAAAAATTCACAAAACTATCCTACTTCATTCAATTCGCCATATTCATATTTCTAACTATTTCTTATCTGCCATTTGTACCAATTTTTTTCTTGGTCAGCTCTTTTTCTTTTCAAGCTTCTCCAAAAAAATTATCCAAAAAAAATTTTCAAAAATAGAAAAAAAAATCACAAAAAAAAACTTTCAAATTGAAGCTTGATTGAAAAATCTGACAATGTCTGTATATCTTTTTTGCCTGTAGCGTGTCTGTAACAAGCCATAGAAAAAGGGGCGATTCTTCCGAACATGAACCAGAAACGCAAGTTTTGAAATCAAAACGACTTTGTTCAAGGCCGAGCTGTTTTTTCGATTCATTTTCCAATCGTCCTTTTTTCAGTCGTTTTATGGCTCCGGAAATTTCAATTTGGGGTTCAAAAAGGAGGGAGAGAGTCTAAGCGGCTCTTCAATTTCTAAATTTTGGTTGTTTGTCTGATTGAATGTCTGAGTGACTGACTGAATAAATTTTATTATTTATTGAATGAGAGGCTTTTGAAGTTTTAATGCAGGATTTGGGATAAGAAACAAGTCTTTTGCAGCATCGAAAAAAACCCGAATTGATCCGTATCGAAGTCAATTTGAACTCGTTTTTAAAAATTCTGACTTTTATAAAATCGTTGGGGACACCCTTAATGCCCCTTGAATTTTTTTATTTTCACGAATTTTCTAGCCAAGAAATTCTTTCTTTCTTTTTAGACAAGGTGACGTTCATTTTCTGGCATTTCTTTTCAATTAATATTATTGATGAGAGACCCTTAAATTTTCATATCTTTGGAATTGAATATTACTGTCTGTGGATTGACGCTATTAAAAATGTCTGCAAAGACAAATTATCTTCAAAACGGAGATAATTAATCATTAATTCGCGCTTATTTGCAAGCTCATTTCGATTAAACGCATTAAACGAAATTAATTACAGCGCGATTTACAAGCGCGAAGGTACAGAACACGATTGCGGGTTTGCTGCTGACCAAGGGCACTCGCCTTTGCGCTCTTTCGCGACGCGAAGACGCCTTATTTCTAATTGACTCTATCTTCTTTTTTTCTGAATTCGCACGCGGCAACGCTTGAAAAATTCAATTTCCTTTTCGAAATTAATTTTTTGAGAAAGAGAAGGAAATATATAATATGGAGGAAATATTGATTTGATCGATGGTAAGTCATAAAATAAAATTAAATTTGAAATGAAAATAAAATTTGAATTTTCAATGATTCAAATCATCATAAATTAAAATAAGTAATTTTGAGAGAAAATTTGAAAGCGAAAATTTAATTGTGGGAAAAAACCGGTAACTTTATGTTAAGGCCTTAGCATCTGTTAAATTTGAGACCATTTGGTTAAATTTTCGTTAAGGGTACAACCTTCGATTTCCCAAAAGTGCGAACTTGATCTTTTTGATATCAGAAATAGATTCCTCGTCTTTTTTGAGCAAAAACCTTTGAAACAATTAAACCTTAAACTTTGTCGTTAACGATTTCTGTTTATGCTTACTATTATCATCATCTTGTTTGATAAAGGACAAAAATCCTTTCATTGGAGATCTTTTTAGAAGACAACTGATCTGCCCAGATTCTGCTGAAAAAACAGCAGCCAAGTTGTGAGCCAATTTGAACTTTACGATTGAGCGGGCGCGAAGTAGAAAAAACAAGAAACGTAAAAAAAAAATACGAAACGTCAAGTAGTCAGTAGCTGAAAGAGCGAATTACAAAAGAAAAGAAATCGAATCACCGAGCGAAGAAACAACAGAGATACTAATGGAAAAGTTTTCGATGGAGTGGTCGGAAGAGGAGCTAAAAGTGACCTTTAATTTGTTCGATAAGAATAAAGATGGCAAAATTTCGAAAGAAGAGCTTTCTCAAGAAGGGTTTTTGAATAATTTTTATTAACGAAGTGATACCCTTAATTGTCGAACCATTTAAAAGTCCTGCAAAATCTGGGCACAGCGACAAGTGATGCAGAAATTGAAAGTAAGTGAGCATTATTTACTTAATTAATTAATTTATTTTAGTTTATTCGATAATCTCGATTATCGTTGATCCTACTTAGTTACCGCTTAAAAATTAATTAGTTAAAAAGGTTACAATTTCTCCTTGTAAATCCGTAAGAGGGACGATTTTCAGGGTAATAACTTAAGTTATATAAGACTTAGTACTTTTAAATTGTTATGTAATAAATCCTCTTTTCAGGCATGATAACGAATGCTGATTTAAACCAAAACGGCTTTGTAGAATTTGAAGAATTTGTAAATCTGATGAAGAACTACTGTCCTTCCATGAGCTCTTCCCAGGAAAGGTCGACGAGATTATCATTTCAGCAGCTTTCAAAACTTTGAAATGTCGCAAACAGGGTACGTCTTGCTTCGTCATTCATGATCCTTGCTCTTTCCATGAGAATATAGCGGAAAACAAAGCTATAGAGCTCCTAAAACTTTGATTACAGACCTTGACAAGTCCATTATTGATGCATTTAACGTCTTCGACATTGACGGAGACAAATTTATCAGTCGAGAAGAGATCCGGTAAGCCAATTACGCCTCTTCAATAAAACAGGGGATGTCAATTAAGGGTGACGATGTCACGATTAGGTCAAAATTTGACGTCTCGGGAGCTGGACGAAATGGTCGCAGAATGAGGGCTCAACAAAGAGTACAGTTGATAAATACAGTCACTTTTAATGCGATCGCTATTTTAAAAAAAATTGACAGAAAATGACCCTCGCTCAAAGCATTAGATTTGAACAAAGATGGAAAAATATCATTTGAAGAATTCAAACGGCTTTTTGTCCAGTGAAAACAAGAATAGAATATTTAGCCTGTTCCGAAAGAAAAAACATCATTGATCATTCTGAAATCCATCAAGTTCATTGTCAACTGCATTTCGTTTTACTTCTCTTTTATCCGCTCAAATGAGGAAATAAAATACACAAATGTTTCATTTATTCCAAAAATTTAATAAAAATTTTATTTAAAATATTTGAACAAAAAAGAATTAATTAATCAAAAATTTTGTTATTTTTTAATTATTAAAATAATAATGTTTAATAAATAATTAAATATCGAAATTGAAAATAAAATTTAAATTAAAATTTGAAAAATAAGAAATATTTTGATGAGCAGCAATCGAATAAAAAGTAATTCGAAGAAAATAAAATTTCCTTGGCCAAATACAGTCGATTGATAACCTTCCTTGAATACGTCTTGATGCAGTTGTGATAACGAGATAAGTGCCAGAATAAAGTACCTTGAGCAAATGTTGAATATCAGACAGTAGTCCTTGCCCGTTGCTTTGGTAATGTCACAACTCGTATTTACTATTACTTCGGAAATTGGAAGAAATTTTTACTTTTTTTCAATATCGTAGGAAATTATGCAGAAAAAGAGATAAAGAAAATTGATAAAAAATGGTTCAGTATTCGAAGCAAGTGAAGAGTACCAGCATAGGAAAGTGATTCAAAGCAATTGACAATTGTCACAATTTTGCTTTGAGAATTCTCAATATATATTTATATTTTTATGATAATTTAAATTATAGGTGGACGTAGAGAAAATATTGCCTTAAATGGATCTTTAAGAAATTTCATGAGATGAACATGAGACTATTTTAATCAAAAAGAATATTTTTTATTGGAATTTTATGGTTTTCTCAACAAAAAGGAATTGCTTGGTACAGTTTTTTCCTCTTTTGTGGACCCCAATTTTGTGGACATTTTTATAAAAATTTGGGACAAAAATGTCCACAAAAGAGGAAAATAACTGTATTATACCAGGTAGATCTTAAAAAGAAAGACGCAATCATTTCGAAGGAGAATCTTTCCCTTATTGAATAATTTTTTTTGAATCACAATTTAGCTCTTTTGATCTTTTCTCTTTTGACAATATCGTAAGTCGAATATCAAAAAGCTTGTTGAAAACATCTAATTCTAGTATTGATGCCGTACTTCTAGCGACTCAAATCATAAATGACCTTTTACCGACTTTTGGCATCGGCATATTTCTCGGTTTCTTCGGTATTTTAGCTGGCAGTTACGGAATATGCGCGGCTAAAGGAATGGCTTAGAGACAGGCAATCATGTGATGACGGAAAAGTATTCCTGAGCCAAAAATAAGCAACGAAGGCGGAGTTCTTCTTTGGAAAATATAACACTTCCGGATGCTGGGTAAGTAAATCAGCAGATTTCCATTCTGATATCAGCGCGTTTTATTTGAAAGAGTTATTTTGATTGACTTTATCCAGCGTATCTTTTAGTCTGTCTTTGGTGCTATCTTTACGTTCTTTGGTCTCTTCTGGCTTTCGTTTGCTTTCTCATGTCATGTGAGTTCGGCCTTGATCTTTGAAAATATTGATGTTATTTCAGGCGGTTTGTATAGCTGAATATGGCTCTGAAGATCCAAGTGGTTTCTATAAGCTTTTAACTGGAATTGTGGAAATAGACGACGTTCAAAATCTTCGTAATTCAATAATTGACGACAACAAAAATGAAAATGATAAAGAAAAAATTTTTGGTTTATCGAAAGAGCATGTCTAAATTTTCAAGATGATTGGACTTTTGATAATACAACAAAGCCAGATGAAGATGAAGGAGGAGAAATCCCTGGAACCAAGGCTTTTATGATGGGGGAAACATTAACAACAGCGGCGCAGGAAGCATCCTCTTATGAACCAGATGTTTCGACATCAACGTCAACGACAACAAGTTCTGGTCAAACAGGAAAGGGTTCAAGGAGGAATCAAATTTCGACTCTAATTAATAGTCTATAACACATTGAAAAATCTGTCTAAATCTGGCAATTTTTTTCAGGATATAGGCTTTATTATATAGCCAATTGATTTCGTTGACTTATCCCGATAAAAGACTCAACAAGCTCAACTTCAACAACAGCCACCACCACCACCACAGAAGACGGAGAAAGAGACAATAATGGCGAAATAGAAAGTCTGCTCGACACTTATGCTAACAAAAGTAATCCTTACTCTTAACTTGCGTCTTATCTCCTCTTTTTCTTTAGGCTACGTGATTGCTTACATGTCTCTCTATTTATCTGAGCTTGTCCTTATCTTCATTCTCTTTATTGTCTTCATCATCTTAGCAAATTCCACTGGATGCTGCTTTTGCGGAAGCGGGGTGGTTGACATTGAAGGTATTCAGATTCCGTGGAAAGAAAATGGAATAATTCAGTTTCAGATGAGGAGAAGGGAGATCAAGATTCAAATGCTTCCGAATCTTCCGATGAGGAAGACAGCTCTTCTGGCTCAGATTCAAGCGATGATTCGTCTGATGAAGGACTCGTTCAATTTTGAATATTCCAAGACATCATAATTATTTATCAGTGCTTTAAGAACTATCTAGAAAACAAGAAAAAGAACGAAAGAAAGATTGATCAGAGATTTTTCGATCATGTAAATTTTTGGATTTTATCCATTTATTGAAACTGAAATAAACTTGTATTCCATAAATTTGGCCCGTTTTTATGAACTATGAAAGCACTCTTAATTACATAATCGTCTAGAACTGTTTTTGAGAATATTTCCAGATTTTTACTAATTAAACTTTACTTCGGGTCACAGTTCAATCATCTTTGCAGAACACGGGAAATGACCATATGTTGAGGCCATAAGTTCAGCGGTTTCTAGACAATTTCATCATTTTTCGAGAAAAATGAAGCTTTTAGCGGCTCTTTCTGCCTGCGCCCTTGGCCAATTCGCCGACGATCCTTATTTGGTCGAGGAATTTAATGATTTGAACAACTGGATCATTGATGTCGTGCCCAATTCCCATAACAATGAGTACCAGGTAAAACTTCTTTATATAGACGCAGCTTGTTTTATTTCAGTATTACACCGATCGATCAAGAAACGTTCGAGTCGAAAACGGCCACCTCATCCTTACCCCATTGAGAGAGCAATACGGTCACCGAGACTACACTTCTGGAAAAGTTCACTCCAAGTTTTACCAAAAATACGGAAAGATCGAAGTTCGAGCCAAAGTTCCTGGAGGCCGAGGGATCTGGCCCGCAATCTGGATGATGCCTCAATTTGATGTCTACGGTGGCTGGCCAGCAAGTGGAGAAATCGATATTTGGGAAGGTCGAGGACAGGTAAAATCAACCTCTCAAATTGTTTGCGAGAAAAATTTTCTAGAACCCGCATGATGTCGAGTCCACTATCCATTACGGTGCGATCCCCTGCTGCGACAACCACCGATACGAAGGAAGCGGTCCTCAGTACCAGCCAGAAGACATCACTGATTCCTACAACACCTACTCTCTGGAATGGACACCAACCAACATCCAAATGAAGTTCAACGGTCGACTCGTCCACGCTGTCGACATCGATCGAATCATGCAAGCTCCATTCTACAAGGAGCCAAGACAACCCTTCGATCAAGAATTCTACCTCATCTTGAACGTCGCCGTCGGTGGCAACTTCCTCGATGGCCCTGATCCATGGGACGAGTGGTATTACCCACGAGCTGAGATGTGGGTCGATTCGGTCAAACTATACGAGTACACTGGAGGCGAGAACCCTCTTCCTCAGGTCAAATGCGTCGCCAACCCTGACTCCTCGGAGCAAGAACTTTGCGGCTCTGCCAAGTGGGCCTGCTACGAGCAGAACTACGCCCCAAACATGCACCCCGCCTGCACTGCTGAGTGGCAAGACTGCTGCTACAACTACGGCAAATGCTCCAAAGACAAGGTCGTCGATCTCTGCACCGAGGTCTTTGAACAATACGACTCCCAGCTCCGAGATAACTACAGCTGCGACTTCAATGGAAATGCTTACAGAGTTTACTACTAAGCTAATTTTACTGACATTCTTTTTGAATAAAGATTCTATTCGGAATATTTGAGAATTTTGCTTTTGAAAATGTACCAATTCCAAAAGCAATAAACGGGCAGACACAGAAAGCGTTTTTCAGACGGATTTTTGCCGATTATTCGAATCATCCGTGACGTAAAAATATTGTTTTACCATTATTTTTCGGGCCGGTTTAATTATTTTAGCCCTGAATGGTTTTTTTTCAGAGATATTGATGTCATTCGACCGTCTTCTAGACCAGCGAAGGTGGACTTCAAGCTGGCAAGACGCTGGAAATGATTGATTTGCGCATCTCCGAGACAATATGCTAACATCAACATGCTTCCGACATCGTCGTCTAGGATTTCCAGATGAACGACATTTGGTTAATCATCTTCCGATTCTGAATCGTAGTTTTCTATCTTCTTTCTTGGTCAGCATCCGGTATTCAACCAAGGCTCAAAAACTTCTTATCCGCTTACTCCACAACTGAAAACGGAAATGAATGTAAAAGTTAGTCTCCTGAAAAGATGAGGAGAATAGAAATCGACTTCACAAAATTTTTTGGGATGCGTAACCATGTACTCGCGGTCTTAACCGGATAAGAACGGATATTCTCTTCTCGTAGCCGTGAAAGCTCAATTTTACCTTGAAGGAGAACTTTAGAATCTCAAATTCGATACTCTTTCAGACTCACGATACAAAAATAACGTCAATCAGTAAAAAGTTGCTTTTTATTTCCGCAGTCATTCCGTCAGTGCCGCGTTACTATCCCGTCAGTAAGCAGATGCGTACTAGGATGTGAAGTCGTGGAATCTAGCTTTTCTTCAGCGACTCTTAATGGGCTCTTATCCTCCGGGAAGGCGTTCAATGTCATTTTCTATCTCAAAATCGATTGTACTTCCGCTGTGTGCCGTTTCGCTTCGCCTAAGAGCTCGTTTTGCTTCAGATATTGAATTGAAATTTTGATTATGAATTAATTTACTCGCGATGATCGAGTGTCACAAAAGAATTCCTAAATAATTCCCGACGAAATTAAATTTATTCAGAACACATGTTCGCAAAATTGTTGACTGCAAGACACAATTACCGAATATGGAAAAGCAACCATTCTATATTAAGTAAATTTGAGACTCGTCAAAAACGGGAAAGGGAGAAACATGAGCATTTTTAGACATTGGAACAATCATAGCAGAATCCGAAAGAATACTTGACAGTTAGACTTGAACAAGAGAATCGCTTTAGTGTTACAGAATCAGAGTGTGCAAGTCTGAAAAAAATATTCTTTTACGTCAATCATGAGTTCCGGACATCTGTAAGACCAGCATGCTGCATTTTATTCATTATTTGGGAGCTTGTTTTGATTGCATAAGTTTGGGGTTGGAAACTGAATATCCTCGACATCGAATAATCAAAGGACAGTTTTTTGTCTCTGTCTGATAGATAGGGGAAATCAGTGATTTCAAATCACTAATATTTTGACTTTTTTCTGGGCTTAGCGGGGTGGGCATATAATACAGTTTTAGAAAGCCCAGGAGCTGGGGATCATTTTGATCTACTAAGCCAAGAAAAAAGTCGAATTTTTTCTGATCTCCCCTACTGATAGATAATCATGAAAATATGTTTATACGTCATTTATCGTACAGAATCTGTCCTGAAAGGAATAATTTGATTTATGCTGAATAAATTATACCTCTTGTGTCATCAACAATTGCAAATTGTCGAATTGCGTATGGATTCGCGTCTTTAAGATCTATATCTTGAAGATATAATCTTAATCATATAGATTATATGTACTCGGACACGCGCATTTTTTTCATGAAAAATCAAAATTCGGAGACTTAAAATTACCATAAATCGAGACCATGATCACATCATTGTGAATTTGTCATTTCCGAAATTGGATATTTGAAGAGCATCATCATTCTTCCTCAATTTTCCGGTTCCTTCGAGCGGCAATTTTTCCATCTCTCAGCACAAGATGGCACACGTGCCTGTGGGCGAATAAAAACGACGCTGCGCATCACGTTTTTACTCTCATTTCTAGAGAAAAAAATAGAAATGCAACTCTTTCTTTCACTCTGTTTCTTTGCTCTCGCCTCCGGGCAAACCGACTTTTGTCACCCCCGACGATGCGAAGTTTGCAAATTCATCATGATGGCAAATTGGGAGATTTCTGTTTTCCAAGACAAAGGGAAATACATGAAAAATTGCAAAAAGATCGCCTCTTGCTGCGCAAAAAAATCGCAATTCGGCCGTATGGAAATGGAAAACCAGGGCAGCAACATTAACTACCTCGCTGTTGGCATCTTTGGCAGCTTGTTTGGCTTCGCCGTCGCTGGAGCAGCCGTCCTTATGGTCAAATACCTCATTGACAAGCACAGGGACAATTCAAATTTCAACCAAATGCGGAGACAATCCAGAGCTAGGTCGATTTCTACTGACGCGCTTGAAAAACGTCGACTGACCTTGACACTGAGCAATGCCTCCGCGCCGCAGCTGACAAGAACATTGAGTGGCGACTCTTGTGGATATCTCACTCCCTTCCAGGGAATTGATACAAGCCGACGAGGAAGTGCGAGGAGACAATCAAGCCTTTCTTTCATCCGTGAATAACTGTTCTACTTTTCCTTTCAAATAAAGATATTTTCTTTCGATATTATTGATTTTAGCTACTGAGATTTTTTTAATGAGATGATTGCAGGAACTAGCTAAAATATGCTGTTCTGTGGTTAAGCCGTGTTCCTTTTGCGATTATCGCACACCTTTCAGCCATCTAGGGGTCCAAGACTTACACACAGTGCAAGAGGATGATCCAGCGAACTCATGCATCGAATGAAGAATCAACAACGGGACCCCTTATTTTCATCGTTGTTGTGTAACTACTGGTGTGATCCCATTTTTTTCGAGGAATAGAGCCGCAATAACTCTTCTCCGGAGAGCTTATTGAACCGATATGTAGAAGACTAGGGACTCTATAGATGCAAAGGATAGATTCGTACAAAGATGAGGCGTTCCTGGTTTGCTTAGCAATAGGAAGAATTTCAGCAGCTTCAAAGAGAAAGAGTCTGAGGAAAAAAATGACAAAACTAAGTCCTCAGCTCAGTTCACAGGCTTTCCAGGTGCGAAGTTTTGACCCCGACACAAAGTGGAGTGTGCCAGATTTGCGCCTGAAATAATACCATGTTAATATTACCCACGAGTCGTTGATATAAATCCGCTTAGAATATTAATAAATGTTAATTTTTTATCTCTTTTTCTGTAATATTGTCGAACCAGAACGTTGCTACGAAACGTTACATAAACTTTCCTCATCAAAACCAAATTGCTGCTTTATAACAATTTGCATTTTTACCAATTCTAATGGATGATTTTCCGGCAAATTCTCCTTGCTCATTTCCGCCCTCGTCTGGCAACAAACCACAATATAAGCTTGCCAATTTTATTCGTAAAAATTACTCCTGAAAGATGTCAATTTTCCGTTTTTTCATCATTTTCCATTTTTCTCTCGCTCTTGAATCGCATGAAATTTGCCAAGAAAACATCTGCCGAGCTTGTGCCCTAATCACAGGCTACCACCATTTCTGCATGAAAGTCAAGGAGTCAAAATGCTGCGACAGCTACAACGCCAAAGCCGAATTGAACTCAACCGAGCCGAAAAAGGACCAACTTTTTGAAGACAAGATGGAATTTACGAACAAAGATGTCATTATCATCCTTCTCGGAGTCATTCTTTTCGTGTTTTTGGTCGTCAAACTTGAAAAAATGATCAAAAAACTGTTGAAAAATCGATCCTGGAAGAAGATGAAATTCGAAAACATTGAAATCCACATCTGAAAAACAAAAAAAAATCGAATAAAACAACAAAAAATATTTCTTTATTGGCAAAAAAATAAAATTAGAAAAAGGAAAAAGCTAATTTTTTCAATGGAAGAATGATTTTTTGACGCCATAGTTGTTGCATTAGCTTTTTGATTCTTCTTGAACGGATTTCTTGGCATCAGTTGAACCCAGGTAAAGTCGCTTTGAGACCAATCAAAATCGCTCTCCTCGTTGTCTTCAAGAATCGTCCAGAACATGAAGCAAGTTTTGGTGACATCGACGGAAAATGCCTCCTGATCTCGTGGCAAAGATCTGATCAAAATAGCGAAAATCCAATGATCATCCGTCAACTTGAAATCAACCTTTTTCCATACTTTCGAATTGTTAATTTGATCGAGGACGCTTTTATCAGTGAGGTGGAAGTGCTGAATGTTGTCGTTGGAAGGGATTTTTAGAAGTTCGGAGTCGAGAAACTTTTCATCTGAACTTAGGCCAAGGTAGAAATTGGAGGCTTCTGAGGAAAGTTTGGCGGCGATAAGGAGCTTCGTCTGGTTGCCTCGTTGTTTCCAGCGAATGTGGTAGTTTGTTGTTGTAGGAACTAATAAAAATAATTGAATTCGCTCTAGCGATTTATTCTGATAGGGATGTCAGGTGGGTAGGCTTCATCTCCCCAAGAGCTTCATTTCCCCAGAGCTTCATCTCCCCAAGAGCTTCATTTGCCCAGGCTGGGGAAACGAAGCTCTTGGGGAGATGAAGCTCTTGGGCTAATGAAGCTCTTATTCGACTTTTTAAATATTTCAGAAAAAAAATCAAGTTTATTTTGAGAAATATTAATCCTTTTCAACGGATTCGTTGCAATAATAGAATAAAATCAATCTTCTTTTCTCGAACATCAAAACTTATCCAAAATATTTTATCAAAACTGTTTCTATTGAATAAGTCTTCTAGACACTGGATAGTTACCGGTTTAAACTTCGCATATTACCGTTTACTTCTTATCTTTATTTATTTATCATTATTTATTAAAAAATCCTAATTTTCGACCACCACCCCCTTAAGCTCGATTATTGTGCGATAATTATTTAGGAACGACGTTTCATAAAGAAGGAAAACGTTATTATGATGGCTAAGAAAGACATTTTTCTTTTATGAACACATATTTTAGACTTTCAAATTTAACGAAAAAAATAAGTTTTGCTGCACAGCCCTGCTCAGCCATTGACCACTAAGTACAATTCGCCCACGCAATTAAAAGCTTCATTTCCCCAGAGCTTCATCTCCCCAAGAGCTTTATCTGCCCAGGCTGGGGAAATGAAGCTCTTGGGGAGATGAAGCTCTGGGGAAATGAAGCTCTTCAGGAAATGAAGCCTACCCATGTCAGGTCTCTCTCGAAAAGTGTTCCTCAGGTTCTGAGTCTCAGGATTTAAAAGAGCACGAAAATGAATTAAAGAAAACAACGATTCAAAATCGTATCCAAAATGCTGAATAAGCTCTTGTTATCTTCAGTTTATGGCTATAATAATTATGTTCGATTTAAGTTACCTGAGTATGGAAAATCTAGAGATGCTTGAACAAGATCAAAGTTTTTCTGACTCCTTACTATCTCTAAAAATATAATTTGATAGACCAAGGAAAGCATTTCGCTTTAACTTTCAAGAGCTAGAACTGCTGAGCGCGGAAATTTTCAAACAGCGTTTCTGGCATCTGCGCGCACGTGATATGTTCCTTCGCGGTTTTCTCAAGAATTTTGATCGCAAATTACAAAATGTCCTCTTTTGGTTCACTTTATTCGATATTCTGAGTTTAATTTATTCCTTCTATCCGTTAAATAATGGATTTGAAGGAACGCGAATTTTCGATAGGAATCAGCAGTCTTCCTTGATTTCAGTTGCTTAATCCAAATCGCCTTTTATTCTAACAAGCCAATAACTAGACGTCAAAATGTCTGATAATCTTGAAAAGAACTAAAAGAAGCAAATTATCATGATCTTTACCTGAACTCAGAACAATGTTTAGTTTTAACCTCACGACTATTTGACGACCATTAGCGCTACGCAAAGTCGAAACCACCGAACTAATTTACTGACGCGAATGAAACTTTAAAAGTGAAAATGTATCGAATTTCTTCTCAAAGAGAAAGAGATGAAAAATCTCCTACTAACCGTCTTTCTCTCCGGGTCCTGGGGAGCTAGGACTACGGTCTTATGGAGCTCTATAAAGGGAAGGTACAATAGTAACAGTGAAGTCACTGTACCAGCGGGAGAAGAATGGATTCTTGATGAAAATATGGATGTCGGCACTCTTACTATTCAGGTGATTAATTGAAAAAGAAACTTTTATTGAAATTTTTCAGGGAAAATTTTCATGGCACATTGCTCGACGAAATCTTGAGCTTCGATCATTTTACGTCCTCGTTGATCGCGCTGGATCCTTTAATCTCGGTTCGGAAAACGAGCCGATGGAGCTCGATGCAACCATTTTCATCAAAACTCCTTCAAACTGGGACCCACGCAAATCAGAAGGCTGGGATAACTTCCCTTATCACCCGAAAATTGGGTCGCGTTTCTTCGCTGGCGTTGGTGGATCAAGCGTTGAAATTTACGGCAGAACCTTGGAGAGAACCTGGACTTTGCTTTCCAAGGACCAAGGAAAGTGGGATAATCACTTGTCGCTCAAGCACAGTGCCGAATCCATGGGATGGAGAGTTGGTGATAAAATAGCGATTGCGACGACCAATCGTGGCTCTTCAACCGAGCACAGGATAATCGGAATCGACGAGAATGGTATCACGATCGACCCGCAAACAGAACATAATCACATGGGAGGAATCAAAGATGTATTCGGTGTACCGGTCGAAAAAGCAGCCGAAGTCATCAATCTCAGCCGAAATGTCAAAATCACTGGCGATACGGACAAATTCCATTCCATCAAGCAGGGTTGGCACACTGGAGCATTCTGGGAGGACGATGATCTTCCAACCACTCACGTCATAAAATTTGCTGAGCTGGATCATTGCGGTCAGAATGACGTTCTTGGGCGATACTGTTTCCACTTTCACCTTGTTGGCAAATGTCCTGGTTGCGTTTACGAGGGAAACTCTGTCTACAACTCTGTCCAGGCCGCTTTTACTATCCACGGGTCGCATGAAACTAGACTTCATCGAAATGTGCTCTGGAATCCGAAATCAGTCGGGATCTACACAGAAGATGGAAACGAAATGAACAACACAATTAGCGAAAACGTCATCATCTGCGAAAATATTCTCAAATGCGGTTGGGCTCAGGGAAACAAATGGCAGGAGCAAAATGGGCTCAAAGAAGGAGGAATCTATTTCCAAGGCATGACGAATGATTTGATTGGAAATCGAGTGGCCGGAATGGAACATGGCTTTTGGTCGCCCGGCTCTGGAAACGGAAGAGGATTTGCGACGGGGAAAACATGCAATACTCATCAACCATTTGGGCGATTCGAGGATAACGTCTGGCATGATAATCAGCGATTCGGAATCTATTTGGACAATCAATATTCTAGAGACCTCCAACGAGACGATCAAGCTCATGTTTTGAAGGTATGAATATTTAACGTAATGAGTCATGAGTCATGACTATTTTATTTTCTATGATAGAACGTCATTGCTCTAGAAATTCTTCTTTTTTTAGACAAATTATGGATTGGAAAGCTGCAACGCATTCGTCAGACCCGACGGGAAAGACAACGGCTTCGTGAGCGTCATCAAAAACGACTTTAACTACCACAACATGTTTGTCGGAGGATATTCCGTCGGTGACATCGAGTTCGACGGCCTCAAGTCTGTGAACAATATCAACAATGGCTACTGGAAGCGATCAAAGAATTTTGTCGAAAAAGGCCGTTATCATGTCAAGAACTCATTTTTCCTCGCCGATCCAAATGATAATATTGGTAGCGCAACGACCCTCTTCCCCGGAGGCTCATTTACGTTCAAAATGAAGGATACAAAATACGCCGGCTGGGGAAGCCTCCAAGTCCCGCAGCACTGTGGAATTTACTTTCACAACCCTCATAATAATTTTGGTAGCACTTGTGCAGTCCAATACTTGTTCGAAAACGTCGATTTTTCGGAGCTCAGCGGTAATTATTTCCACTTTGGCCCTAGCGATGGCAATCCAATGTCCCCCACTTTCATCGCCAGCGACAACAGTATTGATGGACACAAACAAGTCATCAGCGGCAGATTGAATGGATTCCTCAAAGTTCCCAATTGCTCCGGACCGGTGAAGAAATATGGCGACGGAATTGTCTGCGAGGGGCAGAATATCCGAAGAATGGTAATTTTCAGCCCGAACATGGGTGATACAATAAAAATAACTGGGCCTGGGTATGATGTCTCACCGAATTGGGATCATCCAGTTGGAGGGACAAATGCGGGGCACATTTGGTATGATAAGACTCACGGAGGCTCAGGAATGAATCACAAGAATATTTTATCCATTCATTTTTACGCAAATTAAGATCATTTTTTTCGACAGTTCACGTCTCTTCTTTTTGAAAAATACAAAAATTTGATTTGTCAAAAGGCTGGGTTGATCATAAATACACAAATGGATATGGAATGCATGTTGTGCTCGGTGAAACGTACAGAATCTCTTCGTTGAAATGGAAAGACGATATCTTCTTCCAGGTAGGAGCGGAAATTCAGACCGTTTTAAATAAATCTGATTAAAGCTTTCCGATCCAGACCTCGCAGATGCGCTCGGAAACGATGATGAGTATGTAAATCTTGAGCTGGAACTGGAGGGATTTGTAGAATCATGCCGCCTTTCCGTTCGCGAATCGCGAGATTGGCATGATGCTGATGGGGTGGCAGCGGATGCTGAGATTTCTGAATGCTCCCAAGCTTTCCGAACACTCGGCGAGCTCGTCACGGGAACCCAAAAAGTGTGATTTTATTTTGCTGTTTTTTGGGTAGATTCTTGTTCAGACGACAACAACGACGAAAGCTCCGACAACACCGCCCCCGACTGGCGATTGCTCGCATTGCTGGGGCGCGGAGTGGGACGTTCGTTGCGAACATGGTGGAGTTGGATGCAAGTAATGGCTTGAACTTTAATGTCGATTATAAAGTTCTCTTTTAAAGCGCTTGTGGAGTTCGATATTGCAGATTTTGCGGCGGATCACCTCCATATGACATTGCTTGCCCGACTCAACCTCCTACTACAACTCAATCTACGACAACTCAGTCTTCCACAACTGACTCATCGACAACTCAAACAGGTAGAAATACTGGTAGCTAAACTTCTCATCGCCATTTTTTCCAAGGTTCGGGGAGCTCTTCAACAGTGATTTCCGAATCGACAACGACAATGACGACAACAACGACAAAAACAACAACCACCACAAAAGCGCAAGAATACGATTGCAATAAAGTTTGCGGAGGGAACACCTTTTACGATGAACGGTAGAAATAATAAAAATCTCAGCAACGAATCTGTTTTCTAGATGCTGGACCTCAAGCGATCCACATGGTGGTCTAGGATGCAATGCCTGTAACAAGCCGAAGTGCAGAATTTGCGGTGGATATCCTTACATTGATTGCCCCTGAGAATGCGTCTTCCATTATTTTCCCAATAAAGTTTTCAAAAGAAATAAAATAAATTGAAGATCTGAAAAATAAAAAGGGCAAAACTAAATGCAGTCGCTCGTGATTTTTTGAGAGCAGCGAGACGTAAAAACGTCTCTTTCGAATTATTCACGCGGAGGTCAAATATTTGCATGAATCGACAATTGGCACTTGAACCAGTGCTTACCAAAAAGACTCTTTTTTACAAGAACGGGAGATATTTTCAGAGAGAGAGTAAAAGAAGGTATGGGCGCTTCGTCATCCCTCAAGTTGGGAGCGAGCTTTTTTGTCAGCGTCGTGATTTTGGTGCTGATCGGCTCTTGGGTCTTGTATACTTATGAGAGACCAGCGGAGATTGAAAGATGCGAGCAGGCAACGAGGGCGTTTGATTCAGCGGCGATTTTGGGGGTCGATCTAACAGAAGAACTTGAAGAACAGACAAGTATGAGCATATATGATGCTGCATAATTATAAGTAGCCGTGTTCAATTTAATGGAGCTGATGGGTTTTAGGACATAGATTTTGCTAATGAAAAAAATTCAATTGATTCAAGAAATTTAATAGTTCAAGAGCCAAAAAGTTGGAAGCTTTATGGTTTTCTTTATTTTCTTCTTTCGATAGTTTCTAAATAGCGGTTTTGAAAAAATCGCTCTTCATGAAAAAAAAAGAAGTTTTTAATAAAGGACTCTAGAATTGTCGGACTTGACGATTATGACAAACGAGCTTTTCGAAGAAATCAAGCGGCAGGCTCAGGACGTTCACCAACCACTTTGCGAAGACAACTGGGACTACGGAACCTCACTTTTCAATACTGGAACTATCATCGCTTCTCTCGGTTTCTTTCACACAGGTTTTTTTGTCATCAGAAGACAAACAACAAGCATTTCTAGCACCGCAAACATTCGAAGGAAAACTGGTCGTTTCTTTTCTCGTTCTTTTCGGGACGCCGCTATACTTTCTATCGATTGGGTTGATCGGCAATGGAATCGCAAAGTCTCAGCTCAAGAAAATTGTGAATACCGGCCCTGCGCTGAAATATGGAGGCTTTACTCTTGGAATTTTGTTTATTCTCGCTTTGATAACTTGCGTTCCTGCTGCAATTATTCAGGTTGTGCAACATAAAATTTCATTTTTTGGAAAACGATTTGAGGTTCTTGAAGAAAAGATTGAATTCTTCGACGCTTGGTATTTTTGCGCTACAACAATCGCGACGGTTGGCTTCGGCGATATCCGTTTGAGGTACGTGCTCAAATATTGACTTCTTATCTTTACGACTATTCATAAATTCGCTGTCTTCGCTAAATGAATTCAATTCAGTGGACCAGCAGTTGCCGTCTGGCTCCTATGGATTTGGATTGGGCATATTTTGATGGCTGGAATTTTGGTCACCCTTATTTCTTCAATTATCATAAGGTAGAGCGTGAAAACAAGGGATTTCCGCATTTATTGATGTCATTTTTAGTGATTACAAGGAGCAACAGATGCGTGATCCTGAAGAACAGAAATTATTGACGCAAACTGATGGTCCAGCTACATATGGGAACGGGTCTGAAAAAAAAACATTCTACTCTTGGGGTTATTTTATGACTCAGAAATTATGACCCTCGAAAAAGTGGAATGATGTACCACCCAACCCTTGTTCCCGTCGGAACTTTGTCTCCACCACCACCTGGCTATGATCCGTCAGATTACAGAGTACGTCATTTCAAATTCTTACCACTAAAGAGTAGAGAGTTCAAATCATAAATAATGAGAATCTTCAATTCCTTCGGAAACACCCGTAACTAAATCCTGCTCTTGTGTCTAGACTCTAGACAAATGGATAACTTTGAAAATAGCAAAAGATTCTCATGGTTACTGATTAAATCTTCATTCATACTTCTCATCCTTGACTTCAGGCGCTTTCAACGATCCAAGTCCGGGAAGTGCGAAAAGAGCGAATTCCAGATAGCGATCCTCAAGTCGACCTTGGTTCAAGCCGAAGTACTCTTAGTGGCCATTCACCTTCGGAAAGAAGCTCAAATGCGAGTGAAGCATCTCATCCTCTTGAAGAAACTGCCTCTAGCCCTGTGAAAAAGGCTGAAAATATATCGGAGACTGAATAAATTAACAGAAATTTCCACCGAATTGTCTCAAACTGATACTTAAAAAAAGGACAAAATTGACGTCATAGAAACTTCGTAAAAAAACGCGCAAATATCATCTGACTTTCGCACAAATCATCACCACGATCTAACCCGGACCCTTTTCCTCCTCTTCTGGTGGGACTGACGCGCGCAAGAGGTGTTTCCGGCGAGTAATCCTCGCTAGCGCTCGCGAGTTTTTTCCGACCAGTGCACTTTTATCTTCCTTTAAAAACGACCATGAAAATTCGAAAGGCATCAAATCTTGGTCAATCAAGCATTCATATATAAAAAAATGAATTTCTTCTTCATTTTCTTCGCCCTCTTCACCATCGTCCAAAGCTGGTCAATCTTTCAAGAACTCGACTCTTTCGAGTCCAATCAACAGTTCCTCCGTTCCTACCGAAAATTGGCTGCTCGGCAAAGAATCATTAATCGACTCTTCTAACTTTTGATGCTTTCGATAGTCTTTTGAATAGCTCTTGCATAAAATAATTGTGTGAAAAACTCTTGAAAACGAAACCAAAAAAATATAATAAAATAGAAAAACGGAAAAAATGTTCCTTTCTTTTTCAATTTATCTTTATTTCAAGCAACATAAATATACAGTGAGCACCATCCAGAGCCCATCCAAGGCTTCATCCAGAGCCTTCTCCTGACCCAAGAGCATCAAGCCCAGCTAATGACTCTGCTGAAAATAGCTCTTCATTTTTTTTCAAGAAGAACAAACCTGAGTCCACATTTTCGTATCGCAAAACCAGCCATAAAACAAGCAGAAAAAGCGCAACCAAGCCAGCGAAACTGATTCCAACGATGGCTAAAGACAATTTCAATTGACCTTCTTTCAATCAAATTTTGATATTTTTGACAATTTTGACTTACAAATGATTTTCGATAAATCGGCCCTGTCATCAGCCCATGCCATCCGACTTTCCACGGGTTTTTAATTTTGCAATCAATGACGCAAATTTTGATAATAATAAAAAACCAGTGCCTTTGTCGAATATAAATAAGCGATCTGATGGATAAATATATCGATGCGAATCCAGAGGGCGGGAACAGGATAAATGAAAGTAGAGCGTAGTGGATGTTACTGTACAAAAGTTTCTTGTGGCAAGAAAGGCCCTTTGCCCTGACGGTACTTGAGTCAGCAATCTTTGCCTTTGAAGCCATGCTCACAAATGTCTGAAAAAAAATTTTAATTTTATTGAATAAAAGTTTTTCAAAAAGACCCTCCCCAGAATTTCCATCAAACCTTTGTTGAAAAAATCGCAGCTTTTCTTCTCTCTGGAATCTTCGATATTTCTTCTTCTTCTTGTTCTTTGATTGACAATTCTTTTTGATCAATAGAAGAATCGGGCGACTCGTTTCCAGATTCGAAGAGACCCCGACCTTCTAAATTATTTTAGAAATCAAAAATTCATCCCTTTCTGGTAGAGAATCCTTTTTCTTTGAGTAAGCGCACGTGATTCCATCTGTTTGAAGGATTAAAATTATTGAGCTGTTCAAGTATGAGCTCAATGGTAGGATTCTTTGGCTCTTTTCCATTTGTGGAAAAGAAGACTTATTCACACAAGAAGAAGATTTTTACCTGACGCAGCTGCCGAGTCACTACCGGAAGGAGCATTCGAAAGCTCGATGGAAAACAGAGTCGATAATCTGAATGAAAAAGGTAAAAAAAATATTTCGAGCGGGCTGGAAAATGAATAAGAGGGGATTTTAAGCGGCTTTATTCCGGAAGGGCTAGTTTCCTAGACCATCTAAAAGTTGATCTGTCTAAGAGAAACCATTGCATCAGACACCACTTTCTTTGATTGTCTATCTAAAATGGTGAAAGAACTTCTCACTGATTAGTCATCAGTCGGCCGCCCCTTACCCTTGAGAAGGTTAGAATCTAAGTACCCTTAGAATCCCACTACCCTTATTCTTCTCAGATCTTGTGATAATGAAAAAGATTTTTGGGGGCTCAGATAAAAGCCCCGGACTAGATGTCGATATAAGTTCGTTTTGAGTACCTTTCAGATCTCCTGCCTTCAATCAAAGACGGTCTTTTCTGCATGATTTCTTTTCTCTTGAAGTTCAAAATATGCTTGTCTGAAATCTGAGGGATGGAAACAGCTAGAATAACTGCTCATTTGCTCAAGTTCGTTAATGATTCAGAACTTTTTCTCGTTCAAGTAGGCAACTCACGCGTCATGGAACCTCTAACGACGTTAATTAATGATTCTAGCGCTCCAAATACTCCTTTTACCTCCTTTTTAAATGACGAAATTTCATCAACATAATTTTTTAATGATTTGTTGAAAAAAATGACTCTTTTCTTAATATTTTTATTAGCGAGATAAATGCAGGGCAGAATTTTGAAAGATTTTAATAAGTTAGTGAGGTTATTCAGAAAATTTTTGCTCCAATTGTAAATTTTTTAAAAATCAGTTGACTCGATTTTCGCAGTAACTTCATCATCATCAACTTGTTGTGAGCATGGGCAGACCTTTCTTGTCCAAGCATTCGAGCCACCCTAAATTCCATTTTAGTGAAATTTTCAAAGGCGAAGAATACCTTGAAGGCCGGAGAAATAGGAACATATTTCATGAAGCTCAAATTAGTGACTTTCGATAGCCAGGGAATGTCATAAGTTTCAAGTCCGTCGACATCATCATCAGATGAGCTTTGTGCCCAAGCATCGACACCCCGCTCTTTTCGAGTTCCGGGAATGGTGTTATCTAAAATGATTGCGAAAAATCCACCAATAAATGGAGCGGTTCTTGTTTTTCATGCTCAAAAATGATCCATGAAAATTTTTTTCTTTTATTTTTGGGCATCTTTCCTGAGAAGAACGACCAAAATCTGGTCAAAATTCGCGCTTCCAGTCTCAATCTTTGTCTCTGGCTTTTCAGCCCAATATTTCAACGCGATTCCGCTAAAAAGCGAGACTCCAAAAATAAAGACATTTCTAGAGCTCGACAAGTCGACATGCTTCAAGTTTGAAATTCCAACTCCGACGATAAGACCAAACATGACGAAATAGATTCCTCCGATGACCGGGTCGGGTAGAGTGACGAAAAAGGCAGTGAATTTGCCGAAAAAGCCGAGGATGAAGAGGATGACGGCGGCGGTTTGGATCATTCGGCGGGAGGCGCAGCGGGTGATTGATAAGGTGGATATGTTTTCTTATCAGCGATTTTGTAAAGAAAAAGAAAAAAAATGACAGAAAAAATGAATACAAAGAAAATCTGCAAAATATAAATCCGTTGCCTGAATAAGTCGTCGTTCCATTTCCCGAGCCGAGAATTCCATCAATGATACAAGCAACACCTTCCATCATAATCCCTCTATTAATCGCATGAACTGGTGGCGGAGGCACTTCAGAAATATCAGCAGCGGCGTAATAATCTCCAATCGATTCGAGCATTCCAGCGAAGACTCCTGACAAAAGTCCAACAAAGCCAGCTACTGAAAATGTCGGCCAACCCCATTGAAAGGGATAAACGAAGCGGAACCAAGGCGCATCGGCGATGACCTGATTTTTTGTATCTGAGAAAAGGTTCTTTCTTCAATTCAGCCTTTTTGGCACTAAAGATTTTTTTGAACCCTTTCCTGTTCTGGCTTTGTACCAGTAATGCGCAGGATCATCGAAGTTCGCCATTCCATCGCCTCCATTTGCCGCCGCTGTCAAAATTCCACATAGGCCCCAGGAAATTATCAGCGCCAGGAGAACCGGAAAGACTTTGAAAACCGGGAGCATTTTGACCTCGCATTTCTTTTCTTTGATATTTATGTACGGAACTGGAGTGTTGACATCGCGGAGATATTGAGAGAACAGAACCATGAAGCCGATAGTTATGATTGAAATTGGCCAGCAAGACGCGGACATATTCGCGGCTGGCTGAAAAAGAGAGAGACCAACGAGAGAGATGACCGGAGCGATTGCGAGTGGAGTGATAAAGCTAAGCACGACACCGATCAGTCCAGTGGCGCCAATGACGAGCTCGACTGCTGAGGCGGAAATGATCGCTCCCTTTTCTTGAGTTCTAGATTTGTTCGCCGATTTAGGTTAATTGCATGTGTGCGATTCTCATGACATTTGTTTTGATAGATTAATTGGCACAGAGCCAAGGCATTATATATTCGATCGCTAAGAAAAGTATCATTTGCGACCAATTCACGGATCAAAAAAATCTGAACTCTTTCCTGAACTTCCCGCACTCTTCTTTTCCAAGTTTCATCAAAAGTAATGATCTGCGTTCCGCAATCACCCGACCAACAAGTTTTTGCATCTTCGTAGAACTCATTCCATTTGACTTCTACCGAGTCGTTTGGCTCTTCCACAAATCCTCTGCAGTCTTCCATGGACTCGTCATAGCAGCAATTGAGAGTCTCATGTGTGAAGAAAAGGGTCTCGTTCGAGAGAAGGGATGAGCTTGTGATATTCGAACTTGTACATTGAACGAGTTTCTTATTATCGCAAAGAAACGGCGCTGTCGCCATGAGCGCAAAAGTCGGAGTCAAAAAGGAAAATGTCCCTCCTTGAAGGATCGGCAGACGATTTCCAAACGTCGCTTGGATGAATGTACAGATGCCGCTGCCGACGAAGAGGGTTGACATGAGGTAGCTTTTGGCGAGGTTTGATTGGGGATCATCCCCGAGGCAGAATGCTGGCGCGAGAACGAGTGGAATGGCGACAGTGGAACCAAGACAGGTTAAAAAGTGCTGAGTTCCTAAAAGAATGCACATGTACCATGGCGGAACATCTTCTGGTCCATAAATCAGCTTGTCTCTTTTTCCCATTTTTTCCGTTTTCTTTTTTCCCTTCTCTACTGAAAACTACACTAGCTTTTTGATTGAAGCTTCTCAATTTTCGTTCCCGTGTTCAGGTGCTTCTTTTTAAGACCACTGAAGTTTTATTATCTCATTGTGCTCGTTTAATAAGCTTTAGAAAAATATATTTGTGTTTTCACTACTCGGGGCGTTGACGCGTAATATCCCGCATTCTTTTTGAAGCACATTTAAGGCCGAAGTGCCCAGGGGCAGGAACGGGTCCTCGAAAAAGGTTGAAATATTTGAAACATAAATTTTTGAAAAATAATCATTCAAACGACCATCTAAAAAATAACGCTGATTGAAAATAATTAGTGATTAGTTAATGATTAGTATGACTCATAAAATTTTATTCATAAACATGGTTACAGTGAATTCAAATCAGAGCTCGTCTAGGCGCGGTCTTTGCCAAAGGTGTGCCCGATTCATCAAAAACACGGAATAGATTCTTTCCATCTGAAAAAAACAAGAATCGAGAAAGCGAATCGTTATGAAAGCCGCATCTGGAATCTCCCTCGCAGCCTTCTTTGTCTGTCTAGCTGTCGTAGCAGTCACTGCGGAAGTCGAGCGGGAGCACTTTTCCAATGTGCCTCAGGTATGATAGTGTCCTCCTCAAAAACATTACTCGCCATCTAGTCATAAAATTCACCTTTTTTTAGCATGTTCAAAAACGAGCAGCAAACGAAGTAGCAGAACTCTTCCGAAACTATATCGATGCGGATTTCAATCATTTTGCTTAGGGTTGAATAATTGCCAAGACATTATTCTGTTCATACGGTATGAATCATACCTTAAAGTAATTCAACCTTTTTAAGACCGTGTCTATGGCAGGATAATGTCTTGGGTAATTCAATACTTTTCATATTTTTATGTCAAAATAAGTGTTATATGATTGCATCCGTTATTTACGACCTGTTCAAACATACGCTGCCGGAATTGTCGACAATTTTGGAGACATGATCGAAGACGTCATCGATCTCATTTCTCAATTCTTTCCTGCTGCTAAGGATACCCTCGGTAAACATTTTCTAGCGCCTGGAATTCAGAACATTTTGTTATAGAGATGGTATGGCGAAGCATTCAAATGTTCATCTGAAAGTCAACGCGAAGTCAACTGTTGATTATTAATAAATACAGTAATTAGATGAATCATAGCTTTTATTTTTGATAAAGTTTATTCAATACAATGAGTATGTACAGTGGGTAAACAAATAAGTAAAGTTGGAAAATATAAGTTTTAATTTTATCTTCCTCGTCGTGAAAGTGCTTCTTCAGATTTTCTTCCATGTCTTCAAAAAGATGATGATTACCTGGATCGGATCTCGAAAATATTATTTTTTGAATTTATCTTCGACAATCGAAAATCTGTTTTTAGTGCGGGATTTACGATAATATAACAATTAAGAAATTTACAGGTGGTTTATGCATAAAAACGAAAATTTTTCGGGCGAAATTTTTCATTTCAATTTTGAGAGAAAATTTGAAATCGATAAAAAAACACTCATTATTTCTTTCTCTTACTCATTTTGGAAAAAATATCTCAAATGGCAGGGTAAGTTCAATATAAATTCTGTAAAAATGATAAAAAAAAGTCTGACTGTTTGAAAACACTGGAAAAATTTCTCCTCCGAGAGATCGAAAATTGCGAAAGTGATGGTTGGGCGAGTTGCTTATTTTGGTGAGTGTTTGCCGTTGTTGAAGGACAGGACTTTGAGCTCGTCATACCTAAAGATAAATTGAAGGTTTTTTCATATTTTATTAATAAAGACATCTAAGAGACATTTGGGACATCTAGAGACATTTGTGGATATCTAGTATCGTTCTAGGTCATCTTAAGACATCAAGAGACATCCTGTCAAATTAAAAGACATCAAGGGACATCAAAAGACATTCTAAGAGACATTTGAAGACATTTGAAGACATTTGAAGACATTTGAGGACATCAAATGACATCTAGGGACCTTGAATTCGGATCTATTGACTTACATATTCTCAGAAGTAACCACTGGCTCATCGACGAGCCACTTTGGCATTTCTTGTCCTGAGATGCATTGATCATCGTGAACATTCATCCACCACCAGCTGGCGACGGAAGGAATGATCTTCTTCGGGAAGCCGAGATTCTTTCGCTTCTTGACTTCCTTGCAGACGCCGCAATACATTCTTTCAGTATTTTTTGAGGCGTTGGGCTCATCAGGATCAGCTTCAGCGAATCGCCAGGAATGGTACTCCATGTAACTAGAAAATAAGATTATTGAAGAAAAATAGTTTACTGAAGATCTTATTTTTCGGTTGAAAATAGAGGTTTCGGCCAAAGAGCGACCCTTTTCCAAAATTCAAAAGGGGTACTTACGCAGTCATATTTCTGTCCAAATAGTCCAAGTACTTGACAAGCTCGTGGGGCGAAGAATAATCCTCGACGTGAATGTACGAATTTGGCGGTGCCACGGCCTTAGAACAAGATTATTTACAGTTTCATCTTCCGTTTCTTACCTTGACATCGTCTGGGTGAGGACCGTAAACGATGGGGACCATGAATTGATTCAACGAATTTCGCCAGAACTTTTCGGACATGTAGTCGTTGCAGTGGATCGAGTTTTCGAAGGCAAGGTAGAACTAAAATTCAGCGCTGATTTCGATTTCGAAAGATCATGGTTCTCACCTTGTACTTAGTAAAAGGACCGTAGGTATCAGTATCAAAACTGGGCTTCTTCCATGGAGAATCGACAAGGACATTGTCGTAGCACTCGCCGTATCCGTCGAGCTTCAAGCCGTGCTGAAACGGGTTAAAATCCATGCTCCTCAAAAAATTTCTACCTTGACGAGTCGATCAGTAAACTCTTTTCGAACAACGGCTCCTCGTGTTTCTTCGCAGTTGGACACCAACCAGGCAGTGTGATTTTCACCAGTTGGTTGTTTCAATCGCTGGATGATCTTCATGATTCCTTCTCCGCTAATTCGCTCGATGAATTTTCCTTGACTTTTGTTCTGAAAGAAAGATAAATTTCACAATGTAATTTTGGAAGAAATTTTCTCAGAATAGCTCCGGGAAATTGATCAAATAGATGAGGATAAACTCAATTCTTTATTTTTTCTACGTCATCTCGCGAAAGCTCGCTTGACGTTCATCACGTAGCCAGAAAAAATAATCATCAATTCTTCCACTTTCGAAAGTTGTTTCGAGTACTTACGTAAGAATATCTAGCATCTTGAAGAGCGGAGTTGTAGTCGCCATAGGGTCGTGGGACGTCGGAATCAAGACGGTAAGAAGAGGTCAAGTTGAAGGAGCGATCCCACTGGCCTTCCATTTTCGCAGCTCCGGCTCCGGCATTCTGGATAAAAAAGGTTTAAAAATGAGCTTGAATTGTACTAACAAAATGTTGTTTTTAATTTTGCGTTTATAATTAAGCTACTTTATTTTCAAAATAGACAAGTGATCTTTCTCCCGATATTGTCTGCTTTCCATTAAAACAAAATAAGTGTTTTGAGTCGAAACAAGCTAACATTAGTAATTAAAGTCAAGAATTAGCACTTCTCGTTTTTTGGAACGTGAAGCCGGCAAACGATTTTTGAACACGATCGTGTCAAAAATAAATCTTTCTTGTTTTATATTTATAACGCGCCACGTTAGAAAAAACTGTTTGATGAATTAAGGGATCGCGGGAGGGATTTGACTCACCTTGGAAGCAGCTTCGCGGGCGAAGAATACCCAGTATTGGTCCTGGTTTCGGTTGTAGAGGTCTGGGACATCATCCATGTGTGCGAAGTATCTGAAAATGGCGAATAAGTAATCTGTTAAAATGAAGTAGCCGGATTTGGCAACCCTAATTGAACTAGAATCAATTTCCTTATCACCCTTTTTGCGGCGAAACAAGCTGTAACGCGGTTGAAAAACGTGAGTCTTCTTACGGTCAGGGCAATGAGGAACGACTCGTGCTCATTTATTCCTTATCGCATTTTAAGGATTTACCTTGTGTTATCAAAGATAATCGAATGAGCCGTTTTTTCGGTAGTTCTGTCGTTTGTTAGCCAACAGCCGCCGCATCGTTCTGGCAGTTTTCGTAGTGTTTTTCGCTCTTCGAAGGATGGTGAGACGCCAGACCAGTTCTGAAAAGGAACAATTGAAGTATAATTTATACTGTATAAAGCATTCAGGAAATAGCCCATTGGATTGAGAAGATAAGCCCTGTTAGTGCTATTTGGCAAAGTTGTTGGTCGCGAGTTAAGCGTACCTCCGACATGGAAGAACCTCTTATCTGTCCGGAGATAACCAAACTCAGGAGGAGAGGGAGGCAGGCTTAGAACAAGACTTGTTCGCGTGATTAAGGGTCTCCCACGTTGTCAGTGAAATAAAAGGAAGTAAGCGATTAGTTTTAAAAAGGGGAAAAATTGAACAACTTTTCAATTTCAAGTAGATTGAGAGCTGTGATTTTAGAAAAAAAGAGTTTTCATTCCTTTGGCTCGAAAAAACAGAAGTCCAAACTGTATTTTCAAAACAAGGACCGTTTAATGATCGCTTCAAATTCTCCGCCACCTCAAAACTGGGCCGGGTAAGGAAAAAATCCGCGCTGCCGGATCTAATAAATCCTATCAGGCACGCAAGCTCTTAGAGTTTTGAGGGTCGGAATTCGAGCCTCGAGACGTACTAATTCCAACGTACTTATAAGAGCATTCTACTCTTAATTGTCGCTTTCAAGGGTGTCAAAATTGGAGCTAGAATTCTCCAAAAATGAGAAAAGTGATGATAAAGCGTTAAAAAGACTGTTTCTTCCTAGACAAATTATCGTCTAAAGCACTTTATATTTTGATTGGAGCCATGAAAGAGGAAGCCACTTGGGGAAGTCTAAATATTATTTCGGATCTCGTCTTGCGGCGTAAATTATAGAACGTGTTGCGAAAGGGTTCATCCGAGCCCTCTCCTGTGTACTTAGACCAGCGTAAATACTTAAATATGTGTTGCTAGCGCAATTCTTACTCGCAATTCTTTGTCTTCGATAAACGAGACTTTTTGAAATGAAGGGGTTTCCTTCTGCTGAAACTGTCTCGACAAATTGTCTAGCGATTTAATTTGATTTAAGTTTCGTCCATTTTCTAACAGCCAGGCAACCCCCTTAATCCTAAAATTACGCGCTGATCTCACGTGTCAGCAATTAGACATCAGCGGATTTATTATAAATACTCGAGTCTCGAATTTCCGATGATCTAATTCAAAACTTCGCTTCGAAAAATTTCCTCTCCCCCTTCTCTTTTTTGTTTTTGATAGAAAACCTCATATCTAGGTTGGTGCCTTATCGGCGTAAGAGGTTATCTTATTTTTGGTCGGAGGAAACGGGCAGATCTTAGTCGGAAATTTCACATCATGTTATCTTTTTTAGGTAAGAGATGGTGTACTTTGAAGGTCTTAGAGGGCATAAATTTGGAATGATTAGGGATAGGGTCAGTTTTATTATATTATATTATATTATATTATATTATATTATATTATATTATATTATATTATATTATATTATATTATATTATATTATATTATATTATATTATATTATATTATATTATATTATATTATATTATATTATATTATATTATATTATATTATATTATATTATATTAAAGTTTCCCAATTTCTTCGAAAGCACATAACCTTTCCCGTTTTTCCCTGTTCCTTGCTAATTGCCCCACCTCATAATCCATTCTCGGTGGTTCAAAAGACCCATTCCGTAAAATATCCTTTCGTTCAACTCAAGCAATCGCCTTATTCTCAAAATATAATTACAAACGTGCGAGGCGTTGCATTTTACCGTTTTTTCACAAACAAGTGAAAAAGCTTGTCTCCTCTCGAATTCCACTTGCGGAATGTTTCCCTGACCCCCTCTGCCCGCGCTAGAATTTCGACAAAGACCGTAGACTCACCATGATAAGCGTAACATCTTCTTCTTCTTCCATCAGTTTTTCTTGCTCTCTGAGGGCTTTCGCATGTGTTTTATCGTCAGATTTCTTCTTGTCAATATTTTTCGAATGTGCAACTCTCCACGGTTTGAGGGACACGGCCTGAAAAGGAAAAACGGTAATTCAAACGATGATTTTGCAAGGAGCTTTCGAAAAAACACGTAACGACTTGTGTTAGCTTGTGATTTCAAGTCTTAGCAATTTTTTACGGTACACCTGCGGAGGCTCCTTTAGAACCGCTTTCAAAAATATTGACTCAATTTGCTGCGAAAAGTTCAAAATTCAAAAGCGAAGGTGTTAAAAGAAAAATGATCCGTTCAGCAAAAAAAGATGTAAAAAAATATTTAAAAATTATAAAAAAAATGACAAGAAAAAATGACGAGAAATGAACTTTCTATTCTCGGCTATGTAAAATGCATAGAAAGGACAATTTGTTAAGTACTAAAACCATTTTTGGATATGCATATCATATGCATAATAAATAAGGACACGTGAAGGTCGAATTTTAAGCTCCCAAAATATATACAGTCCATTATTACACGGTCAAAAGACACTCTTTTCAACAGCAAGATGCCTCTTATTAGGAGAGATATTGTAATAATTGATTTAATTACTACCATGGTATTAGGACAATTAATACCATAAATAAGGGAACACGATTATTGATGTTTCCCTTAAAATAAAGATAATTGGGAGAAAATAAAGTTGCTCGACGAGCTTTTTTGTTTAGAATGATATTTATTGAGGCTTCCGCAAGATCAATTATTTAACTAAATAAATAATTATAATTTTGCCTGAGGGGCGTGCCGTCGATAGCTCAGTTGGCAGAGCGGGAGACTGTAGAGGGTTAGCAGTTATCTCTAGGTCACTGGTTCGAATCCGGTTCGACGGAAACCTTTTTTGTTTCGAAAGGGATGTTGCTCAAAAACTCAGAGGACCTCAACTGCGCTGCGGTTGATAAGAGGATTCTTATCAAGCCAGCTATAAGTTTTTGGCAAAATGGACCCTCTATTTTCAAAGTGCTGTTTGATAATTTGGCAAATTAGCAACTGATAATAAAATAAATCGCTGAAATCTGTAAAGGATTTTTCTTAAGCGAAGTGTTTCTGTAGAACCAGAAAGAATTCAGAATATTATTCGGCGGGGGTACTTGAAATAAACGTGCGCTGAGAATCTATTCTAGCGTTCTGAAAAAGCTGTGGCTCGGCGCACAAGCCACTGGAATGCTCGCTCCATAAAGACGCGCGGATGATAGATGGGCTGAATAATTTCAAATTTGCACTGGCTCCCCCCGGACATGCATTCTAGCGATTTTGAACAATGTCAACCCAGAGGCTGGAAAATTGACAATCGAGCGAATCATGTGGAAAATCGAATTTGACCTTTTTCGGAACCGATTTCTGGTTAACAGATGCCTCAAATTTTGATCTAAACATTTTCTTCCATTGATGAGCTTCTTGATGAAAAAAGTCAGAAGACACTTTCATCAAAAATTTAAAAACGATCAATTAAAAAAATTTTAAAAGAAGTCTCTTATCAAATTGTCCAAAACAAGATAGCAAAAGTAAAAAGATGATAAAATTTGATTGATGTTGACTATATCAACAGTTTCACGTTCCTCGACAACTTTTTTGATGAAATTTTCCTAAGGGGTGTCACTTGAAGACCCCCGCCGGATTCTTTCGAAAAATTCGAATCTCGGAATTTTTCAATTTTGATCCCGGATATCAATTTGACGGGTCAAAAGACGATTTTAGTGCTCCATCTTTTGGGGGTCTATCTCGACTTCTTCACCCCAAAAATCCAATTTGAAAATAAGACTTTTGAAGAATTTGCCCTACAGTTAAGTTAGTAAGTTGGGCAAAAAAATTGATTCTTCTTGGTCAAAATTCTTCCTTTCTACACAATAGCGCTAATCGGTAGAAATTTTATACCGAGAATTTGCAATTTATGGTAAAAAAAATCGTATTTTTACCTCAGTTGTGGAGAAAAGAGCGAGGGTAGCAGCATTAATCTTCATTTTTTTAAGTTTTTGAGTCTTTAGTTTTTCGTTTCTCTTGAAGTCTTCTTCTGGTGATCAGGCAATCAAGCTGGTACTAATGGGACTCTCTGACGTTTCTAGTTTGATGAATCGGGCGAATTAAGGAATTCGTATTTTCTTTATCCAAGTTTACGATTTCTCAATTATGCGGCCCGGATCCGTATCGTTCTCGATCAAAAAAATTTATCGGAAGATTTCGGAATTCACAAATTTCAAAATGCTAAAGAACGAGCGCGGGGTTGAAGGGTCTGGCGTGATAGGTGGCGCTGTGAGCGATCGCGCGCGCTCAGGATTTTGACGCTTAATGACTTGTTTGGAAGGAAAATATCATATTGTTCATTTGAAATGCAGGGGGCAATTAGACATGTTCAGGAATACAGAGAGAGAGGAAAGACAGACTGATCCCATAACAAACGGGAGAATAATTATGCTGTTCTCTTGAAATGCAGGGGAAATTGGATATTTTTAAGAATACAGAGGGAACAAAAATGGACTGATCTCACCACAAGCGAAAGAAGAGTTCAGCAAGAATTTTCAGAGTTTTGCCAGTTCAATTTAGCTTGAACTGAAGTTCAATTATTTTCAGAAAAAAAGAAGCCAAATTCTCTTGAAATCTAAGCTAGCTCTTTTTCGTTGAAAGACGTCAGTGCAAGTATCCTCGTTGAACATGACAATCTTCGTTGTTCTACTACTAGTAGACTACTGGCAGTAGTAGATAATTTTGACATGAGCATGAAAATACCCGAGAAACTCATGCAATCGAATCAAAAATAAAATAAAATTATTATAATTATCAAGAGACGTGGGAATCTCTCATTCTGCGGCCGAAACCGAGGATAAATAGATTTCTTGTTTCTAAAAGTAAGGTTGTTCAATGCTGTCAATTCAATATATTATTCGAAAATTGATAATAATAAAACAAGCGCAATTTTAAAAAGTATATGTTTCTAAACAAATTTGGCCAAAATAGATTTCTTTATCGTTTTATTTATAATTTTTCAATATTTCAATCATTGAGATACAGTTATCAACGCTGAAGCTTAATCCTCATTGAGCTTATCCGGGTATTTAGGGTTCGATCTCCAGTGAGTCCAGCCGTCCTAGGAAAAATTTTTTTATCAGTAGCGAAGCTTCCTATCGTTTTTGAGACGTTTTTTAGTTGTTGATATCCCTTTCTTAACATGATCAAAGTCATATCTTGTACTTCACGTTTATTTTGTACTCTTCCTTGAGCACTTTTTGAGGAGTCTTCCGATTCGAAAAAAGGAGCTCCCCATTCAAAACCCAAAATAGGCTCCAAATTCTAGTGCTTTTGAAGGGGTGGTATCACGAATCGACAACAAATTTTGAAAAAATTCGACAATTTTTGCATGGGCGGCTACTCGGCTCCTGATTGGCCGGTTGCCCGAATCCAGGCTTCTGATTCGTTGAAAATTTCAACGCAAAATTTGTCAGGATTTTTGAACCCAGAGTCAGCAAATTAGGAAAATTGATAAAAATAGGATCCTTTTTTTGAATCTTTAAATGCTAAACATCGATTTCAAAGAATAAATTATTGAATGGGGACTCCGGAAATTTTAGACAAAAATTCAACTGAGAGGTCTATTTTCTATAAAGCACCACCTTTTGCGAAATAATAACAAAGAATTTTCCGTAAAGAAATCAGAGAAGGGTCGAAAAAGCCATGAGCAGCACGAAAAAGCCCATTTTCTGTTTGACACCCTTAAAAAAGGCACCTTGGAAGCAAAAAAATTTTCAAGTAGAATTCGGACAATTCCGGAGATTTGGCGCTTTTTCCCGAAAAAAAAACTTCCGGAATTGTCCGTTTTGTCTGTATCTATAATTCCTGCATTTTTACAGTATCAGGTTGATGAAAGACCATTTTAATGCCATAATTAATGATATCTACAAAAATAATTGTTATGAAATCAAATTATTCAGATAAAATGAACTTTGGTCATCTTTAATCTAATATTTCGCGCTTGATCAATAATTGAATTAGCTATAAGTTCGATGTAAAAAGTCCGGCTTTCGACAACAATGTTTATGTGTATTGTTACAATGATGGGTTCCCGTTTCTTTTTTCGATTTCCCGCTGCGCGAGTATTGACTCTCAAATCATGTTTTGATGGAAAACGCTGCTCATTTAGTTTATAATTTTGTTCTGCGGAATCGCCTGGTTTGATGTCAAAACGGGCCCCTTTCAATAACAAATGGATTTTAACGAAAAAATGGCCACACTGTTTTGCTTTTACACTAGCGACGCGCTTGTTAGCCTTCTTTGCTCCATTTAGCTTTCACTTTTTAGCTGCTTCAAATATTGTTGGTTCGCTGCTTATTCAATTTTCTTTTTAATTTTTAAATACGTTAAATTCATCAAGTTTATTTTCTTTTTGCACAAAGAAAAGATTAAGCGTCAATGAGCATTTTCCCATTTGGCTGAGCCCTCCCTGGCGCGATAAAGCAAAGAGAAAGGACTGCTTCAGCTCCATCTCGAGCAGTTTTCGGCTAAAAATTTCAGCGAAAAAAAATTTTTACTGTCTGACCTTTTGACGAGAAACTCCAGCAGTCATTTCAGTATCGCAAAATCCCGGGGAAACGGAATTTATCAACACATTTTTCCCCTGAGAAATAGCTTTTTTACTGTACAGCCGTACGAAATTGTTGACCAGTAGCTTCGACATCTCATAACCTAGAAATATATCGGGTCTCAGAAATTGAGAATGTCATATTTTTCTTGTCGTTACCTATCATGTCTGTCTGGTTGGGGTCTGGCCCAGAGTTGCAAATTTTGGTTTAATTTTGCTGAGCTGAGCTGAGCTGACCTTCGTTAAAAATTCTCTGAGCTGAGCTGGCCTATTTCGTAGCTCAATGAGCTGAGCAGACCTTTTTTAGTTAGTTGAGCTTAGCTATGCTGAGCAGAACTGATCATATTCGAAAATTATTGAGCTGAGCTGAGTGATAATTGTCTGAGCTGAGCAGATCAGATCATTTTAGAAAATCAATGAGCTGAGCCAGCTCAGCTCACTCAGCTCAACAAATTTGCACCTCTGGTCTGGCCAGCCATCAGCTTGAGCTTGAGAAGGATTTTTCTGACTTTCAACGAATTTTTTCGCGATTTCGTCCAATTCTTCCAAAGAAGGATTCGAAGAAAAAATTCTTCAATACAATTAACAGCGGGAAATCTGTAAAAACTCACGATGATAGCTTTTGTGTGTATTCATTGACAAAATTGCCCTTCGAAATATTTGGATTTAAGTTGAGCATTCCTCGCAGTGCATAAACACTGGAAAGGACCACAATTCGGGCTCCGTCGCGAGCAAGAGGGAATAATGTCTTTAAAACCGATGATATTCCAAAATAATTTACATCTATCGTCTGTTTCACGCTCTCAAAAGATTTCTCTGTCAATTCCGGAGCTACTCCAGCATTCAAAACCAAAATATCAAAAGAGCAGGGCCCAATTTTCTTTCCAAAGCCCATCACGCTTTCTTCAATACTAATGTCCAGCGTTTCTACTTGCAATTTTCGAGAGTTTTCTAGGTCCGGAAATTTCTCTTGGTTTCTTGCCGTTGCAACAACTTTCTGAACATCTTTCTCTTCGATCAAAAGTTTGACGAACTCGAGTCCGATTCCACGATTGCCGCCAACGACTATTGCGGTTTTCATTTTTTTTTTGAGTATGATATTTAATTTTTTATGTATTCTTGGATCTATCAGGAGAGGATGAAGAACAGACACCTTTACATCCGGTTAAAAAGTAAACATTTTTCATTTTATTAATTGTAAAAATAATATCTTTAGAGGAACAAATGTATATGCCTTTTTTCGTTTTTTTGCACAATTTTCAATGATATTTCGCCTCGCACATGGGCGAAAAATTCGCTTAGCTTTCGCGTCGCAAAAAATTTGAAAATAAAAAGTTCGCTTTTGCACTAGGATTTCGGCTGATATTTAGACTCCTGGCTAAGGTTCTTCACAACCGAAACCGTTTTGATAACATATCAATATAATAACATCAACTTCAAGCACCACTTCTTTGATAAGCGACCATAAAAGAAGCGCGCTCAAAAAAATTTCTTCAAATAATGAAAGTGATTTCAGTCGTTATAATTTCCCTGCTTTCCATTTTTCTCTCCGGCGGTGTTCTTTTCCTCGTCTTTTGGCAGAAAAAAATTCTCGAAGAAAAAAGCAAGGAAGAAGCTTCGAACCCGTTCGAAATTACACAAGTTAATATTACACAAAATATGCCTCCAGATTATATTCAATAAATTCTGATTCCAAAAGTTGTCCTCACTTTCTTTCGTTTTCTGTCTCTAGCAGGTCATGCAAAATGCAAAAATCACGTGATTGGTGGAACATTCAGAGCTTTCAAGGGTCAAAAAAGACTCTGGAACAAAGAAAGAGGCTTTTCTTGTGATTTTTCTTAGTTGCTCTTTTTTGATTGTGTTCACTTTTAACATCAGATGACGCATATCCGCATGAAATAAGATTAAAAGAGAAAAAATATTTATTTACAGAAAAATGAATAAATAAGGTAAAAAAATGATTAAGGATTTTTTAACAAATGCAAGCATTCTAGATCTATTTATGGAAAGAATATGTTTGTTTCTGAGTAGAATTAGTTTGAAAATGTATTTTTTCTAAGAAATGCTCCCGCTTGTTTTTGTAACAGTTGGTGTTACTCGCGATTTTATTCTATTTTTGAGGAGTAATGCTGAAAGAAAGCTGAGAATCAGAGACATGAAAGTTGAGCCCCTAGAAACAGCGTCAGACACAGAAAAGGCTCCGTATCCCTTTGGTTTTGAAATCAGATGGCCGTGGTATCGAAGACTCCAGGTTTCTTTTATTATTCAAATTTTTTTCGCCTAAAAGTAACTTAAGTTTTTCTTTGGATGCTTTACGATTATTCCATTGAGGATTATCGGCGAGGTTTACAAAACAGAATAACAAAAACTCGATCTTAGATCTTTGTTTTCGATTTGATAAACTAATTTGCTTTGTTAAACCAAAAAAGGACTTTCCATAACCCTACCAATATCCCTGGCATTTGCGAACATCGTCAAAGCTTCAGCAGAAAAAGGCGCAAAACGATCACAAGTTTATACGAAATGGTACCAGCTCTTTCTTATCAAACTCGTTCTATCGGAACGGCTCTTTAACAACTCGCCGATTGGAAATAATTACAATAATTCTCTTTTCAAATTACTGCTTGAGCCCGTGTGAAAGCTGGCCAAATTTCAAATCTTTATCCTCGGCATTTCCATCGATCATAAAGGCGAGCCAGCATCACGTGACGAGGCGCCGATGATAGTTCTAGCGCCGCATAGTACGATCATCGACGGTATGTTTCTGCCTTACCATGGAATGGTTAGCGGAACGATCCCGAGTCCGATTTCAAAGGCGGATATTCATAATATGCCGATTGTTGGAGCGCTCATGGCAAGGTTTTTAAATGTAAGAGACAAAAATAATCTTCTCTGGTCCAAAAATGCTGAAAAACCTGGCTTAAGACATGTGCAACCCAATTTACGTCGAAAGGGGTGATCGAAAATCTCGCTCTTCCGTCGTCCATGAAATCAAACGCCGAGTGAATATAGAGCAACCCTATCCTCAGCTCGCAATTTTTCCTGAAGGAACAAACTCAAACAGTCAAAGCTTGCTCGCTTTCAAGATCGGCGCTTTCATCCCTCGAGGTAATTTCTTGCAAAAATTGCTTGTTAACGATTCTCCTTCAAGTGCCGATCCAGCCAGTTTGCTTGTCGTTTAATTGCTGGAATACGATCGTCTGGACTTTCGAAGGACCCTCACTCATCTGGTGCTGGTTGTTCACCCTCTCTCAGTTCAGAATACAGGTATTTTCGCTAAATCTAATGACCCTGTTTCTCATCATTAATTTCAAGTTGACTTTCAACTATCTGCCCGTCGAAAAGCCGCTCGATAATGAAGATCCAGCTTCATTTGCCGAGCGAGTTAGAGTAGAAATCGGCAGAAGAACAGGACTTGCTCTGTCGAAACTTACCTTTGAAAATGGCCTCATCAACGAAGAATGCAAGCGACTTGGATTGCCAAGAGAAACGATTGAAGAAAATGCTGAGAAATTGATGAAAGCCTGCGAGTTGAAAATCAAAGACATCTACCACCGGCTTCAAGAATTCAAGGATTTGAGAAATGCAAAAGAAAATTTGATCACTTTCGAGTCGGTTAGTCGAGCTGTTAGAGGAGAAACACCATCAGAGAAGCAGTATCTTGAAAGGAGGGGAATAACTAAAGGCTCTTCCATATTGAAGGACAACAGTTATTATTCCTTGAAGATTCAAGAAGCTGCTCAGCGAGAATAATGGCCAACTTGATGCAGTTTCGTACATCAAAAATCACATAGCCACTTTTGGAGATTTGGAAGAAAAAATTCAATGGAGAAGGCGCATTTCTTCCATGTCACTTTTAAATTCTTAATAAATTATTTCTAATTCTGTAAGCTTCGTTGTTTAGTACTCAATAAAAGCGTTACAATCTTGGCCAGTCTGCGGTGAACATAAATTCGCCACTAAGCCGTTTACACTGAATTCCTGCAATTGTTTTCCCGGCGATGCAAATTTGTCAGTCATTTTGAGAAATGCGGGAAGCAAACAGGTATGAAATGTTAATCATATATAAACTTTTTTTATTGAACATAGGAAAAGCCCTAAGAGCTTTTTGCATAGAGCACGTCGCTCATCCTTTCTTAGTGGAAATTATTGTAAAAATAGAAATCAAAATCTTTTTCACAGAAAAAAATGAGAGAATAGAAGAGCTGAAAAATGGAACCTGCATATTTGAAAAATCCGAATAGAGGGTAAAGTAGAAGCCTCTAGAAAAATAATTGTAAACCCTAACCCTACTCATTACCCAAAAAATGTGTCTCTGTTTTCGTGACATTTTCAGCAAAATCGTGACATTCGCGATATTCGTGACATTCGTGACTTTCGCTACATTTTCAGTACTGACCAAAATTTTGGTCCCTTTTTTGAGTCGACAATAGTAATCGATTTTTTTCTAGAGATGCCCAAATGGGCCGAGACTACGACTTCTTTTTGGTAATGAATGCTTGTATGGTTTTATTCATGCAATCTGGATTTGCCCTTCTCGAAGCCGGAAGTGTAAGGGCCAAAAATGTGACCAATATTTTGATCAAAAATCTCCTCGATGTTGTTGTCGGAGCAATTGTTTATTGGGCGTGCGGCTTTGCTTTTGCTTATGGGAAGGTGAAGAGGAACGATCATGATTACGCTAGCAGCAATAGTTTTATCGGCTTTAACCATTTCTTTCTCTATCAGCCAGGTAAGGCGGTGCTAGAATATCTTCTGTTAGCGATTTAAGAATTTGAATTGATTGAAAACAAACAATATCCCGTGCGAATTATTCATGGTGGCTCATTTTATGGTACTAAGGGCTTCAACGAATCGATATTCATTTTATAAATTTTATTTTTTGTGCATTTTTGAGCTCTGATGGTGAGTTTTTCTTCAATTTCGTCTTTGCTGCTACTGCAACGACAATCATTTCCGGCGCTGTTGCCGAGCGAGTCGAGTTTTGGTCGTATCTCATTTATGGAGTCATAGCTACAGGTTTCATACAGCCAGTTGCCGTCCACTGGGGCTGGTCGAATGGATGGCTTCTCTACCCACCGGAGATAATACGACTTCCACCGGCAGTTTGGTATCGCGATTATGCAGGAGGCGGAAATGTTCACGCCGTTGGAGGGATCGCAGCTCTTGTAGGTTGCGTTTTCATGGGACCAAGAGAAGGTCGATTTGAAGATGGAAGAAAATATCACATTCCCGGACATTCTACCCCGCTGACTTGCATGGGCGCTTTCATTCTGATCATAGGTTTCCTAGCGATGGTTCTCGGGCATGGCGATAATGTTGCTCTTGGAGTGACAAACTTGACGATTGGAGGGAGCATGAGTGGAATCACATGCATGTGCATCGTTTTCATCACACCAAAAGTGGAGTATCTTTGGAAATACAAAATCATGAAGCTTCCAAGGTCAAGAAAAGTCAAGCCGAAGCAGTTTTGGTCATTTTTAGGATTTGGTCTAGTCGAAACCCTCATAGTTTTGGACTGAATTGTCATTTTGAGTCAAAATTTTGACCAAAGTTGAGTCCTTGTTGATGCCACTTTGGCCGGGATGGTAGCAATGTGCGCAGGCTGCAATGTTTTGGAGCCATTTGGCGCTGCCATTATTGGAATTGTCGCCGGCTTCGGATTTGCGGTGACAGAACATTGGCTTCATATTAGGTTGGCGCATAAGTAGGCTTTACGCAGCTTAAATTCCGATTAGGCAGATTGATGATCCAGTGGGCTCAATTCCTGTTCATTTGACAGGCGGAGTTACTGGAGTGCTTATGGCGCCGCTTTTTGCGAACAAGGAGGAGGAGTACTCGTTTATTCATTGGAAAGGGTGCGATTATGACTGCGTCGGCGAGGCGAACTCGACTTGTGTTTATCAATTGGGGTTTCAGGGGAATGTCACTACAGGGAGAAGACCGTTGCATCATGGATACAAACTTGGAGACTGCCTGTATACGCCGTTGAACGTAAGACGTGCCAAAAAAAGCAAATCTATGATTTTGAATTTTCTGAATTCTAGCAACTTTTATGGCAAGTTATCGGAATCGTGGCGATATTGATGTGGACACTTGTTCTTTCAAGCATCATTTTCTGGCTCTGCTGGTACTGTGACATATTGAGGGTCGATATGGTCCTGGTAACGAAATAAAAGCACAGTTTTTGCTGGATTTCGCTAAACCAGGAAAAGATACAGAAGTAAGAGGAATCGACATAGCAAAACATGGCGAGCCAGCTTATCCGAATGCCGCATATGGTCATGGTTGGGATACAGAAGGTAAAATGAAGCAACCGAAGGGGGATAATAAGGATTTATAAGGACAATTCGACGTGGATTGGTTGAGACAGGAAGGTATTGATACGATAGGAAAAAGAAGCACGAAAGCGTTGCTGAATCCGAACAAGCAAGAGAACTGGGACACAGTCAACGAGCAAACCCATTTGAGAATGCTTGCCAAAAGCTTTAGGTAATTATTTTTTGAAAAATACATGGTAAATTGTTTCAGGAAAAAATTCTATCGTGGAGGCCCTTGCCAACGGAAAAGCTGTGAATTCTGCATTGACAAGTTCAAGCCTAAAAATATTTTACAACATGAGATGGAATCAACTGCTTTGTAAATAAAGAATAAATTCATACATCTTTAAAATGTTTTTAATAAACTGAGAATTTAATGACCATTGCTTCTCGTGGGAATATAACAGCTTACTTAAATAAAAAATATTTCTGTCGAAGTTGAAGACCCTCAGCTGATCCGCTCTCATACCAAAAGAGATGCTGACAATTATATTTTCTTTCTTTTTTGCTTGTTCTGGATTTCGCCCGAATCTTTACAACACAACTTGCCAGTAAGCTTTACTATAAGTTATTATAGTCTATAACAAAAATAATCTAATAATGAAAAATAGCTGTCTAAAAGAGATGAGAAAAATATTTGTTAGGGATGAAGATCTAGCGCTGAAATGTGACTCATTCTGCTATACCGACTTCTTGACTTGCAAAGATGACTGCGAGGACTCAAGCTGTGAGCGTAATTGTCTTGCCGATTATACTGGTAAGAGTAAAAATTAAGAAAAATGATTCATTGACCAAGAATGTTACGAGCAATGTCCATGTTTCCGAAAATGTCCAAATGGATGCGATGATTGTCCGAACTCAATCTGTTCGTGTAAAAATCCTGAGCTAAATAATCCATTTTATCAACAGTGCATCAATGAAGCTATGTACAACGCTAAGCACTGTGTCAAGAACTGCACAGCATCTCCATCATGCTACAACAAATGCTTCAATTCGTTTGATCTTGAATCCGAAATGTGCCCATGCAATAGTCGATGTCCAAGAGGATGCCCATGTGATGATGGTTACAATTGCCAGGGTTTTTACATGTTGCTTTCTCAGTATAGCACTAAAAACACATACATTCTTTCTGCAGATGGACACTTTAAGGAGAGCTCAAGATTAAAGAAATTAATATTATATCAGACTTTTTCGTGACAAGAAAATATTTTACGAGCCTGACGAAAGGAAAATCGTTATTTCTCGACACCTCATGCGAATTTTTTAAATTATGCTGGCCATGCTATTCTCAATGGCGAAGTTTTTCTTTTTGGAGGTTCACAGAACAGATATAAGGTATTTCTCTGTTTTGGTGACTTCATATTGCTACCAGCAGACAGTGTTATTATTATAAGATGATAAAGAAATTCTAAAGATAGGAAAAATAAGTGGCTGCGAGCTAATCGATACAGGAAAACGCCTTATCAACAGCTTCGGAACTGATTATGGGGCAACCGTCACGATTCCTGAGGTCAAAGATGAGGTCGTTATCTGTGCAGGGGCCTCAAGCGCGGACAAATGCGAGGGATTTGATGGGGAAACATCTTTCTCTTTGAGCAACTTAATGGTGAAGCACGAATTCGCATGCATGGCAACGTATCAGACACAAGCTGTTATTGTAGCTGGAGGAAATACGAACACGGTTGAACTTCTCGCTGTCACGTGATGAAATTTTTTCGAGAAAAATTAATATTATTTTAAGTGGCTGGCAAAATGAGCCGGTTTTCCCGGGCGGTACGGTCAAAAGATTGAGCTGCGTGTCTGTCGGAGATGGTCTTATAACAACTGGAGGATATACTGAGGAAACCAGCTCACATTTAAAAAACGTTTATCTCTTTCGAGATGAGCGGTGGACTGTTGCTGGGCAACTCCAAAACGTAGGCCTTCATTCTTCCGTTTCTTGTTTTTCTTTTTAGAATTTTAATTATCATTCGATGCTTTTTCATGAAAATTACTTCATCGCTTTCGGTGGTAACGATTTTTATGCTGTCGAGCGTGCTGAATGGAATGGTGAAGCTGTTGTTTCGTCTGAAACATTTTTTACTCACGAAGGAAGTCAGCATCGGCCGATCATTTTTGAGACGACTCCAGACACATGCAAAGAGTTTTGCAGCGAAGACTATTGTTATATTATGTAACTTTTATAATTTACTTTAAATTGTCTAGGCTCTTAGGAAATAGTAAAAGCTTACTCATAATCTTTCCTAACTTTTGATCAATAAATTTGAAAGAAGACTTCTTTTTTCTCGCATCTTGTAAAAATATCCAAAGCATACAGTAATTTATATTCAGATAAAAATGTTACAGAAAATTATTCTTGTTTGAACGGAGGTGTGCTCAAATGAACTGGCTTTTTATAAGGTGCTTGGCTCTCCATAAAATCCGCGATTTCAAAAAGTCTCTTTTCGTCCCACTAGAAATACGGTTAAATCGGATCGTATGTTCTCCCCTTACCCATTTCGCTGCCATATGGAATCCATATGGTATGTTATTTTTGTCGTGGCCGAGTTGAACCATGATTCCGGGACAGCCAACAAAATTGAAGATTCGAGTGAAGTGGGAGATTTTGCCAACTGTTTTCGGATCAGCTCTTCCATCTGAAAAATACTCATAAACTAAGAAATTCTGGCTTTTATCTTACAGATATGGTCTTGTTCGCCAATTCGCACCATGGTTGTCCTTGACATTGGTGTTGCAATAATATCCATTTTCGGCCAAATGTCATTTTCGAAGATCCTCATGAATTTTGTTCTTATTTTGTTGGCGATGTAGTAATCGGTTGCTCTTGTGGACATGGCCTGAAGAAATTGATATATTTTCCTTTTTTCTCTTTTTACCTGAATATTGGATACCAATTCTACATCATAGTCGACCTTCTTGCCTTGCTGAGCGTATCTGACAACGTCGGAGGCGATTTCATTCGAGAAACATATCAAATGAGCTGCATAAACGAGGTCTTTCTCCGGCATAATGAAGTTAACAATTTCGGCACCTATTACTTTAGAAAAAATTAATCTTGTTTCTGAGTACCTTGGTCGATCATCCAATTAAGTCTTCGTTGAAAGTCCTGAAGAAGCACTTTTTCAACTCCATGCTGATTCCAATCCTGGTCGATTCCAACTCTCAGGCCTGCCAAACTTTTCAAGATAGTTTTCGGGATGGTGACTGCAGGTTGAATTCGACTCTGCTCCGATCCTTCTTTAAAGTCTGGGCCAGCAATCACAGCATACAATCTCGCACAGTCTTGAGGAGTATGTGCCATTGGTCCAGCTGCCGAGCAAGTTCCAGAGCTCGTGCCTCTTTGAGGAATTCTTCCGATAGAAGGAAAGAGACCGACCAAGTTGCAGTAGCCTGATGGAATTCGGACGGACCCACCACCATCAGTTCCGATCGCAAGAGGCATGATTCCAGAAGCAACGATTGCTCCGGCTCCGGAGCTTGATGCGCCACAGAAAAACTGATCATTGTAAGGGTTTCGGCAAATGCCATGGTCGGAGGAGGTGTTCGAGCCGAAGCAAGACAAGCCTTTTGGATGCATGTTTGTCAGACCAACAATTATCATTCCTAAATCATTCCAAAATATATCTAACCGGAATCTGACTGACCTTGGGCTCTGCATCGAGCAGTAATCGTACAGTCTTCGACAGCTGCGCCACCCTCGCAAAATTCAAGTCCATTTCGCCTTCTATGGCCTTCGATATCCAACTGGTCCTTCATTGCAATCGGCACACCGTCAAAAGGACCAAGAGGCTTTCCTTCAGCATATCGAGCGGCAGATTCTTTAGCTTGAGCGCGGACTTGATCAGGGAAATATTCGCACATCATGTTTAGTTTCCCGTTCAAAATTTCCAAATCTATCGAAGAATATTCGTCGAAAATGAGTTTAAAGGGTTTACCTTGTAAGAGCTTTTCGATGACATCAACTGGTGTATATTTTCCAGATTTGTAGGCCGTTGTGTAATCATCGATCGTTGTGGGAAGCCACGAGTCCGCTCTCTTCGTTGATTTTAGTGGGGAAGAAAGGTCGGGCTTATAATCTTACTTGGATTTTTCATGTTTCTAAGCGATAATTGCTGATGACTCATCAGCAATTATCAGTGATGACTCATCAGTGATGAGTCATTAAAATCCTTTCCTGTGACCACATCTTCTGGCTCAACATGTCCGATCGGATAGAAGGTCGCTCTGCAGGTCAAGGCCGCGTGTCTGACCAAATCGCGCATTCCAGTCTTGACTGGAATCGGCAAAAAGAACCACTTCCCAAATCGAGTCTTGAAAATATGGTTCTGGAATCGTAGCAACCAAGCTGGAGAATGTCCCGGTGCTGCGTCGCCAATGTGCGAGTCATTCGGGGCAAAATCGACGGCATCTCGGTTTACAAATTCTTCTTCAGCGGTGAAAATTTTCTCGACGAATAGTTTGTAAAAGCTGTATGATAACACAACAGGCACGCCTAACCAAGCCCCTAAAAATTGAAACATTTTTCTATTCCTGAAAAGTTTTCAAATTATATATCTGTCGCCAAAACCTTTATAAAGTGAATAGGGAAAAGTCTGATTTGGTTGAAATAAGTGTTTTTCTGACTTATAGTAATAAAATTATTTACGCGCGATTTTCCCTTAGTAGGGAAAAACCGCTTAGGCCACCTGTTTTATTGTCTCATGCCAATCTTTGGAGCTTCCAGCTATTAACACAATAATAAAAATAAAATTTGAATCAGAAAAAAATCATACTGTAAACTTACCAAGAGTATATCTTCTAACATAAGCCCGCTGAAAAACGGACCTCGCCATGTCATTTATTCCGATTGTCTGCATCTTCAACTCAAATTCTCTGAGTCTGGCGGAATTACCCGCAGAAAAACTCCTGAATTCAAACAAAAATTCAGAGTTTTAATATGTCTCTCTCAAATATTGACCAGGCTCACGCCTTCGGCAAAACAAACTCGGATTCTAGAGACAAGGAAGCATCTTTTTCAGTATCGATGATACTGTTTCCCGGAGTGATAACGCGCTAGTAGAACTTTAATGCAACTTTTATTCAAGAAATACTTTTAAATTGAATTGATACAGAATTTAAAATTATTGGTTCTTCTTTGTCAGAAGAATTTCACCAAGCAGTGACGATTGGGAAATGTACCCTTGGTTGAGTTTGTCAACAAACCAGTTTTCGATTTTGTTTGCAAGTCCTCGGAGGTCTGAGACAAGTGTAAATATGAACTCTATGATGAGAATTCTCATTTGTAGGTACCTGGAAGACGCATTAAATTTTGAACGTATCGGTCTGATGAATCTGGGTACTGAAGCTGGGTGTACTCGAGGAGGCAGGAGTTGATTCGCTCGGAGACTTTTTTCATAAACTGACCATTGCCTCGCGCTTCTGAATATTTTTATAACTGATTGACTTTAAACTTTAAAGTTTAAAGGATTGTATTCTGTATTGGTTTCGACATGACTACAAATATTTTGGAATTTATATCAAGTTGTTTTTGAAAATTTAATTAATATTTCATCAATAAAAATAACCGTTATGGTTTTCTGTAATGGCTCTTCACACTTACCTTTCGAGCTGAACAAAATCAAAAATTTCAAACACATAACTTCTGATCTATCAATTTGAAGCTCGCGAAATCGATCAGAAATGTCGCATAAGTCCTCGCAAATCTTCGTCCCACTTGCATCAAGAGCATTGTACAACTCATTGAGCGGTACGATCCTTCCAGTGACGAGTAGTAGATTATTTGAGTCAGCAAACCAGACTTGTCGGTACACATGATCGAGGATCATGAGTTCTATCCAGGCTTTTCGCAAAAGAATCATCTAAAACTCAAATAAAGCAACTTTTCTTGTCGATGATTGTACCTGATCTTCAGTATGAATTTGATTGAAAAACATGCTTTCTTTTGCCCAAACAACCATTGTATACAAAATCTGAAAATTATTAGCAAAAAAAAAATGCCAAGATCACTTACCTGTTCGACCATCTTCACAATGAGATTCACCAAATCCACTGTATCGACATCTTTGACTGCATGTTGAGCATCTTTTCTTAGCGATTCTTCTGGTATCCAGTGAGTGATCATCTTTTTCAAAAGCTCCTGATTCGAGAGCGTGAAAATATCGCTTTCTCCTGGCTCAAGTGAAGAAGGCCTGTGCCCGTGATTTCCTACACTTGCTCCGGGACCGACTCGTGGAGGATATGGCCAGGTTGAGCCATGGGGTGTTTGAGGAAAGCGATGATCATTGCTTCTTTGGGAAGTTGACTGTGGTGGATATTGATGATCTCGGGAACGGGAATAAGGGGACTCTCCATGGCGGAAGAATTCTCGATTTTCTTCGAATTGTCTACTGAACATTTAGAATCTTCGGAATTCCGCATTTTATATAATTATCATAATAAGTATGGGAAATCACTAATAATTTAGCTTTTTTTCTGGCTTAGAAGGGTCAGGATATAATACAGATTTAGAATCCGCAGAAGCTAAGGATCAGATTGACTATTGATAGTGGGGGGTCAACTCGTACCCTGAGGGCATTAAGGCACCTCCGAAGTCGGAAAATCCGGCCAACTTCGGAAATTTGAATTTTTGAACGCCCAAAAAAGCTTAACCTTAGCCCGCCAAGGTACACCACGACTCTTGAATCGGTCACATATTCGCTCACTGCGCTCGACACTAAAATTTTTTTCGGAAACGGAGGAAACGCTGAGACGGCATGATCGATTATCTATCGACCAAGGGCTTTTAGGCCTGTTTCTGATAGACGTTTGCGTCTGTAGACCCTTAATTTTCCAAAAAGTCCATGCACCATATATGGTGTCGAGCTACAATTGTTGCTACACCATATATGGTGTTTGTGGCGGGTACCCCAGCTTATTCCCAGCGATTTTGCTAAATGTTTACCCTGGTCTTCTTCTCTTATCCTCGATCTATGAATTTATAAACAATAATTTTTGATTGAATGAACTTCAGTATCGTCATTAGAACACTTCTATATGTCGTAAAAAATATTTTCCAACGAAGATATTTAGTAAAATATTGAGAAATTGAATATGGTGAAGCGATACAATGGAAGATGCACCATATTATATGGACCATATAATATGGTCCATATTATATGGTCCATATATGGTGTTCTTGGCGGGTACCCCAGAAAATCCACTTTTGGCGGGCTAAGGTTAATTATGAGTGATTTTCCCTTTTAATTAGTATCAATAATATTTACAAATCTTCCTTTGTTTTATCTTGTTTTCAATTTTCTTCGATCTCACGATAAGAAAAAAGCCTGGTTATTCCCATAAATATTCTATTTATGGTTTCTCACCTCATGAAACTTCTTGGTGGAATCGGCAATCCTGATCTCAGCCCATGCATCGAGCCATGCAAGTATCTCGAGTCAGCATACGCACTGTACCAAGAAAACCTTTCGCTGTCAGAGGGATGTGGCGGAAAAGGAGGATATCCTGGAAGATCGTAAGGATACCGCGGACCAGGGCCTCCTCTAGAATCGCGCTCAGAAAACAGCCGATCAAGCGCTCGTTCTTGTTGGCGCATGTGTGACTCGTAGTCCCGTTCAAGAGAGAAATGAGGAGGAACTCTGTAGGGGTTGAAATGAGAATTAGAGGGGCCACTTTCGCGGCGAATTTTGCCACAAGAACTTGACGTCTGCGAGCAGTTATCGCATTCAGTAACTGTCACTCTTCTTGGAACACTTTCAGATGTGACCGAAGGTGGATTAGACGAAGCCTTCCCATGGTTCATAGGATGGCCTTGAATCGCTCCTTGTTGACTCTGAGGTGGCTGAGCAAAACCAGTATTTTCAGTCGTCCCTTGTATGCTCAAATGCTCGTCGAAAATACCCTTGAATTCAAGGTTCGCTTCTATGAAAAATTTTTCAAATACCTTTGACGTTGATGGAGAGTCATTTTGACTCGTAGCAGCTAAAAGAGATGATGATGGAGCCTGAAGACTGATGGTTTTGTTCTGCATTTTCAGGGCTCGATCATGTTTGTAAAGAGGCCCAAATTTGTTTCGGCCGCCGCGAAGACGGTCTGCTCGGATGGCTTCTAGTTTCATTCCCATTCGCATACATTTCTAGAGAAAAAGTGATGGTACTTGCTACTTAAATCATACGTGGTTAAACTTGTAAACCCCAAAAAAATTGCGGTATAAAAAATTATAAACGACTAAAAACTCAATAAACTTATGGTTTGTCATAAAAATTCTACGAACCTGGTATCGACATGCAGGACATCTCTTTCTCTGAATCTTGTTGATCACACAATCTCCCATATCCACACATTGATAAGTCTTCTTATTCTGCACGGTTCTCTTGAAAAATCCTTTGCAGCTTTCGCATGTGAGAATTCCATAGTGATATCCCGTAATCTTATCGCCACAAATCGGGCAAGGTTCTTCGTATTCATAAATAAGCTTTTTTGGTCGAGTAATCGGCATTGCGGATGGAATCGGTTTCGGAACTTCAGATTGAATCGGTGCAGCGGAGGAAGTGATCATTTCGAAGGACGAAGAAACGGGTTCAGAAACAGTCGGGTGAGTGCCGAGAATACTGTCGAGCTCATTTGATCGAATGCTTGTATTTTCCGATACAGAGAGCTGATCCCCTAGCTCCGGCATAATCTCATCAAGGCTCAGGGTTTTTACAATATCTTCAAAGTTCATTTTAGGTTAATTATCAAGAGGTCTTTTCCTCAAATTAAACGGTGTTGGTGTTTTGACTGATAAGTATTTTAGGAACTGTAAATCTAGCTGCCTCTTCCTGTGGGTTGAATTGCGCAGGCGGTATCTCGGAGTTGATGGTTTCGAGGTCGATTTCGTTGTCCTCGTTGTTGGAGGCCATATAATCTCTGCCATCAAACAGATCCATTGGGAATGACATTTACAGAAGAAGAAACTCCTTGCTTCCGCAAATTTGCAATCGAAAGCATACGCCTTCGTTACTGAAGTGCTTCCTGACTATTCGATTTATTCTCTGTCTGCTGGAAAGAAACCTCTTCAGCTAAGGAAAAGAGCCAAGGTCAAAACAGTAAAAAGGAACTGGAGGTAGAGGACAGAGACGTTCCAAAAACGCAGTTGTTGTTACGACATGGTCACTTGATCAATAATGATACGCTCATTTGGCCAAACTTTGCATGTTTGCACGGCCTTGCGCAGATTTGAAATCAAGGACGATTGAGGAGTTTGTTTATTTATGACGACAATTAGTTTTTTACTAGTAAAGACTAAATAAATAACTGGAAAAAAAGAAGATGAGAAATAATTGAGCCTCATTGTCGAGATTTGACACGCCCGGGCCGGCGCTCCATGATGAATGTGCGAAGTCGGAAGTGATTTCGGATACATGTCAAATCGTCTTCCTCGTTTTCGAATTCATGGTCAATTTAGAAAATTGGAACGGGTTCAGATACCGGGTGTGATTTTTTTAGCTATCTGCAAATAAAAAGTAACTACAGTAACGTTTCATTCAGCAGGCCTAATTGAAAACCGCAGATTTAATTTTTCTTCTGAGTCGTGGGTCAAAAACGAGCGACTTATTCGAATATAAGTTTGGGATAAACTTGATCCAGGGCGTTGAAAAGCGCGTTTCCGAATTCTTCACACCTGGTGGTGTAAATTGAGCTGGATAAGAATGGCTCTTGCGTTTCCATAAATAATGAGTTTAAAAAAATCTTGACGTCTTCTTCGGTCAAGTTACAAAATGACTACTTGATGAGATGATAAAAAATGCCTTCTTTCATAATTTTCAAAAAGATAATTGATAATTTGATTTCGCGAAATTAGTTGTTCAAAAGATGGATTTCAGAGGGATCAGAAATGAAATTAACTGCGGATTTGGACAAGGACAGACTCAGTAATCACGCTGAGATACTGTTTATTTCAAGCGGATGAAAACAAGCTTCGCGGGGATTTAGCGAGTCAGACTTGTGTAATAAAAGGGGTCTACTGGAGTTCATCAAAATAAAATTGAATAAGCCATTTGAAAGGGCAAATAAAGACTGCACTTTAACAGACTTACTTGATATAATAGATATGTTAAGGAACTTTACTAGAAAAAAATCCGCTAAAAAGGGGACCTGCTTTAGATATCCGTGGATTCTTCCCCGTTAGGATAAGAAAACGGCTATTTTATTGAAGATATTTCAGAGCATTGGGGCAGCTGTTCTCCGATCATCCCTTTCTCCAAAAGTATGAATGTGTGTTTTCGAGTAACTCACCACTTTTCCTCCTTTAGCGCCCGCTCGTGATAGATTTTAGTTGACGACGCGCGCCCGCCGCGCTCTGCCAAGATCAAAAATCAGAGCTCGAAAAATGAGTTGATCCCACTTTTTCCTAAAAATTCAAAAAAGAGATCATTTGATACAAAAAAAAGAGGAAAATTTCGACTTCAAATATGTTATTCTTGAAGATTTTACTTTTACTAAAGATAGGTAAGGGCGTGTTTTTTACAGCGATAAGCGCAAATCGCAGCGGGAGATCTTGATCAGAGCGTGTATCGGCATCTTGACTGGGATTATCAAGAGATTTGTGCTGTAGCTCATTTGTTGTCATCAATTTCAACTTGAATTTGACAAGTCCTGAATCAAGATAACAGAAATAATTGTTAAAATACTGATAAAAACCTTTCCTATCATTTATTCTGCCAAATCAGAAAAAATGGCAAAATTGATTTCGACACCCATAAAATTTGATTTTTTTCATCAAAGTTTCGGTCAATGACAGGTAAATAAAGATAGATATCTAGGTAGAAATAAGAAGGTCTTGGCACTCGGATTAAGTTCATGTTCTGGCCTGGCTCCAACATATGGCGGGTATTTCACGGACTTGGGGATAAAACAGATTGAAATACAATTAGGGAACCAAAGGTGCTTGGATCGTGTCTTTACTTGTCTACTCATTACTCCTTGCAAGTAGGAATAGTTTATCTACTGAAGTAACAGCTAAATTTCAATCTCGTTTCATAAGATCTTATGTCCAAAATAAAAGTAAAAAATGTTAAAAGCAATCGATGTGAGACAGAACTTCAATAAATAACTTGACGGGCGGAATATTGTGATCATTGTTGAACTTTGTGAGAAAAACGGGATTTCGCGGTGGGGATCCCCATCAAGCACGCTTATTTCTACTCAGCAGGAAAACAACGGGCTCGCGCCCCGGGCAAAAGCGCTATACAAAAGTTGGGGTATCGATTACGCGTTCCTTCCGGTTCGTGCCGCAAATGAAAAATACGTCTTTGAATAAAGAAAATAACACAAAAAAAGTTCTTTCTGAATATTTAATTTTAATATAAACCGAATGACTACAAGGAGGATGTATTAGGTAAACGAGGTACAAATTGATCATCGAGATTTACTCTGTTAAAAATTTTATACATATCATTTTTTAATCGCTGTTATGGTCTCTAAAATATAAATATAAATCTAATATTATACTTCAGTACATTGCCGATATGACGAAAACTTATTATTAACCCGTCTACTGGATGGCTACCGCCTTGAATTCCACAAGTCCACCGACTGCCCTCTAACAGAAGAACTAGGAAGGACGCTTTTTGAATTAGACCCTCTGAACGAACAAGCAGTGCCGAATTCTTGTGTTCGATATGTTGAAGACGGATTTGCGAAATACAACTCAATGGTCCGTCCAGTTGCGAATTTTTCACAGGCGCTTGATGTTGCGATGGAATTGACGCTCCTGCAGATTATTGAGCTCAATGAGAGGGATCAATATCTGATGACTTCGATGATGTAAGTTTTTCTTGCCGATTTCTGTATATTTTTTCAGGTATTCATTCAATTGGACCGATACCTACCTTACCTGGCGGCCGAGCATGAACGGCGGCGTCGACAAGATCGTCATTGCACCTTCAAAAATCTGGACCCCAGACATTCTCCTTTATCAAAGGTACCGATTAAGGGAACCTCAGTTTTTGGCTTTCCTGCTGCTAGATGTTGTGTTAACTTTGCTTTGAACTAATCAATAGTTGGTAGGTTTCGGCTTGGAGTGAATAATTCTCTGTTCGTAAGAGATCATCCCTCTCGCGACACTTTCATTTTTGAAATCATCGTTGATTTCAAAAATCATTTTCCTTCATTATCATTTTGACTCTCTAAAAATTCATTTGATACCATCCATTTCAGTATCCAAGATGGCTTCGACTCCAAATTCGCTTCAAACATCGAATGCTACTCTAATGGAGCTTGCCTTTGGCTTCCTCCTGCGATCATTCAGAGCTCTTGCGAGGTGAAGGACACTTAGTTTTTAGGTGATCATGAGAGTTTAGGTCGATATGACATTCTTTCCTTTCGATACTCAAGAATGCGTGATGAAATTTGGCTCCTGGTCGTATACAAAGAATTACTTGAACATTATGATCAACAATCCCACAAACGCCATCGTTGGCGGAGGGCAGAAAGGAGAGATTCTGATTGATCCAGCACAGTATATCAAGTCCACTGAATGGGAAATCGTCGGAAAAGGAAAGGGTTTCATAAATTTTTTCTCATTTTCGCGACAAGACAATTTCAAACCCGAAAAAAGAGTGCATGCTTAGTGAGACTCTCTACGAATGCTGTCCAAATTACTATCAAGATATCACTTACAAGCTCAAATTGAAGCGTTACGTCTTTTATCCGACCCTTACATTGGTTCTTCCTTGCGTAATGACTGCGATGCTGATTGTATTGACCTTTGTGCTGCCTCCAGATGCTGGTGAAAAAGTTGGATTGAGTACGTTTTAGATAGATCTCAAAGTATTTTCAGTGAAGTTATGAACAGACGTTAATTATAATAAGGCGGAAATAGACATTTCTATCATCCTCTAGGAGTTATCATTAGAAATCGCTTCATTTTAAATTTTGAAATGCCATTTTTAAAATTTGAGAAGCAAATTATGGTCATCAAAAATTTTAGATATCACGATCTTGCTGGCTATGGTCGTTTTCATGGACCAATTATCACAACAAACACCACCAATGCCATCAAGTCTTCCTGTTATCGGCCAGTTTTTCGTCGCTTCCATGATCATCATTGCTGTTTCAATGTTTTCAACGATCTTTTGCCTCAAGCTTCATCATACTCAAGGCAGAGAAGCTAGACAAATGCCGAAATGGGTAATGCTTCGCTCACATTTTCTTTGAAACAAGTGCTTTTAGGTTCGATTTTTACTTTTGGATATTATGCCCATCGTGCTGTTTATTCATCCCCCTCCCGATCCACCTGTTGATTTGGACGAAGAAAACGCAAAGCAGGATCTTATTGAATTCAGTGGCAATTCAGAGTTTTACTTTATTTATAAAGGTTTCTTCTTGATCGATTTTCATTACAATAATTGAAATTCTAGAGCTTAAATTTATATCCGATCGCATGAGAGAGCAAGACAACGATGGATCGTATGAAGATGAGTGGAAATACGCCGCACTGGTCCTAGATAGGTTTGATTGAAATTATGGCTCTTGAAAGAAATAAAAAATTAAGGGCGTGTGCTTGGCTTTTTCTCGGCGGCCTGAGCATTTCATTCCTTGCCACAATCTGCTCCGCCCCGGGAATCTTCTACTCAATCGAAAGCCACTGAAAATTTCTTGCAACTTGCATCCAGCCAACAAATTTCTTTTCTACCTGTGCCTTATGACAATCTTCGAATAAATTTTTTCTCTTGTCAAAAATAAAAAAAAAACAGAAAAAAAGCGGAAGATAAGATAAATCTCCGGGCAAATTAACAAGAATGACTCAGAAAGTAGAAAAAAATAGAGAGAGGATGAGGCGAAATATAGATATTTGGAAAGCTTTGAATATTTTTCTGATCATTTGGCTCTTCCATTTGGCGAAGAAATCTGGCGAAATCAAGGAGAAAAAGGTGTACCTTGGAATTTTTACGTCAACAAGAGATTATGAAAATCGCGCTGCGCAACGAGAAACCTGGCTGAAGACATCCAAATTCAAGTACAGATTCCTTCCGGATGCTTGGTCCAAAAAGTTAGAACACGAGTCAGAGAAATTCCAAGACATTATTTTTCTTGGAAACACAACCGGCCGAGGAGGGGCAAGATTGTACAATTGGCTTGAATACGCGATCTCGGAGTTTCCGAAAAATTCGCTTATCGGAATTACCAATAGTGATTTCTATGCCTGCGAAGATCTTTACACAACCGTACAAGAATACAATAGGCAACGTCGAATGGTTTTCGGCTGGTGGCACGACCGCGATCCAAACTGGCTAGACGAACGATTTCCAAATACAAAGCACCGACCAAATGAGCAGTTTGTTGTGATCACGTGGGAACTTGCAGCGGAGATTCTAAAATGGCCATATTGTCTACCAAGCAAAGATGGGGCGAAATGCAATATTGACAGTGGAAAATACCGGTTAGAGGACTTAGACTTCGCTTCATCAAATTATCAATTTAGGGTTGATACTACTCATGCTGGCTCATCTCTTGGAGGCTGGCTTGGAGATATCGGAAATATCACAGGAATTAGGTAATGTTCTCTTCTCAAACTTTATGAAAAGAATCAAGAATGAATGATGAAATGGCACATCTCACTCCTTTCTCAAAGGATCGCTATCCAAATCCAATCAACGAAAAATTCTGCAAGCACTTCTTGTCGTACCACAAATCGACTGCAGAACTAATGCGGCATCTTCACTGTCACGATGAGCTTCTTGAAGAAAAACGAATCTGTAGAAAAGTCGAAACATTGAAAGAGTTTCAAATACAATTTTGAAAAAAGAGGATTTATTTTTATTCACGCAGGAATTTCCAAACGAATCGCATAGTGCATGTGCGGTTTTTTGCAGCATCGGGACGCGACGACAAACATGGCAAAAAGCTAGAATGATCAATTTCTCTTACGATATAAAATTGAGGACTCTGTACATTGGATTTGATTTTAATAGTTTTACAAATGATTAATCAATGGATAAAGTCATATTTGAGAAATAAACAATCTCATTATGGTTTTTCAAATTCGAACTTACGGAGAGAAACATCGACGAGAAAATCACCCCAACTGAAATGCTAAAATTCATCTTCAAGTCCAAGTACATTTTTTTTCCCTCTCTCTACCTGGTTCCAATGACGTGAAATTCTTCTTCAGACAGAGCTCTTAATCATTCATGTCTCCAAGTTTGCTGCATCAGCTTGTTAGTACCAGCTGCTTACAGTAACTGGCTGGAAAGATTAAGAGCTCCGTCTCTTTTGGGATCCCGAATTCAGTCAAAAAAGACTGCCAAGGATTTCTCATCTTTATTTTTCTCTATTTTCTAAAGACTCAAGCAATCTGACGAGTTTTTTTTTAATCTCGTCTACTACATGTCAAATCTTGTCAGGAGCGTTTTCATTCTGAGCGCTTCAGATTCTTTGACAAGCATTGAAAAATTAAATTGAACAAAGTGGTTTATTTTCTTTGAATAAACTCGCTTTCGAGCAAATCGATGGAGAATTTTCGAGGTATTTCAGGCTGGTGGATGACGATTTCCGAAAGCACTCGTGTCATTTTGTACATTACTTCTGATGTCCGCGATCGTCTTCTTTCCTCAACTAAAATAATTGTTCCCTTTCCTTTCCTTTAAATTTCATTCTTACACATTTTTGAGAGGTAAAATTTGATGATCCAAAACAGTGGAAAAGATGAAATCGCAAAGAAAAAGATCTTCAGTCGCTCATCTTCAATAACCGCCATTTCTCATTTTACTTTCTCGTTCTGATGGGATTGATCTTCAGCACATCTTTCTACGTAAAAGTATCAGTGAAACGAAGCGGGGATTAGCCGGCTCAAACGGGCAAATATAGACACTGTTTTGTCCTAGTGTGGAAAGAGTCGTTCAGTTAGATTATATAAACTATTCTTATATTATAGAAGCCTAATTTTAAAACCAAAATACCGTATTGCATATACGTCGAAAAGAAATTTACACTATGGCAGCATAATCCCGTTGATAAAGAATAAATCTTGAGTCACTAAAACTAGAAAAGAATGCACGGAGGGAGAATGGGGTCATGAAAAATTTTCTAGATGATTGTTTTTAACTTTTGCATTATCACTTTTTCTTATCATTCCAATTTGGAATTTCCAAAGAGAGAACATAATGGAAAAAGAGGATGAATTATCGCCAAATCAGTTATTTGCTGAAAAACTGGCAATAAATGATGAAGTCGGAGGTGACAACTTATCCGCAGGAACTTCTTCTGGTACCATTCAGGGACAAATAGGAATGTTTTCAATTAACAGAAGTTTTTTTTTCTTTAAAATATTGTACAAGAAATATTGTATAAGAAAAGTTAGAAAGCATACAAAGTCGAAAATGCCTTCGATGCCAATTACACTACATACGAACAAGGTGGCGATATTCCTGGATTTTACGAAGGACCATGGTTTCCTGGGCAAGAAATGAACAGGGACTTTGACTATGGATATCGGGATGAAGATTTGATTCAAATTCTCTTTGCCCAGCTTGAAGAAACGAAGCAATCTGTAAACGAAGCCATAACGAAACAACCCTCGATCGAAAGAATGTTTAACCATATCATCCGTCTAGCTAAGGAAGCAAACTACACGGATGAAGGCGCGGAGGTATTCACCTACGTTTACGTCCATTTCATGATCGAGCACAATTCCTTCGTACCCAGCGAGGAATTGAACAAAATGGGCAGCCAGATCGCCCTGAATTACATCATCAACTATTCGGCTAGCGTCGGTCGTCATTATGAAAAAGAACCGATAAATAACTTCAAATGGAATCCGCAAATTAAAGAAAAAGCGCTGTTTTCGATTCTTGATTTCGATAAGACGCAACTAAAAGGCAAGAAAAAGAGTTTCTATAAAACTAGAGAAACTTTCTTTTAGAAAACAACCCTGAAGAAAGCTCTCATCCCCAAAATCAAGAGGAAGATTCTTTGACGAAGGAAACTGATCAAGCAAAAAATGAGATAGAAGAGGTAATCAAGGTTGCGTCGAAGAATTCTTGCAAAAGGTATTTTAGGCACATCAACCCGAGAAAGAAGAAGTGTCAGTTTTCGAAGAGGAAGACTACTTCACTCCAATTTTCACTCTTCCACGTGACGATGAGCTTTTTGGAAAGTGGCCGTTCAAGTACGCGACCGTCTACGGCTACCGAAATGACCCAAAGAAGCCGCACGATCTTTTCAGCGTTTTCGAGCCGCACATGATTTACAAAGAGTTCGAGCAGATGGAGAAGATGAAATTGGTTAAACAAGGTTTGGAACCTTTTCTTTTTCATTTTTGACAATGATGTTTCTTAGCTCAATCGAAGCCCGACATAAAAACTGAACTCGTCTGCCCCGAAACATCACAGGTTCCACCTACCACACTTTCACCTTCTGCCACCATCAAAACTGAGCAAACGGACAATAACTTCCAGTCTGGCTCCGTTTTGCCCGTCCAGTGCGACGTCATCAAGCCAAAATACATTAAGCTCATCGATGGAACCACCTTCGTCAACGGAGAACAAGTCAAAAAGTACGAGATCGAAGAGAAGAAGCAAAAGTATCAGAAGCTCCCAGCTTGGATGCCAAAAGTCACTCGAACTGAAATAGCTGTTGGCGAACGAATGGCAGAAAATAACCAAGAATCTCCTTTTGACCCGAAGCCTTATTGGAGCACTGATGCTTCTTTCTAACCTGCCCCTTCGAAAGTTCAAAATACTTTTCAGCTATAAATACTCCATAATAAACACCTTTTGCCGAACACAAGGTTTCTCCTTGACTTATCAAGAAGAGCAATCAAGCAGCTAGAACGTTCGAGAGAGCGACTCATCAGCGAACCCCTTCCTTGAGTTCAACCACTTATCGATTTTTTGTCAGGCAAAGCTCGAAGCATTGTTCAAGGGATTCTTTCACTGAGCAAGAATAAACGAGCCTAGAACGCTTAACTCAGCAGTCTTCATTTCACCTTCTTCTACAGAGCCTTCTTTTTCGCCCGAGGCAAGCTCTTCCAGGTGAAGTTCATCTTAGTTTCAAGCAGCTGAAAGTTTGAAGCGACAAATATGTTGTTTAAAATTGAAAGTTTTGGTAAATTTTATCAGAGATTGATCTGTTCCGTGGTATTTTTAAGGTAAATAAGGTTGGTTTGGGCCTGAGAATGATATAATAATTAACCCTCTTTTGGGTGCGGAATTATTGATCTGGAGGTTCCAGAAGCCAAAATTGTCCGATAGCATTTATTTCGAGCTCTTGCGCAACTGCTCCTTTTTACAAAAATGACATAACGACTTAGTATATAAACTATGATCGAATGCTTTCCCTTACCAAAATAAAGCGAAACGCATTTGAAACGAAAAATTCGTGTCTTGAAAAATCAACTTTTTTCTTTACATTTCTGCTTTGTGAACAGGTAGCTATTTTAAATTTGAGCGCACGGAAGTGCAAATTTTTAACAGTCTTTTTTTAAACTAGCTGGTCAAATAAAGTTTAGTTAAAAGTACTGTCAATAGAAACAGTCAAGAGAGAAGGCAGAACTGGGCGATGGAGACGAGCAATTGCTACGAAAATGACTATCAGGTAAAATTGCTCAAGAAGCACTTTTCCATGCCGCTTCCTGTTGAATTATCTCATTGTTAAGGTCACTTGCCTTTTCAAAACGCTGTTTTCGGGACCCGATTATGCGGTTTTCAGCTGCATGCTTATCGTTTCAGCCCTGGTGGGAATCTATTTCGCTTATCAGTCGAGAAGGAAGACGGAAAATGTTAATGACTATCTAATGGCTGGAAGATCGATGCACTTTTTTCCAACTTCATTGTCGATTATGTGCACAGCTCTTTCGGCGATCACTATTCTAGGTAGATTTTGAAATGAATGACAATTTGATGAATGAAAATTTGAATGACAGAAAAAATAAGGGACACCGGCTGAGTTTTACAATTACGGATCAATGTACATTTGGTCCATTGCCGGATACTTCATGGCCATTTCTTTTTCGAACGAAATCTTTATCCCCGTCTTCTACAAACTGGGAATCAACACGACTTATGAATACTTGGAGCTGAGATTCGGCCGAAAAGTAAGAAATGCGACTACGATTATGTTTATGGTGGCGAATGTGATTTCGACGGGGGTCGTTATTTACGCTCCTGCCACCGCGATTTCAGCTGTCACAGGAACGTTACAGTATTTGTCTGTCAGGAACAAGCAAATTTGATCTTGAGTCTAGACGCTTTTTTAGCGAAATTTCATTACAGTCGCAACAGATTGTAACTCAAACAAGGCATGTCTTATACCCTGTTTCAGAAAGAACAAATTCTTGATTGAACCGGGGCTTTTTATTACAGATTTAACAGATTGTAACTCAAACAAGGCATGTCCCTCGATTTGGCAATTCTGACGACAGGTCTTGTTTGCATCTTTTACACCACTCTCGGCGGAATGAAAGCAGTTGTCTGGACCGACGTCGTCCAATCACTCTGGATGCTGACAGGGCTTATGGCAGTGATCATCTTCACTCACATCAAAGTCGGATACGGCAAGATCTTCGAAATGGCAAATTTAACCGGAAGAACAGAATTCTTTCGCAGCTCCTGGGACCCGACAGTTCGCGATTCTCTCCAAGCATATTTGATCGGAAAATTCTTCGGAATCGAAGGCTATGCCTTCGGCTGCTCACAGAACTTTGTCCAGCGATTTTTGAGCTGCAAGAGTTTAGCGCATGCGAAAACAGCCGGATATATGGCGATCGGATGGCTTTCGATAATTCTCATGTCTTGCTTGTTCACTGGATATACTCTAGTCTACTACTATGAGCTTTGCGATCCAGCGGCCGCGGGCTTTTTGGAATCTACAGATCAGCTGATGCCCTTCTTGACAAATTTTCTCTTTGTTGAGTACCCGGGGCTAAGTGCAATTTATATTTCTGGCGCTTTTGCTGGCTCTCTCAGGCTAGGGTTGCGAAAGAGAACCAAATTAGAAGCAGCCAATCGAAAATCAATTTGTCAACCCTAGTTTTTAGCTCAGTAAGCTCCTTTATTAGCTCAATGGCGAATGTAATTATGACCGACATGATCGGAGAAAGAGCCTCAAAACTTGGAAAAGTAAAACAGGTTATTTTGGCGAAGAGTTTGACTTTATTTGTTGGATTCGTGTGCATTGGCTTTGCCTATCTATCGACTCTCCTGAAGGGTGGTGTGATTGAAGTTGTATTGAGTATTGGCGCCATTATTGCTGGGCCTGTTTATGCAGTTTTTATGATGGGAGTTTTCTTTCCGCTGATTGAGGAAATAAGTGCCTTAGGTAGATCCGCGCGCTTATCTTTTATATATCTTTCATTTAGTCGGTCTATTGTGCGGTGTCGCAGCGTGTACCTGGTGCTACATCGGAAGAAACATCTACCCAGTGCCAACTGAAATCGTCGAAAAATCTTTCCGAATTCCAGTCAACACTGATAGATGCACCTTTGAAAACGGAACAAGCTACCCAATCGAAATAAACGAATCCGAGTTCGTCGAAAACTCCGGGATCCTCTCGTTTTACAATATTTCTTACCACTATATTGGAACTCTTGGCTTCACAGTAACAGTTGCAGCGAGCTTTTTAACGGCTTTGATTGTCATGGGAAGACGTCGATTTCACCACACGTAAGTTTTGGTCAGATTTTTCAATCTCAAAATGATTTCAGAAAACAACAACGAGACGCTCGACTTCACTGCTTCGTTTTCAGCGATATTGCCAAAAAATGTGGCTACAAGCGTTCATTAGATTTCTGGCACAGATCGGACTCAGATGACGATCTCCACGAAAAAATCATTGATGAAGAGAAAAAAGAAGAAGCCTTTTCTACTGATTTTTAACTCTCACCTGACATGCTAAAAGTAATTTTTGCGTTTAAATAAATCTTCAACGTCCCTTATAAATTAAGTAAGTGTCACGGTCTTAAAATTAACAGGACGTAAAAAGCTCGAAGTTCAAAACAAAAATCAACAAATTTAATGACTCTTTAATCATCCGGCTTTTACGTATTGAAAATGAAACCATAAATTTTAATGCTACTTTCAGATGGTGTTAGGAAGAGTCCGCTCCTATCGCAAGAGAAGTAAAGATGTTGATTTGACAATCGTAAACAAAATCATCAATAAAAAGCGAGTGAATTTTCATACTATCGTTAAGTTCTTGTTTATTAATATTGAACTAAAATTTGATCAATAGATTTCTTGAGTTATAAAATGATATTTTCATATCTCCTGGTTTTTTGTCAGAGAGCATGTTCTTCAGTTGGTTATGATTATCAGATTCCCAGAGAGCAATTATTATGGAGGAGATAACTGGTGGAAACTACAACAAATTTATAAGCCCTGTGGCGCTAGGCCAAGGCTTAGGTCCCAAGTAAGACTTTTGTCATAGAATTGAAAAATAAGGATTTTTAGTTATGGCACTCTCAATAGAGCCGGAAGTAAAAATATTGAAAAAATCAAAATTATTTGCGAAAATTCAAAATCGCAGATAAAAAAAGACCATGGAATGTTCAGTGTTGATTTTGGCCTAATGGCAAATATCGCATTTAATTGCCGTGCAGAAGAACCTGACCCTAATATTGATTTTGTTGATTCTTGCGTTGAATGGGTAAGAGCCATTTGGTTTCAGGGAGGGTTATACAGAGCTCATGTTTTTTGGGCTCCGGAAACTGCCTAACCTGATCGAGGTCGAAAACAATTATATTGGAGACTGTGATCGTGACGGAGCCCCACTTCAGGCATGAAAGCTGATAACTTCTTAGATTTATTAAAAGTTGAGTCAAATAATTTATCTTAGGTTAAGATTTATTTAAAATTAATTAGCTTTTCACAAGAAAATATTTAACAAATGCTATAAATGGTCGAGGAGAGTATAACGATATATATAAAGATGAGGAAATGATGGATTTCGACTCGAATTCGACACTTGCTTCCGAATGGAAGTCGACGATTGACGGAATATTCAACTATGAAAATTTTGATCGTTCTCTGTTGAGCTTAAAATATTTATTAATCAGATAAAAAATCTCCTAACAGGGTTAGGGTTAGGGTAAGGGTTGGAAAGATTATCGGCTGAGATGGGATTTCATGGAAGCAGGATTCGTAACTGAAATATCAATGGATCCCTTGCTCATTTGGACACCGCCGATCGAGATTGTCAATTTGGATGAATGGCGAAATTACGCGAAGAAAACTGATTTCAGCTGCATTGTCAATCATCTGTAATTCTAAATATTTCTCTTTTGAAACTCTTTCTTGAAGGGGAGAAGTCAAGCAGGCGTACAAAATACGAGCTGTTACTTCTTGCGAGATGTCTTCGAAATATTATCCCTTTGATGTTCAAATATGCTCCGTTGACCTTGCTACACCTTCACAGACGCAGGATAGATTGGTTCTTGATATTCGGGATTGGAAGAGTAAAAATGGTTTATCATTTAATCAATCCTATACACTGCCGTTTTCCATCGGTTACAAGGTATGCTCAAAAGTAAAAAAATCGAAATCATTATTAATTTATTTAGGAAACTGATCTTGATTTGATTAAAAATGCTTTTCACGATGAGAATACAGAATTCGAGCTAATAGACTACAGGATCGACGCTTATTCTCTTCCTCGAAATCAATACGAGAATTATACGAGTGTTAAAGTGACGCTAGCTTTCGCAAGAAAAACTTCATATTATGAAATTACTCTGTTTTTGCCGATAGTTGTCATCAATTTGCTCGTCTGTGTTGGACTCTGGATTCCAGTCAGGGTTTCAAAATTACATTTTTTATAGCCATTTCATTCTTTGAACCTCTGTGCGCAGTATCAAGCGGTGAAAGCATTTCATTTCAAGTGACGATGCTACTGACTAGCGTTGTCTATCTCGATATCTTATCAAACACGATACCTGTCTTTGAAGATGTTGGAAACGCACCTAGATTATTATTCCTCTTCCTTTTGACTGGTCTAGGAAGTGCTATTGCTCATATAGTTATAAGTAAGAATTGATTCGATTACAATTATTCTTCATTTTCACGTTTTAGCGGTGAGCTTGTGGTGCCAGACAAAAACTGAAGACCGAATTTTCGAGCTCTCCAAACGTCAAGCAAAATTTGCTTTACTCTGCGCCCGATTTTACGAGAAATTTATGAGTGGAAAATACAGAATTCCTTCTGTCATTTCACAAAAATGTGGGGAAATCAGCTCTGACAATGATACCAACAATGGTTTGTTACCTCAATATCTTAGCCTGACTATAATTGTTTCCAAGAAAAAGAAGATTTTGATCGATATCATCAAGCTTGGCTATTTTATGCAAAGATGCTTTCTCACTTTTGGGCACTGATTTTGACTGTTACAATTATGCTTGTTACCTTCGCTATCTACATTGATCTTTTTGTTCAAAGGTGCAACGCGCTGGATGAAATTTATGCGAACTAAAATGAATAAACAAGAAGGAGCATTTTCTACTCGCATCTGTTTTTCACTGGCATGAAGTTTCAATTGTCGAAATAGAATACATCAAGTTCAAAAGAAAAGACTTGACTCAGTTCGTTAAAGGCAACAAATGTATCCATCGTTAAATTTTACGCTCATGACAGGGTGTAAAAAAAGAAATGTAGATTTTCAGAATAGGCCGGCAGGCGATATTTCTTGTGTTTTTTACTTGTTTGAACAATGAGACTTAGTTGCATTTTTCTTCTTTATCAGAGAAATTATGCGCAACTAGCGGATGATACCGATTGGGAGCAACGAATATTTGACATGATTCAAGTCAATGGCAAATATAACAAATACCTTAGTCCATTAAATCCCCGGTAAAGCTTATTCGGATAGACTTAAGATCAAATTTATTATCAGGTTTGGAATATTAAGTAAAAATGGAAGCAAGGATGAGGAAAAAATCAGAAGAGTTTGCGAGAGAATGAAAACAGTTATCAGAGATTATGATGGACTGATAAGTGTTGATTTGGGCTTGATGGCGAATATCGGATTTTATTGCCGGGCTAAAAACGCGAAGCTAGATTTTGTTGATGCATGTGTTGAATGGACAAATGCTGTTTGGTTTCAGGACTGGTTCAATACCATTTAACCTAGTAAAATTTAACAAAAAAACCTAAGTTAGAATGAAGGGGCTTCTTATAACGGCTCTTGCAACAGAACGGGCGCACCTTTACAGGAAAAAGCTTCTGAATTAAATATATCCAGAATATTTCAGAATCAAAAACGAAGCCAAATTAGAAAATAAATATCCATGAGGAATATCAAATAAATGAAAGTGCACAGTATTTAGAAGATATTTACAGCGTAGAGCATTTCGTCAACGTTCATCAAATTGGTTTAGTCTTTCCACAAATAACTCAAATTATTACTTCTCTGTATTTTTGGAATGCAACTGATACTCCCGGTGATTTTAATCGAACAAAGATGCTCGATCATGCTGGTTTTAGACCGGAAAGCAGGCATCCGCTGATTAGCCAAGAACATCTCATTATGTTTCAAAATATGTTTCTTGATTCATTCTTGAGGTCAATGGTCGGAGTCTCATCCTCCCCCTTACGGGTTGAAGTAATGCTCGAGTTGGTGAGTTTAAACGACCTTATATTATCTGAGAGCGCGATGGATATATCAATCGTTCTTTATGCAAAGTGGCAAGGTAGATATTTTCAGAGAAAGGACATGATAATTATATAAGATCCTCGATTGCACTGGTTCCATGATCAAACTGGTTTTGTGACTGAACTATCTATTGACCCTTCGCTCATCTGGACACCTCCTATTGAGATCGTCAACTTAGACTTATGGAGGAATTTGGGCAAAAAAACGGACTTCAGCTGTGTCGTCAATAGCTTGTAAGCTAAGAACACAATTGAGTTATACGTATTGAACATAAATTGAGATCCATACTATCATTGTATTGTCTATTTTTTCTTTATGAAATTATTAAGCGGTATCGTTAATCAGGCGTATAAGATACGGCTAGTAACTGCTTGTGAGATGTCATCAAAATTTTATCCATTTGATGTTCAAAATTGCTCAGTCAATTTCGCTACCCCCTCACAAACTCAAGACAGACTTATTCTCGATATTCGACAATGGAAAATCAAGAACACCGATTCGTTCATTCAATCCTATAATCTACCCTTTACGATTTCATACAATGTAAGATTTAATGAATGAAACTTTTCGATTTCATTGGATTTTAAGGAAACAAAGCTTGACCTCTTGCAGAATACTTTTTACGACGGGAATCCAGCCTGGGAGCTTTTAAATTACAAAGTTGAAGCATTTTCTCTTCGAAGAAATAGCTATGAGCATCGGATAAATACTTTAACTAAAAAATTTACGATATCAATGATTTATTGTTTTTGATCGTAAATTCTTTATTCCTTATCAGAATTATACGAGTGTAAAGGTGACTTTTGTCCTGGCAAGAGCGACGTCGTTCTATGAATTGACGCTTTTTCTGCCTATTGTATGTATCAACTTGTTGGTATGCGTTGGCCTTTGGGTCCCAGTCAGAGTTATCATAATTGAAAAGACATTTACGAATAAAGTAGACTCAAATTAAGTTTCAAGTGGAGAGAGCATCGGCTTTCAAGTAACGATGCTTCTTACAATGATCGTCTATCTCGATGTTTTATCAAGCTCAGTCCCTATTTTCGAAAATTTTGAAAAGGCTCCACGACTGCTATTTCTCTTTCTTTTGACTGTCATTGGAAGTGTTTATGCTCACATAATTATAAGTAAGTATTTCAATTTCAGCAAAATTTCTTTCTATAATCTTAAGCCGTGAGTTTATGGTGTCAGGACAAAAGTGAGGACCGAATCTTCGAGTTCTCTAAACATCAGGCTAAATTTGCTTTGCTCTGCGCTCGTTTCTTCGAAAAATTTATTTGTGGAAAGTATACGATTCCTTCGGTTATTTTACGAAAATGCGGAGTAGAGAGGAAAAACACTGATAATAACGATGGTTTGCCTATGCTATATCTAATTTTAAGTAACCACCTTTTTTTAGAAAACGAAGAATTTGAAAAATATCAAAAAGCTTGGATATTTTATGCAAAGATGCTTTCCCACTTTTGGGCTTTGATTTTGACTGTTACCATCATTACTGTAACGTTCGGTATCATTATCGATCTTCATGTTCAAAGTTCAAAAGTACTTGACGAAATTTTTGCGAACTAATTAAAATAACCTTTCTTCACATCATTATAATATTTATTCGAGTTTATTGATTTTCAATTCGCGCATTTTGAAGAATATTGAGTGATTTGCCGAATGAGGCCTGCGGTTCTCTTCTTCCATGCAGGGTGTTTTCGGCAGCTGTTGATGGAAGTTTTCTCGTATAAATTGTCGAAGGACTCAGCACACTATCAAATATTACAAATTATGAAAACATTTCTCGGCAAATACCAAAGTTTTTTCGTCTTTTTCAATTTTGACTGGGTTTTTTGGTCGTCGACCCCGAGCAAAATCTAACATTTCCTCGTTTTCTTCTTCATTGATTACATGTTTCTCCGTTGCATGCAAAAAGTCCTCGTACTGGTACTGCAAGCTTTCAAAATCATCGTATTCGCCATTTATCATTGACTCGTAATAACTATCCTCATCGGCAAAAAAGCTGGATATATCGGAAACATCTGAAAACTCGTCAGCTTCTCGCTTACCTCTTCGATTAACTGCGCATTTTCTTGTGCTTTCGATATGCCAAAGAGCGTCGCCAATGACTTTTTGAAAACGGTGAATGAATTTTGAAGAGCGCCATTTTTGAGACTTGCAACTCATGCTTGAAATAATCCACTGATAGCACAAATCCATTGTGTTCTCTCCAACTTCTCTTGGTGTCAAATTTTGAGATTGAATGCCAGTAAGAAAAATGATAGTACAAATAAGCTTCATTTTGTATCAAATGAAAAACTTTGCTACTTCTATGTTGGAAGCGAGGATTATATAGGAGCACGAGTTTGCGCCAGACTGACTTTAACGATATTTTGCGGACAGTTTGTGGAGCTTTCGTTTCTGCAACGTTAAACTATTTCATTCACTGAATTATATTATGAGTCACTTTCAGAAACGCCATTGATAAGCTAAAAAAAAGCTTGATCATTTTCATTATTGATCTTGGCTGAATGAAAAACTAAATTTATAAAAATATTCATCATGGCATGAAATAAAGTTCAGCCACATTTTAAAGCTAGAATTCGACTGTTTCACTTCTACTATTTTTAAAAAAAATTTCGAATTTTCATTCTCAAATCTCATCTCGCGCTGAAATCGTAGAAAATTTCCGATTTGTTTTTCAATATAAAAACCATCTGATCTCAATATAAAAACCGCAAAACGAGTTCCCTCCTTCGCCGAATAAAACGTTAGCATTGTCACGAGTTGATGTCATCAGAACGGACTCGAGATGACAGGCGTGAAGCGAGAAGCTTCCGCTAATGAGCAGTAATGATCAGAAAGTTTAATCCCGAGCGTCATAAAATTTCGATAGCTGCTCTTTCGTTTTACTTGAGAATTAACACAGGTGGAGGAAAGTAGAATTTTATTTACATTTCAACAAAATCATCGTCCAAATTCATGTCGATCACTGAATCTGGGTCGCTGGAAAGATTTTTTCAAGTAATTTCATAATTTTTTTCTTAAAAATTAAAATCTTTCCTTCCGATCGGCGTCAAGGTCAAAGCACAGCTTGATTTATTCGCCATATTTGACTCCATTTCCATATCGCTTAAGGGGGGGGTCGACGAGAATCGGGATTTCCGTGACCAAAAATGCGGGAAAACCGGATTAGATAGGGAAAATCTGATGTTATTGGTGGATAGAAAAGGGTTGAAAAAATCAGGCGGCGAAAACTAGAAAAAATTTTCGCCAGAAAAAATCGGTCAAAAATCCCCTCAAAGTAGGGCCATTTTCGCGAAAATGCACCAAAAATGGCGATTTTTTTCACATTTTTCTTAATTTCACCCCCTAAATCTCATTTTTATCAAATGTTTTTAGGCTCAACAGATTCGGGAGGATCTGACAATTCCAAAAATATAAGTTTCATACCCAGACTATGTGTACAAGCGAAATTACGATCACCCCTGAAAAAATTCTCGTCGACCCCCCCCTTAAAATTCTCAATATTTTTCTGGGAATAAAAAATTACCTCCGGCGAGCTTGAAGTCTATTCTGCAACCGTCTATTCGGCGGCAGTGATTTTCGATTTGTCTTCGTCGGTTTTGGCAAGTAAGCAGCTTGATTCGGCCCTGATTTCAAAAATATGCCAAGCTCAAAAAGCGTGAGAAGGACGCAGATTCCAGAGCTCGCATACATGTACCAAAGAAAAATGTTCTTTTCCTGCGGCCGGGAGAGGTAGCATTCGATAGTTCCAATGCATGGCCGCCAATTTTCGCCAGACCAATCGAGAAATCGTTTTTCAGGATTGCACTCAAAGCTGATTTTTTATCATCTTTCATACGATTAATCATCCTACTGCTCATTAAATCGAAGTCGGTAAAGATAAAACTGCAAAACAACGAAAGCGCTTTCCATCAGTAATTGACAAGAAAGCCGACTTAAAATTGCAATTTTTGCTTTTCTTTTTGCTTTCTTAGATTTCCCAGCGTCTTTTTGAGCAACAGAGTGTCCTATCCAAAGAGAGAAGACGATCGAGGGAGCAGCAACGAAGAGAACTTGCACTGCCCAGAATCGAATCGGGGAGATGGGATTGAATCGGTTGAAGCAGACGTTTGTACAGCCTGGTGTGTTTGTATCGCATTGAAATCGACTAGAAGAATATAGAATGACGAGAGAAAAGAGACCTTACGTTTGTTCGTCAGAGAAGATTTTGTCACCAATGCTCAGAACTACGAGAATTCGAAAAATAAAGAGATACTTTGATTGGTTCAAAAATGCTTCTTTGATAAATAATCTAGCGGCACTAGAGTGTCTTCTTATTTCAAATACAGATGTTTGAACCGATTCGCGCATGACCCATAATTTTCCAGGAAGAGAAATGCTCTTCGACAATTCCTGAAGGACTTTCTCTAAGACCGCCCAGCTCATCTACTCTTTATCCATTCGAAAGTGAAAGTCACATTCCCTCGAATTATCGGCGCGATGGTTTTATTGCCACTGTTTCCTCTTTTCAGCGCTGATTTAGGACTTTTTGCTTTATATTCAATCCTTTGCCAGGAGAAAGATGATACTTTCGTGAACGTGGAGTGGGATCACCAGGAGTAAGAATAACGACTTACAAATAAGCTCCTACTCAGCAACGGATTTCAGCAGAAAACTCAGCTCTCTTTTTAAATTTCTGTCTAGTAGACATTTTTTCCTAGAGTTCCTTCTTTATGAATTTTTTATCAGACAGAGCTCACTTATTTTATCGTTTGGAAAAATAGCGATAATTGAAGAGGAAGAAAAAAGCGAGCAATCGAGGCATTAAAACAAAGCAGATCGGCTTAAGAAAATGTATCATTTGCCCGTCTCTGATCTAAGAAGCCCGATGTCGACCATCGTGGCCAGAGCTCACATAGCTCACGTTGCTAATAAATCTAATCGCTTAGACAAGCTTCATCATCTCTTTTTCTTGCAACAATGCGTTGATTTATTTGAACTTTTCAAGGTTACTCCTAGAAGGAAAAAAAGAAATATAAATAAAATTGTTTCTCTTGACAGAATTCAATTTTTTGGCTTGATTGTTTCCTTACTAATCATTCTTTGTTATCAATAGACACTTAAGGAGGGGGTAGACGAGAATTGGGATTTCCGTGACGAAAAATGCGGGAAAACCTGATTCGATAGAAGAATTAGTATATGTTGGGTGGCAAGTAAAGGGTTCGAAAAATCAGGCGGTGGGAATAAGAAAAAAATTGTTCAGAAAAAATCGGTCAAAAATCCCGTCAAAATAGAGCCATTTACGTGAATTTTCTTGAAATACTGATGTTGAGAACTTTATAATATAATAAACATCAGAAAACTTCATCTTGATTTCAAAATTTTGAACATTCCTCGGAATTGATACCCTTAAAACTAGTTTCGCGCATCGATATTTTTACTACATTCATATTGGTCCCATAGAATCGAGGCGAATTCCACCAACATTAACTGAGTTGTATGCCTACATCTTCGTTCAAAAGCCCATAGAGATCTTGATCTAATATTGCGTTCCATTCTGGACCCCCTCTCCCTAAAGAATTAATCCTTTCTTGCAATTGCCCTTCAACAGCTCTTTTCCCTGGCTTATTGAGCTTTTCCTTCTGTGAATTTTCACGTCTCGATTACCGAAACGTGCAGCACTTTTTCCGATCTTTAGCGCCGCCATTGTGCGTCGCCGCAAAAAAAATCGGACAAACAATCGGCTAGTAGATTTTTAATTGTTTAGTTTACGCAGCAGCAGATAAATACTATTTCCAGTTGCTTGTACTTTTTTTTAATTTGAAAAAGAGAAAATTTCGGAGAAGGTCAAATTTCTGAATATCAAAATTTGGCGCATGATGAATGCGTTTTTGCGCGGGATCAGGACGAAATTGACGAGTGTCATGCTTTCCATGGCGATTTCGTTTTTGATGTAAGTTTGGGGATGATCTTGAGGGACGATTTCGATGGTTAGATCTTTCTTTTATGGGAATCTCTAAGAAATTTTTGCCAAAAACGAAAAAATCTCAAAAAATCAACGAAAATCGTCAAAAAATGGCCGTTTTTTCTTCTGTAATGGCGAAAATTATTGATCTCCTTTATAAGGATCCCGATGTTGAGGCTCTTATAGAAAAAAAATCAGATAGAAATTCAAAGAAATGATATAAAACAGCTAGAAATTTGAGTCTTCTTTTTCAGATATGCGAATTTTTTCCATCATCAATCACTCGCTATTCGTCCGCGCTCAGTATCCCAGAAACTCACCTGTAAGTATCTGTCAATTGCATCTAGGGGCTGACCTTTTGGGCTACCCAAACTGGAAGGTAGAAGTAGTATTTTGGTTTTGAACGCGGCGGCCGGCGGATCTAATTGAACGCCGTGCCCGTGCTAAATCAGTAGAACCGCAGCGGTTGAACTTTGGTTTCATTAGATTATTTATGCAATAGCTTAAAATTTATAATTTTATTTTTCAACGAAACAATGACTCATTTTTATAAGTCGAACCAGAAGATTACAGCAGGAATGGATTTTCAAATTTTAATTTTTATTTTTTTCCAAAAAAAATTTTTTTTTTCAAAAAAATTCTATCAAGAACATATTTGAACATCCAGCAAAGTCATTTTACCACAACAGAAGAGAGTACAACAAGTACGACCGTCGATACTACCACCGCAGCCGCAACAACTTCAAGAGCCAGTACGACCAAATCCACAACTTCCACCACATCGGAGCCTTCAGAAAACCCCTCAGAACCATCAGACAACCGAGAGAATCAATCTTCCGATGACGCCGAAAAAGATGCTCAAACAAGAGCTCGACCGAAAGCTTCAAGTCCAAAACCAAAAAAAGAAGGCGTCGATGATATCGAGCACCCTGACTATCCTGGCTCTCCCCGGCTCAATCAAGGTCTTGCCGAGTGCCCGAAATATCCTGATACACTCATCGGTCGACAAATTCCAGACTCAAATCTTGAAACAGAATGGGATCATGTTGAGGAGACAGTTGCTGATGGACTTTTGGAAGGAGGCTGTTGGGAACCAGAAGACTGCTTTTCGACAACAAAAACTGCGATTATTGTCCCTTATAAAGATAGAGAGACGCATTTGAAGAGATTGTTATATTATCTTCATCCCTTTTTGAGGAGGCAAAAGATCAGTTATTGCATCATTGTGGCGGAGCAGTATCATGATGGCCGATTTAATAAGGTAAACCTCCTTTATAGGCTGAGTTTTGCGAATCCTAGACTTTGATCACAATAAGGGTGTCACACTGAAAACTCCATTGTTTAAAAAATGACTTTCACAATCCTTACTGCCTTTGACAAGCGCCGGAACAGGGTTGAAGAATCGCCTAGACTAGAAATTCAACCCGCCAAAGCTTAGAATATTAATACGGAGATTACTAAAAGCTCATGTTGATTTCCTATTTTAGGGCATTTTGATGAATGCAGCGTTTGACGCATTGATGAAAATGGACGTTGGCTTCGATTGTGTCATTTTCCACGATGTAGACATGCTACCAGAAGATGATCGAAACCGATATGCTTGCGGCGCGAATCCGATCCATCTTTCTTTGATGATCAACAAGTACGACTATCGATACCCTTATGGAACCGATTTTGGTGGAGTAACGATGATGTCCGCTCAGAATTACACGATGGTCAATGGACATACAAATGTCTTCTGGGGCTGGGGAAGAGAGGACTCGGATATCGAGTACAGAATCAGAAAACAAATGAAAATCGAAAAGCCGGAAGTTTTCGACTCTGCGCGGTACACAATGTGTGGACACGCGCATCCATGGACTTTTCAAAATGAAAAACACAAGGCGCACATTGAAAATAGCTATCAAGGTAAAAGAGAAATGCCCATAGTGGCAAAACTTTATTGTCTTCATAGAGTTTAGTGATACAATTTATTTTAGCGGTGACTCATAAAATGCTTATGAAACTGAAGGACTACAGGAACAAATACGATGGACTCAACTCACTCAACTACAGGAATGTTAATGAAAAAGTAGGCAACACGAAATGGAAACATCAAAAAATGAGTCGAAAAATTGTTTGATCATCTACTAGTAGATAGAGCCAAGATTGTTGATTTTTTCAATAATGCATAAAGGATGAAATGGGTGAAAAAGGAAAAACTATACACTCATCTGATGATAGAAACGAGATTGATGATCCCGCAAACAATCACCATGGTTCAGGACTGTTTCCAAACCCTTTTTTATTTCCCCTTTTCTACGATGATCTAATTACAGGTGTAAAACAGATTAAGGGCGGATTGACTGCTATTCACACCAATTATCCCGAAGGCGGTTTGTCTCCTCCGTCCGCGAAATGTCAAATGACAGAATTCCCCGGCGCTTCAGTGCACTCGAATATTTTGGACAAGTACGAAAGAACGAAAGCTGCATCAGCGGAAAAATGCTTGGACATTGGGGTCTTTTGTCAAGCGTCTTCGCAAGAAACAAAACAGACTCAAGGAAAGTATATCAACAAAATTATCTTTCATATTCTTTCGGCCAAAAAAATATGCTCAAAAAGCTCTGGAAAACAAATACCGTGTACGAGAGCTTCCGATGCTTCTGACTCATCCGGTTAATACTGCGTTAGTGAAGGATTGCCCCGGAAATCTGGCTTACTATCAGCTTGCACGCGAAAGCTTTGAACAACTGGATCTCGATGAGAAAAGTGCCAACGAGGGTAAAATTGAAATTCAATTTTCAATCAGAGCCGTTGCGAATTTTGAGAAAAATACTCAAGCTTGATTTCAAAAATACGACATTTATCGGACATGGCACAAGTCAATCGTTGTTGACATCCTTAAGAAAAATCATATTGAAATCATGAAAGTCTGGTACCGAGACTCCCAATTATTCGAGACGAAACAAGTCAACGAGTTCACCACCGAAGTCTCAAATTTCACAGCCGAAACAAAAACCAATTTCATAAAATGGGATGAAGACAACAAGGACCAAGTGCAAATTGAAGTCACCATCGAAGTCCCAAAACGAGTAAATATCCTCAAATCTTGCAAAATCTTGATCGAGCTTTAGATTCCCGGTTTTTATACGATTCTTTCAAAGCTCGTGGATATTTGGGGCCAGCCGGTGCTCGAATTCAACTGGAATTTCCACTATACATCAGGTGACAGAGCGAAAGATTTACAAATTCAGGCGCAGGTCAAACACGATAAATTTGAGCGAATGAGTGGAGGAAAGATTGCCGCTATTTGGGGGAGGACGCTTCAAAATGCTGCTAGGAGAGGGTCATTTTTTGAAAGAACAAATTCAATGCTCATTTTTGAGCAGATAAAATATAGACTATATTATATAGTCTTCCCACTAGTTCTCTTCTCGACCCTTCGAAAAGGCGAAAAGGTCTATCGGACCTGTCAATTTCCTTCGATCAATCTGAAAAATCTCCGTCAGAAAAACGAGCCGCAAACCGTGGAGAAATTTGAAAAGTCTTTCGTTTAAAACAGCTTCACCCAATTTGCTTCAATTTGATTCCAAACGCTTTCTTTTTTTGTATCATTGCCAAACCGACGAAAACAGATACTGCTTTCATGTATAAATATTAATATCCGAATCAAATATAATATTCTACAGCAAAGTTATTCAATAAACTTTTTAATGAATGAATGGTTGTCAGAAATTTTCGCCAGAAAAAAGAAATCGAAACAATTCATTTAATTCAGTTGATTTATCCGAGTTTCAGTCAGAAAATCAAGCTGTGACTTGCTTACAGGAAAAACTAAAGGCCTTTTGAAAGATTCCTCATGGTAACGAATAGTATTTCCCAAAGTCGAATTGGTAAAATCAACATAGTCCATGTCCCAAAACTCGGATGTTTCAGCATCCCAGAATACAGTCTCGACAGGAAAGCTGAATAACGATAATTTGGCGAAGATTCTTTATGTCTTACGTTTCGGCATGCCATTCTAGATCCCCATATTCAACACCACTGACGAGAAAAATTGTGCTTCCAATTTTTGACAAAGATAAATACGCATGCTAAATATGATAATTTTGGTCACTCTTTTTCTATTACATCGTTCTTCAGATATCCGATCATTTTCCAAACTGATTGGTAATAAATATAAACGCCATTTTTGTATTGGGCGTTTAATTCTCCATATAAACTTCGATCTGCATTAAGTTTAGCCGTGGCTTTCTCAAGCATCGGCTCATTCATAATTTGAGATCCACCAAAAACAAGCAATCCATCGTCAATGCCAAGACAAGAGTGGTATTTTATGTACCTTAAATATTTATGATTGAGTCAACATCATTAAATTGTGCTGAGTGTTTTATAGAGAGATCATCATCAGAAGACTAAATAGTACATCAACTTCAATATATCACAAAATACTTCTAAAGACATCAATTGTTTTTTCTTTTCACCTAGGAAAGTCCTCAAGCGTATTCCAGTTTTCTCCGTTGAATTCTTCAACCTTGGAGAAACCGAAATCATCTGAATAATCTGATCCTCCTATCACCATTGGTTTGTTATTATAAAGGGCAAGACAAGCATCAGGATGTGTAAATTCGGTTGAATTCTTAGCGACAGCTTGTTCCCCGTCATATTCCTGACAGCGTTTAAATGGCACTTCAAATTCTCTTGGATCAAAGGAGATATTGCGCCTAGCCAAATCTTCCAGCGTGAATTCTCCCCAACTCATGGTAGATTCCTCGAAACATATGATATGTTACATATCATCGCTGTAAATTGAAGTATTTTTTGATAAAAAAAACTTTTACCGGCATTTCCATTATCGATAGAAGTAATTGATGACTGATGATTAATACTGTATAAAAGGATTGCTGCATATCCGTGCATTTCTTCAATCTCGAAGATGTTTAGACGCGAAATCTTAAAGAATTTAAATCGTTAAAGTATCATCGGCTTACGCTTAATCCTCCAAAAATATAAATTTCTCCCCTAATCAAGGCTGATAATTGATATTCATAGCCGACAATCTCTCCACGAGCAGGCAAAGAAAGGTGCTCTGCGACTGATAGATAAGTGCCGTCTTCTTTCAGCAAGTAGCTGATTGAGCTTGACTTGGAAGAAGCAAGTATCATTATGCTTTCTTTTTGGGACATGAAGAATTTGATATCGTTTTCGAGATTTTTGTTGGTTTCTTTGAGCTCTTGAATTTCCTTGTTAGCGTTATTGAATAATATATTGATATTGTCATTTTCGTTCGTTGCATTTTCCAGTGAAGCATTAAGTTCCTAAATTAAAGGTAAGCTCATGCTAAACTAACAAGCCTCGAACAATTATTCTTTGAGATACTTCCTCGTTCATGCCTTGTAGCTCAATTATCTTCGGATTCCATTTCAAACCGACCCGCCATAATCCGATAATAACGAATAGACTTCAAAAGTTTAAAAGCTATTTTGTTATATTGACAATAGATAAAAATAACTAACTCTTCCTTATAGCAAATATAATGCTTAAAGTTGAAAAAAACTTCATATTTGATCGTTTTTCTTTCAAAATAACCGGTTGTTTGGCAGTTTCTTCATCTTCGAAAATGGGGGTTAGGAATGTTGGAGGATTTCCTACATCAATATTTTCGTAAGATCCTAGTGAACTCTCTGAATAAGCATAAGTCGACATCAAAAAAAATTAAATTGTTTCACTCTTAGTATGATCTCAGAGCCTCAAATCAAGAACAGGCTCAATGTCTATCTGGGCCTTTACTTGTTTGAGAAATAACGTCAGATGCATATATTTGATTAGGTGATTCCCATCGCGCATGTCTACTTTCTCCAACTAATTCATCCAGTTTCAAATCTTTTTCAACTTACTAAAGCTTTAGCATCATATCAAAAAATCAATTAAAAAAATAAAAAAATGTGTTCAAAAAAATTTACTCGGAAAAAGTATTGATCGACCTTTAGATTCCCGGATTTTATACGATTCTTTCAAAGCTTGTGGATATTTGGGGCCAGCCGGTGCTCGAATTCAACTGGAATTTCCACTACACATCAGGTGATAGAGCTAAAGATTTACAAATTCAGGCGCAGGTCAAACACGATAAATTCGAGCGGATGAGTGGAGGAAAGATTGCAGCTATTTTGGGAAGGACGCTTCAAAATTCTGCTAGGAAGGGGTCATTTTTTGAGACAACAATTTTAACACTCAGTTTTGAGGAGATTAAATATGGTTTTCAATATAAACATTTGACCCTCCAAAAAGGCGAAAAGGTCTGTCGGACCTGTCAATTTCCTTCGATCAATCTGAAAAATCTCCGTCAGAAAAACGAGCCGCGAACCGTGGAGAAATTTGAAAAGTCTTTCGCTATAAACAGCTTCACCCAAACTGCTTCAATTTGATTCCAAACGCTTTCTTCTTTTGTATCATTGCCAAACAGACGAAAACAGATACTGCTTTCATGTATAAATAATTATAGCGGACTTTTATATAATATAATATTATATTGCGTAATTATTCAATAAACTTTATGATGATAATTGAATACCCTATTTTGCTTTCTAAATATGTCTTTCGTGCCCAAACACCCTGAATACGTCCAGCAAAAAAATTTCTTATAATTCATATTCACTATGAACTTTAACGGAAATTTGTCATTTCCGTTTTTTTTTTGCTTACTTCGTTTATATCCTTTTCCAAAAATTTTTACTCAAATCATCTTTATAAAAAAAAAGAGATAAATGACGATAATTGAGCCATCACCGGATCTTTTAGTGCACCATGAAAGTGATATAAATGAAATTATCATAATACAATATTTCGCTGTAGTGCGAGCACTCAATGCGTATAAATATGTAAAAAACAGATATGAAAATGAGTATTACCGGGACCGTATAAAATTTATACTAAAAATTCAGATTTGTATCATTATAAGTTGACATTTGTTAAAGCAAGGACAAGAAGTTTTCTCCGATTTGGTGAGCTATTACAAACGATTTTCGGTGGTAGGCTTTATGAAAAGCTCCGGTCTATTCCTCTCATTCATTGTGCAGGAACAAAGGTACAAGATCCCATCCGTAGATATTCAGAGTCACTTCTATCTTAGGGAAAGGGAACAACCTGCGCGATGGCTGAATCACTTCTTCGAGGAAGGGGCTTCAAGACTGGGCTCTTTACTTCGCCACATTTCAATAGCATCAACGAGCGCATTCGCATCAATGGCAAACCGATTTCTGAAGAACAACTGTCCGCGACATTCGAAAAGCTCGAGAAAGAAGACGAAACGGAGCCTCTGCGTTGTGGCAATGAGTGGTTTCATTACTTGACGCTGATTGCTTTCCAGACTTTTGTCGAGCAAAAAGTTGACGTGGTCATCCTTGAAGTTGGCATCGGTGGCCAGCTTTGTCCTACATCGCAGTATCCAATGGGCGCGCCACGAGTTTGTTGCATTTCCGGTTCGTCAACTTTTAAATTCAAGTTTTATTCATGAATAAGCGCTTGGCTATGATCACTTGGAGAAACTCGGGTATACGATCCAAGAAATCGCTGCGGCAAAAGCTGGAATTTTCAGACAAGGAGCAACCCTCATTACGACCTGGCAAGAGTACCCTGAAGCCTACCAAGTGCTCGTTAAAGAAGCAAAGCATAGAGGGCAGCTTTTGACGCCCTCTGGAGAGCTTATCGATTCAACGGAACTAGAATTTCCGCAAAATATCAATGCAGCTAGTGCTATTCTTGCTGTGAGGTATCTCTATTTTCTCTTCATTCGATCGCACTTTTAAAGGAATTTGATGAGAAAAATGAAGCACGATACCTTTTTTGAGCGGCTAAGAAAAACGAGTTGCTCGACTGAAGCGAACCTGATGAAAGCGGCTACTTCAACGGAAAAGAAGGCCATAAATTCCGTCAGATGGCCTGGAAGGCAACAAATTTTAGAGCACAAAGTAAAAGGAAGAAAGATAAAAATTCTTCTAGACGCTGCGCATACTCCAGGTGTAGTCCTCCATGATTTCATCAAGGTCTTCATTCTTAGAATCGATGAAAATTCTTTCAAACTGGGCAGCTGCGAAAAAGGAAGGAGAAACGCTCATTTTAATGAGATCAGCGAAGGGCCGGGAAATCAACAGTCAAATGGTGCATATTGCGGAAATCATGAAGCCTGATTATTTTGCCGGATGCCCAAATATTGCCCTCAGTGAAGACGAACTTGATTCAAATTTGACAAAAGAGAAATTTTCGCATATTTTTCCAACATTTTTGACCGAAAGCGTTGAGGACCAAATGCAAAAAGTAGGTTTTATAATCAATAAAACTCGAGTAATAAAACTTAGCAACGCGAAAACATAGCAAAAGCACTTGAGAGTGCCAAGGAATATGGTCTCAGGACGCTGGAATTTGATTCAATTAACGATTGCCTCGAAAACATGCCGGAAGAAGTCAAGACTGTCGTGATTACTGGGAGCATGTACATGGTTGCTGCTTTTTTCAGACTAAGACCTGACGCTTATTTCTAATTTTAACAACTTTTTCAACTTACTCAAGCTTTAGAATCATATCAAAAAATCAATAAAACTAATAAAAATTCCGTTCAAGAAATAATTTATTCGGAAATAGTATTGATCGTCGTATTTTCAGAAGTAATAAGTTGACGACTTCTGATTTTTCGCTTTTCTTTCCTGTAGTTCCAAACCGTCAAAGAAATAATCGCTGTCATCTTTAAATGATGAAGGAAAAGGATACACTTGTTGCCACTTACGGTCACGAAGGAGAGTCCGATTAGAATTCCAAAGAGCATCGCATTTGATCCAACAAACTCAAATAGAAGATCTCGCCTGAAAGAATTTCACGGAATTGATCGATAAAAAATCCTTACTTTTTTGGTGGTGGCTCTATTTCATACTCGATGACGGTCATATTCATCGTCACGAAATAAACCTCTTCATTGTAATAAAACATCTTCTTTCAGCTTGGTTCAATATTCTTAAAAACATTATCAACGTCTATTTTTTTCAACTAAAAACCTTTAAGTTTGAAAAATCACTGCATTTTAGAAAATTGTTACGTTATGTTCGCATAACTTCTTTGGAGAGAACCTCGTACGCGGAGGTTCAGAAAGGTTAGGTCTGACAGACATGACAGTCAAGTCATGCGGTTCTCGATCGTTAACCTAGATTTTCCGTTTCTAGGGAGGTTAAAATGTGCTATCGACCGCATAAATCTCCCACCTTGCCTATCAGAAGTAGGCCATCTTTGTTTCTTCTGCCAACTGACCTCCCTCCAGATGGCCTAAAATCACCTGCAGTTGCATGAAAATTTTCGAGAACATAAAAAGCCCTGGGGAGTCCTTCATTCAATTCGCAAAATCCAAAAAGCCAAAAATCGAGAAAAAAAAGAAAAAAATAAAAATGCCAAGAAGCGAGGACATGGACGACTACACCTACCGTTTCTACCATTGCATGATTTGCTACGAACGATACGACTACCGGAACCATTTGGAATTCGCCCTCACTTCCTGTGGCCACAAAATGTGCAGCTCCTGCATCGCGAGTTTGGAGAAACCGAGCTGTCCTTACTGCAGAAAAGAATTCACTGCCGAAAATTTGCTCCAGCTTCGAGACGATTGAATTTGAAGAATAATTACTGTTTGATAAAATGAAATCTGTTTCTTCTAAAAGTCTTCGTAATTCGACTTTGGTGAACTCCTTCACTGTATAACAAAAATGTCCTATACATATATAGGCTATACATGAAATGAGAATAAAAATCGAACGATAACCCGCTTTGTTTATGTTTATTCTATGCAATATGTTTGCATCTTTCATGTTTACTTCTTTGCTCTTCTGGTACGCTTCCAGAACTACCCTGCAATCCGCTGCAAAATGAGAAATTTCAAATTTCTCGCGGTTCTGGCCTCGTTTTCTTCCGCCCAGGAAGATTCCTGGTCTCAGGATTACCTGAATAACCCGAGAGACTACTACAGAAATCCGTGCCCAAAGACCAGGCCGACTGATTTGTGCAACGCTTTTGACGAGTATGTTTGGAAAAAGGACGGATACTACAGTTACGAGTTGAGAGAGACGTACACTCAGTTCAAGGATATCACTGGATACGCGTTTTTGCTCAAGTCGCAAAAATGGCTGAATGAGTCGGGTGAGCTAATTTTTAAAATTTTGGTTTAGGATAAAAACCATAAAATTGAAATTCGCAAGAGAAATTGGGTATTTTTCAGCTGGCAATCGTTGATGAATAATTAAAAGCGCTAGCAAAGGTCGTTTGAAAGAATCATGGTATAACCCGATAGGCTATCGAACGAGCAATTACATTTGTAATTTTCTATGAAAAATAATCATTTCGACATTAAGTTTATTACATCGACAACGATGGTCCCGATCATCCCGAGCGAACTGTGTGGAAGCACTGGGTCAATGTTTGGGTCCCTAATGACAAAATCCTCGACAAGAAGCTTCTCGGCTCGGCTCTCATGCTCATCGACGGCAGCGGCAACAGCAACAACCCGCCGAATCTGATGGACGACATGCTTCAATACGGCCGTTTCTTCGCTCGAACAACAGGCAATGTGTTTGTCGGAATCAAACAAGTGCCAAACGAGCGCTTGATTTTCCTCAACGACTGGAAGTGCAAGCGAACGGAAGATGCTATCATTGCCATAACTTGGCGTCACTTTCTCGATTTTCCAGACGAGCCAGAGTGGCTCCTCAGATTTCCAATGACAAAAGCAGCTCTGAGGGCAATGGACATGGTCTCAGAATTTGTTCAAGACGAATTTGGCTGGCCGGAGATAGACAAATGGGGTGTCACAGGTAAATTGGGTGAGTCTTCAATACATTTTTAATCAACAATGAAAGGTGCTTCAAAACGAGGCTGGACAACTTGGATGACAGCTGCTGCTGACCCTGAGCGAGTGGTGATGATAGCTCCGATCGTTCTTGGTAAAAAATTCATAATGTTTTTCTAAATTTGAACTTGAGGCTTTCAGACTTTTTAAATATGGATGATATAATGCATCAAATGTGGCGAAATATGGGCAACTGGACCTTTACATTTACGGATTATTGGTACGAAGGTATTAACGGAAGGTAAGTTTATTTGTAAACAATACTAGTTTGGTCACGTGGGTAATCGAATGTCATAAAATTCCGGAGAAAGAAGGATGAACCGGGGTCGCTTCGTTTCGTAGTGAGGAAGAGATTATGCGGGGCATCTCGAGTTCTAGAAACTTTAATATTTTTCAACGGGAATGAATTTCTTACCTCATGGTTGGGCCAAGACCATTAACTCTCCTGGAATATTTGTTGATGAGACTTTTTAAATTCGATGAGAGCCATCCATCAGCAGCCCTGAAATAATGTTTTTTGAGAAAAATTATAAATGAACTAACACAATGCTGAGAAAAAAGAAAATGGTCAATACGATCTTCATTTTGTTTCCTTTTTTTATTTCTCGAGACGTTCTTTTAAGTACAAAAAACTCAATATTGAGGTGAGCTCGGTCGCGAAAGTCATATTTTTTTCATGGCTCTGTTAGTTATTGCTACATCGAAAGTCAAACGCGATTGCGGGTTTCTCATTATCCTAATTTTTTTAAATGACAAATTTTTAATGGTCTTGGCAGACGTCTATATTTTCATGCATGAATGCAAAAGTAATAAGTTCAGGTATGTTTGACTATTTTTTGACCGATACAGTAGCTTTTGTTTATTACAAACATTTATTTTTTAGAATTGATGATCCAAATATGCGACCAATGATGGACCTCATTGACCCTTTTACTTACAAAGATCGTTTCACGATGCCTAAAGTGGTAATTTCTGCGACCGGAGACGAGTTTTTCATGCCTGACGATATCAATCTTTGGTGGGATGAGATGCCAGAGCCGAAATTTATCCGAATGATGCCAAATACTGATCACAGGTAAGGACTTCCTGAGGAAGTCTACCCCGGTAAAAGGGATTTATATTCTTTTAGTACCCTTCTCAATGGAATCTCCAACCCTCATCTCGCCTTCACCATTCGATCAACCTTCCTCGCCGCCGTGAAAGATCAACCTCTTCCGGAGTTCACTTGGGAGCTTACAGAAGATGCAGCTTCTCGAAAAGGACGAATCGACCTCTACGTTACTGGACAGATTCAGCCGTCGATGATCTTTGGTTGGATGGGCGACAATCTGTCGAGATTCAGAAAAGATTTCAGAGTTGCCGGAGTTCGAAATAATGAAAAAGGAAATTATCTTCTTCCAGACATGCCGAACGAGCCTGACGGATATCCAGGTATAGAATTTGAATATACTCTTGTTAGATTGAAAACTTAAGGACCTTGCCCTGAGGGATCTGTATGCCCAGATGCTTGTGCTGGTCGCTCAGCGGAGGATGACGAAGAAGAAGTTGAGCTTGAACTGACTGATAAGGACATCGATGAGGACAGTATGTACGATTTGTACAAAGCCTTCAATCTGACAGGAGAATACACATCTTCGAAAGCACGCGGCCATGGACAATTCGATCCTTCCTGGACCGCTCCTATGATCAAACCGGAAGATCTTATTAGTATGATTCCGCATCGAGACTTTTTTCATAAAATCTTTAGATTTCCAAGCGCAATTGAATACCTTCCGAAAAACCATGGCGACTCAGATTGCCGAGAACCATTGGGTTATCGAACTGGAAGAAAACCCAGAAACCTACCGAGCATTTTTCTTCGAGATCGCTTTCCCTGGCCCAGATGGAATTCACGGATTTGAGTACACTTCCGAAGTTCAAATTATCCCCGCAGTCCGACCATTTGAAGATTGTGTTGGAGAAGGTTGCCAAGGATCTTTTATTTAAATTCTGAGAGAATATAAACGAACTGTGAAAAATACTTTTGCTTCTATCATTTTTCTCCAGGCCAAGGGGCGAGGATCCGTGAAGGCGGTTATTGAAAACTTTGTCGATCCGGGGGCTCAAGCTAAAACGTATCCATTTCAGGCAGCAGGGCAGCATTTTGGCTGAGTGATCTCCGACTCTGAAACCTGTTTAATCACGCAAACAACAAGCAAAAGTATTTCCAGTTGCTTTTGGACTTGCGGAGTTTTTCTCAATAAGAAGAGATAATCCTCTTATGAAAAATTTATAAATAGAGACGCGACTAGAAAAAGAGAGTTTTATGAAGAGTCGATTTTTCACGTTCTTGCTGCTTGGAACGTGTTTTTCTTTTGACTTGGACGAAGAAAATACTTTCAATGCGGAGACTACATATAAATTAGCTTCAAGATCAAGCGTAAGAAAATTGACTCGAAAAAGCACTATGTTATCTTTTAGGAATCATGCTCATCCTTGAACGGGACTAAAATTAATGACGCTGCAACAATCGAGCTAGGAGAATGGGCTTGCCCAGAGAACCTAGAATCAGGAGCAGTATGCACTCCAAGCTGTTATTATGGCGAGGCTCACGGCGTAGCAAAATGTGATTGTTTTTCATCGAATGGCTTTTTACTGCTTTTTACTGGGTGCAAATGGAAATTTTTCGATGTTGAACTACAATCAGGTGTTGATACATTTTGTCCGGGACGACCAAGCACAACGACTACAACTTCAACAACAACCACTTCTACTAAAACAACAACTACTTCTACGACGACAGCTACATCCACAACAACAACAACCACCACCACAACCACAAGATCAACTACAACTACAACAAAGTCTACAACTACCACCACAACGACCACGAGATCGACTACAACCACAACAAAGACTACAACTACAATAACTACAACAACCTCCACCACCACCACAAGATCGACGACAACCACAACAAAGACAACAACTACAACAGCTACCTCTACAACAACTACCACCACCACAGCAAGATCAACTACAACCACAACTACAACTGCCACCACGACAACAACAAGATCGACTACAACCACAACAAAGTCTACAACTACAACAACCACAAGATCGACAACATCAACAACGACAACTTCAACAACTACTACCACCACAATGACTACAACGACAACAACGGAACCAGAATCGACAACAACAGAGTATACAACAACGACAAATACTTCTACAACTACAACAATCTCAACAACAACTTCGACCGAGGACATTACTACCAAGACTACAGGAGGAACGTCTACAACAACAACTGAAACCTCGTCGACAACTTCTGACATCACAACAACGTCATCAGTTACGTCAACGTCTACCTCGACTACAGTTTCTACCACAACTTATTCTACAACGACTACTGAAACATCGACGAGCTCTGCAATATCGACGACTCAGACGTCAACTTCTACAACAACTGGTTTTGGGACAACGACTTCAGGAAAGACAACTTCGACATTGTACAGCTCTACGACTTTACCAACAACATCAACAGTATTCGAGAGCTCAACCTCAACAACTGGTTATGAGTCGACCACTGCCGAAAAGACAACGTCTTCTTCTTTCAGCACGACGAGTGAGCCAACAACTTCTACTCTATTCGAGACATCGACCTCCACAACTGATTATCAAACTACGACTGAAGAAAAGACTTTATACAGCTCCACAACTGAACCGACAACATCAACTCTATTCGAAACTTCAACAACTGAATATTCCACGACAACCTCAACGTTCAAACCAACAACAACTTCGGCGTACACATCAACAACATCTTATGGAAGCTCAACTACCACATTTGGAACAACAACTACAGAAAGGACCACATCAACAACATTTTCAACGCCCAAATTCACAACAACAAGGACGACAACATCAACTTCAACTGATCAAACTTCATCTACGAGCTCACCAATAAGTACATCGAGTTATTTTTCATCAACCTCAACACAAAAAACGACAACATCAGATTATACAACATCGACAGGGTACTCATCGTCGACTGAGAACACATCTACAACCGATATTACAACATCAACAGATTATACATCATCAGTTTCTTCGACAACAGCAACTGCAACGTCATCTACAAAGTATACTACCACGCAAACAACAGATTATACCACTGCAATCTCAACGACTAGCTCAACAACAACAACAAGTTCTGTCACATCAACGGATTACACGACGACTTCTAGCTCAGTTTCAACTTCACCAAAGACCTTGTCAACAACAACAAGCTCGGCGACAACCTCATCAACGACTTCATCGAAAGGAATTACCACAACAACAGATTACACAAGTTTAACCTCATCTACAACTACGACCACAACAACCACGACAGAAATCACAACTACGACTAGTTACACAACAACAACGACATCAACAACTTCTACGACAACATCTACTGTAAAAACTACAACTACTCCTTTCGGCACAAGTGGTTACACCACATCTGTGACCGAATCGACAACTTCCAGAACAACTTCAAAAACTACGTCAACAACAGATTACACCAGCACTAGCGCATTTTCTACGACAACAAGAGACTCAGGAACAACAACGACATCTTCATATGACCCCACTTCCACAACCTCCAGAACATCATCAAGACCCACGACATCGACAGATTATACCAGCACTTCTGCATTTTCATCGACGACAAGTGATCAAGGAACAACATCGACATCTTCGTATGATCCTACTTCGTCAACTCTAGTTTATACTACCTCGACTTCTGATGAATTAACACCAAAAACAACCACATGGTCGTGGGTTTCAACAGCAACAACAGTTGATGAAAGCAAAAACTGCCCACCATTGACTGCTCCTCATGAACGCTCCCAATGGATTTGTAAAATTGAAGGCTGGGGTGGTGAAATCTTCGAATTTAACCCAGAAGAATACGAGTTGGCTGACACTCTCCCTGAAGGTGTCCAGGTTTGAAGATCGCAATAATAGCTTCTTAGTAGCACACAATACTTGATTTAGTTCCGTTGCGTGTTATTTATTAGGTTACCAGTGGAACACAAAACCGTGTCTTCCGACAAACTATTTGTGCAATTTAACAATAATCCTTCTTAGTGTAAACTTCGCTGCCAAAAACCGCTCTTTGACTCTCACGCTAGGTAATTATCGAATGATCTCGAATTTCATGTTCTTGACTCAACGCGGTTTTCAGAATGAAAACATCCTGCGAATGTTCTGATACTGGTTGCGGATGGACTGAACCAGACTTAACCTGCTTAGAAGAGCCAACCACGACGCCAGTTCCAACAACAAAAGATCCTGAAGCTACGACAACCGCGGCAGACGAATTTTGTGAGGCGCTTGAAGATCCTAATGGTTTCTGGGAGTGCACAGATGGGAATTCTCATGATACAAAGGAGAGTTCGATAAATATTTTTGATTAAATTCGGAAAATCTTCCTCCTAAAATTACGACGTTTTATGAGCTCAGTACTAGTGCAAACTTCAATGCAACGATCGATATGAGCAGCGCCGTACCGTTTTGCGGTGCAAATGCCGCAAAGGAAAATGTGATTGGAATGACGAGCAGCTTTTCTGCCTCCCTGAAGAAGATATTGAGATAACGACACAAGCTCCCGTCGCTGGAGGTATTTGCGAAGAGCTTAGTTCTGAGGTCGGAAGCTGGAGCTGTTCAAAAGGCTTTCATTTTAACTCAAGGTATAGTTTGATCACGAAACAACCCTCGAATTATACTGACCCGAAAACATGGCGTTAGAAAAAGTGGTTACTTGACTCTTCTTGAGACTCAAATCAGCTTTGTTGATGCCGCTGATCCGATCATTATGCAACCAAAAAGATTCACTTTCGAAAGTCTAAAATACGGCTCATCGTGTTCATAAAGACGCTAAGTAGATTTTCAGATGTAAGCTGCAGTGTCCGAAGAATTATATCCCCGGTAATAGACATATTACCAGACGTTGCCGATGCTCCAATCGACAGGATGTAAGATTTTACTTCTAGCTTCTAAGAATAACATTTTCGAAGGCTTGCATGTGGACACAGGACGATTTTGACTGTGTTCCAGAAGATTCTGATGAAGCCAACGAGATCACAGATTGGGAAGCGCCGGTTGACTACGATACTGAAACCTGCCCTCCCCTTTTTGAAAATGATTCCGGACCCCTGGACGAATATCCGAATGGGACTTGGAAATGCAGGATTGGCCGAGAATGGCTTTCTTCTGAGAATCATAACGCAGCTGGAGCCAGATGCCAGATCTACTGTGACCCGGGACTGGAAGTTATCGACGATGGAGAGAAACGAAGATGTAGATGGAAAGAGAAGAACAACGCGCTTGAGTGGTCAGGAATGAGTTGAAAAGATGCTTAGCCGTCTGTTAGACGCTAAGAGTTTGTACTCTAAAATTAAGGGCTAAACTTTAGCGAGCTTGCTTAGTAATGTGAGACTTTTAAATTCTTTCTCTCCCGGGCATTATCCGATTAGTTGTGTATCCATTGTCATTTTTCATTTTTTTTTCGGTCGAACATTAGAATCAACTTTGATAAGGTCGAGTTCGGTACTGCAGAACGCGGGCAGAAAACAGAATGATTCTTGAGCTTGAAGAAATGGAGAAAACCGCCAGACTAGCCAGGAAAGATGCTCGTGAGCAAGGTAAGCAAGCCATCATATAAAAGAATTTTCCAGAATAATTAATAAAGTTCAAATAAATTCCCCGAAAACATCCGATATAGAACACCACGTTTCTTGCGGCACTCGGGCGCCATGATTCAGTCTTCTCCAAAGAATTGCAGCTGAATGTCTCAAATATCATCCGAGTTGAGGATATTCCTGAGGATTTCAGTTTAGCAGGGCCCAACAAGAATATTTTTCAAAAAACAATTCAGGATTGGTTCTCAACGACTACATCCCCCGCGGACGATCATTCCAGCGTACCCGTATGCTCGGTCGAAGTAGGACTGACGAAGATAACGACATTCTCACTAGTCGAGTGGCTAAATTCAACGCTGAGGACTTGACAAAGCACAATCCCTTCAGGGATCGAATTCCCTTCCTAGGTCTGCCTCCGAGCCTTTCACCTCGGCCCGCTCCGTCTTCTGCTCATCCGAGATTCGAGGATACAGAAGATGATACTGATTCTCAATCATTCCTGGATGGAGTGCATTCTGTCTTGTACAACGGCGTCGAGTATCTCAACGGCTTTGAGCTTGTCAGAAGCCTCAGAAGGTAAGAACAAATGTGTTAGCAAGCAGTACCGTTCTTTTTAGGTGGCTTTTACAAGAAAAGGACCTCGAAGAAGTGAGTCTTATTGGATAGAAGGTCCTAAATTCTTGATTTTCAACTTTGTATGAAACCCTCAACAAATCCCGCTGTACAGTTTTTCTACGAATAACCTCCCACCAAAATTTATACTGACTGAGTTGATCAAAGGATTCTCCTGCATCAATAAACTATGTATCGAAGATCGGTTCTTTTGCAGACCTTCTCAGGTTCTTGATTTTTAAGAGAAATTTATATTTATTGGAGGGAAAGCATTTTTGGAATAAGAACAATTTTTGAAGAATAGAAGAATATCCGTTGAGTGCGCTAATCGCTTGATTAGTATTTGCTTGAAATCGGAACTGGCGGAAAAGAGGACTGGAGAGGAAGTGTTTAATTTCGAAGAGCTTGAAGGCGTGCATTGATGTCATCTGCTTCTTGGGCTGCTGGAGCGGCGACACTAGAAAGATTTTTTCAAAACAGGTTCATTTTTCGTCTATTTTCTTACGATTTGTTCGCTTCTGGAGCTTTGAGCAGTTCAAGCTCTTGTTCGAGTCCATTTTCACCAGCGACTTGGGCGATAAGATCGTCAACTTGCGCTGTCTGCCCTCCTGTAGCCATAGCACCTTCCATAGAGCTCTCCATCGTTGAAGTGACGACATCAAGGTTCTCGAATTGCGTCTCGAATTTGTCCATCGTCGCAGTGATCTTAAAAATTCGCCGTTGGGTTTGCGCTTAGGTGGACTTTCAATTTAATCTGCCAGATTTGCTTTTCGATTTCCGGAAAAAGTTTCCATTAGAACCCCCAAGTATCAAACCTTTTTAGAATCGTCTTTAGCTGCTCTTTTCCCATATGGAAGCCGATTTTTGAATTTCGGACTTTTTATCGGATTTTTATCGGTTTTTGTGATTTCTAATGCATTTTTCAAGTCCCTATAAGTTCCAAACGATTCTAGTTTTTTAATTTTTTTCTCGATAAATAAAAATATCTCGTCGAGAGGATTCTAAAAAGGTGTTAAAGTACTAGATTGGGACAATCAGATGGAAATTAAGGTGCACCCTTGGCAGATTAAATTGGAAGTCCACCTTAGTTATCTATATTCAGGGTGGAACATTCGGCCGGGCAAACTCGGGCAAATTGGTCGGCGCCGGGCAACGGCGGGCAAACGGCCGGCGCGAGGGTCATATTTTGGCTAAAAAAACGGGCAACTTCGGGCAGTCGGGCAAAGTCGGCGCCCGAAAAAGGCACCATCGGCCGGGAAAAACGGCGCCCGGAAAAAGTTGGCGGGCGGGAAAAAAAGTCGGCGGGCCAACCAGGGAAGCACTAATACTAACATTTTCAATCCACTACTCTCGATTATTGTTAATTATTATTAAGGAACTTTCCTTTTTATGGTCGACATGTTTGTCATACGGTGAAATTATCCTCCTTTTTATAAAGAATGACTTTCTACTGCCTAACCGGGCTCATATCACGAAATTTTTACATTCACTCATTTCTTAGTCGAGTAAATCGGCGTCCTAATTTTGTCCATAGAATATCGGCGCCGGAATTATTGTTGGCGGCCGGGCAGAAATCGGCGCCGAAGTAAAGTCGGGCAAAAATCGGCGCCGGACAAAAATCGGGCAGAAATCTGCGCCGGGCAAAGCCGGGCGTCCGAAATTTCGCCGGTTTTTCCCGGCGCCGATGAAAATTTCCGGGCATCGGCGGGCAATCGGCCGGCCAGACCCAAAATTTTTGCCCGAATGTTCCACCCTGCTATATTTACCTTTTCGAGGTTCATGGTTTTCATGACTTTTTCAAGGCTCTTGGTTGTTGTACCCAGTTCTCTTGTCACTTTCTGCATGTTCTGCGCGGACTTGATCTTGCTGCCGACTGCGTTCATCCTCGATGCAAGACGAAGATAGCTAGAAAAATAAATAATGAACAGAAGTTGCGAGAAATTTCATACTTGAGAGCTTCGTTGCGCTTGCGGACGGCAGATTCAGCGTGAATCTGGGCGAATTCAATACGCTTTTCTGCGATAGCTTTCTTCACTTTTGCTTTCAGCGCGTTGTGTTCCTTTTCTGCTCGTTTGGCTTCGCGCTCAAGTGTTTTTTCCTGCATTCTTAGTGTCAGCAGGATGTCTTCCAGCTTCGGTCCACCGAAAAGCGAAAGAGGCATGATTAGAGATTTCTAAATAATAAAAGACTTGAGAAAAGGGATGGAAACAAGCTTGGCTGTGTATCAATAAATGACTGTAACAGATGGATGGAAAGAAATTGAGTAAAAGATAAAAAGGATAAAAAAGGAGAATGATCTCAAGCTTTGAAAAGGATGAAAAATGGCCACTAGTGTTTTCAGTGGTGATGTCTTGGATTCGCACGAGGAATCTGAGTCGACAGCCTGTTGATCGGCGGGTTGAGTTCGATACGCTCTTCTGAGTTCAAATTGATCAGGGAGACACCCTTAGCCGGCGCGTCTGCGAATCGGTCTGGCGGAAGCTGTCGGGCTTCGGAAAATGTTTGAGATCTGGCAGGAGCCCTTCTGTTTCGCATCGATGGCTCGTCTTTACAAGGTACTCTCGAGTTTCTCTAATCTCATGAGAAAAAAAGGTAGTACCCTCCCTAAAACAGACAAAAGCCTCCTTTTGCACTCTTCTTTTTGTCGAATTTGCTCGACCAAGCCTTCTATCCGCTTCTCATCATACATGTTTTGCGCTACTTTGGAGTTGTTGAAGAGCTTCGCTTGTTTGAGCTCGTTCCGAAGTCGCTCACATTTCCTACTGGCTTCAGCTGCGTCGGCAGGATCTGCTGTAGGATTCGCAAATTGGCGGGAAGCCAGTTCTAGTTCTTTTTCCTTATCGGCGACGTCAAGGAGCGATCGATGCTGGTACTGTTCTCTTTCTACAACGGAAAATGAAAAATTTTGCTTCGAAAAGAAAGTTACCTGAACGCGCAACTTCTTCCGAAAGAGACTGAATTTCGTTGTCCATTCTTCTTATCATATGCTCGAGCTGTTCTTTGCTACTCTGCTCTCCCGATACGGGCAGATTAAGACCTCTTCTCAGCTTCATGACGTTCCGCATTGATCTTTGAAGTTCTGTGTCTACTGATGAGATGTCTGTAGGAGAGTTCAGCGACGGTGCTGAAAATACGGGAATAAAGTAAGAGGTAAGATGGCATACGTTGAAGAGCAAGATGCTCGCTGGAAGTTGCGCGACTGGCGCTCATGAATGCATCGATCATTTTTTGCTTCTGATCGGCTTCGGAGAGCCTAATCGGGTTCAGAAACGGGATAAACTTGGTCTTGAATGAATTTTGCTCGATTTCATTTTGAACCCTAACTTGGATCCTCCGCTTGTATTTTCCGCTCAATGTGATTGATAAAGATCGTGCCGTAGTCCTTGTCTTGTACCATTTCCCAGCCATATGGCAGTTCCTTTGGAGCAGTTCTCACAGGGGTCGTTCCTACTGACGTCGTCCGGGGATCAACCCAAGTCGTTGTCTGCCGCTTGTGGTCGATGAAGTATTTTTTGCCAGTCCGAGGGTCTTTTCACGGGTCGGCGTCAGACCTTCCTTGATCCTCACTTCAAGATGAATCCGACCGGGCCTATGGCCTCCTCCCAGTGGGGAGGAAGAGGAGACCACACCGATGCCATCGTCGTTCTGAATGAATTCACGTCAAACAAGTATTGAACGAGTAAAACTACAAGTTCTGCTTTCCTCTCTTGTTAAGATACCGACTTCCGCTTCGTGCGTTACAAATTAGAGGCGCTTGAGACACAATTAGGACCTACTGTCATACACATATCTACTGCTTTTCCTCCAAGAAACAACCAGTAAATCAAATTGAAAATTGAAACAAGGTTTTATTCACTGTTAAATAGATAGAAAGTGGAAATTCAGAATATAAGTATCAAGACAGACAAGATGTCTCCGTGGGTGGTGTGAGATTCATGTTGCGACAGAATTGACTTGCAGACTGATGCACAGTCCAAGAACATTTGTTTTCACGATTTCCTCGCGAAATATCGTCTGCATCATCAGATCCAAGTCTTTGGACTTGGACTGAATCAAACTAGGAGAGTCCCACATTATCTATAAAAAGGTTATTAAATACGATGTTAAATTTGACTTGTCCTACCTTCGTAATGTCGTAATTAGTGTCGCAGTGCAGCGACACCGATGATCGGACATCTCCTCGCATTTGTCTTCTCAGTTCAAAAGTCCCCTCGTGTTCACTCACCATTCGAATTAGCCCTGATAGACGATATCCCGCGTCTACCAACGCTAATGGCTACTGTAGCTCGAGATGGCGGTCATTCACTTGCAGGAGGACTAATGATCGAGCTCAAATTTTTCTGAAAAGAGAAGTGGTTAGATAAAAGAAATACAGTAACTGGAGATCAACCTATTTCTAGGTAGTTATGACAGAGGGGTGATTTGTCTCGAAGACAGGGGCAGGATGTTAAAGTGAGCAGAGTTGGGGCAGGTTTAAGTTCTACGCAAGCCCATTCTTTTCCGGATCTCTGCCAGTTCTGCTTCTTTCTTCTCTGTCTCCAGCTTCTTGAACGCTCGGGCTGGATTGTAGTACAAAACCACCAGGTATCGGTTGCAAACGTTGAAGCCGGACAGATGGTCGCATGCGTTCTTAGCATCATGAATGTCCTGAAGAGAGATTAGATGGGTCCTGGGGGAAGAGACATCTTACCTCGTAGATGACGTATGCTGTTCCCTTGGTTTCGGCAGTGACACCGATTCGAACTTGCCTAAGAGCGCCAAACTTGCCGAAGATATCGTACAGTTCTTCAGTCGTAATCTTGTAGGGCAGATTTCTAACGTAGAGAATTCGATTCACTAATGAAGGAAGGTTAAGGGTTAATAGAGAAAGAGATACTGTTTACCTTCTGGAGGAAGTTTGATCTTGAATTTTGCCGCTGGATTCATCGCCATCTTGGCAGGTTGTTATACGATATTACTCTCTAAACAGGAGGATTAGGGATGTATCCAAGGGAGAAGCTCTTACAAGGAGATAAGGGGCAAGGATGAAATCTTAAAAAATCTGACATGTCAGCTTTCGTGGAAAATGCAGAATGAGCTGATTATCAAGCTCAAGTTTAAAGCCTTCGAAGGCAAGCGCCGCGCTCGCCCTATGAGCAGCGAGCGCTTCGCGCCCACGCTTTTTGCTCACGAGGCGGGTGGTGAAACTTTTGCCTCGGGCGGTCGCCCCACCAAGTGATAAAAATACACACTGATAAAGGTAGAACTGGAGGAAAGTTTATTATTTCATTTAGAATATTATTTACCATTATCATTTGCGAAAAGTAAAAAGAAACGAAGTTTAGCATGGAAATGAGAGCTTTTACTTTGACTTGTCTGTTGTCCCGCTGGTGTAAGTTATTACTGTAAGGTAGATATACCTTGCTTAGTACGTAAATAAGGACAGAAATTCAATTGCGAGCGAGTAGGGTAGGTAAACTCAAAGTTTGAAACTGAAGGGATGAAACTGGAAAGAAATTATCGCCCTTGAACTTTGAAAATAGTAAAAAATAAAAGAACAGACTTGGAAAGACGAAAATACAGTAAGGAAACAAAGGCGTATTTTTAAATAAATAGTGAAATTTGCAGAAATTCGGAAAGAAGGGATAATACATCTTTAGAGTTTTAGTGAACTTCTTTGATTTTGTCGATCGCGGTTTGAGAATTCTTGCGGCCGTTCTTTGAGAAGATTGAAAATATCGACATCGGAGATTGCGGGTTATCTCCTTTATTTCATGCTTAGAACTTTGTTTATCGGGAAAAAGTCCGAGGAAGAGGGATTTCAGGTCTATTTGCTCCTAATTATTGTGTGATAACGGAAGTTTATGACTAAAAATTGTTCTTTTCGGAGAAAACGTCCATTTCTGAAACTAAATCTAAAATTCTAGGGCTTTTCCGGCGATTTTTGCCGTTTAAGTTGGTGGATTTTCGTCTTGATTTTCCAAATTCAAGCCATATCTACAAATTCAAAAGCATTTCCTTGAGCAGCAAGACTCCTGTCGCCGATCATCAAAGAATTCGGCTTATCTGGTGATGTCAACTGCAACGATCTTGCCTTTTGCGCCCTCGAGTTCGCTTGCGAACTAAAATCGTATTCAAAACAATGTACAGAGAAACTGTTTTTGAGATGTTTATTTATTGAATGAAGAATCGTAGAATGTAGTATGGAAATTGGCCTTACTTATCAGCTGCAGCACTGATGGCGGTGGAAACGGTTGAACTTGAGGAGCCCGCGATGTCCCGTGAAATTGAAATATTGTGAAGGGAGGAGGAAAGCTTCCGCGAAGCTGTCAGGGGAGACTTTTGAGCTTCTTTCTGCTCTTCTAGCGACTCCAGTGATTCCTCTGAAAGCACAAGAATTAAGAAATGCGAGTAAGGGATCACTGGTTTACCTATTCTGAGAGATTCCATTTGGCGAACTTCAAGAATTGACTCGCTAATGTCTTGGATGAAGTTTTTACAATCATCTTGATTTGGCAGTGAGAACGTTATGAGCACTTTTCCAGTCTGAAAGCGGTTGTTTATCTAGTTGCCCTAGAATTGGCTCTGACCTTGATAATACGAACTGCGTGGGGATAGTGCTCGTTTCCGAAGTATTCGACTTCCAATGAAGTCAAGGGTGCATCAAGGCGGTAGGTATATTGGCTTCTTCTTTTGGCCTGAAAAGAAGAAATCGAGACTTGTATTCATTACGGTTGTACAATCTACCTTTGTAACAAGCAACAAATCGTTGAACAAAAAGACCTCTCGTGTATGAAGTCCTGGCCTTTGCGGCCTCGTCACATCCGTGACTTGATACATTCTACAGTAGCAAACGAGCCGCCGGAAAGGAAGAGCAAGCGTTGGTTTCTTCCCAATTATTCGTTGTTCAATGACCAACACCTTCAATTCAAGGAAGCATAAAACTCAGAAGAAGAGCGCTTGCTCGTACCTGATTAATATGATCGTCGACAGATTTGAATTCCTTATTCTTGACTCTTCTGTAGACGTTTTGAAGCATCTTCTGATCGAGATCTTGGCCACCGTCGATTCCTCGAAGATTGTTGACGAAATCTTCTTCAGACATGCGTTTTTCTTTTCGCATCGAGGGAGAGTGAGCATCAGTGTTCAACATAATAATCGCGAACGCTAGAATATGTCTTTAGTTGCAAGAAATGTAAGAATTTCTGTACCGAGGACAAAGATCGAGTCGGGATTATTCAGCTTTCTGACAATCTCGGGATTCGACTCAACGTATCGCTGGGAAAACGCCTCCACCAGTCTCTCCACTCGTTGCGCTTCGCCCTGTATTCTGACTGACGATTGAAACTTCCTCAGAGCTTCGTCAACATCAAGGTCGGCCAGGTCCATTTGATTGCACAGCGCCTTGAGGATCTTTTTTGATCGATCGGAGCCGTTTCCAAGGTATTCTCCGATAACTTGCCTCGAAATTCCCTGAATAAAGGGTTAAGTTTTGAAATTGATGGCCCAGGCGCGCAGCCCCTCATATTGAGAGCTCATAATAGTTTTTAGTACCTTTCTAGTGATGAGAAAATTCGAGATAACATTCGGCGAGTCTTCAACAAATCCTTGCTTGATGAGAAATGCGAGCCCCTTTAATTAAGCATATTTGTCAGGAGATCGGCGAAAAGACTCACCTTTTCGGGCTTTTTATTGAGCAAATTGAGCCCGATTCTGTACATTCGCTTTCTTAGCAAGTCGGTATTGCTTCCAACGGAGCCGGAGACCCAGGATAGTCGCTGATTCCTGATTAACGAGTCGGAATCGAATGATTTGGCTTCACTTGGATGACGGCTTTTTGTCGATGGTTCTTCTTCGTCCGAATCATCTGATTCTGCGTAGCTTTCTCTGGATTAAAAGTTAATGATATAAACTTGCAGGCTTACTGTACCTTTGCTTGAGTAAGCTGACATCGCTGCGATGATCCAACGAGATGCTACTCAGCCTGGATTCGGCTGATTTGTCTTGAGGCATGAGACTTTGGTCGAGGTCTGACTTTGATCCTCGAACAGACTCATTCGGCGGCGGAGAGGATGGACTCCTCTTTGGCGACTTTTGTGAAGACGTCGTTGTCGAAGATTCGGAGGAAGACGTGGAAATCTGTGTACTTTCAAGCTGCTAAAGAAGGTTTTTTTTAATACTGTCTTACCAAATTGCGTTTTGATTATGTAAAATTTTTACTGTTTATTTGCTATTCTGTCTATACACAGCTCAATGTCAAACTTACCTTTTGATTTTCTTTTCTGGCCTGTTCTAGCTCTGTATTGAGCGAGTCCAACGTCAGTCGTCTTGTTTTCGCCGCTCTATGGAATTTCTGATTATTTCCGAGTAAATTCTGAGTTCTATTTTCTATTTGCCCAACTGGCTCGCTTCTCACTGTAGGAAATAACACGGCTGATGTTTGAGAGTATTATTGATATTGACAGTTTCAGAATGGGACTCTCCCTTCAAGCCCTTTTTTCATAAGCGAGACTCGTGCGGGCGATAAAAGGGATTAACAGAAATGAGGGTAAAGGGTAACCCCAGATTTGGGTTTTTCAAAAAGGCTAAAATAAAACAAGAGTTTTGGAAGAAAATCAAAAAGAGAAGGCACAAAGTTTTATTACTAAAGATCTAAATCCTTTTACTGAAAATATTTTCACCTCCGACAGCATCTTATTCGCATTGAAAACCGTCTCTTTCAAAAATTTTTCATCTTTAAAAATTTTCTCATATTTGCCCCTCGTTACAGTAACTGTTCAGCGCTTGGCAAACATGGAGAAATAAAAAAAAGCGAGAGCAGGTTCAGCTACTTGTAAATTATTACGAAGATGAACTAGTGGTGCCTAGTGGGTTAGAGAGCTTGGACTTTTACGAGCTTTTTTCTCAGATTCGCCCTTTCGAGATTGTTGCGTTGAATTCTGACGTTTTGGGTTAGGTTACGCTCGGGCGTATTTTTTCTTTCCGAAAAAAGCTATCAGATACCAACCCTTTTCCTACTTCTTTACCGCTCAATTTTAACCCCTTGAAACACTCACTTTCTCGTCCGTAATTATTCCTCTTGTCAATCTTGATTGAAGCGTTTCCTGATTGAAAACGAAAGAAAAAAGGGGCAAGGGAAATTACTCTTTCTTATAAAAGTCGGCCCGATCAAAGAGCGATTTTATGTTTTTCCTTGTCAAGCAAAAGAAGAAAAGGCCACAAACTTACCTCAGCTTCCTGAAGGACTGTTTGAGACGGTATTGGCGGTAAAATTGTTGAATCACTTTTGCAGCGTTTTCGGCCTAAGAAACCATTTAATCAAGTACATTTAATAATTAATCAAATAAATTTAAAATCACTCTTTATCAAAAAAAAATATTACCTTTTCTCTTCCACCGTATTTGTTGTGAATGGCTTCTTGAGTTTTTGCCTCTAGCTCAGGCGAAATACTGAAGAAAAATGTAAGTGATAGTTTACTTTGTTGTAGTTTATCTGGCAAAGTGAAAGTAAAGAGCAAAGGCTCAAGAGAAACATCGGCTCAATTAGGCTGAGAAGCTGGGAACTCAGTCAGGCATTGAAAAAGGGGGAATTCGAATTGAAGAGAATTCAATTGAGGACGCGAGGATCGCTGTTTGGGGAAACGGGGCAAATTAAAGACTTATTATGTCGAATTAAAGCAACGTCAATGGTGGCTATAAAATTGTGATTTCATCATGATTTGCCTTTTTTTCAGACTGTTTTCTTCCTTAATATTTATAAAGTACCTGTAATGATGACGAGCAGAGTCGTCGATAACTCTGCTCATGCGCTGCTTCTTTTGCGCCAGTTCTTCCTGAGTGTTCGTTGAGGAAGCAGCACTGAAGTCAACTGAGTCCATGTGCCTCAGAGCACTGCCACTCAGTTGCTCGTCTACGGCTGAGCGAGGCCTAAATATGGTTAGATAACGAGTTGTTTGATGGAAGTTAGAAAACAAGGTGTTATAATTTCTTGGTAAAAATGAGGCAAATATTCTATACGCGGCTTTTTTATCGTTCAGATGGAAAAAACGGCGCTTCGCACGGCTCTTCTTTCAAGAGACTCGAATTATTTCTCGATTATGGAACTATTTTTTCTAAAAGCGTTACTTTTTTAGCTTGAAAAACTTGAGCGCGAAATGGGACACATGCAGATCCAAAAAGATGAAAAAGCGATCCCTTCTCTTTTTTCTCATTTCCTCGGATTTAGTTTCAGTGTCGCTCTGATTTTTGTTTTCAGCGAGTGAGGAAATGACGGACAGGTTTGTAATAACACCGTCGGAATCTTTCGACATTTTTGAGTAATATCAAGTTTTTATGTTTTTATGAGCTCCTGCCTCTTTTGTTCTTTTTAAATATGATTTATTTTTATAAGAGTCAGCCAAGGATTATTATATTTGAATCAGTCTCAATTATATGAATAAAAGAAAATAATAACGATAATAAGACTTGAAAGTTTTCCGTCAAAATTGCCCTCAATTTAAATTAAATAAATTAAAATACATACATATTCCCAAAAACGGCCATCATGCCCATAAAATCCTCCGAAATCCTCTTATTTCAGCCTCTTATATCTATAATGCTGATGCGGCATATTATTTGGCGCCGTAATGCATTTCGCGAAAAGTGGATGATGCTTTCTGTGTTAGGTAGTCAGAGCGCAAAAGAAGCACACTCCCCTGAGGCACAATCTGAAGCAATTTGCTGCTTGGACATGGAGCGGCTGTGCGGCTGACAGGCCAAACCAGCCAACAAATTAATTTTGCCTTTTTCTTTGAATTGAAACTGTCAGCAAAATAATCGAAGAAGAAAGCTTCATCAAGAATCGAAAAATTAAGAAAAAATCGACATAAATGATATCAAAAGATTAAAAGCCCCTTCAAGCTATTTTGCTCAACACTGAGCTCGACAACCTGAGTCAGGGTATAGAAAGAGCTTTAAATTATGATGCGGTTTTTTTAAAGGAAGCCGCAAAGAACAGGATAGAAACTATGGCGAGGCCCCCGAAGATGGCGAAAAGTCAATCGATCTTTTCAAACCCGTACTGACCCAGAGATGCCAGTTATCCGAGTATAAACGGTAAATAATGTCACATGAATCTAATACGACCTGACTTGGCATTGCGATTCTCTTGGCACTCGCAAATAAGCCAGAAATGACATGTTCAATTTATGTGCCTCGCGTTGAGTACAAGGGCTTTATTCTCAAAGGGATCAATTCTGTGAAACACGAAAAAGGCTTTCTGAAGAATTCTGAGAAATATTAATGCCGCCCCATTTATTCTTGTCAGTAAAAGGTCAATTTCTTGCTATCTGACATCAAAAGCATCAGAAAAATAATCGAGAAACCGCTTGCTCTCGATTTTTTATCTTGTTAAACGGGCAAAATTGTTATTCTTGTCAGTTCTTGTGAGTTACAGTCCATTTTATATCAAACCGAATCATTTGCTGAAGCCATGCTCTTAAAATGAGCTGATAAGCTTATCTTTAAGAATTATTTTTCTTACAAAACTGGGCTGAAAAACGCAGCTACCCAAAGAACGATCGGAACGTACCCAAAAGAAACGGAATTGGCCTTGCGGAGACGCACATCTCTGCTCGTTTTCGTGCTCTGCGGCGTCGGGTCTTCTCTCTTTCTTTCCTCGGCAGTGGCGAGAAACGCTTCGTTTTTCAACGCTTCGCCAAGTTTTCTCAAGCTCAAGATTTCGTCTTTTCAGAAAAGTTACCCAAATGGATTTTTTGGAAATCTTCAAAAAACCAAGAGTTTTCCAAAAACTCTCAACTCAAAAAAGAAACAACCGATCAAAAATTCATCTTCAGCTCGCTTTTCCCGCTCTTCAATAATTTAAGAAGAAAGGCAACTTTTTTCCTTTGAGTCGATCTCTTTCTAAGCCCAGAGTCGAGATTTCTTCGTTGAGGGATTGAAGCTGATTCTGTCGAGAAGCGATGAGCTCGAGCTGCTGCTCCAGAACCGCGTGGAGTTGGTGGCACAGGGCGCCCGATTTCTCGAGAAAATCATCGCTGCGATTTTCTCCATTCATTTTACAGCCCAAACATACTGAATTAACAGAATTCAACAAGTAAGAAATCAATTCTTTTTATTTAAGAACGACGAGCCCTAAAGCTGTTGTGCGGAATTTTGATTTCATTTTAAGACATTTTAAATTTATCAAGGTAAAGTAAGTTTAGCCGCAGTAACAGCTTACATTATTCTAGTTTTCATTTTTTATTTTTCTGATAAATAAATACAGTAACACAATTTTTTTTGTCCATTTTATTTTATTTTATAAGAATCTTCATTTCTGCGCTCGGCGAAAGAAAATTTAATTTGAAGTTTGGAGCATATTCATTTTATAAAGCGAAAAGTAAGGAGCAGAAAATGAGAAGAGATGAATTTTATAACGATTTCGGCTTCCGATATTTATCCGGGAATTTACTACCTCTCGTTTAAAACTAATGGATTCATTTTATCAATATAAATTTGAATAAAAAAGTGAGAATATCTATTCTTCTAGCAAGTTTCATCATTACTGGCGGGTTTCAAAGCATTCAACTTGAAGTTTTATTTTGTATCATATAATAATCTGTCAATTTGAAGCTGATTTATCAAGTGAAAATTCATTTTATATATTATATTATAAGTTCTTGATGTCAATCATGTTTTGGTGCTTGGAAACAAAAAAAATGAAGAAGGAAAGTGCGTTGGAAAGTTTGAACATCTTCTGTTCATTCGGCCTTTTTCAACAGATCATTAACGCTTTGGCGGATGTTCGGAATTTTGAAGCAAGAATCGGCCATGACTCCAGCACTCACGCCGAGAACGATAGGAACAGCGCGGAACTAGAAATTCGGATTGCAAGAAAAGAAGGAACTTCAACATACCCGTCCGAGGCAATATCCAAGAGCTACTCCCTTGAGAATGTCGTACTGGTTCGTGTCAAGATTGCGGATCTTGTCGTAGAATCGAAGGGCTTGGATTTGGACGTCTTCAGTTATATCATTCGTCATTTTTTTATCTAAAAGGAGGGAGATTTAGTTGATTAATGGTTAAACCAGAATTTTGGTACGAAGAAAGTCGCATTTTTGATTTGGAAAGTCATTTTGAAAGATATTTAGTCAGTATCCATTCTTTCTGGGGAGAAATTGTCCCCTCGTTCGGTGATTTCAAAGTGAAGATCTTCAAATGAGGCTTCTGGGCTGCTTTCTCTTGACGAAAAATTGTTGGTCTGATAATTCGAAGATTCTTGAGTGCTGATTTGAAGAAGTGATTCAGGCGCAGGCATTTGAGGAATGATAGGTGGAGGTTGCCAGACTGCGAGGGTGGTGCATTGTCGGCTTGAGAGTTTATTACTTGGAGGGACTTCGACTTTTGGGCGGGGAATTCGCGAGATGATGTGGCGCATTCGTTGGCGATTTTCGCGAAGGATACCCTGAACAATAAACGATCAGGAGTTACCCAAGAACAAACTGACTTCATATTATATTCTTCTCTGAGCAATTGAGAAGCCGCCCTTATTATTTTCTGATCATCTTACCTCTAGTTCTGAGCTGTATTTCAAAACAGGCTGGACTTGCTCTTCTTGAAGCCAGGGATCATTCTCCAATCTCTCCACGCTCACTGGGACTCTTCCATTTTGCGTCAAATTCAGCCCCTGCAAAAAATAGTCAAAAACACAGCGAAAAGGAGGTAAATATTAGAAAAGTAAATGCGGAAAGGAGAGAAGCAAACTGCGTACATTTGCATTGGAAGCATGGTCACTAAAACAACAAAATTGTGAGTCACTTGCCGCGAAGCCTTCAGCGATCTTTTCTTCGTGGATTCTGACTTTTGACTGTGGAATACTGTTAGAAGGGTCTAACAAATTTGTTCGAAGTCAACCCAAAAGTCATCTTTATGAATTTTTACACTTGGGCATCATTTATAAATCAGAAGGGCGGCTTCTGATCCGTCGAAATAGCTCTATTTCTTTTGACCTATCAGAAAAGACTCCTTGATTCTAAATAAGTTATCAACTGTAGGAGATTCCAGTGCATAAACCAATTTCTAGTGCTCTAGTTCTAAATGATAAAAGATAATTGTTTCTTTAAAATTAACCCTTTTCCCAAACTGTGCTGGTCTTTTCCTCGGAATTCTGCTCTTTCTTCCTTTTCCGGAATTGTAAGTCATTTTCTCCAAAACTTCCTTTTTCGCGTTTTTAATTTTCCCTCCGACTCTGTTTCAGCGCTCACTGATTGGCTCTATCCTGAGGCCAAGAAATTGCTCCTTTCAGACTTGACCTCAGACTTGAGAATTTTCCCTTTTCTGGTGCTCTCCTTTCGTCTCAAAAAATAATTTTTTTGAACTTTTTTCTTTCTAGAATGATCGATAGAAGGTATGACCTTTGTTGACCTCGAGAAGTTACGTCAGTGAGATGCAATGAAACGATAAAAAACGACGGAAATCAAGTTTTTCGACCAAAAAACACGATTTTGAGAAAAAAATGAGCTTTTTGCAAAATTTACTTAAATTGAGCGTCACCCGCCTGGCGAACAGAGAAAAGGTTGAACTGAGCTCGTTTATTGGAGGTAAATAAAGAAGGTTTTATGATTCTAGAGAAATTTTTTTTTTTCAGAAAAACCGACCGTTTTCTTCTTCATTCGACGCTTCGGATGTCCGCTTTGCCGATATCAAGTGAAGGACTACAGTCGAATTTACGAGTCTGTTACGAAAGTGTAAGTCTATCAATTTTATCTTTTGTATTCTTCTGTAATTTCAGGTTCAGTCAAGGAGCCCCTTGCGGTTTCGAGTCAAACAGGGGAAAAAGCCGCTCTGACTGCGGCTTTGAGCTCTTTTCTCAAAGCCTCAATCCGCTTCTCGATTTTCTTTGAAAAATATTATTTTCTGATTGTGCTTTTCTAGTGCGAACTTCGTTGTGATATCTCCGGAATTCCTCGGCCACGAAGAATTCACTTCGAATGGTTACTGGCCAGGAGAAGTTTTTATTGACGAAAAGAAGGAGTGCTACTCGACAATTGGTTTCAAGCGCTACAATCCTATCAATGGTAAAGATATCCGACTTACAATCTGACTTACAAAAATTCTAGTTATGGGCGTCTTCTTTGACAAACAAGTAAAAGAAATGAACGCAAAAGCCGAAGCTCAAGGCATCACCGGAAACTTCGCTGGAGACAAGCTCGCTACAGGAGGAGTCATCATCGTCGACAAAGAAGGAAAAAACGTGCTCATGGAGTTCAAGCAAAAATCAGCAGGGGACCATTGCGAGCCGCAGAAAATCCTCGACGCCTTGAAAATCGACGAAACAGTCGAAGATGGCGAGGGCTCTGGAACTTGCGGAACAGAAGCTTGCGGACTTTGAGACCTTGACTGTCCCCTTTTGACACTTTACTTCAGCAGTTACTTTGATATTCCAAAAATACTAATACACAGAACAAAGTTTTTACTCTTTTGCGAACTGTAAAGTCCCTTACTTGGGTTTTGAAAGAGCTTTGAAGAAAAGCCGCGCAAAATTCCTGAATAAATATTTTTCTTATTTCTTATGTCTTCAGAATGACTGAAATAAGGCCGTTTTCTTGCTTTGATCTTTTCAAATTCAACAAGGTCAATTTGGATCCACTTACAGAAACGTACGGATTGCCGTTTTACCTCCACTATCAAGCCAAATGGCCTGAATACTATTTCACTGCGTTGGCTCCCAATGGTGACATTCAGGGTTACATAATGGGAAAGTCTGAGGTACTGAACTTTGTGTCTGGAATGAGTTGGTGAACGTACTTTCTAGGGAAAAGATTCGATGAAGCAATGGCACGGTCATGTCACTGCTCTTACGGTGCAGCCTACATATCGGCGACTCGGCCTTGCTAGAAAATTGATGAACCTTTTGGAAGAGGTTTCGGAAAAGAAAAATACTTGGTTCGTTGGTAAGTTACTCTCAATGTTTATCAGTTTGTTTATTCGATCTCATACAATCATTTTAGATCTTTTCGTCCGCCAGACGAATACAGCAGCCCACGAGCTCTACAAAAACTTGGGCTACACTACGTATCGACGAGTTCTCAATTATTACGGGGCGTCGTCGAAAGATGGACTGGAAGAAGACGCGTACGATATGCGGAAGTCGATGTCAAAAGATGTCAATAAGGAGACGACTGAGCCGTTGAAGCGCCCTGTTCGGCCGGATGAAATCGAGTGGCACTGACATTAAATACTCGGCCTTCTGCTTCATATTTTCCTGATAGTGGCACTCTTTAACTTTTTTGATTTTATTGTCGATTTACAAACGCGGCTTCTCTACAAAGCTAGTTCAATATTTTCCTAAACCCTGACTCAGACGGCCGAATTTATCGTTATCAGAGCGCTCATTTTACAGCCTTTATCGATTCTTAGTGATTTTTTTGCTTGAAAAAAGTGTTGTTGATCGTTATTACTTTTCAGAATGGAATTGCAGGCGTCAAAATATGCGGCCAGTGTTCATAAACTGTTGAAAAAGTACAAGGGAGTGTGGAAACAAGGAAAGGAGCTGGTGGAATCTGTTGCGAATAGAAAGATGGACAATCCGATAGAAGAATTTGACAAGACACTGAATAAGAAATTAGCAAATTTGTTGGAATTAGCGGAAAGTGCAAATTCGATCGGCTTGACATTGAAAGAAAGCAACAGTCAAAAGGAAAGGGGATTCGAACTTTCGCTCGATTTGGGATCTAAAATTTTCAAATCTGAATCCGTCAAAAGTGGGCTAGTCTTCCCAAAGCCTTCTCGCTCATGCCAAAATCAAAGGGTCTCATCAATCAAGATTTCTGCGAGAAGATTTCTGAAGAAATCCTAGCCATTGGAAAACAAATCATCAGACAGTCAGATTTATGGATACATCTCTGTGGCAAACTCAACTATCTCACTGAGCGAGACGATTTGATCTACATGGTCGCATGCTGGGCTCATCAACCGCTGATACGAGAGAATTCATTCGAAATGCTGATGGCCAAGTGCCTGTTTATTTCGACATTGAAATGAGAACAAATAATTTCGCTGGTTTTTAGTGTATTTTTTTTTGTCTCTGCCAATGTTGAATATATCTTCCTCAATGAAAATACGCGAGAAATGTCTCGTTGAACTCTGGACTTCTTTTTCAGAGAATTCAACACTAGAATTATGCAACAATTCAGTCGAAGTTGGCTTGACAACCTGTGTGGAACACTCGAGTCAGGAAAAATGAAAAGTTCTCTCGTTAAAACTATTCCTTGAGTCGGTAACTTTAACTAAGCCGCCCCGACTCAGGGTTTTTTCATAGGTTGCCGATCCGAGCATTGAATCCGTTCCTCAAAAATGAATCAAGGGCATTTGAGAAAAGCAGCTCATCCTCCCACTTCTTCAAATTTTCATCTTTCAACTTTGTTGTCTCACTTTCAGCAGGCTTGTTGATCAAACCCTCAACCTTTGGTTGCCTCTTGGAAAGCAAAGGGTAACAAGTCATCAAGGAGCAGAAGAACAGTAATTCTCTGAAACGCATTTCTTCTTAATTTGAAAATGCTCTTTCTTCTTACTGTATTTATAGGAGACTGGGTGAACAATTATCCGCGATATTTTATCATGCGTTGTCGGAGATAAACCTGCCGATTCTGGTTAATTCTAGACAAAAAAGGATTCGGCAATTTAGTCATTATATTCATGTTGGTTTATTCTATTTTGAACTCGATGAGAATAGACAATTTCGCAAGACAATTTTTTAAATACAGTTGTCAATCTTTCTCAATGAAAGAAGGCGAAAAATGCCTCGTTGAACTCTCTACTTCTTTTTCAAAGGATTCAACAAAATAATTTTATATAGAAGTTTGTTTTGTTGAGTCCTATCCTCATAAATGACTCTAAGGCATTTGAGAAGATCATATCCGCATCCCACTTTTTCAACTCTTCTTTTAGTTTATCTTTGTTCGACTTTGTAGATTGATCTTCAGCAGGCAAGTTCGTCAAGTCTTCAAGCTTTATTTTCATGCTATTTTGAATTATCCTACCAGGTTGCTCCTCGGAAAGCAAGGGAGAAGAAGTTATGTAGGAGCAGAGCAGCAGCAATTCTCTGAATCTCATTCTTTTAACTCACAAACTGTGCAAAATGAACAAATTGCTTTTAAAGCTTTTTGCATTTGCTCATTTTATTGATGCAGGATGAGCAATTATCATGCTTAGTTGAAGGTCAACTTACTGAAGGCTTGCTGTCAAATTTGAACAAAACGATTTTCACAACGAACAGATTAAGCAAACGCTTTTTGTCATTTTATTTAGGCAGAAATAATTTATCGCGCATTTGTTTGATAGAAAGTTCAGTAGACTATATCACCAATATGATGGATTTCATTTTAAAATTGTATGTTAGTGATACCAGCGTGGTAGCTGGAAAGATGGTAAGAAAAATTGCATTTTATACAAATTTAAGTTTTCAATACTAGATACTAGGTACCAAGAGTCTTTAACTTAAAATTGACGTCGTAAAGTTTCATTTTATCAAAACAATTTTCTTCGACAATCGTCAATTTCTTAGAAGAATAATATCATCGACAGTGAACTCCTTTCTACAGAATGGGCAGGTGCACTGGTGCAAATTCTGGAGACACGAGTAGCAAAGTTTGTGTCCACAAGAAGCCAGGGCAAAGTTGAGATGCTCATGATTATCGTATCGTTCGTAACAAATCATGTAGTGGTAGAAGCGATAAGTAAAGTCGTCCATATCTTCGCTTTTTGGCATTTTCTCGTGGTTTTTTATTGTTTTGGTTTCATCTGAAATGGACAAAAGAGAGAGAGCTTCTTTTGTGTCGCGAAAACTTCCTCGCGACTTGAGGGGGACTATGAAACCATCTGGAAAGGAAAAAAAGGAGGAAGCTTATTTTGAATTTCTGGCTCTCTTTTTTTCAACCTTTCTTCTATTCGCCTGGGGCCGGCTCGCGAATTTCCTGCGCGGGAGTCAAAAAACCAAAACTATGAAATAAAAATGGACCAGCGATTTTTCACAGATGAAGAGATCAAAATCTCAAGACGACGGCAGCTTGAGAATAAGGTCTTTATCACGACTTCCGTGATCTGGATTTTGATCTGCTGCTCGACTTTGTACAAAGATGCTCTTGTTACGATGGCGAGAGAGGCAGAGAAAGAGTTTGATAGCAGCTACGAGTATATTTTTGATGAAAATGCGGATTTGTATGTGTTGCCAGAACAGTATATTGAATCGACGGCGAATAAACAACTGGAAGCTGTTGGGTTGATGCAGGAAAGGATCGACAAAGAATGTAATTATGTTTCTGATGAAGACTCTGTAACAGTCTAAGCCGTAGTGTGTCAATTTTCATTTATCCTTCAAAAGAACATTTCAAATACAAACAACCTGCACTGCTCCGAATCAACTCGAATGCTCGTCATCATCAACAGTAACATTCGCCGTGTCCAGCGCCGAGCTAATATTCGAACAAATTGGACTTCAACAGATCAAATCGAGCGAGTCTTTCTTCTCGGTATTCCTGCTGGTTACGATACGCGCCAAATACCGGCGTACAAAGAAATGCAAAAAGAAGTCGAGAGACATCAAGATGGAATAGTTCTCAATGGTTTGGCGATTCTAAGCCTGTAGTATTGCATAAAACTTTTCAGTCGTTGAAAACAGTGGGAACAAAACAATCAAAGTTCTTGGCGGAACCAGATTCGCCCGAGAAAGCTGCCCGGTTCCGTATTATCTGATGGTCGAAGATGACCTCGACGTGAACATCACAGCCCTAGAAAGCATGCTTGAAAATCAAAAGCTTCAAAATGGCTCGATCTGGTGCTCGAATCCAGTTCAAAAGCCACGAGTTCGTCGAGAAGGACGATGGATGGTACCGACAGATGAATTTGAGCAAGAATATTTTCCGCCATATTGCGCGAACGGAAATTATATCTTGTCGAAGATAACTTCTTCGTTGCTCTTTAAAACTGCGTTGCAGACGGAGAATTTCAGATTTCAGGATGTTCATATTACAGGTAAGCGAGGATCGACCTTATTTTTAGTCAATTTTCTTTAGGAATTTTACGAAAGAAGTCGAAATTGATCGATCCTATAAAAATAGAAGAACATTACTGTGCAAAAATGCCGAAAACTCCAACAACTGCCCTTGCTCTTCCAAACATCGAGCTTCAATTATAATCATTAAAATCTTAATCTGTTGAAAAATCATATTTATTAAATACAAAAGATATCCCGTAATCTTATTTATTTTTCTTCGAAACAGGCGTATAAGAAATACTGCTTCTTTTTCGTCGAAATCCTTGTCGATTTTTGTGGTCCCGTGTTCTGGGAAACGAGTCCTTGCGAAGAATCAAAATCCATTGTTGAATGAAAACTAATTATTGCTCTCGAAATAATTTGCAGGAAAAATTTTCTAGGAGCAAATCTGAGAACGTCCCGAAAGCGATCCAAATAATTGTCAAATACGTCCAGGAAATCAAATCGCCCTTGAGAATATTCTTGTGAAAGTCGCCAAGAGTCTGCGACCTATTTGTCTTCACGTGATCGTTTTTGAGCAAATCTACTGCTCGGAGACCGTTGAACGCGAGTGAGATTGAGGCAAGAACACAGCCGAAGATTATGCTTGGTTTATCACCAAGGTCGAAGGTTATTAGTGACACGATTCCAGAGAAGATGTTCAGGCAATCGACGATTTCATAAAGCATGTAATAGGTTCCATCATCGAAGCAATACTCGTCATCTTTAAAGAGGGTCGGCAAATTTCGCGATTTTGATTGGCTGTCGGAAGAAATGCCGTCTTTTGATTCGTCTTCAATTTGCCAACCCTAGACCTGGTTGATCGGGGCATTTTGATCGCGGAGCTTTGATTGAAAAACAGCCAGCAAGCAAGAAGCTAACTAGAAGAGAGATCATGGGTATGATCAAAAAACCTCTTGAAATTTTCCTCGACTTCATTTTTTGCTCTCTTTTGTTATGAAATGGCGAAAATTTCTTGTTCGGGGAGACAAATGAGCAATTATCTTTCGTAATTTATTTATAACAATGCGCAGTCTGTAATTTTTGTGCTCTGCTTGAGGTTAACAAAACATGAATGGCGTTCTCGCAATATAAACTTAGAATTAATTATTAGAATTAAAAAAAATGTTTTTTTTTGTTCAAAAATGCTCTTCTAAATTGATGGAACCGAGAACAACTAGAGCACAAGAGGACATGATAACTTCCAGATATGCTTGATACTTCCTTATCGCGCTTATTTTTTGAATGATCCCAACACACAAGTTCGCGATTTTGAACGGCCCTTGTTGTTGAGGGCGATAAGATGGCTTTATAATTTATAAATTATAAAGCGTTCAATTTTTCATTTTTCATCAAAAGAGAATTAACTCTAAAATAGATTTAAAAAATGAAGCTTTTTAACGTCATTCTTGCCGCTGCCGCTGCTGACCACAGCTCTTCCTCGAGCTCCTCAAGCTCCATCTACGATAGCGAGTGTGGTGGAACAATCACTGAGTCCCAAACCATCACATCCCCAGGTTTCGATCGCGGCTACTACTACAACTACCTCGACTGCGTTTGGAACATCGAGCTTGGCGACGTCCTAGGCTTCAACATTGTCCCACTCTCCTTCTCACTCGAGAACAACTCTGTCTGCGCCTACGACTCCGTTGCTGTCATCGATGGAAACGGCTATGAACGACATTTCTGCGGAGAGAACGACTCTTCTCGACGCCGATGAGAATCGGAAGATCACAAGAAAGAAGGAGACAAATATACACCAGATCGTCCCAATCCTTCCAACGAGGGCTTCCCTACTCTTTTCATCGAAGGCGGTTCTGCTGTAATCGTGTTTTCTACTGACGGTTCGATTGTGGGAGAAGGTTTTCAGTTCGAACTCACAGAACCAGATCGACTCCAAATCATCGAAGGGCATGCTCAGGTAAATCGAAAGCCGAAGAAAAAAATGACTTATTATTATTTAGCGAATTTTCGACTCTCTTACTGACGAAAAATTCGCGCAACGCTACATCAACCGAATGAATATAACTTTCGCCAAAATGCGCTCAGCTCAAACTGGCCAAGCTTGCTACGTCGAAAACGGATTCGAGGAAGAAGCAGCTGATGTCAGTGTTTTCGACAAAAGCGACGTCTGCACCCTCAATGGTCAAGTCAACCCTGCCATCAATTCTTGGGCTAGAAACTATGCTTGCAGTGGTCGAGGAAAAGTTTATCGACAAATCATCAGATCCGCGAGAAAAGTGAAATCTTTCTTTATCGAGAAAAACGGATGTATATTCGTTTAACTGTTTTTTATTCTTATTCATTTTTGCTGCATTTTTTAATACATGTAATTTTAATAAATACTGAAAACGTCATATGAGGGCATGAGTAAAGTCTATTTTTTGTATTTTATTGCTTTTTTTCTTGGCGGAAATAAGTCAAGCCTCTATTTTTTTTGAATTCATTTGAGATAGAAATAATTTTTAAAAAGGCTGAGAAATGACAAAAATCGTGGACTTGATGAAGTCCATTATTGGCATCTTCAACGAGCATGCTGGAGAAGACAAGATGCTCGACAAGGAAGAATTGAAAGCAATGATGGCCCACGACGTAAGGTGATCTTTTAAAAATCTAGAGGATCTTTTAGGTTTCTCAAAGATAAAAAGAGAAAATTTTTCAATTTATAATTATTTATGATTAATAAAAGTATTATGAGCTCATATTTATTATAGTTTTATTATTTTAATTATTAGTTATTTATTAATTATGTTAAAAAAGAAGAATTAAAATTTTCCGGCAAAATTGATTGGAATTTTACGTGGCCACCCCCATCACGCGCGGTTACGCGTGCGCGCGCATGATCACGTAACAGAAAAACATTGCCAAAAAAAGGCAGTTTTTTGTAAATTCTAGGGAAACCGTAGATGCTTCCCAAAATTTTTTTATCAAAAAATGATCAGAAACCTCTACTGATCATACCATTTTTTGAAATTTTTAATTTTGGGCTGACTAACATGGTCAACCCATTTTTTGGCATTTTTGGGGCTTATTTTCTCTTCAACCCTCTTAAATTTTGATAAATTTTAAAACAATTTATACTTTATTTGCCCTTATCTATCATATATCTAAAATTCAGAAAGATAGAATAAGTATTTCGGGCACTTGATTTTTGGGCGCGAACCCTAATGATGGGACAAGGTAACGACCTTAAAGTTCTCTTTTAAACGATTTTAAGAACTTCCCGAGGTGTTCTCATCCCAGGAGAAGCTCGAAGAGCTTGTGAACGAGCTTGACAAGAATCATGATGATAAGATCAGCTTTGATGAGTTCATCAAATCGATGGCTTACATTTGCGCTCTTGTCAAGATCGACGGCGAGGATGCTGCTGACTTTAACGGTGGCCACGATCCGACTTGGAGGGGATGGATGAATCCAAATACTCTCAGATAGATTGTCTTCAGAAGTTCAGAATCTAAGCTGCTGTTCATACAGTAAAAACCCAAAAATTGGCTGGTTTTCAGATGTAAATTCCCGAAAAAAGCGGCCAAATTTTGGGTTTTTTGACGGGTAGCCAAGTTTCCCCTTCAAAAAGCAAAGATTCAAAATTTTCGAAAATCGGCATGATTTTGTTATTTTTGATGAATTTTATTCAAATTTTTGCTTGTTTGAAGACATTCTCATGAGAATTTAGTCATTAAAACGCTTTAAAAACCTAAAAATTATCAGAAATAGCCTCATTAGGTCCCAATTCTGGTGAAAAATTTTCTATTTTTGAAAAAGCGGCCAAATTTTGGGTTGATTTCAGGTTCCAAAAAAGCTAGTTTTAGACAAAAAGCGGCCAAATTTTGGGTGGGCAAATTTTGGGTTTTCACTGTAATTGCAAAGCTTAATTCGGGAACAAGAAAAAATTGTTTCTAATTTCAATTCAAATTTATTCGCAGGAGACTCAAAATCCTCTGTTTTTAAACCACTGCCCTCGGCAAACAGAATCATTCGCATAATCATTTCCGTCAGCTCCGATGTCCATGCCGTCATAATTCTGGACGTGAGCGCATCCAGCACTGTAGGCACAAATGCCACCCTTGGTTTTCATTGGAAGAGTCCATCGGTCGAATTTTCGGGAAATGCAGTTGATTTGATCGATGAGAATTTGAGCGGCTTGCTCCAAGTGTTCTTGAGAATCCCAAGCGCCTAGAAAATGATTGTCGTTAATTCGAAAAATCTCTAGAAATCACCTTTTGGTTCATGAAATCTTCGATCCACCTGCATTAGTCCCCATCCATAGCAACTTCCGCCACTGCACTTTCCCCATCCATACTCTCCATTCCAGCTCTCAAGCTTTCTTCCAGCTCTTGACTCTCTAGAAATAATCGCTCCAAGAATATTATGATCGATTCGCATTGCTTCTCCAGCCGCTCGGACAACTGACTGGAACTTGAACAGATCGTCCCAATCGTTGGCCGCTAATTTTCCGCAACAATACATTTGAGTCCCGAAACAGTCGCCATCTTCGTAGCAGGTGTCGAGGCAGCCTACAGTTTCCATCGCCTCAATGCAGGCGTAATCTCCGCATTGTCGATCGGCGAGAATTCCGGAAAGAAAAATGCTAAAAAGTTTCATGGCTGCTTCTTTTTCTTCTGAAAAACATCAAGCCATTTCTCAACAGACAGAAAACAGCTGGTTCTTTCGCATGCATAAAATCAACGAAGATAATGACATAAGCATCATTCCCGAAATTCCTTCATGAAAGACAATTTCTCAAAGCGGAAACAATTCATTTTTTAACATCAATAGGGCAAAAAATATCAAAAGAGAAAAATGACAATCGCGGTAGGTATTCGTATAATCCGTTCCGTTTTCATAAAGTCTAGGACGCAATTGATCAATTGAAACAATCTGTTGAAACGGCCATTGTCAAATATGAGTGGTCGTCATTTGCCCAAGTCGTCATCTGCCCAAGTCGTCATCTGCCCCGGTCGTCATCTGCCCACCTTGGGCAAATGACGATCTTGGGTGAAAGACGATGTGTACCGGGTAGTACGGTAGTCTAGTTACGGTAATTGAATTTTAATTTGAAAAAAGCTTTTCTATGTTTCACAGGAACGGACTCATCACTATAAAAGTCCGGAAGTCCGGTCGATATATTTTAATAGCAAAGACTTACTCGATTAGGCTTCGATCAGAAAAAGACTGAGAGAAAGTCCTTCTTAAAAATCTCCTGAATACTGTACCATACAGTATGATCCAAACTTGGAGCAAGCTACCGGAGGAGATTCTTAGCTTTTCTCTACTTTTTCAAAAGTTATCACTCAAGTTCAAATGTGAGCCGAGACTAGGCTGCCGGGTTACTCAGCCCGAGTACCTTCGGTTCCACTTCAATATTTAAATTCAATCAATTCAAACAAAATTTCATCCAAAGTTCAGACTAAACACAAAACCGACTTTAGCACCATTTTCCGGCGCTAAGAGTCAGCAAAGGGGGATACGCGTTGGCGAAAACTCATTACACCTTGCTTTTCGATACGGTGCTAAAGTCCCAGATTATAGCAGATGAGATTGTTTTCTCAACAAAAACTGTCGAATTTGAACTGATAAAACGGTCGACACTGGTTATGTCGCCGAATGTCGCCGAATGTCGCCGAATGTCGCTGAATGTCGCCGAATGTCGCCGAATGTCGCCGAATGTCGCCACCTATTTTTTAAAACCAGGATTTTTGGAAAGAAAACTGGTTTTTAACCAAGAAATTTCAAAACAAACTTGTTCTAGAACTGTTTTGGCATAATTTCGAGACAAGGAAGCGCTCCGCGCAATTTGTGGTAGGAAACTCACTGGTCGGGCTGGACACACTTCTATTGCCGCGCCTCCTACAATTTCCCCTTTTTCGGTTCTAGAACAAGTTTGTTTTGAATATTTGTGCAAAAAAACAATTTTTCTTTCATAATTCCTATTTTTTCGAAAATAAGTGGCGACATTCGGCGACATTCGGCGACATTCAGCGACATTCGGCGACATTCGGCGACATTCGGCGACATTCGGCGACATAACCAGTGCGCCCCGATAAAACGCCAACATCCTGCGAGTACTTTTTTTGCAAGTTGTCAGTTAGACTTTCATCTTGCTTCATTTTTCTTAAATTTTGAATTCAATTACATCGTCATTCACCCAGGTCGTCATTTGCCCAAGTTGGGCAGATGACGATCTTGGGCAGATGACGACTTGGGCAAATGACGACTTGGGCAAATGACGACCACTCGTCAAATATGGCCCAACTCTTCAACAGCGAATTGAGCCTCAATTATTGAGGCTCTTATCAAAGGTAATCACACTGTTCTTGGTTTCGTATACTGAGCTTTGTTTTACAGAACAAGGACTACATGAACCCGATGGAGGGTATGATGAGAGTGATGGAATGTCCACCGAGGCTTTCAAAGAAAAAGTCAGGCTAGCGATCGAGCAAATCGATGAAATGAATGCGTATGTTGGGGAGGAAATGTGAGTAACAAATAGCAAACTTTGTTTTAACCGCAAATACAGATCTCACGACTTAGAAATTGCGAAAATTGAAGCTGCCCTGAAAGAAGTGCTGGAAGATGATGTCCAGCCACTCATCCTGTCAGTTCTCGCCAATATTTAGTCTCAAGAAAGAATGAATGAATTAGCCAATATTCTTATGACCAAGATAAATAAATTAAAAAGTAGAATGTTGCTGTTTATTAAACTAATCTTTCAATTAAGTTCATTTGGGCAGCAAGAGCTCTTTTTCTGATGACGACTTGCTCAAAGACCCTTTTGGGATCGTAAAATACAGTAAAGACAAAAGAATGTCGATGATTCTTTTGCGGCTTTGCGGAATTGAAACTCTTGCAGTAATATTCGCATATTTCTGAATCCAAAATTGTGTGAAAATCTTTGCTGTTCGTTACCTCTTGATACTGGTATCGCAAAAAATCTTGGAATCGAAGTCGTTGTTCTTTGAAAAAATATTGGAGAAAAAGATACATTGCTCCGATAAAGAAGAAAACCATCAGCAAAACGACAATGCTGATGCATAACTCGATCATAACGACATTTCTATTTCTGGTCTCCACATATATTTCATGGGTATCAAATATAACCACGAATAAAGTAAGAGCCTTGACCGTAAGACTTCTTAGAAATTAATTTCTCCAGAGAATTCAGCATTAGCTCTTTCCTCTCTCTCTCTCTTTCGTTTTCTGCAGCCTATGGAAACACGAACCGATCAACCGGGGCTGGATCAGCTGGATGAGGATACATATACAGCGCTTGGAAGATAGGCTTTGTGATTGAATTCAATATCCTTGATATTATATCCACACAGGTACACAGTTGATAGAATAGAATCGTATCAACGGTAGTAATCCCCTGTTTACCTCTTGTTAAGAAACGAAGCCCAAGAACATGGGCGGTAAAAATAAGGTTTTTCTTTTAATCAATACAATAGATTTATGTTATTTATGAGTGTCAGCCCCAACTTTCATGTAATTATTTACCAAAAGAGATTCGCAAAAACTTATGGTCTTCAATATTACTTTCAGCACCCTGTGTAAGGGTATAAAATTTATACTATAAATACACTTACTATTTTCAATATTACCATCTTACCTGGTTAATTTCTTGTTGTGGTAGGTTTTTATGATGCTTTGGGGCTTGATATTTTACTACCCCCAATCAGGTCGGGCTCGTATCCAGAATAGTCCCTAACAAAGGTGACTCAAGAGAATAAAAATAATTTGAAAATGACGGATTTTATCCCACCGGGCCCTACTGCTTTTATCAGGTAAGCATAAATGCAAGAAAAATATCTAAGAAAAAACTATCAAGTCTGTCTGATTCGGAGTATACAACGGCAACCGATTCTTCAGACGACGAAGACTACCGCCCATCCGGGCCCGTTTTCATCCAGCCTCGTGTTTATGAAACAGAAGGTGCAGGATGGCAGCCGGTTAAAATTGACGGGGACAAAAAAGATCTCGATGCGGCGTTGAACAAATGGAGGGGACAGGAATCTAGTTTTGGAAAAACAGAAACCTTGGCGTTGAAACAAACAAGCGGAAACGGCGGGGGAGGGGTGCCTGTTGCTCCAGGAGCTCCCCAGAAAGGGATGAGATTGGACAATACGATTCTTCAGAAACTGATGAAAGGAAAAAGTTTGAAAAACACTGTCGGACAAGAACTTGGCCCAGAAGACAATGTCATGTCGGATGATGAAGATGATGATTACAAACGAAAGGCGGGCGACATTTACATTCCCGGAGAGTACAGTGAGAGAAAGCATGAAACTTGGAGAACGCAAGAGCAAATTGAAAGATATCGAATGAACATGGCATTTTTGAACAGGCTCAAGCCAAATCATCTGAAACCAAAGGTAATTTAGTCGTGAGATTGGAGCTGATTTGATTCTAGAAACAAATTGATAGACAGCAATTGTATGAAGACCTTCCTTTCCACGCTCGAGGTCGATCAGATGCGCAGATTATTCTGTTCCTCGCGAATCGAGCTCGTTTGTTGGAGCTAAAGAAGAAATATGAAAATTACGAGCCAATTTATACCAATGGCCAAGAATCAAAGAATGACCAAAACGATGTCAAAAAAGAAGACGAGAATGATGCTCAGGACGAAAGGGAAACATCAATCAACCGGGTAAATCCTCTGTTTGGTCCCCTTTCCTGACTCCTTTTTTTCAGCCGGAAACATCCTTCAATCGGCAGCAATCGTACAACAACAGTTTCAACCACACTTTATCTCGACGATCAGATTTCCGAAAGTCAAGGAAAGCTAGGAAGATTTCCGTAGATCGAAGCCGGCTATCGCAGAGCCTCTATTCTCGCGACAATACTTTGAGAAATGATTCCAATGTTTCATTTGAAAATCCGGGTGAAAAAGAAGACGTTGAGTTTTCTGGTAAATTAATAGAAGTAGGGCTCAAGCGGTAGCAAAATTTATTAAGGCGTTACGACGATTCGCCGAGATCAATCAGTTCCGCGGAAGAAAATGGAGCCCGGTCAGTTCGAAGCTTCAACAATCAAGAAGAACTTTTCATTATCCAAAGCAGATAAAAATGAAATACCTCGGGTCGTTAAAAGACGCAATGAGAGCGATGAGATGACTCTATCTGAATTCAAGCTCAAACGACCTTCCGAAGCCGATACAGAGGATCCCGAAAACGAAATCCTTCAAAATGGTAAGTTTTGAATTGAGATCAATTATTGATGTCAATGAAATTAGATGGCTGGTTGACAAAAATTCGGCTTCATGGGGAGTTTTACTCGAAGTGGAAGAGCAAGATGATCCAAGGCTCATATAAACTCTTCGATGTTACTTCTGATGGCCTGCCTGTTTACAAGAGGTCGAAAAAAGGACAAGACATCTTTTTATTCTTCGACAAAAACAAGTGGAAAATCTCGCCCGATACGGGCTCGAACGGTACTCATTCATTATCTTTTATTCCTCATGTGGTTTATTTATAGCATGTTGGGTTTATTGCAAATCAAAGTCGACCCACGAACTTCCACTTGAAGGATGGAAACAATACGAGAAGAAGAAATGGTTGCCAGTTCAGAAGATCGAGCTCTTTGAAGCGGTCTGAGAATCAGCCTTTTCACTTGTGATACTTTTTTATAACTCGCTGTTAGGCAAAATTTTTATATAATAAAAAAAAACAACCGAATTCATGATGGATTTTTTATTGCATTCGTTATTATTCATACCACAGATAAATACTTTTATATTACGTTTGGAGTTGTAAATCACTTGCCAAATTTGACTCCATAGTTTCCATTTCGGAACTGATCCATAAAACCGTTGATTGAAATGAGTCCTCCGTCGCTATATCCGAGTTTTTCGCTTCTCCTTGAAAAAGGTACAGCTGAATTACAGAACTATAAATCCTGGTTACTTACAGTTGAAGAGGACCGGCGTGAGAAGAAGCAAATAAAGCAGTAAAGCTGAGTGTTTTGAAAATTTTCATGTTTTTCTTGTTTCTTTTTCTTTTGCTTGAGTAATCAGTCAGGTATCTTCTTCGTTTTTATATGCGTTTCGCCATCTAGCGATGAAGCAAAGGCGAAGAATGGAGAACCACAGGAGGCATGTTTTAATGGAATTGAATCGGTCATGTTTCTCCCGATAACATTAAATTTATATGGCGACTTCTGGCAGACGGATTTTGGACTGCTGAATTTTCAACTTTCTCCTATTGTTTTATTTAAGGGTTCAAGGGTTTCTTCGGAGGAAGAGTTCTTTTGTCGTTAGATAGAATCAAACATTTGCATTTCTATCACCCTTGTTTCAAAATGTGACTCACCTTGCACGCTCCTTATTGACACGCCCAAAAACCTTGACCTCAAAAATACGCTTTGTTTCTAGTAGCATAAACCTTTTTTATTGTTTTCTTTCCAAGACGAGCTTTTGTATTAATCGAAGAGAGGGAACTTGAAGAAAGAAAGAAAATGAATTCCTATGAGAGATTTTTCTCTCGAGCGGCTTTGGCCAGAAAGCCCTCCCCGATTCGAGTTTTGACAAAGATTCAGGTACATTTTTGGGTAAAGTTCATGTTCAATAAAATCCATAGATGGCATCTGGTCCAGAAATGATCTCACTCGCCGGAGGAATGCCCAACGGTGCCATGTTTCCAATCAGTGGCTTGACGATGCAAGTTGACGGCTGCGAAATTCAACTGTCGCAAGCTCAATTAGCTACGGCATTGCAGTATTCAAGGGTTGATGGGACTAAATTTTGTGCGTCTGACGGCATTATTAATACGTAATAACGATTGACTTGTTCTAAATTGCGAGTCAAAAACCCTTTCAAAAGCAGTCTCGGGCTCCCAAGCTTTCTACATCACCTCAACTCCATCAGAACTCAATACCACGGCCAAAGCTCGTTTAGTGAAAACATCGACACTTGGTAATAATTGATGCAGAACTAATAGCTAAATACGACTCGTACTTTATTATTTTTGTTATTGGCAACTTCGATCCATCAATATTTATTTGTCGTTGTTTTAGCTCAAAACAAATCCTTTCCCACTTAGACTCATTGTTATTGAAAACGACTTCCAAGTAGAAGTTCCACAGTTGGAAGCTAAAACAAGGGCAAATAAATATCAACACTTCGTCATAGAACATGTTATTCAAGACATCAAATCTATAATTCAGCGTATCGACAGGGTCCCAAAATGGCCTTGAAATGCTTCTTGGATCACTGCTAAATGAAGGCGATGGAATTTTAACAGACGATCCGATGTATCCGGGTACCAAAGCTATTCTTAGGTATTGTTCGTGGAAGAAAAGTGGTTCATGAATGTTCAGGCCTCTCGGAGCATCAATTATTCCAATCAAAACAGATGGAGATGGCATGGATACTAACGATCTGGAAGCGCAAATCAACAGATACAAAGATTCGCACAAGCTAAAAGTGATCATGACCGTGGCAAATGGGGGCAACCCAACCGGCTCGACCTTGAGTCTGGAAAGACGCCATCGGCTGCTCCAATTGGCTCACGAGAATGATCTCCTCGTCGTCGAAGATGATCCTTATTACTTTCTCCAGTTTGACGGTGAACAACTCCCGAGCCTGTTTGAACTCGACTGGAACTCGTCAAACAGGTAAAAATCTTCTTTTCGAAAGAAAAACCAGTTTGTTCTCATTAGCTTCAAACGCGTCATTCGCTCGGACTCGTTTTCGAAGATCATCTCCGCAGGCATCAGAATCGGATGGATCACCGGGCCTAAAGAAGTATTTCCCAGACAGATAATACTGCCAAAAAGAATATGCGTCAAAGTGGGATCTCTGATCTTTGTTTAGCCAGATTCAAGCTATCTGATGCAGGGCTTTTCTATTGCCCTTTCCAGACCTTTCAAGTGTCTGTATATTTGATAGTAACAGAAACATGACCTTGAGCTAAAGATTGACCTATTTTGAGATGAACTCCCGAAAGAAAATGAGACTTAAATTCTTAAATTAGAGATGTAATTGCGTATGTCTTAAAAGCTTCAGTTTAATTACATTCATAAGCGAAAACCAAGCAGAATCTTTAGGTCATATTTAACAAACGTTTTAGGTTATCGGAAAGCTGGAATTAGCCACACAATGCAGCACATTACATTGCCCTTCCATAACGCAAGTCATCTGTGCTGAGCTTTTTAACAAATGGGGAATGGAAGGCTTCGCTGAACATATTGCTAAAGTCAAGGTTTGGTTTTCTTCTCAAAAGACCTCTCTAACGAAGAACCTTCCAGGATTTCTATCGAAATAGACGAAACTTTCTCGTCGCAGCGGCTGAGAAACATCTTGGGGATCTTGCAGAGTGGGATGTGCCCAAAGGGGGGCTCTTTTTATGGATCAAATTAAAGGTAAGACAGAAAAAATGAGAGCTTGACATTATAAATTCTTTAGGGTATCGATGATACTTCGGCTCTTATTGAGCAAAAAGCTCGAAAAGCGAATGTCCTCCTTTGCCCTGGATCATATTTTGCCGTGGATGAAAACGCTCCAAATTCGTACTGCCGAGTTGCCTTTTCCGTTGCTTCGGAAGAACAGATGGACGAAGCGATGCGAAGACTCGCGGAACTGATCAAAACTGAGCTTGAGAACTAAAACACCTTATTTCTTCAATAAATCAAAATGTATAATTGAGGATTCTTCATTTTTATTTAAATTTTCAGTGAATAAACAAGGCATCGTAAGTTACAGTCGATTAGCGATTTGAAGCGCGGAATTTAAAAGCTAGAATACAATAAGCTAAGAGTCTGAAGCCAACAGCAAGACCAACAAGACATCCGATGTTTCTCCACCAGTGCTCCTCCTGTTAAAATAAAGGATGAACCACATTGAGAATTTTTTAATGGATTTACCTTGTAACTGTATGTTTCCAGTACATAGCTTCCGTCGACAAAAGAGATCAGTGGGTCTTTTATTTGATATTCGCAGCAATCGTTGAAAGATGTTGGGGCACATTCGCTTGCATTTTGGGCAGCAGCTCGGAAGAAACCCTGAAATCACAGTTAAACACAGTTTAGAAACCATTAGACATTTTTAATGAAGAAAATTATTTGATTTACGTCGATTTATGTCTTCGATAGACGTATGTATGCACCGACGATAATATGTCATATATGGCACATCCCCTTTACTGCCCCCTGGAGGCTATTTTATGGGCTAAACGCGGGCATTATCTAGAACCGAAACCAAGAGCAGACTCTGAGCCAAAGTTTGAACCCGAGTACGAACCCAAACTCGTACCAGAACTCGAACCCGAAGAAAACTCCTAAAAAAATGAGTTACGGGCGTTTATTAAATTTTGTGTCATAAAAAGGGGGGCCACAATTATAACGGGCAAATTCGCAATAACGGGATTTTCAGATTCTCGAAATGAATTGAGGTTTGTACCGAAACTTACTGCAAGAATGTTTGTCTGTCTACTCAATCCACAGAATCCTCCATCTCTCCATTGTGCAACGTACAAATTCTCCGCGCCGTAGTAGAACCAAGAAATGTACTTGAGCCAGATGAACCATGGCGGAACCGAGTCCGATTGAAGGAAAAATCCTCCAAAGAGCAAAAGCGGAACCATCAGTGGAGGAGCGATCGCATTTGCAGCTTCAATGGTCGGAGCGATTGCGGAAATCATGTAGCCATATCCTTGAAGAAAACTTTAGCAGCGGACCTAATAGTGAATTCCGTACCTGTAGCAGAAAGAGCAATCATAATACAAGTCAAGTACATCGCCCAGAACGCACTCCAGCTTGGAAACAATCCAATCATACAATACTGAATCCCAACTAAAAAATCTGTTTAAAAAAGTAGACTGCACACTTGAAAATACATCCTGTAACTGGGTTAAAAACTGCCTTTAGCCTGGTATTCCTATAAATAAACGAACATGATCATTTCCTTCAATTTTTGGCCTGTCTTAATGTTTAATGGTACTGTTTACGATAAAAATTGTTTAACAAGAAAAGCCCTTAATAAATCTAGGAAAAACGATCAACGAACACTCGTGTCAAAATATTGTCAGTATCAGATATTGACGAGTTTATTAATCCTGGTATCAACCTGGACGATCCCCGCAGTTCCTCGAATTTTCGATACTAATTAGTATTGGATTTACAATTAATAGACAGTTGAGTCGCCCTACTTACGAAATATGAATGGCATGGCGAATAGAAATGGCAGTCCGGCAGCGCTTTCAGTCAGGAATGCGATGAAGAGTGGATAGAGCCCGTCGTAGTATTCTCGTCGAAGAACGACTTTCATTCTCGGAAACGAGAAGACGACGAGAAAGAGGTAGGCGAAGGAGAAAGAACAGACGGCAGAGAAGATAGCACCGTTGATGTTGAAGACGTCGGTTTGATCGTAAGGGTTATCGTTAGCATCTGAAATTGTTGGTAATAGAAAGAAAAGGTATTTCGAAAAGCAAAGTTGCTTCTGATTGGCTGGAAGCCCCTCAGATTACCCTAAAATCATCAAACTAGTCACTTACTCCATGGAATTCTCAAGTAGACTAGTCCAACAATAATCGCAGTTCCAATGTTCTGTCCAAACTTCATTCCAGCGGTCGATTTGTCCCTGTACTGCGAAATCAGCGCTCGCCAAAGCAACATGTAAAAAGACACGAACCAATTGGCCTTGTTCGCCTTTGCTTCTTTCGTCACATCCGCAACAAGAGGATCAGATTTGATTGATTCAACCTGGCCTCCTTCAATTTGTCGCCTGTAATTGCTCGAATTGAAGTTTTCCCAGATCTTGAGTATCTTCGTTTTCGATTCTTCTTCCTTCCCTTCAAGAACGCTCGTTTCCCAGATGTAATGGTCAGCTGGGTTGTAGTTCTCGCGACATGGGTTGCCGATAGACTGGAAAAAAGTCTTTGCTTCGTTCTTTGGCCCCAAGTAGACGCATCGCCCCATAGAAAGGAGCAGAAGAGAGTCAAAAATGTCGAAAATCTCCGAGCTCGGCTGATGAATCGTGCACAAAACAGTCGTTCCGTTCCTCGCCAGATCTTTCAATGTTTGACAGACCGCACTCGCTAAGTATGAATCCAGCCCAGAAGTAGGTTCGTCGGCGAAAATGATCGGCGGATCGACCAGAATCTCCGACGCAATTGAAAGTCGCTTCATTTCACCGCCGGAGATCGTTTTCGACAGTCCCGGGGTGCCGATGACGGTCTTCGCGCATTTTTGCAGGCCCATGATTCTGAAAAAGGGGCTTTGAATCAGAGGCGATTGTAGAGATTCAAATTATTCCCGAAAAACTGACGAGCGGAGTTTAAGCGGACCGACATTCGATGGACACTTTTGGGTCGCACAAAACTAGGTCAGTACCTGATAACTTCTTTAATCTTGTCTTCCTGAAAACTCTTCGATTTCTTCGAAAGCTTGAGGCGCGCATGAAATCTCAAATGCTCTTCGACCGTCAATGCTCCTATGAAAACATCGTTCTGTTGAATATACGCCGAGATGTGGCTTATGTCTTCTCCCAAACTCACTCCGCTCACTTCCACTTTTCCGGTGATGGTCAATCCGTTGATGTTTCTTCTCGTCAGCGTGTTCATCAACGTACTTTTTCCAGCGCCAGACGAGCCCATGATTGCCATGAGTGTTCCTGGCTTAGCGCTGCCGCTGACATTGTGTAGAATTGTCTTTGCCTGCTTGTTCTGTGTGCCAGTTACAGTCAGGTCTTTCCAATCGAGTTGAACACCGCTAGAAATTTTGTGTCAAGGAATTGCTATTTTATCTGCTTACTTTTCTCTAAGAATATTCATTGTGAATAACGTTTAGTATTCATTGAAAACTCTGACTGACTATTCTTTTGACTAAAAAATCACTGATAAACTTTCATCAGAAAATTCTAGAAGAAGAAAAGCGCTTACCGTCGCTTAGAAGTTCCTGCTGCTCCTTCGATTCCAAAAGAAGTCTCATTCTTCTCGCTTATATTTTGGATAGGATTCAGGTCTCGATTATTGTTTCTTAAACTGGAGGGTCCGGGTGCGTCCGTTTCCGGTAAATCATCCAGTCTCGATATTAGACCCTCGTCATCTCGGTTGGAGATTTGGGAAGCTTCAGGAGGGGATTTTTTAACAAGAACGAAAAATAAAATCGTAAGACAATCAAATAAATGACAATTAACATTTTTCATTCGAAAAAAGTAATTCCCCGATTAAAAATATTTTTTTGTTTTAAATCCCTGACTTTCATGTTTCATTTAGGAAATTTCTTCAAAGCGCATCTCTCTTTATTGTAATAAAAAAGAAGTCAAGCAATAAACTTGTTAAAACCTCAAAATTGGCCGCGCTTTGGCTTGGGGCGGGAAAAACTTTGAAAGAAATGTATTTCAAATTTGTCAGTTGATTAATAAGAGAGGAGCAAGATACGGAGCCCAATCCCGTGCTGCCGGGCCCATCGATTTTCGTTAAATTACAATAGACTGGGCTCAAGTCTCACATTCATCGAGACTTGAAAAAATATGAGCCCAGCCAATCTAACCGGGCCTAATTAGCGCCCATTAATGATTTGCGATGACATTGATGACGTTTGATTAATCAAAATAGGAAGAGGAAAGTTCTTCTTCTTATAAATCGATTCTTATGGTATCAAGAAAAGTTATATTGTTTGCAAGTTTAGTTATTGTTGAGTAAAATATTTTTTGCTGCATCGCTAAATTCTGCTCGTTTTCATGTTTTCAGGATACTTTGTTCCTTCCGTTTTACGCCCTTTTGAGCTATTTTAAAACATGGTAAGGATCATTTTATTCAATTTCTCTAGTAATGAACCTCCGGTTTTAATGATTAATCGATCGAGAAGCGGAAGGGAAGAGCCTTATTCAGACTTATTCCAGAGTACCGTAGATTTCAATCAAAAAAGTTCACTCTTGAAGAAAATAACCAGTTCAATCCAATTCCTGTTCTCGCCACCATCAAAAGCATAATTAACAGTCCCTACTTTCATTTCGCTATCTTCACCCGTTCCCATTTCAAAAATGGGAAAAAGGGTTCAAATTCTCTTCAAATCTCTTTCGAAGCTCACTTTGACCTGAACTCTTTCCCGAAATAAAATATTTCTAATTGCCCCGATGACAGAACATTTGCGCAAGAAGCTAAACGAATATTTGCATTTACCAAGACGGACCTGATTGAACTTTTGTCTCTCGATTTATGTAAAAGACAATTTTTTCTCCATGAATGAATCCGTAATAATTCGGTAAAAAAGGAGGCTTTGGGCGACAATGGGACGAGATTTTCAAAAAAAGCCATATTATTGTTGCTTGAAGGTCAATATTAGTTTAAAGTCTTCTTCGACTACAGTTGTAGCATGCAAACATTGACTGTATTAGTTTTACAAGGTACAATAAGATGATTTATGTTGCCACCGAAAATTCTGGAAATCCAACTTGAAATTTTCATTCGATGATTCAATTGTTGTTTGTTTTCTCCAAAAATCTATCGAAAAGAAAGATTTTGTGCTAGCGACGCAAAATTGATCGCGACGACTCCGGGGGCGCCTCTGAGCGCGCGCTCGCGCTACTATAAGAATTCGCGCGAATTAACCCTTATCATCATATTGCTTAGAAACACAACTATTAACAAAAGTCAGAAAATACATAATGTTTTCTCAGCAGTTGAAAAACATCATCAATGGAGGAAATATCGCAGAGAAGCTTTCCGAGGAACTAAACTTGTCCAAACTTCAAATTATGATCATCATGGTAAGACACTCTTTTAGTAAAATTCAATTTTAAACCCATTTTTCTAGCGATTGAAACAAACTGGGCTTTCAAATGAAGAAATCGTCGCCGCGTTACAAGAAATTTGATTCCTAACTCAACTGCTACTTTTACTCTCTGACCTCGTTTGCCTGTATATTCGTTATTCTTTGACTGGCGCTATTTGAAATTCATATCCTCATTTTATCATTACTGTATTCTTACTGAAATACGTTCGAGAATAAAAATGAAATAAAACACTTGTTTTTTCCTGCGTTTTTTTTTACTCAGGACCTGAGTGAACTATAATCAGGGTCAGTTTTTCACGAACAGGAATCACGATTCATGAGAATGACTCCGGTTTCAGGCTTCTGGGTTTAGGTCGCTAGATATCTCTAAATTCAGTACATCGAGAAGCCGCTTGCGGCTTCGAGCTGAAAAACCTATAAAGCCGCGCAGTGCACGGCTGTCTTGTTGTTTCCTTGAAACTGCATGCAGCTTTCCCGACTATATTCAATTTCTTAATGATAGAAAACGCACATGAATTAAATACGGAATGAACTTTATTTCATGATAGTTGTTATAATTGTTTTGGTCAGTTTCTAAAACAAGAAAAAACGTAATTCATATTATTGTTTCAATGTGGTGCAAATTAAATTAATATTCGTTGATTAACTTTTCAAGAGAATAAATGACTCCCCCGAGTTTGAAGTCTAAACAAGTGGACAGGATAGGGCAGCAGCATTAGTAAAAAAGAATAGAAAAAGCAGAAATAAAAGCAAAGTGTGATAATAATAGTGAAGCAAAGGGCATAATATTGATTACTGAAGCAGAAGTACTGTTTCTTACGAAATAAGGCGATTGGCAATTAGACAGGTGGAGTGCAAGAAGTACTATTATTTGATTCGCGGAATGAATAAGAATTGTACTCAGTCTTTCTGAGTCAGAAGTCAGTTTTTTCAGCGGGTTGATGAATTTTGCTAAGAAGTTGATCATTATTTTAGCAATTTGAAGTAGAGATCAGCAACCTGTGTAGAATACTTGAGCCGGTATCTCTACACAGATTGCTAAGGTACGAAGAAATCTCAAAAATTTGTGTAATAGAATATTTTGAACAACAAGAAAAACCGTTCTTGTTAGACCGATCGGAATTGAGAATTAAAGTTGAGGCTCAATGCTGGATTATTGAAGCAATCGGCTTTATAAAAATTGAAGAATTAAGCGTTTTCCATGCACTTTTTCTACCTCTTCTTTTCCAGTTCTCTTTCGCACTTGTTGATCGTATATCTGATGACTTTTCTATACACGAGGGCGATGAGCCGCATCACTCCGCCGAAAAAGACTTCAAAGAAAAGATTCAAAAACGAATTCGTCGGTCCTAGTCCAGCAGTTACTCGCGTGGCAAACCAGCCGTCGATTCCGATTGAATGGTCCGTTTGTCCGTTTTCCACGGCATTGACGATTCCGGGAACGATGCTATCTGGTTCTACTTCATCAGCAAGAGCAGAAATAGCCTAAATCGGGATCGAAAGGTTGTAAAAAAGAAGCTTCTATTTCAATATATCTAAGATAGCCGCGAATTAAGAATCATTTAGTTTTGAAAGCCGCAAGCGGTTTCCGCTGTTCAAGTTCACAAAAATGCCTTGTCGACCCTTTTGCTTGACAACTTCAGGTTTGGTCAAATTCTCCGTCGCCAAGCCAGGAGTATTCATGTCCGGCGGATAAATGATCGTAACAGCAGTGTTTGAGCCTTCCAATTCCATACCAAGAGCATCAGCGAATCCTCTGAGCGCAAATTTACTGGCACAATAAGCAGACATTCCCCAGAGCCCGATTTGGCCGGCGACGGAGCTGATGATGGCGATTCGAGAGTTCGTGTTTTGGGATTTGAGTATTGGCAGTGCAGCTCGGACAGCATTCATCACACCTAAAGAAAATCATCTAAGGCTAACTCCCTTCGGCTTAGAGAGTTAGGGGAGCTGGAATTCGGTTGTTTCTGGAATGAACATATATGCGCTTAGTACGGGTGACCCTCGAACAACCAAACTGGAACGCCGAAAAGTGTATGATTGCAAGCAAAATATTTCTGTGACGCAGAAAAAAAACATAAACACTAACGCGAGTTCCAGCAAACTGCAGAAAATGAACTCGTTTTTTGAAGGGTTTACGAAACAAAGAAGCTTTCAAAACACTTTTCTACAAAAACTAAAGGCTGTTCGTTTAATTAAGTTTCGGATTCGATTAAATTCAGTTTTATTTGGAGCTCGAAAAAGTACCCTGTTCGCTTTGTGTTTTGGAGTTTAAAAATACCTAGAGTGTTGACGTCAATTTGCGATTGAATCTGTTGAAACGGCAGGTCTTCGGTTCGCGCTGAGCGGCTGAGTCCAGCTTAAAAATAGCTTTAAAAACTTAAGTTATTCTAACAAACTTTTCAAAATCTATCCCTTCTTACTTTTGAAACGGGTAGAATTACTAGAAAAGCAAGATAGTCTCTAAGCCGCCTTAGTATTTAATTTCTAGTTTGCGAGTAAGAGTTCGAAAGGGTTTAGTCATGAAAGTAAGACTGTACATTTAGCTTCAGAAAAGCTTACCAGAAGCGATGAGTACATCAATCTTTCCGAATTCGCTGTTGCTGATGATTGTAGAAAACGCTTTTTCCAAGTCGGATGGATTCGTCACATCGGCGCTAGAATGCTTTCATGAACTTAAATTCATAAAATAGCGATAGTGAATTAATAATAATTTTTCATTACCTCAAACTCTCCACACAGCCGTCCTTCAATCCTTCTTCTGATAGTGGGTCGATAGTTCTTCTGGAAATAAGAACAACTTTCGCTTTTCGCTTGACACATTCTTTCGCGATCGCTAGCCCTAGTCCTTGTGTTCCTCCTAGAAAAAGAAATGAGTTATTGTCAGCAAATTTCAATTTGTAATCGATTAATAATCCTATTACGATTTTGATGATTTGATTACTAAAAGATGAAGAAATCGAAGCTAAAACGTGTGTAAAAAAAACGTGGCCATAAACAATCACGAGTTAACAATAATGTGTAGCCTTGTTTTTCGTTAAATAAACGAATGTTATTAAAACTGCTCTTTATAATCATATAAACAGATTAGTAACCAAGGTACATGTTCCGCTTTTGAATCAGAAACGCGTGCTTTATGAACTTATAAGCGATTGAAAACTGAAGCTAGCAATTCTGAAATACTGAAAATATCCATCTGAATACAGATTCTGTGCACGAACCTGTAATGACGACGACTTTATCTTGAAGAAGAAGCTTCTTGAGTTTTGAATCCTTGAGGAAGAATAGAATCCCTGTCAGTAGGCAAACAGTCGCTTTTTTAGAGATGTAAAGATTCAATCGGGCGAGGAAAAGTCTAAGCTTGAAATTGGATACTATATATGAGAATGCTTGCGGCTTCGGCCAAATTACCATGATTATATAGGTATATTTGAGCTGCAATGCGGCAGCCGCAAGAAGCGCGGCTTTTCGCTAGATCTGTTGCTCGAAGCCGCTTGCTTCTTACTATTAATAATATTTTTTTTCGATTCAAGAGCTTTGGTCAATAAAATGACGAAAATGAAAGTTCCGTAAAATATTTACGGTCAGTTCTTTATTTTTTCATCAAATTAGTCTTTTTCTTCTCTTTCCTATAAGCATCTTCTTTCCAGTAATTCTTTACCAAAATCGCGAAAAACCAAGAACTTCCCTTTTTCTCTAATTCAGGAACCGAACCACTCCGCCAAGTTTAAGGGACCCGGGCGAGTAACGCGAAGTCCAACTTCACGCGCTCGCCATTGATCTTACAGAAAAGCTTTTTTGAAATTTCTTTTTGCTAAACATATCTTCATTCCCTCAGCTTTTACCTCCAATTTTCAGATTTTTTATATCATTATTAATTCTTGAGCTAGGATGAATAAAAGAAGCGCAACTTCAAAAGGATTCAACTCCTGCAAACTTCATTTTATTTTCATGAAACCAGCACCATTGAAAAGCCCATTAAATTCTGAACAGATTCCACTTAATGCGCTAAGCTGAAACTTTACTTATTGCCCTTCGCGCGCTGATAAACAAAAGAACTTAGCGCGCGCCCAGCGGGAATCATGTCCCGGGAGCCCAAAATACCCCAAAATAGCCCGATCGGAGCGTCCTGCCAAGCTTCGAGCGCTAAGTTCTTTTGTTAATCAGCGCGTGAAGGGCAATAAGTACAGTTTTAGCTTAGCGCATTAAGTGGAATCTGTTCAGAATTTAATGGGCTTTTCAATGGTGCTGGTTTCATAAAAATAAAATGAAGTTTGCAGGAGTTGAATCCTTTTGAAGTTGCGCTTCTTTTATTCATCCTAGCTCAAGAATTAATAATGATATAAAAAATCTGAAAATTGGAGGTGAAAGCTGAGGGAATGAAGATATGTTTAGCAAAAAGAAATTTCAAAAAAGCTTTTCTGAAAGATCAATGGCGAGCGCGTGAAGTTGGTCTTCGCGTTACTCGCCCGGGTCCCTTAATTCTGAGTCATTTTTTCACATTTCTCCCGCTGCGTCACATTTTGGCTCGCTCCAGACGCCTGTTTCAAGACGGCGAAAAACAGCAAAAATGAAATAAACGAGACTTTCTAAAAGAGAAAAAAGAAGAAGAAATAAGATATTTTCGATGAAGATGGACTGTTTCTTCTCCTGCTGTATTTTTGTCCAAGAAAATGGGTTAAAATCATTTTTGATCAAAAATTTTGGCAATTTTCTAAAAAAATTCTCAAAATTAGATTTTAAAACTCAAAATTTAATCTATGAAAAGAACTTTTCGTGCCGATAACTCCAAGGAAAATTCTTGGCTGGCTTTCTGCATGTCAACTTCTGCTAATTTCCGCTTGTCTCGGCTGTTCTGGTTTGTTTTTTCTGGTATTTTTTAGTTTTGATTCTTCTTTTTAGCTTATTTGGTGGCTGCTGAAGTTCTGCCGCCGTTTTCCATTACTTCTATTGTGCTCACTTGGTAAGAAATCTTATATTGTTCGCTATTTTAGTCCGCTTTTTCCCTCTTGATTTTATCATTATTGTAAATTCTAGCGTTGCCTTTTGCTGTGCCTTGATCGGAATCATCGCTACTTCTCTGGACCATCCGCAGCTCTACTTCGCTTACAAAATCCTCTCAATCCTCATCACCATCTTCAACATGCTTGTGCTCGCCTATTTCACCTACGTTGCCATCGACCACTCGCTCAACAATCTCTCCAAGCCCCTGCAGTAAGTTCATCCTCCCTTTTTCGCCCAAAATCAAAATGTTCAGAATGCGTTGGAATTCGCAAAATGAAGAATTCAACCCGATGGTCGGAGTTGTCGCCGCCGCTTTTGCTTCAGAAATGAGCTTGTTCATTTGCTCCTCGTTTTATACAAGCCAGGCGAGAAGAAACGCACTGTATAGAATTCAAAACGAAGAAATCGACGCTCTTCTACAAGGTAAATTTAGCTTCAGATGCCTTATAAGTTATAACATCAGAAAAAAACCGTTTTACTAAAGTTTAAAAAGCATCGTCTTTTCGTTGAAAAAAGCCCTTATTTGACCTTTTCCGGTGCCTGTTTCTCATGTTGAAATGGTATTTCTAGAGCACGATGACTTCGACGACAACCACTCGCAATCGAGCTACCACATTCAAGTTCGCAGTCAAAATCAGTTCCTCAACAACTCCCGTCTTGAAGACAGTATCGCTTCTTCCCACTAACCCCCTTTTCTACTGGCTCAAAAATATTCTTCTTAGTTCCCCTATTTTCTTCCTCTTCAGGAACGCTTTCTATTATCGTTGAACCTCTTCTCTGTACTTTTAGGCTGGCACTAGAATAGAGCCAGTTTTAGCCTTGATTCATTTTATTTCAGTTTTGTTGATATTTTCAATTACACATGCTAAAATTCTTGATAAATTTCGAATAATGCCTTCTCTGAATAAAGTTCCTTGAATTTTAACCTTCTTCTGTCGTCGTTTCTCAAGAATATTTGCACAGGAAGACAGATCATACAATCTTAAAAAGTAGGCAAGATACATGAATACAGGTGAGGATTTGAAGAAGAGGAATCAGGACCCACCAAGCCTTTGGAGTCCAAGGTCCTCTACGCAGAACAGGTTGCCTTGCCCAGAGCACGCGTATTACGGTATTTGAAAGGTAATGAAGTTGATCATCATGCTATTTGCCAAGACTTCTTCCTCCGAGGAGCTTTTTGATCAGGTTATCACATGGAGAGAAAAATCGAAAGCGAGAAGAAGAATGAAATTTCTGCTTCTTCTTTTTCTTTCTGCATTCATCTCGGCCCAATGCCCGTAAGCTGTCTTATTTGATTTGATTAGGATTTTTTTCCAAGAGATTTGGTGCTCAAAGAAAGATGCGAGCAGATGTGCAATCAAGAGCTTTTTGACTGTCTCAGGAAAAGGGATGAAAAGAAAAGAAGAGGTCCTACCGAGATTTGAACTCGGATCGCTGGATTCAGAGTCCAGAGTGCTAACCGTTACACCATAAGACCACCTGGCTCCTTCCGGAAGTAGTTAAAATATATTATTCCTTTGAAGTAATTGCGAAAGTACAGCGAAAAGTGACTGCCACTACATTTGCATGGGAGACGCTTCTCGTTGTGGTGCCGCTTGTCCGTGTAACAATGACTGTTTGAACGGATGTGAGGGGTGCGCTAATCCTGTATGCAGCTGCAAGAACCCCAGGGAAAATTCCGAGTATAATTTTTGCATGAAAAAGGCTCTTGATGAAGAGCGAAACTGCATTTCTTCCTGTGCGAATGAAGATTGCATCGAAGAGTGTTATGTGATCAGAAAGGGGGCTATTTCGAAGTGTCCTTGTAATAGCTACTGTCAAGGTTTTCAGACGGTAATTGTTGTTCGATTTTCATCAAATCCTTTAGTTGGATGTCCCTGTGAACAATTCAACTGTCAAGAATATGCAATTTTATTGCAAGAATCCGCTGCAAAAATGGTTTCAAAATCATTTGGTGTCATTTTCAGCCAAGAAAAGAGTTTGCCAGACAATATTACAAAGAAAATTATTTAAGGGTAGGGTCCCCGTAGAGGCCCAAAGCAGCGAGACTCTCCTCCGAACCTATCAATGCTGGGAAGGCGTGTAATGGCTCAAATGAAAGTTCAATCATAGATCTTCTGATTGACACGAGCTTTTTTCGAAATTCCAAGAAAAAAGTCACGTGCGGTTCGCTCAAAGTTGTCGTCTCAGCGAAAAATCGCGAAAATAGCCAATATTCAGGGCGACTCTCCTCCAAAGTGAGCAATGAAAACCCTCTTGATTCTCTTGTAGGGTAAAGTTTGGACCCTAATCTTAAAAATGACACGAGCTTTTTTAAATTGGTCAAAATTTTCTATGTTAAAAATTTTAAAGTACGAAGGTACCCATTTTCCGTCCCTTTGACTCCGTGAATCGCCTTGCGGGCATAGCCCAAAAGGCTCCGTTCTCATCGCAAAAAGATTTCCTGAACGTGGGCTTTCCAAAAAGGTATCATACGACACCCTAACATAACGACCAAAAATAGTAAAAATTTTAAAATTTCCGCCTTTGGGCCAAAATGCACTAATTTTCGCCATTTTCAATTGCAATTTGTGCGAAAATGGGTTAAGATAGAGATAATACTCATGTAGAGTTTTTTGCTCAGAATTTCATAGAGATTCAGAAAAAGTAGTCAAAAACCGATTCTGAGACCTGACCCAGTACGGGGACCCTACCCTTAAATTCAAAAACTCATTATAAGATGGAAAAATAAAGGAAAACCGAAAACTTCTTCTTGACCCTGAAGTCGATCTTACTTCAACCTGCTACCAGTATTTCAAAGGAGAGCATATGCTTTTCGGTGGGGCGAAAAAGCGCCGTCAAGTGGCGAAAATTGAGAACTGCGAGATTAAAAACACGGGAAAACAACTAGCATATAACTTTGACTCGTTCAATGGAAGATGCATGTTGCAAGAGAATGAGTTTGGTTGGGAAGACGATGGTAAATTGGCAATTTAAAATTGCCCTTGAAGGCAAGAGTTGATTATTAACTGTAGTGGTGATGTTCTGCTTTGGTTCTTCAAGCAAGACTTGTTTCGAATTCGATGGAGAAAAGAGCAACTCAATTTACATTTCTCCACAGCACGAACACGCCCGAGGCGGTCTTGGTTCCTTTCAGAAGGAAACTTTCGTCGTTGGCGGAGGAGTTTATGGAGCGGACAATAATTTCAACAGCAAACTTGAATTTCGCGGAAGAAATGGTTGGGTGGAACATGCTGATTTTCCGAGACAAAGTGGAATCGCTGACTTTGTGCTTGCAAGTGTTCATGATAGTGGACAAGCATTTCTGATCGGCGGTTGGAGTGGATCTGATGGGCTGAATGATGTCTATGAATTGGTGATGACGAAGGAAGGGGCTGGTCGTTTTCAATATCGACAGCGACTACAAGAAGTAAGGTCTTTATTTTCAAAAGCAGCAGTAGGAACCATAACTTTTTGAATCTCAAAAATAGTTATATTATATAACTTATATACTTTTAGAACTCTCATCGATGTGAATGTATTATGGTATATTACCACTTGGTATAATGTGCTACGAATCATAGCCTATGATGCCTCCGTAGAATGGGCACTTGATTATTGAACATATTCAGATTGTTCGATTTGGCTCCGCCGCAGTCTTGTCATCTGAAATCATGATTGCCTCAACTCATGTCCAAGTCTTCAATTTCAAAGAGCTTCAAGAAACAAGAGTCTTTGATGTATTCAATCAAAAGACAAATCATCCGATATTTTTCAAAGTAGAAGCTGATTTCTGCATGAATGCCTGTCAAGAACAATGCTTTCTGTAATAAAATTGAAAATTTATTAAAGTACTCATGACTCAAGCAAGTTTTTAAAGAAGCTTTTGCAACTTTCCAGAGTTGACTCCAGCAGCAGTTTCGTCGCCACCGCCGAAGAACTTGCCATTGATGAAGACTCGGGGGACGGACTGAGCGCCAGTCATTTTTCGGAATTCAGCTTGGATCGCGGCGCAATCTATAAATTTCTTTGTAAAAACTTGAGATTTTTGTATTACCTGGGCGATTTTCGATCTCATAAGATTTGAAAGGAATATTCGCCTGCTTCAAAGCATCCTTCGCTTTCTTACAATAAGGACAGTAAGACTTGGAAAAGACGACGACTTTGTCCGCTTCCAAAGCAGTTTGAATAAATTGCGATGCCATCTCTCTCTTGTTGTAGTGCCGGCTGACGGAGATAGTCACTCAGTTTTTATGCGTTTCCTCTTATTCATTTCGAGAATCTAAAACCCGTAAACTTAGTGTGCTCGGGGAGAATATTGATGCCGTTATAATTGTGGGCCTCGAGAAAAATTTGCCCGTTAAAACTGTGACCCCCTCCCCCTTTTATCTCCCTTTGTTTTAGTTAAACATCCGTCTCAATGACAAAAGATCATTTTTTGGGGGATCTTTTCAGATCAAGGCCTTTTGTCAAAGAAAATAGTTCTAGAAATTTTTTTAAAGAGTTTATTTACAGTTTTCTTGAAGTTTTGACAGCTTTAAATCTCAGTTTTTGATTGAAAATTCTTTCAAAATGATCATCAAAAATAAACCCCCGAAAAGGGCGTCTTCAAGATCATTTCTTTCAACAGACAATCAGCATGAAAGGCAAGCCAGTTTCTTGTTATGGCGAAATAAGCGGTAGAATCGTCCGAATTCTTGATCTGATCGTGTTTTGAGAGCGACGAAACTGAATTCTGAAACTGATTCGAAGGATCACTTAAAATTTGATACAATTTAGGTTGTTCGATTTGGTTCTGCTGCAGTGTTATCATCTGAAATCATGATTGCTTCATCTCATGTCCAAGTTTTCAATTTCAGAGAGCTTCGAGAAGCAAGAGTCGTTGATGAACTCAATGAAGATACTAAACATGCAATAGTTTTCAAAGTAGAAGCTGATTTCTGCATGAAATCCTGTGAAGAACAATGCTTTCTGTAATAAAATTTATTAAAGCGCCCATGTAAGAAGCAGATTATTAAAGGAGTTTTTGAAGCTTTCCAGAGTTGACTCCAGCTGCTGTTTCGTCGCCACCGCCGAAGAACTTGCCATTGATGAAGACTCGAGGGACGGACTGAGCGCCTGTCATTTTTCGGAATTCAGCTTGGATGGCGGCGCAATCTTTAAATTTGTTTGGAAAGAGCGTTGCGTTTTTGTTGTACCTGAGCGATTTTCGATCTCATAAGCTTTGAAAGGAATATTCGCTCGCTTCAAAGCATCCTTCGCTTTCTTGCAGTAAGGACAGTAAGACTTGGAAAAGACGACGACTTTGTCGGCTTCCAAGGCTATTTGAATAAATTGCGATGCCATCTTTCTCTAGTTGTAATGCCGGCTATTGGAGATAGTCACTCAGTTTTTATGCGTTTCCTCTTAGTGTTCTCCCTTTGTTTGAGTTAAACATCCGTCTCAATGACAAAAGATCAATTTTTGAGGGGATCTTTACAGATCTAGGCCTTTTGTCAGAGAAATTAGTTCTAGAATATTCCTGCTTTTTCTTTTATAGAATTTATTTTACAGTTTTTTGAAGTTTTAATGGTTTTAAATTTCAGTTTTTGATTCAAAAGTCTTTCAAAATGATCATCAAAAATTAACCCCCGAAAAGGGCGTTTTCAAGATCAGTTCCTTCAACAGACGATCTGCATTTTCAGCATGAAAGGCAAGCGAGTTTCTTGTTATGGCGAAATCACCGGTAGAACCGTCCAAATTCTTGATCTGATCATGTTTTGAGAGCGAAGAAACTGAAGGAGTTATCCACATTGTCGAGTTCTTCGAGAGTTCTTGTTGCAGCGACTTGTATTTTTGCCCAGTGTACCAGATCACGATTATGAGTCCGTAGATTAGTGTCTTTTATGGTTTTTTATACCCGAATATTCGAATGATACTAACAATTGAAACCATTATTAGCAAAATATCGATATTTATTGGGATAATGACGGAATTCAAGCTGTCTTCTGGAAGATTTTTGAATAAAATTCTTGAAACTTTTAAAAAATTCAATATCTGAAATCTTTGCCTGTATCAAAACAGCTGGAAAACGACTGTAAGCATGAGGTAATCACAAGAAAATTGACTCCAAAAGTAAACTCCGTCGCCAGAGGCATCATCTTTCGAAAATCGCCAAAGTTAGAAACAATCGGAATCGAAAGAAGCATCGAAATCAAACAGCAGCTAGAAGTGAAATTGCAGATAATTGCAATATTTATCAAGAAAAACTTACAAATTCAGCGAAATGACGTAGAAATCACACTCTTCCTTATCTTCTTTCTTCAACAAGTGACCCAAAACAATGCAACTCTTCATCGTCTGTATTAAAATAACAGTTCCTGCAGCGAAAAAAGGATTCATTTTGAAATTTCTAGCGTGTTTTTGAAAATGAGAAAATGTGAAATTTTGATGGACTATGTGCCTTTTTACGAGTAATAAACTTCCACGACATCCTCCTCTTCTTTGCCTCTCAAGGTCTCAGGGATGAGCTCTTTCTTTGAAGGGTTGATTTTATGGGCAGGTTAATGAGCCGGGAAAATGAAATGTGTATTCTTGAAAACCGAAAAAACTCTGGTTTTGTGGATTTTCTTCTGTGGAATTATGGTTGATTTTCCCGTTGTAAACGCGGCTTTTTCAACCCTCATGAAATCGAGCTTGTGGTCTTGGGCGAGTTCAAGTGCTAATTTGCTGAACAAATCATAAACTGGCGAAGACTTTGCTTTTTTCTGTTTACCGAGGCACGTCCCCTTCGACGTAAACTTTAATAAAGAAATCTCAAAATTTCGGAAAATTAAAAATGGGAGAGTACATTCCAGAGACTGCAAATGCTTGGAGAAAAGGATACAATCATTTGGAAACGACGACTTATAATAGAGTCTTTCTTTTCTCTTCCAGACTATTTGTAAGCATCATCAAATTCCAATTTTATTATTTTCTGAGCGCTTAATTTAAAAAATGACCATTTTTAATCGAATTATTGGGTTTGAGTCGACAAAAATTTCTACAAAAAATAGTTTTTTTTTTGATAGAATTTGATTGGCCGATTAGCTGAAAGCGCTATTCTGATTGGTGTAAAATCTGACCAAAATTTTGGCCAATTTTTTTCGATTCGAGCCACCCCCTCCTTCAATTTTAGTAGAAAAATCAACAGACTAATAATTAGGGTGGGGATACAAAAAATGGACTTTTTACTCGTAGGAGCAATGATAAAAAATTTTTGGTAAAAGATTTTTTATGGTCAACCAAAAAAAAATTCTTGAAAAAAAAAAATTCAATTTTAATTGTCACGTGATGAAAATCGCCATTGAAAGTGCCAAAAATGCCAAAATCGTCGAATGAAGACGGATTTTTTTTATTCTCGGATATGTGATAGAGAATTTGATTCTGGATCTAATGGTACCAAAATCTTTTTTGTGTCCCCTCCCTACTAATAATGACTGTCATTATTAGGTTTGGTGCTTCTTTTTTGGAAAGATCTATTATTCCGCAACCAAATATACAGAACTGGCAGAAATAATCATGCAACAGTAAGTAATCTCTTCAAAAAATCTTTGACAGAAATGATTTATTATTCAAGAGGCTATTACGGAGGTTTTTACATTGCTATTGCTCCTCCAGCTATTGAATTCTTCAGAAAACGGGTTCATAAGATTCATTTAAAAATTAACACCGATTCTACGAAATGATCAATAGTTTATGAGATCATTTCAATGACGATCTTTTTTGAACCCGTTTCTTAGCTTGCTCAGTATTCAGGAAAAAGAGTGGCGAATGGCGGATTATACAGATTTGCGTCGATTGCGAAGAAAAATTGGTTGAACTTGTCTAAAAACAAGATGACAGTAATTCAACCTAATTCTTGCCTATGTTCCTACCTTCATGGAATAATGTGGGTCACGACATGATCATGATCAGTACAGCTATCCCTTGGCACTAGAACAATCGCATTCGTATTTATTTCCAGGGAGCCATTTCGCGTCGAATTCGACCTCTCAAAACTGTAGGTCTCGGCTTTTATTTGTTTGTAAAACGAAGACTCGCGGTTTACTGAATATGAATTTGCCGCATCTCGACTTCTTTGAGGTCAATTAAAAAAGGCTGCTTCAAAAATAATGAAAGCAAGCGCGGGTAAAAAGCTTGACCTTGCCTGGTAGATTCCTCGGCGGACCAATAAATATACAAAATAAATGAGCCGACTCCAAGTATAAGTCCGAAAATGAGCGCTGAATAATTAATGAAAGCATTTTATACGAATACGCATGTTTGTGTACCTAAAAATACAAGTTTTTCATGTTCCATACTATCTTCTTTCGCCAAGTATTCCCAACTCTCTCATAAGTTCGACCGTTCTCCAGGCCGCTCCTTAATTTTTATTCTTCTCTGCCTCTTCTTAGAGCATTGTTTCCGAGGATTTTCGACAGGTAAATTTTTAACGAAAAGAAAAAAGATTTCTATTCATTTCTTCAGACGCATTTTCTCAAGTTTCTTGGTGGCTGAGTATTTCAGGTAAAAAAAAGACAACTTTCTCTTTTAGTTCGTTTTATTGAATCCTGATTTTAAGGGCTTTCAATGGTCGCGGAGAGCGATATAAAGGTAGGATCAGACTACGAAGAGCAGATCGAGCGCCGCTGCGCCCTTTTACTCCTGCTGCCAAATTGAGACTCTTTACGTAAAAAAGTGGCTCGTGCTCAGGCGGATCAGTCTGCTAGTAAATGTCCTTACTGAGGGGAAACATGAACGGGCAATTATCAAATGTAGGGCAAGGAGAACTGCTAAGTCAAAAAATATTTCCAATCATAAATATGCTTTACATACCAATTTGGTACTTTATGGTACTTGGGGATTCATTTTAGCAACCCCTCAACATATAGTCTTAATTACAATGATATTATATTATTGCAAAGACATTGAACAAACTGTTGTTGACGTTTCTCATAAAAAGTATCACATTTACAGTAACCTCATTAAGCGCAATAACAATCTCATCAGAGAAGGTTCACCTTCATACGCCGTCTTCGTCTCTTTGAAGCTAATTTCCCTGACACAGGTCGCAGGTAAGCCCTCTTAGCGAAGAAAAATTAGACTTGTACTCATCACTGACGTATTAAATGTGACAGTTTAGTCACTTTTTCTTAAATATTTAGTTTATTTCTGAAGAAATTGGGGGGCTTTCAGAATTTTCTTTTGAAGGGGCTGCCAAATTTGAAATTTTGAGTTCAAAATTAAAGAGGCTTCAATTATGAGTTTATTATTATGATACTCAAAATTGAACTTTTGAAAGGTTGAAATATAAGTCTCGTAGAATTCTGATAGTAAGAAGGCAATAAAAATAAATAAAGGATAATACAGTATTCAGTTTTATCGTATGAGCTGTCTGAACTCCTTCAATCTGTTGGACTTGAAAACCTCACGTCAAATACAGTTTTTGCTTTGACTTTTCTGCGATTAACCTTTTGGGTCATTTGCGTGTTTCACTCTTCTTACGAATGGTATACCGTCTGCCAAGATTAAAATATAATCATTCTGCGTAGTCCTCTTTATGCGTCTGCCGTGCTACTGATCCAGTTCTGGCATCAACGAATTTCGTATCAAAATATTCAATTAGCGCTGAAACTCATTCCCGCCGCGATTTATCTATATCCAGGTTCGTTTTTTCATCAGACCACTTCATTTATAAAAGTATTGGGCAAACAATCCAACAAATTATATTTTTAGCTGCTCTTTCGGCTTATCCCTTCCAACGATTTATTCACGAAAAAGAAGATTGAGATCGACATACAATATGATATGTATATGATATGTATGATAATTAAAATATCTTCTCCGAATATGTTTCTTAATAAATATGAAAGCATAATTGTTAACCTTACGCCGCCAAACCCGAAATTCACCCCCCGCCGCCAAATGTGCCATATATGGCACATTGCAGTGTATTCTATGTGCCAAATATGGCACATGTGTCGAAAAGCCGGCTGTAGATGTAGAAAAAATAAAATTTTATGCCAACATTACAAATGTAAGACATTTGACATTATATGACATCAAATGACATCTTATTGATCTCGGCAATGTTAATGTTCCTCTTATAAGGGAGAATTTCTTACAATGCATTTTCGGCGAAAAAAAGTCCCACCGCCGCCAAATGTGCCATATTTGGCACATCGCAATACATTCTTGTGCCATATATGGCACACGAGTAGCGAAGCTAAATTCGCTATTCTGACGAATTTGTAGCGAAGCTAACCAAACCAAAGGTCTACCACGTGAAAGTTGAGCGAAAAGTAGGGGTATAAAGGGGGGTCGGCGAAACTTCTACTCCAAGTTAAAAATAAGTTACAGGCGTTTTTAAATCTCGGTGCCATATATGGCACACTTGGCGGCGTAAGGTTAACTTTTGTTAAAAAATCCATTTTATAATTTCCCAAAATGCTTCCCGTAAGCAGCTATTTTATATTTATTCAGCAATGTGTCAAGTTGATAGTACCCTTGCGCGCCCTCAGAGCTTGTCACGAAAATGTCAAACCTTTTTTCAAAAGCGTTCGGAGCCGATAAAATAGAGAATTATCCTGTCTAAAATGTGTGTCTGGAGAATTCTAGCGCTTTTTTCCTCTGTAATTGCAGATTCGAGAAAGTGTTCAAACAGATCGAGATACTGTGCTTATTTGACGAAAAATACTTGGATTGGGGCTTCGAAAAACGAGTCTTGTGGAAGTTGCTTCGATGCGAAAATTAAAGTTGATTTGAATGAAGTTTTTGATGGTTATTGGTTCACAAGCGAAGACAACTTATACATCGCGTTCAGAGAAAAAGTGGACTTTACTGAAAGAAAAGTAGCTTACTGGAAGGAAGAAGGAGAGAGCTTTATCTATAAAATATCTCTTCCGGTAGGTCAGGCGGCCCTTAGCGCAAGGACCTGCTATCTTCTTTTGAATAGGCTTATTTTTCATTTCGATAACCAGCAGCTGAGGGAAAAAAGCTTACTGTATTTTTTTCAGAAAGAATCATCGTTTGGATATGGCAATACTCTTATTGAACTGAATCTTCAATTCATGACGAGAAAATCAATCAGTTCAACAGACGAGATTTTCGCTTGGATAATGATTTGCCCCTGCAGCGCTAGAAACAGCGACGATCCATGTGCCGCATCGGAGGATCCGTTGGACAGCTTCGATGGAAAATTTTGCCGATCAAAGAAAAAGGGGAAGAAGGTTGTTTGCATGGCACTTTGCGATAAGGAAGGAAAGAGAAAAATGGCACAGCCAAATACTGCTGCCACTTGTTATCGCGAATCGGATACACACGCGGCTGGAAGGTGGGAAGTCCTGAGAAATCGAATTGGATCCTGCTGAACTTGTAAATAAAGAAGTCAAAATAAGGCTGAGAAAAAATAAAGCGGAAATAAATTAAACCTGATCGTATACTACTTACCGAGTCCTTGAGGGGCAAAAGAGATTAATCCGCTAATGTAGCCGCAAATTACCTGTATCAATAATGATTTTTTTAACGAGAGCTCAGTGAAAAATAAAATAATCCTCCGAGAACTTATCGTTAAAACAAGCTTCTTTCTCGAAGCTCCATTAAAAGTCTGTATTCCTTGAATTCAACGCTCTTCGCTTACATTAATTCATCATCCTAGTGAAATACGTATTTCACCGTAATTCTTTTTGGTGGCACTTCGGCTTGTTAAAATTAGCAATGATCATGATTAAAAATGATCGAAGGCTATTTTTCGTAAAGAGTTGTCTTCTAAAAAATATTGTTCAAAGTTTGAAATATGAATTTTTATGACTCTCTGAATCGAGAAAGAACTGATCAGGAAATAATTTCTGAACTTTGAAACAAGATTCAAGTCAAATGACTATGCTGTTCTTCAAATAATAATGCTGCAGAATGGACATTTCTTAGTCTTTGGCAAATCGTTCAGCTAGTTTTCTGTTGTTCACCATTGCGAGACACTCATCCGTTGAGAAAATGTAGCCTTCGTCGGTGTAAAATTCGAATTCGTAACATTCATCTTTGCTTCTCGGAATATACGCTAGAAATTTTTGATCGATACTGTCTGATTTAGCTTAGCCCTATCTCCAGTCCCACATGGTCTAGGGGTTAGGATTTCGGATTTTCACTCCGACGGCCCGGGTTCGATTCCCGGTGTGGGAGGACTTTTTCGTTTTTCATATAACAGTCTCCTGAATACAGTTTTAAACTTACACATTTCTTTTGTATGAGCTTGAACATATTCTTCACATTCAGATTCAGATAGCAACACCCTATTCAGATAGAAATCGTATCTCTTGCAATCCGACAAGTCAACTGGATCTGAAAAGAAAAACGATGAAATCAACGAAGAGATCATACAACTCTACCTTTGTGAAAGACTTTTCTTCTGTGCGAAATGGCATAATTTTCGATTCCATCCAAAGCAGCTAGGCAATTCGACTTTGACAAGAGAACAAGGCCGCTGTAGTAATTGTAGTTGACGCAGTCGGAAGTGTTCTTTGGATAGTTTTCTTAGAAGAAAAATGAATGGGAGGAGAATTTGAAGAACCTACGTTTGTGGAGCATTCTCAGGCACTCATCCCTTGAAAGGATTCTGTTGAAAGAGTCGAGGAAAGAATTTGTCGAACAATCGGATGATACTCGAGGAATTTTCGCTAACATGAAAGTAGGAATGAATTAAATATTGATTTACCATATTCAGGTTTCAAAGTTTTGATGGTGGTTAGAGGCGGTTTTGTTGTTGGCTTCTGAGTGACCGACTTTATTAGTTGACAATAGCCATTTCCAAGAATCTCCGTGCCAGGGTAGCAATCACAGTACTTGATGATCGGTCAAAATTGTCTTTCATATTTTGAACTTTTGAATAAGCCTACGGAAGCCCCTTGCTAAAAGCTACAAATTCAACAAGAAGACAATTCAGAAGGGGGAAATAAGAATAAAAGCAGCTGTATTGACCTCTCCTGCGCGCCGTACCAATTTCGTTTGCACACGCCGTGTCCACAGGATTCCAGCGCTCCGCAGTTACTGAAGTTCGGGTTTGAGGTCACATGACGAGGGGAGGAAGTGGTAGTACTGTAAGTTGTGTTAGTAAAGGTTAGTATCGATTAGTCATATTAAGAGTTCCTCCTTGGAATTTTCGCTCACCTTTTGCGCTCGGCGCTAGAATAGGAGAACCACTGGCTATCATCACTAAAGGAATATTAAATATGCTTTATAAGCCTTTATATTTACTAACTTTGGATACCGAGACGATGAGCTAGAACCCGAGAAATGATTCTGATTGCAAGATCTTCCCACACAAGACCTTGAGATTTTCGACAAGCCAGGGCATTTAGCACCGAGGCATTTTCGAGTGCGAGTTTGAACGCCCTTTCCACATTTTCTAGAGCAGCTGGTCCATTCGGTCCAAGATGTCCATGTCGTCACGTATTGATATGCTGGAACTGTCGGCCTTCAAATAATAAATCAACGACCAGAATCAAAAATGACGAATGAAAAAAGAGGTCAATCTGAAATCGCTGTCCGGTAGGTCTCCCCTCTCAGATTTAAAGCTTTCCGACTTGATGAGTCTGATTCCCTGAGAACGGGGCGTCAATGGCATTCAGATTTTCGACTAATCCACAGCTTTTATTGTACCTGACAGTTGGACAAGGTGAGTAAGGACACTTCTTTTGTTCAAACTCGTTTCCTCTGCACCCGCCATCTCCGCTTGAGCAAGTTCGGCTAAAGAGGTATGTTCAACTTGCTCGCACATAAAAGAGTGCCGTTTCTATTCAGAGAAGAACTTGACAAAAAGATTGCTTACGTTCGCATTTTTACAGCATTGCCGCATGATTGCGAGCACTGACCCCATCTTCCCCAGACAGACCAGAAATGTCGCCTGTAACGGTCTTTTCGTTGACATTTGTTCAGAATGTGTTTGGTCAAAAGTCGAGATCGTTTGATGCCATTCTTTCGTCGATACGTTCTGAAAAATAATATAAAGAAAAATGGAGTCGCGAAGTCTACGTCCTACTCGAGAACTTACTTGAGCTTGAATAAAAAGTAACACTTGACACCGCCTCGTTCTTCGGTGGGGTCATAGTCACGAACATCATAAACTCCTTTGTACGTAGGATGCGTTTTGACTTGCGTTATGCACTGCTGCACCATTTTTTCTCTCCCTCGTTTTCCGGTCACCATTCCCAAGTCTTTGCAGTGAAGATTCGACATTTCAGGAATACAGGGATGATTTTGTTGTTGAACGCCTCTGAACAGGGCATTCATAGCACGGCCCATTTCTCGGCGAAGCGGTTCTGTCCATTTTTCGGTGCATTGGATGTTTTCATTTCTGTCTAAGAAAATTTTTTTTACATCCTCCGATGAGGGTTGTTTTTCGTATAGAGCTTTTAAGTTTATTATAAAATATTTTTTATTCTACTGAAAAGGCCATCTGCTGATTATCGCAGCCATAATAAATCCGTTACGAGATGTCAAATAGATCAAATATGAAAGCCATAATGGATCTATTTGAACTTGGGTATTGCGAGCGGTAAGCTGCTCATTATTCTTGAGACACGGTGGAATCAATCCAGGAAACAGCGGCCTCTTGTTCTCTGCCTGCTGAGCCAATACTCAGCAAAGGCGTATGCGAGAAGCATATTTGATAGAAGATTACTTTGTATTACCGACTTACTTCCGATTTTACTGCTTGGAATAATTCCAGAACAGATACGGCTTTCTCAAGATAGACTTTCAGAAAATATTCTCGATAAAATGACAAATGTTATAAATACGGATGACCTTTTCTTTAATAATGTAAACGAAATTTATATTTATTAGTGTGATATTTGTCGTCATAAAAAATATCCATGAAAAATCCTTGTCAATCAACTAATTTTCTCTAATCTGATTTTATAAACGAATTCAGTCGCTTATATGGAAAATCTAGACAATTTCATAAAAATGAGATTTTCTGGTTTTTGATTGAAAATCGTCTATTTGGAAGTTCTGTTTTCGTTTGAAAAAGACTTTAGTAGTAGTTCTTAAGAACAAAATGGTCTAATGATGACGAATAATACCGTTAACTTTTTAATAATAAAAAGTTATTATTAATAAGGAAATCGGCGATGTAGTCACATCCCTATGTTCACTCTGATGAAAACTATCTGTACTCTTTAACTATCAAATTGTTTGTTGACCAAAATATTTGCAAACTATAGAAAGGCTGATTGTTACCTGGAAAGTACCGATAATTTTCGGCGCAATAAACAATTCCTAGCGTCGCTAAGACGAAGTAAAATCCTCTCATTCAGCGAAAAATCAAAGGTCGGTAAGTTCTGAGCTGACAAATGACAGGATGTACAAGGGGTAAAGTAATGACCCGTGTTTTCAGTATTTGAATAGTGGAGAAACGACAATGGGCATTTTATACGGTGTTGCTCGTGGGGATAGAGAGCGCTCCGAAGAAATTTCTTTGTATATAAAAGCATCCTAATTAGTTTAAAGATCTGTGTAATCCACTTTCAAGAACAGTTTTATCCCACTCTCTTTGACTTTCTAGCTGATACTCTTCTGCGGTCAAAAGCGATTTCTTTACAAAAGTTCGAATCCTCGCTATCGTATTTTTGAATAGATGTAGAATGTATGGAACGTGAATATTCGACGTTCAAGGACTTCAAATAAGTTTGCTTACCCAGGCGTAAAAATTGCCCGAAACGAAGAGTATCACGATCCTTACACTGCAAGCTTCTGAATCAGAGGTTCTGATCTCGGCAACCCGTATAGAAACCTGAATCATGCCTTCTGTCTATGTCTTCCCATATTCATGCAAGTCTGATGATGCAAAAAATAAGTTCAATGCAACAATAATTAGATTAGACCTCTCAAATGGTAATTTTGGCCGATTTGATGCATTGGCGGTAAATAAATTTATGTCTTTATTCGGAGTTTATACAGAAATGGCGAAGCAGAATGAATAACGGTTTTTAAAATCTATCAATCGTAGAGAGCAGAGTACACAATGACGCTGATAATTTTCAATGATGCTGGTTTCGAAAGAAGGTGTCCGTGTATCTTCGATGATTAGGCAAAATGAAAGAAATGTTTATTGCACTGGAGTACAGTTTTTTGGCTCGTGATGTTGATCGTGGCGAAGTTTTTTGAAGTTTTTCGTGAATTTGGAATAATTGGTTGTCTTCCTTGATTTCGAAGGGTAAAGAAAGGCGAGAATGGAAGAAGGATGATAAGAAGCTGATTTCAATCGTTCAATGCGGCAAGAAGCGAGAAGAAATGGACTTGAAGAAACTAGAGTTCGCCTTCTGCTGCCTCCAGTGCCTTAAAATTCGTTTTTATTTCAACAGAAAAAATGAAAAAAGATGCTAGACATTATTCGTCGGCACAGAACAACCAGTGTATTAGATAGAAATATAAAGTTACCTTGATCATATTTTCCAAGACATTGACTTTTTGGCGTGAGTGTTTGAGCTGCAGTGCTGCATGTTCTTCAAGATTTTTGACAAAAGCTTCTTCACGATTTTTCTCAAATCTGACGAGTTCTTCTTTCCCCGCTGATGCTAGTTTATCTTTATGCTCCACAGCAGCCTTAATTCTAGTAAGAGGTGAAATCAACATTGTGCTTACTGTTTTTCGAGCTTCAAAGTGCTGTACATTCTTATTCTTGATCTTCGCCGCCTCAAGATCTCGATTTTTCCGATCGAGATCGTCAAGACTCTGCTGCCGACTAAAATTGTCTTCGGCTGAGATTACAGAGTTGCTGCTTACCGAATTAGAAGTTCTTTGACAGACTCTGTTTCCGCGACATAATATCGCATCAAATCAACCAGCTTCAGTTCCGTGTCTGAGCCCATTCTGCCTTCCCACTTTTGAATTTTTGGAAGATCACGGCAGACGATATTCAGACATCTCTCCAAAGCGATTTTTCGAGCTTCAGGGCTAAAATTTTTGTGATAATCCCAACTTGGTAGTCTCGAAGCTGTTAGCAGCTTCTTGTTGCTAGTAATAATTTCTTACTTTTTGGCCTCTGACGCCGCCATTCTTTTAACTTCGACCATGATCGCCATGAGTTCTTTGCTGATCAATCCATATTCTTTCGTAACTTCTTTTGATTTCCTCTTTCCATTGTCGATTCTTAGCTCGTATTCGTTGATAAAAACTCTGTTCTTCTCGAAAAATGGATCAGGATCTTTGACACGGTCGTTGAAAGCAGCTTGAATTGCCATTTCGCCCTTTCTCAGCCAACCAGTTAGCCGCTCTTTCGTGTTTTTACTTCTGACGTTCAATTCGCCATCGAAAGTTAGGAAGATTCGTAAATCATGATCGTTTCTAAAGAAAAGGATTGAGAAAAAGGAAAAATAATGAAGCAAACCTGAGAATTTTATGCTGGCAGATTCTGTTGAGGAAGATTTCATGTGTTGAGACTGCTTTTTTGAACTGGGCGAGGTACTTGTCTTCTAGGTCGGTCTAAATGGAGGTAAAGAGGGTTTTTTGGAAGGAGGATGAGTAAGGAAAGGGCTAACCTTGAGAAAAGCGATATCTTCTTTAGGAAGCTTTTCTTCTTTTTCAGAAATGTCGTGAAGCTGTTTGCTCGGTGAGGAAAAGTCGGGTTTCTGTGGCTTTGGCGGGATGAGATACCCTGCGTACATCTGATTCTCACTCAAAGAACTGTGCAGCCAAGAAAACTCGTGATGCGTTCTCTCAACTTTGAATTCGCGTCCTCTCGATTCTGTATAACTCTGAAGGTCGCTCTTGACTTGAATCTTGAACTTGATCGTCTCTTTTTCTGACACGGCGTCGGTGATCTGAATCTCTAGCTTTCCCTCAAGTGCTTGCTCCATCACTTTTTCCGACAAAGAATCAACTGGGTCTGGAACTGGATCACTTTCAGAATTTTCGATTGGTAGGTCGTCGTCGATAGAATCTGCCGCAGCGAGCATCGCACAAAAATTCTAGTGAAAAAAGACAACAGTTAGATGCTGGTGAGCTCGTGTTCCAAGGAATTGTTCCAAGATCTGCCTGTGGCTCAAAAATTTGAAAGGAGAAATTATCAAAGAAGGATCTTTAATCTCAAAGTAAGCTCCCTAACATGAATTCAATAAATAAAAACTCAACCCTGGTGTATACTTGGTAAAATAAGTAAGTTTGTTAAATAACTTCTCTTTAGAAAAGCTGTCAACAGTAAAAACCCCATGTGAACTATGAGAACTTATTAATTTTTATCAAAATGATGAAATATGTTTTCGGAGCCGCGATTCTCATGTCCTGAAGAGCTCGTTTCCTCCTTCTCAAAAACAACTTCTCTTGAACAATCGACCTGATGATCGCCAAGAAAATCGACCAAATGTAAAGATAAACAAGTAACAAAAAGCCCGTTACAAATAACTTCCAAGGAACTTCCCAAAATGGCCGATCTTTTGGAACAAAACCAAGCATAAAAAATGGAACTTTTGTGGATTTATTTTTCAGTGAGAAGTGGGAAGGCAGGGGCTGAATTATTGGACAGGGTATTAAATCAGGTGCGAAATTTATTCATGAAGACATTTTTGGGTCATTGAAGTGGTCGATGAAGAGGATTGTTGGGCGCAATCATCCGTGAGGCTTTGTGGGAGCTTTTCAAATAAGAATTCAGCTTGATTTTTAGTTTAGGGTCTGTAAGGTAGAACCCCTTCCTTGAAGAAGACCCGGAGCAATGGGATTCGCAGGGTTAGCCATGCCAAGTGCAGTTCCAGCAGCATACAGAGCTGTACCAGCCATATTATAGAATCCCTGGATGAATTTATGCTCGACTCTGAACATGTCTTCTAGCATCCTCCGAAAATCCTGTCGAGCTCGAATATCGACATTGAAGAATTCGCAGGCTCGTTGGACGAAATGTAGCGAGTTGTGAGTACACCAGTCGTAAGTTGAATGACTAAAGAAGGGGTGAAAAAGAGACTAGAGGTGTATTCAATGTTGATTCATCGAAAAGACGATATGTATAAGTATAGAATAAATGCTTTCATATTCTTACTTGAAGTCATCTTCCAATTGGTCAATTATTCTGAACCATTCTTCAGTCGACAAATCATTGAAACTTTCATCGAATTCTTGGGCAAGATTGAAACGTTCCCGAATATTAGGCTTGATGCTCCCTGGCTCTGCGAATTCCTTGATTGTCTTGTCGTACACAAATTCCGTGCCCTTGAAGACGATTGATGCGATTGCCGGGACTTCTGTATTGCTGCTCACTGCCGTCGAAGCGTTGATTGATCGATTGATGATGGTGTTGTTTGTCACGCCATTCTCGTATAGAATGACGTACACTTCGCTCGGAGAGAAGATAACTTGCTCCGAGGGAGTCGACTTTGAATTGCCCATTCTGAAGATTCTATTTTCAAAAATTCTTTTTTCCGATAAATGGATTACAGACTGCACTAAAGTAACAGTAATTCGTTCGAATACAGTTTCAATACGGGCAGTCAAAATAAGTTTTTTTCTTATCTTTTCGTTTTCGTTCACGCCAAATTGGCAATTTCAGCATGAGGATCAAAGTCAGGCATTTCGTCAGAACGGTCTCGTCGTTCGATCATCATCATAATATAATTGCGTTGATCGTAGTCTGTTCCTACATTGTGTAGTTCGGTGATGAATCTGATGAATTCTCTGGCACTTTTAACGGTCAAAAATGTGTCAAGTATTTTATATTAGAGTACATCAAGAAGCCGCTTGCGGCTTTGAGCTCAAAAGAAAAGATAAAGACGAGTAGAGCGCCACTCTTCCATCTTTAATAGAAGCCGCAAGCGGCTTCTCAATTTTGGTTTTATTCGGTCAAAGATCAATTTTTAACCGGACCTTTCTTGAAAACCACCAGCTCTTTCGACTAAAACGTTGATCGCCAGATCTCGACCGTATAACTTCTGGATGAAGAAAAATCGCAAAGTTATTGCAATTTCATGAAGCGTCCGGCCGAAGATTGGGCTCATCGTAAAGTCGAGAAGTCCCTCTTGAATAAGGTTGTCAATCTCTCGGCGAAGCTGTTGTATTTTTTCTTCACCATCATTGGACACTAGCGGGAAAAGACCAACGCGGGACATGACTTCTTCATACATCGGAAAATCTGCTTGTGGCACCGGCACAAATTCAATTTGAACAGCAGCTACTTCTTCCTCGTCTTCTATCTCTTCCGGGGCATCAACTATCGGTAGTTGATTCCAACCCTCGTCTTCTAACTCCTCCGGAGCATCAACTATCGGCATTGGATTCCAATCCTCGTCTTCTTCGTCCGATGAATGATTCTCTCGTTGCATCGGAGCTCGATTCTTATTGATCATGAACCCATTACATACCATCGCTAATCAGCTGGCAAAAGAAAAGTTCTACTTGATTTTATTTCAAATCTTTAAGCTAAATTTGTTTCTAAATTTGAAAACAAGCATATCTAGAACTCATGCTTCTCGAGAAGCCGCTTGCGGCTTTGGGTGAAACGAAGAATAAGCCACGCTGAGCGGGAGTAGTTTATTGTATGGTCGAAGCCGCAAGCGGCTTCTCAATGGTTAGGGTAATTACTTTATATCCTGCAAGTAAGGACTAATTTACGGGTGTTTTTTCAGGAATATTTTTGTTGTATTTTGAGTAGAATTGAAAGAGAAAGAGTGAATTGAAGAGCATTTACAGATAAAGAGGAGCAATAATTGAATAGTCGATTAGAGGATAAAGAAAAAAAGATACAATACTTTTCAGTCGTTTTCAGGTTCGGGAGAGGTTCATTCAGAGACATTGAGAATACAAGAAAGGGATAAGCCGGTTTAAAAGATCGGCGAAATGGGCCTGCAGTGACAAAGAAAAGAAAGCTGTATCACTGAAGAGTTGGAGCTGCCAACTTCCCAGGGGATCTTGGCTCGCCTGCCTACGTAGAAAACATGAGAGAAAGTCTGAAAGACCTCTAGAAAAGTCGCGTTCTCAAGAATTTATACAAATTACCAATCAAATCAGATTTGAGTGGTGATTTTGAGAAGCCACTTTGCGGCTACATTATTAGGATAGGCGCTCGGCAGGGGTGACCATTTGGGCAAAAAATTATCGTCGGGCCGACCAATTGCCCGCCCAATACCAAAAATCAAGACCCGGGCCGACCAAATGCCCGACCAGTCCAATGTGCCCAGAATGCCGGGCGATTGGGCAATTTTTCGGGCAAAAATTTTCCCGGCATTTCAGGCTTCTTAAAACTTTACTTTTTTACTTTTCTTTTAATAATTTGTTTCAGTTGAAGTGATTGAACGAATTTTAAGCAAAAAAAGGATCTTGAAAGGTTTGGAAAATATTTAAAAGGGGTCGAAAAAATAATTATGTAAAAGTTCCGTCCGGTTGTCAAGAATAGACAGCTAACCATAAAGGTCCACTTCACACACTCTTGCATAACCGTCTCGAACAAGGGGTTCAAAAATAAGGGATAAAAAGGATCTGGAGGTCAAGGGTAGAGTCTACCGTAGACAGCTAACCTTCAAGGTGCACTTCACAGACCCTTGCAGAACCATCTCCGCAAAAAAGTCGAGTTAACGGGGTGGATAATTTCATAAAAGGATCAGGAGGTCAAAGGTAGACAGCTAACCATTGAGGTCCACTTCACACACCCTTGCAGAACCTTCTCCTTATATCTTTTTTTTCTTTGCGAGCTTAACGACCAATAAGCGGGCAGGAAAACGCCCACATTCGTGATTTTCCCCGGTGGGCATTTGCCCAGCTGCCCAATGGTGCCCAACTGCCCAGAAAATGCCCAAATGCCCGACGTATCCCATGTTGCCCAGCCTATTTTCAGGCGTTGAGCCGACCAAATGCCCGCCCAAAAGCGTTTTTGCCCAAATGGTCACCCCTGGCGCTCGGCAGTCTTTCTAAAGATCTTTCAGACCCTGACTCGGGTTTTTTACACAGGTTGCCGAGCTCAGAGGGGGATTTATATGTGTAAGCAATTGGTTTAACTCGACTTTGAGCGAAATAAAGTACGAGTCAGTGACATCATGAAAAAATGGGAGGAGAAAACAGGAAGGAAAAGCTAAACGTCTTCATATTTGGGAAGCATTTTGTCTTGCTCAGTGACCGTTTCGTAGGAGGGCGGGGCGTCGTTGACGTTTTTCTTGGCTTTATCGCTGTTGACGGAGGGGATTTCTGAATCGACAACAGCGAAATCGGCGGCGGTGGCAAGTGAGTTACGAGCAAGCAAGTAGCGACGGTGGATCATCATTCGACGGCGTTTTACCATGACTAAGGTATAGAATGAGGAACAGAAAATAGGATCGAGAAGCCGTGCAGAGCCAAAAATTGGCCAGATGACGATAGGCGGAAGCTCTCAAAGATCTTAAAATCACTCACTTGCGAAAAGAATCATCAAAGAAATGAGGCAGCTGAAGAGAAGTCCGTAGATCATGAATGGAGATGCTCCTCCATTGAGTTCGTACTGGTAGTCGTAATCGTCGATTTCGTAGCCGATTTTTGTTCCATCAACGGAGACAACTGCTAGCCCGCCGTTTCTAAAAAGAAAAATAATAGGATCAATATTAGACCTGACGTCTCTACTTTTCAATAACTCGAGAAGCCGATTGCGGCTTCAAGTCAAATATAAAAAAAGCCGCGCGGGGATCATCTACTAAACTTTTTTTCTCAAAATCGCGAACGGTTTCTCGACATTTTAATCGTATAACTTCAAGAACTTACGTAATGACCAAATTCGTGCGGTCGTTAAGTCTGTACATATTTTCGCCAACGACAGTCATCGGAATTTTGTTTCCGTTCTGGTCGATTATGGAGGCGTAGTTGCCATTGATTATAACCGAGAGCCCCTGGTTTGGATCGTAGTAATCGTAGCTGCTGCTGCTCGATTCTGAAGATTCAGAGAGAAGACCGGTGAAGAAGGTGGAGGCCGAGTGCCAGATGTCAGTGCCCACTTCGATGGCGCCTTGTTTGACATGGTCCATGAATTCGTCAAACGTCTTTTTCCGTGGTTTTAAAAATTAAAGAGAGAAACAGAATAAACATCTGCAGATTGGGATAAAATGGATCTAGGGTCGACCAGAGGTCATTACAGTGGGCCACAGTATTTTTGATACCAATAAATCATGATTATCTGGAATTAAAAGCCACGCAGCCGCTTTACAAGTTAACCATCTTATTCAAATTTTACTACTCAACACAAAATTATAGCATAAAATATAAATTTCCAAATTTATGAGATTTTTAACCACTTTCCTCGTCGCTCATTTTCTTTACTCTATTTTCGTCCGATTAGTCTCTTATTTTTTATTCGTCTCGAAATCTCAGAGCGAATCAATGTTTTCAAATTTTTGTCAATTTTGTCTCGGAAAGCGCGCTTTTCGCGTCAGGAGGTGGAGAGCGGTGAGTCAGCCTGTGGGCGGAAAATTATTCGAAGCGTGAGAATGTCCTCCGCTGCGCGCTGGAGGAGCTTATTTTGCTGGAAAACAATTTGCTGGAAGACTTGATTTTATTTATTTCTTTCTATTTTTTTTATTTTGTTATTGGAAAAATTCTTCATCGAAGAAATCTTTTCAGAACTTATATAATAAATTTGACAAATTGAGAAAAAAATAGAGGTGTGTTATGTAAATTTACTTTTCTCTCAGTCTATAATTCGAAAATTGCGCCAAATTTAAAGATTGGATAGCTTTCATTCTTTTGCAGAATTTTCCAGGAGACGAAAGTTCGATGCAAATATTTTCCAAGTCCTGAAAAACTTAGCACCGCCAGGAAAGAGAAAATGTTGAGGGCGGCGAGAAGCCACTTTTGGGCGTCGGGGCTAAGGGCTGCTACCAAGGTTAGTGCTGAATTTATTGGGCTATTCTTGGGCTGATTTTGTTCATGAATAATTTCTACATTAAATTGCTTTGAAAATGAACTTTCTAGGGCGTCGTTTTCGACCTCGGAGGCGTCGTTATTCCATCCCCAACTCCGATCATCAAAGATTTCGAAAAGAAGATCAATTTGAAGAAGAACACCATCGTCAAATGTCTCATCAAAAATGGCGATGAATCTGCTTTCAGCGCCTTCGAAAGAGGAGAACTTCTCCCGAAAGAATTCGAAGCTGCTTTTGGGAAGGAACTTTCCGAATTTACCGGGCAGAAGGTAGATGTTACGGGCTTTGTGGAGTTCTTGGAGTCGAAGATTTCTGAACCGATTCCTGATGCGATTGAAGCTATTCAGACCTTGAAAAGCTTGGATTACAAAATCGGTATCTTGACAAACAACTGGAAAAACGACGATGGTCGGAGTTTCATCATGAAAGAGGACCTTTTTGACGTCGTTGTCGAATCTGCCAAGCTCGGGACCCGAAAACCCAACAGGGATATTTACGAAAAGATAATTTCTGAAATGGAAATGGCACCTGAAGATCTCGTCTTTCTCGACGATATTGGTAAGAACCTCAAAGTAGCGAAAGCATTGGGTATCCAGACGATAAAGGTAGAAACTGGAAAGCCGCAAAAAGCAATTCATGAGCTGTCAGAAATAATTGGGCGAGACCTGGTTGGCTGGCCATCAACAACGACTCCGCTTCGACCTGGATTGGAACTCGATGAAGCAAAGTTGAGACAACTTTTGAAAGAAAAGCTTGATCTTGAAGCGGATGAGCTAATTCTTCGGCAATTTGATCATGGTCAATCGAACCCGACGTATTACATCAAATACGCAGGCGAAGAGCTTGTTTTGAGGAAGAAACCTCCTGGTAAATCTTCTTTGATTTCATTTACCATTTCTGTTCCCTAGGAAAGCTTTTGAAGGGGGCACACGCTGTCGAGCGAGAATACAAAGTCATGAGCGCATTGGGGAAAGCAGGTGTTCCTGTACCGACTATGCGATGTCTCGTTGAAGATGAATCGATTCTCGGAACTCCGTTCTACATCATGGATTTCTCGAAAGGTCGATTGTTCAAGGACGCTGGTTTGGCCGAAGTTCCAAAAGAACAGCGAAAAGATTGCTACAAGGCTGTTATCGAAGCACTAGCAGCTGTTCATGACGTAAATCCTCTAGAAATCGGACTGAAGGGGTACGGGAAAGATAAGGGTTATCTTGCCAGAACAGTGAAGACATGGACTAAACAATATCGTGCAGCGGAAACCGAGGAAATCGAATCAATGGAGAACCTAGCCGAATGGCTGGGTGAAAATGTCCCTCGACAACAACTTCCACTTTCCGTCGTGCACGGCGATTTCCGAATGGACAACTGCATCTTTCATCCTTCCGAAAATCGTGTCATCGGTGTTCTTGATTGGGAGCTCTCTACCCTTGGGGACCCGCTGGCTGATTTGGCCTACATGTGCATGCAACATCATCTTCCATCAACAGGGCAGGGTCTTTCTGGCGTTTCAGATCTTGATTTGGAGGAAGAGATGATTCCAACGGTGGATGAAATTGTCGATTATTACAAAAAAGTTCGAGGGCTGAAGGTTGATTTTGACCTTGATTACTATCTGGCTTTTTGTTTCTTCCGATTGGCCGCTATCTGTCAAGGTTTGAGTTTCCTTAAATGTCCTTCACATTGGTTTTCCTTAAGGTGTTTACAAACGAGCTCTGCAGGGAAACGCGAGCAATAAAGAGCTAGGAATGACTTTCGGTCCGCTGGTTCACCTCATCTCTGGAATGGGAACGCATTTTATGGATCGATCAATTGAAAACAAAACCACCGTCCAAGAAGAGCTTCGTAGATCTAGCGAACGTCTGATAACCAGTCCAGACGAGCTCCGACCATTCGCCAAGCGAGTGTACAACGATGTCCGCGAGTTCGTCCACGAAGAAATTCTACCGAAAGAACACGAGCTTGGCGCTCAAGAATTCGACGACAAACTCAGATGGACTCAACCAACAATCATGGAAGAGCTCAAATCAAAGGCCAAAGCTGCTGGTCTCTGGAATTTGTTCATTCCTTTCAATATCGACGAAGACATGCGATATGGCAAGGGATTGACAAATCTCGAATATGCTTTTATGGCAGAAGAAATGGGGCGAACCCTTTTTGGTTCAGAACCTTTCAATTGCTCTCCTCCTGACACAGGGAACATGGAAGTCCTTATCAAATACGGAGAAGAAGAACACAAGGAAAAATGGCTCGAGCCTCTTCTCAATGGTGAGATTCGCAGCTGTTTTGGAATGACAGAGCCAGCAGTGGCATCTTCTGATGCGACGAATATTGAAAGCAGCATCGTAAAGGCTGGCGATGAATATGTCTTGAATGGAAGAAAATGGTGGACAACGATGGCTTTGCATCCACATTGCAAGCTGTGCATTTTCATGGGCAAAACGGACTTCAATGCAAAACGGTAAATGATGCATCAAAATGAACATTTTCTTAAATTTTCAGGCATGTTCAACAAAGCATGATTCTTGTGCCAATGGATTCTCCTGGTCTTGAAATCGTTCGACCGCTGACAACTTATGGTCACTACGATGCTCCAGGGGGACATGCAGAGCTGAACTTCGACAACGTCAGGGTTCCAGCAGAGAACCTTCTTGTTGGCGAAGGAGCTGGATTTATGATCGCTCAAGGTGAGATATTTTCAGAAATAAGATTTGAACAATTTCCAGGTCGTCTTGGGCCCGGTAGAATTCACCATTGTATGCGACTTATTGGACATTGCGAGCGATCAATTGACTTGATGAAAGAACGGCTAAAGAGTCGTGTGGCCTTTGGCAAGCCGCTGTCCGAGCAGGGAGTTTGGAAGGAGCGAGTTGGCATGAGCAGAGTTCAAACTGACCAAGCCCGGCTTATGACTCTTTTGGCAGCGCATAAGATGGACACTGTTGGAGCTAAAGTTGCGGCAAAGGTAAAACAAGGATTTTGAATAATGGGGCAGGAACAAAATTTTCAGGAAATTGCGATGATCAAAGTCATCGCTCCAAACGTCGCGCAAACTGTGATCGATCATGCCATTCAAGCTCACGGAGCCGCAGGAATGAATCACGACCTCCCATTCTCTGGAATGATGACTTGGGCGCGAGCTCTACGCCTGGCCGATGGCCCGGACGAAGTTCATCTTCAGGCGATTACGAAGCTTGAAATGAAAAAATAATTCTTAATTCTTGACAACTGACAAATCATTGTGAATAAAATCGTAGAAGTTATCTTTAATTGTGTCCAAGTTCTGTACAAATTGAATTTTCACGCTTCGAATAGGCTTTTCGCAGTTCTCGATATCTTCTCCGTCGTTTTCTATTTGCTCGGGTTCTGTAGACTTGAAAGGCTGCTGAGAGAAATAAGGTTACTAAAACATTCTTTTTGATGGTTTTGGGGAATCTTTTTCTACCCGTAATGAGGGAGCAGCAAATTAGAACTCCAAAGAGGTAATTTTTGATGTCTACCATCCCAGAATCTTATAAAATAGACATTATGAGTGTTTGATTCTAGAGCTTACCTAGTTGAGATTTCAAATCGTCGATTGAATACTTCAAATTGCTCATCTTTTTACTGATATTCTCTTCTCTTTTTCGTATTTATTTTTTTTTATATCTTCCAGTATTTTGAAAAATTCTGAGATCGATTTTGCTCCAGGCTGTCGTCAAAGTCCTTCAAAGAAAGAAAAGACGGGTAATCGATCTTGGCGGCGGATTTTCTGAAAAACGAGGTTTTATGTTCTTCCACCTGTCTCAAAGCCGAATATTTCTCGACTTGGTAAAGTAGTTTTTTAATTGTAAGTCTGAGAGCGCGAAATTATGAATGATGATAATAATATGCGAAACTCTCAGAGAATTATTGAAGCGTAAAATGAGTCGACTCGGATGTCTCGTAGCGTTATATTCTGTAAACTCATTTTTCATTGTTTAAAAATGATTTCGCTTACCAATCTTTCTCCATAATTCTCTCCTAAAAGCTCTGAAAATGGACAAAGAAAGAAAGTCGAGGAGAAACTTCTCCCACTTGATTCAGCTTCTTTTGTGATTGAAAAAAAGCGAGAGCTGCTTAGTTTAATCCCCAAGTTCATGTCCCGGTCCCCACGCCGTCAAATCTTTTACGCGCGGAAGTTAATAAAATTCACCTTTCTCAAGCTTTTTTTTTGACTATTTTATGGCTTGTAAGAAGTGACAAGGACTTTGGCTAAATTTATAAGTGTCGTGAAATTTTATTTGTTTTTTTAGGTTAAATTTTGAGATTCATCTCTTCTCCAAACGGACGATATTCTTCGCCAACTTTGATCATTGCATTGTAGTACTGGATTTTGCCTTGAATAAAGGATCTCATCTTCAGCGCCCGGATGAAGATTATGATGCTGAAAAGAAAGACTCCAAGCGAGACTTTTCCATGGGTCTTTTCGTATTTTTCTTTACATTGTATTTGCTAGAAAAGACCCGAGTCCTATTGGCAGAGCGATAAGATAAGGATACAGCCAGATGTTCTTCTTTGTCGAGTCATCATCTCTTTCAAAAGAAATGACGATCTTTCTTGTCTCGTTTGGAGACCAAAGTTGCAGGCTGGAAAACAAAGCACAGATAGAAATCAGGAAACAAACGCTAGAAATCTGGGATCAAGGTTTTAATGCAAATTGAGTGATACCTCGTAAGGAGCCAACAAATAGAAGGCCTTACAAACGGGTCGTGAAAAACGCTCGGAATGGTGAGAAGATTCCTTTCGTACTCGGCTTTTAAATTTCCAGTGGCTTAGTTGATGGTTTCTTGCTGATTTTTTGTTCTTTTCGCTTTGAAAACAGCGTCGTTTCAAAACCAAATTCCTGTTAGTCTTCTATCCCAGTGATGTCTCTCGCAATAGCTCTGAATACTCACTGCTCTAAGTCTTTTCAGTCTTTCTTCATCCATATATTTTGGAAAGAAGCATTTGAAACAAAAAGAGGGATCTGTCTCCTGCAGAGATTCTCTTCCTGTGCGATGGATCTACTTCGAAGCTTGATTTATGACGCGCAAAGAGTCCGTGAGACTCATTCTAGCGCAGAAACGTCTTCTGTTGAGTTATTTTGGAAAGCTTGATGAGGAGCCGAAAGGATTGAATTGATTGCTTCAGGGGCTTTCTCAGGAGAAAAATTTTACTTTCGAAATATTTACTGTCATTTTTCTACTAAAATTAGAATTAGCACTTATCGAGGAAAATTTATGCAGGATTTTTTCTTAGCATCCTCAGATATGACGCCAATATTAAAAGATAGCCGTATAAGTACAAGGCTGATTATTTTAATTTCGAAATTTTCATTAGCAATGGCTCGATGATTCTATAAATCAATGATTCTTCTCATTGAATATATTAAAATTCGCTTCATATAAATGGCTCGATATCATATTCATTCATCAAAATGAAATTTTCAGTCCTCTTCCATGTCGTCGCCTCCCTCAAACCAGATTATTTTGGACAAAGTCGCTTTGTAAATAATTTACTTTACCGCGCTTACGAGAAAACTAAAGCAAATGACCACGAAAATGATCTTGAAGCAAAAAATTCGATTTTCAAGAGGCAAAAACAACGATATAAATCGTTCAATATTTGTTGGTGGTAAAATTATCTATAACATGCTTCAAAGTTCTCTTTGTACTTTTCCATTGAATAAATGTCGATCGCTATTTTCAGCCGTTTATTGGTTTTTTAAGGACGAATTAATAAAAAAGAAGATTAGGTAAATGAAGTTAGTTTCTTTCACAAATCCAGCCATGAGGAAGCTTGTTTCCATCGGTCTCGCAATCTTTGGTGTTCATCAAATTACCCCGCATTCTGAGACATTCTGTTTCCCCAGGTCTATTATGCGGCGGCGAGGAAAGCCAATTGGTGTGAGTATCCCATCTTCTAAAAATCTCTTTTTCGGTCGATCCATCTACTGCTTCATAGACTCCATCATCGACTGCAATTTCATCCGTATTCGCGGTATATTTCGCGCCAAGCCAAAATCGCTTGTTTGAGCAATTCGTTCCCTTGACAAGAAGATCGAACTCTTCTTCTGAGTTCGGCACAGCCAGATCCCAGCCAGCTCCTTTTGAAATGCAGTAATCTCGGGCATCGTTCCAGTTTCTCCCGTCTTCAAGATTTTCTGGCGCGTAGATTGAATAGTTTTCAAAATCCGAAGGATCAATAGCTTCAGGCTCGCAAAACTCGATGAAATTATGCTGCTCGCAGGCAAAAGCATAATTTTCAGCGCAAAAAGAATCATGAAATTTTCCACTTTCATAAATCACACATTCCTGGCCTTCTTCATTCGGCTCACCACGATCCCATTTCGGCTCCCATTCTGGCTCCTTTCCGAAGACCGTTTCAAGTCGCCCACGTGACCCAGGAGCAATCGTGTCAAACTCTTTCCATCCCAACAAGAATGCTTTATTTTCCCAGCAAGAATCGACCAGAACTTCTTTGAGATACGTTAGCTCTCGTTTCGTGTTGATGATCATCAAGTTCCAGCCCTCCCCTAGACTCATGCATTTTTCTTTTGCTTGTTCGAAATTTTTCGCTTTCGAGAAGAATTTGTAGCGACCGTAGCTATTTTTCAGCTCTCCAGAGCATCTGCTCAAAAATTCAATCTCTCCAGCGACTAGAGTCGGCAGAAATATTTTCATCGTTTTTTCTCTAGAATTCTCGTTTTTAAGTCTTGGCCACGGTAGATTTTAACGTTAGTTTTTTCTTATGGCGCTCATGAGAAGCAATATTCATCCTCGAGGGCTCAGATCGTGCCTCTTTTTGACTGGTTGGTTTGATTGTACATTCATTTGAACTTAACAGAGGGGTTTCGATGATTTTGAGTTTATATGTATACTATGTACAGCTAGAAACATGATTCATGAACTTTAGGACGAAACTATAAACAGGATTTTTACAAACTTTTTGGCAAATTTCGTAAAAATGAAATCAAAATTTTCAATTTTAATTTCTCGGTTTTCCCTTGTAGTTGATGCTCTTCTTTTTCTTGTTGAATCGGATTCGGGAAACGAGAGAGTCCTCATCGAGTTCTCGGTTTTCGAAGTTGCCTTCAATGAGCTGAGCTTGTTGGCCTGTTCTGGTGATGTGCATAGAGGGCTGGAAGCATTGGTGTTTTCTTTGATGACCAGTCCAGAAGACGAGTTCGGGAAGGTCGTTGACATTCAATCCTTCGGCGACGAAGGCGACAGAGTATTTGTCGTGAAGATCGGTATTCCAGTGTTTACTAAATTCGGTAAAGCTGTGTTCTGAGAAGTATTATCTTACCTGTGGATGAGAATTTCATATCCGCCGTTGTAGAAGTTCCAGAAGTTCATGTTCCAGAGCTGGAAGTGACCGTGGTTGACCCGATCAGAGAATCGGATAAGCACGGAGAAGGAAGTTTTGCTATCAATAACAGCTTGTGGGACCTTGATAAGACCGACGAATCCGTATCGGACAGGTCGACTCTTGCCATTACCAATCTTTTTCGGGCTGTCATTTTATAACACTTAATTTTTACCGAAATTTCGAAATGAAAATTTTTTAAAATTTCTTTTGTAAATCAGGCCCTTTCCTTCCACTGATCAACGATTTGAAGTCGAGCGCTTTCGGCGCATGATTTTGGCTTCGCACATCCGCTTGGTAGCGTATTCCATGGGAGAATCAAGGAGTTGTGCTGGAGAAAGAATGAGTGCGTGAAAAAAAATGCTCAATTACCTTGCATGGGAGGCAATCTTCACTTTCTTTTGGCTCAGGAATTGGGGTGTATTCACAAATGACAGCAGATTCAACCTCAACATCGCAGTCGGCAGAGTAGTATTCTCCACCTCGCATGGTAACGCATGCGTTTCCGCAGATTTTCTGAGTGTTGATAGGTGCCCAAGGTGCAAAACCTGAACAAAATTAAAAACTGAAATTGCCAGCAAAAAGTTACCGATCATGGAGCTGACTTCATCATAGAGCGTCTCTCCACTATGAGTCATGCCGGTCCAATAGCTGTAGCAACCGCCAAGTTTCTTGTTGATTGATCTTGATTCTTTCTCATCATTGATGATGGCCAAGCTCCATCCTTGTCCGTAGCTCTCACAAACAGCTGCCGCAGAGGCTTTGTTGTAGTTACCGAGTCCGACGACTTTCAAGTCCTTATCATCGACGACGTTGAAGCTAGCACCATCATCGTTAGCGCATGGAACGGCTCGTTCACAAACCGCAGCAGGAGTGGAATCAGCGTATCCGTTTGCGGCGAGGAGAGCAGTTACGTAATCAGATTCTCCGTCGAACTCAGTCCATCCATCACCGATTGAGGAACATGCAACTCGCTTGTTTCTTGCATCGCCAAGAGAGTTGAGAATAGCATATCGATCACCAACAAGGCCCATCGTTGGTTCGCAAGGGTCTTCAGGAATAGTTTTCTCGCAAATCCAACCGTGTCCGATGTCTTTTCCGGAAGTTTCGCAGTTTTGGTCGTTCATCAAGTTTCCTCGCATTCTGATGCATTCAGTGACGCCAGGCTTGTTGTTTGGATCTGGGGACTCCCAGTTGGTGTGAGTGTCCCATCGGCGGAAAATCTGCTCAGCGGCGGATCCATCAACTGCAAAATACTCTCCATCGTCGACGGCGACTTCATCTGTATTAGCGGTGTAAGTAGCGCCAAGCCAGAATCGACTCCATGAGCACTGGGTTGCTTGGACTAGAAGGTCGAATTCGGCCTCAGTGTTTGGCACAAACAGGTCCCAATTGGCTCCCTTTGCCTGGCAAAAAGCTCGGGCGTCGGCCCAGTTTTTACCCTCAGCGGGAGTGGCTGGTTCGTGGATCGAGTAGTTTTCGATTGCTGCAGCTTCGACCGAAACTGGTTCGCAATCCTCGATATAGTTGTGTTGTTCACAAATGTATCCCATTCCGATTCGATCGCGCTTGACGCCCGACCAGTACTTTGAGCATGGAGCGTCGTTGAAGTCTCCAAGTCTGTATCTGATGCATTCTTCTGCTCCTTGCGCGTCATTTGGCTCATCTGTCTCCCACTTCGGCTCCCACTCTGGGGTCTTGCCAAAGACGGTTTCGAGTGATCCTCGAACACCTGGAGAAACTGTGCCGTACTCTTTAAATCCGACCCACCAGGCTTCATGGGCCCAGCAAGAATCGTCCATCACTTCTTTGAGGAATTCCCACTCTCGTTTCGTATTGATTATCATGAGATCCCAGCTGTCTCCGAGTTCTTGACAACTTTCTCGAGCGGCAGTGTAGTTTTTCGATGATTCGAATTCTTCTGTCGGCGGTGCTGGATAGAATTTGTATCGTTCGTAGCTGTCCTTAAGTTCTCCTGTTCCTTCGCAGACTTCAGCGGTTTTGGCGCAAACAGCTGGTGCTTTCTTCGGCTTCTTGCCCTTCTTTTTGGTGAGATCGGAGTTGTACCAGTCTGGCTGATCCTTGTTATTCAAGAGAATCAGGTATGGTTTTCTACTGAGATTCTTGTGACCACTGATGTATTCAGCGAGGCCATCTGTATCAGCTCGAGTAATTGATCCTTGCCCCTCTTCACAACCAACCTAAGAGAATGGAATTAAGCAGGTGAGTTTATTTGATCATTTTCTGAACAAAAAAGAATCCTCATGAAGGACCTTAATGATGCAGGCAACAACTGGGGCTTAGATTTTGATGCTCTCAGGTGAGGTTTAGAGGGTACTTTCTCAATGGGGTAAAATTATTTTTATTGAAAGAAAAATTATTATACAAAAAATATAAATAAAAAAAGACTTAGATAAAAAGTAAGGATTCGGCACGATATGTCAATTTTAGGATGGAAAAATGTATTTCTCAAAACGACATTTTCCCAAGTACTTACGACAGCATCTGCAAGTTCTTTGTATCCTCTCGTATCAGGAGCAAAAAAGTCAACTTCCGCAGCCACAACAGCCGGGAGAAGTAATTTAACAAAATCTCTTTTTACCATTTTATTTCAAATCGTAAAAGCGAGTGAATGAACTTTCCTGCTGCAATCGACGGTGCGTTTATCGTACCTGGCGCTGGTGTGCGCCGCCGCGTAATTTTGCGCTCCACCTCAAACTCGCCACCTAGAAAGACTCCGCGCTAGAAAAAAAAGTTGCATGCGCTGGTGATAACCTTTGCACTTTGAGACGACGTGGAGCTAATAACTCCTTATGGAGCAGATGGACAAGATGGTATCTTTGAAATTTGGCTGCCTAAATCAACAAGTTAATTAAACAGATAAGGGGATCGCCAACCAAAATTAGCTGAAACAAGGTTTTTTCAAAAAGTTACTCGAATTCCTCAAGTCATCGTTGGCGTTAAGTTGAAGTTCTATCAAATTCATTTTCTGACGACCATGATAGTCTATCATTGATAGAATAACAAATTAATAAGCAAAAGCCGCAAAGTGAAAACACCACAATCGCATCTCGAGGAGCTCATCAACTTGGCGAATTCGATTGAAAATTCGTGTTTCTGCGCCCGTTCTCTCAAAACGAGATCAACGTCGAATTTAGTTAGCCGTTTTTTCTCATGGCTGGGGCAGAGAAAAAAGTTCTCTCGAAAAAGGCAACGGCGCCTTTGAAGGATGAGGAAAAAACCGGCAGGAGGAAATCGACGGACAAAGAAAATGCTCATCTCACGTAATCTAAATAAAATTGGTTTTTTTAGGACCCCCCCCCCATAAAGAATTGCGAAAATGGGCCTCCTAGGAGCAATTTTTTCTCTGAAACTATCTTTGATACACCCTTAATTTCAATTTAAACTTTTTGAACCAACCCTTGACTACAATCATTTTCTTTATGATAATCTCTCGATCAAAAATTTAAGGATATATAGGCCGTTAAAGGTCAGGTTCCTAAGAGCAAGATTTTTCGGGTTTTTAGTTGAGGGAAACCCTTAATTTTTTTTCAGGAGAAAGCGAAGGCTCTGAGCTACAACCGTTCGTCTAACCTTAATTTTACCCGAAAAGGGGATTTCAAAAAAGCTCATTTAAAAATCAAATTGAATATTTCTTTAGAAAAGCTGAAACATGATTATCTAGGCCGCGAAAAAACACCAGCGCTCTAAAAAAGCACCTATCGGAGACGCATTTTTAAAACACTTTTAAACCTCATTTTATCAAAAATGTTTTGGCATGGTTTGACTGTATCTCGGTTTTGATGACTTTAGCGTGTGGTTTCAGGCGGCAGAAAAAGCGAGAAAAAGAGGCGAGGAAGAAAAATCTCAAACGTGCCAGAGCGGCGAGCCTGGGAAATGCCTTTTCGGAAATTGAACAACTTCTTGGTAAGAAAACCTAAAAAACTCATAAATTATTAAAAACATGGGGCCGAAATGTCCTTAATAGTTCGATGTGTATTTTGAGGAAATGAAATAATAAAGACCACAAGAATCTTATGCGTCAAAAAAGGAGGAATAAGGGTATCACTTTATTATTTTGGTGATAATTCTCGAGGATTTTGGAGAATTGCTCATAATTCTAAGAGTAAAATTTCGCAAATTAGGGATTCTCCGAGATCCTCGAGAATATTTCCAAAATAATAAAGTGATACCCTTATTCCTCCTCCTTTTAGTGGCATGAAATAAGGGGCACAGATCCAAATTAGGGTCGAGAAAATCCATTTACCAGAGGAATCCAGCCCTTTTGAAGGATTCTTTATATTAAGGGTGTCACTTTGTTAAAATTCGAAAATACGTTTTCTGGATTTCTACAGCCTAAAATCAAATATCGTGTATTGATCACCAAAGCAGCAATTTAAGCGTTTACGGTAAATCCTCGGGCGGATCAAGAAGAAGATTCCGAGGAGGTGACGATCGAGAAAATTGAAGAATGCCAGGAAATGTTGAAATCGTTGCGCTCCAGGTTCGGCCGCGTTTTAATTTAAAAATTGGACCTTTTCAGACCTTGGCCGATGACGAAGAAGCTCCAAGTTCTTCAAGAAAAACGGGCGGTTCTACTCAAATTTGAGGGAAAATTGTCAAAGAGAGGGCAGCAATGGGAGGCGATCAAAAGAAGCGTTCAGAATATGAAGCGATCTTATGACAACTTCTTGACCTCGCTGGTCCCGTGGGATAGCCGAATCAAACGAGTCGAGAGTTATTTTGGCTCCTCCGTTACTTCGTTTTTCACGTAAGCTTGATTGCCATAAACTCGGAAAGTTGGGTTTCTCGTTTGATGTTTTTTGTTATACCGCGCGTAAAGTGAGTTATCTTTAGAAAATCGAATGTTAACCGTATCAAATTAGCGTTAGATAACGTGCCTCATTGAAACCAAGATCCGCCTCAAATATGACACAAAGCGCGAACTCTTGCCCTTTATTTGTCATGTGACACTTTTTCGCAAAAGTTACATTTACGAAGAGGATAATCTGCTCTCTCAGAACGTCAAAGTGGACGGTTGAGATGAGTGGATACAGTTTCAACTGCGGTTCTGTTCTGAGAATAAGGGGATCCCAACCGATGTCAAAATTTTGGCGAAATCGTTGTAGACACCCTTAAGCCCGAAAAAAGGCGATCTTCTTGCTCAAATAAGGGTGTCATCATGTTAATTTTGGATTTTCAAAACGTAATTCTCGATTAAAAAAATAAACGAGAGACATCCTTATTTTCTAACTTCTATAAAGAGATAAATTTTAGGCTCCTCCGGTGGCTTTGCTACATCAACGTCTGCATAAGTGTTTTAACCATCTCCTTCGTTACCGTCCCAGAGGAAGGAATTCCGAATTAGAACCATGTTTATTCACAACGCAACAAGGCTCCTTAAGTTAAGGGTGGGCCATGTTTTGTGAGCAAAACATTAGCAGGCGCGTATTTTTTTCTTTAGGAAACGTGTAGCGGGTCATTTTTGAGACGAGAAATGACTTAAACTCTGTTGTAGCGCTAAACAAAGCTGTTGGGTGAAAACCGCAAATATACGGACTTATATTATAGCGCAAGAAAAAGTCATTTTTCTAAAAAAGATTTTTGCTTTTTTGAAAAGAAAAATGTAGATTGCCAATTTTCATAAATAGCTGGAAAAAATTCGTTAGACATTCTGAACAAAGCTCCTGATTGGTGCTTCGCAAACAGAGTTACAGTATAAAAGCATGTCTGCAAACGAGCCAGAAGACTTTGTCGACCGAGCCTGGGATCTTGGAATGGTTTGGGGCTTTTCCGGACAGGATTTGGTTCATTAAAGATTAGTATCATCCTTTCGATCTATCTCTTTAACGATGATTTTGTTAACACAAGAGATAAGATTTAAAACACGCTGACAGGATTAACCCCGGAATCTGCTCAATCGTTATTTATGCACGTCGGTTTAAAATATTTTTAAGCCACGTTCTAGCAAACTGCTCAGAATTGAGCTATTTTTGAAGCTGACGATTCAACGGAGATTATTATTAGGCGCCTCTGAACAATTTAGAAAACAGTGATTATGCACAGTTGAGAATGATAAACGCTTGGGTTCCTGGTTTATCGAGGCTTTTCCTTATGGAGGGAAGAAAGCCTTTATCAGCGGGCTAGAGGGTTTGTTCATTACGGAAATAATAATTCATAAGACAAATTTGATAAAAAATGTTTCTTAAAAAAAGGATATTTTAGGGTCTATGAAAATTTCCTCGATAAATTTTTTTGTTTTGAATTTTTGCAAAAATGTACCAAATTTTGGGTGCTTACTGTATAATATAATATAATATAATATAATATAATATAATATAATATAATATAATATAATATAATATAATATAATATAATATAATATAATATAATATAATATAATATAATATAATATAATATAATATAATATAATATAATATAATATAATAAATCTGGTGAACCAAAAGAAAGCTGAAATATTCGTACCTCTTTTATGGCTTTTATACAAATCAAACCTACCGAAGTATGGCGAAATTCACCCATAAGTTTAATCCCTCCATTTTACGCGAACCATAGTAATTTTCTAGCGATATGGATTCTAAAGGCTATCGCATCCCGCTGGCTTATCTTCTTTGCACTGTTGGAGGACTGATAAGCGCGCTGAAAATTGATAAATTAATCAATTAAGCTCCGATGGAGGACTTTAAGTTCCATGAGTTTTATCATCCCCATTTTCAGCGAAAAAGAACATTTTCAGCTTTTTTGTTTTGCTCAAGGAAATGACTCGAAATTCCCGACTCGCTGGTTCGACTGGCGGTGACGATGACTACGATTTCAGCTGGAAAATTTTTACTGCTTGGGACTACATGATCGTCAAGGGATTTTCTCAGAAGTAGAGTTTGTTCTTCGAGACCAAGTCGAGGTTTGAGGCAATCAGGAAATTCCATTCATAGCTAATCCGGAAACCGCTGATAACAAAGTTGCCTCAATCGCGACCGTAGTTCGGGAGTCGATTGTGGATGATCAGGTTAGAAAGAAATGGCAATTCTTCTTTCTATATAATCGAGGCAATCATTCAAGTAAAGAACGTTAAATTACTAAATTTAATAATTAAATTTTATAGTTAAATCAATTATCTCCTTTGAAAAAAAACAAAAGTTAAATTCTACGATTGAAATGATTATGGTTTTAAATTTCTGTTCGTTAACATGATTATTTACAGAATTTTTTTCATAACGATAAAAATAGTCAAACACCATAAAATCTTAAAAGGCTGGATTCTTCGGATTTCGTTTTTAAATCCTATGGTCGAATCAAAATATTAAATATGGTCATTACACAAAGTAGAAGTAACTATCACTATTCATTTCAGGAAAAAGAAAATGAACTGAGCACAAAAGAAAAGCGAATACTCCTTGGTAAGTCACCGAAAGAATAACCTATTTCCTGAAATCAGCGCTCTTGGATTTTAAGTGCATTCTAGTGTTATGACGTGCTTTGAATTCACCCGGAATTTAAATTGAAATAAAATGGCCTCAAGTATACACGAGCGTTATCTCACTTCCTGATTGAAGGATCGTAAGGTAACGCTTTTTTAGTTCATAAACTCTAATGCTCCGTAAAAACATAAAATTACATTTCATTTTAAATTTTTACGCAACGTGGTTTTTGCCAAAGATCTTTCTTTTTAACTAAAGCAGAAACCTTACCCCATTATCAAAAACCAAGAATATCTGATTAGAAATTTAAAGTATAGTTCCTGTCAAAAAAACCTCTAAAAGGTATTGACCGAATCATTTTTTTGGTTTGTTTCTATTCATTTTTATGCGATCAATCGCTGCTTACATGACATTGGAATCCGTTTTACGTCAAAATATCATGATTCTAGCTTTAGAACCTCCGCCCATCCATCAGCTGCCATTATTTTTCTAAGGACGGCCAAGTTGAAAAAATGATAATTTTGCTGATCGAATTTTTAGCGATGCGAATTTTGGCGAATATTCTGGTTTTGGCGATTATTGCTGGGTCGATTGCGCTGATTGTTTGGAGGACGATGGCGTCGACTCTTTCTCTCTCCGGAATGGTTTTTTATAATTTTATAAAAAAAATTAAATCATTAATTAAAAATAATTCAATAATAATTCAATAATAATGAGAGAAAAACCATACTCTTCAATTTAGCGAATAAAAAGAGAAAGATCCAGTTTCATTTTGTTGAGAATTTTCATGTTTCATTAATCATCTCGTAGATTCTTCATTTATTTTATCAAATTTTAACGCATTTTTTTATTTTCAAAATCATGTTCTCTTATGTCCAACTCTCCAAAAACGGGTCTTCAAATAAACAATATCTCCGCAGGAGACCCTTTTTGTATTCAAAAATGCTCTTGAGTAGATGTTTTTCTAGCTTGTTTAAAATAAGTGCTGAACCTGAACCTAAAACTGATGGTTAGCAAATCAACGCTATCATTAGAAGATACGACAAAAACCTCATAATAAGACAACCACGACGATCCGACCAAATCCCCGAAACAACAAAACACAAAGACGAATTGGTTCCAGCAAAACGAGCTCTCACTCGTGATCACGGCCATTACCATGATTGCCCCGTCTCTATTCGAGTTTGTCTCGTTGATGGAAAAGTACCACCCGCGGACTGCGCTGCGAATTCAGCTCGGTCGGCTGCTGCTTTTGTACATTGACAAGGTCACGACTTGAATCGCTCTTTAGAGTTTTTTTCTCAGCGAATTTGATGTCTAAGTGATTGACAATCATGACATAGTGACCAGTTTTAAGCTTCCGCTGCTTCCATGTTGTATGGTTTTTATCCGATCGTCAATGCTAATAATGGATGCTGGGAGACGCAGATTGGACAGGAAATGCTCAAGTGAAGGTCAAATTAGTCGATTTTCAATTACAAAATGGCTCGAAAAATCGCAAAAAATGCCAACAAAGTTTTTGACCTCTTGAAGTTGACCATTATCGACCTAATCGTCACTATCGCTGCCATTCTCGTCATCGACTTCTTCCGCGCCCTTTTTGTTCGAACAATGAATTGGGACTGCTGTTCTTGGGACATGGAAGCCGGCTGGCTTGGGTATGGTGAATTTAAAATTGCGGAAAATGTTCTGGCTCTCTGCAACAATCAAGAATGGGTTCAAAAAGTTTGTACAAGTGCTGATTAGGCACTTGAATTGCCTTGTATAAACGTTGAAGCTACATGCGCTTCGTTGATAAGGGTCTATCTTAAGGGCGTGTCTTTTCAGTAGTTTTTACTATCTCATGTCTCGAAAGCCAGCTTTCTAGCCTAGCAGACATTCTAACCCAAAAACCAGGTAAACTTTCTTCCTCCTTCCGTCGATTAAAAAAATTCCCCAGCTGTAATTTGGATCGGCGCGTTTTTCTGCCCGCTACTGCCGCTCATCAACGTCTTCAAGTTGACGATAATTTTCTACGTTCGATCTTGGGCCGTCCTCACGTGTAATGTACCGATGGAGCGCGTTTTCCGAGCGTCCAGGTAAAATTAACGAAATCGTGATATTTTCGGGATTTGGACTGCTTGTTTTCAGGTCAAATAATTTCTACCTGGTCTTGTTGATGATTATGCTGTTTGTTGCGATTGTGCCGATCTTTTATGTCATTTTTAATTTGACCCCCAGGTAATCAAAATATATCAACAGTGTCAAAAAGGTTGCCCCGTTACAGTAGACTGCCTGAAATTAGTTTGACAAAATTAAGGGTGTCAACATCGATGGAGGGACTATCTTCTAAATGCCTCTTGAAAAATCGATGTTGACACCCTTAAGTCCATTTTTTAGCCATTGTGGCCCCTTTGGCGGGGCAGAAAAAGTGCACCACATCATAATCGACTTTTACCAAAACGACATTCCACAGCGAATCAGGCCCCAGTAGCTCTCAATAATGTTGCTTAGGTTGAGCAAGTTGAGCTAAGAGCTTCCCGCGAGTCCTGGTTAGAAAGATTCTCGATCTTGTAATCTCACCCTCGATCATGATCCCAGCGGTTTGCGTCATGATCCTGGTTATTTACTACTTGCAGAGTCTTGCTCGAGGAGCTAAGGAACAAAATGCGAGGCTGAAATTACAGCTTCATTATGAGCGAAACGAGGGAAAACGAGTTATACAAATGAAAAATGCTGGCAAGGAAAACGTTTTGCAAAGAAGAAATTTTCAGTAAAGTTTATTGTCTGTGAACCCTAGTAGTAAAAAATCGGGTTAGCAATGTTCACTTCCTGAGGACACGTATACACCCGTCTTCAAAATTACGCTACCACGGATTACATAAAAACATGATAGGAGCTCTCTCCATTAATCTCCTTGACCAACCCTCTTCTATTTTTTTTACTAAACGTCTGAACAGGATAAAACGCCAGAAGAAACTCTGGACTCGAAAAACCGCGACTCGAAGTCAAGAAAGTCAAAAGTAAAAACATCGACATCTCGTTCCTCAATCAGGTACAAAAATCCGCCTCAGCAGGAGCCGCAAATCGAGATAAGACAACAGGCCTCGATCATCTTTTTTAGAAATGAGGTGGATCAACCAAGCGAAAGCCAAGCAATACAGGAGGAAGAGGCAGCTCAAGTTCAAAACGAAGCTCCAGCGCCAGGAAGAGGGGATGATGTTAATGTAAATGAGCCCGCATTTTTTGACAAGTGGGCGATTTTAAAACTAGCTTTGATGATGTTAGGTCATTCTTTCTTTTTCCACGCGATTTGAAATTCTTTAGCTGGAAGCTATTTTTTGTCAGATTTGAACCGTTTTGTTTGGCATATTCAAGTGCAACCTCAATAAACATCCTTTCGAAAAAGCGCCAACAAAGTCAAACTCATACATGGAGCTCCTCAAGATACGGTTTTGAGGCACTCGTAACTTACACTTTAAACACTACGGAATGTAGCATTATCCAACTTGCGGCGCCACTTTTGTAGAAAGCCACCATATGTAAAGGTGCACTTCTTACAAAGAAGAAAACGTTGATACTTTGTAAAGTTGCATGAAGCATGCTGAATGCAGCTTTTTGCACTTTGCAGATACGTTTTATTTAAGAAAAAATCATCATATTTTTTCTTGTCAAAAAAAAAAACGCATTTTTCGTGACAACTCACGAAAAATTTGATTTTTCGACTTTTGATCAACATTTTTAATTTTCTTTATTTTTTTTAATTTTGTTTTTTAAAAACACTTTTGGATTTCTAAATTGTTTTCTAAGAAAAGACCCCCTTAAAACCTAAAGAACTCTCCGAAAAATTCTTCCAGCACTCCGGAAGGGATTCGAGTCTTGAATTAATTTTCTCTCATAACATCCTCGAAGCCATTTGTTCAGATAATTGATGCTCAGCCTGGCCCTTCCCGTCATCGATCTGATAGTTTTATGTCAACTGCTAGAACGATGCCTTCTATCGCGAATCTAGCCGGTAATCACCAAGCCCAGAATCTTGGTGATGGGAGGAGGGCGAAAACGACTAGTAGGACTCGATTAGGAACGAGCTTCATTCCCTCCCCCTTTCCCTTTCTTCCTCCTTAGAAAACTTGTCTCCCACCTTTAACCTTGACCTTGGAGAAAATACTCCTTTTCTCTTTGCAGAATTGACAATTATGCATTTGAAAAGCTAATCCCCTGCTCCCCAAAACATAACCCAACGTGGTATTATACAAAACTCGCCGCATGGAAAAGTAACGCAAACCCCAACAAAGATAACGACTGTCTGCTCACGAGTCTTACTTTTGAAGAATTGCGAATCTCATGAGAACCTGAGCATTTACTATCTAATCTTTCTAGTGTGCTACGTAAGGGGAAGGAAAAGTAAATTCCGCCGATTGGAGCGTTATTCAAATTATTTTTATCTCGGTCCGGAATTATGCCCTGAGCCTATGAAGCTGTAGAAAGAATCAAATGATACAATGATGAATTCGGAGTGCGACGAGCTCCTGAGCGAAATCCTCAGCCATCCATCTTTGAACGCCGCCTCTTCCGTAAACGCCGCAAATCTGCAAAGGTTCCGTTCAATAAGCGGTTGTTGATGATTTTCAAAAATTATAGCTCGGAGGAAGAAAGCGAGTCCGAAAGCGGCCTCTTCCTGGCAAGCGAGACTCAATATCCAGGAAGGAACGGAAGTCGATCCAGACATGGTACTCTAAATATTTTGAGATTGGGGGAGATCAATAACGGCGGATTCAGGGAAACCGAAATTGTCGCTTTTGAGAAGGCAGAAGGCGGAAATGAAGGCACAGATGCAAGATTTGCGGGCGAAAATTTATCAGAATCAGCTGATGAGTCTTGCTGGCTTCTCGCTCGGAAGCTATCCGCTTTTTAATGGGCCACCACAGGCGAGCGTTGAGATAAGCGTGGACCTCGAAGTTTGAGGTTCAAGGAGAGTCCTTATTTTGAGAGCTTATTTTATCGCTTGATAGACGCACCAGGTGAATATCAATCCTGGATACTTGGCGAATATTCCATATCAAATGCCGGCTCAGCAGTCTCCAGCTCCGCAAAGTAAGTTGCTTTTTTATCAATAGATTTCTTGAAAAACCAAAGTTATGACACGGAGTTTCAACCTTTGTTCATTTAACCCCTAATTATTTCATAAAACCGCAAAACCCTTAACACCATTTCTTAAATTTAAGATCATCCGCCAGTCACCCCACAACTAAGACACCAGAGCCCTCAAGCGCCCGACATGCTGCACATGATCAAGCAACAACAAGAGCAAATTGAGCTTTTGAAAAACCAGCTCAACTCGAATTTCCAGCGACCGCCCTCTGAAGATATTTCAGCTCGGCAAAAATATGAAAAGCGCCGGGGAGCACGGCAATTCTCCGATCCACCAGTGGCGGAGTTGACTGATAAACGGTCGTTTTCTAGGGCGAGTACTTGCTCGAATAGGAGCAAAGGGAAGATGTTAGCGCCAAAACCAGCGCTGAGAAAAATGATTCCGACTCTCGAAAAGAGCCCGAAAATCCATGTCCGTCGACTTGCTTCACTTATGTTTCCTAGGTTATCGTTCAATATCTACTCTTCTTCAATTCGATTCTAGAGAGGAAAAAGTCAGCCAATCGACAAGCGAGTTCGGGACAGCATGCAGCAGTGTTACTAATGAAACTGACGGTATGTCAAGTGCACTTAGAAAAAACGCGTGGATCTCATCAGGCTCTCATCATCACCAAAAATAACTTTTTTTTTCAGAGGAACTTGCATTTGACATGCCGCAAACTTCGGACGAAAATTGACGCATCAAAATGGAATGAAGATTGATTGCATGCTTTCTTTTTGACGATAATTTATTAAACTATACACAAATAATAAAAATGCTGTCTATTCAAATAATTGTTGAGCTTGAGAATCTCGCAGTCCAGGTTTACAATTGGAAAGTGTTGAAGATATAAAATCGTCTGAGAGGTTATCGTCCAGTTCGGCGGTGGAAAGATACGAAGGTCGGTTAGAAATCTAGAATCGACAATCAAGAGACCAATTGATAAATTGGTCTTACCTGTGACCAGCGGCCACTAGGTCTTTGTTCATTGTCGATCGGTGTTTTTCTGAAGATACTTGTGAGGCGATCGGTTCGGTTGATCTTGGAGGTTCTTGTCGATTTGGCAGTTTTGCGACGAGTTAATCTGCGAGACGGCGCAGCGGAGGGAAGACCTGGTAGCTCGTGGCGGATGTGGTCGAAATCATCGGTCTCTTCTGAAAAAAAAATTTGAAGTTTTCTAGCAAAATTTATTGAAAAAAGAGAGAAAAATAAATTTTCAAATAAAAAAATACCATCGATAGGTTTTCTTTTGAAGAATTTTATACACATTCGCCCATTTCTCCCCCTTCTTTGTTTTCCTCTTATCAGCAAAGAGTTTTTTCTTGCAGCTGCAATTTTTAATCGAACAATTTTTGCCTTTCTCTCCGTTTTATTTGGCTAAGGTGAGGTCTCGTGCCATCTCAGATTTTTAATATTTGGACTTGGTCATGCATCACACACAAAAGTCGCCACTCCGAAAACGTCACACTGTTTCTGGAGGAGAAGCGGAGGAAGTAAGGGCTCTTTTCAAACTCACAAAGAGCGGATTACGAAGCTCAAAATGAAAGAGTCTTTCAGTGAAATTATTTATTTCGGATTAAAACCATTCTTCACTTGGTCGACAAATAATTTTTGTTCAACCTCAAATTTACAATTTCATTTTGCATTTAGCAATCAAATTTTGACTCAATAAATACACATCATTTCGATTCAAATATTATCTGAAGGCTGTTTGATTTCAGAAATTCTTCTTTTCCTTCACCCCAGGATACGTTATCAACGTCAACACTTCTATGATAACTATTCCTAAATGTAAACAGTCGCACATAAAAAAGCCAGTTCTCTGTCAGTTCGAAAATTCTCAAGTACAACATCCTTGTTCGATGAGAGCGTTCCTTTTTCTAATTCCCTTTGGATTGCTAATTTGCGCTGTTATCACTCCGATTTTCTATCATTCAAGAGATGTCTTTGAGGAAGATAAAGTGGTATCGAAAGATGAGGAAGCGAAATTGAATACTACTGTACCAAACTTCATTTCAACGAAGACTACGGCAGGAAATTCGGAAAATGCATCAACAACTACCACTTCAACTCTGACGGACAACTATACAGTTACCACTGCCAGCTCAACGACTACTCAGAATACAATTGCATCAATAGATGACCATAAAACAACCCCAACCACTGAAAGTATACAATCATCAACAGCCAAACCAACAACAACGACCATCAATATTGCATCAATAAGAACAATAAGTGCGTCAATAGGCACCACGACCACGACAACAAAACGAAAAACAACGGATTCTGCCATGATCACCACAAAACTATCGACATCGAGTTCAATTACTCCCGCTACGACAACTACAACAGTTCAAGATCCAACAGATCCGTGCCCACTGAAATGTCTCAATCCTGATAACTGTGTCGAAATTGTCGGAAAGGATCCTTTGGTACCAAGAAAGCATCGAAAAGAAGCCGAGATAATTGCAGCAAAGGAGTTCCGGCTTTCAGTAGGAATAAATTTTCCGACAGAAGCGGGAGAACCCCTTGGTAATGCCATTCATGTCCGGAGTGGATAATTATCACCCAAAAATATGTTTTTTGAAAAATTTATTCCACTCTTTAAAAAAGATTCATACGCAAACTTCAAACAATTTCACAAATTTTGGAGATGGATTTTTCTCCGTATTCAATCCGAAAGGTCAGCAAACAAAAATGCTGATAACAGTTTCAGATCGACCTCAGAATCATATACACGAATTCATGATTGACGCTTTGCTTGGGCAGTTTCAGTGTCTCGAGGTTAAAAATTTATACCGTGTTATTAGTTAAAATTTACCTGAATTTTAAGATTGAACAACGGTTTGACGTTGAAACCGGAAAGTTTCAAAAGAATTTCTTCTTCAACGGAAACATTATTAAGTCATGGACTTTACGACAGGGAGATGTATTCACTGGCCCTCTTCAAGTTTTTATTTCTGATAAATGGCATCATACAGCCGAATTATTTTCTGTTGTGAATTTCATTTACGAGTCTTTATAAAAATTCTCATAAATCAAGTTCTTAGCGCGCTATTTATTGAGTCTTCTATGATTTCAGTTATTTCATTTATTATAAGAAAAAAAGATGATTTGGTAGATTATTTATTCATCGGATACGAAAGAGCTAGAAATTTTGCATAATGAAAATAACAGATAGTTCTTTTGGAAAGTACAGTAACTAAGATAAGGGTCGATGGATCTTGATATAAGGGTCAGAAGATCTGCAAAATAAGAAAAAGGGTCATAATATCTTAAAAAGTAAGCTGAGCAACAGATAGTTTTTTGTAGGGACGTATTTCCAGTAGGGTCGAGGATCTGCAACCGTAGCGGTTTCCAGGTTCGGTGGAAAGATTGTTTTCTTGAACTCATCGCGTTGCAAAGAAACGCGGAACGCATAGAAAATTGACGGGAAATATAGGGGGTCGGTTAAAGGGTTACGTAGACGGAGTCTTCTGAGACTTCTAGGGACTGGTTTTTCTTTTCAAAGGCTCAATATTTTTGCTGAATATAAAACTGGGTAGAGTCTTCTCGGAAGACTTTTATTCTGTCTCTTATTTCTAGAGCCAAGCCTGGAATTCTTCGGGAAGGTCGATTTTATAGGTCTTTTGAGCCATTTTGTCGAGGATAAGGGCGCTCTTTACTTCTGAAATACTTATGTTACTTCCCATTCAAAACATAGAAGCAGTAATTTTTAAGATCGGAGCTCGAAAATTACCTTTGTCAATGAAAATTTCATATCTCATGAAATCGGGGCTCGCACTCTTCGCATTATTTTCGGTCCTCTTTCGAATCTCCTCCAGCTGGCTCTGGACGTCTTGGCGCGGGTCGAAGTGGTACACTGTCGTCTGCTCCGCCTTCTTGTCGGCGATGATCAGGTCGACGAGTGTCTTGTCGTAGCAACCGGTGTCGTAGATTTTGCGAATCAATTCGAAAATACGCCGACGGTACTTGTAGAATTTGTCAGCATTCTTCGTCACCGATGCCATTTGCCACCCTCTGAAAGATAAAAAACATCAATTATTAATCCGAAGATAAAATAATCTCTCTATAAATTTGACAAAAAAAAGCCTAAAATGACTCAGAATTTATTTATCTTTAGAAAATGATTATCTGGCTTAGTCCTTTTCCATTTCCTGTTTTCTAGAAATTTCGATCAAAATGAAGAATAAAATCCTTTGTTGACCTAAAAAATTCGAATTGTGACTGCCAGACAATGTCTACTAGACATTGACTTATTCATTTTTTCTGGAAAGAAGATCATTTCTTGAGGAAAATTCAAAGGTCATTTTTTTCGTGAAAAAAGCAATAAAAACTCATCGCCAAAGAAACAGGGTCACAAAATAAATAGTAAAATTCTCTCTCGGGAAATACTCTCTGTCCGGTTTAAAAAGGCTAGAATCTGTATCGCGCTTACTCGCTATTGAAGACGTGAGCCGTAAGCTGAGAGATAAGCTTCTGGAGGACTGCCTCTGGTGGAAGACAACGTCGCCGTTGAGAACATCTCTGTTTGACCGTCACAGTTGACATGCTCTAAAAACGCGATAAGCCGTTTATTTGAAGTCTTTTTATGTCTCTTTTTGTCACGCCTGGGAAGCGAATCAGGCCACTGGGTAAAACAATCGGATTTTTCTCAGCGGTGGGATCTCCCACGGCGATTGAAGCGGGTGATAACGCGCATTTTATGCACTGTGAGTGCGTCACAGTCTGATTTTTACGGCGTCTTAGGGGGAGTCTGCGAATTTGGAATGACTTTATGCCTTGATTCTTCTCAGCCTGAAATTTCTGTTCAGAATGAGAAAAACTCTTCTCCTAATTTGAGGTTTCTTCCTTGATTTCAGCAAATTTAATGAGTTATTCTTCGGCTTTTTTATTAAAGGACCATAAAATTTTATTCTCCGATAGAAAAAAGCCGTTCGAAATGTTCATTTTTACGGAATTGTGCGTTTTGGCTGTAACCATAATCAAACAGCCCCTTCCAAAAATTTTCGCTTCTTGATTCAAGGGCAACCATTTTTAAAAATGAAGAGACATTTGCATGATAATTTTTGTGCTGTTTTTCCAGCTGATGAATTTGTAACTGTTGAGGGCGAGTTTGGACGATGTTCTTTATGCAAACGGTCAGGATTTCAACAAAACTTTTATTTTTTACTCAGTAAAAGGTCGAGAGATTCTACCTGTTATGCAAAAGGGATGCGGTGTTGCACATTTTGCGCACCAGGGCATTTCAATTAATCTTTGAGGGCAAATCCTCCATCATATTCTGCTACAGACCAAAAATTCAAATGTCCTGTCAAGAGTTGTACAGCCGATCGACTTTCTTATCAGGAGTTTTTTGTTGGATCTTGCTGTGAAAATGCTTCGAAGAACTTAGCAGTAAATTGTATGAAGTTTCTTTTCAGGGGACATCTATCTGATTATATATTTTTATCAAGACAAATACGAACATATGATGATTGTCAATAATATTTTCGAAGAATCAAAGAAGCAGGAACACAATTCCTCTTCTCGCTTGCAACATAAAATATTTGAGCTGGACAGTGCTAGAAGTTCCTTAGCAAGAGCTAAAGTGAGGATTGTTGAAGCTGAAGAAATGCTCAAGATTGCGCAAAAGGATCTTGAGGATAAGAAAAAATACCGGAGAAAAGTTCAGAAACGAGCTCTACTTCTTGCGAATTATGTGATGAAAGAAGATAACAATGATTTAGGTACTTTAGTGGTCCAAAAAGATAAAAATCAACTGTCGTTTGAAGAAAATGACCAGCAATCTGAAGTCAAGTCTGAGGCCGAGGACAGGAAATGTAAAGTTTGCTTCGAAAAATACGATGACGATCACCCTGAAGCTGCGATTTTCCCATGTGGCCACAAATCCTGCTATAACTGCTTGACGTCTCTTACTCAGAAAATTTGTCCGATTTGCCGAGCTGAGTTTACCGGTGACAAAATTCTCAAGCTCTACAGCTAAATCGAAATCAGGAGCGTCAAAGAACTCATCAGATTGAAAGACGATTGATAATAAAAGACCAAAAACAAGCTATTAAAATATTCGTTTATGTACATATCTGGGCGTATTTTGTACAGTTAGAATCAAATTTTGCAGATTTCTCAATCATTCAAACAATCAAGCGTCTTCTTTGTCTTCTGGGCGGTTTCGTTTTTGTACTGTTATATCTCCGTAGAACTCGAATTCTTCTTTGAAATTTCGCCATCTTACAGTTTTCTTGTGGTTCAAAGTGCTTCTACGGCTAGAAAAAAGCGATTAAGATGGCATCAAAAGTCGATAAATTTAGTACCTTGACGCGAAGCTAGCCGAGCTTAGCTGACCAGTTGGAAACTTCAGATCATGATTTTCCATGTAGATTCTTGCGTTGGAAGAGTCTGGCCGCTCGGAAGGAGTATTGGATGGATCGACCGCTTCAGAAGCGATGCTGCCGGAACTGATGGTTGCCGATGAGTCACAAATAACTTTTTGCGGTACGGAGAGGGCCTTGTTCAGTTTTTCTTTCAAAGGTTAAATACAAAAGGCAAAGCAGGATTTACTTAAGTATTCAAAAGGGGATTTTTAGTGCAGAAATATGAATAAATGATTCTAAGGTCGTTTACATTAGTAACCTATTTTCTTCAATTAATAATTGAATGACCATTTTTAGAGTCAAAACTTTTGACTCAAAAGTTCAAAAAAATCAATAAGATTTCTAGTCGATAATCTGTTTAACTCGTAGCCAAATAAGTCTGTCTGATCCTGCCCCTAAATTTAAATTTTTCATTGTTTTCACAGGTTGAAAAAAAATTTCTTTGAACCGCAACAAGAATTTTCAATCCTGCTTGTTTAAAGTGAACCGCCGCCCCTTTGCCAAATATTTTTTCAAGACTAAGAGCCTTACGTACTCTCAAACATAAACATCGGCGTAGGTCCTTATTCCAGTTTTGCAACTGTAGTTGGAAAGGAAATGTTCAACAGTCATCGCTATTTTTGTTTTGATGTTTTTCTTGTTTTTTTGTTTGTTGGAAACAGATTTTTGAATTCAAGATCATGATTGATTTTAAGTTTTAATTAAGGGTTTCCTTCCGAAATCGCTGTCTGATTTGCTTTGGCTACGATTTTTAACCTTGTCCTTCAAGCCTCTTGATTTTATCCAATTGCGATTGAAGTGCGTTTGAAGAGAGCGTTTCCGAGTTTACGAAAGTGGTCAATTGTTGCCCGGGATTGAGCTTTTGGGCTTTCGATTGATCCGGGTAAGGAGCCCGCCCGCTTTCCTCTCCACCAACACGTTTGTCTGTTGGATTTCGCGGAAGGCTTTTTCGCCAATCGTACTGCTGTGATTCTGAAAGTAAACGGTTAAAGACTCTTTTTCTTTCTTTAAAAGAGTTCAACAAAAGTTAAGTTTGGAAAAAATGACCAACAGGGCGCTATTTTTTGTTTGACCCGTGACGGTTAAATATATTTTTGTCCTCCAAAAAGCTGCTTTTTGAGAAGTAACGGAATAAAAAAGACTTGAATAACAGAACCAAGAGCAAGAGGGGCCCAAGATTGTTGACTTTAGATACATTTAGAAGAGTAAAAACTCATCAAGAATCCTATGAGGGTCTTTTCTGGTGGAGATTAGGACTAAATTATTGAAAAAAGCCCTTCGAAATTTAAGTTTATGCTGAGTTTTGGTCTTGTTTGGGCAAACAGAAAGGTGTCAGGAATCGATGAGAAGTACGACAATTACGACCGAAATTTCGGCCAAATTTTAGACCAAGCAGATGCCCGAAAATAGTCGTTTTTGGCAACTTCTGGTCTGTTCGCGAAGATTTTCATAATTAATGCTCATCGTTTTATTTTCTATCTTCATAAATTTTAAATTCTTCATTTTGTTACCGAATAATGACATCAAAAATAGAAGCTTCTGTCTGAATCTACTCCCTGGGGACATTTTTAGCCCGGTTGAATGATTCATAACTAGCTTGACTCGGTCTTGTGATTGGCAACAGGAATTTTCGATAGCGCGCCTCGAGTCAAGCGGCCAATGGGCCATGGAGAGCTCAGAAATAAAATGGGTGACTCATAGGGCTAAAAATGTCCCCAGAGAGTAAAAGCTGTATCGTCTGATAATCTTACGCAGCTCGGCATTTATTTAATTTACTCGAAAACGTGGCACTTTCCAGCTTGTTTCAACTGGGTATATATAATTCAGTACAGTATTGGACGACGAACAAAGGATGAATTAGCAGTTTTTGTATTTCTGCGTATCATCGCTCTTAGGACCTGCTCCCAAGAGAGATTGAGCGCTAGAGGCGGATTAATTATCCATCTTTCAACTTTGATCCGGCGCTTTTAAAAGCGCTCAAAATGACGAAACCTCAATTATTTCCGAAAAAATGCGAGTTTTGTCATTTTTCAAAATCGTTTTTGCAATTTTACATGTTGTTGTGGGAGAAGAATTCTCGTGGATGAAGCATTTTGCTCCTAAATCAGCAATAAAGAGCAGAAGAGTCGGTGATTTGGAACGAAAGGGTTTCGGGAAGTTTTAACAATAATAAAACCGAAAGGCGTTTTTACGGTTTTGTCTTAGATATAACTTATATCATATAAGCTTAAAATAAGGGAGTCAACAGCGAATGCCCTGAAAGTAGCGATTAGGTTTTTTTGAATAAAGAATAACTTGAACTCTGGGGATTTTTAGACCGAAAACTTGTCGGCAAAAAGGTCCCAATTGCAAGCTCTGACTGTAAGACCCTGTTTCGAAATTCTTACACCGTTCTTGTGAACCGCTTTTGTTACCCTTGAGCCGATCACTGTCGCAAGACTTCGTTATTCTATTGTAATCTTAATCGAAAGGCCTTACCAATTGGCAACTGCATAAAACTTTGAAGATTTCTCCCGCTTTTTGGCCGATTTTATGGATAATTTGAAGATAAACGATGAATCCGAGAAATATTGAAGAAAACTTTTGCATTTAACTGTTATTTCTGTTCCTCCAAACGTCAAAAAAGAAAGTAGAATGATCTATTATAGAGAAAATAAACCAATTTACCTTCGTATTTCTCAGGCACGTGGCCAGGCAGTCGTCCCTGTCGCTTGTTTCTTCCTTTCAATTCCTCGACTCTGTTTGGCATTGGATACTTGGCGTTGTTGTTATTGTTGATGTCTTGACTTTGACCTGGCATGATGCAGCAGCGATTCATCAAGTCTTCCTTCGCGCCCCGCGCATCCATTTGAATGCGGAAAGAGTCCTCTTCGATTCGGCTTAGAATTTCAAGAAGGCGACGAGTGCCGCTCATAGTGAAATGGAGCGGAGCTTGGCGGTTTTTAGGAAAACGTGTGGGGAGGGGAAAATGAGCTTAGACCGCACTTGACTTTCAAATATTTTCCTACTGTCAGTTGGGCCTGTCCAAGACCGTCGACCAGAAGACGCAATTTTCTGTCAGAATTGGTCGACTGAGATTCAGAAACTTGGCAAAGATTGCCGAAAATGAGTCATTAACAATGAGAAAACCGAGATAATATTGCTTGATTTTAGCAGATATGACTCGAATGCTAGATTTTGAGACTATAATATCAATTTTGGCTCATTTGTTGGTTGTTTTATGATATTTTATGTTCACTGGTAGATAGAAAAGGGTTGTAAAAATCAGGCGGAGAAAACTAGAAAAAATTTTGGCCAGAAAAAATCGGTCAAAAATCCCGTCAAAGTAGGGCCATTTTCGCGAAAATGCACCAAAAATGGTCAATTTTTTACAATTTTGTTCATTTCGACCCTTAAGGGTACGGGTGTCGGCTTTCTATCGCCCGTAATAATATAATGTGTATAAAAGCAAAGTATTTTATAGAATCTACAGAAAATTTAAGCTCGAGTCATAATTAATTGTCAGCTGCTATCATTGTTATTTTACGAGTTATGCTCTCGTAAAAAATTGCCGAAAAAAAATTTTCGGCTCAGATTTTTTTCATCCGGGGCTTTTTAGAAAGCTTAGAGAATGAGGATCATCATGATATTCTCGGTTTTACGTGAATCTGTCTTAAAACATTTTTAGAGCCGAAAATGTGTCGCTCAGTTTCAAAAAATGCTAATTTTCGGTGTAATAACAAGGATGGTTTTTTTCAAAAAATTAAATTCCAGACGAAATGTAATTCAATCTCAAAAATCTCTTGACAAAATTAAGATAAGAGTCTGAATTTTTACATAAAAATATAAAAAAGGTATGTTTACAGGCTCATTTCTTCGGAATTGAAGCCTCTTTTAGGCCCATTTTCACCATTTTAGGTCGAGATCACGACTTAAAGCCAATTTTTAAAACAAAAATTGTTTATAAATCCAAATTTCCTCTTGACAAAATGTAGAACTAGGATGGATCTTTGCTCTTATGTAGGCGAATTTTTTCCACCACTTCTGTATCACGAGGAATTGAGCCCTAGTTAGAGCCTCGCCGACACCCGTACCCTTAAATCTAATTTTTATCAAATGATTTTAAGCTCAACAGATTCGGGAGAATCTGTAGATTCTAAAAATATAAGATTCATATCCTGACTATGTGTATAAGCGAAATTACGATCACCCCTGAAAAAATTCTCGTCGACCCTCCTCCCTTAAGCCGATTTTTTAAGATTCTTTGACGATTTTTGACGATTTTTTTGAAGATTCTTCAAAATAAAAGGTCGATAAACGATTAAAAGAGTTACTTCAAAAGTATTTGAACTTAAATCTTAGGCAGAAACTGTAGTTAGTGAGCCTCATTGTCAGAAAATCACCGTCAAAAGCACGTGAGTACGCGTTTAGCTGAAAACTGTCATCGCTGATGTGTACACGGGTAAAATGCCTGCTCGACACTTTGACATTTCAGCACTTGGCGAAAGACGCGATATTCATCGCCCGGAGGTACTCAACGTCAATTTTAGAGTTCAGACAGTTCAGAATCTTATCCCCCCTCTTTTTTGATCTGGCGAAAAGGTGGATTTATTTTCGACTCTTTGAAATTTGATGAAATTCGTATTCTAAGCCTGTCCTTCTATTTCCGTGTATTGTCGCGTCGAATTTGCATCGGATTGATCGAATTGATTCGGCGAGTTCGTGACCTTTTCGGAGATGGACGTATTCGAGGACGTTCCTGGAGCCGAATCCGACCAGTAGCCCACGTCATTTGCCGCCGCTGATTCTGATGAGATTCCCTTCTTGCCTTCTCCAACTGGCTGGTTTTGAGCTGGCGATTCTCGTGCCTGAAATAGATGAGGTAAAAAATCGACACGCGTGTTGAGTCTTAGGGGCCAACGCCTGTATCCTGTTGTGAATGTTTGATAAATATCAACTTATGCAGCACCGTCATCCGACTCGTAATTTGCATAAAACACTTCCCATGACAAAACAATAAGAAAGGACCGTTCTGTTTTTCACTCTGATAGCAAATAATTTCACCTAATCTTACATATTTCATTTCAGCCACTAAAAAGTAACACTACAAATCGAGAAGCCGCTTGCGGTTTCGAGCTTAACAAAAATGAAGCCGCGCGAAGCGCGGCTATTTCATTTATTGCTCGAAGCCGCAAGCGGCTTCTCGATTTTTAGAGTCACTTTTTATTGGTTGAAATTGCTGAGCATTTTTTTATCATTCTATCGTCATTTTTCTGGGAGACAAAAGAGTGGCGTCATTTGACGAGAAGAAAAATAAATCTCTCGGAAAATTTTTTCATTATGTTTTACACGGGGCTCAGCACTTGTTGTCTTGAGGGTGTACTCGCGAGTCTAGCTGTTGTAAGAGGTCGTCGGTTAGGAGAGTAGCACAAACTTACGTAGTTAATGGCGGATAACATGCCCCTTGAAAAATTGAGTTTAGAAAAAAAAGATGAATTGCAACTCTAGAATCAGTAAAACGGTCGTAATTATTGTTGAATTTCATCTTTAGTTTTCAAAAATGACGGAGGAGCGCGAACCACTTCCACTTTTCGGAAATGTTCGGGAAATAAGGAAGTGTTCAAGTTGTGGATTCAATGTAAGAACACGTCTTTGGAATTTTCGTTGAACCGTGCGTAAATGTGTTTCCAGGGGCTGAGCATTGTAAAAAGCAAAGCTGGAAAAGGAACTTGGAAACTCTGCTGTCTCTTTTCTTTTTTGGGACCTTTTGGACTTCTGGTTTTCGTGGGTGACAAGCACAAGGTTGGGTTAATTTGAAGAAAAACTGTTTCATAATACAATTTTTAGGACAAGAATCATTATTGCATCAAATGCGGAAAGAAACTCGGCGAGAAGAAATATGAAGCCAAGATTACAGATTGTTGCCAAATGATGGAGTTTTGTGGATGTTAATGAGAAAAATAGAAAATGCTTCAATCGCAATTCTATAATAAATGAAGAACCATAAGCTTCAAAATAACTATCGCTTATAAATAATATTCCTATTCGGATCATTCGAGGCTTCGAAATTAATCCGTACAGGTCGTAAATATAATTTCTCATGTTATTACTGAATCATAATCATGATCAAGATTCAAATAAAATGCCGTTGACAAACTTACATTTGTTTCTTTATAAATTTGATCCACTTCTCTCGTCTTCTTGATTAATTCCATCGCAATGAGCACCGTCAAAGTCGCAAAGGCAAACGTCAGGATCCAGCTTATCAAGAATGGAGCTCTCGAAGTGCCTTCTTCCGTTTCTAGAGTTACAGCTTCTTCGATAGCTGTAATCTCTTCCTCTCCGCCAGCTTTGGTTTCGACGCTTTTCTCTTCTAAGAGGATTTCGCCCGCTGCGGTCGGCGAACTTAGCGAAAGCATCGTCAGAAAAATCGAGTCTAGACAAAATGGTTACATAATGAAAAAAGTTATTTCCCTCTCTCTTGAAAAAAAAAGAGGTGGCTAAGATTCAGATTTACGCAATTTTAATTTAGAAGTGTGCAATTTTGTACTTACGTATAAAACTCCACAGCGCAGCGCAGACATTTATAAACAACCAGACGCAGGCGCCAATTTTGAAATTTTCACGCGAAAGCTGGAATTTAGCTGACATCGTTGTTACCAGCTACAATCAGGTTCTCAAGAATCAAGGGCGCGTTATTTTACTCTTTCTTCAGCAACATTTTTTTTCTCAAAAGAAAGTACCCCTCTTATTATTGGGGTCACCATTTGAACGGGTGAGTTTCTTAAGGGTATCACTCTCTTAACGAAAATACCGTATTATTGCTAAAAAAAGTCGAAAACCGTGGATAAAAACGCAAAGAAAATAATACAAAACCGCAAATTGTACCCCGTATATTTCTGCCCCGGAAAACACGCAATTTCTCAAGAAAAACATCACGTCGCAAGATTTCATGAACCTTTCCTGAAAAAGAGAGCTCAGCAAACTCAAGACAAGCAAAGATATTCCACCAATTGAGAGCAGTTTGAGCGAAGGATTGAGCTCGTCATTAAGCGTTGATAAATTTCGACTGAGTTGTAGAAATGTCAGCACCTGAAAAATAATGATTGAAATTTTATCTAGATCTATTTTTCTAAATCAAATCTAAGCATGAAAGTTCAAACTTGATTTTACACACGCAATGTGTGACGTTTTATGATTCCTTGCTGTCTTCTTTTGACAATCAAGACGTACAAAAAATTATAAAAAAAAAGCAACTTGGAAAAAATAACGAAATCGAGGAATGATTCTAGATACGAAAATAAAAAAATCATAAGCAAAGGAAAACGCCCCTGGAGAGATACTTTTTTTCGAGCAACTCGATTGAGATTCAGAAAGCAAAATCAAAACCAGTCAGTATACACTAGAAGTTGATAAGTCCTCAGATTCTCGATAAATAATTATTAAGATAATGCGAGAACTAAAATTTTTTGCAAAAATCCTTTCCACGAAAGAACTCTTGGCAATGTTGAAAGTCAAAAGTGCCGTTGCGTCGCAATTTGGTGTCCCCACCCAAAACATCTAATTTTGCCTTACGCAAGGGTAAATTTTAGCTTTTGCAATTACACATGTTCCTGGCCCGATATTCGATCATCGATGTTTGCAGAAAAACACCAGCGTAATTTAGAACGGTCGCTCGACCAGGGTTGATCGCGCAATCTTTTTGACCTTGACCTAAGCGGGTTTTCTTGGAACAAGAAAATGGCTTGAATATTTATCAAAAAAACAACAGCTGTTTTGTTGAATTTTGATCTGTTAAATATTGAATAAAGGTGAATTTGAACTACTTTTAATAAAAAATTTGCGTTAAAATTAAACTTAAGGAGGGGGTCGACGAGAATTGGGATTTCCGTGACCAAAAATGCGGGAAAACCTGATTAGATAGGCAAAATCTAATTTTCCTTGCAAATAGAAAAGGGTTGAAAAAATTAACCGGCGGAAACTAGAAAAAATTTTGACCAGAAAAAATCGGTCAAAAATCCCGTCAAAGTAGGGGCATTTTCGCAAAAATGCACCAAAAATGGTCAATTTTTTTACAATTTTGTTCATTTCACCACCTATATCTAATTTTTATCAAATGATTTTTGGCTCAACAGATTCGGGAGGATCTGTAGATTCCAAAAATATAAGATTTATATGCAGGCTATGTGTATAAGCAAAATTACGATCACACCGGAAAAAATTCTCGTCGACCCCCTTAAAAGAAAATATTTTTTATTCAAGTTATAAAATAAAATTTTATTCGTAAAATATTTTCTTAGATTCTCAATATTTTTATTTAATTAAATAATTGAAAATAATTAATTAAAAAAATTTAATAATAAAAAATGATTTTTTTCAAAAAAGATAAAGAAGCAGCCAAAAATATTTTTTTTCGAATAAAAATGGGGAAAGCTCCTTATTCTTGAGTAGATCCCGCTCTCCATAAATAGCAAAGTGCTTTCATTTGTAAAAAGAGTCTAAGTAGAGAGCTGTGTTTTGGGAACAGAGGCTCTAACATTAAAACGCAAGCGTGTTATCCTCTTTCTCTCAATTGGAAAATTAATAGAAACAAAAACGTGGACCACTGCTGACAAAACGCGAAAGAAATTGCGATTTCAACATATTACCAGTAGAGCAATTATTGAAGATAATTATTTTCAAAGTAAGATATAAAATGAGGGCTCGGCAACCTGTGAAGAAAACCTGAGGCAGGGTCTGATAGATTCTCCATGAAAAGCCGCGAGCGGCTTTTATAACAGCGTAGCCGCGACGCGGCTTCGAGATACGTATCATATTTCAAATATAATTTAAAATCATGGCGAAGCCGCTCCGCAGCTTTTCGACCCTGACTACGGTTTTAAAGACAGGTTGTTGAGCCGAGGCCGATAATTTTGATTATCGCGGAATATTTTTATATCTGTTTTTTTTTCTTCAAAAAATGTGCATTCAGAAAATTGATCAAGGAATTTTGGATCGTATATTTGAAATAAGCAAAAAGGAAATCGACTCTATCTTTCTAAAGGTTTTTTTTAATTTACCGCATTTTTCTGCGACTAAGAGCATAGTTTACTCCATCGCTAGTTGGAAACATGCGCTTGCGGAAAGCACGAAAAAAATGCTCTCCTCAGAAGTACTTGGCGTTGGAGGAGTGGTCCAACGAAGACTGAAAGATCATCATTTTTTTAATTTGGAATGTCTGGAATCATTTCGAGTCGAGAAAAGAAAATGCGTTATTCTAAAGCCATAACCTCCGGAAACAGCGCTTGACCGATTGAAAATGCATTTTTTACTTGACTTGGTGCTGTCTACCGCTTCCTGCATAATCTTTTTTGGAGCGTTTTCGCAAAATTTACTTTTTTTCTATAATTTTATTATTCCTAATATTTTTCCATTGAAAGGCCGCTTACTTCTCCGAGATTTATAGAAGAAAAAGCCGCGCTAGCTGCCGCTTAAATTTCGTCTGCTGAAGCCGCAAAATCTTTATTGACTTTACGGAAAAATTCTCTCAATATCAAATATTTCATCTTTTCTTGAAGATTTGAAAGACCATAATCATACTTTTCTTTTGACAAATGAATGTTTTAATTCATTATAAAGCTGACTCAAAACCTTCAGTAATTATTCGCTCTCCGTCAGAAATTTCGAAAATTCAAGAGGCCCTGCCTTTTCCGAAAAACTCATACATCCCTTACATCGAAAATCAAGAACCTCCCTCACTTTTCCTAACGAGAACTCACTAAGGTCAATGGTAGGCAATCGAGGTCTTACAAATCTTCCAAGAAGACTCTCTCTCTATTTCATTTAAAAATGCTCGGTCAATTTCGCTAAGAATCCGGAAAAATTCTTGTCAAATAATTATTGCTCACTTTTTTTTTCAATTATTATAAAGTTCATTTTGAATCAGAAAAAAACGAGAATGGCTCAAAATTAGCTTGGAACCTGAATCTGCATATGAGATCATCGCGCGGTTTCTAACTGAAGGCAGCAAATTTTGCGAAAGATTGATTTAGCTCAATAGAACGCCCACTTGCTATAATTAACCTCAATGCGTTGGCTACCATTTTTGTGGCGGCTAACGACTTCCTTTTACGTACGAAAGCTTTCTGTTAATAACCATCATTATTTCTTTATCTTGATTGTGTGTTTTAATATGCTCGATCAGCGAATTCTTTTCCAATTCTAATTTGACTCATTGCGTCCTTATTTTTAGGAGAAAATGGATAGGGAGCCTCAATTTTGAAGAAAATAGGAAGACCTGAAAAAAGAAGCCGATTTTTTAATAGAAAAATTTTTTGATTTTTTTCCAAAATTGAAAAATGTCCGGAGATGTCCGAAAATGTCCTCGATCGAAGAAAAACTGGCCAAAATTTCTTCTGCCAAAAAATTGGTCAGATCATCGCCATGAGTTAAAAATAAAATCAGTTGCTTACTGTCAATGCTATTAGCTTCCAATTTTCCTTTATCATCTTCTTTTCTCAATTTTCTTTTTCCTTCTTTATGTCTTCCTTGATAATGAAACTCTCTTTTTTGATAGAAAGGATAAATAAAAAATAAATACAATAGTTTTCGACTTGTTTGAATTTTTTCTTGGTAGAGTCGCGATCAGAGCCAAGGACGCGCAGAGCGGAAAGAGAAAATCTAGAACCCTCCGAGGGCGCTCGCGCGGCGCTTAGCGCAAAATTGAGAAAAAATATGCGCAACGCGCATCTAACGAGGAATCTGTATATTTGGCTTTTTTCGAGTTTCAAAAGATGACTTTACTAAAACTGAAATTCAGAAAGAAACCAATTTTTAAGAATATGGGCTTTTCAAATCGAGTCTATTGAAGAATTACGAAGCCAATAAAATGATGACATCGATGAGGACTTCTTTCGTAAGGGTCTCCCTATTATCGGCCTTTTCTTGAAATTCATCATGGAAACGCGCTCAAAACTGTCATTGAATTTGACAGTGAATAACTATCCCAGGAACAGCTATTGAGTTAGAAAGGCTTTCATTACTGTCTGCCCGAGTTTTGCCACAGTCGTCATTTTGTACATTATCGCAGGGTAACCTCGCTTATCTAGAGCCTAATCGAGCATAGTTATTCTTCTTGAGCTCATTCCTTGGAGTCAAGCTCGAGCACTTGATTACGTTGGGATAAGATAGAAGGATACCTCCAGGTGCCACTCTAACCAAGGCAAATCACCCCCTTTTGAAAAGTTCCACAAGCGGGGCAAAATCCAGCACCGTAAGCTTCGGTTATCAAAATAAAGTTCATTTTCCGGTAAAGAAAAATGGGTGCCTTTATCATCCAAAATCTCCTGACGGAAAATAAGGGGGTAGCGTCAGGAGCTGGCAAAAAAAATCGACAAATTTCGCGTGGGCGGCTACTCGGCTGCTGATTGGCCGGTTTTCCGAATTCAGGCTTCTGATTGGTTGAAAATTTCAACGCAAAATTTGTCGAAATTTTTTGTCGGTTCCTGATATCTCTCAAAAATAAGGTCGTTACTGCGTTAACTCTTGAAAAAAAGTCTATTTGTAACTCGTCCTATTTATCCCTCAACATCCACCTAATACTCCGATTGTTGGGGTAAATTGATCAATTCAATTATTGAACCACGTTTAGCTATTCTAGATCTACTCCAATTATTAAAATGACAATTTGCAGACTCAACAAATACTCGTTATCCTCAATCGATAATAGCTCCTTTCAAAAAACACTCGAGTTGTTGATGATAAGCTCAGGCACGTGCTCTCTTAATTTTTACACGTCGAGGTCGATCAGTCCATCGTAGTCGATCAATGATCATAACAAATAGGAATTACAAGTGCTAATTTTTTGAACGGCCTTAATTTTTTAATCACGGGCTGACGCTGAAGCTTTGAGGAACAAAAACTTTCTAAAAAGCTTCTGAAAGAAAAGGACGCTCTGAAATATAAATTTATCGCGCTTGAACTGACACCAAGGAAGATAAGAAGCAGCTCGAGGTTGTATTTCGCGGTCGGTTGTAATAACGAGGCCACGGGAAAATTGAGCGCAGGTGGGAAAAAGAGCTACCTTGAGACCTTCGCGGACAAATTTTGACTGTCACCGTGTCCAACCAATAATCTGCGCCCGTAACCCTGCGTAAGAAGCCTGAGTCAGGGTCTGGAAAGTCTGAGCCAATAATTTTTGGGTTGAAATGAGCGAGAAAAACCCGTATTTGTACGAGCTTATTGAAATAAGCCCAGACGTTGAATTAAGGGCATATCCTTAGTAAAACACCAAGCATTGAAATTTGTTTTCAGCAGGAGCTAAACAAAGAAAGGACTCTCAAGTGTCTCGAAAGATTGCAATTTTAAAAGGATTATTGATGGAAAGGGAAAGCCCCAGACAACTGAAAAGTTCAAGCTTTTGGTTTTTTAGATGATTTTAAGAAAATTGTGCGTTAGTGAAAAGGTGTCCTTTTAAAAGAATCGTCGTGAAATTTTCAAAATTTTCCGGGACATTAAAAGTTCAAAAAATTTTAGAGCTTTCAATCTTAGGTCTTATTTCTCATTGGCTTCTTCACCCTTAATTTTAAATAAAAACTATAGACTATAGTTTATACTATAGTCTATAGTCATTAAGTCAATTTCAAACGAAGAAAAACAAGAAATGTTTGCATCAATCATTGTCTGTAAACTCTGTGCTTCAGTCTTGGGAACGCCGAGTCAACATTCCGGAAGTAAAAACTCATCCCCTCGGAAGGTTCTATTTTCCCTCCATCTTCTTTTCTGGAGCCTCCCGACAATCATCAATACGTCAGCAAATTACCTTTTTTATAAACATTCGGCATATTATCAATTACAAAAACACATGTAAAGGGGGAGTTAATTTTTGTTTATGGGATTTGTCGTTAATTACGACTCATTAGGAATCGTTATGAGAGTTTTTTCGTATTTATGAAAATTACGTTTACGTTGATTTTTGTGTTGATAGAATTGACGAAATGATGAAGTTAATTAACTATGAAATGTGTCTAAATTTAAAACTGGCCATTTCCGACTTTTTGACAATTTTCAACATTTTCTCAAAAAACTTTTTTTTAATTTCACTTTAGAAAGAAGATACTTCTTTCCGGAAAAAGGCAGCGCTTTTGAAATGCCTCTCCAAGGTTTTGAGACAGCAGTGACAGTAGGGAAACAAAACATTGCTTGGAGATAAGGCAGCAAAGAACCCTAAAAGCCATTTTATCTTTCGAGTTCATCTCATTTTCGCCGCCCGATCTAGACGTGCGCACACGTTTTTTTGAAAGGCATATTAGACAAGACAAAATCAAATAATATCCTGATAAGCAACGTTGTCATCAGCGATGTCAGTAACGAAATGAGGGTCTTAGTTAGCGATCCTGGTCATTATTAATTGAAAAAATGATCATTTTTTTGAAAAATAAAGCATCAAAAATCAAGATTTCAAAAATTTTCAATTTCAAAAAATTAACAAAGGTATACCCTTATTTTTGAAATTTGGATTTTCAATCAATAATTTTCCAATATAAAAATGGTTTTCTTCGATAAAAGTAAGAATGCAATCTTTCAGAGACAGGCAATTTTCCTTTAAAAATCGCTAGGTTTCTGGTTAGCCTCGTATTACCCCCTCCAGTTCACAGTTGCGGTTCCCGTTCCAAGATCTTTCAAGTGGTTCAGCTGCAGTTACTCGCCTCGCGCACATTGAAAAATCTGCACACTAGAATCCGCTGCTCAAACCGCACGTGTACATTCCCACACGTGACTCAAAAAGACGGAAAGTACAAAAAGTGACACTTCTGCCTTTTCTGTCCTCGCCTTCTATTTTCTAGTGCTCAAAACGAAACGCGCAAAAAGTGCGTTTTTCTCTCGCTTGTCAAATTCAAGTCCAGCTCATCATGTCTGTGAGAGTCTAGCTGACTCTTTGGAGATTTGGCTAATCGCCTTATTACGTTTTTTCAAACTCGATCGACAGAGCAGAAGTTCAAGCAGAAGAGTACTGAGATCTTAATTCTTCCGGGCCGGCAAAATACATGGCTTTCTTTAGCTTATTTTATTGTCAGAGAAAAATTCTTTTTTTCAGCAATTTTTTTTCAAAAGTCATTTCTTGCATTTTCCTTTCGCGTTGGCCATCAGTTCCTCGGAGCTTGCGGCGAGAGTCATGACTAAAATACAGAACTCCTTGAAGTCCATGTACCCATCTTGATCGATATCACAGCCTTGGAATATTTCCTCGCCAACTCCTGGAATTTCTGAAAAAAGAGCTGTAAGACTCGATTTCTTGTCTTTTTCTTACCATTTTTAGCTATTTTTAAAAAGGACTCCTTCGAGACCTTGCCATTCGGGCCAGCGATACTTTCGAATGTCCCCAGTAAAACACCGACGCTCATAGTCAAAGGACACTCCATTGCTTGCTCCATTATTATTTCGACTAGAATAAGGGTATCTCTTACTTATTTTTTGAGAATGATTAAAAATTGTTATACTTACAAAAAGATTCGCTCTTATATCTGAATAAATGAATATTGAAGCTAGGTTGCGCGATTTTATGTCCATTTTTTACTTCCGGTTAACTACAGTACTTGCAAAAATAGACAGGGGTTTCTATGTGTAATCAATATTTATCCCTCAATTTTGCTTTCTTGATCAATTTGGATCGATAATGCCTTGTCAAAAATCTTTGGAAAGGATTTGAATTTGAGGCTATTTTGAGCTCTTGTTTTCCCAAAAACCGAAAAACATAATCCACTGTTCACTAAAAATATCGCCCACGACCTCTAAGCGTTTATTTCGGTGCCCAAGTCATTTCGGTTTTCGCCGCGGTTTCGTCCAAGATATTTTTGATATTTTGATCACAAGTCATTTTTAAATCGCTCCTGTTTACGAAAAAACCTTAAAATTTATTTTCAACTTCTATTCCACGTTTTTTTTCTATAAAAAAATCTGACTACTAAACAGGTCAATCATAAACATTCCCAAAACAGTGGAGAAAAAAGCAAGTTTATTGCCAAAATCAAACGGGTGGATTTTAGATACAGGATCGTTAAGGGTGGGTACTCCTATTTTTGTCAGGAAAAGATGTATTTTTAGATGGCTGCTGTTTCGGGTCGAAAAATCGAAAAATCATTTTTATAGAAAAATTAACTTTGTAAATATTTTAGCTTTGTTATCGAACGTTAATGACCACAGATGGCTCTAGAATTTTCAAGGGCCCTTGATTGCTTTTAGAAAAGACGAAAAAATGAGTAAGTGAGCAAAGAAGCAAGCCTCTTTGTAATTCTCTGAGTTGGTGAATTCTGAACTCTACCTTTTATTTGTCGATTTCCGAAGTAATCGAAACCTATGAAGCTCTTTTTCGGGAAAAATGAGCTCCACCCTTGATAAAGGGAAAGTTATGGTAAGATGAGAACGAGTGTGTTTTGTTTGACCGAGCGAAAATGGGATCAGAGGTGGGTACCCGCGGTTTAGACGTCTGCGATCACGTGAGGGGATTATTCACTTGACGAATAATTTGCCAATTTGCATCACGACGGCCCTGGATTAGAATCGACTGCTTCCGGAGAACAGATCCGTTCAAAAATTCAACAATCAATCGTTCACAAGACTTCTTTGATTCCTCTTGAAGTTCACCGAATATTTGCACTTCTCCAGATTTCGTAAAATCAATGAGCAAGTGGCTTCTTTCTCTTTATTTCAATAAAACCAGCATGATACCAATTTATGAACCCTTTGCAAATCAGCGTTCCAAGATTGCGACTTTCTGCCCCGTTGGTGGTCGGAACAAAGTGGTTCCCGAACATATTCGCGCAAAACGTGAATTTGTAGTGCCCAGTCTGCGGAAATTCCATACAGCACTTAAGTAACTCCTCTTCTTTTTTAAACTCAGACGCAAATTTCCATCGAAAAAATAATCAAAAAACAATCGCCTGACAAGCAAATCATGCAAATCAACCAGGTGTCCTTATTTTGTGCTCAATTAAAAATTGTATACCCACGTTTACTCGAAACAGCTGCTTTGAAATGGATAATTGCAAGAATCCCTGCACTTTGTAAACATACAGTACGTAATTGGCCCCTACCAGCGGATCCGATTTCTTGTAAACTGTTATCCAAACTCCAACTTTAATCGTCCTAACACAGCTATAAACGGCGCTCTAGATTATCTTCTCTGATAGAGGGACCACGAAAAGATGCTTTTAGAAAGCAGCAAAAGAAAATATTCGACCTCGTAATTGATGCGGTAATCAAAACGCAAGAAAATAGCTATCGGACCCGCAGAAAAATTATTTCCGCCACGGAAGAATGCTTTTGCTTTATAAGTTTTTCGCAAATAGAGGAAATTCTTGAAATCGCTGAACGGGTTTCGCGGGTCAAGAAAAAATTGCTGACAAAAGCCATAAGATCACGTGCTTACCTTTCCCTGCCTTTACCCGTCTGAGACCCAACCTGAGTCAGGCTTCGAAGAGCTAAAATGAAAAGCCGCGTAGCGGCTTTTTTCAAAACAAAGCCGCAAAGCGGCTTCGCAAGAAAATCACTCTTATGTTTAAAAAAAAATCAGCGAAGCCGCTTTGCGGCTTCGTTTTGAAAAGAGCCGCTACGCGGCTTTTCATTTTAGCTCTTCAAAGCCTGACTCAGGTCTTTCTTAGACTCTAGCTGAGTCATTCCTATTGTACAATCTTCCTCAACTCCGGTATTCCGCAAACAATTTGTGGGTCACTTATTAAGCTGAATTCTATCGATAAACACTCTCAAAAGACGGACGGAAACGTGAAGAAAACATGTTGATTTTCATATTTGTCGATGCTCGCGTGACCGAGGTGGCCATTCTTTTAGCATACCATCTCAGCCCGGAGCGGCCAACGAAAACGGCAAACGATCTCATGCTTCTACTTTTGATAATGCGCAACTCTTAACGGATTCTTTTAAACATACGTGGTAGAGTCCAATATTCTGGGCATATTTTTGACGAGCAGACAATGTCTACCAGACTTTGAAAAAAAAATTTGAAGAAACAAAAAAGCCCTATCATATATTTTCTAGAGACGAATTTTTGTATTTTTATTATCCACACTTACAATCTATTTCAATATCTTTTCCTGCCCTAAGGCCTGTAAAACGTGGCCCTATTCCCCAAGTTCAACAACTCAAAGAAAAAGATCCTCAAGTTGCACTTGCTTCATAGTGTTGTGGATTCGCTTTGCTCATCTCCAAATAAGGAAATGAGATTCGCCGCACCTGTTCAAAATAACTTTCGCTTGGCCTCGGCCACTTTTCTGTTCACTCTATCAGACTCGTGATTACGAAAACCTGCATAATATACGCTTTTAACAAAAACTAAAACCAGAGCCTTCATTTCGCCTAAACTCAGCAAAAGCATAACCACAACAAATTGGTACCAGGAAGATAACGAACCGCGCCGCACAAGACCATCGATAAGAGAAACTGGCACCAAACAAGAAATTGGTACCAGGAATCAACGACCCGCGCTGGAGGAAACCTGCAAAAAGAGAAAAACTGTGACCAAACAACGAAATTGGTTTCAGGATGCTTTCTGTGGATCAAACAAGAAATTGGTTCCAGATAAAAAGAAAAAAAACCTCCTGTAAGTAAATCCCCGCAATGTCTACAGAAAATCTGCACTGTCGTCATTATTTTGGGAACTTTTTTGGATTTATTCGCTGGTGGATTTGCTCACTTGTGGATTTCCGTTATTTATTTTACCGTTGTGGATCGCACGCCTTTTGGACGAATTTCTAGCGAGACGAATTTCCAATAAAGCTTTTGGACGAATTCTTGCTAGACGAATTCCAATAAATTCTGCCTTTGGACGAATCTTCAGCCGAACGAAATTCCAAGCAAGCATTTGGACGAATTTCAGTTGAACGAATTTCCAATAAATTCGCTACAAATTATAAATTGCTACAAGCCGCCACAAAAAAAAAAAAAAACGATTACCCGACGATTAACTGGGGGGAAGGGAGTATCGCAAAATTATATAAAATTTATCTCTTCTCGTCAAAAAATAAGTTAATCGCCGTCAGCGCATTGGAAATCGGACTTCAATTCTGCTCTTGCAACCGCATAAATGATACAGACTTGATCCCGCATGGAAAACTGGGTATCATTCCGCTTCTGCACTGCTCTAAAATCTGCTAAAATTAATTGGGTATCATTCCCACAGCACAGCTACAGCAACGCACAACCAATTGGGTTTCATTCCCACTGCATTTACAGCTATTTCTTCTGGTACGCCGCAAACTACCGTGCCCGCATAGAAGATCAAATCGCGCAAATAAAAATTAGCTTAATGAAATTAATCCGCGATCAGAAAAGAATATTTGAACATTGGTGGACTTTATCAAATCTGCAAACTTCGCGCGAAAATTCTACTCATCACATGCTGCACCCGAATCTGGGGGGATGTTGTGGATTCGCTTTGCTCATCTCCAAATAAGGAAATGAGATTCGCCGCACCTGTTCAAAATAACTTTCGCTTGGCCTCGGCCACTTTTCTGTTCACTCTATCAGACTCGTGATTACGAAAACCTGCATAATATACGCTTTTAACAAAAACTAAAACCAGAGCCTTCATTTCGCCTAAACTCAGCAAAAGCATAACCACAACAATAGTTTCATAAGAGCATTTATTACTGAGTAAGAGGCGCAAAAAGCGATTGGACGCGTGCAGAAGGTGAAAGAGTAGAGAATTCGTCATGGGTTTTGTAACGAACCTTTCTGATAAGGAAATGTTCCAAAAACTTTCGAGGAAATAAAATAGAGATTTGAAATTGGAGAACAATAAAGAAAGGATGCGAGAAAGGCGCTGGAAGAGTTGAACGAAAATCCGGAAACGAGGGATGAAAAAATTCAAGGTATTTTTCAATTAAAAAAGGGGTTTTTTCGCTTAATTTTCTTTTTCCTAGAGTTGAGACGGCTTTGCCTCGATTCCCCAAAAATCCCTGAAGTCTGCAGAGAACGGCTAGACGACGTCTTTCTCGTCCGATTCCTCCGTGTTTCAAAATTCGATCTCGATCGAGCACTCAATCGTCTGGAAAACTACTTCCAGCTGCAAATCGACTGGCCGGAGAATTTTGGCGACTTCCGATTCGAAACGATCAAACCATTACTTGAAGCTGGAATGAGCCAGTTGATGAAGAAAAGAGGCGAAGACGGGATGAGCACAATTTGTTTCAGAGCAAAAGAGTGGGACTATGAGAAATATCCGATTAGCATGGTTTACAGGGCGGCGACTTTTGTGTTTGAATACTGTCTTCTAGAGTAAGTTTTGAACCGATTAACTGACTGGATCAAAAAGCCAATTCTAGTGAATCATTCCAAATAAACGGCTGCCGCGCTGTTGGAGACATGTCTGGCCTATCCTTCGCCTACATGCGGCACATGGAAATCCGAATCGTCAAAATGTGGGCCCGGGCGCTTGATAAATGCCTTCCCGTCAGAACGAAGAGCATGATCATCTTCAATCAACCGTCGTTTATCGTGATGATTTTCAAGATCTTCCAAATGGTCATGTCCAAGAAAATGAGGGAACGAATGCAGATGTTTGGCAAGAATGAAGGATCTGTCAGGAATTGTTTTTATTATTGATTTTCTAAAGATTAAAATCATGGTTTTTTTTTCTGAATAAAATGATAAACGATGAAAAAGACAAATTCTTCTTGAAAATGTCGGCGAAGAAAGCCTTCCAGAAGACTTCGGCGGAACTGTAACTCAGGAAGAAGCGAAAAAGTTCCTTGAAGACATAGAAGAGAAAGCACCGCAGATTGAAAAAAGCTTTTCCTACCTTCAAAAGCTCTATGAAAAGAGCGGCACTGAACTTTAAACGAATAAATCAAGTGATTCAAATAACGCAAAAGCAGTAAAAATACGCAGGAGGCTGGTCTTTTCCATTACTCAAACAGCGGAATTTCAACTGATCAAATACAGTAAGCAAATAGATCTCAGCATAAAATAGACAGTGGTAGCAATCCCTCTTTCATAACAAAAAAAATGACAGTAATAAGACTGATCAAAGACCACCAGCTCGGATATGGCTTTTCCTTCTCTAGAAATTTTAATTCTAGCGATAATAAGGCCATCATTGCTAAAATAAAGTCAAACGGACCGGCTGAAAAAGCAGGACTATCGATCGGCGATGAGATTACGGAAGTTAATAGAATTTCTGTCAAACAACTGTCTTATCCTGAAATCGTTGAACTCATCAAAGAGTCTCCGTCTTTTCTCTTGTTGAAAATTGCTGAAAAGGTTCCTGAATATACAAACAGTAATGAGGTAAAATTATTTAAAAATTGTTTTCCCATTTTTTCAACTTAATTTTAGGCACCTCTTCCTCGACTTATTGTTCTATCACAAGAAGCTCTCAAATCATTCCACTTCGGTTTCTACGAGCAAGGGCTGATCATCTCTTTTATACAAGAAAATGGCCCTGCAGAAGAAGCAGGACTGAAGTTAGACGATCGAATAATTGAAATCAACAATATCAATGTCGAAAATATGCGCCCACAATTTGTACTCGATTTGCTGCATGGAGATGAAGAGAAAATAGAAATTTTAGTGGTGAACAAAGAATATGATTCATACTGGAAAAACTACAGAGCAGAACAAGGAACGATAACGAAATTTTGAACTGTATTTTTATGCATTTTAACAAACTCTGACCTACAATTTGCAACTTGATTCATAATGTCAGCATTCGGCAAATATTGGGAACAAATAAAATGCAGTCATTGACACTTTGGCCTTTTTCCGCTGAACTTTTTGTCAGAAATAAAAATGGGAGATAGCGTAAGAGAGAAAATCAAAATATATCAACAAAATGGTCATTTTAGGTCCCGTTTTTGGTGACATTGACGAATAATGGAGGTTATGGGTTCTCGTTGAGGGGCGGACAATATATTTCAAACGTCAAAAATGGCAGCCCAGGAAAGATTGAAATAAGTGGATAGTGAAATGAATGATCTTGGGAGAAAGATTTGATTTAAAAATCTTTAATAAAAAGCCCATCAAGCGGGAATAACAACAAATCATAAGCTTATTGAAGTCAACCGGATATCAACAGAGACTTTGACCCATGGAGAGATCGTCGAACTCATCAGGTTATTTTCTCCGTTCTTTTTGCTTTCTTGATATCAAAAGATTTAAGAGAGTCGCCGGAATCTCTTGAGTTATTGCTCATCGGAAGCTCAGCCAGCGCTCCAACTGTTTCAGATGTAGATACGCTCTTTTAAAACAGTTTTTCTAATGCTTTTTTTTAAGATATACGAAGACCCTCTTCCACGATTCGTCACGATTCCCACTTCTTCTTCTCAAGGATTTTCTCTCGTCAACCATCCTGCTGGTCATTTCGTTTCAAGACTGACTCCTGGTGGACTCGCGGAGCAAGCCGGCTTGAGAATCAACGATAGAATAATTGAAATCAACAAGGAAAATGTCGAAACTACTCCGCATCAAGAAGTCGTTGATATCATCCGGCTTTGCGGAGAAGAAGAAATATCGTTGCTCGTGGTTGATCGGACTTATGACTCATTTTGGGACGAGTATGAGAAGACGAAGACGGTTCAGTTGCTCAAGAATCCGGATGGAATGGGCTTTGCAATAAAATTTCTCGGCGAAATAATGTAAAAACGAAAGACATAACCTTTTTAATTAATTAAGACGAGTTGATGAAGATTCCCAAGCTTATGAAGCCGGCCTAAGACAAGGAGATAAGATCAAGAAAATAGATGGTTTTGATATTGAAGGCTGGAGACATGGACAAATCGTTGATTTTCTGAGGCAACGGCTGAATCAGAAATTTCCAGATCCAGTTAACCTTGAGCTTAAAAAATCTGAAGATAGTACAGAAATTTCTTTTCTGTAGTCAGTAATTCAGTGACAATAAATAAAGTCCTTGAAACTCCCTGAAAATGAATTCATTTCCTTATCGCTCTAAATCATCTGGGTACACAGGAGATTTCTAAAACTGCAGCTGGACAGTAGGCCAGACTGTCCTCATCAGCCCGCCCAACAATCAAGGTCCCTCTGGCTGATCGTCTGATTCCCTCACCGGATGGCGCAGCATAGACTATGCTGCATAGTTATAAACTCCCTTGGTCCGTTTTCCAGAATCACAAACACAGAAAAACTAAAATAAGAATAATGAATGTCAGTGAAGTTTCATTCCGCGAAATCGCCAAACCAGTGTTTCTCACCTCGAGTCCGAAAAGAAAATCCCTTCGAGAGAAGCAGTACCAAAGCTTCTGTGCAAGCAACGAGTCACGTGGTTATGGAACGATGAAGAGCTTTCATTGCTCGACGACGAAAAAGCTGCTGAAACCAGTTCCTAGTGGAATAATTTCGCCAATTGATGCAGATCGAACGAGCCAACACTTTCTGTCTTTGAATCTCACTCAATCTCCAGAAGCGAGAATTCCGGCGCCGCCCTGTTCAATTCAAGATTCACAAGCCGAAAGCGACTCTGATGACTTCGATGACTTCGACGTTGACTTGAATTTGACCCCGACAAATGTCCCTCTCCGCTCCACTCATGATTTGGCCTCGATCGACCTTTCCGTTGACTTAAATCAGCCACTACAGTGCCCAAAATGCCCTAGTTCCTTCGCCACCGACCAGGCCTACTCGAAGCATCAAGAAGAACATCTCAAATTAATTGGAGCACCTCTTCGAACCTCCATCAGCTGCAGACACTGTCAAAAGAAATTCAAATCGAGTCTCAAGTTGAAATGGCACCAGGATAAACATCATTCTTCCGAGATGGAAGTATTAATGGTGCTTTAACAAAAAAACCTATATTTTTGTAAATAAAAAAAACAGAGTTCAAAAAACAAAGAATTTTAATCTTTTTTGATGCTTGATATTATTTATTCAAAAATGTACAATGGAAAAAGTGGTCAAATTAGGCCAATCCAATTTTCAAATTAGTCAAATTAGAAAATTGATTGCAAAGCCACAGACGGAGCCCCAAATCACACCACACGCGTATGATTATTTGATACGACGTTCTGGTGCGTGCCTAGGAGCTTTTGACCGCGAGCGTGGCCTTGCACCGCAGATGTCGAGTGTTTCTTTGTCTTGAGCAATTCCGCGCATTTCAGGTAGAAGAAGAAACCTGAATTATTGAGTCGGACTTAATTAATACTCATTCTTCTTGACGGAACTACTTAGTAGTAAGTAACTAAAGATAACCTAATGCAATGAAGCCGAGAATTCCCCAGAGGATGATGAAAAACCAGAGCATGGGCTTGAACGAACCATATCCAGTCTGAATATTTATGCTTGATGAAGATGTATTGATTTTGAGTTAGTGCAAATTAGCTTGATTGCATTTCAGAAATAACATTTTTACATGATCCATAAAGTCTGATTTAAAAAAAAGCCTAAAGACCAAGCAAATCTAACTAAAAAATAACCAAATCGTTCCTTATTTTTACTTATAAAATGAAGTGTCTTGAAAAAAGTAAAATATTTTTGGATAAAAAAAAAATAAAAATTGGGATTGATTGGGTTTTTTTATTAAACTTTCCCTCAAAGTCTTCGTTCTCAACTACATAGAATTTCCTCGTTTTTTACTGAAAACCGAAATCTAATGCGCAAAGCAAGTGGACTCTCAAGTGGAAATAAAATTAAAAACGAATTTTTTCTATATGAAACCCAATGACTCATTGGCAATGAGTGAAGATAAAAACTAATGAAAATAATTACCTGTTCATTTTTCATCTTTTTCCTCTTCAATTTTCCTTCCCTTCTTCATAAATATATCTCTCCTTTTCGTTATTTTCCTTTCAACTGTCAGCCGACAGTATTCGATCTGTATGTTGTTGCGTCTGGAGCTGTCTCCTGTTGACAGTAAATTGCGCCGCTTCCAAATCTGGAGTCTTCTTCGTCTTTTTCGCAAAGTGGCGTACTCGCTGGTGTGTTTTTTGTCAGTGCGTACGAATTAAAATTTATACGCCCCGAGGCGAGTGTATATAACCTAAATTGATTTTATGCCAAGTCAAGCACGGGTAACAGGTTGACACCTGAGCCGGATCAGTAGGGACAAGCTAGGAGCACTAAGTTTTTCAATAAATTAAGATTTCAAAACTTATTTTTGTGACTTCCAATGTACAGTAAGTCAAACTTGCTAAGAGATTTTAATATAAATTATTTTTTTATTTTTTGTTTGACTCTAATTTTACCTCTATTTTCATTATTTCTTCGCTTTATTGTTCAATTTTCGCAAGTTTTAAATCTCTATTGGCATTATTTGATTATTCAAAATGGAGGTGGTAAACTTGAAGTGCCTTTTGGGTAAGTGACAGATCGAACAGCTCCCCAGGGGACGAAGGTTCTCACCGCGGGCGAGTTGAGCCAAATTTGCAGAATTATCGTTTCTGATGCATGTTCCGAGTCAATATTTTCGTGTTATAAAAAAATCCACGGGAAACGGAGCTAAAAGTCATCAAAAATAAATAATAAAACAGACTCACTCTTTTCGTCTTTAAAAAATAAGTGTAGGTGAAATTATTTATTGCAAAAATGTGTTTTAGTATGTTCAGAGCCTTCAGAACATTTGCTGTTTGAGTACGACTCTTCTTCTGAAGATTCTTGTCTACAGTATTTTTCCATGAAGAATCTTTCTGTCAAATAAATACAGGATAAAAAAGATCGCTTATATAATCCCAAACTCAAAAAATAGACCAAAGTCTACCATCAATTTTTACGTTTTCTTTGCATCCCAATAAGTTGAAATACCACCGAAGTTTACAAAAAAAAGCAGCATTCTTCAGAGAAACCCTGAAGATGAAACTTTCCTTCCTTTTTAATACGATATCTGGGGCTAATGCGATTTTGGAAGATCTCAGCCCGGCTGGAATCTTTGCTGAAGGGGCGAAGCTGGGCTCGATAACCTGTGAAGATAATCTGAGTCAAGGACCCTAACTCAGGGTTAGGGTTTTCCTTAATCCTGAGTCAGGGCCTTGACTAAAGTATCTACACAGGATCTCGAGCCCCGTAAAAAGCGAGCAGGACTTCCAGAAAACTTTTCTTTTGCAAATTTTTTCATGAAGATTCGTCGAGAATTAGATTCATTTGAAAAACGACATCCTGAGTTTACTGATTCTGGAATTCGAAGCGATACGAGTCAACCAACTGCAGAGAGAATTTGCAAAGAAGAATTCGGAGAAGATGCAGTTTCTGTCTTTCTTGGAGAAGGCGGTCAAGGAGTGGTTTACAACTGCTCTTCTGAGGAAGCGGGGGTTGCCTATGCTCAGAAGCTTTATAAGAATCCGTTTTTGATGGATCCTGAGAGGGCGGAAATTGTTGATTCAGGTCGAGTTTCGATTTTTCATTGTAGCTTAAAAACCATAACAGCTAAATTTTTTTTATAAAACTGAAAAATTAAAGAATCAGTTAATTGAAAATATTTAATATTGAAAAAATCATCAGTATTTCCCCCCAAAGCAATAAATCAAACTCAAAAAGCAATGTCAAATACAGAGAATGGCCCGGCCATTTACAAGTTTTTTGAAGAAAATCTTGACGTCAAAGATTGCTGCGATCTTTCAGGTAAAAATCTTTCTCTCTGTTTCTTTCAACTTCCACTCTTAGCCTGCGAGGATCCGCCAACAAGTGGCTGCGCCGACTGCACAGCATGCGATCAAGCGGCCGTTTTTGGCAAATTCGAGGAATTGCTTTATGGAAAAGACATCACAAAATCGGATTTTGACGCGAACGATGAGATCGTCTACAAAGCTTTCACAAAGAAACTCGCAAAACTACATCAAGTAACGCAGAAAGAATGCGACAGAAAAGTCGGATTCTGCTACGAGTCCTGGCCATGGAACACAAGAGCCGTCGCAACTCACTTGGACTCCTGGGGAGTTCTCGCGAAGGCTTTCTTGGGAAAATTGATCAAGGAATATCCATCAGAAAATATCAAAACTTATGATGACGCTGTCAACATGTTGTATGAAAATCTTTATGCGACCATGAGCCCAAGTAAGAAAAAAGAGCAAACAACATTCTTCAAAGCATTTTAGCTGTTTGGGCTCACAATGATCCTCATCCAGGAAATATCTTTATTCGAGATGAAGGAGAAACTTTAGGTAATGGGCAAAAAAATTATCATTATTGACCCCTTGGCTAAATTTTAGACGAAAAAATGCTGATAATCGACTATGACAACGCAGAATTCGGGATGCGAGCTTGGGATCTTATGTACTACGCCAATTCTGCCCTGGTTTGATTATGCATCTCTTTTGAAATCTACTCTGTTTTAGCTTAATGGAGAAAAATTCCAGGACTACATCAATTCCTACGTCGAAAATTACAATCAAATTGGCCCTCGTGAATTCTCATACGAAGAACTTATGCAGGAGCTGATCTGTGTCTACCCATGGCTGTTCTTTGATTTTGCCAGCTTTACATTCTACTGGGATGTTGAAGTCAGCACAGCTTGCTTTTTTGCGTGGAGAGTTTTGATCGAAGAATACGAAAACGGAAACTGTAAGTCATTTTTCAGAAGAATTCTTATGAAAATCATGTTTGTTTTAGTATCCTGTCCATCAACCGGAAGATACCCTGAATACCCGAAATGCTACCCGATCGCCTGAAAAAATCAACAACGAGTATTATTTTTTGTGATGCAAGAAATTTAATTAAAGAAGGGAATAAAATAAAAATGTAAAAGGGTTAGTCAGTTCGTGAAGCAAAATTCGTTTCAGTTAGTCTTTTTTTTCGCATGTCTCGACTCGTATTTACTCAAGTGGGCAGCTGAATCGGTCTCGGATTCGCTTTCGTGACTTAGAGAGATTTCGGAGGACTCGGTTCAGGTCTCGGTTGGAGGAACCATCGCAATCGGCTAGAGAAATGATGAGAAAGAGGATCATGTTGGCGGTACTTACAGTTGTACATCTGGGCCCAAGTAGAGATCTTGTTGAAAAGTCGCCATTGTCCGATGCATGGGTTGTCGAATCGGGTCTGTTGAACGTCAAGCTCTTCCAATTCTTCGACAAAAGCAGCAAGTCTTGCTTCATCGTCCTCCTGGGCTGGGCAATCTCGCTCCTCGTATTTGCGGATCAAACCTACAACGATCAGTTTTTGTCATCTTCTTTTTCCTTACCTGGAACAACAATCGAGACAAAGTTGAACTCCTTCTGAATTCGTCGTCGCCAGCCGGGAACAGGAACGTTGACGATGTGACGATCAATCATATCATCAAGCTTGATGTATGTTCGCTGGAGGATTCGGCCGGGGGTGTTCTTCTCGACGAACTTGCACCACTCGCCGTTGCCGTAGTACTTGTAGTCGCATCGGCACTTGGCCTCGCCGGTGTGCAACTCGTGGCAAGTGGCGTTTTCATGGCAGCTCATGGCATCGCAAGGGCCTTCAAAGATCATTAGATGACTCGTGAGGGGGATGAGGGGAAGGGGCAAGCCCCTAATGTTGAGATTGAGGGGGTTCTAGGGGATACTAACAGGGATTTAGATTCTCTTTACTTACTGGATCCGGAGCCCTCGCCGCTCTGAGCTGCGATGAAAGGAACGAAAAGAGTAGCAAGCTTCATTTTCTATTTATTAAAAAGTTGTGTTTTTATCTTATCGATAAAGGTGATATCACGCTTTGCCCTAGCAATCGCGCCGATTATAAACTCATCCGGAGACATTTGATGTCACTTTGGTGAATTTGTATTCTGTGAGAAAGATTGGCACACACAAGGGTCAGTCCATTTTTGTTTCGAGAAATTGACAAAATTGATGGGAATGGGAGAGGAAAATGGTGAACTTGAATAACTTTTCGAATTCTAAAAGGTGAGATAATGCCGTTTTTTAGCGAAAATGTAAAAGGAGCTCATTTGAAATCGAAAAAGTCTCAATCAAGTATTTGCAAATAGGGCGAAATTGCTCGTAAATTTTCTTAAAGGGCAGAGTCAACCAAGAATCTTCAGAATGTTTCTCCCACATCTTCCAAATGAAATTCCTGTTCTAGGAGTCGAACAGAGAAAAAACTCAACAGAGAATAAAAAAATCGATAAAAGTAAGAAATCGTTAATTACGAACTGCAATAAAAACGAACTCAAAAGTAAGAAATATATACGCGGAAGTCCTTATCATTGTTAACGCTATGCCCAAGTTCTTCACTTCCCAAAGTTCAAAATCAGAGACAATCAAAGTGTGGCGTCAAACCGCAAGAACAGTAATTCCTTTCCTAAGTGTACAATAAACGCGTTTCCAAAGGTCTGCTTCCCGTCGTTTTCAGCATACATTAGGAGCTTTTTAAACGTCGGGAAGCACCAAACTCAAAAGAGAGAGAGAGAGCCAAAGTTAGTCGCTTGGAATTGATTAGATTTGGCAGCAGTTAGAAGTGAAGAACAACAGTTAATTCGTCTGCGAACATTTTACGTCAGAGAGAGAAAAGTAGAGAGGAATACCTTGATCTTTGTCTAACTAGATTTCTCGTCTACGGCGCCGGTTGATTTAGAAGGATTATAGAAAAGGAATGCAATTACAAAGACCTATGTCTTGCTCGAGGCAAAACCTTTAACGAGATCATGTCAGATAAAAGAGAGAAAGAAAGTTCTTTTGGTTCTGAACGACCCTTTATTTTGATGTGATAAGAGAAAAAGAATAGTTGCACTCGGTTTTACGAGAGAGATAGTCAAGAGAAGGTCAAATAGACTGGAGATTATTCTCTTTCCTAAGATAAGACACACCTAGGGAAATTCTTTCCTCTGTCTAAAGAAATTTGAAAAAAATTTTTTTCAATAGAGAAAATTTTCAGTTTTTGAATTTTGAAAAAATATTCGAAAATAAAAAAAAAAAAATTCGGAAAAATTCGTCTGAAAATTAATTTTTTTTTTGATTACAGAAAGTGAAACTCTTCAGAACCTGTCAGTTAAAAATCGTAAACTCAGCACACTAGGAAAATAATGAAACAAAATAAAAAGTCGTTAATCTCCGTTCCTTCAGATTAGCCGCTGATACAAACCTTCCCAGACCACCAGCGGAAAAGAAAAATTTAAACTATGGTACGCAGAAAATTAGAGAAATGTTGAAAGAGAACCTTATTTAGGCAAATAACCCTGCTGCGGGAATAGACGCCAGCCTGCTGCAGGGCCAATTCGATGAGTTGAGAGAAGAAGTCGAGCTTCTGAGATCACAGCTCGACGAAGAAACTGCTCATGAATATGATGTAAGTCTTTAATATTATATTTACCCCGGTAAAATAGGTATTTGAAAGCAAAGAAACAAAAGAAAATCCCTTTTCCGGCTTATTGTGACGCGTAAACTTTAGCTTAGAAAGGTTCATCTTTCTCGTAAAATTCAGAACTCCAATTTTCAAAAAATAGTTTATTTCCGAAGATTTTTGAACTTGAGATCGCTCTTTTGTAAAATTATTTAGAAGCACTTAATCGATATTGACAAAAAAGATGAGTGAGCAATATAAATAATTAATTTTATCAAAAACCTTTCCTGGTTTTTTTTATCTAGTTATTAACCTCTCCCAAAATGAGACCATTGATCGGATAGTATGGAATACTCAGAGGAACATGTTCCCGGTCTAAGAGAAACGAACCTTGAAGAGGTAACTTGTAGTAGGTTTCTATGGTTTTTTATAAAAAATTCGAATGATAAAGAATTAACCGTTCCTTTTTAACCCAGATATTTAGACGATTGAAAATCACTTTTGCGGAGCGATATTCTACCCCCCATATTTCTTGTGCTCATTAGAAAGAGCAACTCCTAAGGAGTCAAATGGTATACTTTTGAGGGTCTGAGTCATCACATATGACGTCATAAGGACCATCCTTTGAAAAATGGTCATGTCCCCCTGTATCTCCGAAAATTTTCAGAGATATATGGAGATTTTGGTATCGTTGGAAAGCCGGGCTCAAACTGGCTATGAGCACAAGGTGTGCAAGAAAAAATTTCGAGGAAAATTTTTTTTTCGGAGACAAAAACTTTTCGCCCAAATTTTTTTTTCGGAATTTTCTATTGCGCATCTGGTGCTCATAACCAGTTTGAGCTGAGCTTTCCAACGATACCAAAATCTCCATATATTTCTGAAAATTTTCGGAGATACAGGGGGACATGACCTGACATTTTCAGGTACTTTAGGCACTAGAATTGGCGATTTTCCGTGGCTTCGAGACATAAATATTGTACCATTCGACTCCTCAGAAGCTGCGCTACAAAATGAGCCCAAAAAATATTGGGGTCCCGATTTTGCTCCGCAAAAGTCATTTTCATCTATCTTTAGCTTTTTATGCCTTTTTCAAGATTGTCTATGCGACTTCAAATTCGAGTCGTAAAAACGGGCTGGCGTCAGGAACCGACAAAAAATTTCAAAAAAAATTGCGTGGGCGGCTACTCGGCTGCTGATTGGCCGGTTTGCCGAATCAAGGGTTCTGATTGGTTGAAAGCTTCCACGCAAATTTGTCGAAATTTTTTCATCGGTTCCTGACAACTCCTCAAAACCGACATTTCAAGCTAAACTTATTTTCTTTTAGCTTACACTGGTGATGAATGCCTGTATGGTCCTGTTCATGCAGTCCGGATTCGCGCTGTTGGAAGCGGGCGCAGTCCGAGCCAAGAATGTGACAAACATTCTCATCAAAAATTTACTCGATGCATGTAAGTAAGTACTTTAAAATATAAAACGATCGACTCACCATTTTTTCCAAATCTGAAAGTGGAAAATTGCGGCTTTTACAAGATTATTAATTGCCATCTTTCAGGTGTCGGCGCTCTGGTTTATTGGGCGTGTGGATTTGCTTTCGCCTTTGGAAAGGTATTTGTGCTTGAACTTTTCCCTCTTGACGCTCTCTAGGTGGCGGTAAAAGACTACAAAACTGGAGAATACAGCGGGTACTCCTCGGCGAATCAATTCATCGGGCACAAGCATTTTTTCCTGAGCTATCCGGACTACAAATCGCCCTCGATTGAAAACTACCCCGTTCGAGTATTCCACGGGGGGTCGTTTTATGGAGAGTTTTTCTTCAATTTCGTCTTTGCGGCGACAGCAACGACGATCATTTCTGGAGCTCTGGCTGAGCGAGTCGAATTCGGGTACGTTTTTATTTATTTTATTTGAGCTCTGACCTGTTTCTGAAAGACGTTTATTTTTATAACGGAAAGGGAAGAATTTATAGATCTTGTTTTTGAGAGTCCGGGGTCAAGTTGAAACGTATTTCAGAGCATATTTGGTCTACGGAGTCATCGCTTCCGGTTTCATACAGCCAGTGACTGTGCATTGGGCTTGGTCGAACGGATGGCTTGTTTACCCGCCGGAAAGTTTGAAGCTTCCTCCGGCAGTTTGGTACAGAGACTATGCTGGTGGAGGAAATGTCCATGCGGTTGGTGGTATTGCCGCTCTGGTCAGTTGTATCTTTATTGGACCGAGATTGGGAAGGTTCTCGCCGAAAACGGGAAGGAAATTCCATATTCCAGGTGAAGTTGTTTTTTATTTGAAATAGTGCATTATGCATTCAGGTCACTCAACTCCTTTGACATGTCTTGGCGCCTTCATCCTTTTCATCGGTTTCCTCTCGATGGTTCTCGGTCACGGCCAATCAGTCGCCCAAGGAGTAACGAATTTAACCCTTGGCGGATCTGCTTCTGGGTTGACTTCCATGATGATCGTCAATTTAGAGCCAAAAGTCAAGGATTGGTGGAAATATACAGTAAAGAAGGCGAACAGATCGAGAGTTATTAAACCGAGAACATATTGGAGCTTCTTGGTCCTTGTTGATGCTACTTTAGGAACGAGTTGCAGGGTTTTTAAATATTATCATTAACGATCATCTTTGTGACTCAAAAAAGCTGGGATGGTGTCAATGTGCGCCGGCTGCGACGTTCTAGAGCCATGGGGTGCAGTCATAATCGGTGTCATCGTCGGTTTTGCCTTTCATTACGTTGAACATACGTTGGTTCATCATAAAGTTGATGATCCCGTCGGATCAGTCGCCGTTCATTTGGTTGGCGGAGTAATTGGCGTGCTTCTTGCGCCGGTTTTTGCGAAGAAGGAGCACGAGTATTCTTGGATTCATTGGAAGGGTAAAAAATATGAAGAAAAAAAATTATACGTTCAGGCTGCGACTACGACTGTGTCTCCGACAACGCCAACTCCACTTGTCTTTACACAACATCATTCGCTGGCGATGCAAGCGAAGGAAAGCGCGCTCTTCATCCATCTTGGTCAGACGGCGACTGCCTACACACGCCATTTTACCAATTTGCCTGGCAGCTACTTGGAATCATTTCGATTCTGGCTTGGACGATTGTCTGTTCCATTCCCCTCTTTTTCGTTCTTTGGAAGTTGAGAGTGTTGAGAGTCGATGCAGACACGGAAGTGAGAGGCATCGACATTGCGTATCATGGAGAACCGGCTTATCCTCTTGCTGCGCAGGGGCATGGATGGGACAATGAAGGTTTGAACTCTTTATTTGAAGAATGACATTGAGCTTTTCATAGGAGAATTTGCGGTCAACAACGTAGTGGACGGAAACGCCGGAGGCCGTCGAGACGTAAAAGCGCTCCTGAATCCACACGAAGCGGAGAGCTGGGTCGGAATGAACCCCGATGCTGGCCTCGTTGCTCTTGCCATTGCCTATCGAGAAAAGTAAGCGACACTTCGACGATTGAGTTTCAAGAAGAAGTAGCTTTGTGATTAAGAAATATTGGCTTGCCAGCCTGTCCTATGTGCTTTTCGAGAAAACGGCGGGATACGGCTTGATTACGGATATGAATCGAGATCGCAAAAATTACGAGTAATTCTAGTTTCTAGAGGTCGAAAAGAAATTAAGCTTGCTTACCGCAGTCTAGTTGCATTGAATTGTCCAAACAAAAATTTTCAGACACTACAAGCATCCTCAATTATTCAGCGGTCTAATTCAAACCGCTCTCGGTCCAGCTCTTCAAGACACTACTCAGATGTAGCACTTGCTACAGTAGCATACGAAGGTTTCGACAAAAACATACGAAAGTCGAAATATTCTAGCACAACCCATTTGATATTTCGAGCCTCCATTTTCAGTAACCGCATTTTTCACAGAAAAAAATGGAGATTTTCATTGAATAAATAGAAAAGGGCTGAAGAAAAAAGGCAAAACATAATTGCAATCCTAAATTATGTTTAACAAGACCGCTTGCTTGCCTCTACTTTTAATATTGCTCTTCAAAGTAACTATTGTTTTTTTCTAGATACTACAAGAACCCAGATACAAATGTTAGAAACGCTGTGGAATCGACGGTTGTTCCTTCACTTGTTCTTTCAACTGAGTTTTAACCTCTTTCTGAACAAACTAGAATCTGAAAATATACTATTTATGACTATTTACCATAAGTCCTTTGCAATTATGAAAGTTAAAATCGACAAATAAGACTGACACCGTCAGTTTTTGATAGAAATTTTATTTGGTAAAAGTTAAATTCTGAGTCATTATTGATGAGCAGAATGATTTCAAAAAAAGCAGGAATTGTAAGAAATTCATTCTTGGGGGAAACAGATTAACAGTTTTGGCAAGATAAATAACTCATAAATAAAACAATACAATTCAGCATTCACTCATCTTTTTTAAAGATGATTGGGTCAAAGGCGATATCGACAATTTTCAAAAATTTATAACAGAAACCTTGGAAAGAAAAAATCATCAAAGTATAAATTCCGAAATTTTCTATTTCTTCGCGAGTTTTTGGTGCATTGACGAAGAGAAGTGCGACAACGACAAAAATCGCAATGAAAATTTACATCAATTTCAAGATAATCGTGGAAATTTTCTGCTTTCTAACGCTCAAACTATATTGCAGATTTTCTGATATTTGCATAAGAGTGTCTAAATCATGCTGTCGCTTGTTACTCAGTGAACGGAATTCGTCAACCTGCTCCTTCAATACGCGGTTAGTCTTCACCAGGTCTATGTATTCTTTCCGAAAGAAACCAACATCTTCTTCATATTGATTCAATCTTTGAATAAACGATTCCATCAGGGCGGCACTCACGTTTTCTATTCCAAAGTCCACAGTGTTTCTGTAATCGCCAACAGAACTCTCTGACTGAAGCGTTTCGGGATAACTCGGATTCTCGTTTGTTTCAGTCATCTTTTACGCTCGAGTATTTTGTAAAAAATATGATTATACAAGAAAAATTATCAAAGTGAAAAGTCTATTTTGCGCGAAAAAATTCAAAGCAAATGTAAGGTTAATATTTAACAATACCGTCAAGGACTCTGACTGCATTACCACTATAAGTACTGTACCGGTTGTCGTAAGTATCTATGGCATGGAAGTAGACACTTTCAATTATTGTTTTTATAGAATATTTTTGTTTATTTACAAGTCAAAACAGAAGTGTCAACGAGTTCTAGACATGAATCCCTTTGAAAATATCAAAGGATAATAAGAAATCAAGAATAGACATGGGTTTTTGCGAGGTAAGGATTCCTTACTAAGGAAGACAGAAATATAATAAAATGTTTTTCGTTGCCTTAAAAACGTATGCATTTTTGGAACTAGCATGGAGCAGGCTGAAAATAAGGCATGAAAAATGAATAGATACGGAAAAATGAGGCAAAAGACGTTCAGAAATAGATTTTAAATATGCTCTTGAGCGATTTCTGGAGCTTCTTCGAGGCCACTGTTTCGGATTCGGATTATTGATTGCTGAAGAAAATGAAATAAGAGATGAAAGATCTGTTGTTTGGCTTACCGTGAAGATGGTGCTGAGTCGTTCAAGATCCTCAATTTGTTTCAACTTCGATGCTAGAATTCTTGTGTTTGGTATTGCTCGGACGAGTTCTCGGAATCTTGTCGGGAGGTTTCTTTCATTGAGCCAGTGTTGGAAGAGGAACCAGTACTTTTTGTTGAGCGCTTCGACTTGATTAGGGTCTTTCAGTCCCGCAATGTCTAAAAGGCATTATCACTGGCAGCAAAGATTAAATAAGGAACATAAATGAATCAAAGAAGAAATAAAATCGAAAAGAACTTTCTGAGCCCTATTTATTGTATTCAATTCAATTTACCGTGGTTGAGAAAATTGATCAGTTTGATGATTGACAATTCGTTCTTTGTAATTCGAAGCCCTGCAAATTGCGCGTAAACTCTCAGAATATCCTCGACGATGTCCAAATCTTCATCTTGGATTTCCGCAGCGCTAGAAATCCATCATTAACTGCGGTCCGCTTCGTTTTCTGTACCTAAGGGACTCTGATTTCTGAACTACTTCTCCGAGCGTTTGAAAGATATCATCATGGTGAATCGTGAATGTATAGAGAACCATAGTTTCCGCCCTGAAATGACATAAAAATAAGTGAAAAGGAAAACGTGAAATCAAAACCAAGTGTTCATAAGAAGCGAAATATGATCTTGAAGAGTGATTTCTCCAGCGAAGGGAAGAGACTTGGCCCAGTCGATTTGCTTTTTGAGCAGCTCATCTGCTGATTTGGCGAGAAACAGAAGCAGTTCCTAAATTTAAGGTAGAAATAAAGGGGTTGAAAGGGGCTTACGCTTGTATTTAGCGATTCGCGGGAAGCCACACTCTTGAGAATTCCGATTTGTTGGAAATGGTCGAGGTCGAGGATTTCTCCAACGGGGTCGATTTTCGGCACGATTTTGGGCATTTGAGGCGTTGAGGTGAAATTCATGAATTGTGGCTGGAAAACTGTCGCTAAAAGAAAAAATTGAAATCAAGGAAGAAAATAGGAGCGGTTTTTTAAAAGTTTGATTCTTACGAGGTGGATTTTCAGGAATACGAAGAGCTGGTGGCGCTGGCAGCTGCTGGATTGGTGGAGAATGATTCGAAATCGGCGTCGATTCTTTGTGGTTCTCATTGAAGACCGTTCCGTCCATGACCGCTGAAATCTCCTCTGCGCTCATTTGAATCGGCCCGATCGACTTGTTCCTTCCTCCCGGCATGCCATCTTCTCGAATCGCCTTTCTATTCATTCCCGCTTCGAGACATCTTTTCAGCCGACAGTACTGACATCGATTGCGCTGCTTTCGGGACATCATGCACATTTTATCCCTGGTGCAGCGGTAAACTCGGCGGTTGCAAATTGAGCGCTTGAAGAATCCCTTACAGCCTTCGCAGGAGATGATTCCGTAGTGGAGTCCTGTTGCTCGGTCGCCGCAGATTCGACATGTTTTTTCGCCATTTCGGGAGCCGATTTCGGATTGATCTGAAAATGAAATGAAAAATTAAATAGAAACCATAAAACTTTGAATCGTTTTTTTTTCTTTATAAAAATTTTGGGGGAGATTTTCTAATCCTTCTTAATTTATTTTAATATCAATCATAAAGACAATCAATTTCCGAGATGGTTAAAAAGAAACTTTTCCGAGAAGTCTTACGAGCAAACAAAGCGCATCCAAGTGTGTTGAAACCCTCGTCATGTTTTTATTTGTCCCGTCAATCTTCTTTTTTTTCTCCGAAGAGGGCTAAACTCACTCAGCCGCGAGTTAATTGTCTCACTCCGCAAAATTTTGGCGCGCCCCACTTGACAACAAAAAAAGGAGGACAAGGGATCAGACTTTTTGGGGCTATGCGAAAAAAAGGAATCGATAAATCCATACTTGATGGGCAAAGTTCGCGCAAAATAACACCCTTAACTTGAGTGCCTAGTATTCAGAATATAGATTTTTTCAGAATTAAAGAAAAAAAACCATAATTTTATTATTATTTTGGCCAAATTGAAGTTAAAAGATTTGATTTTTCTTGATAATTAAATTAGATTTTTATCAATATCGCAATTCGGTTGATTTTCGACTTACCATGAATATGAGAATGCGGAGGCGAATCAGAAGAATTGTCCGATCTTGAGCTGCCAGTATCGTTTAGCGAAGCGTTGGAAGAAATGTACGTTGGAGTCTGATTAAAAGCCTTGAGCGCCGGTGAAGTCGCCTGCTGAGTTGCGGGATTGAGATGAGGTCGGAAGAATTGCGCAGCGGGATATTGATAAGGGTTGTACATGCTCATCATTGGGTTGAAATTCATCGGAAATCTGAACGGAAAAATGGTTGGAATTATTATTATTATCTTTTGAAAGGCACAAGCGGCTTTCTTTCTAAATTAACAACTCTGAAGCTTACCTCATAACATGTGGAAGTGATGGTGTCGGAAGCCCCCCTACTTGGGGTATCCCTGTGCGACCTAAGTCCAGTGACATTGATACTTTCTGTCAGTTATCTCTTATAAAGTATAATGTCTCTGATTGAAAAGTTTGGATTTCTGAATTTCAAATCTTAGTCTTCTGATTTTGCTGAATTCTGAATTTGAATCTGAGTTCCGCTGACTGTGACTGAACGTTGTTGTTGTTGATCGTCGACCCAGACTTTGGTCGTTAGGCGGCGGCGAGAGGGCGGCCGTTGGCTCCGCGCCAACACTCAGACTTGATCATCCCAGACGCTCCTTGGCGCCTCATCCTCTTTTTAGAGGATCACGTCTGTCAAAAGACGAGGGATAAAGAAACAACGGCTGAGCTCCTCCTCCTCGTCTGGGCGCGGATTGTCTGATTCAGACCCGATCAAGTGGAAATAAACAAGTGATCGTTTCTGAAAACTGGTTTCTCAAAGTCTTCTTCATTTACTTTTTCAAGAAAAAGAAAACTTATTATTATGAATTATCTATCGTTCGAACCGTTTGCGTAAAAAGCGTTGTCTTTAATTCTTGTTTAATTATAAGTTATATCATTTTTTTAGAAACTCTTATTTTTTTAAAGTCTGAGTTTTAGACAGCTAAGTTTTCAAAAATTCGCTTGGGATCAATGATCTTTTCAAAAATCGATATGGATTTTCGTCCGACCGCCGACTGATGCTCAGTGGGATCCGTCAGATTTTCACGGATCAAGTTCTCTTAAACCAGCTTCGCTATTTCTTGAAGCGGAATAAGTTATTCCGAATAAGAGTACTTCCGCTCTGACAGAAGGAAGACACATTTCAATTAATTTAAACTGATTTAAAAGACCATAAGAGTGGTATTCAAAAGACCGATTGATAATTTTTAGATTAAACAGTTTTTGACCTATCCAAAGCATGATGTTTCCATTAGAATTTCTATGCGGCTTTACTTGAGTGAAATTTTAATAAAGGAATATAATATAATAAAGGAATGTACCTTGAAATCAAAAGTTGAAATGGGCGGCCCAACGTCAAGACATCCGATATTGAGTTGTCCTATTTTCGTCTCCGCGAAATTTTATGATCTCAGACACACAAAAACGAGGCCAGTACCAGACAAGTGCTCGTGTGAAGTTGTTTTCTAAGAAAACACCGCCAACTTTTCCCCCCTCGTCCCCTGCCTGACTGTAATACGGTTTTACTAATACTGAACTGAGCTCAGTAGCCGTGTTAATTGAGCAGTGATGATCCAAGTTGTGAAAGTGGGATGGATCAATTTCAAGATTGAAAATTAGGGCGATAAATGATTATCTGGCTTAAAAAGATTTGTCCTTGAAGAAAAATCAAGATCAAATTAAATTAAAAGGAGTAAAAAAGAGCTTTTTCTTAGTAAAAGCGTTGTACCTTGGCAATGATCAGAAGTAGCCCTGCTTTGGCTCAAGAATAAAACGCAGGGGAAGGTTTAAGTGTGGTAGCAAATGCGGGTTTTGGAAATTCTTTTGGCTAGTACTTTTCGGTAGCTAGTAGCGATGATAACGAACCTGCTTGCATCGGTATTACGAGCATTCTGAGATGTCGAGTCAAGTGGCTTCAAGTGGCCGACGCAAGTTTCTAGGCCATTTCGATGAAAACGAATACCAAAAACCACCAAAAGGAGTTTACCACTGTAAGTGAGGAATTTTTTCGTTTTCCCGTCCTTTTAAAATGAACTTTAAAAAAGACAAAAAAAAATTTTCTTTGTCAATTATTAGATCCGTTAAAATGGAGGTCACCAAAGTTGTTTGTTGGAAATAGAAGAAGTTTTGTTTGATCGAAAAGCAATTTCCTCGTAATTTTAATTACGGTCGAGCTGATCGGAATCAGTTGCCCGTTTTGCGTTAGTCTGCTGAGGCGTGAAAGCGGTGATTTTGACGAGTGGCGTCGAGTTTAGGATGTTGCTCTTTCAACTTGGTTGCTCAGCGGCCGCGACTCAGCCGGCCCTCGGCTCCAGCTCAGAAGACACGCTCCGCCAAGCTTGAACAACTCCCAAAGCTTTGAGCACCTTGAGATGCGCTTCAGAGTTCATTGAGTTTATCCATCCTGCTTTTCACAAATTCCATTTAGATTTGAACATAACTTTTGCCAAAAAATGGCCTTCCCGGTTCTAGCTCTAGAATTTTTGGCCTGCAAGAAAAACAAGAACACACTAGAATCAGCAAACAAACGATTTTGACTGACTCTTTTTTTTTACATTTTTGCGAAAGAAATTGATTTTATTCAGGTACAATTGCGGTCATCGTCGGATGATGGTAGATCGTTTGCTCGTTCGCCTTTTTCAGGAAAACGATTACATAGCCGCTCGGGCCTTTATTCGGCTCGTATCCTTCGTCAATTTCTCCATTCTTGGAGTCGTTTTCGTTGTGTAGACTTACTTAAACGTTCTACACAACGATTGATTCGCTTTCTACGAGTATTTATTAATTAAAAAAATAGGAAATCTCAGGTACTTACGATTTTCTTGTGCCTCTCGGACGGAATAAATCCGTAGACTGACCATCTCACTAAAAAAGGCCTCACAACAACTTCTGCTCTAGAAAGATTTTTGCAAAAAGCGATGTTTTCAAAAAGATGGAATTTTTCATCTAGAGATTTTCGACGTTTCTTGATCAATTTTTTTCGACTTTTATAGCGATATGGACGATTTAAAATTAGATTTTTCGACAAAATTTCGAAATTTTCGACGAGAATTTCGATTTTTTTATCAAAAAGATTCGAGTTTTTCGACTAGGATTAGAATATCAAACGTACTTTTTGGAATACTCTAAAGTTAAAAGTAGAAACTTAAGTTCGTTCTCGCCCGCGGCTCGTATCAGTAGAAGTAGCACTTTAAAAAAGGTTGCGATAAGGCCTTCCACGTGGGAGGTGCGACCACTGCTGATTATTTTCTAAACACTTGGGCCTCAGCGACGTTCCTCTCAGAAGAAATAACACGTAACGTAGTTTTAACGCAAAATCGGGCGACGACTTTAATTTTGCGGCTTACTTGAGGCCGCTTAACACGTGCTCCAATTTTTCGTACTGAAAAAAACTTCTCAAAAAGTAGACAAAAAATCGAAAATTCCAAAGTCTTGCCACTTTAAAAGACTATTTTCCAGACAAAACTTGTCCCATTTCTTGTCAAGTTCTTTGGGAAACGGAGCGGATGGCGGATAGAAGCTGCGGGGTCTAGCGGCGAGGCTCATGCATATCTCGCGTGCACTGCGTATTCGACGTACGTGGCGATTTACCTCGTTACGGCAGCGCTAGATTTACGAAGATTGAGCGACGCCATCAATTTAACCTCGACAGATGGCCTTCTACACGGGTTAATGCAGGTTCGAGCCGCGTCATTTTCTTCCCATGAGTTTTAGTGGTACTAAAGAAGAATAAATAGAAAAAACGCTTTGACGAATTTTGAAAAGACGCGAATTTCGGTAGAGAGCAAGGCTGATTATTTGAGTTTCGTGCGGTTTCCGTTTTTGAAGCCTCGCACTCGTATCAGCGCGCTTTCTCGTTATCTGTCAATTACAGATGTTACACGTCAGAAGGACACGCCGCGGGTTGAAAGCTCGAGAACTCTGACTTGTCACTTGAATCAGACTTTTTGACATTTTTCAATAATAAAATTCTAAGAATATTTTTTGTAGACAATAAAAAACAGTCTTTTTTTTGCAAATCAAATTGATTTTCGAAACTATTTTTCGTTTCAAAGACTTTGGTCAAAAAATTCATCGAAAATGAACTTTTCTTATCAGAATATTTAAAATTCTGAATATTCAGAATATTCGACTTTGATTTTGAATTTTGAATTTCGAAAAAAATTCTCCGAACTTGACTTGTCCGGATTTCACCCAGGATTAAATCAATCCCTCGTAGATGAAATTTGCAGCTTTATTTTCACTGCAGCGCACACTAATTCCTTGAGAAAATACCGCAGCTCTTTAGATAAGCTCAAAACGTGGGGTTGAAAAAATCAGCACGAGTTTCGTTTTCCAATTTCATTTTTCAAAGTAACTTTTGATCAAAAAATTTGCTCGACAAGCATTTTCGACTATCAACAAATCGAAAGAATTAGCGCTTCTGACCCGTGTGGGCACAGCTGTTTGACTCTCAGCGACTTAGTAAAGCGACTCGTGAATTTTTCGCAAAACGACTTATGAAGATTTGTGCCCACGATTTCGCCATTGCACCATTATGCTTGTTTTGGGGTTAATTTTCTATCTGGGGCGGCGGCGGATGACTCAAAAATGTGAAACAAGAATGGCAACGCTCAAAAGAAGAATGCAGTGATTTCTAGTGGAGAAAAACAGAGTCAACTTTCGTAATTCAAAAACGCTCCCAAGTCACTTTTGGACATCCTTGTTTGACGTTTATTCTGACAAGGGCGAAATAGGCTTATCGTTACGCTAGCTTATCTTCAGGGATAGTTCCTCTCACGCTTACTACGCATGGTTAAAGATAAAGAGTTACTCTGGTTGAAACTAGTTCAGGTGTCTATTTTCTGCTGACATTCGTCAACTTTTGCGTTGAAGAAGTCTTCTGAGTTCTCCTTGGAATTCCAAGCCGAACAGGTTGATCCGATTACGTTCACGTTCCTTCGTAAAGCCAGCGAAAAAGTTGGCAGCAATCCAAAAACTCTAGAGCTCCATCTCCTTTTCAGCAGAATTTCTAAAGCCAAGCTCTAAAGAACCCCTCTAAGTGGCAATTTTCGAAATTTCAACCTTCGCTAACTCCGTTCTCGCGCTCGAATTTCAATAAGCCCTCGTTTAATGATGATCAGAGTGATCCCTCCCCGGATTTTCAAAGTGGATAATTTCATTTTTGACCCTCCCGTGTTTTCGGGTTAAATATGCGGTCGCTTCCGAGTACTACGGAGTTAGCGAGAGACACGAGACGCACTTTGATGACGAATCGTATCATGACGATATTTTTCACCAAAATAAATTTCCACTAACTAGGCCTGAACTCGTAAAAGGAGAAAGAATGACTTGGAGGAAAAAGATTAGGCCACGTTTTCGTTAATCCTAAACGAGGTACTTTTCAATTTGTTCTTTTGAGAATCACATTTGCTCCCATACTTACCAATAGAATGACGGTCTGGCTCCGTTTCTCAGTGAGACACGTTCGAAAGAAGCATGCTCTGTACTCAAGAAGGAAAGGGCGAGCTTGTTCTAACTAGCCTTGAGGCTGAAGCACGTGAAGATTTCTTGTCGATCAGCTTTTTGAGCTTGGAAAATTTGACCCCAGGACATTTTCTGTCTAGAAGTAGAACTACTCGTCCTACTTTCTAACGCTACTTTTCAAAGGTTCGTTACTTTGGCTTATAAAATCTGACATCGAGGTACTCTTTCTGCGAAAATCATCAGAAAAGCTTACAAAAAATGTAAGGGCATTTTTAAAGACCTTAAAAGCGTGCTGAGAATTGTGAATAGCCAAGAAATTTGAATAAAAATCAGTTTTCTTCCTTGATTTCAATCAGTCTTTCATCAAAAGTTGCCGATCCATATTGATTTTCGAGAAACGAGATATTTGAGAGGAGATCTCGAAATGCAAAAAGTGGTACGAGCGGATACGTTCAGAGAATCCCACGCTCGATTTCATGAACGCTCACGCGTGCTCGCGCGCGCCAACTATCGAAAGTGCTCCAAGCGCCGCGCTATAAAATCATCGCATCAGCACTGCGAAGATCAGTTCTAGCTCAAGTATCTAAACTCTTCTAAAACTTTTCAAAATGAAGATCGCCGCCACCCTCGCTGCTTTTGTAAGTATCAGAGAAAAAAATTTAAAAAAAAATAAAAATTTTCGATATATCGATTTGACATTTTACTTCTAGGCCTCCGCCGCCGAATGGCAAGGACAGAACGATGTCCAGACCTGCGGTGCCGTCGCCTCCGTCGATGCCGGTGACTCCCCAGTCAACGCCACCTGCACCATCTCCTTCGGTGGTTACGCCACTTCCTTCGTCTCCGTCGGTGGTGTCTTTTGGACTTCCGACTCTACCTTCACCTCTTTCGAAGGTATCTTCGAGGGTTCCACCGTTGAGGTCCTCGCCTTCTTCCCACAGTCCTACGATGCTGATGGAAACCTCGACAACTCCACCTGCGGAACTGAGGCCGACATCTCCGTCTCCTGCGTCGACCAGGGAGCCGCCGAGGGCCGAGCCAACCTCATCGGAAACTTCGCCTTTGCCCCAGACAACAACAACTTCCAGGTCCCAGTTGCCAACGCTGACGACTCCTTCGCCGTCGATCTCTCTTCCTTCGGTGCCGTCCAGAACCAGACCTGCAACGGTGACGCCATGTCCACTTCCGGAAGCTCCCTCTCCTGCGCCTTCGGTGATGTCGCTCAGATCTCCTACTTCGGATTCTCCTCCGACGCTCAGCCAGCCAACCCCAACTCCCTCTTCGCTTAAATTCAGTGTTTTAAGATCACTGCTTTTAAAGCCTATTTTAAAACCACTACTATTGTAATCCGTACACTTCACCTTTCACGCCATTCTCCGCTGCAGGAATGAACCTCAACTTTCGTTAAGCACTTGAAGCTCTCCGTGGGCTCTTAATACCAACCGGTCTCTGATCAAGCCGCGAAGCAAGACTCTCCAAAGGAGACCTCTTGTTTCGTGGGAAATGACGAGACCGCACGGTGCACGCGTGATCGACAGGTGCGTCGTGACCTGCAGCGGATAGCGGAGTACTTTAAGCTTCGTCTTACCAAAAGTAGGACCTAGTCCTTGATCGAAATTTTATGACGCTACTGCTCGCTGTAGCCGAGGAAGATTGATGAAGGTGAAAGGCTCTGTCTATATTTATGTAAAAGAATTGCCAAATACAAAAAAAATATTCAAAAAAAAAAAATCACTTGTCTCTTTCTTTTTGTCATAAAAATTGCAGGATTGGATCTTGAGTTTGAGCAGAGAGAGTTGTTTGACCAGGAGCAAGAGAGTCTTGGCCAAAAGAGCTTCGGACCAGGGCTGCTGAATTCGGAGCGTTTGCGTTTACCCGCGATTTCTTTGGCGGAAAATCCGCAGCTGTTTCACGGAAAATCCGCAGTTTTTTTCACGGAAGATCCGCCGGTTTCAAGCGGAGAAAAGGGAGCGGAGAATCGCGGATAATCCGCCGAAATTTCCGCTGAAAAGACGAATTTAAACGGTGTTCCTCCCTTTTGATTGGCTAGAGAAAAAGGGTAGCGGGTAATCGCGGACGATCCGCGCGGCGGATAAACTCGGACGATCGGACGATCGGAGAATAGCGCGGAGAAACGGAGAAAATCAGCGGATCTTCCGCCAAAAAATCGCGGGCAAACGCAAACGCTCCGAATTCAGCAGCCCTGCTTCGGACGGATAGAGTGTCGTGCGATTTTCTATGGAAGAATTTGATAAGAGCAGTTTTATCTTACTAGTTCTTACCTTTTTTCTCGCTTTTTGTCCAGCCAGCGCGGGAGCACATTGTCTATCGTCGGGGATTTTGGTAGAATCGGGCTTGATTGAATGTAAACGAAACGATATCCTCATTCTCTTACCCATTTGTGCCTCTTCCTTCTTTCGAATTCGACCTCGTCGGGCGAGTCCAAATAGAGGACTCCCCGCCAACTTTCAGAATAAAATTCTTCAGCCTATTGAAATGCTCCAGATTTGAGTAATAAATAACCGGATTCAATGCTGAATTTCCCCAACCAAGCCAAATCGTTATGTCGAAAATGATGTTGACCCCTGGAAAAGAAACTTTTTTAAGAAAAATAAAGAAAGGGGGTTCTAAATTAGGCTCTAACCATCAAAAGTTGAGGGAAAAACGCTCCGAACGCTCTGCAGAATTGAAAAAGGAAGCCAACAAAAGACGAAGCAAATGCTTATCAAGGTGCAAGTCCTGTTCAGTCTTCTTTCCCGACGATTCTTTTCGCTGGAGGATAATGCTTTTGAAACATCCAGGCTTGGGGCTCTAAAATCGCACGTGATCCGATGAAGACTATGATTAGCGACTCACTTGCTGCAGAGGGGCTCGCTGATGGAAAATAATGGCCCCAGCCGGTCGTTTGCAGCGATTTGCTGGGCCGCTCTACAATTTCAATTTTTAGATAGCGTGTTTCAAGACACATGTTTTTAAGACTCTGAAGTTATTATGCAAGCGACATGAGTTGAATTATTTTGTGTTTCTGGTTGAAACAGCCAATTCAGCTAATCATGCTCAATTTTGTTTTTACAAAGCAGTAAGACAAGAGTCTGAGGCTCCTTTTTGAGAAGTCGAACCTTGGATTTTTTCGCTTGAGCATTCCAGCTGGCGATGAAAGCATTCTTTTTCGATTCCGCTCGTTCAGCTTTGCTGAGACAGTGATGATACCAATATTGGAGACGACAATGATGATTCCAGGAATGATGAAGCTCACCGTCGCCGAGCTACGAAATGAGTGAAGTCGTTGAAATCAAGGAAGACTGACCATATTGCATAAAACGGGCTAAAGCTCGCCACACATTCCCAACGCATACTGTCGCTTTGATTAAAGAGCCTGGAGCGGAGCATGAGCTGATTTTCCTCGTCGACAGAATGTACTGTAAGCGCCGAGACGGTAACGGAGATTATCCAGACAATGACGATTACTTGATCTGCTCTTCTGTCTATCAAATATGACTATTTATTGGGTTCGTTTGATTTGTAAGGGGAAGAAGTCTTAATTATTTAGGCGGCAGCTAAGAACGTCAATTAACATGTTTTATGGTTCGCTTATTTTTTCTCCTTCTGAGTTAGTTGTCCCCGACTGTATTCCAAATTTACCTGTGTACCACTTCGGAGGAATCGGCCGCTTGCAAGTGAACCAGCGATCCAGGGAAATGATCATTAAACTGAGACACGAGGCGGTACAGCAAGTTATATCTACGTTCAAGAATCAAGATCATAAGAAGACAGAAGGGTGTACCTAGCGTTATCCAAAATTTACAAGGAACTGCGCTTGGCCATTCATTGAATTCCTGATACAAGGCGAGGGGAGTAACGATTATTCCAATCAGCAAATCTGCGACAGCATTACTTAATATTTAGCCATTATTTTAGACGACCAAGAGTAGAAGGTTCAAGAAACTTTTATTTCTCACGTGGAGAAAAACGCATAATGGTGATGAGGAGGATGATCTTACCTGAAAAGATAATGGTAGGTGATCCGACGGCGACGCTCAGAGCCGCTGCTATTCCGTGGCGGCTTAAATCGCAAAAGGCCTAGTAAATGGTTTAATTTGGGGCACATTTATATTCTCTAGGCGTTTCCAGAAAAGAGGGGTAAATATATGCAACCTTTTTACTTCAAATGAAATTGGCCATTTCAAAATATCTCGCCATCTTTTTTAAGAAGATGATTCTTATGATATAAGAAGCATAAATTATACTGAAAAATTTCTCAAAAAAATTATAATCTAGCTTTGATCATAAAAAAACTCTATTTCGCCTTTGTTTCGCATCATCTCTTTTAACTTACCATAAATCGTAAAGGCATTTCCTATCACAATCCAGAAAACAACAATGACTCCGATCGTTAGCCCAACAACAGACCCTAAAACAAAGCTAAACTTTTTTCTCTCAAGTAATTTTCTCGTTGATCGTACATTTGTGCTCTACGAAAAAAAGCATAGAGTCATTAACGAACTGATTTTTCATAGATTTCATAAGGCTTTTAAAATATTTATTGCTTCTGTAATAATTGATAGAAGAACGTATAAAAACTATATCTTCTGATCTGAACTGGCTTGCGCACACGCAATCGTCGAATTTCGCCGCTATTGAGCGGATTATTTTCAGATTTCAATATGCTGAAGAGCGGATTATAGCTTCGCATGTGTACCATATAAATTATATGATATAATCTATATGACGAAGAGAGGGGTTATCATTCGAGCCAATGATTCGAGCCATCCAATATCTCTAGAAGCTGGGCTACTGCTTAGGGTAAGGGACGCGGAACTTTTAAGGGGAGGTCCGGGGGGCGAAGCCCCCTGGTTTATGCCTTAGGCCTTCGGTTTAGGGTTAGGGGCAGCTCGAATGATAACCCTCAACTACCTGCCAGACACCACCCCTTATTATTTACCAAGAATCGTGAAGCTTTTCAAAGCCAAAAGCTCATTCTCTGTTTCTTCAATCATCTATCCATTACTTTCAATACCGAGTCTAGTTCGCCCCCTGCTTATTCCGTTTGAGAAAATAAGTTTGGAATGCTTTGCGTTCTCCTTTTCCGAGGCGCTGTTTTCTTGACTCAAACCTTCTTGGCCATCCCCTTTCTTCGGGATTAGCATTGGCAAGATTCTATATGCTTTAAATCTTGTTTTATATCTACAGATTCATCTATTTCAACGGTGTGACTGATGGAGAAGACTAAAATTAAAATTATTTTGGCAATAAAATCTAAGACCAAATTTAAGATGCAAAGATTACTTGTCTTTTGAAAGACAGGAGATAAATTATCGGGGTTCTTGCTTGCTAATCATTTTTTCTGACTCGAAATAAATCAGCTGGGCTGATGATAGTGCAAAAATTTTACCTCTGAAATCAAGGAAGAGATCCTACCTGATGTCCCTGAAATCTCTGCCATTCGTCACAATAACAATTTTTTTATTCAAAAGAAAAATGACGAGTCAAAATAAAATGCATGTAATTAGCATTTGAAGAGGGTATATGCATGAGGACGATCTTGGATTATTGAGCAAAATCGGACATGCGTGAGGATGCGGAAATCTGTCTGATTAATGCCCTCCTAAAAGTCAAGATAATCATCTGCATCGTTGAACCAACGAAAATTGGAACGACCAGACTTCTGCTGATTGAAGTTGGCTTCGATTTGGAGGGCAAGAAGGGTTGGCTCGATGAGTAATTATGCGGAAACGATTGAGTAGCGATATTTGAGAGGGAAAAAAAATGAAATTATTCGGAAGAGTTGTAGGAAGAAGATGGTATTCGAGGCCAATTCCTGGCTTTTGGCAATTTCGGCAAGAGTTTAGGAAATATTTTTGAGCATTTTTGAATCATGACTTTGTGGGCAACGAGAAATATTTGAAGAAACAGACGCAGATGTATGGAGTTTCGATGTTTCTTTTCCCCCTTTTTTTCTTCTCAAAATTCATAAACTCTGGAAAAGAGCTCTTGAACTAAGTGCCCTTTACTTTGGCTACCGAGTACTGGCGAGGGTTTACGACTCTCCTCAATTCTTAGACGGAAGAATAAAAAACAAGTTCGAACCCTGGATTCACGAGAATATTGGAGCTTTATTCGACAAGAGCATCTGCTCGTTTGAACGTTTCTGTGAATGGATGACAGAAAACTCGCATTTGTCGCTTTTTCTATTAATTCTTAATGCAGAATTTGAGGACAAGTTCAAGGAGCTAGGAAATCAGTATCCAAGTGTGCAGAATTATGTTGATGTATTCTACGCTGCGATTCGAACTCAAACCATGTAGGTTATAAACCATTTTTAATCAAAAATTTACACTAATAAACATTTTTAATTCATGCTTTAGGGTCTTCAAAGACGACGATGAGCCACTACAAATTGAGGAGTCCCTTTCGATAGTTCAGAAAAATCCCGAATCTCTGATGTTTAACTCACCTCCTGAAACGACTGTCGAAAATCAACCAAGAGTGTCGAAAATTTGGAAATACTGAAAATCAAACTATTTTTTACTGAAAAATATGAAGATCACAAAGATGAGTGATAATTATTGTAGCGTAAAGTTTGTTTTATCGGCCATAATTTATGGGATTCATCTAATTAGTTTTTTTTTCAGAAAGTTATGCAGCATAACTTATGCTGAAAGTTTTGCCTTCAAACAATGATGTGGTTACAACGTATTTAAAGTACCTTTTTCAGCAAACTCAAATTTGCTAAACAAAGTTTAAATTGTTGTAAGCTAAAACAAAAGCTTAAAAAGTGCTGCCCGTAGGTCCTTTAGAAACATTTTTTACCCGTAGTCTCGGCATTTTAGACCTCTGTCTACTTTTCATTGACCAAAGTATAGGTTTCAAAAGTTGGCTGAAAATCGTTGTTGACACCCTTAATTGAAAAAAGTGAAAAAACGTACTAACTTATTTTTTTCTGTTCGGCTTGAATTTCTCGGCACACATCTGAAAGAACTCGTTTTGCTGAATTTTGTGAGCCTTCAACAGTTGAAGTTCAACTGGCTTCCAGAAAGTTTCGGAATGAACATTTTTATGCATTTGAAGCTTGGAAAATTGCCGAAAATTTTAGAATTGACCCCTGAGTTTGACCCCAGATCCGTCAGTTTTTGAGTCATCAATGATTGACTCAACATGGTCAAAAAATAAAAAATAGAAGAGCAGGCGAATGATGTCTCACTTTTTCGACGAAGTTGTATCTGAGATTTTTTTTATTTGAAGCCAAAAACCCTTTGAGGAGACGAAGTTAGGTTTTGAGTCAAACGCCTTGATATACCTAGTAGGTATGGTCTTAATAATGCAGCATTATTCATTGTTTATGAAAAGAAGGAATTTACTGTGAATATTGTAAAATTTGAGAAAAATCCGTAGCACTAGGTCGCGAGAGCTATTTTTGTACATTCGGCAATTCGATCGTGAGCGCAATGCTGACCTCGTCGCATCGCCACCTAGCAGCAGCGGGTCACGCGAAACACTATAAATCTGAATTTTATCGTTAAAAAAATCATCAGAATATCCTGAGGAAACAAAAATGAAGGTAATTTCATAAGAAATATACGTTTACTGATAGCAGAGAAAGAAACGTTCAAAACATAGATAATAACGAACGATTTTAGCTTTTTACAACTATCATCGCCAGCGCTGTTGCAACCCATTACAGCTCGTCGAGCTCCTCCAGCTCCTCAAGCTCCTCAAGCTCCTCTAGCTCTAGCTCCTCCAGCTTCTACGACGGAGAATGCGGTGGAAGAATCACTGATACCGAGACGATCATCTACTCTCCTGGCTTCGATCGAGGCATGTACTACGACTGGCTCAACTGCGTCTGGGACATCGATTTCGGAAACATCCCTGGCTTCAACATCGTCGCCAACACCTTTGATGTCGAGGAACACTATGTCTGCGGCTGGGATTTCGTCAAAGTCGAAGCTAACGGTGATGAATTCCACTTTTGCGGAGAAGCCGCACGACGACGACGATCTTCTAAAAATAAGGAGGACGAAGATGGCAAGACGTTTTACGACCTTGTCAACCCCAGCAACGACGGATTTCCTGATTTCTTCGTCAGCGGCGGTCAGGCCACCATCACCTTTTTCACTGATGAAACCGTCAAGCACGCCGGCTTCGAATTCAGCTTTGAGCGAATGAGCCGACTCCAAATCATCGAAATGCACTTGAACGTGAGTCTAGGGAAGATTTTTCTTTCAAGTCCAAAATGATTTTCAGCGAATCTTTGATTCTTACAACGGAGACGAAGACTACTTCCCCCGATACCAGAAGCGAATGACCAAGATCCTCAACAAGATGAAGCGATCTGAGACCGATGATAGCTGCTACGCTGAAAACGGATTCGAGGCCGAAGCTGAAGACATCCAAGTCTTCGACGCCGACGACATGTGCAAGCTCAACGGCCAAGTCAACGCTGCCATCAACTCCTGGGCGCGAAACTGGGCTTGCGAGGGACGAGGCCGGGTCCACCGACAGATCATTCGAGCTGCTCGAAAGGTCCGAAACTTCTACAACGATAATTTGTGCTAAATATTCAAATTTCTTTGCTTGCTTCATATTTTATTTTTATCGAAATAAAATAGATATATTCACCCGCTTAAATTGTATCTTCATTTTTGTATAAACATTGTAGTGTAAGTAATTACGTTAAATATAATCTAATAAAAAAAAATTGTGTTGTCGTACTTGCACAATCGGCTAATAATGGGAAAATTCCTTATCGTGGAGTTGATAAGGAACTGAGAAAGGCCGGTTCAGCTTTTGTGAAAAAGTTTGATAAAAATCTATCTAGGTCATTTTTGTTCTTAGCTGAAAATGTGATGGCTTAATAATGCGGCTAGAATTATGAATCAACATAAATCTCTATTCTTTGTTTACAAAAATTTTTGGTTTATCTTCTCGAGACTGAGTGCTTCGAATTATCAAAAATACTTTGAGGCACGTTGCAAGTTTCGTTCTGTTTAACCAAAAACGGTATTCTGCTAAAAGACAGTTTTAAAGTTAAGCTTGCTTTGGCTTCTTCGAACCTTAACTTATTCTTGTTTACTAAATTATACTTCACTGAAAACATGTAAAGTCGCTGACATATTTAGTGAAAGCACGAATTGCCCGTCCCAAAATTCTGCCGCTTTTCTCGAATAAGATCCTAAGAATAACCCGAAAAACCCGCTTCTGCCGCTTTTGGTGCAAAATTGAATCTCAAAACCGGCAGAAATCTGGTGTTTACTGTTACATTTTCTTGCTGATACAATTTGTGATGGATCAAAACCACCGGTTGATAAATTAAAAAACATATCGGAAATTACTATCAATAATCTATTTTGGGCTAAATTGATGATCAAAACATGATATCGGAGCATGTAAGGTCTTTTTTGTCAATTTAGGCTTTTCTACGGATGATGGTCTTGGTGTAAGATACGAGACAAAACAGTACCGTGGGGCCCTGATCGTGAGCGTGATCCTGACCTCGTCACATCGCCACCTAGCCGCAGCGGGTCAAGCGAAGCACTATAAATATCAATGTCATTGCTAGTTTTATCATAAAAATATCGAGAGAAAAGAAAAAAATGAAGGTAATGATAAAAAAGAGAAAATTTCAAGGATTCCAGAATAATGAACTTTCAACTAAACTTTAGCTTTTTGCAACTATCGTCGGAAGCGCCGTTGCGTACAGCTCTTCGTACAGCTCATCGGGTTCTTACAGTTCTTCCAGCTCTTCAAGCTCTTCCAGCTCTTCCAGCTCAAGCTCTGCCAGCACCTACGATGGAGAATGCGGAGGAAGAATCACTGATACCGAGACGATCATCTACTCCCCTGGCTTCGATCGAGGCAGCTACTACGACTGGCTCCACTGCCAGTGGGACATCGATTTCGGAAACATTGCTGGCTTCAACATCGTCGCCAACACCTTCAATGTCGAGGAACACTATGTCTGCGGCTGGGATCAAGTCGCAGTCAAAGCTAACGGTGATGAATTCAACTTCTGCGGAACCAATGGCGCAAGACGACGACGATCCGCTGAAAATAAAGAAGAAGATGGCAAGACGTTTTACGACCTTCCAAACCCCAGCAACAACGGATTTCCTGATTTCTTCGTCAGCGGCGGTCAGGCCACCATCACCTTTACCACTGATGAATCCGTCCAAGGTGCCGGCTTCGAATTCAGCTTTGAGCGAATGAGCCGACTTCAAATCATCGAAATGCACTTGAACGTAAGTCTTAGGGAGATTTTACTCTCAAGTCCTTAATGATTTTCAGCGAATCTTCGATTCCTATAACGGAGACGAAGACTTCTTCCCCCGATACAAGAAGCGAATGACCAAGATCCTCAACAAGATGAAGCGATCTGAGACCGATGAAAGCTGCTATGCCGAGAACGGATTCGAGGCCGAGGCTGAAGACATCCAAGTCTTCGACGCCAACGACATGTGCAAACTCAACGGCCAAGTCAACGCTGCCATCAACTCCTGGGCCCGAAACTGGGCTTGCGAGGGACGAGGCCGAGTCCACCGACAGATCATTCGAGCTGCTCGAAAGGTCCGAAACTTCTACAACGATAACCTGTGCTAAATGCTTATATTCATATTCTGAATTTGATACATGTATTCTTGTTTCTCTTTGATCAAAATCAAATAAATCAACCGTATATTTCTGGAAAAAATCTATCTATAAAACAATTCATTATGTGACATAATTTATGTCACATGATTAATATGCAATATAAGTAATCATAAAATGAGAAACGGCGATTTTTGTTTGCCAAAGTTTCTATGAAACCAGTGATCTTATTTTGCCAAAAAATCCTAAAATGCACGCAGCTGCTTCTAAGTCAATAAAATTCCGGATCCCATACTCCAAAGAATTCTCCTTCAGTCTCGAAAATGAACGATTTTTTCGAAAAAATAAGAGAATTTGAGCGCTTGGGCCACGATGTTATATTCAACTATCAAGGCCTAAAGGACAGTTATCTCAAGTGCTACGAAGTGATTTACAGTTTTATCGCAAACAAGCGGCAGTTGTACTCGGAGAGCAAGAAATTCAACTGGAATGGACCACAAGAAGAAATTGTCAATGAAGTCCAGCTGCGACAAATTTATACGCGAGTTTATCATGTGATCGACAAAGTATCGAATCATTTCTATCAACAGGAGATTGGGTCAGAAAAAGGGTTTTGGAACACGTTTAGGTCTATTTTCTTGTCGATTGAGGCTTCTTTACTGATGATGGTCTTGGTGGCAATTCGGCTTCGATCTCTTTTATCTTCTTTTGCAAATTTCCATAGAGCGTCAATTCGACAATCTCGATCATTTTGAGCTTTTTCAAACGATTCATGATCTGCTTAGCTCGGTTTGCCGGCATCTTCTGAGTTAAAACCTGAAGATATAATTGTAAGACAATATTGATTTTTAAAATGTGTTACGGAGAAATGAGCATTTAGAAGTTCAGGAACAAAGTTTTCTTTTTTGATGACCTCGATATCCATTTCCTTGCATAAATGCTCGAGAAACAGATCCTTTGCCCTTGAAATACATGTTATTTTCAAAGAACGACTGGTTTTCGAAAGAAAAATTTGGTACCTATAATTTTCCAGCTTTTTCGAAGCGGCCAAATATGCCTTGAGAAGCTTTGACAAGTCTTTTTGTTGATTCATCAATAATTTTCTCAATTCGCCCGTCCCCACTACTTGGCCTTCAGCAGAAAGCTCCTGCTCTGATTTCGTTAGGCTACTTTCAGTCTCTGCAATACTTGAAGGGACACCGGGGAACTCAGGCTTTGTTTTTCTCTGTTTAGTGCATTTGCAAAGAAAAGGTATCTTTATCGAAAATTTCATTTTTCGCGGCATTCCAAAATCCTATCTACCGATCTCAGTGAAAAGGTGCGGCGGCTACAATAACTTAGCAAAAGCGTTTCAATACTGTCACTATCTCGTAACTAAGGGGCTCAATGGGCCAAACAGGAAGGATTATTTCTTTTCCGTGACCTCAAGAAAGTGCCAGTTCGACCTGACAAATAACGAGATTTCCGAATTTTACAATTATCAGCAAAATTGGCTCAGGAAATTGGCTCTAAAGATAAAATCTCGAATATCCATGGCTTCATCAAAAATCCTTATAATTGTGAGCCTTTGAAAAGATGGCTCCGATCCACAGCCCTGATAATCGTCGACGAACCGCACCGGGTGGAATCAACGAAGAGTACCAATCCGTCAAAACCGAGACAAATCATCATGGCAAACTCAAATTTTGCTTGCAAGCTCGAGTTTCTCCTTGGTGACTATTTCATCGGAGCTCGTCAATGTGTAGAGGCATATTTGAACGGGACAACTTACTCGGAAGACTTTGGTGGGACCGTTCGAGTGCAGCTCAAGAATAATAAGAAAATATGAACGGATACGGATCTTTACAGAAAATTCTGGAAGGCTCCTTTTGTTTACTTCTTCCGAATCGAACGTGAATATGACCTTAGACGGGCATCATCAAACATTGGTCAGAGAAAGGCATCTTCCCGGATGTTTGACTTTTCAAAAGTTGGATTTTTATGATTGCAGGTGGCTTTTTACTATTTGCACACTGGGTTTCCTTGAGCGCAAAGTTTTGAAATAGTATTTTATGGGTGAAGTTGAGTTTATTCAAATATCTTTCGATGGTCTTTTGCGTGAAATAACAAACGATGCAATATTTGTCTTTTTGATGAAAAATGCTGCTCGTTCAAAAAAACCTTTGAATCTTTGAAAAATTCATTTGTATCCAAAAAAAAAGTTAACAACTGGAAAGTCGAGTTTCGAACGCTTCGACTTCCCCCTGATACGACTCAATACCGGACTTCGAATGATAATGTACACGAGCAAATATACACAGTCGAGTTCACTTTTCCTCTGCAGCTCTGTATGTACAGTCTACTCGAGTTTATTTAGTTTCACCGTTATATAATAGTCAATAACCAAATGGAGTTGATCTCGGTTCACTCGAACCCCTTCGCCATCTGCGTCCATGGAACTCAAGAAGCCAAAGCGGTCGGCTCGATCTTGTGGTACAATTATTTTGGGTCGATTCATGAAAACAGCCAGGCGAGTCTTGGGGCGATTTCAAAACTGCTCAATGATTATTTGGTCAATTCAACGAGTCTGGATGAGAAGCTGAATCCTTTGAATGAGTATCAACTCTATCACATAAAAATCAAGATTGGATTTTGAAATTAAGCATAATAGAAAAATTTCCGACTGAAAATCCTTAACAAAGCTTACTTCATTTCAATCAGAGCAAATGATGATGGAATTCAACGATTCGACTCTCGTTTCGTGGGTCAGTTTTAACAGATTACAGGCATGGAGTGAGCGTACTCTTTTCGACCCAATTTCGAACTTTGATGTGAGTTCACTCTTTCAAGATGAACACGTCCAATGGCAGGTTCACATTTTGGACTTGGTTCTACGGTTCAGTAGAAATTCTGAAAAACAGCGAAAGTAAGACCTCAGCAGTTGTCGAAAATGTACTCAAATATGACCGGCCAGCTCAAGTTCAATTTTTTATTTGCATTCATTTTATCTCGAGTTGAACGTGACCAACTTTCAGTTTCGAAAATGTGGAACGATGGGCTTTTGATCGGTTACCTGAGCAAATTCCACACCCAGGAGGCATTGACCGTCGCGGCACAGAATAACTTTTATGGGTACGTACGATTTTATAATATGAACTCATTGACTCTCAGTACAATGATTTTACGATTCTCGGACAGTATGGTTGGCGGCCTAAGCGCTTCTGTGGTCAATTGCGGTATTCAACACGTCAAGTACTTCGACTACCTACAGTTATTTTCCTCTCTTGTGGACATTTTTTGTCACAAATTTTCATAAAAATGTCCACACGGCGTGTCCACGCGGGCGAGAATGGGTTAAAGGGTGGGTCGTCAATATGGATTTTCAGGGGTGATCAAAATCACACTTCTACATATAGTCTGCATATGATTCATATGATATGAATATTATATTTTTAGAATCTACAGATCCTGACGAGTCTGTTGAGCCTAAAATTATTTGCTAAAAATAAGTTTTAGGGGGTTAAATTGAGAAAAATGTTTAAAAAATGACAATTTTTTCTGAATTTTCGGATTTTCGCCCTACTTTGAGGGCATTTTAAACTGATTTTTTCCAGCCAAAATATTTTCTCATTGTCGCCGATAGATTTCAACAACCCTATTCTTTTCACCTGAGAAGTTGGAATTCTTCTACCTAATCAGGTTTTCCCGCTTTTTTGCGCAAGAGAAACCCCGATATTGACGACCTCCCCCTTAAAATTTATTCTTCAATAAATTTTTCTTCGAAAAATGGCAAAATTCATCTTCGAAACGCCTTTTTTTTGCCTCTTTTACAATTTTTGGTCATTTATCCTGTATAGTCCATAGATTTTTTATAAAAAATCCTGATTTTAGAAAAAAAACCCTGTTTCTTCTTCTTAAATTTTCTGGGCTGGACAAATGTCCACAAAAGTGGAACATTATCCTAGCAAAAGTTTCCCTCGAAAACCCCTTATAATGAATAAAATGTCTGGGGTCCACAAAAGAGGAAAAAACTGTACTTTATTCGTAATGTCAAATTTTAGCCCTTGGACGAAAAAAGATATTCAAGAAAAATCATTCGTCAAATTTATTCGCCAAGAAAACAACATGGAGTACATCTTTCATATTCGAACTCTTGAGCGATTTTTTCAAGGACAAGATCTTGCGTACGTTATTTCTGACTCTTGAGATTGCTTAATTTGACTTTAAGACTGATGCAGTGCAAGAAAGAAAATGTTTTGAATATAAGAAGATATCCTGTTACAAATATGAACCTCCAACTTCCGAAAATTCCTGAAGGCTACTGCTGATAATACAGAAAAACATAGAAGAATCATTTCTTGAGTCTTGAGTTAATGCATCAAGGTTTATCGACAGCAAAAAAAGTAGGTCAAGCAAACATGAATTTACCTTGAATAACCTTCGCTTTGCCACCGTGTTTTCAAATTCATCTGAAAAAACATACACTATGCCGGTAGTACGTGAGCATTCGACAGATTAACATCATGTCAGCTAAGCATAATTCACAAGAAAATTCGCTTTGATTGCATTTCGAAATGCGGACGTTAGCAAACACTTTTCGTCGAACACAGGGTCAAGCCAGTGCAAAAGGAGTTAGGTCAGCAAAACTCCATGCAGCTTTTTTGTTTGATTCTTTGGCGCAAGATGTGAGGCCATTTAATGACGAAGTTCTGAGATCATTTTCTCTTTACACGAGATATGAATTTTCTACCACCTCGAGCACATGAACAAAATTTTGGCTTCAATGGATTACCAGACGATTTTTCCTTAGGAAGGGGTAAAAAGGTAAAAAAAAAGAAGAGGCCTTCTTTAAAATAGAAAGGTGCAAGTTTCATCCCTTAAAAGATGATATCTTCGATCAAAACCCCACAACTTCGATTCAATTTTTACCAGAGCAACTTTCAATGAACCAGCAACAGCAATCAGGGTACCAAACCGAACACGACACTCAGATAGATTTCGACTTGTTTTCGCGGCCTTCTTCGATTTCGGAGATGTCTTCTGGCTCGTCAACGATGTCGTCATCGTCCGAGGTCTTCTGTAATCCTCAAATTCACCAAAAAGAATCAGATCAAAGAGGATCACCAGTCTGCGAAATTAACGCCGGAGTGATCGACAATCATCAAGAGCAGCCTGAGAAACAGCCAAGAAAGCGGAAAACATTTTCAAAATATGCGGGCGTAAAAATGGTACAGTTACTTGTTCCTTTCAGTCCCTCCTTTTGATCAACTATTTTACTCTAATCTTAAGATCTGTCAAATCTGCGGTGGTAAGGCTAATGGTCTTCATTTCAATGTCCTTACTTGCGAAGGTTGCAAAGGAATCGGGTCGGAGAGACGTTATTATTATGTAATATACAGTATGTTCTATGTTAGACACTGTAACAAGACGTAACAAGACGGGCAAAGTTTTTTTATTTGCATGTTGGCAAATTTGCTCTTCTGTCTGGAACATGCTTAGACAGGGTAAATATGGGACGCATTCTGAATCGCTCAGCAAAAGAAGCTTCGAGAATCTGGGGTCAAAGCTAGAATTATGAAATTTTTGACCCGCTACAAAGGATTCTTTAGACGATCCATTCGCTACCAAAAAACGTACAACTGCCGAGGCAAGGAAAACTGCGAAATTCTCGACGACCAGAAACGAAAGTGCTGCCACTGCCGTTTGAAAAAATGCTTGATGATGGGCATGAACACGAGCTTTGTGATGAGCGAAGAACAGATTCTGAAGAAACGAAAAGCGGCGGAGAACAAAAAACTAAAAGCGAATGTCAAAAGCAAATGTGAAAGTGAAGAGATGATCGCAATCGAATGTGTTTATAAGAACTATCAGGAGAATATGAATGAGAAAATTGTCCCAGAAGAAATGAAGTTTCATCGAGAGTTTTTCCGAAAGCGACTTTTCTTCGAGCACAATTCTGAGCGTGGTAAGTCTTGATTCAATCAAATAAACTAGTTTTCTTATTCATTACTGAAAAAAACAAATCAAGGCCAATTTCAATAAGGAATAGAAATTCTAAATCCTAACCCCTCATGTTTTTGTGCTCGTTGGAAAGAGCGTAAAAAGTAACGTCGAAAAAAACTAGTTTTAGAGACTGAGTCATTAATGACGTCATAAAAATAAAATTTTACTCTAACCTAAGACGTTTTTCTCAGATTTATGTCTGCAGCTAAACCGACAATCGAGAAATATTATCATCGACAAAATGAAATTCATCCATCTTGCCGACCTAACAAATGCCTCTTTTAATGTAAGAACTGTTAATTAATATCAATCGTAAATAATTAATTATATAATATTGTAATATGAAATAATTTTTTTATATTTTATCCCTTATTGTCTGAGAACGACTCTTTAATTCTCTAAATTTTAGAACATCATCAGATTCATCAAAAACATCCCAGAATTCAACTATCTCGACACAGAAAATCAAGTGAAAGTCATCAGAAGCTGCATTTTCGAGATCCATCTTGTAAATCTCGCTCAATTCTACGACGAAACTCGTGATGTCCTTACCATCGGCAACACAAGTTATTCCCTAAGTATGCTTGCGGAAACTGGAATTCCAGAAAATGCGATGGAAAAGTTCAAGTCGATTTTGCTGGCCTTCGATAGAATGCAATTGACAGAAAAAGAACTGTCTCTGGTAGGAAAGAATGACGGCGGAATTGTTCAAAGCGTTTTAAGCTTCTCACAACAATCATCTTCTCCGAGGATCGAGGCTACAACGACCAGTATCTCTTTGAAATTCAGGAGCGCTACGCTTTTCTTCTTCAAAAGACGCTCGATGATCGCCAATTCAAGCGCATCAGAAATCGCTTTCCTGTAAGTCCCCTTCTTTTTCGAATTTTCACAGCCCAATTTTCAGGAGCTTATTTTCCTTCTTTCTTCAATCCGCTGTCTCTCGATAGAGTTTCGACCCTTTCTTCAAGCCCTGACAAATCAATTTCCTGACTGTATACCACCTTTGATAAAAGAAATATACGACTAGAAATACTTTTATTCAAAACCTAATTTCCAAAAAAAAAGAATCTAAAGAGTTCGTTCAAGAAGTGGAGCGACTGACTCTCGTCGGTCTTTTCTGCAGTATCCCTGGCAGCTTCGACGATTTTCTTCGTCGTCTAAATCGGCTTCGGCTACCTGTTGGTCAACACTTTTTCTGGGTTCATCTCCTTCGAGGCCATATTTTAACCTGTTGCCGAGCGCGTAGCAGTTTCGGTGCTTTGACACGCCCCGAGGCTCAAAAACGGCAATCTCATTGGCGCGGAAGGCAAATTTTCGCCTTCTGCTCGGCAACGAGTTACGAGATAAAGAACCCTTTCTTCGGACTTCAGGCTTCTTCTTTTTCTTGGTCTCCCGAACCCAGGGAAGAATGACAGACTGAAGGGTTGCAGTCATAATCAAACATAACAGGAAGAAAGAAATTACCTGAAGATCAGTCTGGCAAATATTTTCCCGAACTCTTCTCACAGCATAAGAATACTCCTTCATCAAAGATTCGAGAATTTGCAAAAATGAAGGACAGATTTTTTTAATCGAAGAACTACGGGCTTTTGAACTTGTTCCTGAACCATTTCTTCGTAATGCTTCGCAGCCAAAGTGAAGAGATGATCCAATATCTAAAAAGAACATAAAAAATTTTTGTAAATTCGCCGAACCTTGATGACTGAAATCAAAGAAACGCCAAGAAACAACCCCGCAGCACCGCCCAATTCGCTCACAAATTGAGTGGTCGAATAATCTTCTCGTTCTCGATGAAGCGTCACATCGAGGGATGGAAAGAAAATCTGAAAAGCGCCGATTTCCGCCGTACTTTTTTTCGTGAAACCAAAAAGTAATTCAAGAAATGAAGTAAATTCTCAATTCATCTTTGGATTCGATTCCTATGATTGTGCTCGTGATATTTCTTCAGCGCTCGTTGAATTGGCTCGTGAAATTTGCCGTATTCAACGTTTCGATTGTAGACCAAATCGTGGCAGGGTTTTGGACAATTTCCACAAGTCGAATAGCTCGATTCTGGATTTCAAAGACTTGAACTAAAATTTTGGTGCTTTTGAGATCCATTTTTGAAGGAATTGTATTCAATGGAAATGCACCTCGAGTGCTCGGTAAAAGTACACATTGGATACTCTTTTTTATAAATCGGAAAATACGGGGGCCAGCACTTGCATTTGTCCATCACAGCTTTGTACGAGCATTCAACGTGGCATTCTTCAGTAGTGTACTGTTGGAAGAAGTCGAGTTTTTTCGAGCCACAGTGGGGAGGAAGCTTGAAAATTTTATTCGCTGAGATGTAAGGGGAGTGCTTACGTAGGTATACTCCTGAGGGTAGAGGGCTACTTGAGTGAGTCGATTCGCAAGGACAGTAGTACTCTGGCTCATCAGCATAACATCATGTTGGTGATCACTGAAGCTCTCTTTACCTAGTGCCTTTTACAGAATCGACGCACCTGTATTGTGAGTAGAAAAGTGTCAGGCCGTCAATGAACTGGAGCACTCCGGTTGTCGTGTCAGAATGATTATAAGCTAAGTCTCCGTGAACTTTGTTTTTTTTTGTATTAAAACTGACCGACATAAAGAATAAGGCTCGACTGAGGTCCAGGAATGGAAACGGTGGAGTTCTCGAAGCTGTAGTAAAGGCAAATACCGTATCTTGTCAGCCGGTTCGTTGGTGGAGGACAATCACTTTACAGACTTTATGGAGACTTTCTTCAAGAGAGAATCTGTTTACCGCATGTTGAATTTGCATCGCAAAGGCATTAAATCGGGAGCCGTAATCGATAGAAACTCGTCCAACGGAATATCATCGAAACGGGAGAGGTTAAGTGGGCCATGATCTTCCCGACCATTTCCATAAAAAGTGGAAATGTATTTATGCAAGTTTTTATGCATCGGGTAGGCTCGCTCGATTCGCCATTTTGAGTGTTGAGAGTTCGGGCAAACGTAGACATTGGGCATATTCAGATGGTGATGCATTACCGTTTCCGTGACTATTGACGTTGGGCTTGAAATCGAGTTAAAAAGGGAAAATTATATTTTCAAGTTACTTTTGACCAAATTTGACAGCATTGAAAGAAATTGTAAAAACGCTGTAGCTCGTCCCAGCCAAAAGAATGAAGCCCCATAGAAGCCGCCGAGAAAGTGCAGTTTGGCGGCTGAATAGACTTCGGAGAAATTTCGCATTTCCTGTATAAACCGTCCGTTTAGCTAGAAAATTACTCATTGATACGAGAAGACGAAGCTCTAGGGACCTGGAGGGATTCCATAAGCGGCTCGTTCGTGGATAAATGGTGGGACTCCAGGAGAATCACATGTCATAGCCAAGCGTCTAAAAACATAAAAACCGGTCAATCTATAAATTTTTTACCTTTTATTCTCGATTATCATTTTCCCTCAACTTTCTTTATCTCTTTTTCATTCTGACGGAAAAAGAGCGGCGAAGCTTTTACTTTATTTCAATGCCTTCAAATTACTGTCAGAAGTTCCGCTTCGTTACTGTCAATTTCGAGCCGGCAAGTTTAAGTTTTTCAGACAGAAAAATTTTCCCTGATCTTAGGGTTAGGGTTAGGGAATTTTTAGGAGAAATTTTTCTGCAAAGTTTAGCCGACATGTTGTCCTTGACCGATTATCATTGTCCGAAAAAAAGTTCGCTACAAAAGAAAAATAAGGGGACACCCGGGTTTAAACCGGGGACCTCTCGATCTGCAGTCGAATGCTCTACCACTGAGCTACCATGATTATCATTTCTGAGTGACGGGACAATCAGGGCCGCCCACGCAATTTTCGATGATAATCGCGGTATATCCCCACGACCGCCGATAAACCGATTCTATATTTAAAAAAAGTCTTGATTTTGATGGTTAGATGTATTCAGAAAGTACATTTTCAAGAGACGCCTCTTTAACAGATTTAAATAAACAAAAGGCAACTGCTGAGGACGGGAGAAGAAGAGCACTCCAGACACTTTTTGGGGCGATTCACCAAATCTACTTCTATTGCTTATCAATTATTTTTAGAGAGGTTTAAGAAGGTTGTGAATTTTTCCTGAGGATAATGAGGAAAGCCTTTGAGTACGCTTGTAGGAGATCGAAGAGCCATTGGAACATGTTTGCTTCGTTTTCTTTGATGGGGTTTGAATTGATTCTAACCAGTTTGAACCAGCTTCAAAGTCAATCAACCCGATTCCTGCGACAACGATGCTAACAGAAATAGAAATGAAAAACGCACTGAATAAAAAGAAACAGCTTCCACCAAGAAAATGCACCAACAAGCATCGATATTTCATCTTCTCCTTCATAAAGTAACTCAAAACTCCGCATAGCGATACAGTCAATAAAAAACCATCCAAGGCGAAGGCATATGATAGTAGATCTCCTTCTTCATTGTCATCTTTTGAGGTCTCAAAAGACTCAGGAGCGATACAGAGTCATAGGAACAGGCAATTGAAAATACGTCAATCATTGGCCATTAATAAGTTTTTTTGGAATTTTAAATAAGATTTATAATGAAAGCAATCTCTTAGGACTGTGAATTATTTATTAACTTGATTGGGGAAAAATCTAAGCTGAAATCTTGAGACCGAAAACCTGGTGTTCCAAGATCAAGTATTTGATCAACAACTTTGAAAAGAGTTTTTTTTTATAAAAATCAGCCTATTTTTTTATTTAAAAAAACTCATTTCTTCAACTTCCAGAAGCAAATACAAGTCACCGAAAATCATCACAATTGCAAAGGCAGTTTCAAATCTATTATGAAATTTAATGAAAAACAAAAAATTCAAGACATACGCTGAAAGAATTTTCAATACGGTCCATTTTGATACGCTTCGAGCCATTTTTCCTTTCTCTTTTTTGATAAAAATCTGTTGAAAAAAACTTATCACAAATGTCTTGCGAAAGGTGCTAAAGAGTCAAAATTTTTTTGACGCAAAACTGCATTTTATTGCTTCCGAATTATTGATATTTCATCGTTATTGGGGTCTAATAACCACAAATAACAGTATTTTCGAGCTGAAAATACAATATTCATACACAACCTTCTATCTAAAAGCGCGGTCCTTATCAGCCATTGAATCTACTCTTGCGCGGAGTACATAATTAATCAGCATTATCCGCCGGTCCTATAAAATCATCAATTTCATTTCTTTTACTTCATTCAAATCGCTAGACAAAGAAAACCAAAGAAACCAAAGATGAAACTTTTATCCCTTTTTGTTGCTGCTTCCAGTGCTCTAACATCCTTCGAGTAAGTTTTCTTTACAACTCTAGAATTCTAACACTTTAAGCTTCGTCAAACGGCAATACGAAATGAACCCCTACGAGGAAGAATTCGCGAAGAGATTTTTCAAGTGGCCCAACAAAATCGAAGAAGACGGCGAAAAGCGACCGGAAGGATACGCGAGAGTTTACTGAAAAGTAGAGTCGTGCATGCCTACCATTGATCATGATAGAAAAGAGGAGGTCCACTTTTGATTCTGTTGTCTTGTCTTTCAAATAACTTTAAATAAACTCATCAATCAAAAAAGAGCCTTCGATACTATCAAGATAGGAGAAGGTAATTTGTGAGGATTGTTCCAACTCAATGGTTCAAGCTACTAAGTAGATCTCGAATTGCTTTCAGAGAAGAAAAGCTAGTTATAAAGTATTTAAGTCTTCATTACTCCTTTTTGAAAATATGAAAGCTTTTGACATCGAAGAAGAAAGTCTTACCTCCTCGAGTCGAAATTTCCCTTCAAGAGAAAAAATAGCAATTGCGGCGCTTATTTTTTTATTTATTCTTTTTTCCACTTTTTACCTGATTTTTGCTCACTCAGCAAATGAATCTTGTGCAACTCGAGCTTGTGAAAATTCAGGTCGCTGTGTTTTCACATCCGTCGATCCAAAAAGAGGTTATAATCGCTCATTCCAAATGTCGACCCCTGTCACGGAAACTCAAATGAGACTGATGCCGCCTAGATGTTCCTGTCTCCCCGGCTTTAGTGGAAAGTTTTGCGAGATAACGCCATGCACAAAAAGCCCATGCGAGAATGGTGGAAAATGTTATCTGAATATAAACTCCGATGAGACTTTCTACTGCACTTGCACTCCTGAGTTTTTTGGAGCTCGCTGCAATTACAGTGTTGAAGGCTCTCTAGTTTAACTGCTTGCATTTTACTTCAATAAACTTAAGAAATGGACTGTATTGAAAATTATCTCTAAAGCAAAGTGAAAACCAATGAAAAATCTTCTTTTTGGGATGCTGCCAATCCAAAATCCAGAATCCTACTCGATGAAGTACTCTGGATGGGTGTACATGAGGATCATTTGTCGTTGATGATTCATCAAATTTCGATTACCAAACGAATGCCTCCGGCTAGAGCCCAAGGATCTCTGAAACTAGAAATGACTATTCCGAAAAACGGCGACTAAGATACAAAATTTCATGAATAGCCATAACTTGGAGAAAATCGAATCAGTCGGGACTCCATGTCGCATCAAGAAGATGCTCGACGGTCGAATTTGCTCTATGAAATTTTTAAAACAAAAATCTTTATCGATCTTACGATTCGGAAGTCTCTGGCTGGCGGCTAGACAAAACAGCATATAAGAAAAAAGAAAGGTCTTAAAAACGCTCTTCATGTTCAAAAACATGAAGCCGTTCTGAGTAACAGGAACATACGCCCATCGACGGCGCAATCTTGCAAATTGTAATTGGTAATAAGTGTGTACGCAAATTCTAAATTGCAATAGGAAAGTTGATATTGAGCAATCTGCTCTGTGCGTGGATTCAAAGATTCTCCTAGACTCTAGGACGTAAAGTTTTTAGTAAGCTCGATTTTGAGTTTTTGGGCGACACTGGGAAAGTCGCCGAGTGTCGCCGAATGTCAGCGAATGTCGCTGAATGTCGCCGAATTTCGCCCCTTATTTTCGATGACATTCAGCAAAATTCAGCGACATTCGGCGACATTTGGCGACATTCGGCGAGATTCGGCAACATTAGACGACATTTGGCGACATTCGGCGACATTCGGCGATTTTCCCACGGCGCCACGACCTTTCGGTAAAGAATTTTAAACAATTTGAGTTTCGGAAGCAGGTATTTAAAAAACAATATAGTAATGAATGTAATTAACCTCAATTTTCAATAATTGATCGGTACGTAGGCACCGTCGATTTTACCCGAGCATGATTATAATTTAGCATTGATCCCTTGGTAATCAAATGCAGCTTTATCGGCTCGATAGAATCCATTAGCGGCGGCTTGAAAAAATATTTCTCATTTTAGAACAAAATCGTTTTTTGTCGAGTAGAATTCAGAATAGAGATGGTCAAAGAGAATAAAGTATATTTCAAACTTATTTAAGTTTTGTCAGAATAAATTGCCATTTAGATTCACGCAAATGTCATGTTACGACCCTCGGGGTTGAAAATAAAGAAGAGAAAGTCGAAGAATCTACCGATGACGAGTTTGAAGATTCCCGGAATGTCGACAGTAAAGGAGAAGAGAGCCTCGATTTCGGAAATGCTAGCGATGATAACTCTTGGTAAGTGCTAAAGCAAAAAAAATTGGCCAAATTACTTTATGTTTCATAGAGAATTTCTTTAAGTAACCAAGTTTTATTTTCTGAAAAAAGAGTCCAGATGCGAAAATGAAGTCAGCTTTTATGGTTTTTTTCTTTGTTTTTGGAGACATGGAGGAGACCTAAAAAACAGTAGTCGCGGGGAAAATGAGATTAGATCTAATTAGATCAGATAAAATCGAAATAACATGATGAGATGCAAATCGCATTATCTCCCAAGTACGAGCAGATGAGCCCTTCTTTTTTGCATATACAGTCAGAAACGCCAAAAGAGAATTTTACTCAAAAAGCCCCCGAACCCAAAGCCTTACCAAGGGGTATCTTTGAAAGAAAGAAAATGAAGAGAAATGTTAATGATCCACTTTATATTGCTTAGCGATCATCTTTTTGGATGAACGTATTTCCCGTATCGATTTCGATCTGTGCCCAACAGTGTATATACTGGATCATTAGGCGACAGTGACAGTAGATCGCGTCGCTTTTTCATCTTCATTACGCTTTCCTATACGTAGTTAATGCCATCTTAGTTTTTTTTTTGTCGAAAACGACTCCATTTAGATCATTTCCAATATATTTGCCGCGGCGAGGATGATGTAAAAAGAGAGAAAAAACGAATGCGCCGGGAAAAAAGGGATGATCATTATGAATCTCATCGACATGTCCGAACAGACACGGATAAATCACAAATCACAGTGGTTTTTTCATAATTAATTTTCTCAGTGTCCATTTTTTAAGATGATTTTGAAATGACGATATTTTCTTCAAAAATGGTAGTTTTGTCAATTTTATAAAGCCATCGACTTTTACAAAAACAAAAGAAAGAAAATGAGAATTTCGCTACAGAAAATTATCCGAAATGAGAAAAGAAGTAATAAAATGAAATTTACGCCGATGAATACGCCGGAGATAAAGATTCGAACTACTGATTCTTTTCGGTCTTATACAAGGAAAATTTGAAGAATTCTGCTTTTTTGGTCTAAAATTTTAGCTTAATTTTGGTCAAATGTAGGTATTTCATTTTTTTCCATCCAAGCCGACAACAAAAGAATGACCAAAGAAAATTGACAAAAAATTGACCAAAAAATGAAAAAAATTGACCAAGAAGAAATTGACCAAAAAAAACTTGACCAAACAAAATTTGAGAAATACCAATTTTCGAATTCAATGAGTTGCCGCTTTCAAAGCCGCCCTCCCTCATTATACACTCGCTTGGGAGCTGCCGAGCCATATTCTAGAGCTGCCACACCTGATTCTGATTACGCTGGGAGGATGAGCGAATGTCGCCCCATTTCTCCTAGCCAAATGTATCTAAAAAGTAAGTCAGTGAACAAAAAAACTGATCAAATCAAAAGGCCACTAAGTGCAGTGCCTGAATAATAGAAAACGTATTACGTGAACATATTGCCACCCAGTTAAACGGCTCAGGAGGCAAAGTCACGTGGATAAACTTTAATCCTATTTCTGCATTTTTAATTGCAAGAGCAAAACCTTGCAAAACTTAATTCTTTTGCTCTGACGAGTAGAAAAAATGGCGACGAGAGAAAGATCGTACTCGATTTTTGGCGACAGTTTTGACCAAAGTTGTCGGCGGAAAAATCTTTTTAGGCTTCTCGGAGGTAATTCATATATTTTAAAGAAAATAATTTTCTGAATTTTTTATAAAGCCAATAATATTTAAGATTTTTGGCCTCGATGTTAAATGGATCAATCTTATTGGCCAATATTGATACCTATTAGATCTGATTTGCCATTTGAAAAACTTTGATTTTGACCAATCAGATCGCCGAATTTCTGATGGAAGATGTCCTTATTCTAAGACTGGTCTGTAGATTCCTTTTCCAACAATCATATGTATTGAAATCAATCAATAGAAAAAGCCGATCAACTTAACTATAAAGACTGAATATTGATGTTCAGTTGAATAATTAGATTTCGCTCTTATCCCCGACTAGCTCGTTAGGCACCCCCATCAACATGTTTATAATGCTTCAATCGAGCTGCTCAACTATTCAAGATATCCTAAAACCATGTCTCCATTCCCAAAAAGCATTTCTTTATTACCAAAATAAAGAGAAAAAAATAGAAACAAACAAGGAAGAATGCAGGGCATTCCATTTTCACGGGGGGAATCGAAAAATCGGCTTTTTTCAAAAGAACTTCTTTATGATACGTTTTCAGATCCGCTTTTGCTTGGAAATGACCAGAAGAACCTTGGAGATTGGACGAATTTGGATGATCCTAAAAGGGAATCGGTCAAGATGATTAAAGGATTATTGAGAAAATGTCCACCTCAGGGACCCCCCCCCCCCTTAGGCCCAAATAAGGGGGCCGCCACAGAACCAAGTTAAGAGTGACGAATCCCTAACCCTTGAACACAAGTCCAAATTCTAGAGAAATCTGCTCGAAAGATAACCCCTCTTTGCGAATTTCAATGTGAAAAGAAAAGTTCACCAAAGGGTCAAAATGACTCTGACTGAAAGAACCGAACTTTTTATCTCATGAAAAAGTAATCCGCTCATATGATTTTCCCAGGCTCCGGACTGTACTCCCTCAATGGGACAGATATCCATTTTTATCCTGACAAGAGCATGTCCCACCCGTCAACATGAAAAAAATAAAATGGTAATAGCCTTTTTTATTGCTGAATAAACCTTGCTAAATTGTGTTCTTGGTAGACACGTTCTGAACAAAAAAGCGAGTACAAGCTGGTTTTCTTCGAGCGAAGAAGAATGCAATATGTAAATTCGCTCAAGGTATTCGAGATATAAATAGAGGAATGAGAGCCTTAACTTTTAGAACTCAATTAGGGCAAAGAAAAATGCCAAGAAAAGATGCATTGAAGAACTGGTGACAAATATTACCTTATTTTTTTTGGAAAATTTAGCTAAGACACACCCTTAATTTTATTGTGGCAGTTCTGAACTTCGGGTCCGCCCAATCCATTAGTATTTTCTTTTTCAATCTGAGCATAGTATCATTAATGATGCATATTATCACCATCTGACCAGCATTACTGATCTCAAACTCGAGCTACTGCGACCGCGCAGTCATACAAGATCTGTTAGAGACTGTTATGCTCAAGGTTTTTGTTCAAAAGCGATTTTTCCTCGAATTTTTAGACCGATAAAAACCTTGAAAAAAGCCTCTTGTAAAAGGTAGAGTAGCTTCTAGGGTCGATCCCACCCAGAAACGTCGATTTTTGAACCTTTCTTATCCGTTATCAGACCCAGAGGGCGTTTACTCAAACTACGCCAATACAGGCAGATATAAAAATATATTCCTGTATACATATGAGATCATAGCTATTTTTTATCGGGATAAAAGTAGAGACGGACTTCGACCGATTCCCAAAAAGCGTGTCTTTGCGCTCGATGAGAGACAGGCGACGAAATGGAGCGAAGAATAATAGAGGACCGGCGTTTATATTTGGCAAGAATGCGGCTAATCAGAATGAAATTGAGCTTCGATTTCTGGAAGGTAAAATTATTTAATTCTTGTATTAATTACGGCCTAATAACAAATATAGCAACTATTTACTGAGTTCCGAAGAATCCAAATTAAAAAAGACCATACATAAAAATTTTACCTATGAATTATGGCTCTCATAAATCATCTTTTTCTAGCGGCTGAGTATGGAAACATCCCAACTGTCCGAAGAATGTTGGCTGAATGCCCTGAGTTGGACGTCAACTGCACCGATTTCATCGGCCAAAATGCTCTTCAGGTATTTCCAACTCCTTTTTCTTCTTTTCCCAGTTATTTTCTCAGCTTGCAACGGGAAATGAACACTTGGAAGTGGTAGAAATGCTCCTCGCTCAGCCAAAAATCAAGCGAATCGGCGACGCCCTGATGCTCTCTATTTCCAAGGGTTACGATCGAATTGTAGAAGCCATCCTTTCCCACGACGATTTCAAAGTAGAAGACCGTCTAACCATCTCCCCAGCTGAGCAGCGCAGGCGATCACTTGATTCCGACTTCTATACTTACGACGGGGCGGAGACTCGTTTCTCGCCGGATATTACACCGATAATTCTGGCTTCGCAATGTCAAGAATATGAGATTGTGCACCAGCTGCTTATTAGAGGAGCGAGAATTGAACGACCACATAATTATCATTGCCAATGCGAGGATTGCTCTAGAAGTCGATGTGTCGACAGTTTTAGTCATTCATTGTCAAGGTACGTCTATTTTGGTACCGCGATACCAGGATTTCTGGGTGTAGGGCGGCCCGGTTCTGTCAATGCCGATCCTGGTTCTGCAGTCAGAGTTTTTGTGCGCTCCGCGCCTGTCTTGAAGAAACTTCAAGATTATTACAAGTCAGAACAGTCATGCAAGCCTTGTTTAATGTGCTGAGTCAGCACTGCTGACACTGAGGAAAGTCAAATAACATCAATTTGAAAAACTTACTACAGAACCAGGTTCTGCATTTACAGAACCTGGTTCTTGCAGAACTGTGCCGCCCGCCACCCGGATTTCTAGACAATAATAATGCTCGAACAAACACTGTAATGTTGCTTTATCGCTATGAAAATTTATAGATTTCATTCAATAACTGAAGTTTGATATCAAAGCATTAACACCAGGTATTGGAATATCAGCAGTAATCGGAATTTATTTGATCATTTGTCTTCAACTATGAGCCTTCTTTTCAGAATCAATGCATACAAAGGACTCGCCTCGCCAGCTTACCTGGCTCTCTCCTCACCCGATCCTATGATGTCAGCCCTTTATCTGTCAAACGAGCTCGCAAACCTAGCTGAAATCGAGAAGGAATTCAAGAACGAGTACCAAAAGCTCTCCAACCAATGCAAAGACTTTTCCGTCAGCCTTCTCGATCTCTGCTGGAATCACTCCGAAGTCTCCGCAATCTTGAACAATCACAATCTCGAAGAAGAATCTCGCGATAATTGCCATCCGTCTCAACCTGGTTTGGACACTCTCAAGCTCGCAATTCGATATCAAGTGAAAAAGTTTGTCGCCCACCCGAACTGCCAGCACGAGCTTTTGACTCAATGGTTCGACAACAGCTGCCATCTTGGCCAGGCGGGGATCTGGGTTAAGGTCTTCGCGATTCTTTTGCTAGCGCTATGCATGCCCTTGACTTCCGTCGTCCACTGGTTCATGCCAAAGTCGCGATTGGGCGCTTTCGTCGCCAGTCCATATGTAAAATTCGTCAACCACGCCGTCAGCTTCGTTCTTTTCCTCCTTTTGCTTGTAACGTCGTCGATTGACAGATTTGAATGGGTGGATGTCGAGCCGAATAATTGGTTCATCCCTCATCAGACCCTTCCTTACGGAAGATACAACAAGCTCAATTGGATCGAGTACACCCTCATGCTGTATATCTTTGGCCGACTTTTGAACGAAGTGAAAGAGCTCTGGGAGCAAGGACCAAGAGATTACTGCTGCCAGCTCTGGAATATCCTCGATTTCGTCATGCTGTCAACTTTCATCACCAGTTTCTCTCTGAAAATCGTCAGCTACCGAAATGTCTCGAGAAACTACGATTGGTGGGACCAGCAAGGAGAGCATTTCAACATGAATTCTACAAAGTTCAACATTAGCTGCGGGGTTAGGGGATACGAAGCTTACAACTACACTAGTGATGGGAAAAAACTCTTTAATGTAACGCCTGAGCAAGCTTATTACTCTTATCAATGGGCGGAACGATTGTATTGGGATCAGTACGACCCTCAGGAAAATGCTCAGATTTTTATTTGAGATTTTTTTTTGAACACCATAAAGATCTATTCCCTTATAGAATATTTATTTTTATTAATCTGATAATCTCCGCTACCAAATACGAAGTAGAGTCATATGGTATGTCAGGATTATCATGTAACTAAAATAGATAAAAAGCATCAAAAAGCTAATTTCCGAAAGCCTCTACGCCATCGCAATCGTCTTCTCCTTCGCCCGAATTTCCTACATCCTCCCAGTCAACGAGCATTTCGGTCCTCTTCAGATCTCTCTCGGCAGAACCGTGGTTGATATTTACAAATGGGCAGTTCTCTTCGCCATGATTTTTGCAAGCTTCATGTTTGGACTACACGCGCTTTACAGTTATTTCGAAAATGGTCTTACTTACAGGAATGATTTCAGAAACCATAATTTCTGACTATTTTTTGTGTGTATGTACTTTATTTTATTTTTACAAAGGTGAGCTGAGAAGAATAATCTGACCTTTATTTAGGCTTAAAACTTGTCCATAGTAAAATACTTGTCCATGGTAATTTATGAAATGATAATCTTAATAAGAAAAAATTTCACCACAATCGAGCAAACCTTCATCACCCTCTTTTGGTCCCTTTTCGGCCTATCAGATTATCGAGGAGTCGAACTCGCCCAGTACCCCCTCTCCCGCATCATCGGATACCTTCTCTACGGCGCTTACAGTCTCATTACTGTGGTCATCATGTTGAACATGCTAATTGGTGACATAGAACGGTGAAAACGATTGTGTTACATTTTTCCTAGCGATGATAAATAATTCATACAATCGAATCGACTGTGACTCCGATGTCGAGTGGAAATTCGCCCGATCAAAATTGATGCTATCATATTTCGGCCCTGGCTCCGGTTTGCTTATTATCATTATTTATATAATTCCTCTCCTAGTGAATCCCCCTCCTTTCAATCTTCTTCCGTCGCCAAATTTCGTCCGATCAGTAGTCGACTGTGTTTTGGAGACAGTCAAAACGTGTCTCAAAGGAAATCCGGACTCGGCAGGTGTTGTGACTAAAACTGGCCGACCAAGATCTGGAGCTGGAACAAGGTAGAAGTTTTCAACAAAAAAAAATTATCAAAAAATTAAGAAAGCCGCAGAAAAATTCAGTGGATCACTGTATTGTCGAGTCTAGCTACGCGGTAAGAGCTTTCCGTCACAATTTTTCGCATAAAATCGTCTTAAAAGGATATTTCCCGCCGTCTGGTAAAACGTTACGTCATCAAAGCTCAAGTGGAAAAGGAATCAGAAGGAATCAACGAAGGAGAAATTCAAGAGATCAAGCAGGACATCAGTAGTCTCCGATATGAGCTCCTCGGTTGGATACTTCTTTTGAAAATCTTCTTAATTGAATTCTAGAGTTGAATAAAAATTACGTAGTCCAGCTCCAAACCGTCATCGGAATCGTCTCTGATCTCAAGAATGCCTACCGGTAAGATTCAATTACAGCAAGAAGTTCAACGACAATTTAAAGAAAGGGCACCCGCCGTGGATCCTTTTAGATCCCAACGAAAATGACTTTCAATGACCAAAGTTCAAGATGCCACTTTTTTTGCAGTTCGTATTTCAAATAAAAAAATACATGTCTAAAAAGCAAAAGTCGATCGATAGAAAACCACAGGGCAGCGTTTAAAAGACCACGATTACATTCTTATCGCTATCACTTTTGGAGCTGGTTTTATCTCGCAGTAATTTTTCTAAGCGCTGAGATCGAGGATTAGAATACGGAATGAGGACTGCGGAAGAATAATTACGCTCGTGTCAGATTCAAAACATCCACGAACATTGGAAACCTTCCGATTTCGCGTCACGACCGGATTTAGCTCGGCAAAGAGTTCATTAAGGTTCTTTTTATTTGATTTTTTTCAGAGGATAATGCAGTTTTTATTTCTTCAGAAGGAAAAGACAAGTGTCAAGAATCATTTCCATTGAAAGGGATTGAGTTTTTGAGGGTCGAAATAAAGATCGAATTGCGCTTTGAAAGGACTCGACTCCATGAAGGTCTTGAATTGAAGGAGCTGGGAAGAGTAGTGTCCTGTGTATTTGACAACAGGAGTTTGAGTTCGCTTAGCTTTTGAACCTCGAGTCATCAGATGTCGAGAGTCGAGGGCAGCGATTGTTGAGGCGAGCAAATTGAAAATTTTCATCGTTTTCCTTTATTATCAGTTATAATTATTAGATAAATATATGGTTTAATAATTGCGATGATTGTTCTGCTTTTAAAGAAAAAATAGATGCACTGGAAAAGTGTTTCTGGAATTTTTATATAAAATAATTTCCGTAAAATAAATGAAAACGCTTTATTACTGACGCGTTTTTATTATATAAAGATGATATAATTCAGAATAATTATTTTTATCAAATTATCATCCATCTCTTTCTTCAATAATAACGCGATGATTTGCGAAAAGAACTTGAACTTCAATCAAGAAGTTTTCTCATGACTTTGATAATTATTACGAGTTTTATTTTATGGGACGCGATTTTGTGAAGTTAGAAGAACCAAATGCACGATAAATAGAGATGAAGGTAAACTTGATATTTGAATTCAGAGAATGCAAAAATATAAACACAAGGTCGGGATTATCATCTGCTTTGTTTCTTCTGCACTTAGTATTTGCGATAAAGCAAATTTCGCGGCGATCGATTGCTCTGAGTACAGTTTTCTGATCACGATTAACCAGACCTGCTTCAACTACCACTGGAACAGAGGAAATGCTTGGAATGAAAACATTATTTTTGGCAGCTCAGGAGCAGCGGCTTGCGAACTCAATGTTGCTTCGCAGGGAGCAAATACGATTGAAAGTAACTATATTTTTGACTTTCTCAGGAGAACGAAATTACATTTCAGTAAATTTTGATCAATGCGATGTGGTAGCTAACTATCCCGATCCTACGAACAAAACGATCATTGACTTCAATCTCGATGGTCATATTATTGAAACATTAATCGTTAGTATTTGAATGAACCTAAGTTCGTTGTTCAATTTTTAGTTAGGGAAATGCTGATATTGAAACGCTCTTTGATTTCAACTACAAGTGCGAATTCAGAGGCGTCACGGATTTGGAAGAATCAGCGGTTTTTGCATTTTAATTTTATGAGAAAAATTGATAGCCATGTTTTTCAGCAACTTTATGATGCCGACAAGTTGAAGGTCAACGACACTCTTACTTTGGACAGCTCAATTATTCCAAATCCCGTCGAGTGTCTGACTAAGGATGAAAGCGGGGAGCAGTTTTGTTCGAATGATTTAGAGGGTTCGTTGTCTCTCGATGATTTGCAAGTTGGAGATACTTATGATTTTTACTGGGATTCGTATTACCCTTCTCTCGGCTCGATGAGCTTTCGAATCGAAAATGTTTGGCTTGGGTAAGTTCTTTCCTCGCTAGAAAATACACATATTTATTAGTCCCGTCCCCGGAGAAAAGACAGTACAAATCGCTAGCGATGGATGTCTCCTGTCTCCTTTTGATAGTGGCTTTAACTGGATGAGTCCTGATTCAAGGTTGATACAATGGACAGCATTTAAGTTTAAAAGTTCCAGCTCCGTCCACTTTACGGTTCGATTTCACAAAAAAAGAGGGGCTTACCATTCTTCCCATTTTTAGTTTGAATTGGTAATGTGCGATGCAGGTGGGGTTGGAGGTGCAGTTTTCGAAACAACTTTTTGTCTTGGATCAACTCAATGCGAAACAGGAGAAGGAAACCAATATCTTTTTGAACAGTGGCTGTCAAGCAATAATCAGAACCGAAAAAGAAAGTCAGCAGATGATGAGAATAATCCGATTTTTCAGCCACAACAAATCGTTGAAATTTCGGTAAAAAATTAACGCCTTTTATAAAAAATTAATGTGTTTTTAGGATATCAGCGTTGAGGTAAAACTTCCCGAAAATGCCAATCTAAGAGAAGAAAATGTTAATGGAGAGACAGTTATCGTTCTTTCCGATGAAGCTGGTAACACTTCCGGATCATTGAATTTCTTCTTAACAGCTTTTTTGATCCTTTCCGTTTTTGCTTTTTAAAATAAATTGATATTCTAAGAAAATGATTATTTTCAAACTCTTCCCCTCATTTGATGTTTCAAATTTGTATTTACAATAACTTATTGTCAATAAGAGAATAAATAGCCAGCTAGACAAAGATAATGCAGAAATGCTTAGGAGACAATTAAGCATGTAAACAAAGATAAAATTCACGACTACACAATTTTATTTCCCCCGAATTTCTATTTATCATCTTGTCCACGCGTCTCCCGAGACATGTCCCGCTAAATTCGAAAATTTCGAAAATGAAGAAAAGCGATCAAAATCCACAAATAAAACTGCTTTCCTGGAGTTTTCATCGTGAATTATGTCAAGAATGAAAATCGAGCACAGAATCTGTATTCGCTCTCATCTGTCCTGGCTTAGCACCTTGTCCTTACGAGCTTCTTCTGGGCACAAAAATCATCAGAATTTCAAAAGTGAAAATCTGACACGTTTTTGACATTTCGACATTGCTAAAAATGTCGGTTCCGACAAGATACTCGATCAATAACGGAAGAAGGACAGACAGAAAAGAAGTCGAAGGAAACGCTTTTCTAAATGTGAGTCTTACTTTGAAAAATTATAATATGGGGAGCTCCCTATTTTAACAAGATAACTTTTCATATTTTCAGTATTTGGTGGCAGGAGTGAATACCGCGCGAAAAAACATGAATGCTAAGGAATACGACATGGCTGATAAATGGGCTGCCCACAAAAGGTCCGCTTTTAATTTAAATTTATAAGCATCTCATAATTAATTTCGAACTATCGACAAAAATAGCATGATTTGAAAGCGTAGATAGGGGTTATTATTCGAGCCTCTGATTCGAGCCATCCTATATCTCAAGAATCTGGGCTAGTGGTTAGGGTTAGGGACAGGGAAGTCTTAATGCGGGGTCCCTTGCCCCCTGCGTTAGGTTTAGGGTTAGGGGCGGCTCAAATGATAACCCCAATCTACCTTCGAAAGAAAATATTAAAATTAAGCAATGGTCGATTGGCCAGAAGAGTTGGAAATGAGCCCGTCACTTACGCTCCAGGTAGGAATGTTTTTTATACTAAATGCCTTATAATTAAGATAATATTAATATTGTCCATGATAAATTTCTTGTCCGCGAAGCTCATGATCAGGAACAGGATCAAATAACTCAGACTTCAAGATGCCCGGTTTTAATTATGCTACGTACAGAAGAACCATTATTTTTGATTCATCAATCAATGAAAAATTTTGATCCTGGAAAAAGACGCAAGTTGAAATTCCCGTGGTCGACTATCTTACTGAAACAAATCTTGTCAAGCAAAACTAAAATAAAAAAATTTCAACATTTTTCATCATCTTTTTATTTTATTGAATGGCAATCAGAACAAAAATTAGCATAAACAGAAAACCAATAATCGCATAAAGAACAGAATGGATGTGCGGCAACATTTTTTTCTTGATTTTCTCTTCAACAATTATTTTTTTGCTTTTATGCAACGTGCGGAAAAAGAGGGATTGAATGGAACCGGGTTGAACCCCCCGGGCGGGGATCAATTCTGAAAAAGACCGGGTTTTCGCGGAATCGTGTTTTTAGGGGAGTCGATTTTTTGGGGAGAAAAATCAAATTTATCAAAATTGAACGGCAATGAAATATATCCTGCCTCGAAACGATGACGTTTTCAGCCTTTTTTCTGGCTCCAGCTGATTTTATCATTCCCGTTTTATCACTTCGGATCTTCACGATACATCTCGGAGCTCGTCTTGAAACCGATGATTTTTTTCATTTGGCTTCATTCTGATCCATCTTTCAAATTTTACCTTTTGAATCAGAGAGATTAAAAGAGAAATCATTTTAATTTCCTGTTTTTGAAACGAACCGAAAAGAAAAATGAAACTTTCCGCCGCCTTTTTCATCGCCTCCGTCGCCGCAGATTGCTATGACGGAAACAATGGAGGGTGCTCGCACTTTTGTGATTCCGGCGTTTGTAGCTGTCCCGCCTGCTGGACCTTGGATTCCGACAGCATGACCTGCATCATCGAGACAGGCCGGGCTAGCGTCACGTGCTCCACTACTGGCTCGGAAGTTCGAGTCGATAAATGCGTCTTCCCAGGTTTGTCAAATGTAAGAAATCTGTCCTGATGAAGGTTTAGGGGTTGCCGATACTGGCCTTTCTCTTGCCGATCCCACCTGCACTGCGATTGAAGACCCCCTAGACAACACCAAGTGGCTTCTCCAAAGCGGTTCCGTGGATGGCTGTGGCGCTACTATGGCTTACAGCGCCCCTGATTTCACATTCTCCGTAAATCCTCTTTTCTTTTTCGTTTCATATTTATCTCCGACTCTAGAACACGCTCGCCGCCGCCGCTGGTGAAGTAAACGGCATCATCACCGACCGCCCCGTCTCCGTTGACTTCTCTTGCCTCTACGAAGGTGAGACCAGCGTCAGTTCCGCCATCAAAGTCGACAATCCCGCCGTCGTCACCTCCTTCGACATCAACGATGTTCAATCCACCGCCGTTCCACTCGCTTTCAATATGGACTTTTACACCGCAAACGACTACGCAACTGTCGCTGATTTGAGGTAAAATATTTTCAAAATCTTTTAATTCATCGAAATTCTAGCACCATTTCAACCGCAGTCGGAAACCCAATCTACGGTGAACTGACCCCCGTCTCGGCCATCCCCGGCACCGACTTCGTCACCACCTACTGCTCCGTCACCGACGGCAGCTCGACCCTCGAAGTCCTCAACGTCTGCCCAAATGCAATCGTTGACTTCCAGTTCGGCTTTTCTGGCCAATCCGATGCTGCAGCGATTCAGTTCCAGTTCAACTCCTTCCTTTTCCCCAATGCCACTTCTGGAACTTACACCATGAGCTGCGACGTAAGCATTTTTTTCTAGCGCTTTTTCTATGAAAAATTTCAGGTCAAAGTCTGCGAGTCAGCCGATTCTTCTTGCCTTGCCGGATGCTAAAGAAAAATCTGAAAAAGAAAACTAAATTTGAGAATCTGTTTTTTTTTTAATAAAAAGCTTTTAAAATAACTGTTATTTTGAAAAGGCCTTTTGAAAATCAATGATTCTGAGTAATAAAAAAATTGGTGGTAGACCCGATTATTTTCCCTTTTCAAGAAAATTATGCAGTGGATTTTGAAAGTGGAATGTTTATTTACAGGAAAATTAAAATTTTTATCAATTTTTTTTTGTTGTTTTGTGTTAAAAAGAAAGCCATCAATAAAGTTCAGCATTCAAGCTTCTTTATCGACCAAAATTGTCAAACAGATTTTTATCCCAAAAACTGGGGAGAAATTATAAAGATTCACAAGAAGAAAAGAGAGAATTTCCAAAAGAGAGAGAACGTTGTACAGTTGAAGAGTTACAGTAAGAGTCGAATGATGGAATTACTATTGCTCGTTGTATTCAACTTGATTCGAGCATCCAATCGCGCACATTTTTGCGATTTCCGCACAGTCGGAATCTTGCGAACACGTTTCGTAAAGTTCCAACGGTCGGTCGATCAGGAATCCAGAGTCGAACTAAAAAGGGAGGAATGTCAATGCTTAGAATGCTTCAAATTTAACAACTCCCGCTTCAGTCAACATGTCTCTATGGCGCAATTGGTTAGCGCGTTCGACTGTTAATCGAGAGGTTGCTGGTTCGATCCCAGCTAGGGACGCTCTTTTTGACTCGAAAAGGCTAGACCTGTGTGAAATCCTGAGTCAGGGTTCGGAGAAAGCCTCGAAATACAATTCAATGAGTTATATAATCATGGCGAAGCCCTAAAAGGCTCTTTTAAGTCCCTAACTCATGTTAACACACAGGTTGCCAAGCCCGGAAAAACGATTCTCGACTCGAAAAACGAGTCTTTTTCTCTTTGATCTTACCTCTGAAATCATGCCATTGTACTCCTCCAAGGCAATATCTTCCTCCTGCGCTTCGACCTTCGCCTCTTCCATCGCAATCATTTCCTCCTCGCTCATTCTCGCCCGTCGATGTCGGTTTTTCTTGCCGCTAAGTTCAGCTGCCATCGAGTGCTTCGAATTCAAGTTGTAGCACCATCCTTCGTACATGAACGCGCCTTCGCCATTTGATCGGGGAAGGTAGCCAGTGCACTCGCTCCAGCAGACGCCCTTTGGTGCATCAGTTTCGGCGTCGTTGGAGAAGATTTCGCAGCCGTAGGAAAGTTTGTGGTTGTCACAGGGACGGCCAAAGGCGCAACGGCCGCGGAGATTGACTTGGTTTGCTGGGGGAATGACGTATCCTCGGTTGGCGGCTTCGGCAAGGGCGATTGTGACTAGAAAAAGGAGAGTTTAAATAATGATCTTCTTATTTAATTATTCTTTTATTCTCTCAAAAATTTTAAAAACTAGCTTGATTTTTTGTCACAAAACAAAATCCAAAATCTCTGATGAAAACTTACCGATTTCAACTCTCATATCTTCTGTTTTTTCTAGGTTTTTTTAACTTTATCTCGATAAATTAAAAAAAGGATGATTTTCTTCTTCTTCTTGAGGCTTTTAAATGATACCTCTGGTGGCGCGCGCGAGGTGCGGCGGCACGTGTTCCCGCGTTTTTCGGAGTTGTCATGAAAAGTTGAATTCTGCTAAGCTTTTTTAATGTGGCTTGTTTGATTGCCCCTTTTGATTTGAAAGGGAATGTTAAGGATGATGATTTTCGATGCTGTCTTGTTCAATGAAAATCTCATCATTCACAAAAAGTAAGTTTTAAGAACACGGTTGAATTAACACAGTGATACCCTTATTTTTTCTGTAAATATTTTGGTCAATAAAACATAAAAAAAGGAGACTTTCGTTCGAAATTTCGTGACTTTTTAGTACTGTTAAAATTTCAAACGACACTATTATCGCACCCGAAAAATAAGGGTGTCATTGAGAAATATGAGCAAGAACAGCTTGAAAAGCTTTAATCTTTTCCCTTAGAGTTCACTGAACTTAGTTCAGAGAAATAAGAGCTGGACTATTTTTCAAGCACTCTATGATCGAGCCTCTATTAATCCCATTCTCCCTGTAAGCTGCGAATTTGATGAACAAAGCTGGCATGAGATTTGAAATTGAGCAAGACAAATCCCGTTAAACACCTCGATCCTCAAATATTTTCTCAACGCCGCGCTGTTTTTCTTTTGAGCATATTCGCTGTCGGATAAAACAACAATCTGGAATATCAAAACTGGAAAAAATACGAGAACGTGCTAAAACTGAAAATTCATTGAACTTCTCAAAAAGGAAAAAAAAGTGGCAAACTGCGTTTTAAAAGGTTCAAAACCGGTCGTTACGCCCTTAGCAAAAGCAGTGATTATTTTATAATTTTGATTGCCAATCGTCTTTGAGATTAGTTGATGATTTTCAAGAAAAAAATGACGATGTTCATGAAATTTAAGCTTTTCCAGAATAGAAACGGGAGCTTGAAAATTTGAAATTTTGGGAAACAGCAAAAAGGTCCTTTAGAAAAAGCGTCATACTTCCAAAAATTGGAGGAGCAGCTTGTGGAGGTACTTGATCTAAGTATCTTCTATGGTTAGAAACAACGTTCTGAAATTCGATCAGGAATTTCTTCAGATGCTTCGAAAAAAATGATGAATCCTTTCTTGAAATGAGTGATTTTCTCGTGTTTGCTTTTGATTTTTATGGTCTTCAAATATTCAAATTATCGAGCTCTGTTTTGAATAAATAAAAAAGGTGGTAAAATGAGGAAGAAATTAGTTCTTTATGTTTTTCAATTAAGTGCTTTAGTCTTGTTCTTTTATACAGTCAAACAGACCGAAGAGAGAAGAGAAAAACAAAATTTCATGGGGCTTGAAACGTCTGCCAGTCTCGAAGCCCTGAAATCATATTGTCAAAAAAATAAAGAGAGGCAGAATTTTGAGAAAAACTCAAGAATCATCACAGGGACATGTTCAATCCGCATCAATTGAACCTTAACTACGGTTTGCAAAATATCCGTAATTATTCTTTGTTTCTTTTAAAAACAAGGCATATTTTTAGACCACGTTTTATCTAAATTATCTATTGAAACTCCCATAACTCCAGAAAGCAAAGCGAAATTGGAACATGAGAAAAAGGAAAATCACTGGAAAACGTCAGTTTTTCTACGTGTTTAGCCCCAAAATCAGGGTCAACAACAATTATGGCTACGATACTTGCTGCTACTGGATTCTTAAACCTCGATGAAATTGAGAAAATCAGCTGTGAGAGCCTTATTGCCGGTGATTTTCGATACAACCCTGAATGCACCCAAGATAATTGCCTGCATCCCCTTAAAATGACAAAAGAAGAGGAGGTTGATTTCAAGTTTCTTCTTGTTCGACATGTTTTTTGACAATTTAATACAGTTGCTGATAATTTTTTAGCCACTGGAGCGACTGTACTCCGCTTGGAAAGATAAGATATCAAGAAACATGAATAGCACAAAAACTCAATTCAATCGGATTCGCTTCAAGATAACTCCGTCTGGCATCGTTTCTTTCAAAGAATTTCTGAAATGGTTGACGATCGAAAATAACCACGAGTCGGATATTCACTGGAAACCGATCTCAAAAATGTGCGAAATCTGTGAACACGATTGGGATGTTGTTTATGATACGAAGAATATTCAAGCGGCGATTGATGACATTCTAGCACGTATAAATCCAGCTGGAAATATCACCAAAAATATATTGCAGCCGGTCTTCAAAAAGCTCAATAATCATACAACTCATTCAACAAGCACTTTTCACGAAGAACTGAAGCATCTCAGGAAGATATGAAAGAAACCAAAGGGTTTTCCGTAAAAAAAAGACCTTTGAGTATTTGGTCATAAAATGAGGTTTCATGATATCAAAGAAGGCATAAAAATATCGACGTTCTCGAAAATATATTGGAACTTTATCGAGCCGATTTTGAAATGTTCGGTTATCTGCCATAATTTTAAACGACTGTAAATATTTTCTTTGAAGTTCAGAGTCTGAACTTTCAATAAAAAGATAAAAGTTTCCTTATAAATTTGCTAATGAATATTCAGCATTTCTAAAGAGAGATTCTGTCTACCACTTTGAGATATGGGAATATCTAAAGAGGGACCATTTTTGATAATTCTTCGAAGACGCTTTTTATTGATAAAATGAAGGGTCCCCTTTTTCATTTTTTTATGATGAAATCTCCTTTTACTCAGTCAGCTTTTTCTTCAAAAAAAGAAGAAGATGCTTGAAAGTCACGAGTTTCGGGAAGTAACGCCACCTGTCATCTTTCTACCCCGTTCCCAGTGGTCGGCTACGTCACCATCAAGAGACGCTTGAAGTGACAGAAATCAAAAGTGGTTTCGTGGCGGAATTTTTAGCCGAGATTAGCGGCTTCGAAATCGTCGGTTTAGAAACGGTTGAACGTGTGATTATCTCGTAATTTGCCGAAATTGCTAGTTCATTCACAAGAGCAGACGTCGCCGCCGATGGAAACTTGCAGAGAGGGGCGAAGTTTTTTTCAGACAACGATTTTATAATTGAAAATGAGAAAAATTTTAGTCAGAAGAGATTTTTTCTCCAATAATGGAAGTCCTCCAGCAAGCGAGGTCCTCCGACTCTGAAAGAAAAAAATATCCGCTCGCATGGTGCCGCTTTTTCGTCTTCTACTTTTATCGGTAGCTTGTTTATCATCTCTTCTATCAACTCATTCTTCCGTCGTCCTATTCAAAATTTTGGGTAATAAGAAAAAAAAGCTTCTTTTGAACCTTATCCTCTCAAAACGTGTGTTCATTTCGATATCGCTAATAAGAAGGTACTCACACAGGCGGGCGGCTTATCCGCCTAAGCCCGCACGAACGAGATAAAACGCGATCTTATTCGAGCATTTAATGTCAGACTACCAAATTCTGAAATTCAGTAGATTCTGAAGAAGAAGAAGATCAATAGACGCCTCAAAGACTGGAGCCGCGAGTTTTTCCTCTTGCGCAAAAATGTCAACGGCTCAACCAACTGGTTTTGCGCCAAGTGATTTCGCCGTCTAAGAAAAGATCAGCCAAGGCGCGATATTCCCCCGTGAAAATTTTTATCAAGAACTTTCTCATCCAAAATTGAGCTCTTTACGAAATTTTCTGGGAACCAAGTAACAAAGTCACCTGCAACAAAATTAATAATTGAAAACTCGACAATCCCATTTCCCGAGCTTCAAGGAAAGAAAACAAGCTTAGGGCGTCAATCCAGAAACAGATCCCTTTTCGAGCTCCTGGCTTACCCGCTGGCTTTTGTTGTCATCCCCGTTACACGTTCTTCTCGCGATGAAAATTACCATTTTTCTTCTTCTTTCTAAAATATAGAGAGGGTTAATTAACGCGGCTCATAAACGTTAACGCAGAATGTCCGTTAACGCAATTAACGCTCCTTAAAAACCGCTCTAAAAAGGCTTCGAAAAAGTCTCGAGGAAAAACAAGTCAAATAGCCGAAATTCGTTTGTAAATATTATTATCAAATTCAACCATGTCGGACAGGACCGATTCCAAGTCCGGCTTTCTGTCGAAACAGCTTTCTTCGATCACTTATCTCTTGACGAAACATATTTTCAGCGTGCTTTCAACATCAATTTTCTTTAATTCAGCTTGACGACCTGTGTAGAAACCTGAGTCAGGCTCTTCATCAGAAAGAAATGAAAATGACGATTATGATTTTTTGCGAGAAACTCTGGAATGTCAATTCAAACCCGCTGGAAAATGCAAAAATATCAGCTGTTCTCGACCGCTAAGCCCCCGCAAAACTGACCGGTCACAGTGGTAGACCACGTTCCAATCTTGTTGGCAGAGATAGAGGGCGAAAAGGGTCAAGAGACAGAACGTTGGACTGAAATTTTTTGATTTGAAATTTCTCAAGTTATTCAAACTTCTTGTCATTTGCGGTGGTCAAACCCGTTGCCCGTGAAAATGGCGACGTTTCAGCTGAATTTCATTAAAAGAAGAATTAGATAAAATCGTAATTGAAAATCACGTCAGGTTGATTTTCATTTTCTTTCGATTAAATTTTTATGAGAGGCAATTTTCGTGAATAAATCAAAACTAAACTTTCGTCGAAAAATCTTCGTCGTCAGATTTCATTCTTTTTTTGTTAAAATATTGAAAAATAATAATAAACTCTTTAGCTAAAGAATAATTGATTATTAGTAGTACAGACAGACAATTGATTTAATCATAGCGACGTCTGTCTCATCCCCAAGGAATTTTAATGATTTCTAAGGTCGAATTTGAAAGAGTTTTCCTCTATCGTCAAGAAATGTCGTCAAGTTGAAAAAAAGCTGATTTCGTAACTTTGGCGCGGCGCCAAAAACTCGACGAACTCAGTTATTTTTCTTTGTATTTCTGCCTACTTTTTTTGGACTCATCTGTTTTCCGAGGTCAAAAGAGCCTTTTTTAAATGAGAGAATTATTCATTTTTCTACTTGATAACAGGAATCAATGAAGGTTGAAATAACAGAGAAATAGAAGAAGAGACAAAAAAAAAATCTCTGAAAATTGGCTGCTGGTGCAATTTTCTGAAGCAGGTAGGCAAATATCAGGAAGAAAAAATGAAGTTCTAAGTGAGAGCATGAGAGTTTTGTAATGCCCTGCCAATATTTGACGCCGCCAAAAAACTACTTTTGGAGAGAATAAATAAAAAGAGAAAAAGTCTTCAGGGGGTACGTCTCCATCAAATTTCTGATCAAAAAATCCATTTTTAAAACGCCATGTATCGATTAATTTCAATGATGCGTATTGCCCTTGTGGCAGGGCTTTTTATAGCTAAGGGGGTGTGGTAAACTTGCGTAGTGGCTCTCTTTCTCTGAGAAAAAAAGGGCAAGAAATAAAAATATTTTTCTCACCAGCTATCTTTCTCTTTCTTTAGGCCCTCTCTGCCAAATTGGGAGAGAAAACAAAATAGTTGAATCAAATTAATTTGAGAAAAAAAGAGTCACAAAAGGTTAAAAATGAAATTAAGTTGAACAAAGTTCAAAGGTCGGCTGAGAAGACAAGTCTGAAGCAGAAACTGACAGGGGCGAAAATAAAGAAAAAGTGAAAATAAAGAAGAAAGAAAAATTCGGAAGGAAAACAGTCAGAAATGGAGGCTTTTAGGTCTCACACTGGAGAAAAGGTTAATTTTCATCTAATTTTTTAACCCATGAGCAAATTTTCGCTATTTTTGTACCATTTTTTCTTATTTTTTTGATGATTTTTGTACACTCAGATTTAGCTCTACGATGGACCCCCTGATGGTGGGTATGGATGGTGGATAGCTGCTGGCCACTTCATCAACATCGGGATCGGATATGGCTTCACAAAGTCCTTCGGCATCTTTTTTCCTTACATCAAAGAAGAGTATTCAGTCGACAACACAACCACTTCTCTCGTCTTTTCTATCATGATGTTCACTCAATACTCAGGTCAAATAAGCGCGTAAAACCGGGAAATTACAGTAAAATTCAGGTTCTCTTATTGGAAACTTAATCTACCGTCAATATGGCCCCCGCCTGACCCTGATGATCGGCGGCATCCTGTGCGGATCCGGGTTAATTCTCTGGGCCCTGCTCAAGAGTCTCTTCGCCCTGTACATCGGAGTCGGATTATTCGTCGGCCTAGGTTTTTCTTATGTCATTCTTGTGGGAAATGCAACTCTTTCTCGTTACTTTAAAAAACGACGACCTCAAGGAATGGCTAAGCCAGCATTTTTGAAAGAAGAAAATTAAAATACTTTTGCCCCCGAATTTACTCGTAAAAGAAAACTATGCGCTTAACCACGTGACAAGCACTGGCCTTTTCGATGACAGGTGTTCCAGTGATGTCGATCATCTTCCCGCTTATCTACGAATTTCTGTATGAAACTTTTGGAATGTACGGTGCTGTTCTCATTGTTGGTAAGTAATTTACTTTTCCTCCAAATTTTCTTTAAAAAAAAAACTTCAAAAAGGTGCGATTCAATTAAATGTCTGCGTCGGTGCCGCCTTTTTCCGCCCTATCAACCTCAAAAGTGACCATACCGGTACTGCCCAGCTCTCCCTTATCAAAAAACTCTCCAACGCCTTTGGCCGACTTATCCGAAATCCCAATTTTCTGATGTACTCAACGTCCATTGCGTTGACAATTTCTGGCAAATTCATGGTCAATCCATTCGTCAAACTCTACGCTGTCAAAAACGTCGGATTGGAGAAATACCAACCTGCTATGCGAAGGGATGACAAATCTTTATGAATATGAAAACACTTAATAACTAGCCCATCATTTGCAAGACCAAATTTTGCCCACAGTGCTTTCATCCTAAATCAGATTTTATCAATTTGCTCTGGCATTGATCTGATTTCAAGACCGCTGGGAGGAAGATTGTGCTCGACGAAGTTTATCAGAGAGAAGCTGGGCACTTTTGAGGTAAATTAGAAATATTTATTTACGATCTACTCGACACACTCATAATCATCTTTTATTTGATACATCAAATTGTAATAAAGCTTAAATTTAAAAATTTGAATTATTATTAAGCACTTTGTGGTTTTTGCTTCTTAAGAAAGAAACAAGCAGAATATAAAAAATAGGTCAAATAACTAAAAATCATGACCTCCGGAGCTATTTTTGAGACTCTAAGAACCCTCCGACCGGAAGAGCCTCATTTCCTGACCTAATAACCTTTTTAAGACTTTCTCCCTCTGCGTCGTTGCGCTCGGTTGTTGCAACCTCTTCGCTCCGTTTTGGGTGACGAGCTTCAACAGTTTTGCTGCCTATGGAGTCATTTTCGGCCTCTGCTTCGGTCTCACCATCGGTGTTGAATGGTCGAACGTCTCCGAACTCGTCGAAACAGACATTCTTTCCGATGCAATCACTTTCATCCAGCTCGAAACCTCGATCGGAGTCCTCTTGAGTCCATTGGCCGGTGGCTACATTTCCGACAAGACTGGAGACTACTCGTACGTATTCTACATCGCTGGAATGCTTCTCTTAGCTGCCGCAGCTTTCGCTGGAGCTGGTAAGTTCATTCTTTTTAGAGCAGGTTGAACAAAGCTGAGAAGTCCAAGAATTTTTGAATGAGCGAGCTTTGACCTTTTTTGAATTAATTTTTCTTCGGAATTTTAGCTCTCTTTTTTTCTTAATTTTTGTTTTACTAACTGAAGTTTCAAGTAGATAACCCAGTAAAAAGGACAGTTGACAGGTGGCAGTTGATAAGAAAAACTCACAAAAGATCACTAGAATTACCTTCGTTCTTGAGCAAACAATAGTTTATCGAGGAGGAACCCGAAATCTTATTTATTTTTTAAAGTTGCGGTTCGTCGACGATGCTCGCTCAAAGAAATGGTTGTTGAAGAAGTTGAACCCGTCGCTGCGAGAAAGTCTTCGATGATGGCTGAAAAGGATGGTTTTGAAATGACGAACTCGGTGATGCTCAATGCGCCAGATGGAAGCCAGATTGTCAACTCCAAGAGCTTCTTGGGAGTGAATGTTGCTGTGAACCCGAATGCGAGATTTAGGGGAAAGACTAAGGAAGAAGCTGATATGGTAAGACTCTTCTATCGATTTCCCTTCTATTCGTAATTTTAGGCCGATGGAATTACCGCAAGTTGTGCCTCTCTTCACGCATAGAATATTTTTCTTTCAATAAATTCACTCTCTGACAAACAAAAACTCTGTTTGATAACTCGCGAATCATAACACCACATGAGGGCGCTACAATTGTCTTGGTATCTGAAAACCGAAGTTCGTTCGATCTATGCCTCGTATGTCGCGCAAACAGCACTAGAAAGTCATTTGCGCCGGCTTAATTGAAGCACTAAATCATAGAATGGTAGAGTTTATCACGGGCAGAACGAATTTTCAGGTGTCTTATGGTTTTCTATCTGAGCTTTTCCGGTAATAGAAAAATTTGATAAAAAGCAAAATAATCGCATGATCGCCGTTAATATCCCGTTCCTTAGTATAAATTTCGTTGAAATACAGTATTTGATCGTCCTTCGCAACAGAACAGTAATCAGCATTGTGTTAATCCTCACGCGATAGAAAAGCTTGACCGCATCCCTTGATTATTCACTTTGTTTTGCTCCTTACAGGTAAGTTTTCTCCTCCCTTTTTTATACCAGTGTTATTTATAAAGAGAAACGAACTCAAAACCATCAATGCGAGAAGTGATCTCTATCCACGTCGGCCAGGCTGGAGCCCAAATCGGTAACTCCTGCTGGGAGCTTTACTGCCTCGAGCACGGAATCAACCCCGACGGAACCTTGTCCGACACGCCCAACAAGTCCCAATTCACTCACAAAGACGACGACAGCTACACCACCTTTTTCTCCTCCTCCGATACCAAGCGCTTTGTCCCTCGAGCTGTCATCGTCGATTTGGAACCAACTGTCATTGACACTATCAAACAGTCGAAGCACAAGGACTTGTATCACCCAGAACAGCTCATCGCGGGGAAAGAAGATGCTGCGAATAATTATGCTAGAGGTCATTACACGATCGGAAAGGAATTGATTGACACTGTGTTGAACAGAGTCAGAAAATTGACTGAAAATTGCTCTGGTCTTCAGGTGACAATTGCCAAGATTTCTTGTTTAGTTCGACATGTCTTCTTTATAGCTAATTAGTTAAAATATTATTTAATAGAGGGTAGATTTTGTCGATAATCTACCGAATAGCTTAAAAAATGACATACATTTGGTTAATTTCTCAATAATCTAAATTCATTTATTTACCGTTATAAAATATTTTTCAGGGCTTTATGGTTTTCCATTCTTTCGGCGGCGGAACTGGTTCTGGATTCACTTCCCTCCTGATGGAGCGACTTTCCGTCGATTATGGCAAAAAATCCAAGCTTGAGTTCGCTGTCTATCCAGGTAATCTTCTTATTTCAACCGCTACTTGGTCAACTAAAATGACAAGAAAACTTCCTCCGAGAAATCATTTATCAAAACATTTTTGAAAGTGAATCTGAGTCCCAAATCTAATTGAGCAATTTGAATAATCTTCTTGTTTCGTAAGCTCCTCGCGTGGCGACTGCGGTGGTCGAGCCTTACAACTCGATTCTGACAACGCACACGACCCTTGAGCATTCCGATTGTGCATTTATGGTGGATAACGAGGCGATTTACGACATTTGCCGCAGCCACCTCGGTGTCGAACGCCCCAACTACGAATCCCTCAATCGCATCATCGCCCAAGTCGTCAGCTCGATCACTGCCTCGTTGCGATTCTCGGGCGCGCTCAACGTCGATCTCAACGAATTCCAAACGAACTTAGTGCCCTACCCAAGGTGAGCGCCGCTGCGGCCGGAACGTGAATTACTTTCCATAAGAGGGGCTCTCGAAAAGCTGGAATGTGGGAAAGAATGAGTTTTTAACATTTTACGCTTTTAGAATTCACTTCCCGCTGGCGACTTACGCGCCTGTGGTTTCAAAAGAGAGGGCTGGACACGAAACTCATTCTGTTCAGGTACGCTCTGAGTAACGCGCTTTGTTCTGTTAATTTTTCTTCAGGAAATCACAACTGCCTGCTTCGAAGCTTCGAACCAAATGGTCAAGTGCGATCCTAAGCAGGGCAAGTACATGGCCTGCTGCTTGCTCTACCGAGGCGACGTCGTCCCCAAAGATGTCAACGCTGCCATCGCCAACATCAAGATGAAGCGATCCATCCAGTTCGTTGACTGGTGCCCAACTGGCTTCAAGGTCGGAATCAACTACGAAGCGCCCACCGTCGTGCCCAACGCCGACCAAGCCGCTGTTCCAAGAGCTGTCTGTATGCTCAGCAATACTACCGCCATCGCCGAGGCTTGGAACCGTCTCAACAGGTACTTTTTTCAAAAATGAAAAATTGAAACTTCACACCAAACCGGCGAAAAAATAAGCCGAGGGGCTTAAATCCTTGCGCAAAGTGGTCATTATGGAAATGAGAGACTCAGAATGACCATGATGAGGACATTGATGACCCTGTCTTATGATTCTTTTTTGCTTTTCGACAAGTTTTAGCACTGACAAAATTGCTCATCAACGAATTACTAATTGTTCTTTTAGAAAATTCGATTTGATGTATGCCAAACGAGCCTTCATCCACTGGTACGTCGGAGAAGGAATGGAGGAAGGAGAATTCGGAGAAGCCCGAGAAGATCTCGCCGCTCTTGAGAAGGATTACGAAGAAGTTGCTGCTGATTATGAGGAAGATGTTCAGGACCCTGATGAATATTAGAAACTGGAAATAAAGAGAGTTATCCATTGTAGCTTTTATTTATGAAGCCAGTGAAATCTTTCATAGCATTTTGATGAGTTGAAGGTCTTCGTCTGTCAGTAACATTACGTAATGCCTAAAAATACGGAGATCAGATAAAGTCTTGAAGAAAGGTCTGAACAAGAATCTAGAATCCCCTCGTGTTGTATAGAACTATTCCCTCTTGATAATCAAAAGTACCTTTGGGAGGGTAGATCTTGAGGAAACACTTGAGCTGAAGCTTGAAACCGATCTAAAAATGCAATTTTAATTGTCAATTCATAATTGGACGTTCCATTTTGGGAGTGGCTATTTCATTTGAGATGAACCTTGACCATTGTTGCTATTCAGAAATTAAACTACTTACACTGGTGACGTGACGCGGGGTACAGTTGATGTTCTTGGCTCATATGGAGAGGCATATGGAAGGGTTGTCATCCGAATATTGCTTTTTTGAAGCTTTGGGCTTTCCCTCAAAGGAACTCCCAAAGGATGCTAGGGGAATATTAATCAGCTTTCTTTGTTGATTCCAAGTTGAACCTGAAAAACTGGAATGATCTTCTTCTCCGGCGGAGGAGAGAATTCAAGGACATCGTTGGCGTCGAAAAATCGAAGTGCAATTGCTTGAGAAATTGCAGCAAGAAGAGTCAATGCCGCGGAATATAAGCAGAGAGTGAGACCGCGAGCCCAATCGCGGTTTCCTTGGTCTTGGACGACGTCGACGGAAATCATGATGATGACCATGACAGCGGTAATGATCTCGCATGCGAAGCAGATGAGGGTGGTTCTTTTTTGAGTTCACTTATCGTTCTATCCCTAGATGCACAATTCTGTTTGAAAATAATTAAAATCGGAAATCAGTAAAAACACTCCTTTAAAATTCACTGATCAATAAAAGTGAAAAATTTTATGGTCTTCCATGGCCTTTACTAGATTCAAGATTGAACTCATTCCCAAGAACATATTTCGCGATACAATGCTTCGTCTTCATTTTCAACCCAAAAAGGAGCACACATTCCAAGCTGAAAACACTGAGCATGAAAATGATAGCCAGCAGAATTTGCGACGTTCCGAGAAGAATTCTTCCAGTGAGAACCCAACTTTCATAAGGCTTTTTAATGACGTCTGACAGTCAGAAGGGAGCTGTTTAGGGAACAAATACTGTTATATAGTTGCGGTAAAATGATGCATAAAATTAATATTAAATGAAAGGCCAGTTTTCAGATCATTTTGTCGGATAATAAGGTTACCGAATTGCTCTGAATCTCTTATGCATTTGCACCAGACTGCATTAACCGAAAGTTATATTACTAGGAATAGTGTAATGAATCAAAAATAAATGACCCTTTTCGAGTTTATAGACGTTATTTAGACAGCACTTCATCACTCGATTGTCCGGGAAGAGCTTTTTTTCATGTTAAAACCGGAGAAAATATGGTCTACTTAAAGCATGAACTCGTTAAAGCTCGGCCGATTCCAGGAAAAGATCAATTTTTCCTAGAATTCTAGAAAAAATTCGAGAAGGGCACTTTGTTTTGTTGTTTTTCTTACATAAGTATTTAGTTGGAAGAAACGGAAAATGGGGGAAGAGTTCCGAAATGTTACGATTCCCCAATTTTGGATCGACAATGGATTTACTGCGGAGACCCTCCCGATTTGGTACAATACTCTTGCCGTCAGTAAGTAGAAGTGTTTATTGAAAGCTTATTCTTCGCCCCTTTTAAAAGGGCAGGAAAATAAGGGCGTCGCTTACTTATCAATTTCAGTCATGATTGCATTCTTTTTTATATCAATCATAAACTGGACGGTGGCCTACATCGTCCGCAAGAAGATGGATCCCCTTAAACATTTTGGAGCGAAACCGATGACATCGCTGGAACGATACGCTCAAGCATGCAAATTCGGTCAAGAACCAGCGATGAATTTTGTCTCATCAACCCTAGTAACAAACGACCGAGTTTACGTCATCATTCGACTGACGATCGCCATCTGGTCTCTTTCACTCACTGCAATGATCAATGAAGGTTTAAGAACTTGGATCTTTGGAAGCTATTTCCCGCTTGGTAAGCTCAAACCCAAATCGCTAAAAATATCATTTTTTCAGCTCTCGTTTTGAGTATCTATGTCAATTTCAACAGGCACTTGATTATCCAAGGTTTTGGCTCAAAAGCTCAGACATGCAACAAGATATTGTCATTCATTTTCAACTTACAGGTAACAATGAAAATATGACAGAACATAAGTCTTTCTAGGCCCCATTGCGACTTATTCTTTCGCTCACAATGTGGACAAAATGGTTTGGAACATCTCGAGTGCGCGATATTTCCCGACGCATGGATGCTTCAAGATTCATTCTCTTTAACAAAGAGTTTGCTCCCTCGCTCTTTTTGCTTGTCGAATTGCTGTGGTTTGATACAAAAGTTTCCTATTTCGGAGTTTGGGCGCCAGTATTTATCTGTTGTATTACTGGAATTTCTCTTTTGCGAGCGATGAATCCCGAGCCTCCACAAGCGTCCCTGTAAGTCTATGAATCTTTTGTCTCTTTTGATAAAATTCTAGAGCCATGTTTAATCGTCCCTACTCAACGACCCTTCATGCATTTATTTTCTTCTTTGGAATAATAGTCATTCAATGGGGTCTGGCATCAATCTGCCTGTTCAAAATTTGGATCTTCAAGAAAATCCCGGTTATTGGCGAAAGACTTACCACTAGACAGGAAAGGGTTAAGGATTCAAGACAAATTATGCTCTGTATTTGCGCTAAATTTATCCCTTATCAAAGAAATGCGCTGCTGTTTTCAAGAAACGACAAGCCTTCAATTATTATTTCAAGGGAACCGAAGTGGCCAAGAAGCGAAAATCAACTGCCGCTTCTGAGTTCGGAAATATCGGAAAAAGAATGTCAACTGGAAAACGAGTCAGTACGATGGAGCGACTATAAATTCATGATTTCCTTGTTAAAAATACATTTTCAAAGAAATAAAAAAGCCGTTCCTTGGTAAATTTGTTGTGATGATATTGCCCGTCGCCCATTTTCTGCAAAGTGTCGTTCCATGATTACAGGAATACCACTGTAATAGTGTCGCGAAAACACACATTTTTATTACTGACGAACGAATAATATGATGTCACTTGTTCATCAGTAGCTTGTCAAAGCTGATTGACAAGCCAATAAGTTAGTATTAACGATTCATTACTGTATGTCCCGAAATTACTCTCGCAGACAACAACAAAAATGGTTTGTTCTGTAACATCCCGAAACATGCCTAAATAAAGTCGACAGGGTTAGTCAGGGAAAAATCTATTTAGCCCCCTCTGAATGGATAATCTAGTAATTTGATAGAGCGATTTCCATATGTTCAATCATTCAATTCAGGGCTTCCTGTTTTCATGGACATATGGTTTTTTTTCTGTAAAGGCGAATTCACCTAGACAGTTATCGTAGATCCCTTCATTGTCGTCCGAACCATCAGTTAGCCAGCAACGATGGTGGAAGGTTACTGAAGTTAATGATGAAATAAGATGGTATGATGAGGGTTTTGAATGAATTTTTTTTTAAAAAAGTTTATTTTATTTCTATTTTTTTAATAATTTATTGAGTTCGCAACACTTTTCATTCCAAGACATCTCGAGTACAAACTTTCATTATCGTCCGACTTATCAGTAATCCAACATCTATGTTGATAAGAAACTAGGTGTAAATAATTTATCTTTCAACTTCTCATTCCCGTGTCTAGTACCTGTGTGTAAGATAAAAGCAGCGAAGAGAAGAGTAATTCCTGTACAAAGCGCTATCTCTGAAGTCGTACTTCGCATAGGAACAGTTTCTCTGCAAGGCCAATTTACAGGATAATCGGATAAAAGGACAAATTGGCAACCGAGATGGGGGTTTCTTACAAGCTCAGAAGTAGTAAGCTTCAGATCTTTTTGTATCGAAGCAAAGTAAATAGAAATCGAAATTGGCGCGCTGAGCGCTTAATTGATACATCAAAGAAGATAAACTCATTCAATACATGTGGATCAAAACTTGTTAGATTTGGACAGACGCACTTCCGAATCGCAAGCCATTCATAAAGAAAATACTCGTGCTCAATTCTAGAATAATGAAATTATTTGTTTGCAACGGTACTTTCATCAGATCAGTTCGAAAATGACTACAGTCCAGGTACAGTTACTAATTCTGAATAAGAAATAAACTGAGGTCAATATTTTACGCTTCAAGTTCACAGCAAACAACAGTCTGCTTGAATTCCATTAAAGATGTTCCATCTGCTTTTTGTCTCGAAAATCATCTGTCAAAAAATAAAAGGAAGAAGGAGCAACTGCTGGTGGAGCGGATGATGATGTCGCCGCGAATTTCTGGTTTCACGCCATGGTTATGTTTCTTGGAGAAGAACTCCTTGGTGGTATCTTTATGGTCGTTTTGTTGCTCCTTGTTGGGCTGATCGTTTACTGTATCAAAAGAAATGGCGAGAAGAAAGCTGCTGCTTCTGAAGATTTTTAATAAAAACTACTGTTTTTGATTATCAACGCCGTGTTATACATTTTATTCGAATAATGATAATTGCAGCTTCAGTAGTTTATATTTTTAATAATATTGAACCATCAAAATGGTTAATGAAGAGATGGCGCGAGTCTACTCGAGCGCCCCTCGCTCTTTTTCCAAATGAGAGTTATAAAACTGGACGGACAGGGAGTTCGCTCGTCACAAATTGTCAACTTATAGAAAACCGCGAAGAGAAGCTTTTTTTAATCATGCAGTTTAGCATTCTTGGTAAGTTTGTTTTCTCCGCCAAAAATATCTTAAATTTTATTTTCTTTAAAACTTCGTTCGTTGTGACACCCTTACTTCAATAAGTTAAAATTTTTCGTTTGAAATCATAGAAGAAACAGTTCATAATTTGCTTCCTAGGTCTTATTCTTCCGTTTACCCTCGGCACAGCCGAATCTATGTCTCGACCCCCAGTCTGGTCCCTAATGGACCGAAGAGCACCTCCTCGACCAGGCCGACCGAACTGGAATCCTCAAGGGCTCAAATTCGGCAAATACAGATCTTTCGATCTTGGAAACAAATATTCCGTAAGTCGTCCCAATCAATTCCATTCACCGAGCATATTTAGTTCTAAAAATCGAACGGAATCAATCAAGTCTTCTTTGCCATGGAAATCCTCTTTTCTACCAATCTTCAAAGTCGTCCGAAATTTCCTACTTTTTTATCCCTTTTTTTTCTTCTTTTGCGAGAATTTAAAAATAAAATTATGTCAATTGCAGAAAATATGACTCATCCTCATCCAATTTGAAGACTAGACAGTAAATGAGACAGGATATTGACAAGTTAAATTGAGAATTTAACTCATTCTTCAACTGAAAAATTAATGACTTCGACTTTATATAAGGAAGCAATCTCCTGATCATCAAAAATTGATGCAGACAAGTGGACGAGTAAGAATTTGATTAACTCCAGATGTCTTCTGTTCAACTATTTATACAGTAGTTTGCACAGCCACTCAAGGTTTAGATCGGTACCTTGTTCGGTCAATTTTTCTCCTAAGTAGCTACAATCTACAGTGTCTTCGAATACAGTGTCGAGAAGTACCAAGTTGGTAGAGGTCTTGTTCTGTGGCACGATTTTCGCTTCAACTGTGGAATAAATAAAATCAGCAAAGCTCAAATACAACATAGATTCTCAAAGAAAAAATTAAAGATACGTGCGTCATGAGAAAACCAACATCTGGGACTCTTTTCTTGGCATGAAAATTTTGAAAAAAAAATGTAAAGAGAAAGTTGGAAGATGAAGATTTGCATTTCTTTTCTGGCTATTGTTTCGGCGCAAGTTACAGATGATTACTGTCGTGTGAGGGAGCAAATGGCGGATAATATAAAATACTATGGCGATGCTATCGGAACTGGTCAAACCCTTCCCAAGGTTGATATTTCTCTGTTTTTATAAGGAGAATGACCACATGGGCATCATATATTCGCTGCGAATGGGGGCAGTTATGTAAATAAATTTATGCTATCACATGCGGCCCTCTAGAAAAATGAATAAAGATATATCGAGCATCAGACTTGTGGTTCTTAGCTATAAGAAAAAAAATCAATTTCAATTTATTTTTGACCATTACAAAAAGACCGCTACATCGAGCAAGAAAAAACTTTCAACGAACTTGGCCGTTGCTACAACTCAATGGCTGAAGCTGGCGTCTTAGGTTTTCAATTATTATCTTCCTCAAGTTTCAACTGTAACCATTATCTCGCTAGAGACCGATCGAGATTGGGATAATCGATGCATCAGCTCTGGTATCTGCCGTGAAGACGGATCAGACTCTCGCCTCTGCTGCATCACCAACGATTTCAATCAACTCCAGCAGGCTTCGATTCTTCTCAGCTCTCACGTTGATGCTCTCGATCAGGTATTACAGTAACAACTGTAGCCTTATGATGATTTTAACGCGTTGTTCTTCATAGCAAATGGACAACATGCTGTCAGAAATGCTCCAAGTTGAATCCTGCATTACTGGACTTTGCTACGATGCGAAAATGACAGCTTTCTGAGGTCAAATACATTTTTACATATTGATTTTTGTATAGCGTATTTTTTTATTTCAAAGTATTGTAAAATGGGCAGATTGGAGTGAATGTAGGATTTATCGTTTCATTTTATTGTTTCATTTTGAAAATCTTTTCTGAAAAATTTTGAATAATTTTCATTAAAAATATTTATCCTTATTACGAATAGGCTGTGTAGTTACCAATAACGAAAATGTAGCATTTTATAAAATCGAAAATTTTTGCCTTGAGACGGCAACTAAACAAGAATCAAGGCAAGAAAGAAAAAGAAGCAAAAGTATGAAAGATTTTGCGAGAGAGCGCTGTCGTAGGAGCTTTGGATAATTTTCTCGTATCTTTGAGATGAAAACTGATCATCTTCAGCCAGGTCTTCGATCATTGAGTCGAATGCTTCCATAACTTGGGCGGGTTCCATCAGTACTTCTATTGATTTTTGAGCTGATGCTTCCAAGCTCTGTGCCTAAGGAAAGAAATCATTGGTCCTTTTTCAGAAAAAAAACAGTCACAAACCTCGATCATCTTCTCTTTCAATTCTTCCATTGTATTTCCGCCAAGAAAATTGTCGATGGAGTCTTTGAAACGATCATCATCCCTCAACTCGTCCATCACTGCGAAAAGGTCTTCTAAGTGTTCTTCCGTGGAGGTGATTATTTCAAGCGCCGAGCTAAAAATTGCGAAAAAAGCAAGTAAAATCTTCATTTTTCAATCTTCAAAATGATGAGGGTAAATCGGGTTTCGGATTTTTATACAGCAACCGTGACAGTTTAACGCACAATGAGGTCAATTCGTGAACAGGTGGAAATTATCAGTGCAGAAAATGGTTCCCTTGACAGGACAAAATAGATCAGCGGTATTGCATTTTTAACCAATTTATTGGCAGGAAAATAACGTTCAATGATGAACGCACTTTTCAGTTTAAAACAAGATGTCTTTCTTCAAAGTAAGAAAAAAAAAGATGAAGATAACTGTTTTCTTTTCGCTTTTTCTTGCGATTACAGCTTTCGACTACCGTGAATTTTATAAAAAATATCACCAAGGTTTCTTATTAATTCCCCTTTTACCCCTCGTCTACAGTGTATTTTCTAGAGCCAAGCCAGCTAGAAAGGGCTAGGAGCATAAGCGATTTGGAAGATGAAGACTTGGAAAGATACACTAGGAAGAGTCAAACATTTTTGTATGATCAAAGCTCAGTTTCACGAGCCTGTGCCGGTTATATGGAATATCTTGACTCTAATAAGAGATTGCATGGTCTTCAAGACTCGATCGTATGACTGTACTCTGTTCAGAACTCTCTTTCGTGACCTCATCAGCGAACACAAAAATCATCCACTCCTAATGAGCGTTAAATACGCTGTTTGAAATTCCAAATAAAAAACCGTTTTTCGAATTTTGAATTTTTATTTGCAGGAGCACAAGTGTTGTAGTAGGATTCTTTTGACAAGTTGGCACAGGAAGTTTTTAAAAATAAGAAAAGCCTAATTTCATAGTGTTTTTGCCTCTAATTTATGTTTTAAATATGTACAGGAAATGATTTTATCAGTTTAATTATGAGTCATAATAAAACATAGCTGATAAGGGTATGTTTGAAGGTCGATAAAATTTGTATAAAATGTATACTGTATAAATAAGCGGTAAGACAGTTGAAACTGAATTGTAAAATGTAGTGTAATTGATAGATTCTTTGAAATCAAGGAGGAGAAAAAATTGATTTAGTCCTTCTTGAGCTTGGCAGCTTCGGCCTTTTCGATGTACTCTCGGGCGATGTACTTCATGCCTTCGTCAGCGAGGAGGACGGGGAGGGAAATCTTCATGACGACGACCCATTCGGCGAAGGTGAGTGGGCAGATGTTGAAAACCTGAAAGCGAGAGGTTAAATTGAGTAACCATAATATTTCAATCTTACCATTGGCATGGGGTCGACGTAAAGAATGAAGAAGTGGAGAGACATGGAAAGGACGATAGATCCGCAAAGAAGTGGGTTCTGAGTTGGGGGCATGACGAAGAGCGACTGGTTCTCAGAAACGGAGTTCAAAGCGTTGAGCATTTCGATGGTGACCTTAAAATTGAGTTATTAGTCGAAATAAGGGTCGAGGAGTTTTACCAAGACGGAGAGAGCCATGGTCATTGGGTGAGGATCACCAAAGACAGAGCATTCCCACTCGCCGGATTCCATGAAGGCAAACTTTTCGGGCGAGATAGTGCACTGCATGAAGTGAGTGAGTTCCCACCAGGACATCTGGGGACCGTCAACGGCATAGAGGAACCACCAGCTAGAATTAAAGTTTTGAATACATTTTCCAGAGATTAAATATCTACCTAGAAGCCATGACAGTAGCAATACCGACGTAACCACCAATGACGCAGTATCGGAAAAGAAGCCAGGGGGAGATAAGAGCGTCATCGCTAGAATTTCCTTTGAGCCGGTTTTCTCAAAAATTAAATTACCTGGATCGAGGAGCCTTGTCCATGATATCAAGATCTGGAGGGTTGAAGGAGAGAGCGGTAGCGGGAAGACCTGAAATTGAGGTTGATAAAAAGTAACGAGAATTTTAACGAACCATCAGTGACAAGGTTGACCCAGAGGAGCTGGACGGGGATAAGGGCTTCTGGAACACCAAGAGCGGCAGCGAGGAAGATGCAGACGACTTCACCGATGTTGGAAGAGATGAGGTATCGGATGAACTAGACACCATATTATTGATACAAATTATCAAGAATAAGAAATTTATTAAATATTCCCTTGTCGAATTAACTCAATTATGATCTTTGATCAGTTTTTCAGAGCAATTCGAATGATTTAGAATCATACTTGAAATATATTGTCAATATTTTTTGGATAAACCTGTTTCATGTTGTTGTAAATGGCTCGGCCCTCTTCAACAGCAGCAACGATAGAAGTGAAGTTATCATCAGCGAGAACCATGTCGGAAGCGGACTTAGCAACAGCAGTACCAGAACCCATAGCAATACCGATATCGGCCTTCTTCAAAGCAGGGGCATCGTTGACACCATCACCAGTCTAGAAAAATGATGAGGACTGAGAAAGGAAGGAACGGCTTTACCATAGCGGTAACATCCTTGTTCTGCTGAAGGTATTCAACAAGCTTGGACTTGTGGGCGGGCTCGACTCGGGCAAAGCACTTGGCTCGCTTGGCGGCAGCAAACTGTTCGTCGGCGGAGAGGTCGTCGAATTCTCGGCCAGTGTAGGCCTTGCCAAAGGTCTCTTCGTTCTCAGAGAAGATTCCGATCTTTCGGCAGATGGCGATAGCAGTATCCTTTTGAAACACATGAGAATTTTAATAAAGCTCTGACTTGTACCTTGTTGTCACCAGTGATCATAACGACTCGGATGCCGGCTTCGTTGCAGGCCTTGATGGCGGGCTTGACTTCAGTTCGTGGGGGATCGAGCATACCACAGACACCAACGAAGGTAATGTCTAAAGTTTGAATCTTCATACTCTCTCTTTTTTAATCTTTGCTTACCAGATTCGTAGGAAGCGAATTTGGTAGAATCACCGAGGTCCATAGAGTCAGCAGCTGGAGGAGCATCTGAAATCAATGATGAGAATCTGTCCAATGGGGAAATTTAAAATGACTTACCGACGGTTCCAAGAGCGAGGCATCGGAGGGTGTCCTTGCCAGTTCCGTATTCGTTGATGAGCTTCTGGATCTGGGCTCGGGAAGAGGCAGTCATTGGGACCTTCTCGCCATTGACTCGCATGTGGGAGCATCGGGAGAGGACACCTTAACACCATAAATATCTAGGGAAATTGACAACAAGAAAAAAATATATCGAAGTCGTATTGAAAATCCTAATAATTTATAAGCTATAAAAGATGATAAGCAAGTTTAGTGCCCGGAACAAAGCTCTTAAATATATGCACTCTTACCTTCTGGAGCACCCTTGACGAACATCTTGTTGTCACCGCCGTTCTTAGGCTCAGCATAGACGGACATGGACTTTCGGTCTCGGGAGAATTCAAGAGTGAACTTCTTCTCCATCAAGGCTCGGATCTGGGCGTTGGCGGCGTTGCATCGTTCAGCCTTGTTCAATCGGCTCATATCAGCTCGGAAGACGTTCATCTTTTCGACAAGGACGACGAGGGCGGTTTCAGTGGCTTCACCGACCTTTTCGTAAACTTCCTTGTTGACGTTGTAGTCGACAGCGGAGTCGTTGCACATGGAGCAGATCATGGCGAGCTCGGCAAGAGAAGAGTAGTTGGAGCAGTCGATGGTTCGGCCGTTGAGAGTAACATCGCCTCGTGGTTCATAAGTAGAGCCAGAGATTTCGAACTCGTCCATTTTGCAAGAAGAGGAGTTAGTGGCATCGTTCATGGTGAACATCTTGATGCAGGACATCTGGTTGGTGGTCAAAGTACCGGTCTTGTCGGAGCAAATGACGGAGGTGCAGCCAAGAGTTTCGACGGAAGGAAGAGATCGGACGATGGAGTTCTTCTTGGCCATTCGGTTGGTTCCGAGGGCGAGGCAAGTGGTGATGACGGCGGGGAGACCCTCGGGAATGGCAGCGACGGCGAGAGCAACGGCGATCTGGAAAGATATTTTAATTCCCAAAAAAACATAAAGACCCATTAAATCAAATAATCTTCTTTACTAGCCTGATATAGCCTTAAATTTGGACTGACGGTCAATTTTTATAAGAACAATGTGCTTAATTTTCATGAATTATGTTTCAAAACTGTCCTTTTAAGGATAGGGCATCCTTAAAACTATAATTTCCAAGGTCAGCAATTAGCCTGCCAGGCCAGCTCAAAAAGCGCTCAAGCGCTAAGCTGCATTGCTCCATGACGATAATGCATCTCAAAAAGGTGTGAGGCCTGTACATGAGGTGAAGACAGCTACGCGCCCGGCAAATTTTAATCACTTATCGTGACCTCTGCTATTTCTGTATACCTTGAAATAGTAGACAGCGCCCTTGATGAAGGAGCCGCCGTGGACGGGGTCGTTGAAGTGTCCGATGTTGATCGCCCAGACAGCAATGCAGATGATGGAAATGAGCTTGGAAAGCTGCTCGCCGAACTCGTCGAGTTTCTGAGCGAGGGGAGTCTTTTCGGATTCGGTGGAGGCCATCTCATCTCGGATCTAGAATAAAATGTCAATGTTAATGGCGGAGATTTTGAAATCGATTTGCCCCGACTTAGCGCGAATAGAAAAAACTGATATCACTTTTGGATTCTTTTAGTACCAGCTTGCGATCAAGGAAATGGTTCACGGAACTCAAGCGATAAATTCAAAGGCGTCTCTATTTCAATAAGTTATTTCTATTGCGTCAAGATTTTAAGGCGTTACAATACAAATCAAAATATAATAGTACTCATTTCGATCTATTTAAATTGGTACCTTTCCGATTTCGGTGTTCTGGCCAGTTCCGACAACGATACCAATGCATCGACCAGACGCAACGTTGGTTCCAGAGAAAAGAAGGTTGGTCTTGTCCTGGTTGACAGCTCGGAGATCGTTGACAACTTCGGTCTGCTTCTGAACGGAAACGGATTCACCAGTCAAGAGGGCCTGGTCAATTCGCATGGAGGTAGAGTTGATCTGGAGGACTCGGATATCAGCGGGGATCTTGTCACCGACGGCGACTTCGACGATATCACCGGGGACGATTTCTCGGGCGAGGACTCGCTGGACTTGTTTTCGATCGGCTCGGAAGACCTTGCCCATCTCGGGCTCGTATTCCTTCAGGGCTTCGATGGCGGACTCGGCGTTCTTTTCCTGCCAGATACCGACGACGGCGTTGGCGATGAGGATGAGGAGGATAACAAGGGGCTCGACAAAGGCAGTGATTCCCTCGTCGTGGTCTTCGAAGAGGGCGAGGACAAAGGAGATGCAGGCAGCGAGGAGGAGGATTCGGACGAGCAAGTCTTCGAACTGCTCGATGATGAGTTCCATGAGGGATTTGCCTTCTTCGGCGGGGAGTTCGTTGAAGCCATATCTTTTCTGGTTGTCGGCGACCTGGAAAGAAAAAGTGAAGAAAACGATGAAATAAAAAACCCAGGTCTTTTTCTGGGATTATTTTATAAAAAATACAAATTATTTTAATGAAATTTTGTTTGTTATTTTTCGTATATTTTTTTACTAAGGGACATACCTGTTCTTTGGTCAAACCAACATCAGATTTGACATTGAAGAAGCGTAAGACCTCTTCGTCGGTCTTCGCCCACGGAGCTTCGATTCCCATCCCCGATTCTATCTAAAATGAATGAAATTAGGATTTTTCATCTCATTCAAATCCAATCTGCTCTGAATGAATCTTGCCGCCTTTTCAGGCAAATTGTATAAAAAAAAAGAGGGGCCAGAAAAGCTGCGCGCGCCCGGGGCTTTTATGGAATAAAAACAAGGCGCCTTTTATATAATTTCCAAAAAAAGTTGCATTCCAAGTTAGAGTTAGACTTTTGGTTATCTGAGAATGTCTAGTCAAGCCGCGCGCTCGTAAATAAATCTCTAGAAACACTCCTCTTCCAAAATGGCAATTAAAAAAAAGTAAACGCAAGTTGAGCGCCCGCGGGGCTGTGTGCCTAATTGCGACAAGGCTAGAGCTGCGGAGGCATCGATGCTCATCACCGCTCTTATCACTCGCTCGCCAAAGTCGCCTGAGGTGTAGTGCAGACGCGCAGATAAGCGACAATCACGCAAATTTTAAATCTAATTAATAATAGCCTAAGTGATAAATTCTCATTTTGTGACTTCCAAAGGAAATTTTCTTCATTAAAAATACCTTTTTTATCTTCGAAAATCTTTCTCAAATTCAAAATTGCCGATTCATAAAGTTTTCAGATGCGAGCAGAAAATTATTCATTTCATAGACTAGTTAAATAAACGTAATGCTTACTCTCTTGTTAAAATTTCCACACGGGCTGTCTTTTCTACTTCTCTTCAAAATTTTTTCAGGTGATTCTTTTTTGTTAAAAAATTTAGGAATGCATCATTATCGTTTCAATCTGGACATATAAAGGGTAATTGAAAGAAGCCAACGCTACAATATGGCCGAGAAACCGGGCCATCTGCACTATGAAATTTCCATGGATAGTTTCCACTAACGTCGAGACCCTGTTTTCCACATTTTTTAGTGTTACACTCACCTTATTTATCTTTTTCTTCTCGAAAAATCTCTCTCAACTTTAACAAAACTGTATTTGAAGCAAGACAGTAACTGAGCTTGTCAACCTTTTCCAGCATTCTTATACGCATTGAACGGCAACTGACAGTTATCACGTGATAAACTCCAAAGTTGCAACAACAGAGAAGATTCCCAACTGACTCGGTCGAAAAAGGGTTGATGTGATCAGAGCAGCCGGAAAATCCAAAAAGCGCGCAGCGGGAGACCTTTATCTGGCGATCGGATTCCGGCCGGCGGATCAGGAAAATGCAATTTTTTCAGTATACATTTCAGAATGCAGCTTCAATCGATCAATAATCAGTCAATTATTCGATTCCGTAGAATTTATTTTTTTGCTCGAATTTTCTTAACTTTGACGAACTCGGAAAACTCCATTGATAGATTGAATGATGAATTTCCTGTTGAGTGCTAATTGCGGCTGCCAAAATGATGATGCTTATTATTTCCCGAAAACAGGCTCCCCTTGGGTCTTGTCCTCAGGCGACAAACCTAATGGGGATGATTGGCAAAAAGAGGTCTAAAAACTCTTCTTTTTCGTCAAGCGCAGGAAAAGGCGATAACAGTTGGGCGATAACAGATAGCCCTTCCGAGCAAGGCTTTCAAAGGCTCAAGAAAAGATTGACATAGGGAGTCAATGAATCATTGTTAGTGATGGAGTTTCATAAGAATGAGGGGTTTTAGGAAAAGGAAAAGAAGAAACTGACTTTATGCCACCCTAAAGATTTATAAGGTGTTAATGTTTCGCCCCTTCAAATACGGGTCAGAAAATATCTTTTCAAAATCTATAAGATAAGTTTATTTCAAACCATTTTCAATTTTGGTCGGTTCCATTTTTCGGCAAAAATCGCGAAATTCGGCTTCCAGATTTCTTGACGACGGATTTTTTTCAGTGAAGGTTTGTACTTTGGGACTTAGCGGCTAAGTCTTAGCCTAAGTCACTGAGGGTAACTCTATTTTTGTATTGAGTAACTATTATTCGATTATCACGTGTTTCACCTTGTTCGATTCGGCAGATTTTGCATGCGTTTGAAAAAGTCGATGATGTGTCGCGCATAAAACACCTGGATTTATACTTGTCATCACAAAAGAAGCGTCCCGCGTCAATAGATTTCTTCTTAATGCTAGTTATATTCTCGCTAAGACCACGCTGACTTGCCGTATCTCAATTTTCAGATTGGAGAAGCATAAATCTGTAAAAAACACGGACCAGTGCTAATTTGAGTTAATAAACGCCCGCAGCCGAACTCATAAACCGCGTGTTGACAGATACAGTATACTCAAGATTCCTACTCATGTTATTTATCGATTAGGCTTTAAACTTTGTAACTTTTTTATCAACGAATTGTTTCCCAAATTTTTGACTTTATTTTTGTGAATCCAATCCACTGTAACACCTCATCTATGATTAGTAATCATCTTATCAAAGACATGGAAGAAAATCTGACGAAGCGCTTTCACGACGAAAAAAATTGAAAGCTTGTATTTTCAACTTTATGTTTAGGCTAAGCAACTGCAAATGCATGGCGAATCGGGAAGATATTAAAAAGCAAACATTTCCGATTATATTTTCGGATCTAGGTGAAATATCTAAAAAAATTATTGTAATCTTAATGGCGAGCACTATTTGGTCGATGCCCTTGGAAACTTACAAAGATTAACTGAAACTGGAACGTCATCGGCATTTATTCCGAATCAACTGAATACAATGTAAGTCTTTAGAATAAAATATCGACTGTGTAAAGCTCAAGTTGAAGAGGTTTTTTCGTCTTTCACTTTGGATCTTCACATTCGAAATCATCACATTGAAATTCGCCGCAAAGAGAAAGACACAAAGGTATTTCCAGTCATCGTCATCTGAAAAAGGTCGAAAGAGAGGAGTATTATTATCTAATTATGAATTATATTTGACCATAACAAGCCGTCCAACTTCGAGAGAGAATAAATGCTTCTACTATGCTCCAGATTACAATTTAAATCGTTTCGAGGAGGAGTTTGTAAAAAGTTGAGGCCGTCTATTTGTCACTTAGTCACCATTTTTTTCAAACACCGTTCGAGTTAGCGCAAGGCTACATAGCTAGCAACCACTTTAACGCGAAAGTGTCTTCCGCCAGTTTCAAGGGAAAATTCTACTTGATGAGCGTCAAGCTCGGTGATCATTACATCAAGTTATCCACTACAATTGCTCTTAACAGCATTCGAAAAGAAGAAGAATTGGAAAAAGGTTGGAAGAAGAACGAGATTCAGATTCCAAAGGAATTAAGGGACTTGAATCCAATCCATGTGATTTCTTTGAGGAGGGTAGGAATTGCAAAAAAGAAAGGAATTTTTGTTTAAAATTAAAATTGTCACCCCTTAACCTTAGCCCGCCAAAAGTGGATTTTCTGGGGTACCCGCCAAGAACACCATATATTGCATCCTCCATTGTAGCCCGACACCATATTTTGTTTCTCATGATTTTATTGAAAGTCTATGTTAGAAAATAATTTTTTTGATCCATTAAAGTGGTCCCATGATGATTCTAGAGTTGATTCATACAAAAACTCACTCACTTGAATTTAAAAATTGAGGATCAGAGAAGATGACCAGGGTTAACTTTCGGCGAAATCGCTGGGAAAAAGCTGGGGTACCCGCCAAAAACACCATATATGGTGCACCAACAATTGTAGCTCGACACCATATATCAGAAACGCTAAGGTCTATCAGAAACTGGTCCAAGATCACAACATCGATAGATAATCGATCAAACCGTCTCAGCGTATCCTCAGTTTTCGAAAAAATTGTCAATGTTCAGCGCAGTGAGCAGAAATATGAACGATTTCCGAGTTGTGGTGTACCTTGGCGGGCTAAGGTTAAGGAGGTAGTCCCTGCTTTTTGCGATCTCGGCACTTTTTGAACAGCGCTCCCACAAATTTGCGCTGGGGTTGAGGGATACTAACTCTATGAATAGAAAGGTCGAACCCTGATGAAAATTTGAATTAATGGAATTTTATATGAGCTTTTGAAATGAGAGCTGCACCGTCGTGAGACGCGCAGCGTGAGAGAAGAAGCGGCGCGGCGTGAAAGCACTTGTTTTGAGAATCCGTGTGGAACATTAGGAAGCTTCAAAATTAATTCTGAGACTACAAAATTTTAGGTCTAACGGAGCACTTTCGACCTATCTAAATTTGAAAAAAATCGGATAAGAATTGCGAGAGGAGATAGAGTTTAACCAACTCATGTCATTTTCTCCGACTTTTTCTTTGACGATTCTGCTCATTTTTGATCTTTGAAAAGTAAAGACTTCGATGATCTGAAATCCGAAGAACTTTTTGAAAAAGCTTTATCCGTTCCGATTTTACGGCATCCTGAAAAGTAGGACACGGCGGGGCGCTGGGCGAGCGAGGCGCTGCGCGCTGATTTCATGTTCTACCCTTAAAGAAAAAAATTTGTCACCACGTAAATTTCTCAAGATTTTTGTTCATGGCAAAATATGCTGAAAATGCTTTATTTTCGGGTTTGTAGTTCCCTAAGAAGAAAAAAATACATAATCTAAATGGTAAATCGCTTTATTTTGCAAAAAACTTACTGTTATCAATGTTTTTAATACTTTTTATCTGCTTTTGATTGACTCAAGAAATTTTTTTGTCCGAAAAAGTCCCTTTAATTGAATTTTTTTGAGGCGCAGATTTCCGGCATTTTTCGCCAAAAAGTCCCTTTTCTTGGTGTCCCTTATCTTCGACTCGTGCTGTATTAATTTTTATGACTAGAAGGGTGATGACTGGCTACACTTACTGCATTTCTATAAAAATGATTGAAACATGAGTTTAAATCCTGACCTTCAATCCTGAATTCACAAATTTCCAATAAAAACCGTGATTTGTAAAAGTATCGGGGAGAAACTCATTTCAAAAATTACTTAAATAATCTCTTTATGGCGGAAGTGAAATTATAAATTAGACTGAAAAGCAATATCCTATCCAGACCACCGAAAAAAGCCGCGCTTTATGTGTTGCCCGGAAAAGATAAGCAGGAATTCAAACAGTGTTGACCCTTATAAATTTGCGTTTTTGAGAAATTATTAACTTGCTCTCCTATAAGTAAATGCGAAATATCTTTTCTGACATCATTCTTACAGAGATGACTATGGAGGTGTCACAAAACAGTATATTTGTGTGTTTTGGGAACTTGCCGCATTTTTGGGAGACTCTTAATTGTGCCGCCCTGCGCCAGCTCGCGTCGCCCGGTCTCTCCGAATTCGAAAATGGGGTAGGACCAACTCGTCTGCCCCCACTCCAGCGGATGACTAAAATGGCCAAAATATATTCCTAGGTCATGGTTGGGTCGGATAGGAGCCGGATGGTTTGGGATTATCAGGGCGATGGACGACGGCACAATTTTGTACCCCTCCCCCCCATTATTTTCGCAGCTATTCAAAAGCTGCATAGGACTCTCATTTATCGGAAACCGGATGGTGCCGGTAAGAAATCGGTGCCAGGTCCCAAACTTTTTCTTTTTTGGAAGGGGTAATGAGTCGGAGAAAATATTGTTTTGTGACTTTTCCTTTGATTACCGGCAGAAGTCACGCATGTTAAGGAACATTTCGTTGATGGAAAAACATTTCGAGGGATCGGAAAATGTCTTTATGTTTTATGCTTAATTGGCTTTCTTGACATGTTTTTCTGGTATGCTCGATTTTTCAAGATAACAAGATTCTCATAAAAATTCTAAAGGCCTGTGTCTATGGTCCTTATCTCGATTCTGGCGGATTTTGGCTGCATCATTGTTACAGAGAGAAGAACTGCATATTGGAGCTTTGGAGATCATTATTGTATTAAAAAAGCTCACTACTGGAAATCATTAACTCACGCCTTTGGAGTTCTTGCTGGCATCGCATGTTTGGTTTGTTTAGTTATTTTCGAGGTCGATAAGAATCAAATTGACTTAACGCTTATTAACAAATTGATAAGGTCCTTGAAAGCTGGATGTTGGGACTAATTATTTATTTCATTGTCAGTTGCCTTTTTCTTTTCATTTATGAATTCATAAAATTGCGTGTTCGGTGTAAGTACCATCATTTTTTCTTAGAATTATCTTTCACAAGTTTCGCGGCGCAAGCGGATCATTATGAATCTTAAAAGACACGAACAATGCCTTAAATTGGAGAAAGAAGTCAAAAGGGTTAAAGAAGAAAAGATAAGAGAAAAAGAAGAAGGAATATGGTTTGTTTTCTTACGCGAATTTTTTTCTGACAGTTTTAAGTCTTGAGTCAGAACTCGCATGGCTAGAAATGGAGGATGTTATCCGGTCATGTCAACCATGGAATGTCCTCGAAAGAACTTCTGTGCGTCTTCGGAAAGAAGGTAGATATATATTTTCTAGATGGGATAAAAAAACTTTCTGCAGAAAAAAATGACTTCTCCCTTTTTGAGCTCACAAGAAAGCCCGTTAATTTTTACTGGTCTAGATGCAACCGTGACTCAAAATATAAGACGATGGCGTCACAGATGACGCTTGAAGAATCTTCTTCTATCTGATGACGAAAACAGCCATTTTGGGCAAACTTTGAGTCACTTTTTGAATGATTTTCTGATGGAATTATTTGATGTTTAATTGCTCGAACGGAGGGGAAATCTTGGTTAAGCCACATATTCTTTTGGATAAATTTTGTTACAAATTGAAATTATTTCTTCCTATCTTTTTGCATGCATTTTTAGGACGTTAGCCCTGCGACAAAATTTGACAAAAAAAATAAAAGAAAATAAAATTATTTTCCTACATAGTCTTTTACGTTCTTTTTGATGAGTATTCAAGCGTGTAGAGTGATTTTCAAGTGATTTATAGCTGCAGATTTGTTTTCAATTTCATCTTGACCAAAACTTGTTAAGTTATTTATTAAATTCTATGATTTAAAATTGTTATCTTGAACTTTCTTGAAAATTGATTTTCAAAGGCAGAAAATCTCAGGTCAGCATTTTCATTATTCATTGTTTATTTTAGCTAATGAGCTCGAAATCGACGCTGACAAATATCTTGGTAAAGTTGAAGAAAGACCCACACAATCAAATTTTTGTGGCGTTTATCGAATTCCGGGATAAAAGTCAATCCTTATTTATAGAAGATGATAACTGAGAATTCTTTAATCAATAAATTTGCGCACAAATCATCGTCCATATTACAAACAAGACAGATTATTCACCTTGTTATTTGAATTTCTGATATTAAAGAGGGGAGGGTCGGTTTCTTGACTTCTTGACAAACATAACTCGAAAAATTTTTTATAAAATTTCTTTCTTTTTATTTTTCTGGATAGAAAGGGTTGAAACTTCGAACAGTTCGGCATCCCTAATGATTCGGAATTTCCCGAATGATTGGAAGAGAATATGGGGGTTTTTGTCTCCGAACGATTCGGATTTTTTTCGATCATCGTTGTCCGTAAAGTAAAATAAAAAGTATAGAACAACTAAGTAGTGATCTGTTTGGAAGTCAATCGATGCTCACGAGCCAAGAATATTTTTTTTTACAATTTTCTACAAGACAGGCGCGAAGCGCATTCAAGCTCGTTGACTCTATAAATCATAGGAATTTGAATTTCTGTTAATTCGAATGATTTCATTATCTACCGAAGGCCTTTGATCACATTTAATCGTGCGAAAATTCGACCCTTCTATTAAATGAAAGTTCGGTACACTCCCGAATCATTCGGAGAATCCCAAATGGTTCGGGCATATCCCGAATAATTCGGGAGGTTTACCCGAATTTTATTGGTGAAGATACGATTATAATGAATCAGCTTTCTTATACAATTTTTGACTATTCAAAAGATTATTTCTTGTGTCTTGTTTCTCCTCACATTATTTTTACAGTTATACTTCATGAAAATTACACCTTTTGGAGGCCACTCACTGTCACCGGAGCCTTTAAAAAATGGAACAGTTTTTTATCATCAAATGGTTCTTGAAAAAATTGAAAACCATCAATATCATTTAAAAGATTCTCAAATTTCAACCGCGACGTCAAAAATCATTTTGTCACATAATCAAGAATACTTTATTCCACTTCAAAATTTTCAGAAGCATTGTTATGCTGATATTGATTTATTTTTATTCGAAGATGTGAATATTTTTATTCGTGTTGTCCATGAACTTTCGATTAATGAAAATACTTGTTAGCTTCTTCCAGAAGCATATGCGATCCAACTAACGCGAACGAATGATTTTTTGAACGAATATCAATAAAAATAAAATACATCCTTCTTCGGTTCTTTTCTTTGTGAATTCCCATCATGACTTTTATCGGTGTTATCTTTTTTATTCATTATCAAGAAACATCATAAATTAATCAAAATGTCCTCCCTTCCTTTCCTCTGGCGCCAAGTCAAGAACTCAAAAGCCGAGTCCAACTAGTCAAAAGTGTTAGTGTCATCAAAGCTCAATTCAGAAACGCGAGAGCGCACTCAACGCGAGAAAGACAAATTTGGAATCTCCCCCGAGGGAAAACAACTCACGCATCTTTGTCCAACCATTAACGCCAGTTTTTATTTAGCAGTTTTTTCGCTCAACCACAAAGGAGAGACATCCATGAAATATTTTATTGAAAAAAATAACACATAGAAGAACTTGTCAAGAGAAAAATGTATGTACCTTGAATAGATCCTCCTTCAAAATCATAAAAAAGGGATTATTCATTCAAATGCCTTTCGAGTATTTCCTCTTTTTTTATTCTTTCCTGACAATTATTTTTAATCGACGACGCGTGAGGTCAAAGTGTCTAAAAGAAAAGCTGAAAATCTCAGAGCAGAAATGAACAAAGAGAAGTGTTAAGTTAATGACTCCCTTATTAATCTGCCAGAGATGGACAACAGATGCCTCTAGAAATTAATTAGCAGAGAGAAAGGGGATCTTGAAAGAAAAGGTACATTTGGATTTTGTTCTCACTGACCTTGTGGCTCATGCCTAGGTCTATTTTTGATGCATAATATTGAAAAAGACGCAAAAAAAACGATCGATTCTTCGGTGAAAAGAGCGCCCCGTTGTTTCGCCGAAATATTAATTCTCTTCCTTGCCATAAAAATCGCCGCGTTTTTTTGCTTTGATTGATCAAAATCATCAAATTTTTTATTACTTTTTCCTGAGTAAGTGATTTTGAAAGAGACGGCGAGGAGTGTTCCTTTTTACGATTATTTTTTTGATTTCCAGGAGAGAAAAATCAGTGTTTCAGAAGCTGAATAATGCTTGAAATAAGCGTTGGAGATGTCTGGGAGCTGGCGTCAACGATCTCTTCTCAGCTCGAAAAGTTGACAGCTGACATTGGCATCGAGCAGATTCAAGGCTTCGTCGACCCGACCATCCGCGCCCTTGAATTACTCGAAAGCGTTGTAGAAGAAAGATCACAGTTGATAGGAAAAGGGATGAGAAACAATAGAGACACAGACAGATAATGATTCTTTTTGTTGAATATTTGATCATCATCCAAAATAGAGCAAAAACTTACGGCGGAGAAAATCGCGGAGAATCTGAGAAACATGAGCAACCAAGAGAATAATAAAGAAGCAAAGAAAAGCGACAGCTGTGAAAAAGTGGTTTACGAAGAACAAATTTCAAGCAAAAACAATGAACTCAACCAATTTCAACAGGAACGGGCTCAAATAAAATGACCAAAATTGGCTTTTAGCTTGATTTTCTCAATAAAATTCATGAGATACAGTCGCTGATTGAATCAAGCCGACAGTATGTTTCTTCAGAATCCCCCTAAATCGATGGCTAAACCCTTAATCTTTCCCCTACCCTAATGAGAGCCTCAAAAATAGACCCTCGCGCAATACAAAATCAAGGACCAGCAGCAGCAGTCTGAGATCACTCGCCAGCGGCAAATGCTCGCCACGTACGAAAAACGCGTCACAGAATTATCCGATGAGCTCCGGCTAAAAGGTAATACAGTAAGAACTAACGAGTAAGTGAGTTACTGAATGTAAATCAATTTTAGCTATGCTCAGAGGAACTTTCCAGAAAAGCTTTGGTAAATCAAAAATTCGAAATATTTTCTTTCCCAAATTAACCCGAAATCGGCGTTCGACCAAGAATTTGGGAAAGAAAGTATTTCTGTTAGGGAGATCATTTTTCATTTCACAGTTTTGATATCAGATAATATTTTTGATATTGCTAATTAGAACAAATTTCTTATAAACTTTATTAATCGCGGTTTTCTTCTAACATCCCTTTTTAACAAACTCCTCTAGAATGCGCGATTCGGGAGCTAGAAGCCGACTGTGACACACTTGAAGGAGAAGCAAACAGGTCAGTTCTCCATCATTTTTATTGAGCTTATCTGTCTGGTAGACTGCTGGAAATCAACAACGAATTGAGGCTGACGCAAAATCTAACAATCGATTCGAGCATACCACCTTCTTTGGGCAATGATAGTATTGCCGCGGAAATATCAAATTGCGAAGATTCCTTCCCTGAAAATTTGCCAGACAGAACTGGACCAGAAGGCGAAGAATTTCAGGTATGACCGCGATTCTTTTATCAGAAAAAACCTTTAAATGAAGGAAGATGAGCAAGATCAGACCTGGAGCGCGAAAAAGTCCCTGGACGAAAAAGACAAACCGAGATACACTCTTTATGAATTGGAAGAAGTTCTCAATGAAAAGAACAAATACAAAGGTACAGAATGTCTTGAGGTACAGTACGCCAAGTGACCCGTTCAGAGCGTTGCTTTGTTTTGGAAGAGAAGCTAAGAGATTTGACAAACGATGAAAGTGTTTTATGGGAAGGATTGAGTATCAAAGACTTGGAAATGGTCGAGCCAACGACTGTAACTGCCCCGCCCACAGCTCCTCCTACTCCCTCAGGTACAGTCCCGTCTATGAACTCCTACTCAATCCCTTCAGATCCAAAATCAATACGAAAAATGATGTCGAAATGGTTCCGCGCTGGACCCACAGCATATCAAAACTATCATTCAAAATCTTCCATCCTCCCCTCTTCCGCCAGTAAATCAGAATTAATCCGATCCGATCCTGTTGACGATGACATAAAAACGCTCAAGATGAAAAAATGAAATGTCTTTCTTCAAAATCTTAAGTCTCCCGCAATTTTCTTCATCTTTCTGTAAAAAAAACTAAACGCAAAATAAAACAGAAAAAATTCTCACAAAAGGCGGTTATCTTTATTCATAGTACTCAAGTGGTAATCAATTTAAATTTTAATCTCTTCCGAAAAAGGCGAACATGGGAATTTCGACGACTTGAATGCCTTGGCCACTGCTGGCTCCGTCTTGAAGATGTGGTTTCTTGAAGGATTGGACTTTGTCGTTCTGAACATCGATGATCCAGTCAAGGTACTTCACCACGCTCGTGTATACGCCGGGATATCCTTAATCGATGTTTTCGAAACTGCTCTTACCAGAAATGGCTCTTACCGTCAAGTGCGCAACCCCGACCCCAGCTCGTGATCCCCGAGACCGTCCAAGCTCCATCCTCATTTTCGCACATGAAGGGCCCGCCCGAGTCGCCCTGACAAGTATCGGCTCCATTATCGGATTTGGCGCAGAACATATTATTGGTGAACATTTTCTGATACGTCTTGTGACATTTTTCTTGCGCGACGACGTGCAGATTTGCTGTCAAAATCGTCTGGCCTAAGTAGGATTGGAATTTGCTTGAGATTATTGGATCTTACTTCGATCTTTGGCGAGAACTTCCACAGTATCTCGTCTTTTTCTGCCACCAAAGATTCCATTGAACATGTGCTGGAATAAGCCAGTTGGAAAACCATCTTCAAAATATTTTTAGTTTTTGGTTTTCGATAAATCGAACCTGAAATCATTTCAAAAGTGTTTCTAAAACTGGGCGTTTTCGTCGTCGCTCCCCAGCCGGCAACTTCGCACCATTGATCTTTCCCTGGCCTCGTCGTAGGCAAACACGCTGGCTGAATATAATCAGTATATTCCAACACCTTTTCGAATTCCAAAACAGCGATGTCATGCTCGTCAGATTTTTTCGGGTCATATTCTTGTGGCACAAAGTAGCGGCGCAGATTCGAGCGGAAGATTCGTTCTTTCGCAGCGGCGGAGAGGTCGCGGTCTTTTTTCGTCAAATCTTTGATGTTGAAAACGCCGGCGTAGACGGAGTTGTCAGCGTAGTTGCCACCGATGCAGTGGGCAGCGGTGAGACCGAATTTTCGGGAGATGATGGTGCCACCGCAAGTGATCTTCTTTCTGAAAGATGTTAAATTATCGTAAATACGATTTGACAACAATTAAGGGGACCCGATGTTTATTTCTGAAGGCCAGCATGTAAGTGATTTAAGAGAGTCAAAAGACGAGGACATTTTTTTACGCGATCCTCCAAGTAAAATGAATAATTGTGGTTTCTTACTTGTATCCAACAGCAAGCATCCATGGATGCTGCCCCCAGGAAGACTCCTCTCCATTCACTATCCTCAGCTGTCTGCCAGACGGGACTTTTGGCATTCCGCAAGTTTCCATAGTTTGATCAGGATAAACTCTTTGAGGTACGAAAGAATCGGGTGCTGTAGAATATTCTGTTGTTGGTTGATCCGTTGTGTAAGTTGACATCACTGTCGTTGTTGTTTCTTCAGGAAGAGTGCAAACTACTGTCCCTTCCTTCAGCCTGTTTGTGTCCAAGCATTCGTATTCCTCCCTGCAGCCGCCGTTGTCAAACATGCACTCGTTGCAGGCAAAGTCTGTGTTGTCGCAATATTCCCATCGTAAATTTGGATCTTCTGTGAAGCACCAGCTCCCGTTTATATCATCGTCTGGGTTTCTACAGTAATTATGGTCGCCCAGATTTTTGTTGGGGAAAACTTCTGGCGTCTTGTCGTGATGATGGGGATACTGGGAAGTCCAGTTTTGACATTTTCTGCCAGAAGCGGAAGTTGAAAGCGTTCCCAAATAGTTTCGAGGAAGAGGGCCCGATCGTGGCGGACATTTTGTTAGTTTAAACTCCTTATGGCCTTTTGAGGGCTTTGGGAATGGAAATGAGCCCATGCCAGGGGTGCTTCCAATGATCTGCATATTGCCATTGAAATCGCCGAAGAATTCATCGATCCAGCTGAGCGCCCCGTTCTGCTGAGGGTTGCATAAGTCACAGGTTTTTCGACAGTAGTTTGAGAAAAGCGAACAAGTATTTGGTCGACAAATGTGAGGGACGGTGTCGACACATTCTTGCTCGTCATCTGAAGATTCGGGAAAGCCAGAGGAGAAGTTGGGGATGGTGATGACGAAAGCGCTTTCACATAAAATTGAGTTCAAATTTCGATGTATCTGTGTATACTTTTACAAACATGCTTATCATCAATCGCAGGCATTAGCTATTAAATTTGGGTCGAATTAGTGAAGGCAGTAATAATTTTATAGTAAGAGACTGAATAAATCCGAGTTATGGTTTCTTTTTGAACTCTAAATAAAGCAAAGCAGCACCATAGTTTCATTTTTTCTTCTTACTTTTCTCTTTCAAAAATCTTTTTTAAAAAGATATTATACAGGTTGATAAGTTTCTTCGAGAAAAATTCTTGCAAATTCTGGGTCTCAAGTTTTGGTAATGAGTGCCATTTTTCTGAGCGAGAATACCTCCAGGGGATGATTACTCCAACGCTTCACGTTTCGATAAACAGAACATGCAACGTGTTCTATTGCGAGACGTAATTATGAAACCACTCATCTCTTCCGCTTTTCCTGCTTAAATCTGCACCGAGGCCTAAACAATGCCAGATCCAAACTTCAAGTCGCTTCAAATTTGGAAATAAGCCACAAATAGTTTTTATGGATTAATTTATTGAATAAAATAAAAATAGAATTTATTGCTTTTTGGGAGTAATGTTCACACCGGTCAAAGACTGCACTATCGTTGGAAGATTGCTTACAATATCAAGAACTTCTCCAGCCAGTTTCGCGCAACCAATGTGTCCACCACCAGTGGAGACCATCGTGATCTTCCTGGCATTAGCGAGGGGAGCGGCGATTTCTTGAGCAACCTGAAGAAAAACTTAAACATGGACTTAAAAAAATCAAAATCAGTATTTCCGAAAACGAGGGTTTCCCGAAACCTTGGATTTCCCCGGACAAAGGAATTGCCAAAATCTCCTTTACGTTTAAAATGACTAAAGTCATTTACCTGTGGAAGAGTATCCAGAATCATATCAACAATGGCCGCATCTTGATACTTATTCCACGCCTCAGCCTTCCTTCTCATCTGCTGAGCCTCAGCTTTTGCCTTTTCATTGATCGCAAAAGCTTCCGCTTCTCCTTGCAGTTTGATAAGTTCGGCCTCGCCCTCGGCTTCGAGAACCATTCGTTGTCGCGCAGCTTCGGCTTCGATCTCCATTTTGTACTTCTCCGCTTCAGCTGGTTTTCTGATTCGCGCGTCGAGTTCCTTTTTGCGTCGCATGATTTCTTGCTCTTGAATTTCAATCTGACGCCGTTTCTCTTGGACTTTCACCTCCATCTCCGCGATTTTGACGTTTTGCTTTGTCTTTGCTTCTTGAAGTTTCTTTGCAAGATCGGAAATGGCCTTCTTGGTTTGGACCTCTTTTTCGTTTATGGCTGCTTGGAGCCTTTTGTCGCGTTCAGCTTCTTTGCGTTGTTTTTCGTTTGTGAACTAAAATTCATATTACCAGGTATAATGGCTGACGATCAGAAAAGCTTACAAATGATTCCGCCTGAGCTCTATTCGCTTTTGACTGTCCAATTATCGTAGTCATCTCATGACGGGCTTTTCCTATTCTACCATCGGCCTTCACTCGCGCATCTACGCCTTTTCCGATAGATTCAAAGTATCCGTTGTCGTCGTTCTGGTCGTTGAGAGTGTAAGATGTTATAGTGAAACCAAATTTCATCAAGTCAGTCGCTGCTGTTTCGTGCACTTCCCTATTGAATTTAACCTTGTCTATCAAAGGGTTCAAATTGACTTAATTCTTGGGGTAATAAGGTTCATACTATCACATATACTCTATGTAGGCTACTATAGACTGTAGTCTAGTATTTGAATGATAAAATAGAAATAGAACCATGCGCTTTCCAGATCTCCTCAACAGTCATCGATCCAATAATTGCTCGTTGATGGCCCTCCATCGTCTGCTTGAGTGCTTCCTTTATTTGATAGTCCGTCTTCCCAAGAAAGCAGCGGACTGCTCTCTCAACCATTTTTAAATCAGTGCCTGGGATCTTGACTTGTGCCGTTCCTTTGCAATTTATCGGGACACCCAATTTTGTTGTTGCCCCTCTGAATCAATATAATCACCATGTCGATAACAGTTTGAGAACAAACCTTGATTCCAGGTCAAGCGTTATGAGTTTCAAAGACATTTTCTGAAATTTCTGTACTCCAGGCAAGACGAACTTGGAGCCAGCTTTTTGAATGTGTGGCTGCTTGTGGAATAAGCCAGAAACAACCATGACTTCGTCGACCGTGCATGTTTCCATACCCATGGCGAGTGCTTGAGCCCTTTTACTGTACTTGAAAACTGATTACCCTGCTCTTCTGTGATAGTAAATAAGCCTGTATTCTAGAGACGATCGTATTCCCTGCTATGGCTCGAGAAAGGTCTCTAGTTTTAGTGGTTGTTCGCAATAATCATATATTCTACAGATGCTGGAATGAAAGTCAGCTGATTTTAAAACAGAAAGAAAGTAATTATCAAAAGCTAGGCACGACGAAATTACGTGGAATTTTTCCACGAGTCGTAGAAGTTCTTCAACGCATCCCAAATTGTCATGGTAAGGATTGTCTGCAAAGCATGTCTTGGATATCCAGCCCGTAGACCCTTAAAATCTTTCAAAACAGGACTGACAAAGATGGTACCTTTAAATAGGCGCTAGAACCCTCTTCTTTCCAAATTTTGCCAAGAGCATCAATCGTACCAGTGTAGTAAAGGCCCTTTTTCGTCACTGGATCGACAGGTTGGTTGAAAATTCTAGTAGAAACGACGTCAAAGGGAGACATGAATAGCACCACGAAAACGGAAGCGACTACGGAAGAAACAGCAGTAGTAAGGAACCAATTTCCTTCAAAAACAGGCCCAAGAAGCTCCTGAAGAAAGCTTGAATCAAAGTAAAAAGGGAATGAAAACTGACCTTGGATTTCGTAAAACTAGTAAGTTGGGCGCCACTTCCAACAGTGACTCTTGCAATTTGCGCTGGCGATCCACGCCAAATTCTAGCGATGCCTCCTTCACCCACTTCTTTTCGGAACCATTGGAGCATTGGAACATTCGCCTCTTGAAAAAGAAAAGTGGAGGAAAGTATGCGTTTTTGAAGTACCTTTGTGTTGACTTCCAACATTGAGGTTGGAAAGGGCTTGCTGCTGAGTTTTGAGTAAATAAAACGGAGATCTTGACGGTGGTTTTGGAAAAATAAGGGGACACCCGGGTTTGAACCGGGGACCTCTCGATCTGCAGTCGAATGCTCTACCACTGAGAGACGTTACAAATTTACCGGGGCAAATGCGTCAAATACAGTGCTGTGATTGGCTGAATTAGGGACACGTAGCCCTTTGAAAAATGAAAAATCGCCATAAATCCGAAAATTTTTGAGATCTCGAAAATCTGAGATGATACAGGCATAGAGCTTGTGATTCTCTACCGATCCGTATAAAAATGTCTGGGGCTACGATGTAACCCCTAGGCTCTAGAGCAATAGTAAGTTTGCCCCGGTAATTTTGTAACGGCTCTGAGCTATATCCCCACGTGGGAGGCCTTTAATTCGGAGCTATTTGAATTCATTTTGGGTAAATGTCACGCTCGGTTTATTCTTCGGTAGAAAAAGCCGCGTGGAGTTTTTAATTCCAGAAAAATACCGAAAATAGTCAAATATGTTCAATCATTGATTGTTATAATTACAAATTATTCGTAAACCACTTTCCCAACACCTCCACCAACAGCGCCAGAAAGCATGCCAGCCGGAAGCGCGGGCACACCAACTGCACTCAAATTGTCGAAAAGCGTCAATCTCGATCCATTCATCACCACTTGATACATGAGTCCAGCGGAGAGGCCTGACCAAAGAGCTCTGAAGCCATCGGATTTGACGATAAGAACTGCGGACTTGGAGGTAGAAGTGTAGGTTTTGTGATAGGACTTGGTCAGCTCGCCTTGGAGTTGCATTCGCGTTTTCACGAGTTCGATTGGATGCTAGAAGATTTGATTTACTTCGAGTTCTGGTCAAAAATGAAGGCGCTCGAAACTTGTCTTACAGTAACAGTGGTTGCTAATGTACAAGCAACGGCATTGATGCAAAACTTCTCTCCCAAGCTTGTGTTATTCATTTTCCAGTTCTTGTTTTCTTTCTCCCGATTTCGAGCAAATTTTCAGTCATTCAGAACATTCAAATCATTCATTTTTTCAAGAAATCTCAACTTTTCCACATTCTACAATTCTAGCGTAACAAAAAGACAACTTTTTGGTTGAAAGGATGCATTTTTTTATTGCAATTTCCCGAATATAAAGCGGTTACAGTACCAGGGCTGCACAATTGGATTGGAATCCAATTGGTTTCCAATTCCAATTGGATTGGATTGGTAAATTGGTTGGAAAAAGGCGGGAAAATCAGGGTCTGTCCAATTGGACAGCCCTTCCAATTGGAAAATGGGGGTCCAATTGGCAACTGGTCGCCAATTGGTAAATTGGCAAAATGATTGGATCGAAGCACCTCTTTCCATGCGGAAATGCCAGATTATGCTTGAATCAGTGCCTCAAACGACCAGTTGGGCAATAATTTTCGATCTTTAAGTCAAAAGAATTGGACTGATGGTGGGATTTTCGATAGATAAGGGCTAGAAAAATAAGTTTCGAGGGACTTTTGATTCAGTTAGAGGAGCAAGAGGGCAAAAATAGTTGTAAAGAATGCAAAAATTAACGAAATTTAGGAATTTTCTTCGGCGAGGGCTTGCCAAACTGCCTGAAAGCGCCGAATTGCCCGAAAGTGCTCATATTGCCCAAATGTCCGAAATGCCCGCTCTTGCCCGGCCAAATTTTAGGAGCTAAGCTGTCCGAATGCTCGGCCGAACGCTTTTTCCCCGAATGCCCGATGCCGATTCGCTTTAAAAATTCTCTCGTTTGTAAATTTTAAAGGATTATTTTCAATGAACTCATTAAAAAAACTGAATTTTCCAATTAGAATCCGATTTTTTTGGCGGACCAATCGGCAATTGGAATCTTGCTTCCAATTGGCACGAGTTTTCCAATTGGACAGCCAAATTCCAATTGGAATTGGAGTTGGATTGGAATTTGGTTGGATTGGCAAAATTTGGGTTGGATTGGATTGGCAGTTGGTTGGAAAAATCCAAATTTTTTGCCAATTGTGCAGCCCTGACAGTACTACTGATATAGAAAAGGAGATATTGAATAAGGGCAGAAATAAGAAGAATGAATGGGTAAAGAGCTTTTTAGGACATGAAAAGCTTGGTGCACTGGGCTTTGGTATCGTCTGGGGAGGTGACAGTGTTGCCCTTTGTTCGCTCGGAGCTGAAGATTTCGAAGTCGTTACCGCCTTGGAAGGTCTTGTCGCCGAAGAAATAGACTGAAAACAGGTTGTAAGAGAAAAAAGATGCCATAGAGACATAGTCTGAGCCTGAGAAAATCGAGAAGCCGCGTGCGCCTTCGAGCAAAACAGGTTGAAAGCGCGGCTAACTTTATTTTTAACTCGAAGGCGCAAGCGGCTACTCCATAAAAAGCACTCTTATGAGCAGTAAGGTTACCTTCGTCGTATTCTTCCAAAAACTGGAGGCAGTAGGTCTTGTCCCATCCGGTAGGGAAGACGTCGAAGGAGATCTGTCCGCCGATAGAAAAAGTAAGCTTGTCGCCGAACTTTTCTTTCAAAGAACTGACCATGGCCGGCCGGATTTTTGCCGTTTTGTCGTACTGGTCGAATGCGTCGCGCTCTGAAAAAATGTTTTCATGGTTTGCTTGAGGGGTAAAAGTTACCAGCTTGGCTGCATTGTCGACCGATGGGGGAGACGTTGATCATTCCTTTTCTGAATTCGATGAAGGTTCCTCGTTTGACTGGAATGCGGATGTCGGCCATCAATTTGAAGATGTGATTCGTCAGGTCCTGAATACAGCATCAAGATCCGCTTCGATCCCTTTCATTTCGAACCTGGTAGTATTCTTCGCCGACTTTTTCAATAAACGATGTTTCCGCGAGTTTCGCTCCATCCTTGAACGCGACGAGGCCGTTTTCAGAAAAGACGTACTTGAACATTTTCTCGATTGGAACATCGGAACAAGCGCCAAGTTGTTCTGTGATCTTCTTATAGTCACTTCCTCCGACGATTCCGACGGTCACGTGTTTCTAACAGAAATATTTAGATAATCATAGGGTTCAATGGGGCTTTTTAACGTCCAAAAAAGCCGCAAGCGGCTTTCCATCAATTCAACTTTCTTGCTTGTCTACCGTACCTGAAGTTCCTGCATAAAATCGTGCATCTCCTGAGTAATGGCTTTTCTTGGGACAGTCAGTGTTCCGTCGACGTCAAAAAGAGCAATAACCTTCTTCGTCATGTTTTCTCAAGAACTTGAAATTTACGGAGGAGCGAGCGTAAATTGAAGACGAAAAGCGACGTGTTGAAGAGCCGGGCGGCAATTGGATGATTCCGCCAGGGGCATTTTCACAGTTTATAAACTCGAAGAACAAAGAAAATGCTGTTTTGACAGATAATAAGGGTTTAATTAGGGTTCTGTTTTGGAGTTTTTACGAGATGAATTTGGAAAAGAACCAATTTTTTATGTTTGAGGGAATTTCTCGATAAAAATTAAGATCGAGGTTTCGTGAAGGATCGAATTTCTATTAGAACTCGCGTAAATCGCGAAAACTTGGTGATTTTCGCGGCGGAATGAAATTTTAGCAGGAATGGTTCGATCGAGCGAGCATGCGTCGTGACTCACCTACGCATTTCACTTGCGCCGCCAATTGGAGCGCGCCATTCCTCAGTTTCAAAATGAGAAAGATAGAAAAATAGTAAAATGTCGATTTTTTCAGAAGACTTTCATAGAGAAATTTCCCCGCGTCTTAGACTGATACTCTAGTGATTAGTTGCCACGTTCTTGTAAAACGATATCGAAGGAAAAGCCGTGCAATGCTTCAAATGTGTCTTTCTTCTTTTGACTAAATCAACTTGCTATATTGTTAAATGCAGCACATTAAATGCCATATCAAATTCTTGGCACAGAATTCAATGTTTTGTCGAGTGAATTTTTCTTCCTTAAAATTCTATCTTTTCAGACCGTACCGGACCGAATTTGCCCATCATGACTGAGCAAATGACCTTCAAGGGTTCCCTCAAGGGCCACAACGGCTGGGTTACCCAGATCGCCACCACCCCCATCTTCCCGGACATGCTCCTCTCTTCTTCCCGAGACAAGACCATCATCATGTGGCACTTGACCCGAGAGGAGGGCTCCTACGGAACTCCCAAGCGACGAATGCAGGTAAAACTCATCTTCCCGAAATTCTTCTCGATTCAACCAACTCTAGGGTCACTCCCACTTCGTCTCTGACGTCGAGGTTAGCTCCGACGGCCAGTACGCCCTCTCCGGCTCCTGGGACGCCACCCTCCGACTTTGGGACCTCGCCAGCGGCAACACCGTTCGACGATTCGTCGGCCACACCAAGGACGTCCTCTCCGTCTCCTTCTCACCAGACAACCGACAGATCCTCTCTGCCGCCCGAGACCGAACCATCAAGCTCTGGAACACCGTCGGTGTCTGCAAGTTCACCATCCAGGAGAACTGCCACACCGAGTGGGTTTCCTGCGTCCGATTCTCGCCCCTTCCCCAGACTCCCGTCATCGTCTCCGCTGGCTGGGACAAGCTTGTCAAGGTAAAACTTAATCTTCAGTATTTGAAAAGAAATAGCCGTTTGTGATTATTTTAAAATATTTCTATGATTTTAAGAGTTTTCTAATTGCTTGAATTCAGGTCTGGAACCTTACCAACTGCAAGCTGAAGCGAGATTACCGAGGCCACACCGGCTACCTCAACACCGTCAACGTCTCCCCCGACGGTTCCCTCTGTGCCTCCGGTGGCCGAGACGGCCAGGCCAAGCTCTGGGACATCGGAAGCGAGGAAGCCAAGCCCCTCCACACCCTCGAGGCCGGCGACGAGATCTACGCTCTATGCTTCTCTCCTAACCGATACTGGCTCTGCGCTGCTGCTGGCGGCATCATCAAGATCTGGGATCTCGAGCAGAAGAACCTCGTTGATGAGCTCAAACCCGAGGTAATTTAGAATATTCTTCCAGCTCTTTCCAACCGTTCCTTTTCAGGTCGTTGCCGACGGTGGCCGAGCCGAATGCATCTCCCTCTGCTGGTCCAGCGATGGTCAGACCCTCTTCTCTGGCTACAACGACGGCCAGATCCGAGTCTGGTCCATGTCCATCCGCTCTGTCATGTAAAAGGATAACGACGTCGAATACAAGCAGTTTTCTGTGGCAACACTGTTACTTGCGCGCCTGTCGTGCAAAAGCCAGGAGCACCTCTTTTGGTGTTCCTGTCGTGACAACAGCTCCCCACATACTGCTAGTGGATGTCTTACTAAAAAAAATAAAAAGTGTTCCTCGCAAGAGCGAATCTTTAACAAAAAAATCGCCAAAGAAAAGCTTCATCGTTTTTCTTGATTGTTGTTTCTCGTGTTTTATGCAGTTGAATGAATGGCAAAAAGCAAGCAGGAATAGATCATCGCAGGGATTATCAAAGAAAATGAAAAGGCGAGGAATCCAAGGGATGGTTTCTTGAGTTCTTCGTAGATCTTGAGGTTGTCTTCTCCTTTTAGTGTGCTTTGGAAGGACCTTCACAGCGTTAGAATTAGAGGAAAAGGAGGGTTTTACCGTGAAATGATGAGAAAGAGGCATTCGGAAAAGAGAAAGAATCCAGGGTTCGACAAAAGGAGGGCCATCCCGAGACCTTTCATGATTTCAACTCGGACTGCGACGCTGACATCTTCAATTTCCTCGAATTTCACTGAAGAAATGACGGTTTTTGCACTAGAATCAGGACAGAAATCATACCTAGGCCAAAAGGCCACGAAATCGAATACCCGATTCCTCGAGTAAGAACCGTCTTGAGGGATGTCTTTTCGCCCACGTGATTCAAGAAAGTGCAGCTTGTCGAAATAATGAAGTGGACGAGAATGACTGTAATGGCGGCAAAGAAAATATGCGCGAACTAAAGAAGATTACTTGTTTTCAAGTCTTATTTGTTTCTTACCGAACTTTCGGATGTTTGAGGAACGGAATTTGCGACAATTCCGATCCAGCAAAACGAATTCGCGAGTTGAAAAAGGTTGAAAAGCATGAAAGCAATGTTCGTTCGGATTCTGACTTGCGTTTCAAAAAAGGCGTAGATGTAAAAGGTCAGATAAATAGCCAAGCGGAGGGACCAAATTGTCAGTTTCCAGCAAAACGCGAGAAAGAGAATGATGACGCTCAAATCCAGCGGAATAACCAGCCAAATTTTCAAAGAGTCATTAGTTATTTTGCAAATATAAAGTAGGAAGGTCCAAAAGAAAGTGATTTGAATAGCAGTTACTCGTTGAAAATGAACGAAAGTTTCTTCGAAGGCCATTCTGTGTCTCTCCAAATTAAGTACGTAAAAGTTTCTTTCTGTCCTTCTTCTCTCTGCTGCTGAAGCTTGTTTATCAACATCTTTGATGATTTTTTCGTAGTATTTTTGAAGATAGAGCGTTTTTCTTTCGGCAGAAGAATCTCTTATCTTCAAGAATCCTTTTCCAATGATGGTGACCAGGAGATAAAGAATAATGGGAAGAAAAAGAGACGAATCAGGAGTAAAAATCGCCTGAATTTGGGCTCAGAAACCTGAGTAGAAACCTGAGTCAGGCTCAAATCTACACAGGTTGCCGAACCCAAGCCTGAATAAAACAAAAAACCAGGAAAATAAAATCGGCAATTCCATCACAAAATAGAAATTTCCATTCTGATAGAAACTCAAAATTCTTCATTCTTTCCGCAAGTGGTGAAAGTTCTTCATCCTTGATTCCAATTTTTTGCTTCAATCGAAGTCTGATATCGACAATCTCTGATATTTCCGAAATCTCTTCATCGAGCGTTTCATAATTTGATCCAGGGAGGGAGAAAAGGCTTCTCATCAAAAGAATAGGGAGAAAAAGGGATGATGTTTTACAATTGTGAGATCACACCTGCGAGGAAAGAGGATGAATAGACGTGATAAGCTATATTCTGGACTCGTGGCTTTCTAGAGCTCTTTTCTTACGTACGGGCATCATTTTACAGTCACGCAAATGGTCATTATTACAGTGTTGCGTTGATTGAAGAAAAAATGATATTTGTTGATGATTTTCTAGCGTTATTTTGACCAAGGGCCAACTCAAGTTAATCCATCGCGGAGGCCCTTAATTGTTACGCAACAACTTGAAGATTGGGGCACGTTTTTGTATTTGCGCGGGAGACGCACTCGCGCAATCTTGCGTTCGATAAAAGGAAGAAATAGATTACTCATCAGATAAAGACTTATCCACGAACAAACCCGTCAGAAAAAATAAACGTCAAAATATGGCAGAGAAACTTTACTTGTCAGAGAAACAGGAAGGCACACAGAAATTAAAGATTGGGATCATTAAAAACTTTAATTAAAATAAAATTGAGAATTTATTTGAGAAAAATTAAGAATCCCAAAATCGGAAGAGGAAAAGAAAGATTTGGAAAACAACAATGAAAAAACGAAAGAAGAAAAACTGACAGTTGAAAACTGGAAATGTATAATCGGCATGTTTATTGTTCACTTCTTTTATGGTGGTCTTTTGAAGTCGTTGTCGATTATGTATTCACCATGGCAGGCTACGTTTAATGTCAACAACGCCGAGGTAGATTCAATGAAAAGTGCCCTTATCTCAGGTCTGTAGGTCGCTGTTATCTTCAGTGCTTTGGCTACAAGCATGCAGTGTGGCGCCTTTACTTCCAAATTCCTCCAATCTTACGGGCAGAAAGTCCTCTTTCTCGCCTCTGTCATCTCTTTCATCGGCGCTATTACTGCCTACCTTGCCAACACGCTTACAACTCTTTCCGTCGGAATCGCCATCTTAGGATTTTCGCTTGGAATCTTCCGGGTTCGGTCAATTTCAATTCTATCTCAAAACGTCACAGCTGAGAAACGAGCACTAGCAATTTCGATTGGAATGGTTGGGACACCAGTGGGGGCTTCGGCGCTGCCACTGCTTTGGAGATTTATTTTGTACAGATATTCTACAGGGACGGGCTCAAAGAACAGAAAGATAATCTTCTACAACTCAGTATTTGAACCAAAAAAGGCCAAGCGATGCTGATACTCGCTGGGATGCTCCTAAACCTCTTCATCGCCGCGATCTGTCTCAAAGAAAAACAACAGTCGAAGGAAGAAAAGAAAAACTCCGAGCCAGATTCGATCTGCGAAATCTTCTCGTTCTCCGTCATACTGTATTGCATCGCCATGCTCTTGAATTTCTCCGGAAAAACTGCGCAATTTCCATTCTTCGTCCCATATGCTGAAAGCATCGGGCTGAGTGGTTACGAGCCAGCGATGGTTGTTCTTTTGATCAACGTTGTGGATATTTTTGCGAGGCCCATAGGTGGGCAAATTGCAAGTTTGAAATTCGTTCAGGAAAAGGTTTTAAAATTTGAATTTCGCAAGATATGATAGCTACTAGGTAGTGCTTAATACGGTCAAAACTATTGCTAAGATAAATATAAGTCTTTTCTCAGAAAAATATCTTACCCATAAAATGCTAAGTATATAAACAAAATGCACAATTATGGTCTTTAAAACTTCTCAAAAAGAAAAGAGGTGGCTCAATTCTCCCGATCATATTCTTCATCCTAATGGCTGTCATGAATGCCCTGGCTCTTATAACGATTTCTGACTATCTCTCTTACTGTATTTGGGCGGCAATTTATGGCATCATTTATGCTATTCCAGTTCCAACCACGATGTCCTGCATCTGTGAGTTTACACACGTCAAGAATATGAACAACGTTCTCAGGTAAAAAGACTTCTTGAAATCAAGGAAGAGACCCCTCAACGAAACCAACCCCCTTTCCTAGTATAAACGCTATGGTTGCGATAGGCGGCATGTTTTCGTTTCCAATTTTGAACGGGATGCTGATCGACCACTTCGGGGACTTCCGCGTCACCTTCGTGATCGCCGGCGCGTGTCTCTTCCTCAGCTCAATGGCACTCATCCTCGCCAGGCTTTTCAACAAGCGTACCCTCGAAAGTTAATAATTTCAACTCACTGACTTTCAACTTGAAAGTACACTAGACTGTTCCTCCATACGATACCATCATTATTTATTATTGAAACTATTATTCTATTGAAAACAAGTTAAATCAATCAGCACAGATAATTTATCGAATAAATGTTTTATAAAACAATTTCAAAAATCCTTTTTTTTCATCGGCGTAAGGCACAGTAAAACTCACGTGATGAAAGACTCTTACATAAGAAACTACTCTCATATTTATCTCTTGATCTCAACAAGCTTATCTTCCGCAACAGCAAACTCATCCCCAAACCCCAAAACCATTTACCCGGGTCAATTGGCTTTGTTTCCAGGATGTAAGTTTATGTAAGAAATTTTACAAGAAGACGGAATGCGCTGGAATGCGAAAACGAAAGGGCCTTCAGGTGAGCGCTCTTTTTGCTGGATTTCGAGGAGTTATCTAACGTTTCCGAATGTATATCGAATTTCATGGAACTTGAGAAACCAAAAAGCATCTTATCAGCAGAATTTGAAAATGAGATTTTAGTTTTTATTTTGGAATTACGAGGAAAATAAGGCTGAATCAGTAAACTCTGTAAACATTATTTTCTGAGAACGGGGAGCGGCAGCTTGGGCAAGTTTTTTGTGGTAGTTGGGAGATGCACTTGAAGCAAAATTTATGGGCGCACGGGATAATGACCGCTTCAGGATGCTCGTCGTCGAAGGGGAAGAAACAGAGCTTGCACTGTGATTTGCTCTCCATATCTTGCTTTGTCTTTTTATGAGAAGGTTCATCGTCTTTGTATTATGTTTTTTTTTAAGAGAATTGTGAATTAATACCTGAGTCATCTACAGCAGCTCTGGTGACAAGAAGAACTCGTTTTTTGACCTTTTTCAAAAATAGTTTAGCGCTTATTTGTTTCATTCTTTCATTAATAACTGCGTCCTCTGCATTTTTGACTTCTTTTCTAGCAATTTCTAGCTGTCGCTCAGACTCTTTCAAGTCGGATTTTGCATTGCACAGCGAAATCTGAGCGCTAAGGACTTTTCCCTTGGTATACTCCATCTCGTTCCTGGCATTGTCGAATATTTTATTGACCAGTTGACGCTCCTCGTGTAAATCTAATTAATAATTGAAACGAAATATTATAAAATTGCAAACCGTGATATGAACCGCTTGGAAGATCCATTTCAGGATTCATTTTTAAGGCGGCCTCACAACAAGAACCGACAATGCACTCTCGATAAGAAAGATTTTTCGCCCCACATGCCGAAAAAAGAGCACGGCATTTAAACCTTGCGTCTGAATTTTTAAAGTCGGCCATAGATGTCGGATATTGAGTATCCCTGCACTTCCTGCAGAATCTTTTTCCTTTTATTAAAGCAGTTTCTTCAACCGCTCTTTATTAATAATTTAACTTTTTCCTCAAAGAAAACGAGACAAACCGTTTACAGTTGTCACATTTTCCAAAATCACCGTAGGAAACAACAAACTCGTCAAGAAACATCCTTTCACAAGTTTTTGTTTTCTAGTTAGTATCTAGTTACGATTCTCTTTCCTCTATTCAGAGCGCTTCGTAAAACTATCGTCGATAGTGACGACGTGAGTCATATAAATTATGCCTGAGAGGAAACACAATAAAAAATACATTTATATATTTTTCTTATGACTGAGCTATTACGTTTCTAAAGAAATTCCAGAACACCTGCATTTTAAAAGAAAACGGGACGTATTCTGTTATCAGCGCTGCCGCCGAGCAACCACTGCTCTTAGCCCCCTCGTTCCCAGGTAGCGGGAAGTCTAAAAAGCACCGGGTGGCAGCGAGAATTCGCGAATTCCGTACCACCCGCCAATTTTCGATACATTGAAGCAAACAGATCAAACACCGACTGTGTTCCACTCAACCCCTAGTTGAGAAAATAGCGCGCGAAAATTATAGGGAGCAAATTTAAGTGGATCGAACGGAAAAAAAGAAACGAACTTTTAACCAGATTTTAAAACCTTTATTCTCCGATTCTCCAAGTTTTGGTGTAATTAAGAATTTTTTATCCTTTCTGAAGAATATATTTGCAGTAGTGAAATAGCCCTAAATCATCATTTGGCAACAAAAATTGAATAAATTTTACCTTTTAGTCGAGTTTGGGTCTTTTTTCCTGGCAAAAACCCAAGACTTCTGAAAATCAAAGCGTTAATGACTGTTGAAAATACGAAAAACAGCTTTGTTACCTGCACATTTCTTTAGGCTTCCCACCAAAATCTGGTCCGAGCGAAGAAAAAAGGCCGATATGAGCAAAAGAAACGGCCAAAAACAGACTCAAAAGTTGCATTTTCATTGTTCTCTCAATAACGCTCTGAGATCATTATTAATTTTCGTCGTTTATATAATACGATTATCGATGAAAACTCATTTCCTAATCAGATTACTGTCACGTTCATTGGCTTGATCGGATGTCTTCCGCGTAAGTTCAAACAGGATAAAACTACTAATAATAATTTGATGGACGTTTTGACGGAATTTGTAATTTATTCAGAAACTTACCGGAAATTAAGTGGCTTTTCTCCTGAACATCAAATATCTGTATTTATCTTGTCCCTTATTTTGCGATATCTAAACTCGTTCACTTGAATAATCCAGCCCATTTCCCGCCCCAATCATCCCGTAATGGCCGCTGCTTCCATCTCCAGGGCGCAATTTTCAGAATTCCAAACATTCGAATTTTCATGACTCAAAATGGCCAGCAGACGCTTTATTGATCCATCCCTAGAAAATGATTCTCCTTGAGCTTGAGTCGAACCACAAGACGTGTTGGACAAGTGAGATCTTTATGATTCTAGCACCGTCATCAGTTTGTTTCTCAGACGTTCTTTAAAACAAAACTGACGGTTCTTGACACTTACAGCTTTCAATTCTTGAGTAGGACACACAGAGAGCAGTTGAGCACGTGTTTTCATGCCTTTTAGATGCTGAATTTCCCGAGGGGAGGTCCAGTTAAATATTTTCTTGAAATTCTGAAAATAAGGAGCGTTGGTTATTTTTGAGAAGCATCTTCGAATCCGCAGGGGCCAGCTCACGATCCACCAAAAACAAGTCTTCTAAAGCCTAATTTTCTTCGAATTTGAGAATTTTTCATAACCGTTTTTTGGAATATGAGAATTCTAGAGACACTGTTCTTACTTCTATCGGGAGTCGAAGGGACCCCTTGCCAGGCGGCGAAGTTCATAGCAAATGGGAAGAGCTGGAAGTATCTGACAAGCCCGTATTTTCCTGATACAATTCATGCGAAAACACAGTGCGAGTGGGAAATTGAAGCTCCAAAGGGAAAGAGAGTCAAGGAAAGAGTCAGATTTACACAAGCAGAAGTAAAAATTAAGATTTACAAAATTCATTGAAGAAAGTTTATATGATAAAAATCAAAAACCATAAGTTTGAAATTCGATTATTTTTTATATATTTTTACATTTTTTTGAGATCGAAGAAAATATTATACATATATTACATATATTATATATATTACTTCTTTAGCCAGTGGAGATTTTCCAATGATGATAGCCGTCGTTTCTTATTATTTTCTCGACCCTAACCCTAGCCGTATTCAATCATAACTCATCCTTATCCATTGGCAAAGTTGCAAAGTCAGTTCTGACTGGCAGCCTGTTCGAAATAGCATAAGAATTGTTTTACCTTCAATTGTAATTTAGTCATCAAGAGCGTTTGCTAAATTGAGCCCAATTAAGAACCACGTTCAAGAAAGCTCATAAGTACTCAATAAAGTCGTTATCTTTTCCTTGTCCAAAAACAAAAAATGGGATTTCAGGATAAAGTCTAAAATCCCAATTATAAACAATCGACAATTATGAATATTAAATTATCGAACTTACTTTTCGATAATTCGACTCCAATTAAGATTGCGTTGGACGTACTGCAATTACTCAACCATCGGACGAATGGTCGATGTACAACTCAAAGCTTAGATATTATTGATGGGCCGCGAATTCGGAAACGGTCGAAGCTGTTTTCACTTATAGCTGGACAAAGACAATCATGTTTGCATGCAAGTGTTTTGCAACAAACTCGTCATTAATTTTGAGACGAGTTTATTGCCGATGAAATTTTATTTTGATAATAAGTACATAAATTGAAGAAATAAAAGAAACGGGGTAAAAAACATTAATTTGATCTCCCGTTGGCTTTTCCGGAAGAATCAATTATGCTCAATTAGACTAATATATTTTTAATAAGGGGATCCCCTTTTTAAGGACCCCCCGTCAACAATTTTCCCCAAAAAATCTAAAATTTCAAAAAAGCCATATTTTGGCTTCTAAGTGTCCTTGGAAGCTAAATACATCATAAAAACTTGTTCGGAGCACTTTTTGGCCAATAAAAGTCTAAAATTATAGCTGAATTGGAACTTTTTCGTCGTTTTTCGTCAAAAAGTTCAATTTTCAAAGGCGATTTTGAGGGTGTTAGAGTCGAGATAGACCCCCAAAAAATGAAGCCTCAAAATCGTTCTTTCACCCGTAGAATCCATTTCCGGGGTCAAAATTTTAAAATTCCGAAAAAAGATTTTTAGAAAATTGTTGACGGGGGTCCTTAACGGGCGAATTCGGGACATTCTCTCGAAATTCGCCCGTAAAGCTGGATACCCCCTTATTCATATTTTTTTCCAAAAAAAGCAGCTAGTAACATTTCGAATTATGAAAATTTGTACGTGACCGAAATGAACTTTTCTCGAAATTGAATCAAGCGTATTCGGTAATCCTCCATTTCCAATCCGTTTTCTTACCAAACAGAAAAAGTGTAACGATAAGCCTCCCTTTTTTCCCTCCACCGCTCTCCTCCACGTTAGCGCTAAAAACACGAGAGATGGGTCGGGTCGATAGTCAGCAAGAAAAATTTTCTGGAAATTTTCGACCGCCAGACAGAGATAAGAAGAATAACGTCATCTCCTTGTGCGGCAAGTCAAAGCCTCTAACCCACTTTGTGACTGCCACCAACGTCGCGCGCATTAGAATTAATTCCGACCATTATGGAGAAGGGCTCAATAATAAGTTCAAGGTAAGCAAGCGCCAATTTTTCTTAGAAGAAGATAACCATCTTTATTTTCGAGCCGAACCAAGATTTTCATGGAAAGGAACTGATTTTTATGGAAAACATTTTGATTGGCGAGTAGTCGAAATGCAGCAATCTTATTGGTCCTCCAAAAATGCACCTCTTTTTCTTGAGTTTAATCCTTTTTAACCTTCTATTTTTGCTTACATTTCTATTTCTTGGATAAACCTTAGCGGAAGATCCTTTTCGTTTCTTCTATAGTATCTTCTATCGTCTAAGTCTTCTTACACGTCAACTTATCTTGCCCTCTAATATCTCCTCGAGATCCGGGTGGGTTCGCATTTTCCCGTTTCAAGTTTCTACTTCTTTTTCTTATCTCTCAACCGCAATTTCTAGCTGCGATACCAAAGTACTGTTGAACCTTCAAATTTCTCCTCTCATCAAAACGACAAAATGACAACGTCGCCTGCTGGCTTCGTTTTTAAACAAAGTGCTGTCAGCAAAGACATAAGAGTTCCGTCGGGCGGCCCGGTTTCTGAGAAGCTAACTTCCAACGCAAATAGACCTCCACGACGGTTGCAAAACGTGCGTAAAAGACATGATGGGCGCGTGGCCATTCGCTCTGGCAATGGATTCGTCCCGAGACTAAAACTCAAGTCAGCAGCGGCGCTCCCTGAAGAGCCAAAATACGAACACGTAGCCCCGCCTAATCCCGAAGACCTTAATCCCCAGGGCTGGGTGTATCAAGGCCCTGATGCGTCTTTGCTCGACCCCAACGCGTTTGCCCCAATTCCGATGACCCCGCCAGCGCAACCACAAGCACCGGAAAGCCACGACCCATGGAATCAACATCCAGGAATGGATTCATTTGTCATGTGGTTCCAAGTAAAATAATCACATTTATTAACATTTGCTGGTAAGGAGATAAGGGTTGTAAATAACGAATGACATTAATGATTTTCCAGATGTCTTGACGATCACCCTAAACAGACTTGAGAATCGTTAGTCTAGACCAGAGTTGGTAAAAAAGTATACTTCACTCGCCCTTCAGAATGAAGTATACTTCATGAAGTATACTTCAGGGCGTTGCAGGGCGTTGAAGGGCGTGAAGTGTACTTCCGCCCTTCCCTCTACTTCAACCGCCCTTCCGCCCTTCACTCTACTTTAACTTGGTTCTGTCGGCCATCAGAATCCATCCGCCAGAATTTTTTCAAATTTTGCGCTTATTGGCTCTCAGGCGCCATGATTTAAATCACGCTGATTGTGGCAGATGAAGAGCGGAGTAATTCGATAAGAACCGATAGCTGAAGTATACTTCAGGGCTTTGAAGGGCGCGTGAAGTACACTTCACCGCCCTTCAAGAATGAAGGGCGCCCTGCAGATTTTTGAAGGGCGAGGGGAAGTATACTTTTTTCCAGCTCTGGTCTAGACTCTAGACTCTAGAGTGTAGACGAGATTTTTCTTTGAAAAAAAGACCCTTCATTTGACGAAAGGGGCTTCGTTTGCCAATTTCCTTTAAAAAAAATGACGTGTGATGAACAGCCTAAAATCCTTAAATAAGCACCTCCTCCACCAAGCCAAATCGGCGCTGGAGGAACTCCTGAAATTATCATCAGACCTCCTGGTTGGTTCAGCAACGAAGAAAACTCACTTGATGGCGCTAACGAAGATTCAGGACGAGATTTTTACTGATTTCTGAGAGATGCTCTTTTTGATGATTCATCGGTTTCTGACTTGGAAAAAAAACTCGAATAAGACGAAGTGGAGAACGGTAGTTTCGGAGAGCTACTGTCTCACTTAGGACTGGATATCGACCCGTTGTATATTATTCTCGGCGGCGGTGGAGTCGCCACTTTGTTGTTGGGGATTTGCATCGTCGCGATGCTTCGAAGACACCTGCGCGAAAAAGAACTAGCCGCAAAGCAGGAGCTCTTTAAGGCGACCGGCCCAGTATTTAGGTACTACAAATACGTGTCCCCAATTGTTCTTGACAGTTAGTTACGCATCAGCATTTATTTTTGATACAAGTTGGTGCGATAAGATGTTGTAAGAAAATGTAAATGAGCTCTTTAAAAACTTGACTCTCGAGCAGCTTTTACGCGAAGCTGTGGTGGTATAAGATGAACCGGACAAGCCCAGTACTTGATCTTTTCGGGCAAAGCGTTTTTTAATGAGCCCCAGCAGCTTCTTTTGAGAAAATTTTGAGAGAACATTTTTCATATTTTTTTCTTCACTTGATGGAAATTGAAAATGAATATTCTCAAAAGAAGGGCAAAAAAAAAAGAAAATTTTAGAAAGTGATACCCTTATTTTGTCTTTCAAATTAATGAATGAAGCGTTTTGAAACAGAGTTGCAAATTTTGATTAACTTTTCTGAGCTGAGCTGAGCTGACCTGAGTAAAAATTTCTCTGAGCTGAGCTGGCCTTTTTCAGCGGTCATTGAGCTGAGCTGAGCTGAGCGGACCGTAATTAGAGCTGAGCTGAGCTGATTGAGCTGAGCTGAGCTGTTTTTTACTGTTTTACTGTTTTTGCTGAGCTGAGTGAAAATTGTCTGAGCTGAGCTGAGCTGAGCCACTGCTCAGCTCACTCAGCCAGCTCAGGTCACTCAGCTCAGCAAATTTGCAACTCTGTTTTGAAAGGATTAAATAAGGGTGTCGTTTCGATAATCTCCTAATAAAACGGCATTTTTTGACAGAAAAATTTCAGTTCTTTTTTGACATTTTTTCATCCCCCTTTAGAACGACGACAAATCACAATCACGTGAAGAAGTCCGAACTTCACGAAATTCAACAGCGTGAGTTGCCCTCTGTTCCTTCTCCTGAAAAACATACCAGTCTTGCGAAAGCTCCAGCTGGATTTCAAGAACATGAATCTTGGAAAGGTTGGCAATGTAAACATCTTTATTTCGTAATTTTTATTCTTCAGCTTCTCCGAAATACTCTCACGCTTTCGAAAATTCAAAGCGAAAAACGATCAGTTTGAGCGAGGAGAAAGACACGAGAAGATCGAGCAAAGGAATCGTGAGTTTCAAAAAGACGAAATCGCAAAATCGAAATTCACGGAAATATTCAACGAGCTCAGAGGTTGACTCTGGGATGGGAAGAACCGCCAGCTATCCGGAATATGACAAGGAAGGCAAACGAGTGAGGCCAGCTGCGTACAGACCTTCGCTGAGATTTTGAGGAACGATGGGAAGAGTTGATGAGGACTCGAATAATTGCTGTTTCTGAAATGAATAAACTGATTTTTAGTGTCATTTTCGTAGTTTTTCCGAAGTTAACCTCCAAAAGCTTTCAAAATTTTCCAATAAGGTTCTCATTTTCTTGAGGAAATAAAAAATTATATACAAATATTTAGCCTTTATAATTATGGTTTTTGAGTAGGCTCTTTCGTCGTTCTTTCATTATTTGCTTTGATCGTTAGATTTCCAATTTCAACACTTGTTTCTATCGATTAATCGGAAGTAAAATCAAGATTCCCGTTGTCGGCGCATATCGGCATATTTTTTTGTTCAAATCATCAAAGAAAAGCTTACTACAAGCACAAAAAGTCTGCAGAATCAACACCTGTCTCGTATTTACGACCATCTGTACTACAGATTCTGTAACTAAATCTCTTTCATCTCTACTATCATCTGGCTTTCTTATCTTCTTCTTATCTTATCGAATCAGCGTGCATGTTGCGCCTCTACTGAGTCTCAAACAGTATAAGAAGAATCAGTGCTGTGTCAAAACATTAAAAAAAAACAAAAAAATGCCAAAAGCCAATTACTACAATTTCTTCTTCGTTGACGTAGAAACAACTCACGACTTCGACCTCAAAACCCTGGTCCACGAATCCACCGTCGGAGTCATCTGGGAGTTTTCCTGCGGCTGCTGCATCAAGTTTCCAACTCTCCATTCGTCTGAAGTTGTCCTTGGAGAAATGAAAGAACAATGGGGAGGACGTCTTTGTCGGAAATCAACTTCTCCTTGGGGCGACAACTGGAACCATTTGCCACCGACTGATCACTTTTTCTGCCGCGAAGATCCAAAGCTCATCGAAAGACTAGCTGATCTGATGATGATGCCAGAAGATTATTTTCATCTCGTTGAAGGCGTATCGCTCGTCCCAAGCAAAGACTTCCGAGAAGCAAACGATGCGATGAAGCTCAAAATCCTCTTTTCGACCCCAGTCCCCCTTCCTGAGAGGAAAAACGACTTCAAAAAAGCCAAGAAACTACCCGAGGCTCTTCGAAAAACTCTGGAAGCTGAAAACTCAAGGAAGACAACGCTCACCGACAAAGAACTCGAAGACCTTTTCGCTCAATCTGTAGCGCCCAAGAAATCAAAGAAATCGAAGAAAGAAAAGCCAAACAAAGGAAAAGCTCCAAACAACATCCGGAAGACGAAGAAACCTGTCAGACTGTAATTCTTACTGTATTCTCTTCCTTTTTAAAAATAACAAAAAACAGAAAAAATCAATCTTCATTTATTCTAAATCTAAAAAAGCAAGCAGTAATGATAAATAAAGATAGTTATTTGAAACTCTTGAACTAGAGTTCGAAATTTGAAAAGTCAGATCATCCAAAAAGTTCACCCTGTTATCCTTAGTCGATGGAGATGCCTCCGTTGTGACATCTAAATTGCCACAGTCCTCCTCATCTTCTTTAAACAAGCAGTCCGGGCTTCCGTCGCAGCGATTCTCTTTCGAAATGCAACAAATCGTGAAATACCAAGATTCAGAAATCGTCGTGCACGAAAACTAAAAAGCCAATAGAGCCCGTTATTTTCTTCTTAATTGCCTTCTACTTAGGTACCCTTTGTTGATCGGACTTGATCTTGTTTTGATTGCTCGAAAATTACGGTAAAAACAAACAAGATATCTCCGAACATTATTTACACCGACGATAGGTTTCAATTACTTTTGTCATGAGCTAATTATCGAGCAATTAAATTCGAGTACCTCTTTGCTTCCACATTGCTGAGTACAATTGACTGCATCGGCGATTTTCAAATCGGTTAGGTTTTCAGAAGAGTAGTACGAATATGAATAGCTACTGTCACTTTTCAAGAATTTTATATATGATGATAAATCAAGATTCAAAAATATTCATTAAACGTCACTTTTAATTACAGAACGGTGAATCCTATTTAAAATAAACCAATCATTTAAATAATATAAAATTTATATTCGAATTCGTTGCCTCTTACATTATGGTTTTTATCTTGCAAAAATTCTTTCCTGTAATTGCTACTTTCGTAATAAGCATAATCCCCAGGATCATTAGATTCTCCAGAAACGAGGCTTTTCTCCGCCAGTAGCAGTGATTCTGTAATAACAAAAACAAACAAATTCATCATTTACTTGATTTGAAATTATTTTCTTGAAAATCAATCTTCGTTTTGAATATTTGATTCTCGTTGTTTATAGAATCAATCAGTCTCTGCTTCAATCCGTCTTGGCCGAGTCATAATCTTTTGTGATTAACTCAGCGAGAAAACGATAATAAGTGGTTAGTAAAAAATGTTTTAACGAGGCCATTTATTGTTTCATGTTTGGTCATTACCAAGGAGATGCCAGGGGCATTTTCAACAGATTCCAACCTTGGAATCTGAATTTCCGTTTTACGATCCATCTCGTCAAAAAAGGGCTCTTTTGGCTCGTTTTTTCCTCCGCTAGAATTTTTTATAGATTTTAATGGGAATATTCGCGAAGCCGCAAAGCGGCTTCGTTTAAAAAAAAGCCGCTGCGCGGCTTTTCATTTCAGCTCCTTCGACCCTGACTCAGGTATCTGCACAGGTTGCCGAGCCCAGATTATAAGGGAATTTTTTTAATAAAGTCGCTATAATTTTATCTAAAACAGAAGTACATGTCATTTCTAAAATCTATATAGCTAAAATATATTGTGCTAAAACACGAAAAAACTACTCGAGAACAAAAGAGAGCATCACTTAAAACAGTCGTCATTCGTGAGTGAAAATTTGAGTGCAATTGAGTCGAACCAACGCGGAATTTCTGGCTAGGCGTGTTGTTGATTGCTACTTTAGTACTACGAGAAAAAGGAGTTTCGAAGGGCTGAACGATGCAAAAATTCAAGAGGCGAGTGTTACAAGAATTTACCTTTTTCCTGCTAAAAATAGGGGAAACAAACTTGAAAGAAACTAATCCAATCAAAGTTCAGACGAAGCGAAGAAGCGCTGATTGGCATAATATTGCGAAATATATTAAAATATTTAAATTGCTTTGAACGATTCAAGAAACGTGACAAATCGCAATTTAACAATCTGTCTCGCCGTCGATTACATAATTTATCTTAGACAATCTCAAACTCCCTTCGAGTTTCAAATTAATGAAAACATAGATCGAAAATCTCAACAATCTCGAAAATCTCAGAAAAAATCCAATTTACTCTTGCGTCTACTCTTGAGAGCCAATTTTGTCCTCGGTGTCTTGGCATTTCCAGCAAGGACATTTTCGCAAACAAGAAACGTTGAGATTAAATGTCTAAAATGTTGTAGGCCGGAGTTCTTACAGAACTTATGCGGTAGTAACGCAAACCTTCTATTCGAGTTTACGTTTGAACCTTTTTTTTCCTTTTTCTTTTCTTTTTAGACATCGAAAATTGAGCTCAAAATGATGACCCTTTGTTCACTCTCAAAGAAAATCGTGTACATTGTACAACGACAGTATCTCGATCTTGCCACGAACATCACGTTGTTTTTCGCCTCTTGAATTTTATCGCTTTGTCTCATCGCCGAAAAAATGCGCCTTTTGATTTTTTATTCACCTCGATTTGAATTGAATTGAACATTCTTCCACTTTGGCGTGCATAAATTGAGGCGATCCAATAAATTCACTGATCAACAAAATCAATCAACTCTGACTTGATTCCTTTCTGGAGAATATTGAGAAACCGCAGTCGGAAGAACCTAAGGACTACCTACAGCAGCTAACGTGAGCGACAGACCACATCATAGACGATCGTTTCGGGCAAAATGACCTTTTGTAATCGTAAGAAATTGGATAGCTCGATGGATCTGGCAAAAAAAGTTCAACTCAACTTTATTATATTATATTATATTATATTATATTATATTATATTATATTATATTATATTATATTATATTATATTATATTATATTATATTATATTATATTATATTATATTATATTATATTATAATATATTATATTATATTATATTACAGACAAAACGGACAATTCCGGAAGTTTTTTTTTCGGGGAAAAGCGCCAAATCTCCGGAATTGTCCGAATTCTAATTGAAAATTTTTTGCTTCCAAAGTGCCTTTTTAAGGGTGTCAACCAGAAAATGGGCTTTTTTAGTGCTACTCATGGCTTTTTTGACCCTTCTCTCATTTCTTTTCTGAAAATTCTTCGTAATATTTCGCGAAAAGGTGGTCCTATATACAAAATAGACCTCTCAGTTGAATTTTTTGTCTGAAATTTCCGGAATTGTGCGTTTACAAAATTTTTACCGATTTCCCTCAAATCTCCGGAATTGCCCGTTCCGGAATTGTCCGTTTTGTCTGTATATTATATTATATTATATTATAAACAAAGTTTGTCTAAGTTTGCCCGTAAGACTTCGTTAAATGGGTTCAAGATTGTCGATTTTGTTCTATTCAGTGAGTGAATTTCCGATTCGGAGGATGTGATTAGCCGTCCGGAAGCTTTTATTTCAGAAAATTGCCAATAAAACCAAAGTTAGAGGTTGCGCCATGGTGGTAAGATTGCTGGAATGATTTTAGAGCTCCTTTCAATCGCCTGAAAACATTATTTTTGAAAGCATTTTTTAACTTTCGATTTACCCTTTTGACTGATGTCGAATTCGATCTGCAAGAAGACCACCGCACAGATCTTCGATTTCCTCCATCTCGATTAATTCCCGACTATGATTTACTCCAAATCCTGGAAATGATAAATCAACAAAGAAACCATGAACTGTACTCACGCATGAAACAGTAAATGTAGAACGTATTTAGCTCATAAAGTTTCGAAACGCTGTTTTCATGGAATCTGACTGACTCGACGAGACAAGCAAAAAGGCAAAGGAATACTCTCATAGAACAACTTAGAATTCTGAATTGTAAAGAGGGATATGTGCCTTTTATAGTTTGAAATAATAAAAAATGAATCTGCGTTGTCGAGTGCATACCACAATGCTTTCACTAAGAAAACACCGAGTGTCTATTTCTATTCCGGTTATTGAACTGGAAGGAGTCCAGATAAATTAGCAGAACTGTCGTTTTCCGGACAGTTCTATCGGTTTTATAATTATAAATTAAAATTGAAAAATTTTTGAAAACAAAAATGGCTATAAGCTCAAAGTGAAGCTTGACTTAAAAAATCTTTTCGAATTTCGAATTCCTCGAAAATATGAATGAATTTATCTTGGGAAAGAATGTTATCTTCTTACACGTTTTTTGCGCTAGAAAAATTCCATCCCTCAAAGAATCCTTTTTGTTACATGAAATTCTTTTTCACTGACAGATTCTTATTCTTGAGTCGCGAAAGAACCTGGGCGACCACGTGAGAAGAATAAATATTGGCCATTTGGGAAGTTTCTTGTTTGTGAGTTTCCGACCTCAGGGTCAGCTTGTCCGTGATTTGTTTGATCGGAAATGAGAATTGATAACTTTGAGAATCGGAAACAAAATTGAGATTTTAGTGAGTGAAAAATGAAAATTCATTTCGCAGTTTTCGAATTATTGAAAAACCAAGCGCTAGAACGATGTTCTGAAAACTACGTATCTCTCGTAAAAGGATATGCAGAGACGATTCAAGAGCTCTTTCCCACATTTGAATTACCCATTCAAAAAGTAGCAAATCGAGGAAGAAGAGAATTGAGCGTCGAATTGACTCCCGAATCACTCAGGGGCGAGTATGACTACGAGACGTTTACGGAGATGGTGACTAAAGACATGGGTATGTAGATATTATAAATGAAAGAGGGACTAATTAAGGGCGGGATAAATAATAATTTACGGTCTAAAAACGTCGCTAACGGTTTTTTTAACATATTTTCAGCAAGGATAAACAAGGGCAAGAAAGACATGGAGATTGCCCTTGAAGTTTTCAGAAGACGCAGACGTCCCTACGGCTCTGGCGTCGAAGAAGACAGTCTACTACCAAATTTCCAATGTGTTGATTTCAAACGACTTAAGGGTGTCCCTCACCTGGATTTTTTCTGCGAGATCTGCGCCGAGGTAAATTGTCTTTTTGAAAGTAGATATTGGTAGTCCCAATTTTTAAACACACATTTCTTCAACAGTCAACATTGTTTGTTACACCCTTATTTTACCATTCAGCTCCCATATGGTTCCACAATCGAGTCCTGCCGCCACGATTTCGGCGAGCACTGCTTCATCTCTAACATAGAAAAAAGCCTGTTGAGTTCCAATTACCACGGGCCGCTTGTTTACAAATCAGAAGATTCCGCTCAATCACCGTAAATTGCCGGGGTCGAATCGTTAATTATAACTTTTTTCTGTACTTCAACATATTGATGTTCAACGTGGCTTGACTGAAGTCATTAATAAAATAAGCGATCAAAACATCTCTTTACTTGGCTTTATTGCTGTCTACGCCCTTAAAGAACTCTCAGTAGCTTGTTTGTATTGAGACAGATTGCTGGGTTTATAAAAGAAGAAAAAAAAATCGAAGGTTTTTGAAAAAGAAAAATATATTCATAATTTATTGAAACAGTTGGTCATTTTTGTACAGAAATTTGTTATTTACAAGATAATTAATAATATTGCTTCTTTCAATATTCTTTTCTTCGTTTTTTTCATCCTTCAAAATTGTCAAAAAATTTTGGAACACACAATTATTTCAAGAGAGAGCCCGGGAGCTCCTCTGATGTCGAATAGTAAGAGAAAGGGAGAAAGAATAAGAACTAATTTAAAATTAGATTAAGAATTTGTAGCGGTCGCAAAATAATAAAATTAGATTTGCTCCCGGCGGTCGCGCTTTTTTTGATTCCTAACCGGTCGGTTCCGGTGATGGTTTATTTTAGACATATATTAAATTTAGCTATTTATTTGAACTTTATACAAATTCCCTGGGTAGATTTATACATTTCATTCCCGCAGGGTAAATAAAATTTTGGATGGAGCGGAATTTGAGAGCTTCAGAAATTTTCCGACGTTCAAAATTGTAAATATATAAAGAGATCATTCATCCTTATTTCCTACTGTGCTTGACAGGGGCTTAAGTTTTGATGACTCGCTGAAACTGGGCTAAGGGGAAGGGGAAGTTAAAACAACTAGGGTTTCTTGAAAGCCAACTCGACTGAATTTTTTGATGATTTTCTAGAATAAGGGGGGAGGGGGTCAAAATAGGGGATGAAGCCTACCAAGTAAGGGTTGGGGTTAGGCTTTTGAAAGAGACTGGCAGACGTTGTCTACCAGACAGCTGAAAGAAGACTTAAAATCAGCCAGCTGAGAAATTGAAAATTAAGGGTATCTACTTAGGAAAAGTCGTTTCATCGAAAGTGAGCTGGTTTAAATTTCACGGGTGATTTTTGAGTACTCAGGATTTTGGATTTTTTAATATTTTGATAGAACGTGGTGCAAATTCCCCGTGACAAGGTGTAAAATGTCCGGATTAGCTCCTTTGTTAAATTAAATTCGGCAACCCAGAGTGGTCGATCTTTGCACTTTTTTAGACTGACTAGGGTTGAATGTTGGTTTGAAATGGTTTAATGGGAATTTGTTCTTTTGAGGATTCCTTTGGTGACGCTCAGGATTGGTTTCAGCTCCTTAAATGATTTGTTTATAAAAAGGGATGGCAAGAAAAAGAGCTGAAGAATGTGGAAAACTTACTTTTTCCATTTTTAAATCAGCTGGCGGCGGAGTAGAAACCCCAGAATCCGACGACTCCCCAGAATCGCTTCCACTCTCCCTCTTTTCTGGAGTAACTGTTCCATCCGACGGTGGATTCGAACCATCGCAGAATCCCTTGTCGCCGCTAGAATCGCCTCCAGAATCAGTTGAATCATTCTCAACGCTTTCGAGCTTTTTGCGGAGCTCGGACAAGTCGAATTTCGACAAGTCCGATTTTTTCCTCAATCTTCGCTTTTTACGCGCTTTTTTATCGGTTCAGAATTTTTCGAGGAGAAAATACTACAGTATATGAAAAATTCAATTCAGCGAAAAAAATCGCAGCCACGAAAGAATAGTTTGAACCGATCCTTCGCGCTCTTGGAATTCGGGTTGCGGCTGGAGTGCCTGGGGTTTTCGAAGACTTGAACGAAGACTTGAAAAAAGTGTGAACGAAAAATTGATTGATGAAAAAAATGAATGAAAGAAAAAGGAGATCTTGCTACTTACGGCTGAGCAGTTAAACTTGGCGGCGCCCGTGGCTGGAGCATTTGAGGCTGCTGTTGCTGCGGCGGTAGATTGTGTTGTTGGTAATTTCCTGGGTTGTTTCGTTGAATAGAATTGAGCATTTGCAGGCATTGCTCCATCTTCTTCACGGCCTGGGCGATTTCGTTCGGGTCAGAAGTCATCGGACGGCCGGACGGATCAAAGTTGAGTCCGGTCAGCTGAGAAAGAGATGGTACTTTTGGAAGACTCGGTGCTGGAGCTTGCTGATGACTACTGAGTTGATGCTGGCTTGCATGATGAGGAGCTGCTTGGTGCTGCTGCTGCTGTTGCTGGGGAGTTGGGGACATGAACCCGTACGCCGAGGAGTTAAGAGAGGTTGTCGAGGATGACATCATTTGATAAGGGTCGACAGAACCAGGGCGAGATGATGGCTACGGATTTAATTAAGACATTGTTAGAATTCCATCGATTCAACGATGTTCAAAAGAAGAATAATTTTGAAGAATTCTCCCCGAAATCTTAAGAATCCGAGCTCTAATTTGAGAGCCTTTTTGCCCTAATCTATTATTTATTCGGGTTATTCTTTCATAAATTTTTAGTCAAAACACACTTCTAGAGTCCTTTGTAATGAATTTTAAGCTGATCAATTTTTTTGGGTCAATTATTTTGGATTAATATTAAGGCTCTTTGTACCTGATGTTGTCCAAATTGCGGTTGCCACATTTGATAGTGGCCCATATTCGGCATTTGCTGGTAATGATTTTGATACTGTTGGTGTTGATGTTGATACTGCTGCATATTCGACATGCTGTTGGATCCCATGTTGCTTCGGAGAGACATTCTGCCGTTTCCGTTTTTGATCAGGTCCAGTTGGCTTTGTCCTGGAATAAACGTCATTATTTGATATTCGGTTAGGAGATTAGTTGGAGAGGATCGATTGTTTGGGTAATTACGGTCTTTCGACCTTGCTGCCCCAGAACCGGCGCCGGTGTGTTTGTTACAAGATCGACAGTGGATAGAAATGGTAGAAACTGCAATTAATCAAGTGGCTACATTTGTTGAAAATAGTTATTATCCAAGAGTATTACACTTCGTAATTAGAGGATGATATACGGGAATAACAAGCCCTCCGCATCTTGTTCCGGCCTGTTTTGAATCTATTTTAAAAGCAAGTTGAACACGTTTTAACCCGCAACGTTTGTTACGGACTTCCGTGTCCCAACGGGTTAAAAACGGGCGCGGCCCCCTATTTCGGTTTACTAATTTTTACCGAGCTCTATTTTCGATCCGGAATTCCTGGCTTTTTCGAATCGTTTTCTAGCGATCATTCTTTCCGGGAATCGCACATTCCGGCTTTTACGGAATTCGTTACTATCGGAATTCTTCTTTTTTTGAGTTATTTTTACTATTTTTTATAATTTTCGAGACCCATTTTTTCGTGCTGAAAAGTCTCTCAGACTTCAATAATAGCCATTTTACGGCCAGTTAGTTTGAGTACATTGAGTCATTATTTCTGAGAAAGAGAGAGAAAGAGACATTCATGGGAGTGCTGAGGTGAGTCATTCATTTTTCTCGACCAAATAAAGACCTAAAGCGTGAATGTCGCAGAAGCGAGAAACGACCCCCTGCCGCGATTAGCGAGCTTTTTTATTAGAGAAAAGTACGCTGACAAAGACGATTACTGTACTCTGCCTGTAAGTTATTACTAACGGAAAGATACGGGAGACATTCTAGAGGGCAAAATGGAAGCTTTTTTCAGTGGAACTTTATTCTAGTGCTCAAATTAAGAAAGTCTTTCGAGTCGAAAATGGGTTTCTAGTGCCTTTTTCGACTCAATTTCGAAAGAATTTAATCAATAAATCGAACGTAAAAACATTTTTCAGACCAGCGTCTGGCAGACAGGGGTCAATCAGAAGCAAGGGGCGAACGCAAAAAAGTAAAAGAGCAAATAAGCGAATATTTGGACACTCGCAATCTGTATGGCACACATTCAAGCATCGAAAGATTCATCAACTTCTTCAATAAACGAACAGAGTTATTCGAAGAATTTAGAGATTCGCTCTTCACAAGGAACGGAGTTTTCAAATGTTTTTAATTCAGCTTTTTCACACTCATCTCAATACTAATCCATGCAAAATTCCGGGTAGGCTTCATTCCCCCAAGAGCTTCGTTTCCCCAGCGGCTGGGGCCCAGCCTGAGGCAGATGAAGCTCTTTGGGAAATGAAGCCTACCCCGAAATTCCCTTTTTCTCCGATACAAAATTTTCAAATTTTAATACAGTCAGGTCTTGCAATTACGCGGTTTTTATTTTCGGGTTTTACGCCAAAAACCACGTAATTGCAAGCCCTAAAATGCACTAAATAGTGCAAATTGTGTATCGGATTTTCCCCAAAAACCGCGCAATTGCAGGTCGCGCAATTGCAAGACCTGACTGTAAAAAAAAAACTCCGATAAAGAAATAAGCCAGGAAATGGCGCAGCCATTCACTTATGGTCTCGACAATCCCGAAACGCTCAAAAAATGGAATGGCTCCGAATATGTGGTCACTCCCGAGCAGAAAAGACCAGGAAAGAAACCGGCTAGACCTGATGAAGTTTTGCCAAAAGGGTTAAAAATTGAACAATAATGAAGAGAGAGCAAATAATTTTTAATCATTTTTACCCTCTTTATTGATAATAAAAAGTCCCAGCACATGCCACAATTAAAAAACAAATTGAGAGTCCCAAATTTGGCAAAACCGCGTGTTTGTCAAAAGATTTACGACTGTGTGCACTTTGGCGATCTTTTTAGAAGCGAATATTATGTCAACTTGCGCATAAACTCAGAAGCTTCATGAATAAGTCCGTCATAAACGCCAAAGCAAACTTCTTGGGCTTAATGAATAAGCGTAAAAATTTAGTTTTCTTTTTGGAATTTTTCTTCATTTTTTTTTGCTGTTTCATCTTTTTGAACCCATTTGAAGTCGCCCCATGAACTGGACAAACGAAATCGCCGTCGGGAACGGAACAAATTGGCTCAACAAAAAGTGCGAAAGAAGATGAACGAGCAGACGGCTGAATTAAGGAGGCAAGCAGTCAATTTAGAAATCGAAAATGCCAATTTGTAAAGTGGATTAACATCTCTCAATTTTTTACCTAAAGCAATATTGTAGCTGATCAATTTTTACTGGCCAAGCTTACTGTTGTTTGGAACTCTCAAATTGAAGTTCAAAAAATGAGTTTTATTAAGGACCTACTCTTCATTAAACGCGTTTTTTGCGCACTTGAAGTTGCCATTTCCAATTGCCAATTTTCAAATCCTTGTACAACTCATTATCTTCCGCGAAAAAAGTTAAAAAAAGAAGGACACGGTATCTTGAAATTTGATGTTTCAGTCGGAGGATATGTCCTTATTCCCGCAACATCGTAACTGCCGCTATTACGGGTGCCAGGGTAGAATTGCCAGCTAGCATTTGTTCATATCTGTAACGATTAAAAATGTAAATCCTCTGTGCCAGGAAAGCGATATCGAAATCTTGATCCGGCAGCGGGATCAAATTGTTGCCACCTTCATTCGACACACGTGGGTTCAAGAAATTCTCAAAAAATCAGGTAACTTCTATCTATGTCCCGTTTTCATCATGGTAAAAAATGAGAACAGTGGCAACGGTGATAAACGAATATCTTCTCATTTTTCACATTTCGAACCTGTCAGGTGAAAAATTAATTCCTATTTTCGACCTGTAGTTAGTAGATTCTTCATTTTAGTTGAACTTTTTGTCTTTATTTAAGCCCATGACTCCCTTAATTTTTCATTTTTAACACAAAAAGTCGGGGTGGCATCAGGAACCGACAAAAAATTCGACAAATTTTGCGTGGGCAGCTACTTGGCTGCTGATTGACCGGTTATCAAAATCCAGGCTTCTGATTGGTTGAAAATTTCCACGCAAAATTTGTCGAATTTTTTTTTTGTCGGTTCCTGACACCTCTCCAAAAAGTGCCCTTGTCCTTGGAAAATTTTGTCAAAAATCCCAATTTTAACTAAAATTCTAGAGGAACTCGCGCTCAAAGCTGTACAGGGAAAACTGAAGCAAGAAGATCTCGACGAAATCGACGACGAAAAGTCGCCACTCGACGGAGAATCATCCTCAAGCAGCTTCACAGTCAAAACCGAAAAGGCTTAAAATATTTAAAAATCTCTAGAATCTTTTAAAAACTCAATTGTATCAGTTCTACCATCTACTCTCGTCAATTCGTGCCATCGTTTTTCTTTTTAGATTAATCTCACTAGACTTAAAAAACTAGTTATTAAAAACACTTATTTAACCCAAAAAAAAATCTTCGCCAAAAATTTGGTAATTTGAAAAGAAGGGTCATTTTTTATCATCAGATTTGAAATCATTTCTGTCAATTATTATTATTCAATCAAGTTCAAGATATTTATTATTTAACCAATAAAACAAGGTTTTATCTCTTTTTTTAATTTTTCTTACCTCCGAATTGATCCAAACTGCGCGTCGAACCCCTGAGCTGGCCGTTTCTAGCGCCGAGATTCGAAGTATACAATTGTTGAATGCCTTGTTGTCGGTTTTATACTGTAAGTCGACACGTAAAGGACGCGTGATGCTCTTTTCTAATACTGAGGTAGCAAACAACTAATTTGAGAAAGCGGAACACGCTCTATGGAAAAAATAAGCTTAGAGGGTGGGTCACCTTATTTGATGTGTAAACGCTGGTCACTCCAACCTTTCACTTTTATTAAATAATTATTCACGAAGCCATTATTATTTTAATCTTAGGAGAGGTCAAAAATCGATCAAAATGAGGCCAAAATGGCCGATTCTTGGCAAAAATAAGCGTATCTTCAGTTAAAAATTCGAAAATCCTTTGAAAAAGAAAAGCATAAACCGTTTCCTGAGTGAATAGAATCAGTGGATCCGTACATGCTCTGCGGCCCGCGTCTGTTATTCGCTAGCTGGCCTTGCATTTGAGCAGGAATGTGCTGTTCGTAGTTACCGTTGCGATCACGTGTGAATTCTCCATTTGCAGTCACCAGCTTCATCCGCGTCGGATCGTACCCGCCATACCGCGAATCTGCTTTTTGGTGACTAAAACGCGAAATAAATAGATTAAAGAAAAACTTTTCGTCTTGATTCAAGGTCATTTAATTTCTAAAGTGAAATATAACGTAGAACGTGTCGTACATCGATTTAATTAATTGAGCCGGAAGTCAACTACAAACAGTCAAAAGGCCTCGTATATTTAGCAATCAAGAAAAGGCCGTCAAAATTAATTTCTACAATTTATCTGAAAAATAAAGATAAGTTGGTTGATCGCCAAACAAATAGCAGATCTCAAAGCAGAATGAACAGTATAAACAGTCAAACCTTACTGTACTTATTTTCCATATTGTCCTAGAGAATTATTATCACTACGAAGCGCTAACTAAGAATTTGTTCGATTGCAAGAAAAACAGCGAAAAGTAAATCGATGCAAACAGCCGCGTAGCGGCTTCTCAAAACGAAGCCGCGAAGCAGCTCTGCCAAAAATTGATATTTGTCTGAAAAAAGAAAATTTTATCGTTATTATCAGGTATAATTCATATTGATAATAAATATTAAGCAAAGATACTGTGCGGCTTGTTTTAAAAAAAGCCGCACCGCGGCTTTTGTCGTCAACTTTATTTCATCAGGAGAATGTTAATTTTCCTGGTGAAAGAAAGTTGACCAAGCAGTTTTTGAAAAGCTTAAGGAGAGTCAAAGAAGTGCTCTAAAATGATGTTCCAAGAATTGTGATTTCTATTGAATAATTTTGCAAACCTTTGGTGTTGTGAGTCGGAGGCGAGGTCGGATTTGTCGAATGGAATCGGATTTTGGCGCAGCGGAAAATGGCTCCGATAAGGCTCGTAGATGCCCATTCGCATACTCTGAAAATAAATCTTACTCAATAGTCGATACTTGGTTAGTTAACAATAATGCTCTGCTTATTTACGGTATTGCTCCGAGAAGAGGATCAAGCCTGAATCTCTCCGGAAAATAACGTTTTTTCAACGCTCGAATTCTTGTAAAAAAATATGCACCTGCTTGCTTGAAGCTTTGCTAAATTCAGAAGTTACGAAAAAAAGCCGAGAAGCCTCTTTACTTTTGATATGATGTCCCATCAGCGGCGAGCCCAAATATTTGGCGTTCCAGAGTTAATTTTAAAATTTTAGAAATTCTCAAGAGTGGATCAATTTCGGAGCGACTTGAAAAAAGAACGGGAAAAAGAAGTGGCTTCTCCGAAAGTGAAACTTGCGACACTCTTCTTAATTGCGTATAAGTATACTTGTGGGCGCCTTTAGAAAATTTAGAGGTTCGATAACTATCAACGAAAGACTGCGGCAAGAAGAAAACGTGTTTGTGGTGCGCTTCTTAGCCCATGTTGATAAAACCGTCACTAGCGATATCAGTTACTTTTTTATGAAATATAAAAGCCGAGTTTTCTTATCATTTTTTTCCTGAAAAGAAAGTTTTTTCCAATTTTTTGCCAATAAAATCGAGATGTCGTTTGCGGCTTCGAGCTAACATCAAAAGAAGCCGCGCGGAACGCGGCTTAAATAGAGCTATCTCGAAGCCGCTAGCGGCTTCTCGATTTTTTGCAAGTTTTTTTTTCTTCTGTCTTTTGAGCCACATTTTAGCGCTTTTTAGACCAATGTCCTTTTCAACTTCTCCTTCCGAAGTCCAGCTCCCTCAGTCTCGGTTAGCAAAAGATCTCAAAAGATGCCGCGAGACTGTCACGCTGTCCTAACCTTGATTTAGCGACTTCTTCTGTTGTGGTCACTTCCGGGGAAGCTAAGTGCCCTACAAGGTCGCTTTGCGGCAGGGGCGCTTGTTAACAAGGTTCAAAAAACAAATTATTTCAAGATTTTTCTACTAAGATGACTGTAGCTCCTGAATTCAAGAGCGACAGCCTTATCTTTCAGCATCAAAAGATAGATCTTCCATAAACGAGGATTTTTCATGTCGATCAGTTTAAGATTCGAACAAGGGTGTACGAAGGGATAAAAGAACAAATGTTCTGAGAAGCCACAAAAACAGGATCGCAAAGTCGTGTTCCGGTAAGCTTACTTCGATTCGGGGCTCACGCAATCGACAATTTATCCTTTCAAAGCTTCAATTTTTCATTTCTCAGCGGAAAGAAGAGACTTTAGTCCGCTTCTTACGGTTCTTGCGGGGTGGATAAGCACAACTGCGGCAAGGACACGATTCGGGAGGCGAATCGGCAGAATATGCTTGAACGAAAGGAGAGCCCTGCCACGATTAATTGCATTTTTATGGCGAGGGGGAATCCGCAATGAAGATTTTTTGAATTTCAAGATGATCAAAATTTTGTTGATGTGCCGACGAGAAACATGAGGTTACCGAGAAAACCCCTAACAATGTCAAGTTTACTGAAAGGGAATTAGTTGCCTGGCAAATCTTAACCTTTTCCAAAAATTGCCAAAATCGATGTTGACACCGTTAATTTTGAACTATATTTTTGATAAAAGAATTTGGATTCAAGAATAAGGGTATCAATCTCATAATTTTGTACCTTAATTATGCAATCATTATTCAAGAGAATAAAAGTGCCTCTAACTCTGATCACATGACCTTTCCCACATTCTGTAAGTACATTTCCCGAAAATTGCTTGAGAACGCGATAAGACTCTCCCGATAAAGGTCGGCGGGAACATTCCAATAAACAGAAACCAGCGCATCGAGGTCAAAAAAGCTCTGCAACTTCTAAAACGCGAAAAAACACCAAAACAGTTTTGGTGAAACTTAGATCAACATTGTGTATTTTTTTTTCTGAAAGAAACAGTTGCAGCTTGTTTCAAAAAGTCAGAACAAAAAACAAATAGTTTATCTAACAAAAATATTTTTCTAGTTTAGAAAAAGATCTCTAACAACCCAAAATCTTGAATTTTCAAAAAAAAATATCAAATTAATGATAAGGGTGTCCACTATTGATGAAACGACAAAATAAGGGTCTGAGTACATTAATTATTACAAAAAACTACTGAAAAATTAAAATTAACGACTGTAATTCAGTCTGAACAAAGAATAATGAACCATTTGGTTAGATAAAATAAGGGTGTCGCTGTGGAAAAATCAGCTCGAATATTTAACGACCCCTTTGGGCTTAATTTTTCAGCCCTCTTTCCAGCTGACTTCTAGCGTAAAATCCTCTAATCCAAAAAAATAATCCTTCGCGTTTCTCATTTCAATTACCCGACCAACAGATGTTATGCAAATTTGCTGGTGTTGGTACACAAACTAAGTGTGGGATGACTAAGTTCGTGGGGACTAGGTTCGTGAGACTAGGTTCGTGGGTGGCTGGCTGGAAAACGTGGTTAGTGGGACTAGGTTCGTGAGTTTTTGATTTTATATGTATATTTTTATTTATAATGATTAAGTGTTATTTATATGTATATATTTATTTATATATATGTATTGTAATTATATGATCATATAATATAATATTGCTATCTAAATATAGGTTCGGGGGTTTTTGATTGGTTAGAATTTTTATTCTATAAGGAAAAACTATGTGCGACTAGGTTTGTGGGACTAGGTTCGTGGGTTTTGAAATTTTTTTTATAAGGAAAAGTGGGGTGCGACTAGGTTCGTGAGACTAGGTTCGTGGGTTTTGAAATTTTTTTTATAAGGAAAAGTGGGGTGCGACTAGGTTCGTGAGACTAGGTTCGTGGGTTTTGAAATTTTTTTTATAAGGAAAAGGGAGGTGCGACTAGGTTCGTGGGACTAGGTTCGTGGCTTTTAAAAATTTTTTTTATAAGGAAAATGGGGTGCGACTAGGTTCGTGGGACTAGGTTCGTGGCTTTTAAAATTTTTTTTTATAAGGAAAAATGGGTTGCGACTAGGTTCGTGGGACTAAGTTCGTGGGTTTCTATTCTAAGGCAACCATTGTTATTCAGCGCTAACATAGAAATTCAGTTAAAGAGCCTAGCGGCATATTTTGGGGGGGGGGGGGTGGGAAAGTCATTTTTACCATTCAACTTTACCCAATTTTACAACCCACGAACCTAGTCCCACGAACCTAGTCCCACGAACCTAGTCTCACGAACCTAGTCTTCACGAACCTAGTCTTCACGAACCTAGTCCCACGAACCTAGTCGCACTCAATTGTTCCTTATAAAAAAAATTTCAAAACTCACGAACCTAGTCCCACGAACCTAGTCGCACTCAATTGTTCCTTATAAAAAAAAATTTCAAAACCCACGAACCTAGTCCCACGAACCTAGTCGCACTCAATTGTTCCTTATAAAAAAAAATTCAAAACTCACGAACCTAGTCCCACGAACCTAGTCGCACTCAATTGTTCCTTATAAAAAAATTCAAAACTCACGAACCTAGTCCCACGAACCAAGTCGCACTCAATTGTTCCTTATAAAAAAAAAATTCAAAACTCACGAACCTAGTCCCACGAACCAAGTCGCACTCAATTGTTCCTTATAAAAAAAATTTCAAAACCCACGAACCTAGTCCCACGAACCTAGTCGCACTCAATTGTTCCTTATAAAAAAAATTTATAATTTTTATAATACTTATAAATTATAAGTTATAATACTTATAGAAAAATCTCTAATTTCAAAACCCACGAACCTAGCACCCCTACGAACCTAGTCCCACGAACCTAGTCGCACCACATTGTTCCTTATAGAAAGGAAACCATACCCCATCTTGCATACTTTGGCATAACCACCTACGAACCTAGTCCCACGAACCTAGTCCCCACGAACTTAGTCATCAATCCCCAAACTAATAATCTCGACCCCCACCAGGTTATCACGAAAAAGATGTAATTCAATTTTCTCAAAAGCCTAAGTTTATGCTCGTTGCAGGTCACGTTTTTTCGAAAATATAAAATGAAAAGTCAAAATTTGAACAGCTTTTTCCTCGTTTTACAGGTGTCTAATTTTTCTTTTACAAGAAAATTTTATGAATCAATTAACCGATATTTTCTATTTTATAAAACTCAAAAAGGGGGTCCCTATTCTAGTGGGATTTTTTTAAGGAAGACCTTTTTAAGGGTCCCCTCGTCTGAAAATTCGAACAAGGATTTCTCGCTTTACACCCTTAAGACATCTAGCTATTGTGGTATCTGAATGTGGCTCAGAAAAACGTCTAGCGCAAAAAATAGTTAACTCGAGGATACCCTTAAGTTTTCACCCTCAAATACAGAAAAGAAGATTTCATACAGTGATTTTCGGTTGATGATGATATTTTCAATAGAATTATTGAATAAATAAGTTGATCAAAAACAATTTGATTCCTGTTCAACAGAATTAACCATCAAGTTTTGAAAATATTAGCTTACAGCCACAATTCTATTGATTGAAGTTAATTTAATTTGATTCTGTGGAAAAACTTTATCAAGTCTGCTGATAGGTAAACAGAATTGCACGTCGAAATAATTATGGAAAGGTTAGATAAGATCAAGTGTGCTCTGAGTCAATTACAACTTTGTAATTGAGGAGATACGGTCTCCCAGTTCCCTTTTTTGTTCTTATCAGTCTGAATTGATAACATGAGGGTCACGGTAATGACGAGTTTCTTTGAAGCAAGGTTGATGACCGGATGATAAGGAACGAATACGGTATTAAAATTGAGATGAGCTTTAGTAAAATTTACTATTCTTGGCTTTGGTCTAAATATATTCAGCAGTGGAATGAGGCTTATGACGCGCTCCGGAAGCGCAAATGCAATTCCACAAAATGCCAAGATACAAACCCGAACGGCGCAATTTTCGAACGATTTTTTTCCTTTTGGCCGTTGAGCTCAAATTTAATCGACTCAAATTTTCCAGTACTAAAAGGGCCGAAGAGGAAAACTTTCTAAAATTTCGATAGAGCGAAAAAATTAAAGCCCTTTTCGCAAAAATTCA